TAACCCTAACCCTAACCCTAACCCTAACCCTAACCCTAACCCTAACCCTAACCCTAACCTCACGCTCCCACCACCGGACCTTGAGGTCGTCAGACCCCAGGGGCAAGTTACCGGGCACGGTGGTCCGGTACGTTGCAGGCGTTGTTGGTGGGAAACTTAATCAAATCAGGTCTAGGTTTTGTCCTATGGGAGTGTAGAATAAAATACAATTGACGGAGAGAAACAAATGGGATCCAATGGAGCCATCGGATCAACAGTCGTCCCCGGTGGTGTCTTTGCTGCAGTCGAGCAAGGGTACACCAGGATTGGCCTTCTGATGCGTGGGTTCCCGATCCCTGGCAATTGCCGTCGCCTTGTGAGCGTAACACCAGGTTGAGGAGGTTGCAGGTCATTGAGTTGCAGGTCATTGAGTTGCAGGTTGTTGAGTTGCAGGTTGCTGAAGGGGAATCTGGAGTAGATGTTGTCAGGCATTGTTCAGCGCCTTTGTTAGCTTGTCCCCCTGTTCCAGTTCCTGTTTCTGTTCTTGTTTTTGGTTTCTGTTCTTGCTTTTGTTCCCATGTATCAAGTCTCTGGGACGGAACCTCATTTGATTGAGGCGCTGTCACTGGGTCTTGCAGTTGCGTACATGTATTGTAGACACCGGAGGGTTTTTCGGCCAAGTGAGATTTCTGGCTGAGTCTTTCGAGGCTCAGTTGGCATCACGCTTGCCAATCATACCCTCATCACGCTCATCATCATTGTTGAATCAAGCTCGTTTTTGGGCAAGTCGTTTGTGCCTTTGTCACCGTCCCTCAGCTTGTAGCAGACCGTCCTTGGAGCTGTAATGGACCGTCATCCATTTTGAAGCACACGTCCTCGAGAGCAGACTCAAAGGGGTCGGTTGCTATTCTGCCAACCAGCGGGCGAGCTGATGGTGCGTGGAGTCTGAATACAATTAGTCTGCAGATCAAACTGCACTAGGTCAGCAAGCGTGTAATGGCGATGTTGGATGGGCGGCCTTGAAATTGGAGGCTCCACTCGGTTGGAACATGCAAACCAGAAAATTGACTCGAAAGCCGAATTTTCTCGAATGAAAGGCTCGACTCCTCTTTGTTGTACACAACCACCATCATCGTTGCCCGTTGACAGATTCCATCGACATGACCACCGATCAGCATCACGACGAGAGCGAGCTGCCACCCGCCGGCAACCCCGCCGATGCATCGAACAAGGATGTTCCTCCCGCGATCGCCGCTTTCGTCGAAAGCTTCTACAAGATCTCGGACACGCCCGACGTGCACGAACAGTACGCAGACGACTACTACATTGACGACGAGAGTCGTCTGAGCTTCCAAATCGGACCAATGCAACCGACCAACAAGCGCGACGGCATTGTTGCTTGGAGACAAAAGGGATGGGAAGGTGTGACGCGTCGCAAGCACGTCGTCAATGGTGTTTTCATCAGTCCAAAGTGGGAGAACGAGATCATGTTAGACGGCACCGTCGAGATGGACAAGAACGGCTCGACGCTCAGGTTCAATTGGGCCGGAAGAATGGTGTTTGATCAGAAGAGTCTGGACGACGGCTCGCCAAAGATCGAGACCTACAAGGTGTGGCTGGTGAGTGATCGTGCGCTTCCTTTGACCAAATGCAAGCTACCCGGGGACGGTCGCGCTTGGCCGTGAAGCCTTTGACTCAGTTGTCGAGCGAGCTTATTGCTGACGCCTTCCTCCTACTGCGCTTTGCTCCTCCGATCCGACCTCGCTGTTCGTTTGCTGTTGTCTGACAACCTTCTGCCACGGACGCACTTCGCAGAGTCAAGAATGAGGTTGCCGCAGGTGATCGTTCCGACTAGGACAGCTTCCATCGAGCGACTCCAGTAGCACAATCGTTGAGACGTAACACATATTCCACTTGACTTTCTGCGGGTGAGACGAGATTGCAACGACGTATTAAGCCTCTCTATGACGAGCTCAAGATGAAATTGCGAGCGTTTAGTTCGTGCGTTCAGGTCACACGCCAAGTTGAGTGGACATGCTGCTCTCTTCAGTCTGAGCTCGATTCAATTCAGAGAAGCTTTCTCACCTCGTATCTAGTGACCAGGTGTTTGGTCTTCGCAAGGACCTTCAGACGAGCCTTGTTGGCAACGATGCCAGGACGAGCTCAGATTTCGACGCTCGATTTTGAGACCGTCAGGGTCCAGCGATCTCGTGTATATTGCCGGGTCACGCGCCGTGCCAACGCCGGCCTTGAAAGCCGACGACGGGTCGATTCCGCGGCCGGACACCGCCCGAAGAAAGCTCTATCTAAGCGACGTCTGCCAAGCGGCTGTCAGAAATTCCTGCGGACATCGTTCCCCACACAACGAGCAAGTGCGTCCTCGCAAAATGCCGATGACGTGCAAATTGGAAGGCAAGCTCGGCGGTCCGTGTTGCGACTCTTAGCCCCACACCGAGGTGACAGCCTTCGGACTGATTCCCACGGACCACCCTGTTGGTCGGTTAGTTGCAGGGCCCACTCTTGTCGGACATCGGGCTTTCCGAAGCTTCGCGCGGCGGACGAGATGCGCCGAGCCCGGACCCTTTCCGGGAGAGTGTGTTGCCGCTAAGGCCAATGCAACGCACCTCTTCAACGAACGTATAAAGAGGAGGGGGCAGTTCCGACTGCACTCGTCCTTCGAAGAATCATCTGCATTCGCTATACGAGCCTCTCGCCCTGACCAACTCTGCGAAGCCATCATCGTTGCCAAGATGTCGCTCATTGCTCTGGAAGAAGCCTTCAACATCCCTTCTCTGGCGGAACAGTCAGCGTACCAGGCCAGACTGTTTGTCGCCGACGGTAACGGACAAGCCCATGCCGATCGTCTCGTTGACATCCACGGCGAGCGTCTGGCAAAGATGGACCAACATGGTGTCGCACACACCATACTCTCCTTGACCGCACCCGGTATCCAAGACTTTGACGAGCCCAAGGCGGCTGCTGCAGCGGCCAAGGAGGTCAACGACTGGGTGCACCAGCAAGTCCAGCAGAATCCCAAACGCTTCAGCGCCTTTGCTTCGCTCTCGATGCACAACCCCAAGGACGCCAGCGACGAGCTTAGACGCTGCGTCAAGGAGCTCGGCTTCGTAGGTGCCCTTGTCAACGATAATCAGCGTCTTCCCAACGACGAGGCGGCATGGTACGACCAACCCGAGTGGGATTCGTTCTGGACGACCGTGACAGAGCTGGACGTGCCCTTCTACCTGCATCCCATCGCACCCAAGGGTGAGATTCATCGCAGAATCTACAAGGATCGCGCTGCTCTCATCGGTCCTGTGCTGTCTTTTGCCAACAACGTGTCTGCGCACCTGCTCGGAATGATTGTCAACGGTGTCTTTGACCGCCACCCTAAGCTCAAGATCATCGTTGGGCACCTCGGCGAGCACATCCCATTCGACTTGTGGCGAATCAACCATTGGCTCGAAGATGGTGAGTATAATTCTTCGTGTCTAGATCGGGAAAAGCAGCCATAACGAGGTGTTCTTGCGCTGACCGTCTTCTGAAAAATGTATCCCTCATGCCTGCAGTGCACAAGCCTCGCGGTGCCGTCTCCATGCAAAAGACGATTCGCGACTACTTCAACGAGAACATCTGGGTGACCACCTCGGGACACTTTTCGACGCTTACGCTCAAGTACGTCCAGGACGAGATCGGCATCGACCGTATCCTGTTCTCTATCGACTATCCATACGAGAAGTTTGAAGATGCGTGCAACTGGTTCAAAACGCTGGACGGCAAGTTCTCCGCCGAGGATCTCGCCAAGATCAGCCACGAAAACTCGCAAAAGCTCTTCCCTCACCTTCGCTCCTGAAGACCTGACCAGAACAGCGAAAGCTTCACTGCACAGCCGGATCACTATCACTGTATCAAGACAGGCAGTACAGTACGTGTTTGCGATGAATGCCTGCCGTTAAGGCACGGACAAGATCTTTTCCATGCAGATAGATGAATCGACACCTTGATAGTATCCAAAATTGGGAATGATTTGAAAGCCGCTGCGCTTGTAGAAGCGTTGCGCTTCCAGAAGCTTGTCGCCAGTCTCGAGGAGGAGGCGTTGAACACCCAAGGCCGCTGCTTTCTGCTCGAGAAAGACAAGGACGGCGTTAGCCGCTCCTTTTCCGCGTGCTTCCTTGGTGACAAACATCCTTTTCAATTCCGCTGAGTCTTGATCGAGCTTTCGAAGACCGGCGCAGCCAACTGCAAGGCCGTCTTGATACACTACGCAGAAGCATGACATGTCGTCCGCGGAGGGCGGCTTGCCAGGCTCGGAATCTACACGTTCGTAGAGAGCGGCAATGTCGATGCGCTGTTGCTCCCGAAGACGGCATGCATCCGGATGGTTCCAGGCCACCTCCTCTACCCTCAACGAGTCTGTACCTGACCAAGTCGGCTCCATCGAGCGCAAGAGTCATTTATCGTTGAGTCAGCTCGACACGAAATGAGGTCAAAGAACGAGCAGAGGTGCTCACCTTGCATCTGTCCGAATGTGGTTGTGATCACGCACTGTTGAACGGAGTGAGACTGATGATTGATGCACCGTCAAGCGGAGGTCTACAGATTCGAACCTCGCTCGTCGTCGTGGCCGAAGGGAGAATGTGGCATCATTTGACGATGTGGATCGAGTCACATTGCGCGGACAGGTCACTTCAATAAGAGAGATACTATAATCTTCCTCGGCTACTTGAACGGCGATGTACCGAAAGGACGGCACGCCGGTCGATTGGCAGCCATCTGCGCTCGTCTTCTCACGGCAGACTTTAACATGCTGAACTTTCAAAATGCACCACCTAGATAGCGGGAAAGGTGAAACCAAAGTTCTGTGGGTGAAAAAGAGAGAGAGTGAGGCGATTTGGCCGTTGCTTCGGTTACGCCGAGGCTGTCAAGTTGCAGAAAAGTAGTTCTGTGAGCAAAGGCACGAGCAAAGCAACACAAAACTTTGGCGCGATTGCCGCCCGCCTCGATGTCTGCTCGTTAGGCACGACAGCCCGCCACCTTCAAATTGCTGCAGCTGCAGGGAGCTTCCTCTCATTTCAACGCCGCTCTGCAAATGTGCGCTTGTACGCGTATCCACGAGTGAAACAGCAATCTTCTCAGAGAGAGGAAAACGTCACAATCCGCATTCGCTTTTCATCCTTCCCCCGTTATCACCACCAAGACGGCTCTTGCGAACGCTACGAGGACACGGTCGATCGTTCCATTGACGACATGAGCTTCACACCGCGTTACGGATCCTCCGTGACAAGGGATTATAGCCTACTCCAAGGCCATCCGAGTTCTTATCAGCACTTTGGCGCGCTCTCGGCGAGCCAGCCTCGCCATGCACACAGCTCGCTCGCGGCTCGAGCCGACGCAGAAGGCGACCAGCATCACGACGACAACGAGGCACTCGCTTCCGCCTCGGCATCGTCCATACACACGGACGATGCCACCGACAACGGAGCCAGCAGCATCTCCCTGCCACTCAACCACCATGCCGCAGCCACCTCGCCCGTCTTTGGACGCAGCAATCGACTCGCAATCACTCCGCTTACATCGACTCGCAATCGCCGATCGAGTGTTAACGCATACCCACAAGTGGCCGGCATCCCGTCCGAGTATCTGCTTGGTGGTACTGCCGTTGCACCACCTACGCATCAGCCTGCATCTTCCTCCAACATCTCGCTCGGAGCACCCGCGGCGACCACCTCTGCCGATTCCTTACAAAAGCCAGTCGGAGCCTCTCACGACAGTGCTGAAGAGGAGGCCACAGAGTCGACATCCTTGCTTGGCGGGCGCCCCTTGCCACAAGCAGATGCGCAGAGCTCTCACGCGGCGGCGACGTATGGTGCAGTGCGTCGTTCGTCCTTCGACGGAGCCAGTATCCCGGGTGTAGATGGCGCGGCAGGTGTCAGCGGCTGGGCTGCTGCCAACTTGATAAGAGAAGCTCCTCTCCCTGGTGTCGAGCAGATCGAATCGATTGCACGCGAACCTCACGACCATATTGCATGGAGGGAGGCCCGTGTGCTGGTCGGCTACACGATACCGATCTTTGCCACTCACCTGCTCGAGCTCTCGCTTTCTGTAGCATCGGTATTCTCGCTCGGTCATCTTGGTACGGTCCAGCTCGCCGCTGCCTCGCTCTCCAGCATGACCGCCAACGTCTCTGGCTTCAGCGTCCTGTCCGGCTTCATCTCGGCATTGGACACGCTCCTTCCATCAGCCTACACTCAGCAGCCTAAGTCGGTCGGTCTATGGACCCAGCGCATGGGTGTCATCCTCATGGCCATTCTGCCTCTCATCTTTGCCGTTTGGCTCAACGCCGAACCCATCCTCGTGCGGATCGGCCAAGATCCTGAAGTCGCCTACCTTGCAGGTCGTTACCTCTCCGTCCTTGCTTTCGGTCTGCCTGGCTATGCCCTCTTCGAAGTCTGTCGCAGGTACCTTCAGGCGCAGGGTCTGATGCACGCCCCCACCATCGTCCTCATGTTTGTCTCACCTCTCAACGCTATCGCCAACTATCTGCTCGTCTGGGGCCCTGAGTCGATTCGACTCGGCTTTATCGGTGCTCCCCTCGCCTCGGCGCTTTCCATGTGGCTCATGGCCATCCTCTGCTTCTTGCAGTGCGTTGTCGCTCCTCGTGACGCCTGGGATGGATTCACCACCGCAGCTTTCAAGTGGGACGGCATCAAACCAGTCTTGTCGCTCGGTTTCGCAGGTATGGTCAGCTTGGCCGCTGAATGGTGGGCCTGGGAGATTGTCGGCTTGGTCACCAGTCAGCTCGGCGTCGTTGCGCTTGCTGCGCAGTCGGTGTTGCTTGTTAGCTCGTCTGTCACCTATCAGCTTCCCTTCGGCGCGTCGGTCGCTACCGCCGTGCGTGTCGGTAACCTTTTGGGTGCCAATCGACCAGACGAAGCCAGAATCTCGAGTCGAGTCAGTCTGATTCTGTCGCTTGCCATGGGTGGGCTGAACTCGGCCCTCTTCCTCATCTTCCGTAAGCAGTGGGGCTGGCTTTTCAGCTCAGACATCGAAGTCATCAAGCTGGTCGAATACATTCTTCCTCTGCTGGCCTTCTTCCAGGTCGCCGACGGAATCTGCGGTATCGCGGGCGGCGTCCTTCGTGGAACTGGCAGGCAAGCCGCTGGTGCCGGCATCAACATGGTTTCGTACTATGTCATCGGCATTCCCGTTGGTCTCGTTCTTACCTTCACCAGCATCAATCTCGGATTGGCAGGTCTCTGGTGGGGTCTGACTATCGCGCTCCTTTTCGGCTCCGCCGGCATGATCTGGCTGATCAGCATCACCGACTGGGAGTGGGAGGTGAAGAAGGTGCAGCTACGCATGGCTGTCGACGATCCTTCCGACCCCTCTCATCCTGCCGGTGCGGCGCCATCGGCACACGGCGCTGCCAAATCCGACGTCGAGGCCTTGTCGGGACCTCGCCTCGCCCAGACCTCTTCCGCCGTGGACGCTATTAACGGTCGGGACCCAACCTTCAGCCCTCTCGGTATGCGTCCCTCTTCTTTGGCCGGTTCGGTCATCGAAGAGGAGGAGAACGAACTGTCCATCTGACCCTGCCCCCCTTTGATTGTCCCGGTTCGGTTCCACTCAGCTTTTCGTACATTCCACCTGCAATATAACATGCGCTGCTATCGGCGTAGTCTCACACGCTCTGTCTTCCACGCTGATGACTTGGAGCAATTCTTAGTCACAGCAGCAGCATTTGATTTTGTGACCGGAATGTAACAAATATGATCGTATAACGTCAAGTCGGGTTGCTAAAATTGAGCCATCGAACTAGCTTGCAGCCAAAAGGAGTTTGTCTTGTTCTCGTTCGATTCAGCTTCCATCGCGAAACACAACTACTACTGGCTAGATCGACAACGAGGTTTCAATTCGACGATGGCAAGTAAGCACAAGGTTTTGCTCTCGCTTCTCAAATTTGAGTCGAGGCGCAATGTGTCAAACGTTGTTCAAGGATACTGAGAATGCAGTGCGGCAACGTGGCAAGGACAAGATCTAACTACAGGCGGGCTTGCTCGCCGGCACCCTCGGAGCGAAGCTGGAGTGGGGCGACGGCACCAATGTCGCGGGCAACGTTGCGAGCAACGCCGCGCGCCGTTGCCATCGTGGTGATCATTGGGTTGACACCGCTCGACTCGCACATGGCAGATGCGTCGGCGACCCAGAGGTTCTTGGCTCCCCAAACACGTCCCTCGGGGTCGAGTGCAGAGATCTTGGGCTCAGCACCCATGCGACAAGAAGCCATCTGGTGAGCAGAGCCGATCGAGAGGATGTAGGGAGCGGCGCCGGCGGTGGATACCTGCTTCTGCCACTCCTTGTAGGCGGGATCGTTCAGATCACGAGGTGCAGTCTCCACTGGAGTGAAGGTCGCTGGCACCTGAGTGGTCTCGGTGAAGATGCTGTCTGCAGGAGGGGCGGGAAGGTTGGGTGCGCCATTATGGGTGCGAGGCTTGGTAGTGCTCAGCGAGCTGGCAACAAAGGCTGGAACGGCTGCCTGGGCGGTGCAGATGACCTCTGCACCAGCCATAAGGTGCGCGTCGGCTCCACGAAGGATACCTTGGAGCAAGGAACGCTGGTCGAACTTTGAGATGGTGTATTCAATTCGAGCCTGGCCCCGTTCGTCAAGCACGATGCGTCCGCTGTCACGATCGCGGCAGATAATGACCATGGTGTAGCTGTGGCTGTACTGGAGCATGCGAGACTTGTGCTCCTTTGGACTAGCGAAGTTGTTGAAGGCAGCGTGAATGGAGGGGGAGGAAGCGACGACCTCAATCTTGCAGCCCCATCCGTCCTTATCGACCATCTCAGCAGAATTGTCCACCATGGTAAGCAGTCCTCCTTCCCATGGGTTGACGGGGAAGTTGTAGTAGCCGGTCACAACGGTGGCTGGGTGGAGTCGAAGGGTCTGTCCGATCATCTTGTTTGTCTTGAGCTCGGGCGAACGGAGGAGCAGAGCGGGAGTCTGGAGCGAGCCTGACGAGACGACAACGCCCTTGGACGCAAGGATCTTGATCTTGCGTCCATCAACGGTTGCGAGGGCACCGATGGCGCGCTTGTTCTTGTCAAAGAGGATGCGCTCTACGTAGCAGTTGGTCATGAAAGCGGCGCCAGCCTCAGCGGCGTCCTTGAGCCATGAGACGATGCCACCTTGTTTGTGGCCGGAGATGCAGCCCAGTTGGCACTTTCCACAGTAGTGCGTGTGGCCGCCGGAGTTCTGTGGCACGGGCTCGACAGGGTGCCCAGCGCGTTGGCCTCCAAGCGCGAGGAGCGAGTTGCCGATGTTGTGACGGATGGGGGCAACCGCAACACCCATGCGCGTGCAAACAGCGTTAAGGTCCGAGGTAAAGTAAGGGCTGTTGTAGTAAGGGACGCCGTACTTTTCGGCCCAAGCTCTGCGCACAAAGTGTCGAGGCTTGAGCGAGGCTGACCAGTTGATGGACGATCCACCACCGAAGGTGGAGCCGGCAAGAATGTTGATGGAGCCATCCTCGGATGGCAAGATACCTTCGCCTTCGTAGAGGAGGCCGTACCCTTGATCCTCTCGGCCGACGACCTTGTCTGGGTGAAGATAGATGCCTTTGTCGACGATAAGGGTGCGCACTCCGCGCTGGGCGAGATAGCTACCTGCTACACCGCCTCCGGAGCCAGAGCCGATGACGAGCACTTCGGTGTCGACGATGATCTCGGAACCGGATGGCTGAGCAGCCACCTTTTCGTTTTCGAACTTGTAGTCGTAGATCGGTGCGGCGGGAGCAGCCTCACCGCCTTGGATGGGACGCGTCCAGTCATCGGGGCGACCATCCGGATATCCGATGGCTTCCCAGGCTGGCTGGTGGTTGCGGTAGTAGGTGAGCAAGATGATGCCCCTGAGACCAGCGGACGCCTTGCGGAGGAGCGTCAGACGGGATGTGAACCAGCCAAAGATGATCTTTTCTCGAGTTGGGCGGTCGAGCTGGGTGAAGGGACCGACGTAGCCGGAGAGGGCGATGGTGCCAGGACGGGTGGAGAGGAGGGTGAGGAAGAGGTTGATGTCGCCGGCCACCTTGCTCGACAGGGAGGCGGAGCATTGCTGGGCGGCACAGTCGAGCAGTCGAGGCGTCGACCTGAAGCCTTCCTTAGCGAATCGCGGGGCGAGCTCGCGCTGACGCTCGGTGGCCTGGGCAGGAAGGTGAGATAGGACATCAGCAGCGTCGATGTCGTCGAGTTCAGGGACGATGGCATCTGCAAAGGCGAGAAAAGCTTCCCTCTGCGCAGCGTTCCAGTACTCGTCTGCCTTCATGATCTTGGGCATGGGGATAGTCCCCTGCGTTGCAATCGACATTATGAAGCCGCTCGCCTAGGATGTATCTCTGACGTCGAGGAGATGGGTACAAATCGACGGAACGACAAGTGCGGAGGTAGTTGATGAGGTTAGAAGAGGAATAAGATGGCAAGACTCTCTAGAAGTGGGAATGAAGGGGATGGGACGAGATGCGAGAGGGAAGCAAGGTTAGCAAGGGAATTTGAAGGCGGAAGAGAAGTGGCGGCGAGGCTGGATGTCGCTGCAGAGTAATCCCAATGGAGCAAGGACAATGCTTCGTGCGCGCGAAGCCAACCCCAGCTGCACGAACATGCTGTGCCGACAGAGATGCGGGGAAAGCGAGCTGGATTTAGAGCGTGTTAGGCGGAGCCAGATTGTCCACGACCACAAGCGAGCGGTAACCGTTCGGGGCCCAAGCCATCCACCGAAACAGAGTGCCGGCTCCTTTCCTCGTTTTCTCAGAATCGACTCCTAGTGGCACAACAGGACGGCGACCAACCCACTTTGGAGTAAGCAGGCTACACGGCGGCCTTTCTCTCTATGATTGCTCACGCACACAATAGATCGAATCTGAGTCGGAGTTTGTCGCGGCTTTGCGGACGAGAAGGGTATACCAGCAGAATCCAGTGCGCGAACACCAACATGATCGCGATGACTGGGCGATACACTTCCTTGTCTGCAAAGCCTCTGAGCAATTTCAGTCCTGCAGCTGTCGCAGCAGCCATCGGACGGGGAGTACGATATCGATATGAAGCAATGAATAAGGAGCGGCAATGGCCGGGCGGTGGTCACGTAATCGTGAGTGGCGAACACAGCGGCTCAGGGTCGAGCCTCTGCGCGGCTCGTGGCACCAGGCTGTTTTCAACTACGTTCGCCGTAAACTGTCTCTTCCAAGTGTCAAGCGACGTGAAAACTACATGGACCTAATGTACATCGCTTCCAGAAATATTATATTCTTATAATATTAATAATAAACCCACCGAACCAGTGAAAGTGTCATTCACCACTCCCACTCTGTACCTGTCTCCTAATTTGCTCGGCGGTAACCTGTCGATCCCGGCACGGGACTTAGCTGTCATCGCAAGCTTGAGCCTCTTTCGTCTGGGCAAACACGATCTCGACACACTTTCACTCGACATATGTTGTCGCCATCAGAGAGATGTTCAGGGTTGTGCACATGTTGCTCTTTGGTCGTTGTTGAGAGGAGGAAACTTGAATCGTCTTCGACGCTGCCACCAGTGTAATGAGCCGTAGTGGGGTACAGGCAGGTCGATTACAAAGGGAGTCGTGTGCAGGGTAAACACGCAGAGACGTCTGCCACTCGCAGTCTGCGTCGGCAAGCGCGTGATTGTTTCGCCTTGGGCGCCTCCGTCCTTCTGTGAGCCGCGGAAGAGCGGCCCGTGGCAGACTCGACGCAGATGCACAGCGCCACGACTTCACTTCAGGCTGTTGCCCTCCCTCTTGTGCTCGTCAAAAGGACATGGGGGTCAGGGGCGACACAAAGCCGCTCGGCAAGAAGTAAAAAAGCGAGGTCGTACTGGGATTCGAACCCAGGGCAAGAGAAGTCGAATCGTATTGATGTGAGCGCAAGACGAGCTCATACAATCAGAATCTCCTAAGTTAACCAACTACTCCATACAACCAGGTTGCTGCCGCCGGTTGGCATAGGCAAACATGAATGGGATCACCTATGATGGGATCGTTCGTTGTGTACTTTTCCACTCTCGGGGTCCTTGCGGCATGCGTCACAAAACTGGCTACTCGACGCACCAACACCCTGCCTTGACGCACCAACACGCAGGGTGCGATCTTGAGCAAATCAGCTTCAGGCGGTGCGTCCGGGACCGTCGCTGGTCATCGGCAAAGACAGGGTACGAGACCTGCAAAGCGATCCCACCAGCGACTGAGTCTACGAGGCCACCCAACGTGACGTTGTTTGAACAGGATTTTCCGGCCGCCATCAGTGGAAAATGAGTTCAACAGAAACAGGAACAAAAAAATAGGTCGTACTGGGATTCGAACCCAGGGCAAGAGAAGTCAAATGTGGGAGTGCACCCACACGTCAGAATCTCCTAAGTTAACCAACTACTCCATACAACCGTGCTTACGGCATCTTGCTTCTGTTGCAATAATAATGCACTTTGCTCACTTTGTGACGTCTCGGACAGTAATCTCTCGTCTAGCTCGAGTGTCGCCTGGTTGAGAGAGTGTAGTCTTGCATTCTGTATGGTGCTTCGACGAGTTTATAATATTTCAATTCACATCAGAAGAGCTGGTCCACGTCCTTAAGAAAGGCCTCAATGTCGAACGGCACTTGCGCATTGTAGATCTCGGCATCGATCATGCCGGCGTGGCTGGACGTGGTTGCTGTAGAAGACGGGCCATCGTTCCACACAATACCACGATCCCGGGTATGCCGAGGAGCCGCCAAGAGGTCTGTAGTGGTCGCCAGGGCCGAAGCAAAGGATGCGTCGTTGGCAAAAGCTTCTACGTGCGTACCGACGATGTTTTCGGCGCCGTGAGCGGCACGAGAAGCCGTTGCAGCTTCGGCAGCAGACGCCAGGAAATCCATCGGTGTAGCACGACTGAATGACGGAGCCTGCTTCGAGGACGCGATGCCATCGCAGTCGGAATTGACGCAGGCTGACTCTTGAACCGCAGTGCCGGCGTCAGGTTCCGTTGATTCTGATGCTTGATCCAGCTTGATGCTAGAAACAGGCCGATATACCCGATAGTATACCTGCCAAAGTCGCGCTGTTTCGACCATTTCGTCAATGTAATCGGCTGACAATTGCGAGATTGTATGCGCGCGCTCGACGGAGCTTGGGAGCGACAGCTGGCGAAGCTGCACAGTAGCTGCCTCCATCAGCGTGATGGAAGTGTCGGCGTCTGTCGGGGCTCGCGCCCATGCGACCAGCACAAAGGCGATGTTTTCCAGGCACTGTCGCGCTGCATGCACGGTCATGGCGCACACAAGCAGAGTCGGCAGCCGGTGCAGGTAGCGCGACATGGTCCGAACAGACTGCCTAGATTGTCTGCGTAACGCAGGCTGGTGGTCCATCTGTGACACAGTGGCTAGCAACGTGAGGCTAGCGTCGACGCTGTACCGTCCCAGTTTACCGATCTGCTCAGCTGGAACAAGCCCGAAGCGAATGACCTGGACGAGTTTATGCGAATCAATTTGTCCATCCAAGTCGCCTGAGAACAGCGCTGAAGTAGCGTAGCTTCCAAGAATCGCGCTGAAAAAGGCGCACTCGATGTGCGAGACCTGCTCCCATAGCCGAACGATGCGTTGCCCTGCGTAGAAGCCCATTCGCTCGTGAGAGTTGTGTCTCACCTGCATGATCGCATCGTAGGCGCTCGTGGTGGTCTCCACGATGCGCTCTCGCTTCTCTCTGAGTGACGAACTTGTGTCGACGAGCAAGCTTTGTAATTTGCGTAAGGAGCTGAAAAGGCAACAGACAGTCTCTATCCGCATACACAGGACTGTCCGACCCGCAGAACGTAGAATGCCATCGCGACCAAGTCGTTCCTCAGACTGCGCGCAGAATTGTCGCATCTCTTCGAATGAAGTGGCCATCGAGGCATTTGCGTCGCGTAGTCGAGGTGGCAACGGCAGCTCTTTGCCGCCATCGTCGACGCAGGCAAGGGTTTGTCGCACGGTGGCTGCAAACCCCTGATCCAAGTCTTCTGGAATCGCGACTTTTTCGCCCATGAACCCGAACACCCCGTCCCAGCTTCTCAGACAGCACCACAGACTGAGACGAGCTATACTGCTCGGCGTGTGCTGAGAGCAGGTGAGATCGCTGTCCAACTTGAGCTCTTTCGCGATCTTGGTGGCGCAAGTGAGCAGATTTTCCGACGCGAGGCCAAAGCCGCGACTTTCAGGCTCAAATTGCGACGCGGCCGTGCCGATCAGGCCGGGCTCGTGAGCAAGCAATAGCTCGAACGCCATCACCAGGTGAACGTCACGTGGTGAAGAAAGGAGCAGCTGTGTTCCAAGGCGATCGACATAGTTTGAAAGCGTTCGAACCTCAGAGGAGACAAGCTCGTCGTGCACGCCCTTCAGGCCGAGTAGCGTCATCGCCGCAAGTAGCAGAGATCGTGGCGCCGTCGCGCTCTGTGCTTGTTCTTCTCGAAGTTTGAGGAAAGAAGGGAGATACGGATGCTCCACCAGATAATCCTGAAGCTGAACATTAAGTTGCTGCATCCTTTCGCGTGGTAGGAAAGTGACCATGTCCGGCGTGTGAGGAGGAGCGTCGATGCGCAGCTTGAGATAGTCATGGTACGTGTTGCCGTGCATAAGACGCTCCATGAGAGTGTTCAGTGTCTTTGACGTGCTCTTCCAGCCCTTTTGCCTGCCTATCAGCTGCTGTTGAGCGTGTCTTAGATCTGATAGTCCAAGTTGTTCACCTTCCAGGGTGCGTTTTGGATAAGAGGAAGAAGATGAGCCGCTTGCATCGCCCAATTGACAATCGAATATCAACGGGCTCTTCTCTTGAGTAGATTGGGTCTGTGCATTCCTCCTGGCAACTTCAGCTGCTTGGTACGATTGGCTCGCATCTCCGCTTTCCGGTGCAGAGCAAGCTTCCAGGTCTTGCGAGCTACCAGGGGTGTTCTTGTTCGGTCCGCCGAGTCTCGGTTTGCGTTTGCGGTCTCCATCCCAGACGATACAGTCGATGTCCAGAGCTCTACAGCGGTGACACTGCTTCTCGGCTGATAATGGCGTCCTAGAGCTGTCGATGTAAATGTCTGGGAGCTCACAGCGTGCCTTTGCCTCTCGACACTTGAGACAGCTTCTCTTGGCCAGAGGTCGCTTTCTCGGATATCTAGAGGCTGCGCTCATCTGCCATACGTAGATGATCGACCGGCCAAGAACTTGAGGTCGGACGCAGTGAAAAGTCGATCCTGGGCGGTCACTGGTGACAAGAAGGTCGAGCAACACGAATGAGCGGCGAAGTGGAAACGATGGTCGATTGCTGATGTCAACTCCGACGGACCTGTCAAACTACAAAAACATACACCAGGAATTTCACAGCATTTACAGTAGTGCAACACGAGATATTGTAACTCCGGCGGACTTGTCGCATGCCTGTCGGCTCGTCAAAGTCACCTTTCCGAGACAAGTCCGACGGCCCTTCGCACACAAAATCTTCTCGTTCGATGTTTGTCCCGTTGAGATCGTTCAAAACTCTGATGATTGCTGCCCGTTGCTGTTGATCGAAGGGACGCTGAGTTGTGACCGGCGCTGCAGTATGAGAGCTGTATATAACGGGGATGGACCAAATGAAATTCCTGTCACCAAGGAGTCGCTATCTCTCGTCTTCTGTTCCTTTCCCGGCATTCGCCCTCCTCATTCACTCACTTCAAGCCTACAGCTCGCACTAATTTCCCGGACATGCAGCCAGCCCTGATGCTCAACCATGTGATTGTCACGTTCCTAATGGCTGGAGTAGGTGCTAGTGCACAGACGACATTAACCGTCACGACAGCCGAAGTCGAAAGCACAAGGTCGCTACAGAAAGCCGTGGCACCGGCTGCACCGACGGGGATTCTAAAGTACGAGCCCAGCAGAGGCGGCAACTACACTGTGGGCTGCGCTTACACTCTGCTCTGTGCGGTCACCGTGTGGCATGTGCTGCGACGCAAAGACCACTGGGCGCTTTGTTTGCCAATCGGATGTCTCTGCTCGGCTCTCGGCTTCTTTGTACGGCCCTCGATCGATCCCTACAATGTCAGCCTGGGACTCTACATTGTCCAGAGCATGTTCGTGGTGATCTCGCCAGCCGCATTTCTTGCCTTCAACTACCTGCTATACGGACGGATGATCCTGTCCGTGGACAGGAAATTTGGTGGCTCGGTGATGGAATCACACGAGCTGGAGAGGCAGGCTCTGACGACGGGTCAAAAGCTGACCATGATGCACAAGGCCAGAGGACGCAAGACGGAAAAGTCGCGATTCTCGTTCATTCCGCCTCGCATCGTGGGGCGGGTGTTCGTATGGAGTGACGTGATCACTTTCTTGGTGCAGTGCTCGGCTGGAGGTTTGCAGGCCAGCGGCGGTAGCGGCAACACTGCGATGGTGAATGTTGGTGACAAACTTTTCCTCGCAGGTGTCATCATCCAAGGTCTCTCGTACATCTTGTTCACACTGCTTTTGACGTACGCTACTTGCCTGGTGATTCGAGATGGCTCGCGTGCAAAAGCGGACTTTACACGGCCAGACACGATTCTAGGCGTAGACAAGCACGTGCTTGCCCTAGTTGGTGGACTTTACCTATCGTCGATCTTCATAATCGTAGGTAGCGCGCCGGACGATGCGTTTGCGTTTGTTTCAGTAGACGACCGAGTACTCGGCTGACCCGCGCTGCCTCACTCACGCTCCCGCTTGAAACAGATCAGGTCGATCTATCGTATGGTCGAATTCTCTCAAGGTTACAGCGGCTACTTGGTTTCGCACGAAGGTGAGTCGGCCATGATCAAGATTGTCGCTTCTGACATGCATGAGCGCGAGCTGACTATCGCTTGCCGTCTATGATCCGATGCATTGGCAGTCTACCTCTTCGCCTTGGATGCGGCTCCACTGCTACTTGCGGTGGGAGTGTGGGGCGTAAGATGGCCGTCAGCACTCCTCGAACGCATTTTTGAGATGAGATCGAGACGAGACGGAGACGGTGACGATTCTCTCGCGAAGGTGGCGTCGCAAAGTTGACGGAAGTTCGTGTCGGCGACTTTGTTGGTAAAGTCTCTGGAAGAAACGTGATGGCAAAGACACATCGAGGGCCTGCCGGCAAATGATGCTGAGCTGAACACGAAAGAGCGAAAGCGTGATGGCTGATGACGTGGACAGTGGGATGAGCGAGCTTCATTGCTGATGCGAGGCATAGGAATGCATTGAGAAAGACTGATAGTACAACTGAAGAGAGTGACCGATGCGATGCTGAGAGGATTGGCGAAGGAATGCCGAGGGTGCTCGTCAGATGGACGAAAAGCGCTGAGCTACTGGCCGAGCCTGTCTGATGTGTCCATCTAAACTTCCATCAGAGAAGCGTTGGCCTCATTCTGCTGCTGAAGCTCGAGCTGGAGAAGTTTGTGGGTACCAGTGTGCATGAGCTTGCATTGATCTGGATTGGCAGAGTTGATACGGACCATGCGAAAGAGTGGCAGTGCTTGCGGGTCGCCCTGCCATTCGCGGAGGAGTTTGACGTTGATCGTATTGGTAAGGTCTGGGAGCTCGAATCCCTCCCTGTACTCTTGCAACTCTTTTGATATGATCTCCTTGAGCTCGATCTCACGCTTGTGAGGAGGTCTGCCTGATCTGCGTTCTGATTTGAGCTCTTGCAACTCGTCGTCGTGGCGTTTGATGAAAGTATCGGCGACAAAGGCGTGTACGGATGCTAGATCCGGCAAAGCATCGACATCGTCTGGCAGCATTAGTATAAGCGTAGAAAGACGATCCACCTTGGCATTGGAAGAACGACCTCGAACGGCTTTGGCTTGATTGAGCTTGTCCTTGCGGTGGGCCACTCTTGCAAGCTGCGTGGCCCTTCTTGAATGTGGATGCGTGGGCCCCGACTTTTTCTTTATAGAACGTTCTGAGATCTTTTTGCCTCCCATACTGTTGACTGCTACTGCTGCGACTTCGGTGAAGACGATGACGTTGGAAACAGACGCAAAACGGTCTAGAGATGCTGAACAGGAACGGTCGGTAAGGAACCTGGTACGATCTCGAATCACAACGAGACCCTGAACGCTAACTCTTGACTGCTCAGCAAATTCGAATCAAAAAACGCAGAGCGTCTTCTCGTGTCAGATCCGAGATCCGAAATAATAAGAATCGCTTCTCCCGATTTGATCGCTAATAACCTACGTCGATGAGACCTGCTGAGGAGAAAACCCTTTGAGGCGCCCCTTCGTGGGCTGGTCGGTGGGCCGGCGAATTTCGCTTGGTGGTCGAATGCCGGTGTCTAAGCTTTCGAGGGCGCGGACGCAGCTGCAGAAAGACCTTCATGCCCCATCAGAGGGGTCTGGCTGCAGACGATTGCCACCATGCAGCGCAGTCTTGGTGGAGGACGAGTCTGTCATGTGGAGTTACAGATCGACACGAGCCTCGGAAAAGAGGAGCAAATCCACGGCCCGAGCCGACTCTAGAGGGCGGCGACGACGCCAAGATTCAACCTCCTGTGCAACGAGAATGCACTCTGCCGTCGTTAGCACTGCCAGGCCTGCAACACCGCGAAGGCCACCCGCTCCGAGCCTGGTTGAAGAAATTGGGCGTTAACCGATCAAGGCAGGCTAAGCGAGAAAATCTCTGCGAGACCCTGTGTGTCTCTGCAGATCATCAGCACCGCCTCGGAATCTCGCTTGCAAACACCGTGCCGCAGCCTTGTGCAGTGTATGCACTGCGGACATGGTGAGCAGAAGCCCTCAGAGTCGCAGGCGACGGTTTGGATTGTGATGGGCATACTCGACCCAATGACTGCGGCGACTCGGACAAGGCCGCTGGCCGTGCACTCAAATGCACAGCGGCAAAAGTGCGTTCCGTGTGGGGGGGCAGACATTGTTTCTTGCTTATGCGTGCCAACGAGATGCAGGCCAAGCACAAGGTCGAGGGACAGTCGAGATTGGGCCTCGCGCGCATCTCTTCCCACTTCGCGCGACATCGTCTGCAAACCAAATCCAGATTGAATTTGTAAAGATGAAAAAAAATAAAACACCATTAGTAATGAATATTAATAATAATGAAGAGTAGGTTTCGAAGTCTCCACCACTTTGCAATGCAGTGCAAGGCTGCCTTGACAATTCGTACGCCTTTCTGCCGCGTTCGATGACTATTTTCAGTTGGCGCCCCTGAATTGTAAAATTCTGGACAAGGTGTCGTTCGCTCTGGACTGGAATTTCGCAGCTCGGCGTCTGCAGGCATCTCGCTCGGACTTGACAGCGGCTTTGTCCCTGGATGCTGTGCTGCACAGAGCTGACAATCGGAACGTCGACATAGCATGAGGCAGACATCAAATGTATGCTGCTGCTACTGCTACTGCTGCTGCTTGTCGTGTGGTTGTGGAAGCCTCTTTGTCGCACTCGCCCTCTCGCCATCCACCCTCTCCACCACCACCATCCGCACACTTCCGCCACTCAATCCTTCCGTTTCCTTAGCCCGGATCACTTTCGTGGACCGTTCGGATCACCATGGTCAAGCTCACACTCGCCGCCGTCCCCCTGGCACTCGCCGCCATCGTTGCCGGCAAGCCTGACTTCGAAAAGCGTCAAGCTTCCGGCTCGGGATCATCCTCCCGAAGGGTCACCTCGTCGGCCGCTGGCGCTACCGCTGCGGCTCCCACATCGACGTTTACAGGATCGCTCCCTGCTTCGGTCTCGTCCATCCTGGCCGGTGTCTCTTCCGGCCCGGGTGTCACCACCTCGACCACCTCGCTCTTCACCACCTACGCTGCGGGTGCCAAGAATCCTCAGGTCACCGGCGCGCCCGGCCTTCCGGACATCAACCAGATCAGCCCTGCTAACTTCCCCACTCTGGACGTGGTGCCACCTACCAACTCTCCTCAGGTTCAGCAGTGGCTCTCCCAGATCGACTTCTCCAAAGTGCCCAACGCAACTGTCACAGTGGACTCGGCTTCGTGCTCCGGCAACCCTAGCAACCTCGCCCAAGCTGGCGCCAGTGGCAACTGCTGGTGGACCTGTGGACAGTGCACGCGTTCCACCGACATTACCACATGTCCGGACACCAACACCTGGGGTCTCTCGTACGATGACGGCCCTTCGCCCTACACGCCCACGCTGCTCGAATACCTTAACCAGAACAATCTCAAGTCCACCTTCTTCGTAGTGGGTTCGCGCGTCATCTCGCGTCCCCAGATGCTCCAGACCGAGTTCCAGCAGGGTCACCAGATCTCGGTGCACACCTGGTCGCACCCTCCCCTCACGACGCTCACCAACGAGCAGATTGTCGCCGAGCTTGGCTGGTCCAAGGAGGTCATCCGCTCCGTCCTCGGCGTCACCCCCAACACCATGCGACCCCCCTACGGCGACATCGACGATCGTGTGCGCGCCATCTCGCTCCAGATGGGTCTCACCCCCATCATCTGGACCACTCCTCCCGGAGGTCAACCGTACGACACCAACGACTGGCGAATCGCCGCGGGTGTCGTTTCGGCTGCCGAGGTTGTGTACAACTTTGAGTCGATCATCAAGAACGCTTCTTCGCTCTCTACCGGTTACATCGTGCTCGCTCACGATCTGTACCAGCAAGCCGTTGATATCGCCGTCAACGTTGTGCTGCCTGCCGCTGCGCAGATGAGCCCTAAGCAGAACCTGATGCCCATCGTCCAGTGTCTCAAGAAGCCAAGCTCGGACGCCTACGTAGAGACCTACTCCAACAGCTCTGGCTCGCTGCCCAACGAGACGGGCGCGTCTGGCACTCACCAACTCACCTCGACCAAGGCGGCTGCTGGTTCGCTCGCCTCGGCCACCAGCGGCGGCAGCTCGAGCGGAAGTGGAAGCTCCGGCAAGTCTGCTGCCTCAATCTCTTCGATCCCTTCGATCGTGCTCCCCACCACTGTGCTCGGTGCGGTGATGCTCTTCTTCGGTCTCCTCGTCTAAGTAGGTCGCGGGCGGAATCACGTTCATCATGGACAATTAGAAAGTAGTCGCACGCTTCAGTCTTACCTTTAGGACAATGCCATTGGGTCCATCGGGCTGCGGCCTGCTCGCTGTCTGGACCGCAATGTCTCGTTTATCCCAGCGTTCGCAAGGCCTATGAAATCCTGTGTGTCTCCGACGCAAATTCAATTAGGTTCTCACTGTCTCGCTCGCGACGACCGTCTGCTCCTGTGCTCAGTCTTGTCTCTGATTGAGAGTATTCGGTGAGGCTTGGGTGAGGCTCGACAAGAGTGCTTACCGTTGCCGGTGCCAGTCATCACAGACGATGGATGACAACCTGCTCACACTCTTGCCATAAGATTGGATCTTCGTGACTGAAGCTGAAAATTAGCACACAAAATCACGCGTCCAGAAATTGAGGTCATGCACGTCCCTGCAAGTTGATTGACATCGGATTGCCCGCACAGCTGCAGCCCCTGAGTCCAGTACCAGTAGAGATTCTCGACCTCGAAGATCCGGCTCGAGCTCTGTTCAGCGACCTTGTCCTGTCGTCACATCGACCTTGCGACTGATTCCCTTCGCGTAGCCTCCTGGGACACTCTTCATCTTGGACGAATTGTCGTTGGCGTTTACCCATACGCCAGCTGGTGCTTCCAACGCACGCAGCCATCACTCTGCTGCGCCATGTTCAAGGCCATCTTCACTTCGTCCGGCGGCAGCTCCAAGCAGCCAGACACCAAGCCAGGCGAAGCTAGTGTGCCCGGTCCCACGTCCAAGCGTACAGCCTCGTCAGCTTCGTCCTCGCCTAGCATGTCGTCAATACCGCTTCCACCCTCTCGCGGATCCAGCTCAGTCATGTCCTCGTGGACCGTACCGCCATTCCCACATCCTTTACCCGAGCGGCGAGTAGGCATCTTGCCCACCGAGCAGGGTCTCCTGGTTTATCCTCGCACTTCCCCTTACTTGCAACCGGGACGCCATCACCATCATCATCGTCATCACACATCGGCGACACAGCAGCAGCATGACAAAGCTAGCACAACCGCACCCTCACAAACCCCCCCTTCCCGCGCATTTGGATCTGGCGATGGCTTTAAAGTTGCAACGGTGGGTGCATCAAACATTGGCTCCTTGAGCTCGTCGTCCGCCGGTGTTGTTCCCTCGATCACTTCGCTCGATATTGGTTTCCTAATAGACTGGAGCAAGCAAGCCAAGATCACGCCCCTGCAACCATCAGAGTGGAAGCCCATCATGGACGCCGCCGCCACCGAGGCGTCCCCCTTGGAATGTTTCGGTATCGTCGGTCTTTCTCGCTTCTTCAGTAGCAGCTATCTTTTCGTCATCACCAGCTCCAAACTCATAGGGCATTATTTTCACGAATCTCGTCCCATCTATTGCTGCACAGGCGTGCTGGCCATCCCACTACTTCATCAAGAGGCGACGCAGGCCATCCGCTCCCAACTCACAAAGCTAGGTGTCGAAATATCAGGAAGGGAGTTCGATGCGCATGCTGCTGCTGGCGATGTGACCGTGGAAAGCGACTCGGACAGCGACAGCGAATCGTCTTACTCGGACTACGATGATGTCCAAACACCGGCCGCCATTCCCAAGGAGCCTTTCTTCTCGTCCATCTCCACCTCTGAGCGAGCTGACACTATTCGCATGCCGAAATCGAGACCTTGGCTCACCAAAGCTGCACGTGCGGTCTCTGATGGTCGCATTCAGACCGTCTCGGAGGACCCTGCTCTGCAATCACAGCTTGCCGACGCAACCGAAGCGCCCACCATGCCTGCGGACCTTGTCGCTCAGCCCGCTTCTACAAACGGTCCCGTCTTCGCGCCTGCAACTCCCGACGAGCTGTGGCATGCCGCCAAACAAGCCGAGCTTGAGGAGAAAGCGGTGAGAGAGACCGCAAAGTACTGGGCACGAGGCGAATTCTGGTTCAGCTACGATTTCGACCTCACCACCTCGCTCCAGAACAAGAGGCGAGCACTTGATAGTAATCCCAAACATAGCTCAAATGTTGTCCCAAAACCGGCTTCGCTCACTTCGCACCAGGCTCGGGCATCCACGGCGAGCTCTTCGGATGCCACGGCTGCTCCTTCGTTTCCACTCCTTGCGGAGCCGTATCCCAATCTTCCGCTCTGGAGAAGGGCCGATCGCCGGTTCTGGCACAACGAACACATGTCAAAAGACCTCATCCATGCCGGACTGCACGCTTACATCCTACCGATCATGCAAGGCTATCTTCAGACCGTCGAGCTACCTGTTCAGCCTGTCGAAGGGCTTGACACAGAATCTGGCCCAGACGCCGTGCTCCGCTGTCAGATGATGGTTGTGTCACGTCGGTCGAAGGAACGTGCCGGTCTGCGATATCAACGCCGAGGGATCAACGAATCCGGACAGGTCGCCAACTTCGTCGAGACGGAGCAGATCCTCTCCGTTCTACGCGGCCGGTCTGCAGCGACCTCTTCGACATCCGAGACCGTCGGCGATGTATTGTCGTTCGTACAGATCCGCGGTAGTATTCCGCTTTACTGGTCACAAAGCCCATTCTCGCTCAAACCTCCGCCAGTGCTCGAGCGGACCCAAGCTGAAAACACGGCAGCTTGTCGTAAGCACTTTGCGGCTCAGGTGGACAGGTACGGCTCAATCACATGCGTCAACCTCGCAGAGCAAGGTGGTAAGGAAGGCGAAATCTCGAAAGCCTATCGAACGGCCGTCGAGAAGCTTCGCGCCGAACAGCCTTCTGACGGCAATGCCGACGGGAAGCCATGGGACAGAAGCAAGCTGCACTACGTCGACTTTGATTTCCACAAGGAATGCTCGGGGATGAGGTTTGAGAATGTCGCCAAACTTATCACTCAAATGGGAGATACGCTCGCCGACATGAAGTACTACCATCATCGCACACGCATGAGCGTCGCAGCTCAGCAGAGCGAGGTGGAGGTGCTGAGCAGGCAGACGGGCGTATTCAGAGTATCGTGCTTGGATTGTCTAGATAGGACGAACGTCGTCCAGTCTGCCTTTGCTAGGCACGTTCTCACCGGCCAGCTGAGCAAGCTGGCCATCAGTGTTGGCGCCCCGGGCGCGACCACGGCATCTGCTTAGGCTCGACGAGCGTGCGCGGCGATTCGGGATCGCCCTTTGCTTAGTATGGAAGCCCCGCGACACCCTTTCGAGACAATCATGGCCGCTGAGGTCGTGTCACGGATCACTGCGAGCTCACACAAAGTCGCGCGTTGAGTCTCGAGATCGGAAGACAAATGGGTATCATATTTCAAAATGCTCGATCAAGGCTGGCTGACAAGGAGGGATGAGAGAGCAGCGAGATCAAAGCCACAGGCGGCGCTTTAGGTTCTCGATGAGCGAGCCGAACAGGGGCATCATGGATTTTGCTTCGTCCAGACTGTTGTAACAAGCGAAATGCAAAGCTGTCAGTATCATGCTGACGACGGCTGCCTTCCGACAAAGCGTGCCAACTCACCTTTGAACTGTCTTTTGAGTGACGAAAGACTCTTGCTCTTCTTCGTCTTCCGGATCGAATGCTCCTGCCTCGATACAGCATTCGCGCAACAGCTCGACGATCATTTTGACCTTCTGCTTTGAAGTCATGCAGCTTTGCTTCTCCTCGTCACCCGGCTCGGAAGAAGCAAGGCTTTGGTCGTGCCGAGATACGGCTGAACGAGTCTTCACAGTGTGGTGCAGGTGACGCGAATGATTGTTTGCAGCCTCGGCATTGGACAGCGTGGTCGGGTCATCGATTTCGTCCGAGATGGCGCGAAAGGCAAAAATCCGTCGAGCAGACTCGGAGGCGTGGGCAGAGGCAGCGGTAGCAGCGGCAGCCGTGGTCGTGGTGACATTCTTGATGGAGGCTGTTGTGTTGCTCCGGGAGACAGAGTTGAGATAGGTGACGACAAAGCCCCAATTTTCTTCCGGGTGAGAGGACTCGTTGGGAGAGGTAATGTAGAGACCTGTATGATGCCGATGCGATGCAAAGCAAACAGAAGGCATTCGGTCAGTCGTCAGAGGAATTTGATGTCGAAGCTATATACGGTTGTACACGCACCTTCCTGAATCCCAACAATGTCTCCGACAAGCACTTTTGTAAACTCGTTGAGCTTCTCGCTGCCAAAGTCATAGCTGCAGACATAAAGCGCCTTAGCCGTAAGGAGCATGACCTTCTCCTCGAGTTTCAGCGCTTGCACCGTGTTGGCTTGCAAGGGAGAGCAAAGCGTCCAGCCTCCAAGGACATCTTCAGTCTCTAGCACAACTTCACGACGGCAGCTTTCAATCGCAGAAGCGCGCACCCTTGCCAGGCGTATCGACTCGGATGGATCACGGCTGTTGAGTTCGTCGTAGTATCGTTCGAGACCGTGCAAGCCGATAGATCCGTACGTAAAGTCGAGCACTGTCTGTCGAAAGAAGTCAGTGACAGCACCTTGCACCATTCGATAAACGGAATTGGTGGCATCATTTATCATGCCAAAGATGCTTCTCTTCCCGGTCCTGGTGAAGTCAACTTTTAGAGCGTCGGTGTTTGAGTAGCAGTGCGAGATGGCATTGGCGTTGTTAGCCCAAATATCGTTGAAGGCTTCATCGAGCACCTTTTCTGGTAGCACGAAAATGGGCGTTGGTTGTGTTGCTTCGTTGGACAAGACGCCTGTGTTGAGTCCATCGGCGGTCGGATGAGGGGCAGCAGCAGCGGTGGACGGAGCCACAGCCGAGCCGATCTTTTCTTCCGTTGTCGCTGGAGGCGACGTGTCGACTTCCGACATGGTTGCCAATGGGCACTTGACCTGACGGCTGAAGCGAAAGCAGGCTCGTCAATAGTGACTACGATGGATAAGTTGTGATTGTTGGTGGGCAGCACGGATCCCGAGCGCGGTTGGAAAATGAGACATGCATTAATCGCCCCTGAGCGGCTTCAGCTCCACATCGGTTATGCTCTCAAGACCAACACCAACACTCGACGTGCCGAGAGAGACTTTCGCAGGGCCCGTATCTGCTGCGATCGCCATTATTAGACAGACAGATCATCTAGCAAATAGATAGATGATCTAGCGACCCGCATAGTGACGCGTGACGAGACACTGATACCAAGCGCTCCGAGGAAAGCACACAGCAGCACAATGCAGTTTCACGAGAACAACTGAAATTCTGGAAGGTCGAAATGATCTGGTAGACGCCCAGAGCACCAAACCCTTCTGAGCCGTACATTGGCATGTATCTTCACGTACGTGACACTGTGAAAAGTGCCGAACGCTGTATGATGGAAGGATTTGTGCGCATCTGAGTGCTCAACGAGGGCTGCGTTGGACAGGTGCTTGGTGATTCGTTCGAGAGGAAGCGTGAGCACCTGCCATGATGCGTGGGACGTTTCATCGAGATTGGAGTCGATGGTCATGCTCAGAGGCAGGTGCAGAATCGCACCCTGTGAACACTCAGACCCAGTGCTTTGATCGTCTGATGCTACCTGCTGCGATGTTGTGGGCAGATAGAGTCGTGGCTCGATGTGGAAGCTGCTCACCCTTATGATACCACGTCGCCCCTGTCGATCTGCCACCCCAACCTCGAAAGCAAAATGTCGTGATTTGCCGATCGCTCTGTATTGAATCGAAATATAGGGAAGCCGAACTCCAAGATCAGTTTGGTCATCTGGCGGAGAACGGATGAAAGTGCCGCGTACAGCTGGAGATTGTATGTGCAGCACCGGCTCAGAAGTACGGCCTCTGCGTGTCTCTTCCGTCCTTAGTGTAAAGCTTTCATGGGTGATGTCAAGACTATTTGGTGCTATAACATCGGTGGCGTCGATCACCAGCTGTATGCCGGAGTCTTCAGGCAGGTCAACGTCTTGATGGTGAGACCAAAGAGCCAGGGGCTGCGAGGAGGTGGATGAGAACAGAGCTATGGAATCAGACTGCACTGTATCTCGGAAAAGCACAGGCCCGTCTGGCCCTTGCGTCATATCTGCCTGCCTCGATCACAGCAGAAAGCTGCAGCGAAGGAGACGGCCTCGAGTGTCGGTCAAAACAATTGAGGAAACGATGCTGGTCGAAGCGAGAAAGATGGAGTGGTGTGTGCGTGTGTCGAGGCAAACGCAGGTTTCGGCTCTCGGCTTTGCGGTGGAAACCTTAATTCATTTTGCTGCGCCGACAACCTGGTCGGAACGCTTCCGACGGTAACACTCCTTCCCTTCTCGTTAGTCACTCATCGTCCTTGCACGCGCGTGCATCTCTCCTCAGCACCAATATTGCTATCGATCGCATAGGCAGTATGGAACAGCTTCAACAACGAATCTTCGGATCGCCCGCGTCGCCCTCTTGGGCTGCTACGCTGCAGGGCTTTGCAGAGTCTATCTACACCAACCCACTCAACCTCGTCCTTTTGCTCGCTATTGTCTACATTGTCATCCCACTCATTCGTCCCGCTTTGCCAGAGTCCTCGCGGTGGACACCGTCGATAGCAGAAGCGCGATCGCACCTCGCCGCGCCTTCGGATCGATACACTTACCTGCCACCCAACCACCCCGACACGGTCGAGTGGACCAAGTACACACCACGCACGCTGGCCGTCTTTGACGGAACTGGAGCCACCAAGCAAGACGGCCCGCGCATCTTGCTCGCCATCAACCGCAAAGTATTCGACGTCACCAAAGGCAAGAACTTCTACGGTCCGGGTGGTCCGTACGGAAACTTTGCCGGCAGGGACGCCAGCAGAGGCATGGCCAAGCAGAGCTTTGACATGGAAATGTTGACGCCTCTGGACAAGCCGATCGACACGCTTCAAGATCTCACTGCGAGCGAGGTGTAAGTCACTATAACGTCGTGGACATACACAGATTGGTCGCGGACTCGGCTGACGTTTTACATTCTTCGACTCTCGTCTTCGATCGCAACAGCAAAAACATGAAAGAGTGGGAAGCACACTTCACCGGCAAATACGGCATTGTCGGCGAGCTCGTCGATGAGTCCGAGGCGTAATATTAAGCGTGAGTTTCATATTCGTTTCGTCAGATCGTGATCCGCAGTCCGAAAAGTCCGTGACAGCGTTCCGCGGGCAATGATTGAGGCTGTGCGCACGCTCACCGAGAACCCGTACCCCAGAACCGATCGCCAATCGAGCCACATCCAGGTGTGATTGCAAACACCACGCGGCTACCTTTAGCTGGAGACTTCGTCAGACTTGAATGTCTTTGCTGCTGTTGCTTAGGCTCTGCGGTGGCTGCAAATCCTCCGTCCACGCTGTGCAATGGTGGCGAGGCCAAAAGGTGCAGATTGTCGCGACGATTGAATCCAGGTGAGAGGTCGTCTTCATCTACGGCAGCATTCTCGTCGTAGCCCCTCGACTCGTCGCGCTCGGGCTTGATAGCTGAGGCGGTGTTTGACACCGACGATTGCCACGGAATGCGCAGCTTTTGCAGCCCTGGATCGACACCAGCGACAACGATGCGAACACGTGGGAAGGCGCGGTTCAACGCATGGATGCCGCCCTGCGAGCTAGCCAGAAGCGTCAAGAAGATGATCTGGTCCTCGGGTACCGAATGATCCAACAGCACCCTGATAGCCATGAATGCAGCTGCGCCCGTACCAATCTGAGCGTCGAGCAAGAACACCCACGACTTCTCCGCCGTCTCGCGCCGACGGATGAACGATGGGAGCGCGACATCGTACAGGTGCGGCTCGCCGTCTTCTTCGTTGGACTGAATCAGCAGACTGCCGAGCGACATGGCAGGGAATGCTCTGCGAAGCGAGGGCTCGAGAACAGCACCGGAGCGAAGGATCGAGACCGAGCAGAGGCTCTCGATGTTGAGCTCATGGCCGACGTGCTTGCGGCCGCCGTGGATGATTACCTCCTTCTCTCGATACGGTAGCAAGGTAGTCGCCAGCTCGACGATGAGCGTACCCACACGTTTGCAGGCGAACGTGAATTCGCTCGTGGGCGTGGATCGATCATGTAGGAGCGTGAGCAGAGACTGCAGCTGAGGAGTCTGGGCGAGCAAGGTGACGTTGGGTGGCAGCCCCGCCTCGTCGGCTGTTGAAGTGCTAGATGCGCCCCGAGCCAGCTGCGACGATGACAGTCCGAATGATTCGTTGCGTTCCAACCTGGGTTTCATGTGCGTCAGGCTCGTTCGTCGCTCGTAGGCAGAGCCAAGGCCGTCGTAAGGGCTCATCGAAGTCGAATGTCTGTCGGTCCCCTGAGGTGCAGGTACATTTGTGGCGGGAGTCTTGTAGAATTCGGCACGCAGCTTCCTGGATCTGTTCCTAAGTTGCTTCTCCATGTGCTGGCTGATGACCTCGATGGCGACCTCGTTGTGCGATCCGGGTACGATCATGTCAGCGTGTCGTGCAGTAGCCGATACAAACGTGTCGAAAGCAGGCTTGACGAAGCGCAAATACTGGTCCAGCACCGAGTTGACCGACCTGCCTCTCTCTACGATATCTCTTTTTATCCTTCTCGCAAGCATCAGATCCGAGTCCGCTTGCACGTAGACCTTGAGGTCGAGCAAATCGCGAATGGCGGGATCGTGCAGCACAAAGATGCCCTCCACGATCAGGACGGCTGGTCCGTAGAGATAATTTGTCTCTGACATCCTCTGATGCTGCACGAAGCTGTATACCGGAATCTCTACTGCTTTGCTTTGGCGCAGGTCTTGAATGCATCGTTTGAGGATATCGTAGTCGAAAGCGTCGGGGTGATCGAAGTCGTATTGTTCTTGGAAGGCAAGCTTGGACTCTTCGGGCGAAAGCGATTTGTAGTAAGCGTCTTGACTGACAATGGCGACCCAAGGCACGTTGGGCAGCTTTTTGAGAATCTCCCTTGCGACTGACGTCTTGCCACTGGCAGACCCACCAGCGATACCAACGACATAGGCTGACACTGGTTCTCCGATCGAATTGTACCAAGGCGCTCGACCTGCGTCGGTCAGAACGATGGTTTTGGAACGTGTCGCGGAGGTTGCGGCTGATGGAGTGGCTTTTCCTGAAGGCGTCGCTGCTCCTCCTAGCGTTGCTGCGGAGGGTAAAGATGGATTCACAGGTGTCGGCTCAGCTAGCTTCGATGCGGACGATGCAGCAGCGGCAGCAGCAGCGGCAGCGGCAAGAACGCCATGTGTGGATCCCTCTGCAGGCTTCTCTGACGGTGTGACGGGCTGAAGGATCGGCGTGCCGTTGCCCGATGGCCTCTGAACGATCTTGCCAGCCTGCATCGCGGTGCCCTGCCTATCGTTGCTGACACGACAGGAGATCGACGCTGTTCGGATCAAGCGAAGGGTCGATGAAAGAGAGGTTGTAGGTCAAAGTTGACGTTGAAGGCAAACGGTATCGCTGCGCACAAGCAGCGTCAAAAAAAGTTTCGTTGGCCGACTCCACAGCACAGACAACGGACGGGCCAAGATTTTCCAACCTTAATTTCTGTAATACTTCTTGGAGAGCCCCTTCAGGGTCCGAGGGAGCGGACTCAAAGCCTCATCGGCTTTGCAGGATCACACGACCTTCCAGTCTCGATCCTGATCCTTCAACGTCGCCAAGCCCTTCCAAGCGCCGAGAGGGTTCGGCCTCATGTCCATCGGCGACGTCGATGCTGTGTTCGACTCGCATTCCGAACCTTCCGAGTCTGTCGGGAGCGATGCCGACCGCAACATTCTAGCGCCTTATCTTGCTCTCGAAGAGCCTCGACTGGTGCTCGACCTTCGACCGGACTCAGCATTCCACCGAGCACACCTGGTGAACTCGTATCACATCTCGCCTGTATCGGAGCTCAGGTCTCGATACAGCTATCTGCCTCCACGCAACACACCCTTCCTGGTAGTGGCGGATCTTTCTCAGCAAGACCAAGTGGTTGAGGCATTCGCTCAGGTTCCGTCGGCAAAAATCCTCTACCTTGCAGCCGAAGCATCGGGATCCATTGCGACAACTTCTCAGCATGTCTTGTCCCGCTCGACATTTTTCAGCTCTGCTGAGCGCTTGAGACTGCTGCGCACGTCTGGAAGCCATCAGACACGTGTTGCCGCAGGTGATCACGGAGACGATGTCCCGAGGCTACTGTTTCGCCCGTCTTATGCTGTGCGCAGGACTGTTCTCGGCCTCGAAAGCGATATGCCGTCTCGCAACAGCGCTCTCAGGGTACTCGATCTGGGCTGCGGTGCAGCGAGAGACCTTGCCTGGATCTTGCACGGTTCTCGCACCCGCTCACCGCCGTGTTCCTGGGCCGGCATCGGTGTTGACAGCTGGAAAGCAGCGCTCTCGCGGGCCGAGCAGATTGCACTCGACCTATGGCTCAGCCAAGAAGTCTCTGCTCATTCACCATCATTTCCGCGCTGCGAGAAGCTGTTGTGGGCGAAGTGCAGCGACGATGGCTATCTCGAGCCACTGATTGGCTCCGGCAAAGGCAAGTCCGTGAGGACGGATGCAGACGATCCACTTCTGTGGAAGCAATGTCAGCAGCTCGGCCTCTCGCCGCTGCTCCCAGGACCTGTTGAGTCGGCTGCCAGCACCAACGACGATGAGACCAAATTCGATCTTGTCCTCTGCGTCCGATTTCACCCACGAGCTCTGCTCCCTCGCCTTGCGCAACTTGTTCGTGCAGGAGGCATTGTTCTGCTCAGCCATTTCGTCACCCTGTCTGACGAGCAGCGCGAAGCGGTCGGTCTAGTCCATCCGAATTCCTCAGCAGAGTACGATTCACCGCCGCACGAGGGCCGCATCCAGCCTGGCGAGATTGAGGGTTTGGTCGAGGCGTGGAACCAGTCGGAGCTACCTGGTCGCAGCTGGGTCATCGAGAGCGATGTCCTTGAGCCCATAGAAGATGGAAGGATAATCAGGAGTGTTGCTCTTCGTAAGCATGTACAGTAGCATAGTACGGACCATGTGGATCCAGCATCTCGAAGATGCAATCTGATAGTGTTGTCCTTGGCGTTTGCTAGCGTGGTGATGAGGTTTACCGCCAAGAAGGATCGTCGATGCTCTTGACCACAGTGTACGGCTCGAGCAAGTTCGACATGAGCCAGTCGCCATTTGGGAGATCGTTGTTTTCAGCTGCAAGTTCACGGGGACAAGCGTTCAAAGATGTTATCAGCCTTGTGCCTTCTGAGTCTTTCGATGCGTGTAAGAGAGATGGGGCCTACCTCTCCAAAGCGCCTCCTCTTCATCCTTCGCCACCCCTGTCTTGACATGCCTCGTCACCAGCCGTTGCCGTGCTTCGTCCTTTGAAACTTGGAAGACTAGTCTCGTATCGAGCTCTTGCGCCGCTCGCCTCCACTCTCCAACATCGCAATTGCAATACAGTCCTTCAAACACAACCACTCGATGTGACGGTAGGACAACAACGTCGTCTTCCAGAGGATCCTTTTTGGCATGATCAAAGCTGGGAGCTGAATGTACCATAGTCGTCTCCTTCTTTACCAGTGTCACAAAATCGGCGAAGCGTTTCGCGTCGAACGTCCATTCTGCGCCCCTTCGGTCGAACGCCTCTTTCGGATTGGGAAACTTTGAGAGCGTCGAGCGCGGATAGTGCCACCCGTCCATGCCGACGCAAATGGCTATATCCTTCGATGCAGCATTGAGTCCAGTGACAAGTCTCACTGCGAGGCTCGACTTGCCTGAGCCTGGGATGCCGGACACTCCCACAAGCGATCGTTCCGTCGGATCGAGGCTGCCGAGCACAACAAAAGACAGCAGCGTCAATATGAGCCTCCTCCAAGCCCATGGCAGAGATTCTGAGCAATACTCACCTTTCAGCTTTGTTGATCAGGTCTTGCACTAGTTGGTCCACTTGATCCTGCATCGCACCGCAATCTTCGCAGGCCGTGTCGTTCACCGTAAGGAGCGATGTGGTCAGCTACTGTTGGTCGTGTTTGATCAGGAAGAATGTGGAGGCAGGAATCGCACGTCTCAACCAATGTCGGCCAATTCTTCGTCTGTCGATAAATCACAAGAGAAAATGGTGTCGCAAAATGCAGTAAAAGTGTATTCTAGTACGCTCAGCAAATCTTGTGGACACATGCTGACAGTCCTCTCTACTGGCTTCGCGAGCGAGCCATGCAGGGCCGTCGGTGCTGGGGACAGCGCCCTGCGACAACGACTCAAACAACAATTGGACAAGAAGGGCGACAGCTCATGACAGCTCCGTGCATATCTGGGTATACAAGTTGAGTTGATTCTATTCAGCACGCTTTGGCACCAGCTGCTGTAGGGGATCCATTCGAGGGGACACAGTAAAGGTTAGTCAGTACTTGGCAAACTTTGTGCTTGTTCAATGTGAGCCTGACTTACCATTCGTTGAAACGGCCAGAATCAGGTTGAATGCTTCATCCCTATTGGGCAGATTGGCCAACAAGAGCGGTGCCTTGCCGTTGTTTCGAACGATTTTGAGGCCCAGCGAGCTCCACACCATCAGTCGAATGCTCTTGGTCTTGACAATCGACTCGATCGCGTCGATGGGTGTGCGGCCTCGCTTCTGAGAGGGAGAGTGAAGCGGTGTGAAGTAGAGGTATTTGGTGTTGACATGCAAGCGACCAGGAAGACCCTTGTACTGACAGAAGAAGCTACCTAGCTTACGCGGCTTGAGCGTGGCATCGTTGGTCATCTCGACGTAGTCGGTGGTAGCCCGGGACGGGTCCTCTATTTGATCGTAGGCGATCCCCTCTTCGCGACGATCCGGTCGAGGTTTGAGCTTGGACTTGTTGCCCTGCGACCGTACAGCTCGTCGAACGTCAGCGGCAGTACTCAACTGACCCGCAAAGCGGTCGACATCCAGATGCCGTTTGCGCAGCAGTTGCACCGCAAATTGGGCATCGGTCGGTGCTCCAAATGTCGCCCACCACAGAGGGGACAGAGCTTTGCGATGCGACGGAAAGTAGCTCTGCAGCGGCAGCAGGCAGAAGAAGGTGATTCCAAGAAAGAAGAAGATGGCCTTGGAGACGTACTGCGCAGGCGCAAACGTGACAAAGAGGTTGAGGACACCGAAGAGGACCAGCGTACGCCGACTCGCACCTGGGTTTCGCCACAGGATGAGATTCTTGACCTTTTCGTGAAAGTCGGCGACGAGGCCCATGGCCTCCTGAGTCGGTTTGCCAAACGTGACGATCCATCGCTTGTAAATGTTGAGAATATCGAGTCGACTGCGACGACGGAGCTTTTCTGAAAGTGTATTGGCAGCCTGACCACGGGCCATGCGCAACTTGACCGCGTCGTGGAGGTAGCTCTCTGACGGTGGGAAGTACTTGAATCGCATGATGAAGAACATGATCATAAGAATGAAGGCGGTCGGAATCATGTTGGTGTACCAAAGCACAAAGTAGATCATGGCCGCCGCCGCCGTTGTCTTGGGATCCTCCCATCGGTACAAACGGCGGATCCGGAACGCGAGCTGCTCCCAGAAAGGTGCAATGGTGTAGAGACGTTCGAGATGCGAACGTATGAGACCTTCCCGGTAGCCTCTGTCTGTATGATGCTCAATCTCTTCGGGCGCCAAGCGCTCGACCAACGCAAGAATGTAAGCGATGCAAAAAGCGACGCCGTCCACGCCTTCGTCCTCCGCATAGACACGCAGCTCGTCGTCAGGGCTGAAGGCATCCTGTGACGAAGGCACAATCAGGTCCCAATCTTCATCGCTGTTGTCATCCATGTGCGAGGACGTTTTGCTGTTGCCAGAAATAGTCCGTTTGGGCGTCTTGCCCTTTGCCTTCTTTTTGGAAGGCGTTGTCTTCTTGGTATTGCGATCATTATCGTCTGACATTGACTCTGCTCCAAGCCCGTCTCCGGTCGGAGCGGTCGGGTCCATTCCATGTGGGTCCGAAGCGATAGCAGACGTCGGATGTTCGGAAAGATGGTGAAGACCGCGATCGACTCGACTGAGCATCGACGGCCTCTTGTTACCTGGGCTAGGGGCAGTGCTATCATTAGGCGAGACGCGAAAGTCGGACCACTTTGGCATCCTGTACTTTTGCATCCCGGAGGGTCGTGTTACGGTGACCTCCTTTGTATGACGAGCAAAGTTCTGCAAGAAGGTCTCGAGCTCGATGTCTTCGAGTTCCAAGAGGGGCTGACTGAGCGCCTTGGCGGCGCCTCCTGAATAAGAGCTTCGGCTGCTCTGCGCATCCTTGCTCTTGCTCAATGAGCGCTCCCGTTGGTGAACGGCATGAAGGGTGTCGAAATCGATCCCTGCGGACATGTCTCCCTGGGTATTGTATCGCAAGCTATCGTATCCATCCGCCTCACGAATCAGATGGTCGATAGTATCGTCGGAACCATCCGAGTCGTAATCGTGCAGATCGCCGTCGTCCAATATTTCGTCGAGCTTGTCGCTCAGGGGCGCAAAAAGATCTTTAGCAGCTTCGTCCAGTGACGTAGCAGCTCGTCCGGGCCGCTGACTGTCCAATTGAGTAGAAGCTTCTTGATCGCGTATGAGGCGTGCGTCGGTTCTGGTGTCGTCAGTGTCGTAGAGTCCGCCAGGAAAGTGTTTTGTCGATCCGCTGCGGAAGCGGCCAAGATGCGAAGGTTGCTCGGCAATGTAGCGGGTCGTCTCTTCGGAGATGCGGTGGTCATCGTGCTCATCCAGATCCGAGTCTTGCGGAGCTCCCTTATCGAGCTTGTGCTTCTTGCGAAAAAGACCCCTGTTCCGAAGTCCGTCGGTGCTGCTGAACGATGCTTGCTTGCTCTTGTCCCGCCTCTGTTGCTCTTTGGACAGGGCACGGCGCAACTCGTGCGCCTCTGCTTCTTGAGCAGCGCGACTGCCAAGAGACGCGCGAGCTGGTGTTTGAGCGCCGCTGGTATGCTGTGAGTGCGGACTGCTAGAAGGATCGGCTTTCTCGTCGGATGAGGCGGGCTTGAATTTGGACAAGATCTTGGAACCGATCGACTTTTTCTTTGGTGGGCTGTTGAGCATGGCATCGAAGGCGCTGTCATTTTGCTTGGATGACCCTGTCACGACGGGATACGAGATGGGAGAGAGCTGATGGCGCGGTTGTCGGGGCTGGTCTGGGCTGCTGGATGTTCCTGATTTGGCGTGAGGATACTGAGGCACACTGTTGAGATCGTGCTCGCGATCGCCGTCGAAGTTCAGCGATCGTGGCTGGTCGGCATCATCGACGCTGTATAGCTCGGAAGAGCCGGGTATCTTGATGGGCGACATCTGAGCGAAGCAAGTTCAGAAAAAGGTCGACCGCGAACGTGTAAGGCTGCAGAGCGCCTCTTGACCTCGAGCAAAGTGGCGAGCCCAGTCCGCAGATGGGTGCAACGGGGATGTCTGTGTTCCGCGTCTACGACATCTCTGAAGTTTGGCGATAGTTTGTGTTGATGGAATGCTCGAGCCTTCTGTGGATCTATTGGATAGCGTATGGTGGAGGGAAGAAGTGCTCTGCTTGAATAGTCTGCAGCTCGCTGCATGTACCTCGACGATCCACTTTGCACGAGCGGCCCTACCAACGATTGACACTTGCGCGGCCCGTGAGTGTAACTTGTCTACCTGCGTCGTGTAACCCAACCGAGTGAAAACTCACTTAGGCAACATTACGCTTCCCCGCATTTCTGCTCGATTTGCATGTGGAAGATTTTTATCCAGCCTTTAATCAAGAAATATACCAGGTCTAACATTACGCAGAATTTTGACCTTCGTCGATCTGCTCTGCACGATAAAGTATCGCTAAGACCGAGGCGTAAGGCAGCCACCGACACGACGCCTGTTGACGATCGTGGTCGAGAGAGAATTTTGCACAACGCGGCCTCCGACAGCAAAGCGCCCCGCTTTCAAAAGTCATGACATCGGGCCTTCGAGGTCGTGGTCACCCACTCAAGCCGTCGAGAGCTGCCTCGTACCGATCCTAACCCAGGACCCCCTAGAGGAGGAGCCAAGTATTGGTTCACGACAGGATCGCTGCTTTGACTTGCCATACGATCAACATGATTGCAGCATGGGGGAAAGCAGTCGGTTCGATCCATTTGTTTTGCGAGGCAACCACGGAAACACATGGAAACCGTGATCGTCTCGGTGTCAAGCACATACAGTACGCCAGTTGGCGGCTTGTCGGACCGCGGACAGTGTTGCTGTGCATTCGAGGACGTATCCTTCAGCCCACTGCACGCTGTTTCAATTCACCTCATCAACCTACTGTAGCCAACGGCGGAATGCGAACCCACGGGCTCGACTTCATTTTCCAGCACGCGGATCACCTGCCTGGCTCCCCCATTCTTTCGCTCGTCCTTTTCACCAGGCTTACAGTAGATGCGCTGTCCTGACCGAGAACCCTTTTCCAAACAAAGGCAACGACAGTGAATCTTGGGCTTTCCCGGCCCAGGCAAGCAAGACCTCCTTGCTGCCCAGCCCCATAGTCCGGTCCTCAACACTTCACACCTCAACGTGCAGGACAATGGGTCTGCTTGACGTCTGTGTCCGGTATCGATCAACAAAATCTCTTCAACGTGATGCGGGCCTTTTTTCCTGCCTTGCTACTGAACCTGCTCGTGGTCGTTTGGCCAGCGTCCACCTTGGGCCACTCTAGCTCAGTGACATTGCATGGTCACCCTCCGCTCACCAAACAACTTCACACACAGACTGCAAGGAGGCTACTGGATACCGAGGTGCCTGATCGTCTGAAGAGCCTTGGGGTGTTTCAGGATGGCAATCGCGTTCGTGAAGGCATTCGCAGCGCTTACACCAAGGTTTTACGACAAGTCGACAAGGTTAAGGAGCCGTATTCCTTTTCAGAAGGCATCCAAAAGGAGTGGATTTACCAGCCAGACCTCAGGAAGCACTACTTTGTTCCAAGAGTGCTCCGTCTGCCCGCCCTTCTGCAACAAGGCCCGATCCCCCACGAACAGGCCTTCACAGCCTTTCTTAAAAGCACCGACGAGGAATTCGGTCTAAAAGATGTCGCCGTGACGCACGTTCCGGAGTTATCAGACTTCAAACCTGCAGAAAATGTGCCAGTCAAGGTCACAGACACGCCTGAAGCTGCCGATCCTCGCTCTGACGAAAGCGGACCGAGTAATAGCAGATATCGAAGGCGTCGGTCTCGCAAGGCCTACCGTACACAGAACTTCAACAACTTCGAGGCAGGTCCGCATACTCCAACCACTCTGCGAGCCATGCCTGACAACGAAATCGAGTCGGATCGTACGTGGCCGATTCGGGGACCAGTTCCTCCCGAGACCGAGCCAGATTTGGGCGAGTCATCCAAGCAAATGAGACCGCAGCAGGCGGCCTCACGTGGCGAAGTACGCTTTGGGCGGCGTATTCCTGCGGATCGTCTGAGTAACACGCTTGTAGCGATGGACGAAAGATTCAAGGTCATGCGCAAATTCCAACAGACTCAAATTGAGAAAGCTTCGATGCGGTACGTCGGACATCCCCAGTATCGACCACCGTTGCAGCAAAAAGGTCAAGAAGTGGCAGCAGGTGCACCACCAGGTCTTGCTCCCATACGTACCAAGCCAGTCGCTTCGCAAAAGGTCTCTCCAGATCCCACGCCCAGAGACGCCGTTGACCCTGCTGGCACAGAAGCCGATGCGTCGAATCCTGCAACCCCGAACTACGATTTTGGGGACTCATTCACACCCAACGGCCCATACTTCAAGCACGATCCTCGCGATGCTTCAGAGTCCAACACGCCCCTCGGCGATCCATCGCCAATCGTGTCGCCTGATGGCGGCATGACACCTTCATCTAGGGCCAGCACGACACCAAATACACCCGAGAAATTCCGATTACCTGTCGACTACGATCAATTGCTACATCAAGCGCGCATGCGGCACGGACAAGTTCCCGCGTACCGTCCAGTCTCAAAGCCCCTAGACGTATTCTCGGAGTCCGTTCCAGCGCACGCGAACAAGAAGCCAGATTCAGGCTGGAATCATGGTCCAACCAGCGGTGAGGCACTACGCGAGTTCAAAGACTTGGCAAAGTGGCATGGTGTTGACCATGCCATCGACCAGCATGACTCATTGCCCGAAGGGACTCGCCATGTGCCAGTCCGATCCGACAAGATGCATGGATACGACGATGACAGTCAAGCACCGGACAAGACGTCGCCTTCTGGCAAACGCAAATCACCCTTGTATGCTGGGACCGTCAAATCTCCTCAACGAGGGTCTCGTGCACCTGCCCACCAACAAACTGATCAGAACTTTGAAAACATCGAGGCAGCCCCCTCCGCGTTGTCTGAACCTCAAATGAACAACGTCGAAATGAAGGACACATTGTCGACGGACAACGGGCCTGGTCAACAAGAAACCGATCATTCAAACGCATTGCCTCCAGAAGCGCCTGCAAAGAAGCGCAAACAGCCGATACTTGGGCTCGTCAAGCCCATGATGCGCGTGCCGAGCTTTGGTTTCCCAATTTCCGGAGCCGATCCGACTTCTCCTTATCTGGAGGGCTTCAAACCTTCTCTGAGAACGGAGGTCGATCCCACCGCGCAGTCCAATCCTACAGTCCCATTGGATGCCAATCAAGAGTCGCGAGAGGCTGCTGGCCGTCTCGAGAGCTTGCAGGACACGCTGAAGCGTTTGCCGTTCTCTGGCTCTCGAGAAGCGGTCATCCAGGCTTTCCAAGAACACCGACTGCCAAAGCCTCTTCCACGTGAATCGTCTGATCGTCGTTCTAGCATCTTCACACCTTGACAAACCCATTACTACGCCCTCTTCAACCTTTCTCAACAGCTTTTTCTCTCTTGTGAACACACCTTTCGCACAGCAATATTCAAAGCTGGTCTTTGTCCTTAAACATTCTTTGCTCTAATTAATGCCACGTCACTATCACAAATTCTGCGGACGGTTGGTGATCCCACAGATGAGCTCTGCCAGAAGTTCGTCGCCTGACCCGGATGCGATGATGGCCTGTTGCTTTTTGATCTCGTCTTCGGTCCTGGCTGCTCCTTGTTTCTTGTTACCGAGACGCTGGTTGCGGAAGTAGTGCGAGAGGAGGAAAGCGACGTCGAGCGACTGCTCAAAGTTGAGTCTTGGATCGCAGTGACTCTTGTAGCCTCTCTCGAGATCCTTGGGTTCCAGTCGCATCGAGCCACCAAAGCATTCGGTGACGTCCTTGTCGCCGGTCAGCTCGAGGTGAACACCACCGAGGTGCAGAGTGGGGAAGTCGGAAGAGATGATTTCGAGGAACGAGAGGATCTCGGAAATGATGTCGCCGAACGAGCGCGTCTTGAGCGGCTGTGCGTTGGGATCGGAGGATGCAGGTGGGTAAGGGCTGGTCTGGGTGTTGCCGTGCATGGGATCACAGAGAAGGATGATTGAGTCCTTGTGATTGCTGGCAGCAATAGCTTCGAGAAGGGGAGGAAGATGCGAGGTAACCTTGGCAGCGCCAAGACGAATGATGACCATGACACGGCCTTTCTCCTTGCCGTACACGATGTTGGGAGTAGTTCCGCTCGGTGTGGACCAGCCGCTGGTGCGTGCGGAGGAAGCAGCTGCTGGGATCGGAACGTCCGGATTGAGAATGTCGAGGATCTGAATGAGTTCTGAAGGCTTCATGGAGGGACCAACCTTGACACCGACAGGATTGCGAATGGATGAGAAGAAGTCGACGTGCGCGCCGTCCAACTGTCGTGTCCTGTCGCCGAGCCAGATGGTATGGGCCGACAAATCGTACCTGTCAAAGGAGTCGCCAGTGGGAGCGCCATTTGCCAAGTCGGAAGGATGCACATTGCGCGCAGAGTGCGGGTTGGCCGGTGTTGGCTTTCGGACCAAGCGGGTGAGAGCTTCTTCGTAACCGAGTGAGAGACCTTCATGGCTGATAAAGTAGTCGACTGAGTTGAGCACGCTGCTCGAGGAGAAGGTGCTGGGATCGGCGCCGATGGTCCTCATGAAGTCCAGTGCATCTGTGAGAGAATCGACGACAGATTCGAACTCTGCCTGAAGCGCGCTGGACTGGACGTGCTGGAAGGACCACTGGCGGGGGGCGTGAAGGTCCGCAAGGCCACTGGCCAACTCGGAACGGATATGATTGAGAGTGGCAGCAGAGTGAAAGTAGGCCTGAAGCAAGCGCTCTGGATCTGGGATACGACCGCTCGCAGGCTCTGCACTGAAGGCATTGATATTGTCGCCACGGAAAGACATGATCTCGTGTTGGGAAGCCTGACCTGTTACAGGGTCGATCTTTGTGACGATCTCGGTCGGTTTGGATCGTGGCTTTGCGTATTGGCCCGCAATACGACCGATTCGAACGACAGGCTTGCGGGCACCCCAGATGAGGATAAGACTCATGAGCAAGGAAAGCTTGAGTTTAGCCTGGATCTGCTCCGGATCGCAGTAGTCGAAGAGCTCGGCGCAGTCACCAGTCTGGAGGAGGAAAGCATTGCCTTCAGCCACAGAAGCGAGCTGCGTTCGAAGTCGATCAATTTCGTTGGGGGAGACTAAGCCCGGTAGACGCTCGATGCGGTTCATCACCGACTGGAAAGCTTCTTGAGAAGGATAGTCGACCTGCTGCGCTTCCTTCTTGGACCTCCAGGTTGGATTGGCATGGTACTCGCGAGTCGACGCCGAAGCGCCTGACATATTGGATGCCGACGCCATGTTCGCAAGGTGATCAGCAGGTGATGGGGAAGATGGAATGGAGGTTGGGAGCAAAGTGCCTTCTTGAACCTCTTGAACGAGTCACCGATGGAAAGCGCCGTTCGGAAGAAGACGAAGGAAAGACGCTTTTGAAGGGTCTGCATCGAAAGCGCACTGCAACCGTCAAAACCGAGCTTCCGCCGGTCAACTTGCATATGTTAGGCCGCTTATATGAAATAGAAATATGTTAGACCGGGACAGCCATCGTCTAGCTAATTTGGGGCTAGCAGAGCAGCTCATAGCGATGAGCGCAGTTGGCAGAACTGCTCGACATCATAGCAGGTCTGCACGACACCAAACGACACAAGGTACCTCCATGGACGGGTCGAAGGTCGATGAAAAGATTCGAGAATTGGCTGCTACCTCCAAGGATTGTCGTTGCCACGTCAGGGTCCTGCCCACTCGCTGTAGGTACCCGACGACTTTGCCAAACTTTGTCTCTGGTCGAAGCTGTGTCCCAAGACACGCGAGCAACGTGGCCTTCGGCTAATTTGACGGGCCACGACGGCTTTGGCTATAATGTCCAGACCGCCTGCACGAGATGCGATCGCAAGTGAATGACTGCGGCGAGGAAGAGCTGCATCATTGCGGGGTAATGGACGGCCATGCGTGGGGGAGTTGCGGTCTACTGTATAGTCATAGGAAATCGCGGCAGAAGCGCCTTCGGCCAGATTGGCTGCAAGGGATCCAACGTGGAAAGACGGGCCAAGACTTGCGTTCCTTGTCGCCTCTTTCTGAGGACCGGCTCGGGAAAAGGGAACTCGTGTGGTGTGTGCCGGTCTGTCAACAACCGGATTGTGGGGCGTGAACAATAAGGGAGCAGACTTTTCGAAGAGAGCCGGCCAGACCGGTAATGATCATCACGCTCCTATCCACCTGCCTACTTCTGCGGACCTGTGAGGCTTGATGTTGCGGTTCGCTCCATCCGATATGAGCGACTTCGAGCCCGGCCTCCGCTGTTGTTTGGGTAGCCTAGCATGTTCACACAGACAAACAGTCCTGAGACCACTCACAAACAACGTCGGCAGACATAATAGAAAAATCGGACATTACGAAGGGTGCGAAGCGTGCGTCTGGTGCGGTAAGGTCACTGTCGTTTACAAGAATCGACGTGGGGGGTTGGCGGGTCTTGCTTCAAACTCGCCTTTCTTCTCAACGCGGAGAGGGACACAGGAGGACGCGAGCGAGAATTATTGCCTGAGACTGAAATGGTCGGCTAAACCTCAGGAGAACAGTTGGTACAGAGTGCAACAGTGCAGCATCGGCCCGGGACAGGCGTGTGCTAGCCGCCCTGAGAGCCCTCCGCGGGTTTCAGCAGCGTAGGACGCTTGGTCGCACAATGCAAGAGCCCGAGGCTCGCCTGGGAAATTTTCGCGCTGAGAGACGGCCTCGCTTACACGGATTTCGACCAACCTTTGACTCTGATTCGTTCTGCCCTCACCCAAACGAACGGATCCCGGCTGCATGCACGCAATACGTCCTTGCCTAATGTGCCCATCGTGCTCGTGCGATGCAGGTCAGATGCATTTTGACCACATGATCTGACTCGACTTGCACCAACCCTGATGAGGCGAGCTCAAGCCGGACCTGCACGCTCTTGACACAGTTGTTCCGGCAGACACCTCTTCCCCACAGTTGTTACAGAAACCATATAAGGAGTCTGAGACTTCCAGTTTCCGGTCTTCATCCGACTGCCCGCCTGCCTACTTGGTCCCCCGTCGCAACAAGCTTCCCAGAGACCTATCCTTGTTCCGCCACGCCTTTGCGCTTGGTCAACCGCTGCTCGCCAACTCCATCCATCCAGTCGAGCAAGAAAAGCTTGCACCAGTTCGGACCAGCATGTCGGCTCAGGCAGCCACAGCTGATTTCTCCAATCAGCACGAGGCGTCTTCGCCCACTGACAGCATTCACGACCACAAGGGCAGTCATTCACACAGCCAGCTACCATCCGCTACACAGGCCGACGATGACATCGAGAATCTCTCGGACGAAGAGCGTGCCGCTCTGGAGAAGTCGCTCAAGAAGAAGCTAGATTGGCAGATTGTTCCTCTCTGCTTGATGCTGTATCTTTTGAGCTTCCTCGACCGCACCAACATCGGACAAGCTCGACTCAATGGCCTCGAAAAGGATCTCAAGATGAGCAAGGATGGGTATGACTACCGCATTGCTCTGACCGTTCTATACGTCCCGTACATCATCTTTGAAATCCCCTCAAACCTCCTCGTCAAGAGGATCGGTCCTGCACGTTGGATCCCTGCCCTGGTCGCCTCTTGGGGTCTAGTCTCCACACTTCAAGGTGTCGTCACCAGCAAGACTGGTCTGTACATCAACCGTGCGTTCCTTGGGTTTACAGAGGCCGGCATTCTACCAGCGCTTGCTCTCTATTTGACCTTCTTCTACAAACGCGAAGAGCTTGGCATCCGACAAGCGCTCTACTTCTCCGGCGCATCGCTCTCTGGTACCTTTGGCGGTCTCCTTGCCACAGCCATCGGTTTGATCAAGCACAAACCGGGTGGTTGGGCTTGGATCTTCATCATCGAGGGCATCTTCACCATCTTCTTCGGTATCGCATGTCTCTTCATCCTGCCCAACGACATCTCCAAGCTCTGGTGGGTGACTCCCCAGGAGCGCAAATTAGCATACGCCCGCATGGCACCTCCCGTCACCAAGGTGCGCCCAGACTCGGAAGCTGTCACGGACGTCACCGCCACAGCTGAAAAACGCGTTGCCGCCGTGGCTGACGAGGCAGCACTCGAGTACACGGGGAAGTTTGTTCTGCGAGAGGTCAAACGCACGTTCGTGGACCCGCTCGTCTTGATCTTTGCAGCCTCTGGATTTGCTTACGCAACGTTGTTGTATTCGAATGCATTCTTTAGCCCGACCATCATCAAGTCGCTTGGTATAGCAAAGTCGACTGCCGAATCCCAGCTTCTTTCCGTGCCACCTACCGCTGCCGCCTTCTTCGTCTCGATCTTCTCGGCTCTCCTCTCCGACAGGTACCGGTGGCGATGGATTTCAGTGGTTGCGCTGATTCTGATTTCGATTGCCGGAATTGCGCTCGCGTACGGCTCGCGAGTCGCGTCTCAGAGATATGGCGGAATCATTTTGCTATCTTGCGGAACTTACTCCATTCCTCCTCTCGGCATTAGTTGGATGCTGAACAACACCTCCGGACACTACAAACGAGCTACTGCTATTGCCTTATACATCGTGTGTACGAATTCCGGCGGAATTCTCAGTTGTTGGCTGTTCTACAACCAGGAGGCTCCTCGCTACGCTCGTGGCTTCCTCGTCAACCTCGGACTCAATGCGGGAGCGCTTGTCCTCGTCACGGTGGCCGAGCTTTACATGATTTGGGAAACCAAGGCACGAAAGGCGGGCAAGCGAGACTACCGCGTTACCGAGCTCAAGCAGCAAGGCTGGGGCGATGCCAAGATCCGCGAGTACCTCGGTGATCAGCACCCCGAATTCGAGTACATGCTTTGACGACGAACTGATTGGATGTAGCTAAAAATTTGGTGGCGCCGAACGTAACGCGTATCACACTCAAGCATCATTTCAACTTGCCTGTGTCATTCTGTCTGCAGTTCTGATTGCCCGAGTCACATCTTGCGAGTCCTTGATGCCGGAGTGTAGCTGAGGTGGTGTCTTTCCACGTGCTTGTTGGAAGGATGAGAGACTGCTCCGGTGAATTCGGGGAAGGTGGCCTCCGGATATCGGGAAATTTTCCACGCCGAAATTTAAGGTTCAGATGGCTCAGTCAAATAACGCCGGCTCGACCTTCTCTGATTTCTTCTTTCTTTCTCATAATCACCCAGCTATCATCCCGCAACACCTCTAAGCCCTTCATCATGTCCAAGCCGACACTAACTTTCGTCACTGGCAACGCCAACAAGCTGCGTGAGGTCAAGCAGATCTTCGCGCTCTCACCCGACTTCCCCTACGAGCTCACTAACAAGGATCTCGATCTGCCCGAGATTCAAGGGACCACACGCGACGTTGCGCAGGCCAAATGCGCAGCTGCTGCTAAAGCGCTCGGCGGCGCTTGTATCACGGAAGACACTGCACTTGGTTTTCACGCTCTCGGAGGTCTTCCTGGCCCCTATATCAAAGACTTTATGAAGACGATCGGACACGACGGATTGAACAAGATGCTCGATGGATTCGAAGATCGCTCTGCTTCCGCCATCTGCACTTTCGCATACTGTGCTGGCCCAGGCGAGCAAGTGCAGCTGTTCGAGGGCAAGACCGAAGGCATCATTGTGCCTCCTCGTGGTCCGACCCATTTCGGATGGGACCCAATCCTAGAGATCAAGAACACTGGGCTCACTTACGCCGAAATGGACCCAAAATACAAAAACACACTCTCGCACAGGTACAAGGCCCTCGCGCTGTTGCAAGAGTACCTCGTCAGTCTCGCCGACAAGTCATAGGAGCTGAAATTGAACGGCGCAGCATGTCTGCCCCTTAGCACGCTTCAGTCAAACGGCTCGCTCGACCATTGATGTCCCCCTACTGCCGAGTAGATGCGGAAGCGCAGTCCTATAAGGCTTCCAGTACACTTAAGTTGGCGCTTCTCACTTTGCCTCTCTTGTTGCTTCCGACATTGTCGGCGACTCGACTTGAAGCTCATCTATGTCAGGTCTTTCGTTGAGTTTGCTTGGGGGAGAACCATCCACCGGCTCCCTGCAAACGATTCTGACACCATGTTGATTGGACATGCGATAAGTACTCGATTGATAGGTGATTAGATCCACTTCCTGCAAGAGTAAATGCGAGATAGATAGACATATGGACAATGCAATGCTGTGAAATAAGTTAGAGCAGACCTGCATCGTTGCTGAGAGCGCCCGCAGCGTTCTGAAGGCTTGATTGGAGGCCAGAAGCAAGGTCGGGGAGCGCGACAGCGAATGGTGCGGTACCAGTAGCGAGCTGGACGCCGGCAAAGTCGTCGAAAGTCTTGGCGTAGGCGAGCTCCTTGGCCAGATCACCAACACCGTTGGAAGCGGGAAGGGGAGCAAACTGCACGGTGCTGAGTGTACCGAAAGCCTTTCCAGACCCATCGAAGAAGCCACTTCCGCTGTCGCCAGGGATACCAGGAGTGACTGTGTAAAGATTGTGCGACCAGCCAGCACCCTCATCCTGTACATTGACACCGTACTTGGGACTCAAGAGAGTGATACCTTGACGGAGAATCGAGTTGCCGTAGCTGTACACCTTCTCGAACTGGGAAAGGCCGCCAGATCGAAGACCATTGGGACCGCCAAAGGTGGGAACGGTGGGGTTGACTTTGTCGTGGTCCGCAGGATCGATGAGCACGAGAGCAAGGTCGTTGTAGGCACAGGTGTTCTCGTCGGTCTCGCCGCGCTGTTGCATTCGGATCCAGGAAGAGTAGGCCAGCACACCGGGTTTCGAGGCACCGGTGATGGTGACCTGGGTGCCCTCGGGAAGCGAGCCAGAGGTACATCCGTTGGTGCTGGTCGACTCGCCGGTACCGGCACAGTGGGCTGCCTGACCAATGTAAATGTTATCGCCATTGTAGTAGATGAAGTTGGACGTGCAGCTGCCGGCCGTATTTGTGTTGACACCAGGGTGGATCGTGGCGGTCTTCTGGTCAGCCCAAGTGGGTGCACGCTTTACGGGGAGTGGCGAAGCAACGACCGAAGAGGCAACTGCGAGCGCAGCCACGAGGGCGTTGAAGGCGGTGGCAACCATGGTGAAAGGAGGTTGGGAGGGTGGCTCAGGGCGCGGGAGACAGGGGGAGTTAGTCTAGGAGGGACGACGCGGAGAAGTTGGGGGATTTTGTTGAATGGTGAGGACAGAGGTCTTCATCTTATAAGCCTTTCATCAACATGAAGCTGCTACACGGATACGGCCAAGACCTCGGCATCGCCTGTGTCCTTCCCGACTTGGACAGTCCCTTTCACAGTGTCGCTGTATTGCTCTCTTTCAGTGAGCAGACATGGTGCGGCCTCGCTCAGGTGACAGAACGGGTCGGAAGATCGAAAACTGCAAGTCGGTGTGCGAAGCGAGACTGAGCAGAACTTGCCTTGCTACGACGAAGCGGAGCGAGAGGGCCGAGCGGACTGGCTGCGGGTAGTCAGCTCTCGTTGAGCACGATTCGGGTTGCGAACGATAGGATCAGATGGTTCCGCATAACGTGCTAGCCGAAGAGCCGCAGGTAATCGGTCGCGACAACGAATCGACGCCCATCGAGGTGGGGTCAGACGGTGCACAGCGGGTCCACTTGATCTGCATGAAGACGCCTTCTGTCCACTGTATAGCCGCTCGGTCCTGGCTCGCGGACAGTGTCGTCGGCTAGTGAGAATGCTACGAGCGAGCTCAGCTCGGATCCTCACTGCAACCCCTGACTAACTACCCGAAGTGGGGACACTTTGACCCTTCTACAACTTCTTTTGTCACTAAGGGGTCGAGAGGCCTTGTTGCTCAAGCGCAAAGCGACGAATGTCTTGATCGCTAGAAGAATCTTATCAGAAGACGGGTCAACATTCGTCCTCTACACCGCCCTCGGATCTCGTGGTTGCCAAGAGAGGTCGGCAAGGTGGGCAAATGGCGCAACCTCGCTTGGAGAGCTCGTACGTTCGCGAGCTGGAGCATGGGAAATTTTTGTCTCGACAAGGTGACCGGTGACAGCTGACCTAGGCTGGCAGGCCTACTGTGGGACTATTTCAGGGTCCAACCTCTGTTTCGAGGGCATGCCTGCCCACATTGTAGCTTTCACGAGTCGCAGATGTCGCGGTGGATTTTGCCGCTGCACACTCCCACGTAGCATGTTCGCATGAAAGGTTTCCGCGTTTATGCGAGCAAGTAAGACCTCGAATGCACCTTTGCTGTGCAGATAGATTACCCCGCGTTTCGCGAACATCTTGGACCTCGAGATCACGATTTGTACACTGAACATCATGTGTCGAGCGAAGTATGAACAAATTACCGTAGGAGATGGTCTCAAGCCGTCTGTCGGAACGGTCAGCGCCGCATCCGAGGCCAGTCTTGGCATTACACCGACGAAAGAGTTAAGCGACTACATACGTGTGTTTGCTGCCCAGGGTTTGTCATCTGTCGAGTGGCGCGTCATACGCATCGCAAATAGATGCGGTTCATATGTCGGTGAGATCCGGTCATGCGAAGAAATCTTTCCCCTCAAACGTTTGTCTCCGCTACAGTCGAGACGATGCTTGACGAGCTTGTTCGTTCTCCGTGTCGCCAATACCAGACGATACAGTCCTGTTAAACGAAGCCTTGCAATACCTTCTCCATCCATATCAAGCCTCACTTCTGCTTTTCTCTGCTTCTCTCAGGAGCTTTCACTTCAGCCTCGTGAGCACAAATGAACATCTTCACGAAAGCCACGATTGTTGGAGAGGTCAATGGTAGCCCCGATCATCGGGCTTTATCGCCCACTCTATCTCGATTTACATTGTCTCTGGCCACGCAGTGAAGAGTTTAGCCGGTTTCCGTGGCGAAATGGCCGCTGTGCCTCGCTCCAGGCCGCCGCTTCAGGAAGAAATCCTAAAATTTCGCCCGCTCGGCGAGAAATCAAACAAGCACAGAAAAACGACGTCGCTCATCATAGTGTTGGTCTTTCTTTCCCAACCCTCACAAATCTCCAAGTTCCCACGCCCGTTGTCCTTCACCTCGGCAACGTCGGTCGACCTTGAAAGCACAACCTTGCTTACGCTGAGCAGGTGGGACCGGCAAGCTCGTGACAATCTCCTCATGCGCTGAACGCTGCCCGCCTGGGACGAATGACGGGTCAGCCGCTTACCCTTATTTTCCCATCTGCCCGAGATCGCTGCTTGTAATACGGCACAAGCAAACTGTTCTTGTAACTGGCAGGGACTTCTCTTACTGCTTCGCCGCTGCTGGAAGTGATCGATTCCCAAACATGGAGCTCAACATCCTCAGCACCACCATCAATGATGTCTTTCTCACTCCGCAGGTGCGTTCCGAGAACGAGACACCCGAAGAGAACGAGCCCGCCATCGTCCAAATCATCGTTCAGCTCAGCATCCCCGCCAAGTACACACCTCCATCGAAGCTAATAAATTTGACCGCCAGCTTGATAGGCTACGAATCGATCGGTTTCCCCAAGGGCGGCTTCGAGCAGAACCAGCCTTACTACAACAAAAAGACGATCGAGTCGGCAAACGACCTCAAGCTGGAAGCAGGATCCATTTACCAATTCGAAGTCTCCTTCCGAGTCGATCACAGCACAGCACCGTACCAGAGGTGCAAGTACGGACGCCATCACCAGAAGGTGCAGGTCAAGGCCACTTTCCCGGCACTAATAGGCAAAAAGACGCTCGTGGCCGAGAAGAACCTCTTCTTTGTCCAGACCGTGGCCAACGCGGGTTTTTTGCCGTATTATCATGTGCATCGTGCCGCAGAAGAATCGCTCGGCCCAATCTTTCTCGGATTGCGGACGCAGCACTTGACCGTTGGCGGCTACCTGCGCATCACATTCTCGCTAGACAATCCAAGCCCGACGCTGCAGCTACATTCGTTGAAACTGACCTTGTTGCAACAGACAACGCTCAAGTCTCGGGTACGTCGCAATTACAGGGAAATGCCGCCCTCGGAGCGATTCGTATTCTTTGAAGCCGGACCAGCAGAATTGAAGAAGTGTCTTCAGCCCAACGACAACGAAACCAGTCTGGACGGACTGCTGGCCCTGGCCAAGGACGAACGCCACCAACAGCAACCGCCATCGAATCAGCCGGACAATGCAGTCGACCCCTCGCCCTCAGGCTCGACATCCAATACAGTCTCGTCCCCAGGACAATGCAACTGGGTGGCACGAATAACCAATGATGCCGAAGCTCGAGCCTCTACTCTGCCAGGCAGCGACTGTGCTATCCAGATGGCACATGGTCTGGAAGTCTCCATCCAGTATTCTGACCCAGCGCTCGGTGACTCTGATGTGCGAACGTATCGCGCTTCGTGGGGGCTCATCTTGCCCTCGTGTGCATGCCGTTGGCAAACCATGCGTCTGCCCTCGTACACAGCCGAGGATGCCAATCCGGTGCCCAAGATATCGCGTGACTTTTGGGCGGGTCGCAACGAGCACGAGTCGTTCACGCAGTGCGTCTGCGGCGAGGATTTGGAGCATTTGCTCGAAATGGAGCAGCAAGCAGCATCCGAGAGCGAAGTGCAAGCCTCTTCTGCACTTTGGCGCGACATGCTGAGCCACCGGCTTCAGCAACGCCTTTTGCGAACCGGCGTGAGCGGTCGTAGCGCCTCGTGCTCTCCTGCCATTTCGCGGATGGCATCGCGGCGGGGGAGTATGGAAGATGTCGCCACATCCGCTGACGCTACAGCGAGTAGCTCGGCAGCTTCTAATGTACGCGAACGGGGAAGGCAAGGTCGTAGCGCTACGCCACCCCATCCACCATCCCGCTCCAACTCGGGAATGGTTGCCGACGACGGTGTGCAATTCGGCTTGATCGAAGCAGACGACGAGATCGAGTTCGAAGTGCAAGCGCGCGAAGTGCTTCACGACCTGCAACTAGACGAGCGCGACTACCAGAGGGAGTGGGACAGATTGGTCGAGATGCGTCAGAGGAGGAACAAGGCGCGCAACGAGTACACGTCGGTACCTCCGGGGCCTAGAGACGACGGAGAGCGCAAGCACCGTTCGCAATCGGCACATCCGGCCTTGCGCTTCTTCCAGAGACGTTCCGCCAGCAGCAACAACAGTCGGAGCAACAGTAGGGCGCCGAGCCCGCCTACACCGCCAGCCACGCTCGCTGAATCCGTCGACGAGATGCGTCTGTAGAAGAAGAGTTGATCCAGGCTCATGGTCATGCATTTGCATCTTGCGCAAGTCACGCAGTTACCCATTGTAAGAACTTTGAATGTCAAGAGTGAATATTGAGAAAGCGGGGACGGGATAGCATAAGCACGAAAGAAGCACATGCTGGGCTGGGAACCTTTATGAGCCGTCGGCGGAATGTGAGACCTTGTAGTCTTTTGCCCAGCCGATGAAGGCAGGCACGTCGTGGGCGATTTCACCCGGCATGGCCATTTCCTGCATCATGGTTGGGATGCGTCCTCTCGAGTCTGACTGGACGGCCATTTTCCAGTTGACCACGGCGGCGGCTTGAGATTCCGCATCCGTGCTGCTTGTTGATGAAGGACCTTCGTAGACAGCCTCGAAGCTGGCGTACACGCCGCGCACTTTGGGTGCCTTTTGAGGTACGTCTGGGTGTTCGATGGGGAATTGGATCACCAGGAAGGATCGGTAGGCTGGCTGTGCATCGGAAGATGCAGGAGGAGTGATGTTACGCTGCGGATCGCGAATCCACTGTAACGTCTGCGTTTCGTGCTGTTCCGAAAACGGCTCTTTGTTTGGTGGCAAGTCGATACTGAGCAGCATCTCGACAAAGTCTCTATCCGCCGTCACGATGGGCAATTTGTAGGTGTTGTGCCAAATCTCGGTCTCATCCTCCTTGACCTTTGCCACGCACTCGGTCATCTGAATATCCTCGATGTACAGCTTTTCGTTCGTCGAGTGTCCAAATCTAAGGTAACGTTGGAAATCCTCGTAGGTCAACCCGCTCTCAGCGCCGTGCTGCGACTCGCGCAGATGCCATCCCTTCTTAGCAATCTGTGAAACTTGGCTTGGTAGGAGCTTGCACTGAACGGAGCCGCCGATATCCGTGGTGAAGTGCTTGGTCTTTTTCCATTCGGGCGTAGCTCGAACGAAAGCAAAGGTGGCCGAGACGTAGTGTGCCAGAAACTCGGCGTATTCGGGTGTTCCGGCGGCAGGGATCGATGAGAAGGGCGTTTCGAGGGCAGTGAAGGGCGCATAGGCAGCGCTGCCGTTCTGCGTGGACGCATCTGCCATTGTTGCTGTGTCTTCTGCCACAAGTTGATGTCGGTTGATCAGAGGGATGTGGTGGAGTCGAGAGAAGGAACACAAGATGCTCTCGGCGAGGGGACCTTTAAGAAGCGTAGCGGGTCCATGCACGTCATCCACTTGTGGAGAAGCACCCAACCAACAGAATCAGGCAATTTTGTGGCTCGCCGATCTGCAAGCGACTCTGCTTTCGCAGCTTCTGCAGTTTGTGCCGGCGGCCATGCCGAGAATGGACCCTTTTTTTCTGCTTCTGAGCCTTCGCATCACAGAACGCAGCTCGACTTTCGCATCGTGATCACAGACGACCTCGCTCCGACCGTTGCAACCTGGCGAACTGTCTGGTGACATCCACTCAAGGGGCCTGGGAGCTTGAGCATGAGAAGGCCATCAGGGCGAATCATAATTCGAATGGTACACCCCAACAGCAGCAGTCTCGTCCTCAACCTCCCATTAGAATCTTCTTGGCAGTAACCAGAAACTTGCTTTGGCGAGGTCGGCCAGTGGCGGTCAAGAACAGAGTTGAAAGCAAAGATGGACAGAGAGCATCGAGAGGATACTGAATGCTGTATCTACAACTTCAACGAATCGTGTCGTTGGTGAAGCGACAAGCGACCAGCGAGCATCGATCGATCAGCTCGATGCGAACAGATCGATCGGGCTTCGTCTGTTGCACGAGGATCGCCTTCGCACTCGGCAACAGTGGCTTGAGGACGACAACGGGAATTCCACCGCGGCTCCTGAGCAAAGCTCCCTCCTTACCTTGGAACAATTCGTCCACCGACCGACCAGCGGGATGGCGTCTCAACTGCGGGCACGTTTGGCGTCCCTTGACAGACAAGCGAGGCGGCTTTTCTCATGGGTCGCGAACCCTCTACCAACGGCGTTTGACAGCGGCTGCTGCTTGTCACTGCACCCTCGGGTGTTCGTGTCGGGACAACATGGGGAGCGACGTGCAGCGGAAGAACAGCTTTCACAACCCTGCGGCTGGGATGCGGAAAAAAGGTGGTGTGGACAGGGTTGCAGCGGACGCCGTTGACAGCCAGTCCGATTGACGTAGCAGCGTCGCGAAATCAGGCCATTGTAGCAGGGAACGGGTCGACGTTGGTCCCGAACCTTCTTTCGAGATGTTTGCATCGCCGAAGACCCTGGCGGCGTCGAAGACTCGCGTTGCCCTGCCAGAACGGACATACAGTGCTCAGTACAACAGACGAGGGAGCCGGTTGTTGTACGCCGCGCTCAAACGGCAAGCATTGTCGGGGTCACGCTCGTCCTCTCAATGCCGCTGCAGGTGATGCCTAAAAACAGTCCAAGTGAGACATGCTTTGCATCCTGATGAAGTTCTACGGTCAGGCCAGCCTTTCGACCCCGCTGATCATGTCCTCTCATCCAGCTCACCCAATTGCATCGAAAGCATATCATGTGACCAATAAGCCTTTCTGCGTGCTGTTGGCACGAATGATACTACCCACACGCTGCGCTGAGTCTGCTTATGAACGAGAAGTATGGGAACAAGAAAACGACATGCTTGAGGGTCTTCGCCAGGCAGGCAGCAGACAGACTGTGTGGACTCGAGAGGCAAAAAGGACATTTTCCGGCAACTGCCCATGTCCGCAGATGACTTGCGGAAGGTCCTGCACGTCTCTGCTAGTTCTGCATCGCGATCGATTCTTAGCGGGTGAGGGGGCAGGAACACGAGACTAAGCAAAGTGTACAGTTGCTAAATTTGGAGCTGTGGAAATCGCCAGCATGCGGGATTTTGCTTTTCTCCCACGCGTAGAACCGTTCGAAGGCAAAGAAACGCGAAATGTGGCTCTTCGTTCCTGCGCTGATTCCCATTTTGTCCCGTCTTGAAGGAATTATTCAGAGACATCCTCACTGTCGCGTGGCGGCTCGCTTGGGGCCACTCGGTCGAGATCTCGCATCTTAGGCTGCAAGCCAGCCTGATTCTGCCGAGAGATTTCGGGGTGGCAAAATGAATTCGCACAAATCAGCAAGGCCCGGGGCGCAGGTCTCTTTTCATGGATGCGCGCCTCCTTGCTTGGTTGCGTGGGTACTGACAGTGTATACACCGAGCCTTGCACTGATCGGCTCCCGTGCTTGCAAATCCTCGATGGTTGTGCTCGACCTCGACCTCTAAGAGGTGCTCAAGCACAAATCTTGCACTTCCAGTTCCCGCTTCCGTCTGTCGAGGCAATTTCTGTCGCCTACGGAACTGCATTTCACTAGAGACCTAGCAGCTTTTCGAACTCCGAACGGTCCAGATTCCAGGTCCGCGCACTTTCGTCGTTTTCCCTCTCCTCGGATGGCACGCCTGGAGGATGAATTATTTCCACCCTGATTTTCAGCAAATGCGGACCTTTGCCGGGGCACTAGAGCCCAGTTCCGCTGTTGTTGATCGATGCGTGACCGACCTTGGGCCAAAATTCTTGCCTCAACCATGAGAGAAAAAAAATAACAGAGCTTTTGCCCCATCCGCCACGGTAGGAAGCTGTCCTTGCCGAGAAGGCCACGCGGATGGACTGCAGCGAAACACGCAAGGGTTCCTCTGCAGCTTCCTTTGTTTCGCAGCTCATCTCCGCCTAAGCCTACTCGCCACTGCTCCCGTGTCAGTGTCCTTCGTGGCCGGCTGGCTCTACGGTATCTTTGTGCACATTGCCCTCGAACCCCGCTGCTCAGACGAACAGGGTGGTCGTCATCTCAGCCCGCCACTCCGCTCCCATTTACGATCCGCAGCAACCCTCATCCCTTGATCCGCATCAACATCCTGGCATCTCCCTTGCTCTTCTCAACTCGCCTGATTTCCGACATTCACTTTCCGAACCAAAGAGAACGGTTGACTGTAGCTCCGTTTGGCATTCGACGCAGCAACTGTCTCTGCATCCAGTCCAACAGCGCTCCTCAATCCTCCTCGCCTGCCTCGCTTGCGGTCCAAGCCTCGTCTGTACCGAAAAAGTCACCTGCCATTCACATCATCGTCCTCAGCATCCCCATCCACCTCACCGTCATCCACCATCCAACGACCTGCTATCTCTGCTCATCTGCTCCTTTTCGTTGGACGTCGCTTCGTCTTCGTCACTCTTTCAGACCCCCACGATCTTTCACCACTTAGCACGAGATCGGCATTTGCAGCGTCGCCATCACTCACTGACTCCCATCACACAATCACTGCGTCGTTCAGCGCCACTCTTCACTGCCTTTGGACCCGCACAGCCAGCATGCTCGACGTCTAAGCTCATCCATCGACCCTGTCTATCACACCACTGCTCCTGCAGCTGGACTCGCATCCGTCATCACATCATTGCATACCACAATCTTACATGATGGAGGCATCATCATCACCTGCTCCGGCACCAGGCGTCGCCACAAACGCCAATCAATCTGGCAGTCGCTGGCGCTCGGCCACAGCGCACGACGTCTACGCTGACAACCGTGATGAGGACATCTTTGGCTGGATCCAACCCGACGAATGGGACACCATCGCCGGGCCTAACAAGAGCAACTTCATGCGCGGCGAATGCGTCGAGTGTGCTCCCGAACAAGACCAATGCGCCCTCGTCCCTTCGCCACTGCAGAGCTGCGGAGGGCCCAGCTGTGGCTACGGTGCGCAATGCTGCGAGTACAGCCGTCGAGCAACTCACACTTCCGGCCCCTCACTACGCACCCCCGCTCTTCTGCTTCAAGGTAACACGCAAGGTAACACGAAAGCATCGTCAAACTCTCGAATCCAGGACCTTGCAAAGGCGGAGCAAAAGAGCAGCCTCGGTGTCAGCCTGATCGACATCATCCACGGTCGAAGCTGCCGCCCGATCAGTCTCTTGGATCTGCGTACCTTCCTTCACTTTCAGCGCCAGCCTCAGAAGCGTCTGCCTTCCTACTACCCAGCTTCCGACATGCAGAGCTCGGCTCTTGACGACTTCGACCTCAACCTCGACATGCCCACATCTTCTACCGCCTCCTCGCCTTCCTCACCCCAGTTCGCCAAGGAGAAGCCAGCAAAGCAAGCGGCGCAACGTCTTCACTACGACGAGGTGGACGCTCTCGACTTTCTGGTAGCGTACGAGCGCTACCTCACCAAGTTCAGGGATCAGCCGCGCGCAGATCGCCTCAAGAGTCCCGACCCGGCTACCTGCAAGGCCGCCGTGCGCGCATATGTCCGCCGCGCTGCCAAGCCACGCGCATCTTCCGATCTCACCGCAGCCGACGTTTTGCGTCAAGGGCCTCACGACGCGGACGACTTGTCCGACATCCCTGAGGAGGTCTCGCGAGAGGTGCTTGCTCGACTACGACCTGCTGATCTAGGTCTCAAGCCCGAATCGCAGCCGCTGCGTGTCGAGTTCGATCGTCTCGTCCATCGCTATCTCTGCTCGCGACGTGCCTGCATCCTGCCGAGCACCCGCAGACCTTTGAAGAAGCGAGCTTCCAACTCATCCTCCGACACCAAGCATGACGCACCCGACTCGCCACTTCACCAGATGCTCGGCTCATCTAAGAACGACAAGTTGCCCCGTCTCCGCTGGATGGTCGACGTAGGTCTCATCTCCGAGGGCCAACTACAGCTGGCCCTGGCAGAGTGCGACTTTTCGACGCATCCCGATGTGCTTGCACCCATTGCAGAGGCCGTGTACGCCTACATGTCGCAGCACGTTGTACCCTTCTTTTTCATCTCGGTTTCGCGCAACCTGAGCCCCAACACCAAACGGGGCCGTCTCTTGATCGGCATTGTTTGCACAGTCATCGCGCTCACATTCAGCATTCTACTCATCGTCACGCCCTCGCCGCTCGCACCACGCGCCAATCGTGGCACTGGCGAGATCTCGCGATGGTGGCGACTCTTGACCGCTCCACTCTGGTGTGCAGGTCTCGGATACATACTCGCTTACTTTACTGGGCTGTGTGTCTGGCTCACGTTGCGCGGCAACCGCGAACCCGATGAAGAGGAGGAACGCGAACGCGAGGAGATCCGGTCGCGCATCTCTGGTGAAGACGTCGTCGGGTTCGACCTTGCCGAGCTCCAAGCTGCTGCGGACGAGAGGGACAGGGATGCCGAGCTGGAGGCCAATCCTTGGATGGCGCCCGAAATTGCCAATATCCTGACGGGCATCGCCGGACCAAAGAAGGACAAGCACGGGAGGCAACGAGCCACCTCCGATGTTCGAGGTGGCCGCAGCGCACGTGCGGCCGAAGAAGGACGCGCTCGTTCGAGGTCCGAGGTCGCGGCCGACTTGCCCATTTCTGCAAAAGCCTCGTTCGATCAATCGTTCGCAGATACTTCCAACGCGATCGCATTGCAGGCCTATATGGAGAAGGACGCCGCTCTCACTGCGCCAGCAGCCATCGTCCTACATACGCCAAGAAAGCAGGCCGCGTTGCCCGGTACTCCGGAGTCCGCCGGTCGCACCGCGGCCCTGCTCTCTGTCGCGGATTTGAGCGCGGCAAACTCTGCCAGACCAAGCATGGATCGTGCCCGGCCCTCGCTCAACGACCTGCGTCAAACCGATGCAGTCTCCTCAGCCAATGGCGGAAGCATCCCTGCATCCGCTCTGATGAGGCAGAAGCGCGTTCCCCTGCTCAACTTTTCGATTGGCATCACCAGCAAATCGGGACACGAGCTGACAGACGACCGCGTTGACACACCAGTATTGACGCGTGACGCACTGCTTTTCGATCCCGAACTCGCGGCACGAGTCACCTCACCGGGGCTTCACGAGGCCAGTGCGGGGCGCAGTACGAGTGGAGGCTCTGCCCACGGTTCGCCTCCGGCGGCCGATCGACGCAAGTCGCTTGCACACGTCTTGCTGCCGCTCAAGTCGAGTAGCCGCATGCAAACGCACCTCGACGGTGCCGAGATGACTCCGCACGCTGGCGAGCGATTCGGTGTCAGCGACGGCGAAAAGGAAGGCGTTACCTTGCCCAAGATCCCGGAACCGATCGCGATACCCCCAGCTGAGCTTGATGGACGCGACATTGCCCCGTGGTCGGCGCGGTCGGCAGTGAGCTCCCGTGGGCCGATCTCGTCCAGGGCACTGCTGTTCTCCCTTCCAAGCACGCGCAGGTCGCACTTGTCGGCCGCCACCGGCACCACCTTGGTGAGCCCTTTGCCCAACATCTCATCAGCTTCTAAACGTGCGTACGACGAGTCGCCCAATGCCAGCTTCAAGGAGCGTGTTTGGAGGACCATCCAACGTGGCACTGGTTTCGCTATAGGGACCGAAAAGGTGCTCGACGCTCGCGTACGTCGCGCACAGCAGATGAAGGCGCTTCGCATCATGGCGCTCAATACGATCGCCACTGTTGTAGCTGTGGTCATTATTGTCGCCATCCCCTGATCGTCTTTTGCATTTTTTTGTATTCTGTTACTCTCTCTCTTTGTTCGCTCGGAACTGTACTTGTATTTCTTCGTTGCTCATATCCCGAGCAAATTCTGGTCACCTCTTGTTTCTTACTATCACTCTTCGATCAGGCATGTCTTGCCAATGGATACCCTTACCATTCAGTCATAGTTTGATACACGACTGATCCCCGCAGATTGTGTGACCCGTCAACGCCTACGGAGATTGTGCCAACGATCGGAGAGAGCGAGGTAGCAGTTTCGGATGAGCCGGACGTGTCGGGCTAAAAACCGCACAATTCCCGCTTCCGCTTCGCGACTTTTGACGCTTTCCCCACGCCTTGCCAGACAACCCCGCAATTAAGCTCGCAACCAGACTCACAGCCGACGGTCGACTCGGTCTCGCCGATGCTCGTCCTTGCATTCCAGTTTCCACTGCAGCCCTCTCTCCCTTCTCGACCATCACATCGTCTCAGCAAATCCACCTTCTCGGAGGGTCACGCCATGATGCTGCAACCGCTCGCAAGATCAGCGCTGCTCGGCGCAAACATCTCAAAACGAACGCTTGCAACTGCCGTCAAAAATCCCAACTTTGTCAAGATTGTCGAAGTCTCACCTCGAGACGGTTTGCAGAACGAAAAGATCATCGTCCCTACCGCGACCAAGATCGAGCTCATTCGTCGTCTTACCGAGACCGGTGTCCCCGTGATCGAAGCTGGATCCTTTGTTTCGCCCAAATGGGTTCCTCAGATGGGCGACACGCCGCAAGTGGTAGCTGGCATGCCCATCCACCCATCGATATCCTACCCTGTCTTGGTGCCCAACATGCGCGGACTCGAAGGTCTGCAAAAGCTCCTCTCCAAATACAAAGACGGAAGCAAAGGTACACCGCCTACAGACGAGATCGCCATCTTCACCGCCGCCTCCGAATCCTTTTGCAAGGCCAACACCAACTGCACGATCGCTGAATCGCTCGACCGACTGTCCGAAGTCACTTCGCGCGCCATCGCTTCAGGCCTCAAGGTACGAGGCTACATCAGCGTAGTCGCTGGATGCCCCTACGAAGGCAAAGTCGACCCAGAAGCCGTTGGTCGAGTCTCGAAAGCACTCTTGGACATGGGCTGTTATGAAATCTCCCTGGGCGATACCATCGGTGCTGGGACTCCCTCCGTCATGGAGCATGCACTCAATTCGAGTCTGAAACACACCAATGTTTCGCCGGAATACTTCGCAGCTCACTGTCATGACACGATGAACACAGGGCTGGCAAATGTACTCCACATGGTCAAATTGGGTGTCAGAACAGTTGACTCGGCAGTGGGAGGTCTGGGTGGATGTCCGTATTCGCCGGGAGCCACGGGAAACATCGATACAGAAAGCGTCGTGTTTGCATTGCATGGTGAGGGGTATGAGACGGGCACAGATCTTGACAAGCTCGTAGATCTGGGTGATTGGATCAACAAAGAGATTGGGAGAAACAACGCAAGCAATGCGGGTCGGGCGATTCTAGCCCAGAGAAAGATCAGGGCTGAGAGAGCTGCTAAGCAGGCTGCTCAAGGGGCGAAGCTGTGAAGATACTCTATCGGCTACCAGGTACACTAGGTGCAGGGACAATGACAAGTATGCGTGCGTCTGAATTCAATGAGTTGCGTGGTGTCATACAGTGTGATGGTGAGGAACAGAAGTCCGGATATCGGCAGCACTTGAAAAGCGCGATCAGACCTCCACCCTGTGCGGGCGGTTTTGGAAGCGAGAACGTGGACATGCTCTTCGGCCATCCTGTCCTCCCTGTCACATCACACTTGCTTCCTCCTGCTCTTACCATTCAATCGCTTCTTGCATCATGATCCCATCACATCGGTAGGACCTCCCCGTCCGTCAAGCCTTCTCTCCACACACGCTTCCAAGATGGCTCCGAAGCAACCTCCTCGCATCCCGGCGCCTCCCCCCTCTGCCACCAACTTCCTCTTGCGCACCAGCCTCTACCTACCCATCGGCCTAGCCACGGTCTACCTCACCTTCTTCCTCGCCCTCCTCACCCCTCTTTTCCAACGAAACTTTATCTTTCTCCACTCGATCCAATTCCCCTTCTTTCCTTCCTATCACAAACCCGAAAAGTACGGTCTTGCACCGTTCAAAACTCGACCTCTTTCACTCACCACCTCGGACGGCGAGACGATTGGAGCATGGCACGTTCTGCCCGAGCTGTACTACCAACAGCGTTTGAGTTCCTCTCCTGATTTCGAGTGGGACGATGACGTGTATCAACGATCGATGCAACTTCACCCGACCATCATCTACCTGCATGGAAACTCGATGAATCGAGCAGCACCGTTTCGCATCGCCGCGTACCAATCGCTCACCAGTCGAATAGACGCAAATGTCGTCGCGATTGACTACCGCGGGTTCGGTGATAGCACTGGTACACCCAGCGAACAAGGTCTCGTTGAAGATGCCGAGACAGCCTACCGATGGATCCGTCAACAACAGGGTTCATCGAAACAGAAGATCACGGTCTTTGGACAGAGTCTAGGAACGGGAATCGGTGCACTTCTAGCTGCAAAGCTCGAGCAGCAATCAACACCTTTGGACAGTCTCGTACTCATGGCACCGTACACATCTCTCAAAGCACTCGTCAAAGACTTCCGGTTAGGCGGAATCCTTCCTCTCCTCAAACCAATCTCCCTGATCCCTTTCAACGAAAACATCCTCGACGCCTTCCTCAAAACTCACCTCAACACTCTCTACACCTTACCAAAACTCACTTCATCCTCATCCACTTCGAACCGACAAACCTCCATCGTCCTCCTTCACGCACACGATGATCCCGTAATCCCCATATCCCACTCCCGAACACTCTTCAAAACCATGCTCGATGCCACATCCAACAACGTATCGATCCAATCGAGAAACGTCACAGACTACGCACACGTTCAGCGGTTCAAGCCCAACGCCAAAAAGCCAGCGCAAACAGTGACACTCGTAGAGACCAAATTCGGCGGTCATAATCAGTTGACAGAGGGCGGATTGGATCTCGTTCGTCTCGCACTGAAACTGCCGTCGCATCTGGCGGGGTCGGGATGATCAGAAGAAGCGATCCTGGCGATTGCTCGAACTAGTTGCTTTGATGTATAGTACAAATTGCGAATAGATACCCATTGCTTTTCTCTCTCCCTGTCGTCCGACCCCCTCACCGCATCAAACTTGAAACGACGGCAAAGCGTACAACCCAGACTCCCGTCCCAGAAAGCCGAATCCGAGCAACACCTCCATCTTCCGACTGTGCCACCCAATATCGCCCGTCACATGACCGTTGCAGTCGGCCAACCTTTGCAGCGCGATGCGACGCGGATGGTCCAAAGGCAGATCCCGCACCACTTCATCGCGTGGCACCAGCTTGACATCCGAGGGGAGCGAGTACGATGCAGCGACGATGTGACGCGAACGCGATCTCGAGCCAGAGCCGCCACCCACCGAATGAGCTCTTCGGATCGACGGAATCGTCGGCCGTGCCGAGGGAGAGTGAGATGCGGGTGGAACACGGAGCAGTGAACGCGAGGCGCGATCCTCGCCGTCGTCCTCGTCGTCGTACCTCACCGATCGGCCCCTCCTCAGGCTCGTCTCGCGACCGCCGTCGTTGCCGTCCCCTGATCCCCTATGCTCCATCGGAACGCCGACATTCGGCATGACTTCGACATCCTCCATCAACGCTTCGTCGCTAGCTTCCGGGTTCGGACCAGCCGCGATGTCAACCACCCAGCCTCTCCTTCCAGCTCCTCGAATCACCTTCCAGCTGCCAAAGCCTCCCCTGACACTCCTGAGCGAGGCCTGATTGAGTCCAACCACTCTCAGATTCGTTGCTGCCCTTGCGTTCGCCGGCATGCTCGGTGGCGGATCTGAGCCGGTCTTGAAGCCCATCATAGCGAGCTGTACCGAGATTGGGATGGGCGGCGTCTTGGCACACGGCCCCACAAGGACGCTCTGCAGATGTACCGCATTGATGGCGCTCGAGTCGTGGCTGTCGTAGCCGGGGATGTTGGTGGTGAGTCCCTCGGTGGAGGAGCGAGATGTGCACGAGTCCGAGAGCTCGAGAATTTGTACGTTGGGTGCGCGATCACGCAACAGCTTGCTGACAGCTTCGAGCCTGATGTCTGGACAGTGCGAGAGGCCGAGATCGAGCAGAGAGGGCTGAGGACCAATCAGGCCGAGCAGCTCGTCGGTGAGTGCACAGCCGCCAATGTCGAGATAGCGCAGTTTGCCGGAACGGAAGCAGGGCGCCTGCGTGATGATGACTCGAAGATCTTCCGATTCGACGGGGGTGGGAAAGATAAGCGTTCCTGCGAGGGAAAGCTCAACAAGACCTTGGGTGCAAGAAGCGTCTACGAGCAGCTCTGCGACAGACTCCGAGGTGATACGCTTGCAGAATGCCAAAGAGAGGCTCTCGAGCTGGAGCTGGTGCGAGCTGCTGAGCGCATTGAGCAGTGCAGCATCCACCTTGGTCCTCGAGAGATCGAGGTGGGTGAGTCGGGGGAATGCCGTCACGAAGGGATTGAGGAGATCGTTGTCCAGAGTGACACCAGACAGGCCGAGCCGATTCAAAGATGGAAAGGTGGTGGGCCTTGCAGGATGGCGACTGGGACCGTCTCCGTCTCGCCGTCTCGTCGATACAGACCGACTGACGCTCTTACTTCGCTGCCTACCAGAAGCGCTCCGCCCACGACCACGTTCTTCGTCTTCGCCATCGACGTCCATGTCAACCTCGTCTGACTCGACCTCCTCTTCCACTGTGTTGGTAGTTCTGCCGCTGAATTTCTTGAGGTGCGTCTGCACAAACTCTTTCATGGCTTCTTGAAAGCGCGAAGAGACGCACTCGCAGAGGTCGAGCGCCTGGAGCATCTTGTTAGAGCGACCGCTGCTGCGTTCGACGGAAACCCCACGAAGTCGGCTGGGCTTGCTGTACTCGCCATCACGAAAGAGGAGCGCCTCGAGCACGTCGTTGGACAGCGCCGAGTCCATGGTCTCGCTCGCACCAAACGCAACCAGACCGTCAGCAGCGGTGACAAGAGCAAGCAGACGAGCCGGAGTGACAAAGCGCTGATCCATGCCTTCGCCAATGGTGCGTCGCATGCCCTGAGTGCGGAAGTTGGAAAAGTCGACGAGACGCACCCAGTGGTGAAGCGTGCTGGCGTCTTCGTCGTGTTCTTCTCGAAGAGTGACGTGGTAGACCGGGCTCTCCGGCGTAGATGTGGGATCCTCGGTCCAGATGAGCTCGATTTCGCCGTCTTGATCCGCGTTGATGCGAACAAAGTTTCGGCGCGACACGGTTCGGCTCAAGGACGAGGCACGCTCTGCGACAGCAGCGACGGCGGCGGCATGCTTGGATGGAGCTGGGCTTTGGTTGCGACTTGCTGGTGGAGTGGGAGTTGCTGTGCCACCAATGACGAGCTTGTGTCCAAGCGCGTGCGCAAACCCTGCGGCTGCGACCATGTTGACAAACGAGGCTGGATCGGAAGGATCGGCGTTGATGCTGCCGGTGAGAGCATACTTTTCGTAGGCACTCGCCAAGTGAGAGGCGCCGAGCGATCTCAAGAGGAGATTGAAGCTGTGAGGAAGCGTGATCTGGATGCGACGAAACAGGAGCACCCTGGCCTCGTGGTAGAAGGCTTTGTTGACGAGGCAGAGGTTGTAGAGCGTCTTGCGGGTATCATTCTGAGTGGAAGAGATCTTGCGACCATCCGGGTATGAAGAGGGAAGCCCGTGCGGATCAATGTTGCGAAAGGAGGATTTCGGGATGGAGTCGAGCCATACTAGGCCGACGATCTCGCGCAGGATCTCTGTGGGCAGGTCATCGATGCTAGCTCCGCGTCCGGACGAAGCCATGTCTCGACGGGACGAGAGATGGCGTGGGGAGCGCTGAAAGTGAGTGCGAAGGTGACGGCGACTGTTGGACGCCTCGTGAGCGGCGTGGAAGCAATCGGATGTTGGTGGTGGTTGGAGAGCAAGGAAGAGCGGCGGAGGATCCGACAAGAAAGCCAACGCCTCGAATCGGCACGTCAAGTCCGGAGTCACAAGGTTGCTGAGCCGTCAGCCGCCCCCTTTTGTGGAGAGGCGCAAGCGCGAAGAAGTAAGTCACTTCGGCTTCCAAGCAAAGGGTCCTGGCTGAGACCAGCAAAGTCAAAATTAAGGTTGTCACTGCGCTGATTTTGCTCAGCCTGCTTGCTGAACGCAAAGCGCGCCTCCTGAGTGTGTGACCGCCTGATCCAACAAACTCTGCCTGCAACTGTAAAAGTGGAGGACCAGCAAGGACCAGGAGGAAGATGCACGAGCTTCTTCTCTTCTACACTTTCATCAGCAGACGTTCATCACCCTCACTCTGCTCACTTACGAGACTTTTGCAGAGGAATAGCATTGCATCGACACCATATGGCCAGAGCCAAAATGACCACAGCGCACGACTATCCCGAGCTGGAGAACATTCCTCCCGCACCGCCTCGCTCGACACTTTCACCTTCCGGAGCCGCACAAGCTAATCTCGTTCCAAGGTGGGCCGCAGCCATCTTCTCGACATTCCCGATTCACACATATCCCGCTGCCCAAGTGCACTCACCGACCATCACCAGCCCTCCGGCCAAGCCGACTCTGTATGTGGCTCCTCATTTGAATCGCGATGGCTCTCTGTCCTCGCTTCACGATAACGGACATCCCTCAGGCGCAGCTACCCCGTCATCGCCGTCAGGCTGGTCGAGTAGCGATCCTATCGCCCTGCGCTGGCAGATGGAGTTCCTGTTTCGTCAGGCCAAGCTCGATGTGCGCTTCATCGACCCCTCGCACAATTGGGGCCCAGCAAAGTCGATGCCTTTCCTCCATCTCCCGCCTCGATTCCGCAGCAGGGGCTCGTCGTCACTCCTCTCCGCGGTCGAGATTCCGCATTTGATCGATAATGAGTACCCTACATCTCGATTGGAGCTGGGCGAAAAGCAGAAGTCGGCGTGGGAGGACCGCTCGACCGAGCTAGAAGCACGGAGCTGGCAGAGCCTCATCCAGGGTCGAATCATGGCCGGCGTGCTGCTCGCTGTTTTACTTTCGCCTCAATCAGCAGCGTACGTCAAGACAAATTCGCAGCCCTACCTCTCTTCACTCCTCTCCGCACATCTTCAAAATTCGTTCTTCGATCAGCAGCTCCGGCGCATCTCGGCACTCAACCCGTCTGCGTCCATCGCAGCAGCGTCGTCGTCGTCGTCGGCCAGCAACTCCTCGACATCGGCTCAGCCGACAACAGCCCTCCCTGGCTGGGAGGTGGGCTTCCTCGGCTGGATTGGCGCAACCACTGCTTCGGCCGCTTCCACCTTCTCGGCAGCAGACCTCGACTCGCGAGGCGGCGGGGACACACCAGGTGCTACACTTGCCAGCGCATCTGTCGACCAAGACAAAGTGACTGCAGACGCAGCTGCTGGTCTGCAGGCTCTTGCTGCACGAACGAAGGGACAATTGTCTTCTCAAACCTCAGACGATTCGCAGTTTTTGCTCGACGCAGAACAACCGACATCGCTTGATGCTCTGGCATTCAGCGTGATACACACTGTTCTGACGCTTTCTGCTACGCCTCAGTCGGAAGGGAAGCTGGCAAACGAGCCCCTCGCTAAACTCAAACGAGTGCTCGATGAAAGCCCGTGGCTGGTCGGATGGTCCCGACAGATTTGGAAGAAGTACCTCAAGGATTTGGATCGCTCATGACCTTGTAATATAGCCCGACGTTGCGTTGTGATCTGATTGCAATACGATTTGGTCTCATGCCGCTTGTTTTGGAGGCGTGTATCCTTCCGCCTGACGTACGAGCTCTTCTGTCTTGGCCGCCATGACAAAGTCGTTCTTGTGAAGCTGTTCGGAGGGACGTCGCGCAAATGTCTGTCAGCCGATGCTGTGTCCTTCCACCTTCTGGACGTGTCAGTGAGACTTACCCCATTGATAGCATGACTCCACCACCACACAGTCACTCTACCCCACTCGACCATGATAGCAGGATGATGTCCTTCCTCCTCTGCTAGCGTTCCGAGACTGGCTGCAAACGCTTGTGCCGAGACAAAGTCTTTGAACTTGTACGTGCGGTGCAGCGCATCGGGATGTGTGGCCTTCGAGGAGAGCAACGTCTTGGGCTGTGCAGATAGCGACCATTTTCCCGTGAGTGTTGAGAGCATCTGCTTGGCATCTTCTTGCGACATGGCCGGAAGCGCCGCCGTGCACGGCTCGCACTTGTGCTCTGTGAGCGGAGGAGCCGACATGGCGCGGTTCGAGGTTGTGATCGGGCGGAGAGACAATTGATTCAGCAATGACCGTTGTGATATGCGTGTGATGCTGAGTAGTGGTCTCTGCAAACGAAGCATCGCTACTTCAGGTTGTGGTCGTTGCCTGCCACTCGATAGAGCAAGTAGCTTTGACTGTCATGATCCAAGACTTTTCGAGCGAAGTGGAGTAGCCAAGCCGATTTCCGAGTCGAGCTTCGCTCTCGGACTGGACCCTGGATTTCGTGCATCAGTTTCGCCAACTTTCTTCCCTACGAGCACCTCCCACAACCACCACAGGCCCGAAGCAGCGCAATCCACAAGGATATAGCCAAGATGACAAGCACAACGTCGATACCTCCTCACTGAATTGAGCGTTCTCAATGACGTACCAACACGAACCCGAGGCTGTCCTAGCGCAGCTCCGCGAGTCTCGTCTTTCATCTGACGAACGACGCAAAGCGCTCGACACGTTCCGCACAGCCATCGAGGCTCTGGAGCCCCAAACTCTCTCGTCGATTGCAAGCACCGCGATCCGCAACAGTCCCAATGACGTCCGTCGCGTTGCTCTCCAGATACTCTCGTCCCGCATCGAGTCTGATTCGTTTCGGGAAGTCACGGACGGCCACAGCCAAGAAGCTGTCAGCGAGCTCATGGAAGCAATCGAAGGCTTTCTGAGGACCACGCTCAAAATCCAGAGCACAAGGGCTCTCTCCACCACCTCTCGCCCCACACTTGATATCGCCAGCCTCTCTATATCGTCGCTCCGAGCTACGGCTGCTGCGCTGAAGACGCTGCATGCGCTGATCCGTCTAGCCTCATCGAACAAGGGACGGGCTGCAATATCATCTTCACAGAGCGTTGCTAGGCTTCCAGGCCTGCTCGCCTTGTTCGACATTATCCTTCCATGTCTCTCAGCCGGGGCTCGAGTATCCCGCCCCGCGACTGGCTCTATCTCACGGTCAAGCTCGAGCTTGCAGGTTGGCGCCTTTTCTTGGAACAATTCGTCCGCACTTAAACGCACACAGTCGTCGTCCATCAAGCTTGACGGAGACGCTAGCTCGGAATCTCCAGCTTTTCGACGTCACGAGGAGGATCTTTCCGCTGATGAAACAGATCGCAAGAGCGACAAGAGCGAAAGCGAGCGGAGTGACTTTTCATCGGCCTCTGTGATTACTGCATCATCGCGCTCCCGGAAAGACGAGTCGCGGCTGCAAGAAGCCACGACTAAGCTCATCCGCCAGAACGCTTTGCACTGTCTTATCGAGCTCAACCGTCGAGAGTCTCGAGCTCTCATATCACGTTGGAGCGAGCTTTTACCCGATCAGCCTGCCCCGCTCAACCCGCAAAGTGCTACTGCAACGCCGTCTTCCGCCTCACGCTTCCCCGCGTCCTCTTCCACCTCGACAGCCTCTTTCTCTCTCTGCACACTCATCACACAAGATGCATCGACTTCGGTCCGTATCGCAGCGATGGAGACGCTGGGATCGCTCCTCACACTAGGATCACAACAGCTCTCAATAGCGCAAGAACGAGCTCAACGTGCATTGTCATTCACATCGCTATCGTCGCAGTTGGCGAGTTGGATCGTCAACATTCGCACGTATCTGGTCGTCGCGCTGCAGCGTGCTGCCACTGCCCAGCGTGCGTCTGCTAAAGCAGAAGCAAGTGTGGGGCTTACCAGATACCCTTCATTGTTGACGGTGGCATTGCTGCAGTTGGCACGTACGTTTGTGGGCAGCACGGCAAAGGCGAAGCTCGTCACGCCCAACGCTATGGTGCTGGGACCAGTTGTCACGCCTTTTGCCTCGCACAGTGATCCGCAGGTACAGGCGGAGGCCAAAAGGCTGATTGCTGCAATATCACCGACGTCTGTTGCGGCTCGAGACAAAGCACAGGGCTTGCGTGGCTTTGCCACACGCATGGACAGCACCATCTCTTCCTCCGGAGCAGAGAACTCTGCTTCATCCCAAACATCGCCCTTTGCGGAGGTTCAGAGCCTGGACCTGACCAATCTCATCAGCGAGGGCATAACCGCCTCGCCCGAGACGTGCAACCGCGTTCTCACTTTGCTTGAAGCGGCTGATAACCCAGTTGCCCATCTTTCCACCTGGTCCGTCCTTGTCAAACATCTGGCAGAACCTTCTGCACCACAGCTCGATTCCCAAGCACCTTCACGCGTGATCGCGATGTGGCAACGTCTATGCAGCGAGTCAAGGTTGACGTCAGATCAGCTGTGCACCCTTCTTTCGACGATTCCGGACCTCTATGGAGCGCTTTCGAGGCATTCCAGACTGGACAGCCCTGTGTCGAGTGTCATCTTGCAATACGTCGAACGTTGCTGTGCAAGCAACGACGAGGGTATCCGAGCAGCAGCCGTGCGCGTGTTTGGCCTGCTCGTGCTGCCCTCTGACACCACCATCAAGCAGGACGACCAACCTCAACGAGCTATTTCCGAGACCTTGCATGTCATCCTGTGGGGCCGTGGCGATACGAAGCAAACCGGCGCCTTGCACGACAACTCGACCTTGGTACGCCAGCGAGCAGCGTGGACATTCTCGAACTTGGTTGAGGCACGCTTCCGCTCTTCGACGCACATCGGCGAACACGAATGGATCGCACAAGCGAGATACTGCCTCGAGGCGGGCAAGGATATCGAAGGTGTCGCTGTGTCGGCGTGTCGTGCATCGGGACATCTGCTGGCGTTGTTGCAACCTGCGCTGGCGTCGAGCTCGGTGTGTCGTTCGTTAGGCAGATCGCTCCTCGAACAGCTTTGCAGAGTGCTGGGAACCACATCGAAGCCGCCCAAGTCGAGATGGAACGCAGCTTCGGCGTTGGACCGCGCGCTCTGTTCGGACGTGGTTTTGACCGCCCTTCTGGATGAAGCGCTGATGGATCGAGTTTTGGACCTGCTGTGTTCGAACCTGGATGCTAAGGTGTACAAGGTCCGTGTGAGCGCGGCGAACGCTCTCGTGTCGCTGTGCAAGTCGGAGAGCGCCAGTCGTCGTGACGTGCCAGGCGAGCGGCGACTTGGAAGGATACGAAAAACCGCTGCGGCTCGACTAGCCGAACTCCAGCAGCCGACGCAATCGAAAGAGGCGACGCTGTACTTGGAAGAACTTCGGCGACTCTTGGATACCCTCTTAGCATCAACTTGATCGCTTTGTCCTTTGTGAACAATGCAATATGACCTCATCCATGCTTGCTCTAGGACCGACCGCTGTCGTCACGAAGCGTGCTTACGGAGCTCCACCTCTTGACACCGTCTACACTCGCTTGAGACTGTGCTGTCGGCTGTGACTGTTGTAAGATCGGTTGAGCCTCTTCGTCTTCTTCGTCGTCATATCTGCTATTGCAGATGGAAGAGTTGTTGCAGCAGCTGATGCATCGACACGACTCTCGGCAGGTTTGAAGACATCCGTCGATGCAGATGGCGAACACCTCTGTGCAGACGGTGAACAGCCCGACGAGTGGTTCGATGAGGATTCCGATGCAGTGTTCCATGTTTGTGCTTTTGTCGAGGGGCTTAGATGTGGGGTGATGCTGTGAAAGGAGATGTGTGACGAAGCCGGTGGGCTGGATTTGAGGGGTGGGGTGTGATGGTTAGGAGCGAGCGAAAAAGATGTGGGGTGGGGGGAGAAGACGCAGGGTCGTGCGCGCAGATAGCTTCGGTGGACCCTGCTCCGGCGTCATCCTTTCCACCGGAAGAAGTGGATCTGTATCATTTTAAGTGAGAATTCTGTGGTCGCCTTTTCGCATTTATTTTTCTGTTCTTTGAATTCTTTTCTCTGCGGGAGCCGTCGCAGGGTCCAAGTCTACGTGCCGTTCGCTGAGCAGTCTGCCGAACACGAACAGCAACTGCCACCCCGCTCGCCGTCAAGACTGCTCTGATACCCGCACAGCTTAAACGTGAGCCGTGCATAAAGTCGCGTCTCAGAAGCGCTTGTAACGCTGTACGACCTTCCATCTTCTTCAACTCTTCATACCATCATCGCCACCATCCCTCCGCGCTCCTGGACACCACGAAGCAATTGACACTCAAGATGAAGCACACGATCATGGCTTCTGCCCTACTCTCGCTCAGCATCTTCCTTCTGGGGCTCTTTTCGTCCACCCTCGCCCAAGCTATCTCCCAACCACCAGCCTCGCTCCCCGTCGAGTCCTACAGCGATGATCCACTCATCACCTCTGCATCCGCCGCTCTCTGCTCGCTCCACTCTATCCTCGGCAGCGAATCCGCCGCTCACGGTATCGGCCCACTCACCGTCAATCCGAACTGCATGTCCCTGACGCTGCAATCTCGCACTGCCACTTCCTCCGTCAACGCTCAGACGATTCCTTCCTCCGGAGTCGCCACCATCTTCCAACCCAGCTCTTCTGGCGTCAGCATCTCTTCGGCACAACCTACCACCGCCCCACTCGTATCTTCCTCCAGCACCGGCGCTGGTTCGAGTACCAGCGGTAGCTCAACAGCCTCAGCTCCAAGAGCAACAAATGCGGGGGTGTCGCAGAACCGTCCACCTACAGTGGCGAGTTGGGTGGCGAAGAACAATATCGCTGTACTGCTTTTCAGCACTTTTGCGGTGCTGGCTGGTGTGACGTACTTCTTGGACGAACTGTTGGGTATGTTGGTTTGATGAGGGAAGAAAGGAGTCGGGATGGTCTTGATGGTGCGGAGATGCGGATTTGTAATTCTTGTAGTTGGAGGCGTGGAGATCGATACCCAGTTCTGAACGAAAGGTTCGCGAATGTGTTAGTGGACTGTGCAGAATAGATGAAGAGCCTTGTGAGGTGAGGAAGGCGCGTTTTTGGAAGTCTGTGGTCAAGAGCGACTGATTGCGATCGGGGAATGGCGTGCATGTGGTTGGGTTGGAAACATGCTTCGTGGACTGTCGAAGGCGACTGTGGGCGATGATGAGCCTGTGACACACGTCGAAGAAGCGCTGCTGCTGCACAAGATGATTGCAGGCGATGTGCCCAGTCTTTCTGCCACTCTTACACAATCTCGTCGAATTTTGTCCTATCCATGTCGACAGCGCACACACCGACCTTGCGCCGAGCGACTCAGGGTCATACACAACCGTGGTTCGTTGCCTCTCGTTGACTCGTGGGCGTCGGGCGGAGCCATGCTTTCCCTTTAGTAGATCCTTGGAAACGACGGTCATGGATGCTCGGATCGGATGTCCCGTCCAAGTCAAGCTTAAGCTTACGATCACACACACTCTTCTTTTTCCCACGCTCGATCTCATTCACCCCACCTCAATCTGCACGAATCACCCAGTTCTCCTGCACTCTCGGACCTCTTCCGATTGTGCATCTTCAGGAACCCGCACAACAGACGCTCGGGCCTCAGACGGCGCACGTGGTTATGACTTTTTCATTTTTCCATTAGCGAGAATGTAGTAGTCGACAGCGCCAAAGGAGGGAGTCGAAACAGGTCGTTCCACTGCCGTTCTTATAGCTATAAGACGATTTACAGGAATCGTATGTAAAGGTGCTTGGATGCGGGTATCTATGATGCGGCTTGTGCGAAAAGAAGAGGAAAATGAAGCAAATTCTGAGGCAGGATTGCCGCCGAAACTTTTCTTACATGGCATGCTTCGACATGCCGCGAATCTTGGATCCGTACTTGAAAAGCAAGAACGGAATCGGTACCATGATGAGCGCAATGAACGCTAGAAGCGTAGAAGCCCATTGCGGGTTCAGCGCAATATACATCTGAGACGCGAACAGGGGAAACCCGAACCCAGCCAGGGAACGGCATACGGTGTTGGCAGCAAGAGCGGAAGCAGCGTTGGCCAAGTAGACGTCGATGAGGTAGTTGAAAACACCCAGGAAGCAGAACAGTACTCCGAATCCAATCAAGCTACCGGCCATCATAGGAGACCAGAAGCTGACCGAAGGATACGACGTCCAGCCAAACCAGAAGAATGCAATCGTGAGACATGGTCCGGCGAGCATGATGGGATACAGACGCTCCTCGGGAGGAACACGGTTGATGCCCTTTGCCTTGAGCGCATCAGCCTCCTTGGCGTATTTAGGGTTGAAATAGGCCACGTAGAGCGCAACTGCGGCACATCCTCCCAAGAAGAATGGTACGAACATGACGCCATTGATGCCAGAATTGAAACCATGACCCTCTTGAAACACGATGGGATAAGCCTCGAACAGCAGGTATACCACACCGTAGACAAAAGAGAGATAGATTGTCATGACGAGGAGCATCGGCTCTTGACCGAGCATGATGAAGGGTTTGAGGATGGTCTTGTTGAGGCGATCCTTCCATTGGATCTGGACGAGTTCGATGGGAGCCTTGTACCGGTCGTCCCCGGTCTCCTTGCGGATCCTGCGCGCCTTTTTGAGCAGGATGATGGGAGCGTAGGTCTCGGGGAGGGTGAGGACAACGAGGGTAAGGCAGACACCCGAGAAAATGGTGCAGACCCAGAAGAGCCATCGCCACGAAGTGCCGCTAACCGCGATGAAGCCCGAGACAATGGGACCGAGGGCAGGTCCTGCGAATGGAGCGAGCGAGAAGAGAGAGAGCGCGATACCACGGGTCTTTGCGTCCCAAAGATCGGCAATCACACCACCGGAGTTGGTGAGCGGTGACGCGGCAAAAGTTCCAGAGAGAAAGCGGAAGACGAGGATAGATGCGGTGTTTTGAGAAAGTGCACAACCGACGTTGAAGCAAGTGTAGACGAACATGGCGACGATGAAGATAGGCCTGCGTCCGAATTGCTCGGAAAGGGGACCCCAGAGGAGAGGACCAAGACAGTAACCGGCGATGAAAATGGAAAGACTGAGAACGGCGACTTCACGACCGAAACCGAACTGTGCTTCGAGTTGAGGAACGACGCCCGAAGGCGCAGAGGAGGTGAAGGTCGAGTTCAACACGAGAAGACCAGCAAGCATGGTCAGGTACCACCGATAGGCCCTGGACCAGGTGAATGGATTTTCCGAGTCATTCTCGCCCTCCCAGTGTACGATCACGACATCTTTGCCGGCTTGCGACTGGAAACGTTCGAGGTGGTTCTCGGTCTCTGCACGTTCGAGGTCACCACCGAAAGGATGTGTCGTGTCGTTAGCCTCGCTGCGGTCACGTCGGGAGAAAGTGCGCGTAGGGCGTGTCGCTGCCGGAGTGGAACCATCAGCAGGGATGTAGGTAGGAGCGGTCGAGGGAGCAAAGCCAACGGTAGCGCCCTTGGCGGATGGGGCCGGCTCTTCCTTTTCGGACATGGAGTTGTCGCCGTGTCCTACTGCGGTGGCAGCATCGCCGTTGCTGGACGAGATTTGCTTTTCCAGGTCCAGATTGGACTGATCGATGGAAGGCATGGTGGAGATTCGAAGACCTATGGTAGATGGGAGGAAGACAGGAAGGAATGCGACGTCAACGAAGTGGCGCTCGCCATATTATATAGATTTCTGTTTGGACGAAACCGAGAAGGGGCGCCGGACCAGCCCCGAACACGAATGCAGATCATACAGTTGTACAGGGCGTCAGCGGTCAGCCGGCTGCAAGATATCGGAGAAATCTTGAGCAGACTTTAACCGGAAACTCAACGGTGCTGTTGACATCGGAATGCGCCACTGCCAAATTCGCTGTGCCCGTGGACGTGCTGCGCCAGTCGACGCGCTAGCACGAAGTGAGAACAATTGGAAAGTAATCAACAAAAAATCATCCACGGATTTGCACGACCAACAAACACCGTTCCAATGCAGGGAAAGGCTCAAACAAAAGACACGCGACGAAACTTTGCTAGAACGGATATTCCGCGGGTTCAGCCTCTACCGGCTAAAGCTAAGATTTTTTGGATCCAAAGCCGGCAGCGCTTGACAATGTCTGCTCCGTGGAGTTGGCAACTCCGCGATTGTACAGTCGTCCTCGCTTCAAACATCCGAGGCTTATGGTGTTCGCACCTTGCGTCCTCCTGAACTCGGATGATCATGGTCAAGCGATAGTCAAATGCAAGAAGTATGCTGCCTCCGACTCCTGGCGGAGTTACCATGAAAGGAACAGGCTTGTGTGAGGTTGACACTTATCAGCGAGGAGGAAAGCCAGATTGCATTTGGACTTCGGAGTTGAAAATTCGAGCGCGTTCCAGCATCCCAACCCTGCCAGCCGCCCAAAAATGACGACATGACCCCTTTGCCGTGCCGCTTACAGTACTCAAATTCTCTCTTCCATCGTCATCCGCCTTCTCAGCTTAAGGTGTGCACAATCCTGTTCGTCTCATGTTGTTCGTGCTGGCACATATTTAATGATGCCCGTACCGCAGATCTCATAAACATGCACTGAAAGCTCGGAGAGTGTACGTTCGAGTTCCTCGCATCAAGGTGATCCGAGCAATCGATAAGGGAGCAGGGCCGAAGTGTCTTCCTTCGGGACCCGGTTGAACCAGATAGCCGGGCGCGCACAGCATGAGCGACGGAAAGATTTCCTTTTCATATTCGTCATGAGGGGTGTGAAGAAAGTGCTACAGCAGCAGCAGCTGCAGGTCGGCGAATTTTTCGAGAGCAGACTTTCCGCCTTTTCCGATTGCACGCGTGGACGTCGTCCGAGAGATAGACAGCAGACAACTTCTTACGTCCGTCCGTCGGTCAAGTGGGATTCCTTCTTGAGATTCAAAAGGATTGAACCCTCGGCTTTGACGGTGGCGCCCTGCATGTTCCTGCGCTTGGCAAGTTTCGCTTCACTCACACAAACGCTAACCCTCAAAGCTACCCTTCTCAGCGCGGCTACTCAAGGAAGCGAAACAAAGCACGTTTGAACCGTTCAGTCTTATTCTGCGGTAAACCTTCTTCCATTCCGGTGGCACGCTTGACGAGCGTATGGCTGTACAGCACGTATCCGGGCTGTCGAGGACCCGCTCGGGATGGTCGATCCTGATTGCCGATTGCCAGGGTTTGTGACCCAAAATCTCCGTGGACCCCTACGGCTCGGAAAATTTTTCCTGCTTGCTGCCTCGTGGTCGAGTCGTTCTCGAAGCTTGTGTTGCCATGTCCACGCAGTACCTTGCGATCCAGAATGCTCCTTGAATGGCCTACATGGTTCGTGCATAGGCTCCGAAAGCTTGCATCGTCTCTCGAAGTCGTACACGAGGGACCTTGTTTTCCCAGCAGACAAGTTTGATCAAGTTGTAGGAATGTCAGACCTCTATGCCACTCTGCGCTTGCCCAGTGACAGCACCGGGGATGCATCACGATTTGACCACCAGCAGCACTTCAGGAAACGTGCCTGCGGCAGGATCCCACCTCTTGAGTGTCACTCGGATCGGCTCCTCGTTGTCGGGCGACTGTCCCGTGGCGAGACCATTGCGACTCACATTTGTTGGAGTCGGACCGGGCTGTATATCTTGTGCCGGACCTTCCGCCGCGCCGAATGCACGTTCCACTAGCCAGACACGATTCCGGAACCCGATCTGATGCAGACCAGTCCCTTCTTGCACCAGCTTCCCGCTAGGCACACCTTTAAGGTGCTGCGCGTGACGCTGGACTCGGCGTTCTCGATTGGCATCGGTGCAGACCTGCGCGATCCACTGAATCTCCCTTTCTCCCAAGTTTGTTTCGGATGATGCCGATGCCAGGATGTGCAGCGTCTCCAAGCGAGGCATTTGGCACAGCAGAGCGGCCAGTCTGGGCAGGTCGTCCTCCCAGATCTGAATCACTAGATCCCGCACGTTACGACAATGCTGCGTGATCACACCAAGCTGATCGAGCGACAGTCCAATGCCGTGTAGTCGCAGCTTTGTTAGCTGACTGCCTCGACTCGAGACAAGTCGCGACAGGAACGCAGTCGGCAACAGTGGCAGATTGCTCGGAGGCAAAGACGTCCTTGGTTGCCCGTATCGCACACTTCCTTCCGGTGGCGGTCCAGAGAAGCGCCGGATCCAGTCACTGGAGACCCGCGCGGCATTGTCATTCCCGTTCGCATCGGTGCGCACTGCCTGCACGTATTCTCCCGCTTCGTCGTAGTCAGACTCGTCATCATCCAATTCGTCCAGGTCCACGAGACCATCGTCGTCGCCCTCATGACCGCCGTCCATCGCCGGCCTTGAGCCAGAGCCGGCATAGTGCGTCAGCTCTTCCAGGTCCCCGGCCATCTCGATAAGCTTGGCAAAATTGGCATAAAAGTCGCTTATCGAAGACGCGGGTAGCGATCGCGATCCCGAGGACGAGGCCGACCTAGGGTAAGTCAACGAAAGCAGCCGTAACGACGACGCAAAGGGGTGCAAGAGAGCCACGTCATGCGCCTGGATATTGAGACCCTCCATCGCAAGGTCATTGACGCCATGCCCGCCTTCCGATGCACAACGAAGGATGGACTCGATGCCACGCCCCGTCACTGCTCGGCAGCCGGCCAGCGAAAGCCGCCGTAGTCGCTTGAGGTGCGGAGCTAAAGCCATCAATATCGCATCGGTTAGATGTGGCGAATGCTGACACAGTATGCTCAGGCTCCGAAGACCCGTCTCTTCTTTCAGATCGTCATCGTCCATGTGCAGCGTATCCAAACGAGACGCAAGCATCTTTGCGTCTGCAGAGCCTTCCAAAAGCTTAGCAGCTATATCGACCAATCCCCTCAACGTCGCCTTCTCCGGAAGGATCAGGCTGAGACCTTGCACGCTGAGTGGGATATACCTGGAGAGCGTCGATGTTGTCCATAATCGCGCATCACCTGCTAGCTCGAGTTTTCGCAACTTCCGCGACCCGCTGAGCAGCGTCGGTAATAGTCGATCGTTGAGGCTTCCGGCTCGTGTCCAGACCAGCTCTTCCAGGTTGATTGCGTTCCGAAACATCGCTTCGATATCAATCTCGAGTCTTTCTAGCCGTTCCGCATCGAGACCGAATGGAAACACCCGCAACTCGACGACTTTGACCAGCCGACAAAGATCCTTATTGCTTCCCAGGCAGGCGAAAACCAACTTGAGGCGTGTTTGGTCGCGCAAAAAGAGACGCTCGTACAACAGCGGTGTGGCAATCTGACCAAAGAGGCGACATACGAGCGCGCATGCTGCTAGGTCGCGCACCCGATGCCGCAGGTGCGAGAGGATGGGCACCAGCAGATCCAGCGGCAAAGCTCCGAGCAGACCTAAACGGCCAGCTTGCGGGTCCATCTCGCCGACGTGAATCCAGTGACCCGCACCTTTACGTCGTTGGCATCCGAATCGTGTTGATCTCCATTGGGATGCGTCGGTACGGAAGTGGACACGGGAGAGACTGATTCCAGTCTGATGGTAGTTGTTCAGTCGGAAGAACAACTCCCAAATATTTGAAAGCCGAAACCACCTTCTCGGTCCGTGCATGTGGAGGGTTCCAGACGCAAAACCCGTTCCTTCCTTCCTTCATCGTACCGACCGAAGCTAACCGCACACCAAGCCATCGAGCAATCACACCTCTTACGCTCAATAATCGCAGACGGACAGAAACAAATTCAGATGTCATTCAAATCCAAGCGACGAGACTAACAGGATATATCGATCGGTCTACAGTCGGTGACGGACATTGAGCTCGGTCACAGCTTCGCTAATCGAGGCCATGGCTTGGCTCCTCTCCAGCTCGCGAGCCTCCTCGATCGAAAGCGCGACCACAGCGCTCGACTCGTTCTTCGGTTGAGGGAAAGGCGACTCATCGACATCGCACTTGGTACCCTTGTGAGGCACGGTCCCGTTCACAAAGTACTCGCCGATGATCTTGTTGATGCACTTGGACGGCTGCGACATACTGCAGTGTCCGTAGCCCGCACGACGCACGGAAACAGCCGAACCAAACAGATCTGCCATCTTGTCCGCGAACCGACCAGGCGTTACAGGATCAAAGTCGTTGCCGAGGGTGAGCAAGGGGTAGGATGTGTTGCTGTCAAAGTGACCACGGTGTCGCTCGTTCGATCGTAGCTTCCACGATCCGATGCACTTGATGCCCTGATCGGCAAAGAATTGACCAAAGAGGGGAGAGTCGGCCTCGAGCGTGCGAATATGGTCCTTGGCCCGCTCGATGCTCCAAGATTTGGCGCTCGGTCCTTGCAGGGCGTCGCCGCAGGCGATGGCGGCGTTGGCTTCCTCCGACTCGGGCGTGATGGGAATGTGGTACGTCGAGTCACCGTTGGCATCAACGAAGGTGGTGCCATTGCCGTTCATGGCGTCATTGATCATGCTGGCAAGTTTTAGCCATCCAGCAGGCTTGTACAGCGAGGTGAAGAAGGTCTCGATCACCATGCTGAAAGTGAGCAGCTGCGGTACTTCGGCCTGAACCACGGGGATTGGGTGCAGCTTGAGCCCATCAAGAAAGTCGAGAAACTTCTTCTGCAGCTCCTCGGCATCCGACGACTGCGAAGCCAGAGGGCACGCCTCGGAGCCGGCATCGACGCATTCCTTGAAGAAGCCGTCGAAGCCGCCGTCGGTGTCCTTGAGATTGTCGCTCCAGAGGCCTTCCATGTAGTTGGGCACGTCGACGACGCCATCGATGATCAAGCGGTTGACGTCTTGAGGGAACATGTCGGCAAACGTGGAGCCTAGCACGGTGCCGTAGCTGAAGCCCCAGTAGTTGATGCGCTTGTCGCCAAAGAAGCGGTGGAGGAGCTGCATGTCTCGAGCTACAGCGGTGGTGCCTACGTACTTGCCGTGCTCAGAGACGAAAGGATCGGCGCTGCATAGCTCAGAGAGCAGGTCGATGCTTGCCAGGTTAGAACCGATCTCGCTGTCCAGCGCGCCAGGATGCGAGTAGAGGGCACCAAACGAGCCCGTCTCGATCCGGTGAACAAAGCTCTTCTCCGTGTTGTTCCAGCAATCCATGCGCGGGAAAGTACGACCAACGCCACGAGGGTCAAACGAAACGATGTTGTACTTGTGGTCAAGGATGGTGTCGAAGTTAGCAGCGAGCAGCTCGTTGTTCTTGGCAGCATTCTTGCGAGCGATAAACTCGAAGCCCGAGCCACCTGGTCCGCCGGGGTTGGTAAGCAGCGAGCCCAACACCTCGCCCTTAGGCGTCTTGCCGGCACCAGCTGGATAGAAGATGACGGCGATTGAAGCATTTCGGCTGTCCTCATCGACGTTGGTCCAGTCGAGAGGGGCCTTCATGCGACCACACTTGAGGGGCGAAGGGTAGCGCTTCTCGTCTGCGCAGTCGAACCAGACCACCTCTCCGCGCTGGGCCTGCGAGAAATCGGTCTCGTTCTCTGGCCGCAGGTAAGGTGCGTCGGTGGAGCAACCGCTGTGGTGGTGGATCCTGCGACGGATGCCATCGAACGTTTCTTGGCCAGCTGGCGAGCAAAGCCAGAAATAGCTCAGCAAGAACAGACCTGCGACCACCCATCGATGCGTAGGCGTCGGCTTGCGCTGGCTGGGTTTGGCGCTGCTGGCCTGAAGGTTGGGAGTCGGTAGCACCGAGGCGACCGCGTTGTAGCGGTCTTCATAGACCTGCTTTTCGGTGACGACCATGTTGGGTTGCTCTGTCGATGGACGAAGGAAAGCACGTCGACGTTGACCGGACTAGATGAGTAAGGGGGGTCATATGCGATTGCAGTACGAGCTGACCTCGATTGCAGCACACGACGCTCAGATCAACCTGACAGGCCGCATCCTGCTTAGCTGTAGCGCGGCTGAGCAAATGCATCCCACCGGCAGGTCGGAAGGGTCCACTCCGAAGGGGTCCGGGGGGATTGCTTCAATACCACACGAGTGGCTCGTACCTCATCGGTTACATTGCCGAGCACCATCTATCGAAATCTGGTCCAATGTTCGGCCCCTGTCTCTAACATGTTGGCACGAATATCAGATTCTGACTCGACCAAGCGCTGCCCCGTCTCAGCACGTCACAGGCACTCCCGATTCGCCCATTTCCGTCCAATCGTCCGCGCTTCTCGGTCCAAACACCGGCGTTCGCAAGCCCCCGTGGAGCATGGTGCGTCCCATGTGATTTCGAACTGTCTTGATACGACATCGATAGCTTTATCGCTTTGCGAACATCTAGTTGCGCCCCGAACGGGTAGTGCAGATATAATCAAGGGGCTGACCGGGATCCTGACTCTTTCGAATCACCCCTTCCCTCACCGACCTTGTCCACCAACAAGAAGACGTTCGATTCGGCCCGTTTGCGGCTTAAGAACCCATTCGTCGAGGCTGGCATCCGAACCAACGGCCCGGATAGAGGCTCTTCTATCCCGTTCCGACGAGCGGCGCAGTTGGCTGGAGGCATCAGCGGCACTTGTCTTTGCTGATCTGCGGTCAGCGCCTCTGACCGTTTCCGGCATAGCTGGGGTTACAGCTTAACATTTGTTGAAAAACGGACCACACATTCCGAAAGTCGGCCTCGGCCCAGGCCCGGTTTTTCGGCTACTGTTGTGTCCGACCTCCTGGGCGTTGCACGCGCCCTTTCTACAGCACTCGATACGTTCCCTCATACAACATCATTGCTGGCTACCATCTCTCTACACCCTCCAGCATCGACCACATCCTGACTTCGTCTCACATACAAGGCCAACATGATTGTCACTCCTCTCACCGAAAAGCTCGGCCTGCGCGTCCCTCTCGTTCAAGGCGGTATGCAGTGGGTCGGCACCCCGGCTCTTGCTGCTGCTGTCAGCAACGCTGGCGCTCTCGGTACTCTCACCGCCTTGACGCAACCCTCTCCCGAAGCTCTGCGAGAAGCTATCCGCAAAACCAAGTCGCTTATCTCGGACGACATTAAAAAGGAGCGAGAGAACCACTTCGGCCCCTTTGCCGTCAACATCACCCTCTTGCCCTCCATCAACCCTCCCGACTACGTCGGCTACGCCAAGGCCGCTCTCGAGGAAGGCGTCCGCATCTTTGAGACTGCCGGCAACAACCCGGGCGAGGTCATCAAAGTCGTCAAGGAGGCTGGCGCCTTTGTCATCCACAAGTGTACGGCTGTTCGCCATGCTCGAAGCGCCGAGCGATTGGGTGCCGATATGCTCTCGATCGACGGCTTCGAATGCGCAGGGCATCCTGGCGAGGACGACATCGGTGGATTGGTGCTCATGGCTCGCGCTGCCGAAGAGCTCAAGATTCCTTTCATCGCATCGGGCGGTATCGCCAACGGTCAAGGCTTGGCTTCGGCTCTCGCGCTTGGTGCTGCCGGTGCTAACAGTGAGTGGGGCAGCTTTGTACAAGACTTGTGCCTTTACACGTATACTGACGAGCGATGTCTATGCTTTTCAACACAGTGGGCACTCGCTTCATGTGCACCAAGGAGGCAGAAATCCACGACACCATCAAGCGTGCCATTGTCGAATCGGACGAACGCAACACCGTCCACATCTTCCGAACCCTTCGCAACACTGCGCGTGTCTTCAAGTGAGTACTGATTTCCGACACTTTGTTTGCTAGTATTGCTTTGAGAGTATGTCGGTATGAGCTATTATGCCCGCGGCAATGGGAGGGCCCGCACATCGCACCTCCACCATGTCCACAAGCACGACACAAGTCGTGGACCAAGCGGCGAGCGCTGCTCGCGAAGGTTACCGCATCAAGTCCTAGGGCCCTTTCATTGGGTGAGTCTAGCACGGTTCGGCTTTCTGTCAAACGTGACACGATAAGAATGTCCTCGCTGATGCAACTACCATCATCCTTTCACTTCGACACCCCTGCAGTGATGAGAGCACGGATACCAGCCTGATCGCGTCGAATCGGCACACCGCATCGACCGACGATGGCAGTCTCGCGTTCGCTGCTCAACCCGCCCATGACCCAGACAAACCGCCCGACCTCGCTGATCAAGGCCAGGTGCGCGATGAAAAGCTGCAGCGCCAGGCCACCCGGGAAGGAGCCGTCGAGCTGCTTGGGTCGCACGACCACGACAGCTACGTTCTCCAAGCCCAGCATCAGGAAAAGTGGAAAGCCTGGGGACTCGCCAAGAGCTACTTGAACGACGAGATCGATCATGGTGCAGCCAACGTGCCTCTTGCCTGGCAAGCCTTCCTGACCGGCATGATCGACATGCTCCTCTACAGCCGTTCGGCCGTCTGGCTCGGTTTCCAGACGGGCAACATGGTTCAGTTCTCGTCCAACATCGCTCAGTTCATCATCCCTGGCGTGGAACGCCAGCCTCTGCTGACGCTGCTCAGAATCTTGAGCGTCATCGGCTTCTTCTTCGGCTCGTTTGTCGGGTTCCAGCTGGGCAGACGTGTCGGTCATCAGAAACGAAGCTGGTTGATCATGTCGAGCGTCATACAGAGCGCGTTCCTGTTTGCCGGTGCGGGCATCTTGCTCAGCAGGCCCAAGAACGAGATGCCGTCGTTCGAGTGGTATCCGGGCGTCATTGTGCTCGTGGCCTTCTCGATGGGGATGCAGAGCATCTTGGCACAGAAGCTGGTCTCGCCGGCTTTTGCGACGACGGTGGCCTTTACGGCCACGTTGACGCAGGTCGCGAGCGATCCGTATCTGTTTGCGCTGGTTCCGTCGGAAAAGACGAGGGGGAGGGATAGGAGGATGTTGGCGATTCTGTCGTTGTGCGTTGGTGCGGGAGTGGGAGAGTCGTTGCTGCACACGAGGGCGAACTTGAGTGGTGGCCTTGCGATTTGCGCCGGATTCAAGCTGGTTCTGGCGTTGCTATGGCTGGTGCCGCAGGGGAAGAAGAGCGGTGCCGAGACTGGCGGCAAGGCTTAGCGGTGTGTCGTTGGTTGGCCGTTTCGACTGATGTTCTCACCACTGCAATCTCTTGCTCTTCGACGCGGTAGAAACAAGGTATCGATGGAAGTCGTCCGACTCGAGAACCGTCCCGAAGGAGCCAAGTTCGAGGAGGTCCGCGATCTTGTCTCTGGTGCACGAGGCAAGACCGTTTACGAGACGGGTGATATCGACGCCGGTATCTGGTCCGCTGGTATCACTATCGGTCTCATCCACGATATTGTAAGTTCTATGTCTTTGGCAAGGAGCTTTTTTTTACGAGGGAGACAGGGTCACTAACGCAAATTGTGCTTGTTTCGGATCTCAGCCTTCTTGCAAGGATCTTTGCGCCAACATCGAGCGTGATGCCGAACAGCACATTAACAGGTTGAGCACGCTGGTGGCTCAAAAGGGCAGCAGCTCGGCTGGTCGACCTTCGAAACTTTAAGGACTGAACGTGTATCTTTCTTGATCCACGAAAGCTGCGAATCAAAGATGTTATTGACGCTCTGCGTGCGGAATGTGTCTCTGTGCTTTGACTACGGACCGTCGGCACCGTCTCGCCATCGCTTCCACTCATCCCAAACGGCGTCCCTGTACTCCTTTTCGACCAACACCCTCGCGCCGGTCACGGCGATGCCCAACGCCGCCTCCTTTGTCCTCTCGTGAGCCTCTTTTGTCCTGGCAGCGTCTGCGAATCCGACCGTGTGGTTACCCTGCGTCTTCCTGTCGTCCAAGTGGATCGCGTACTCGGCGTGCAACGACGGAAGGGCATACGTGATGTTCCCGAAATCCGTCGATGCGGCAAACGGTTCGTCCGGCACCACCAGGTCGAACTTGTCCTTCATCACCCCCGCGTAGGTCGCCGAGAGGCTGGGAGTGTTGTGCACGTCGGCGTAGGCGGTCTGCCAGTCGTAGACGCCTTCGCAACCCGTAGCGAGGGCAGCTGCTTCGAAGCATTTTTGAACTCGCGCAACGAGCGCTTTGAGACCCGAGACGGTGGGACTTCGGACGTTGTAGATCAGAGTGGATTCGCCGGGGACGACGTTGGGAGCCCAGTTGTTGCCCTTGATGATGCCGTGGACTCGTTCGGTGGGTTGGATCTGTTGGCGGAGGGCAGAGACGTTGTTGTAGGCGAGGACGGCTGCGTCGAGCGCATTGATGCCTTCCCAGGGGGCTGCGCCGGAGTGGGCGGTTCGTCCTTTGTAGGTGACAACAACGGGTTGGACGGCGAGCATGGCGCCAGTACCAGAGTCAGGAGCGGGGTGAACCATGAGGCACGCATCCATGCGTTTGTACGCTCCCTTGTCTTCGAGACGGATTTTGCCTCCACCGCCTTCTTCCGCCGGCGTGCCGAGCAGCACCACCGTGCCCGGAATATCTTTCGACACGAGCGTAGCTGCTACAGACAGCGCAGCAGCGACACCAGAGATGGCGATCAGGTTGTGTCCACAGGCATGACCGATTCCAGGAAGCGCATCCAGCTCCGACTGGAACCCAATCACACGAGAATCCTTGCTCGCCTTGTGCTCAAACACCACCTCCCACGCAGTCTCCTGCTCATACGCATGAGGTGTAACCTTCCAACCCTTCTTACCCGAAAAGTACTTGACGAACAAATCGTGCGTTCGACGTTCCTCCCACATGATCTCTGGATGATCATGCATATCTAACGACAACTTCCTCAACTCCGAATCGAGCTTCTCGATCTCTGTATCGATCGTCTTGGCCACGTCCTGCATGACATCGCTGAGCTTGCTATCGGTTGCACCTTCGGCGAAACGCACCGAGTGGTGAAGGTGCTTCTGCGAGTCACCGTAGGTAGGCAGGTGAGAGTGCACGAGGGTGGACGAAGTGAAACCTCCGCAACATCGCGATGCTTCTTCGACGGACGAGAAGGGAGGTGGATTGCAAGCGTCGTAGTAGATGGACGCCGAGAGCGGGGTCTTTTCTGCGTTGCTGATCGTGCTCGTCACGCGACCGGACGTCGAGAGAGACTCGTCCTTGCGATCGCACTTGCAGCCGTCTTGCTTCTTGGCGATCTTGCCACCGCGGGCAGGCTTGAGAAATGCAAAGCAGCCGACCATGATGCGCCAAAACTTCAGATGGATGCTTCGATACGTGATGGACCAATAGCAAGCACAAGGTGGGGTCGAAATCGAAACTTATATGAAGCGCTCACGGCAATCAACCCACGATACAACGGAAATTGGTACGGCAGCACAGCGCGACGCACAAACCACATTTTCTCTCTCAGTACGCCATTGGATAGCCGCACCCACTTATCGGAACGACACCTTCCGCCCTTGCTCGACGGTCTTTTGCACGGCGAATTTTCAGCTGCATGCGGTAGTCCCTCTCGCACATCGCAGAGTCGGACCGACGCATCGCTCTCCTTACATCTCTAAGAAGAGCATCTTACACACACTACACACAACACGCAGTCTAGTCAGACTCAAAGATAAAGTCGTGAGTGTGTCATTACGAGGTCGTGAAATAAAGCATGCGTGGGTCTCATCGAAAACAAGCAGAGAATCAATCACGAACAAAGGTCGATTCCGATTCTAAGCCTTGATCTGCGTTCCGGCTTCGGTTCGCTCCTGGACGCTCGACAAGACGGCCCCTGCCTGCGCGCTTGATATTCCCGCAGCGGCGTTGTTGCCCGGGCTAGTGAGCTGTGCAAACAATGCCGCGCTCTTTGTGGAAGCGACGCTCGAGGATGGAGAATGACGCGGATCGAGGTTCTGCGGGATCTTCTCTGAGCGGGCTGTTTCGACTGCAGTAGCCGGAGCGATGACAGCGGCTGTAGCCGGGTCAGCGGCCTGGTGCTTCTTGAAGGCATGCTTCTTGGGCGACTTTGCAGCGTTCGTATTCGCCGGGGTGACTGGCATTGGCACCGGCGCCCCACTCTGTCCGACTGCAGGGATCGAAGCGGGCGAGGGTGACGCACCCGCACTTGGCTTCTCCGCGATCGGCCCGTCTAGTGGATAGTCCCAAGGCCTCGGCACAAGTGCCATGGGCATGAACCACGTTCCAGCAATGCACACTCCATGACCCTGGTCCTGTGCCTGGATCGCCTTGTATTCGACCTCCATAAAGGTCGAGATGTACTTGATAAACGGCAACAGCTCTGGCACGCCACCACCCACAGCCATGGTCTGCAGAAACGACAGAAACGCGCCCGAAACCGAATGCGCTGTACCAAGGTAGGCCATGGTTGCCTTTGGCAGCGTGATCTCAAAGCCCCACCAATGAACAAAGATGGCCATGCGGTCAAGAGGCGGGTGAATCGAGTCCATGTCCTGTGTAGCCCGAATGGCAGCACCAGAGACATCGGCGAGCATGTCGAAAGCACCCGAGTTCTGTGCGGCGGTACCGACGGGATCGAGAATCAGCTGCAGTGGAGTAGCACCCATGAGGCGTGGACCATCTTGCAAAGTGGGCAGATTGGACACCGAAAGGCTCTTCAGCATCGGCGGCCTGGCGCTGAGTCCCGCATCCTCGTCTGCAGCAGCTTGCGATGCAGTCGGAGAAGTTGCAGCAGATGGCGCACGCAGCAGTCCTCCCACCCCAGCCAGTGCAGCTGCAGCGCCAGTGGCGATAGTGGCCACGTCGAAAGCTCCGTTAGAGGAAGGCTGGCCGCCGCTCTTCTCGGTGACAACCGCCGTAGCTTCGAGATGCTGTGCATGCCTTTGATGCGCCTCGATCTCTCCACAGTCAAGGCAAACCATCTTGAGCGGCTTCGCTCCTGAAGAAGCAGCTCCAGCTTTGTTAGATGTCGTTGGCTCGGAAAGTGGAGGTGATGGAATGGGAGGTGCGACGGCATCCTCTGCGCTGGGCGGCAGCGACGACGTTCGTGCAGTGACGACAGCCTTTTGTGGCGACGTCGAGGCATCAGCCTTCAACGTGATCTTCCTGAGCGCTTCTTCGGCGGCGCTTTTTGCTTTTCGTTCGATGGTTGGCCGTGCTGGTGTAGCTGCATCAAATGCCTCAGGTGTTGCTCCTAGCCTTTTGCGAATATCGCTGTCATCTTTGGTGGCGTTGCTTTCGAGGAGAGTATCCGGAAGATTGGCGCTGAGAATGCGTTCCTGACCATGATCGCCGGCGGTCCCGATCTCTGCGTCCGGAACGATCTTTCCAAGTCCGCTGCGCAGAACATCGAGCGGCACGGGCATGGAGCGCAGCTCCTTGATGATGTTGTTGGCCGCATCGACATCGAGAAGTGCAGATTTCAGGCCCTTCAGCTGCGATCGATCGACCACTGGGACCGGCTTGGCGCGAGGAACCTTCTTCTTCTTCTTGCCTGCTTCCGACGAATGATCACTGTCGCTCAAGACTCTGTCTGTTGTAGAGCTCAGACGTGGCGGAATGGGATGAAGCCCCATTCCGGCATTGATGACTTGCTCGAGAGTCTTTGCGTGGCGTGCTGCCACCGCTTGTGTCTTAGTCACCTTCACTTTGGCGACCTTTCCCTTGTCGGATGCACTCGAATGATGAATGCCCTTCCTGTCCCATCGGAAGAGCCGGCGCTTGGCAGCCGCCGCTCCCGGCAGAGCAGCCGCCTCCTCCAAGCGTGCAGCTGTGGAGTAGTCAAGCGTCGAATCCAAACTGAGCCGGTTTGTGGCTGCGGTGAGGTCCGAGGTCGAATGGGATTTGAGACCACGCCATTTAGCCAGCTTGGGGTTTGCGTTGGCGCTTCGTTGGACGCTGGATTTGTTTGCTGACTTGAGCGGCTTATGTGCGGTCGGCCCGGGCTTGTCGAGGGCAGCACTCGATTGTGCCAGCTCCCTTGCGTCCGCCATCTCTTCAGTCGAAGGACTGAAGCTTACTCGATGAGGTGAGGCGGTTCTGGATGCACGTCGAGGTGGATCCTCGCTAGGAGCGGCCAATGCTGAGCGTATCCGAGGCTGGTTGCTGGATGATGCGGGCAGTATGCTGTTTGAGTCCTTCTGTGATGCGTGTGCCATAGAGGCGACTGCTGGTGCGACTTCATTTGATGCTGTGTCGGGTGCGGATGACGGTGCTGAGCTGTCGTTCGTTTCGATTTCTGGCGGATCGTCTGCGGTGGAGCTGCTCGAAGCGACGGCATCGGGAGCAGCCTTGTTGCTAGATTGCTTGCGAGGCGAAGAGAATGGCAGGCGGATGGCGTTCAGGCTGAATCTATTCTTCCCACGACTTGGTGCTTCCATCGCCGCTGGATTCGAGATTGCTGTCGATGGCGATGTCGACGGGGATGGCGACGGTGTTGATTGCGCATCCACTGCTGTATCAGCCGCAATCGTCTGTGGCTTCCCTTCAACCATGTCGTGAAGGTTCAAGCGGATCACGCCGCCTTCGGTATCCGAGTTTCGCCAATGAGGACCAGTCGTGGATGTCCGCCTGGCTATGAGGTGATGGAAGAGCTGAACGATTCGCTTTCCAAGTGGAAGGGAGATGATGGTCGGACAGGGGCTGCTTTCGCTGCTCAAGCTCGGCTATGCCACCATTTTCTCTCCACACTCGGCGCTGCTGCATCAGACTCGCACCCTCTGCAAGGTAGATCCAGACTGCATGACAACACAAAATGGCCGTGTTTGTTGTGTGTGTTGGTCTCTCGCTCGCCCTTTCCTTTTCAGGCAAGTCATGTCACCCCTAAACGCGTTCCAGGATTTTCTTGAGTGTGTGTCGCCAACTGTCTCTAACAGCCTCAGGTTATTTCATGGCTCTTCGGCTGCTTTGCTACGGCATCAGGACGAGCCGACGGACGCTCCGACGCTGCACGTCAGCTTTCTTCCGGCTGGACCCTGCCTTTTTTTGCAGGATTCACTCAGCATTTGCCTTCACACCGCCGACGCTCAGTCTCGTTTCTCGGAAGATAGCCGACGCTGCGGATGCTCCGGTTGCTGTAGTTGGCCACTCTCATCCATCACAGGCGCAGCAGTCGTTCACATCGTCTTTGTCAGCTACGATCGACTTTCTTCGGGTTCTCACCCTACTCGAGCCAGAGGACGACGTTTTTACTTTCCTACCGCCATGTCATCTTCGTAGCATCGCAAGCCTTCGAGTTTCGTCATTCCCCTAGTCGAACAGGGCTGCAGCCGTCGTCAGAATGTCCGCAAAGCCGAGCGCATCTAGCGCGGCCTCCTCGAGCAGCTCGCAGGACATCACGCCACAAGCGAATGCGTCTGTATGGCCCATACAAACGTGTGACAGAGGCGTCGCTCCTTCCGTCTCAGCAACGACATCGACGGCTGGCCGCAAGAGACTGACCTACGTACCCCTCCCACAGCTTGATTTCGAGGATGTATCTTTCTTTTGCGACTTCGACTACTTGGCACAAAGACAGTTGCCGACATTTCAAAACGGAAAGAATGCTACGCTAAGCACAGGAGCCGTGGTGAAAGGTTCCAAGAGGAAGCGCTCGCCATCAATATCTGATCAGCTCGATAGTTCACCAAGTCCCAAGAAGAAGGGAAAGGATGCAGCGCCAAGTCGACAGGAACACGAGCGAGTTGTCTTGATAGAGACGTGCTGCTACTTTCTCATCAAAGCGCGCGAGGCACACGACACCGACATTGTTCTGGGCTTGAAGCAGGCCATCCAAAGCGCTCACCCTCCGGCACAATTACATATTGCCGATGTGGCCTTTTCGGTCTCTACCTCTGCATCAGCTCGTTCAGAAGATAGCATCATTGGCTCAACGCTCCGTCTCTTCGATCGACAAAGTGGAAACGTCGTTGTAGAACTGCCCCTCTTGGATACCGATCGCACCAATGACATGGACGCGGATGGTGGCAAACATACCAACGGCAAATGGCTCGCATCTTTGCATGATGCCGGGCGGAAGGATGCTTCCTCGACTTCCATTGCAGCGTCAATGTCCCTCAGTCTGACATCGCCTCCGCCACGTTATCCGTCTGACGGTGTCACTGCTGGGTCACTCTTCATCAAGCTATCAATTTGTGTCGAGGTCGCCGTCTCCTCAGACGCTACTGGACCCATCGCACGCGATAGAATTCTCGACATGGCAAGGATCGTTCATTTCGCCGATCAGTGGCCCGACCCTGTGGAGTCGTCGACCGACGTTGACGCCGCCTTCGTCTATCAAAATTTACGCCCGGCGTCACTCGAGACTCCGGAAGCCGTGCAGCATGCCGATCTGGTCCCCACGCTGCTTCCCTTCCAGAAACGCTCGACCTGCTTCGTGCTTGGGCGAGAGGGGTGGATGTTTGACTCGCATGGAAACCTCAACCAAACCGACAAAGTCATTGGACATGATTCCGTTGGCGACGTCGGACTTTGGTGGAAACGGGTCGGCCCAGATCTGTACTACAATTGGATCGAGGCACGCTTCGTTCGCGATGCCAAGCTTACCTTGCACAGCAACTTCAGAGGTGCCATGCTCGCCGAAGAGATGGGTCTCGGCAAGACCGTCGAAGCTGTTGCCCTCATCCTGCTCAACCCCGACCCTTCCGCCTCTTCTCGTCCTGGTTGGTACGATACGCGCAATGAGATCGACGTCGTTCCGACAAAAACCACGCTCATCGTTGCACCCGAGTCACTTCGCGCACAGTGGATCGAAGAGATCGCTCAGCATGCACCCGGTCTAGCCGTGTACTCGTATCAGGGCAGGACAAAAGCGGAAGGCGACGTGCCCGAGGGACTCGCTTGGGAGACGTGGGCGCAGCGTTTCGACGTCATGATCATATCTTACAACACACTCTCCAGAGAACTCAGCACAGCCAAGAGTGCGCCCGCCCGATCACGGCGCCATGAACGCAAATACGAACGCCCACGAAGCCCTCTTGTCAAGCTGCATTTTCACCGTGTTTTGATGGACGAGGTGCAGATGATTGGTGCATCGAGTGCAGCAGAGACCGTATCCATGATTTCGCGCGGCTCGTCCATTGCCGTCTCTGGCACCCCGGTGAAAAAGCTCGAGGATCTGAGATCGTGCTTTCGCTTCCTTCGTGTTCCTGGCTATCTGGCCACCAACGGTGAATGGCAGGCTCTGACACATCCTTTGCTGGCTCCGGCCCTTGTCCGTGTGCTGCAGACGATCGGCACGCGTCATACAAAAGCACAGGTCGCTTCGGAGATGGCGCTGCCGGTGCAGACGCGAGCAGTCATTCCGATCGAGTTTACCTCGATCGAAGCCGCTTTCTACGCCGACATCTGGAAGGAGGCGCTGTCGGACATCGCATACACTCAAGAAGGCAACCCCCAAACTCCAGATCAGCAGCTCGATATCACCAAGATGCGCCACCACTTGCTGCTATTGCGCCAGGCATGTACCCATCCCCAGGTTGCTGTTACCTTCCGTTCCGGCGTGGTCGGCTCCAAGAACCTCCGCAGCATCGATGAAGTGCTCGAACTGATGATCGACTCGACGAGAAACGAACTACACAGCAACCGCACGTCTTGGTTCGATCGACGCATCCATCGCAACATCCTCTCCTTGTATCGTCGCAAAGAGGACCAGCGTCTGCTCGCAGCATCTCAGTTCAACGACATCGAAAAAGAGATTCATGCAGAAGTGGGTCTCCTTGAGCAAGAAATCCGCGAGGGCGCCACCTTCGGCCCGCTCTATCGTTTCTCTCTTCAGGAACTAGAGTGGGAGCGGAAGGCGGAGATGCGAAGGCGGAAGCTTGGCGCAGATGTCGAAGACGACGACAAGTCCGACGAAGATGTCGAAGACTTATTGGAATCCATTGTCGGAGACCGCCAGGCCTACCTGATTCTGAAGGAGAAGCGCAAAGCAAGGGCAGCTCATGTGGTCCAAGTCAAAGCTTTGCTTCGCAATGTGCTCATGAAGCTGCATCGCCTCTTGCAATTTGCCGGCAATCTCTACTTTCAGAGAGGAGAGTTTCAAGACGAGAAAGAAAAAGCAGTCCAGCAGCAAGACACTGCGGCCATCCCAGGAGCCGAGTGCGGCCCGATCAAGCTTGGGCCAGACACTGCTCAAATTGACTCTGCAGCGATCGAGATACCCATGGAACCTGTACAGTCGGACGTCGCTATGGACAAAGCTGTTGTCTCGAGTCAGGGCGATGAGCCGCTCACTGAAGCATCTCTTGACCGCAAGCCTCCCCTGGATGACAAGCTCGCCGTAAGCCCCGAGCGTCAAAATCTCAAAGACAAGGAAGATGCTGCGTACGTCAAAGCCGAACAGGTTCGTCAGCGACTCCTCACGGAAGCTCGCCAAGTGGTCCAGAACGGGGTCACCAAGCTCGAACGCAGTCAGGTCAAGTTGCACGTGAATGATATCCGCGCATCAGACGAGATTTTCAAGAGCGGCGGCGGCATTCTTAGTCACGAGTCATACGATGGCCTGACCCAGATCGTGGATCTACTCAACAGGCACGCTGAGGTGCTCTTCAAGTGGCGCGATAGCATAGTGGTTCGCTTGGTGCGGGCAGTCAACCGCGATGTCAGCCTCGAACGCGAAGACGATGACCAGTATCAGGAGAATCTCGACACGCAGGCAGAAGCCGAGGTGCTGCTGGAGATGTATCGACCTCTCCTTTCCGAGCGCGAGAAGATCCTGAAGGGTAGTGTCGCTGTGGGCGCCACTGACAAACCGCGACTGTTTAAGGAGATCGAGGCAGCTGTTCGAGTGGCCCGTCAGAACAGCCTGCGAGGTATCGTGCCTGACGACGCCGCGGATGAGGAGCTGCTGCGGGTGCAGCAACAGCAACTCGAGCAATTCAAGAACCTCGATCAAGAGCGTCAGTCCGTGTCGCTATCTGGCCCTCTCGTGTCTCTCAGCGATGAGGCCGAGCACCTCAAGGGACTACGCGATAATAGCTTCCGCGCGGAAGAATCGGCCCTGGCACGGCAGGCACATCTTGAAGCGAGGCGCATCGCGACCGAGCAGATGAAGCATCTCGAAAAGCTCAGGAACGAGGAGAAGCTGCTGTTGACCTCGCTCTTCAATGCACGCAGTCAATACTTCAAAGAGATTCAAGTCATCTCGGACACGGTGCGAGACCCCCTTTTCGTGGATCTCGAGAAGACCATTCGAGCTACACAAAAGGAGGAGGCCGATTTGATCTCCAAGGTGGATGAGCTCGAAAGGCGGCTGAGGTACTTGACGCATCTGCAAATGGTACAGTCCACCGATCAGTTGGACGATGCTGCAAAGACTTGCAACATCTGCACAGACCTCATTGAGATCGGCATCCTCACCAACAAGTGCGGCCACGTCTGCTGCGAGAGTTGCTGGAAGGAATGGCAATCGCAAGGACACCGCACCTGCGTCCTATGCCAGACACGGGTGCTGCCCAACGAGGTTCATCGCATCATCTACTCGAACAACAAGCAGACTACCGCCCAAGATGGCCAGGTGGGGCTGGTCGGCGAGGGCCGCGGGGATGCAAACGCAAGCAAAGACGGCACTATCATTGCAGATCCATTGGCAGTGCGATATCACGAGCTCGACGACGCGCTCCGCGTCTCCCTGAATAGGCTTGCTATTCAAGGTCGTTTCGGCTCCAAGATAGATCACGTCACCAAGCACGTACAACATGTCATCAGCACCACCGGCGACAAGTCGCTCATCTTTTCGTCGTTCGGACGAGGACTGGATGTGATCGCACAGTCGCTGACCGCCAACGGCATTCGCTTTGTGCGTGTGACTGGCGCAGGCAAGCTAGGAGGCGAGGCGGCCAAGGTGTTCCGTAGCGACCCCAATGTTCACGTGATGCTCCTCCACTCTGAAGCGCAGAGCGCAGGTCTCAATCTTTTGTCCGCCTCACACATCCACATACTCGAGCCGCTGCTCAACACAAGCCAGGAGTTGCAGGCGATAGGACGTGTGCACCGCATCGGTCAGACCAGGGAGACCAACGTCTGGTGCTACTACGTCAAAGACACGGTGGAGGAGCGGATCCTTGCCTTGTCAACGTACAAGGGACAGAGTCTGTACCTCGACGGTCGTAACACAAGTGCGGCAGACGGCCCCAGCATTTATCGGGCAGCATCGAACAGCACCGCAGCAGATCTCTCGAGGGAAGATGCAAAGAAGTGGTCTGCTTTCGGTAAAGGCAACACAACAGGATCGGGCGGGACGATGCGCGGCGACGCGACGAGCAATAGCGCCGAACTGCTCGCCTGCTACTTTGCTCGCTATTTGCCTCAGCTCGGTCGACTGCCGACAACAGGTTCACAAGAGTCTGCACAGGCTTGGATCAGCGGAGTTGGATCTAATAAAGCTCGAGTAGCCGAGACTTCGAGGGACATGACTAACGGCAGCGGGGTCTCGCAAGAAGAGGATGAGCTCACAAAGATGCGAAGGGCAAGGCTGGCGGCATTTGAACAGCGGCAAGGCAACGGCACGGCGTAGATGATCAGACCGCACATCATCACAACGTGGATGTGGTGGCTGAACAGCTTTTGCTGCTTGTGGCTCACAACCTGACCGTACACGCACCGTGTCGCTTGGGCAGAAGATCTATGATGCCGAGCTCGGGAGGAAGATCTTTTCGTACTAGGTAACCAGTCCATGGCATGCCTGGGCCGTGCTTGTCCTGGACGTCAAAGATGCCGATCACGGTTCCACCCAAGTCTCGATAGTATCTGCATGATCAGTTGCTCAGACGGAAGCATTAGCAAGTTTACCCATGCACACTCACAGGAAAAACGGCAAGGATCCGGCTTCGAGAACACTTACTGTAAGAGACTGCCACCGTTTCCGGCCCAGACATCGCCGTACACCATTGTCTTGTCGAACTGCTGTGCCCAAACCAGACCGAAGATATAGAGGGCTTCGAGCGCACGTTTTCGCAGGGGCCCCGCTCGACGATCGGTGATGATGGAGTTGAGGTAGACGTAGTTCTTTGCCTGCCTCGTGGCTTGATCTGCGAGACGTTCCGGGACATAGTCGGGGAAGGAGCTGGCGCATTGAAGCGCTGCTTTTCTTGTCCATAGCTGCTGATGATATTTGACTTCGCAGAGGAACACTCCCGACTGCTCTGGATGTTCGAGACCGGTTTCCACGAAGTTCGAGTGATGGCGGTAGCCGTTGTCGATCATGATCGTGTATTTGGCGACGGTGTCGGGTCTTGAAGAAAATGGCTTGGTACCCCATTGCTCCTCAGAGCCGATGGCGGACAAGTAGGGCAGGGTCGAGTCGTAAGCACGCAGGATGAATTCGACATCGCTTTCGGTCGGATTGGACACATCGAGCTCAGTCAGGCTCTGGCGGGCACCGGTGGCGGGTTGAGCCAGTCGAATGCGGATGTTGCGGCCTCGCTCAAAGAGGATCATGGCGGGCTGTGGGGTGCGAGCGACATTGACCGATCGTATCGCTCATCTGGCAGTGGGCCTATTAATACGGGGCACGCCAGGAACAAGGCGGGCTTTCGCACTTGCGGCGTCTCCGCTGGATCACACCTGCACCACGCACAGCCATGGAAGCGGTCTTTCCAGCGTTGCATGCTACCAGCACGAACCCTTCGGCGCGAAGACACATAAATCCTGGACAACCTCGCGGATCTCACACCATGTGTCGATCAGCGGTCATCGTCAATGCTGGTGTACTTCCCATGCCACAGATTCCGACACAACACGAACTATCCGATGTCGAGAACGCCTGCACGCTCGTCGGTTGCACTGCTTTCTGGTAAGCCTTAGCCGTGGAGCCGACGACCGATGCTGTCGAAGGATGTTACGACTGCGGCTTCGCGTTGTCGCATCGTCAGCTAAGCATCGGAAGCGAAGCTTTTGAATTGGGTGGACTCCTTTGGCTGCTGCGTCTCGGCTGGCTAGCTTCATCATCAGCTTTTACAACAGACGCTTCAAGAAAAGGTGTCCTAACCAAGGCAGTCCCGGCCCATGCTTGTCTGGGACGTCGAACTCCCCTATTGGGTTGTATCCCAGGTGCTGGTAGTATCTGTATCAAAGCAAACTCCTCCAACGGTCAGCCTCGAAAGCAAATTTCCGAACATCTCGACCATCGATCGATCTACTCACTTGAGCAAATTGTCGCCGTTACCACGCCAACAGTCTCCATAGCAGATCTTTTTGCCCATGTCTCTTGAGATGGTCTCGATAAACGTCATGAGCTGGGATGCCGAACCCTTGGCGAGTCCGCCTGATCTTCTGTCGGTGACGAGATACTTGAGATAGACGTAATCGGTTGCCTTGCGCGTCGAATCATCCGCGAGATCAAGTGGAACGTAGTCAGGAAATTGAACACTCAGACCTGCGACTGCCACTCTTGTCCACGTAGCGTCGGTGAGAACCTCATAGAGATACATGTCCTGCCACCCGGGTCCACCCTTGGTAGGATTGCTCTGAAGGTCATACGCTTCCTGAATGTATTGGGTGAACTGCGAGATCCGCTCTGGTTTGGCAGAGAAAGGTACAGTGCCCCACTGCGCTTCGGACCCGATCGACGCCAGGTAGGGCAAAGCCGAGTCGAAGGCGTGAAGAATGAAGTCGACGTCGCTTTCGTCTGGATTGGAAACGTCGAGTTCGGAGAGGCTCGGATGGGAACACGTTGCAGGTTGAGCTGTGCGGATGCGGACCTTCCCACTCTGTTGGGTGTAAATCGTCATTGTAATAAGGCGTTCCGGCGAGAGAGATGGTGGTAGATGCTGTGGACGACGCCAAGAAGCTCTATGAGATCCGACGCATCTCTGACTCGACCATGTAAGTAGATCTTCTTGACAGCTTGTGTGCATTCTCGGTGTTTAGCTCGGCCTTCTTTGTATTTTCTCTGAGACCCTGTGATGACCTTGTTTTCGTGTCACGTCGAGCAACCCTGTGGTCGCGGACAACTCGCTTCATTTCCTGCTTTCGACCCACCACCATCGAGGCGCATCGAGCCAAATTCAGCCGCAATGAATGCACAGGCGGCAGGCTCGTCACGGCAGCCTGATCCGCCAACACCGCAGATGCGGCGCAGCACGGATCAGCGTTCGGCTGCTGCCACACCCACACTAACACACAAGACATCGATGGTCAGTGCAACCGACACCTTTGCATCAGCGACCGACGGCGAAGGATACTACACGGATGCCGCTGACATCAGCGCCTATCATACCGACGATGCGCGCAGCAGGTTCGAGAGTGAATCGCACACGATCAACGCGCATGGCGTGCAAGACACGGGGGATATGGATCGAGTATCTAGGACCTCCTCCAGCAGGACAACTCGGAGAGGCGATACGTCAATCCCTCTAGACCAGCTCTCCCGTCCCGCTCCAATATCACCGTCTTCAGAACAGCCATCTCAGCCTATCACAAATGCAGCATCTACGCCCAGCACCTCGAATTTAGATACATCCAACGAAGAAACAGGCAATCGAGTAGAACCTGGCCGCTCCCACCGACATTTGCGACACGCTGCCATCCTCGGCCTGCTCTCGCTCTCCGCGATCTGGGGCACACTAGCTCGCGAAGGTCTCGTAGCACTCAACACTTACGACGGCGAAAGCGTCGCACCGCTCGTATGGGCTCAGGCCGTCGGTTGCCTCATCATGGGTCTTGCGATCGGCAATCGAGACGCCATCGAAGCTCGATACCCGCCAGCGTACGTCATGATCACCACCGGTCTCTGCGGCAGCATCACGACGTTCTCAAAATGGATGCTGGATGTATTTCGTGCGTTCGGTGACCAGGGACACTTTGACAGAGGTGGATTGCATAACGTCATGGATGCGTTGTCGCAGACGGCGGTGACGTTGGGAATGGCGTTGGTGAGTGTAGGTGCCGGGATGAAGCTGGCCAGGGTGGTGAACGTTGAGCGAGGTGTTAGAGCCCTGCGAAGGCGACGCTCCGATCGCGAGTCTGAGCTTGTCTCCACGGATGCAGCACATGTCAATGGCGAATCACACAAACGCGGCAACAGCAATCCTCCTCAACTACGATCTACAATGCTCCTGGACGCCTCTATGCTCTCACTCGGCCTCCTCTTCTGGATCGCATCCGCCATCCTCTGCGCACTCTACGCGCCCTTCCGCCACGTCACGTTCAGCCTAGTCCTCGCGCCACCCGGCACCATCCTCCGCTACTACCTCTCGCGCTACAACACCCACCCACTCTCCAAACGACACTCTCTCCCCCTCGGCACACTCTCCGTCAACCTCTTCGCCACGGCCATCATCTGTGCTGCGTTCACTGCCTCTCGCGCCGGCTCGTCGCCTCGAACCTTCGCCGGCGGTATGACGGGCTGCGAAGCTCTGCAAGGCTTGGAAGATGGGTTTTGCGGCTGCCTGTCTACGGTGAGCACGTTTGCGGTGGAGCTGCGCACGATCAAGCCGAGGAGCAAGGCGGTGAGGTATGCCGTGGTGTCGTGGGTGGCGGGCGTGGTGATCTGTGTGCTGCTGGTGGGCGTTCCTTGGTGGAACGTTGGGATGGACGGGAGGTGTCTCGGATACACTTACTAGCGCTCCGTTTTGTACTAAGCACACTGATACCCCTTGCACACAACCGAATGAGATCATTCCAAAAATTCCGATGCGTTTCGCCTTTCCACACAGCTTGAGATATGTCTACACGAAAGATACTTCTACCATCACCCGCTCTTCGGGGAGCTTCTCTTTGCCAGCCCGGACTTTTCATAGATCGCATCGATCGTCTGCATGATGATCACCGATTCCTCGTTCTGCACCCACACGGGCACCCTCGGTGTACCCTTCTCCCTGTCCTCATTGATCATGTTGATGGGACTCACCTCATCCGCCCTCGTGCCCGCCTTGACCGCCTTGACTCCCAGCACAAACGCCTCCAACTGCCACCTGTATGTCGACCACCACACCTCACCGGTCCCCTTGGGCCAATGACCGTCCTTGGCAGCTCTACGCATCTGTTCGCTACCGGACGTGTCACCTGGGACATACGCCTTGTAGTTTCGTGAAGTTCCTTCGGCTAGGCCGGCGTCGGAGGCGGATTTGCCGCGGTAGGTGACCTTGATGGTGTGCCACAGGAAAGGTCCTACGAAGTTTTGAAGTTCGACTGTGCTTCCGTCTTTGAAGGTCGCTTTGAGCGTAGGGGCGGAACGCATAGGATTGGGGATCTTCCAGTTGAGCAGAGGGAGTGTGAAGAGTTTGTGGGCGAGGGAGGTTTCGATCTTGCAGGGTAGCTTTGCAGGTCTAGCTGTGGGAACGAGGACGGTGGCTTCCATTTCGACGTCGATGGCGGGATCGCCTTGTGCGTTGAGGTGTGCCTTGGATGTGGAATCCTTGGGTTTGAAGTAGGTAGGACGTGCTTCGCGGACCTCGATGCCTTCCTGCCAGTTGGCTCTCTGCCACGTCCCCGCAGCTGCCCTCATGGTATACAGGATCGCACTGGTCGGATAACACCCCGCATCCATCAACGCACCCCCTGCCAGCTTGTGATCGAACCTGATATCTCCATCCCCCATAATCCCCGCCGGTAGCAGCAGATACGCTCCCACCTCGGTCATCGGATTCTGAGGCGACATGATATCATGCAACCGATACGCAAACTCGTGCAACGCTGGATGGAATCGATAGTGGAACGCTTCCAGCACCAACACATTGGCCTTCTTGGCTTCTTCCATCAGATGCTTCGTCTCGGCTTCATTCGACGTCGAAGGCTTCTCCAGCAACACGTGCTTTTTGGCAGCGATGCACTTGAGCGTCCATTCGTAGTGCAGTCCGTTGGGAAGCGGGTTGTATACAACATCGATCCCCGGGTCGTTGATCAGCTCGTCGTAGGTGGAGAATACGTGAGGAATGTTGTGTTTCGTAGCGAAAGTTGTAGCTTTGCTTTTAGATCGCGCCGCGATGCCGGAGACGATGATGCCGGGGTGCGTTTTGGCTGGGATGATGACAGCAGGAGGTGCGATGTTGGCTGCGCCGAGGATGCCCATGCGGAGAGGAGCATCGCTTTTGGGAACGGAAGTGGGGGAGAAGGAGGTGTAGATGTTGGAGAAGCGCGAGTAGAGGTCTTTGATAGCCGTCGTCATCTTGGAACAGCTACTTTGGCAGGGGGAAGGAGACAAAGATGGAGGTGGTGGAGTGATGGCGTCGACAGCAGGAAGGTGAAAGGGTTCCTGGCAAGAAGGAGGGAGCTCTTTTGTACGTTGACCCATTCTGCAAGAGAATGCACGTCGACCTCCAGGTTGCAGCTTTCAGATGGCTGCACGGTGGACGCTCTTCCGTGACGCAGCGAATTCTTCTCGTCCACGTCAACGTGCTGCTCTCCCGCTGCTGCTCGCATTGGACCCTGTTAGCCGAACCCGGACAGAGTTCGTACAACGCGCACGAGCCGAGCCAGTCCTCTCGTCACCGCTCTATCTCGCCGTCCAACTTTTCGCACGTGTCGACCCGATACCCGACACCATTTCCTGTCCAGAGACTGTGCAGCTCGACCCAAGATATCGAAAAGTAAGGTGCCATAACAAAGCACAGCTTGGTTTCCGGGCGGGATGGAATCTCGAAGCGTCTTGAGCAGAAACGCTGTGATATCCGCAGAATTTCTTTAGCCTGAGACCGCCTGCATAGCCGAGCTCTGCACGGATACGACTCAGCCTTGGTTGCGACACAAGAGCCACGTCGATAGAATTTCAGCACGTTCGCAGAAAAAGCCATCCCCATGCTTGGTCTTCTTCCCGGAGGAGGAGCTTTCGCAAGTTGCCCTTTGGCTTGATTTGGCGCTGTATGCTGACTGCTCGTGAGGTGGCCCGGGTTCCTGGAGAAATGTTAGCAAGTCGCAACTTACACAAACCAGCTTTGTTTCGACCGTTCCGATGTCTTATTGAGTGGTAAGTGAGACGACAAGCATGGAAGTCCGTCTACATGCATCGTCGAGAGAGAGCTTGGGTCTACTTGCTTGAAACGGTACGAACGATCATTGCCGTCATCTGCGTGATGCTGGTGACGAAAACTTCGACGATGGTCGTGCTCGTTTGTGGGTGAGACGAGTAGGATTGACCATTGCTGCCTTCCTTTTCGTGCGTGGCATCCGCCCACAATGAACGGACTCGTTTCTTGGTTTGAGCGATACTGTATCCACAAGTTCATGGCAAGCTTTTCTGGTGGGTTCCAAGTTTATTTGTCTCGACCATGCAGAGTTACAGACAAGGCTGATGTTTAGTCAGACTCATTGCGTGTGCGATCGGATGAAGTCAGATCTTCCCACCGAATTGACCTTGCTCGAAGCAGTTGTGGGACAGTATAAAGGGAGCATCAAGTAACAAACGCCCCCTCCTGTGAATCCGGAACAGTCAAACTACCTTTTGCCATCAACTTCGGCACCGCGTACCCTTTCGACCATGAAGACGACTCCTTCTCAAGCCGCTTTTCTCGTCTTGAGCTTCCTCTTTACCGCTCCTCTTCGCGTCTCTGCCGACTCGTCTGGAGCGATCACCCTGCCCGACTTTTCCACCAAGCCGCTCCCGCTCGCCAGCACCTTCTACTGGTTCTCCTCGGTCGAAGTAGGCGTATGCTACAACCCTCAAGCGCGCATCGGTAGCATCGCCGGAGCGCTCCACTGCACGCACCAAGAGAAATACGATATCGACAACAACACCTGGACGCTTCCGCAGACGTGTGTCGCTCTCAAACCGTTGGGTGGACCGCTTTCGAGCGCTGTACGCGATTCGTGTAAGAATGCAAAGGGAACGTTCAACGTGATCAAGCCTGCTGCGGGGAACGGCGATGGTGGTCAGGCGTACGATGCTATTCAGAAACAGGATGGAGGAGGAGCAGGTGCGGGATCGGGAGATGGAGATTCGGCGCCTGACTCCAACGATCAACAGGACGGGGATAAGGGGAAGGGGGGTGGCTTCTTGAGCGGCATCGGCAGCATGTTCGGCATGTGATCAGACCTGATCAGCTTGGATTGCCTTCCGTCGCACCACGCTCTCACTCAACGCGGAGTATCGATCCCGTTCATCATGGTTGAAGGGAGGCTGGGGAGACCAGAACGAGGCGATCCGAAAAGCATGTTAGGGCCTAAATCTCATCGGCTCGCGTCGAAAAAATCGCTCCTTGCAACATTGCACTGCGAAAAAGGTGTGTACAACACACTGCTAACGGCGCGAGGCTCGATGGCGAGGCTTTGTGCACAGAGTGTGTCTACGGAATGAGAGACCCGTTGCTATCTACCATCGCTGCGCTGTCTAGGATGATGCCCGGTTGCTTGCAGTCACAGGTACAGAGGTTGGAGAGACAAGTCATCGACGTTTGGTCAGCCCCGGCTTTCAAGCGCCGTCAGCCGCAGTACCCTCTTCCCCACGTTTTTCTTTCTTTTTGTTTGGGCTCGTTGCGCCTGAAAGCGTCTGCTGCAGTCAAACCAGTCAAGCTTGCGTTCTGTAATTGACCGCTCTGTCTGGGGTAAAAGCACAAGGTGGCTGGGGCGCCTTGGATCAATTTCACAGTGCATAAAGTGAAAATTGGATGAGCCGGCTGTCCAACCTCGCTTCCTCGCTTTCCGTGCCCTCCACAGCTGCAGAGGACAGCCTTGAACCCTGATCGTCCTCATGAACAGCGTGTGAGAGTACACAGTATAGCTGCTTGGCGGCGGCAGCGGTTGCTGTTGCGCGTCTAGAAAATGACCGTGTGTTGGCTTCCAAACCGGCCATCAAGCCAGCCGGATTGCCGTGCGTTACTCTTAGCTCGCTCGCTGGCTCGTTTGCTCCTAGTTGGCCTTCTCAAACGCTTGCTGTCCATCGTCTCGTCACTGCAACAACGAAGGACCCTTCGACAGACCTCTTCCAAATATATTCCAATTCGTCCTTCTTCCATCAAAGCACAATTCGTCCTTAGCACCTCCAACTCCCAACACTAATATCCTCTTGTCCGTCGCACGATCTCTCCTCTCAAAATGGCCGCACGCAAAGCTTACGTCGTCGGTGTCGGCATGACTGCCTTCACAAAGCCCGCCGACCGCGACTACCCCATCCTCGGCCTCGAAGGTGCTGTCAAGGCTCTCATCGATGCTGGCCTCACCTACGACGACGTCGACTACGCCGCCGCAGGTTACGTCTACGGTGACTCCACTTGCGGTCAACGTGTTCTCTACCAGCTCGGTATGACCGGTATCCCCATCGTCAACGTCAACAACAACTGCTCCACCGGTTCCAGCGCCTTCAACCTCGCTGCCAACGCCGTCCTCGCAGGTCAGGCCGAATGCGCCCTCGCCGTCGGTTTCGAAAAGATGGCTCCCGGTTCGCTCAGCTCCGCTTTCACCGACCGCGCTGCTCCCATGGAGGGCACCATGTCGCAGCTCTTCGAGATCGAAGGTGACAAGGAGTACGAGGTCGAGGACTTCGGTCCCTTTGCCGCCCGTATCTTTGGTGCTGCCGGTCTCGAGTACTGTGAAAAGTACGGCGCCACCTGGGACCACATCGCCGAGATTGCTGCCAAGAACCACCGTCACTCGGCCAAGAACCCTTACGCACAATTCCGCGCCACACCCACTGCGGACCAGGTCAAGAATGCACGAAAGATCACCCGTGAGGTCACACTGCCCATGTGCTCGCCAACGTCAGACGGCGGTGCAGCTGCGCTCGTTGCTTCCGAGGAGTTCGTCAAGAAGCACGGTCTCGAGGACCGAGCCATCGAGCTCGCCGGTATGGGTGTTGCCACCGACTCGATCCGCCTCTACGAAGACCGCTCGCGCATCGAGCTCGCTGGTGCCGACATGTCGCGCCGTGCCGCTGCTATCGCTTACAAGCAGGCCGGCATCGGTCCCAAGGATGTCCAGGTCCTCGAATTGCACGACTGCTTTGCTCCCAACGAACTCGTCACCTACCCCGCTCTCGGCCTCTGTGCCGAGGGCGAGGCACACAAGCTGGTCGAGCAGAAGCTCAACACCTACAACGATTCCGGAAAGGGTTGGGTCGTCAACCCTTCGGGAGGTCTCGAGTCCAAGGGTCACCCTCTCGGCGCTACCGGTCTCGGCATGATCAAGTACATGGTCGACCAGCTCCGTGGCGACGCAGGCGCGCTCCAGGTCAAGAACGTCCAGCACGCCTTGACGCACAACATCGGTCTCGGTGGAAGCTGCGTCGTCACCATCCTTCGTCGTCCTTCGTTCTATAAGGCAGGCGCCACCAACTCGTCCAAGCGCTTCGGATACAACGCCGGTGACCATGTGCAGAGCATCACCGAAGACGACTTGAACAAGGTCAAGAGCAAGCAGTTCTCCGAATACCTCCCCGCTGACCTCTAAACCAGATACATGTCCTCACGTAACCACCTGCGAGACGCTGATCCGTGCATTCCGCGGCCTCGGGAGCATCAAGCTCCCCGCCGATCTGGAACCGAGCTGCTCCGAGCAAGATTGTCTGATCGCCTCAACCCACCTTGCCTCTACCTGCTCCTGTATTAACGAAATCAATGACGTGCTCTTCGCTTGATGTTCAGAACGGTGTCCAGCATAGCATGCTGGATCGCTACCTTCTTGATATCGTGTGCTTGCGTGATGGTGGACGGTCTTGCCAGACCTTGGTGAGTGAGCCTTCTCGCTGTGAGCGGTTCGGATCACAGAAAAGACCTGCCGCCATATCTTGATGAAGCTGTAGCGTGCATACGGTCGCTGCATGAACATGCTTCGACTTCATCTGCTATGGGTGGTTCGAGGAAGAACGTGCTCTTCGCGACGAGTTCGCATTGTGCTTTCAGGTGAGGAAACGGTCCGATGTCGTTGGCGTCCCTCAATTTAATGTGCTATGATCCAGAAAGAACGTGCTCACACAGACGCAATCGAGACAATCTCATGTGCGATGACTACGTGCTTCACCAAGGACAAAGCTCCGAGGGTTGCTTGCGCAGTGTGACGCAGACGAAGAATGTTGATGTGACCTCTCAGAAGCGACTACGCCATCGCAGCCTTTGCAACGCATCGGCGGAACAATTGCTCTCCCCGCCTGAAAAGCACAGGATCGAGCACGGAACGACTGAGATCGACCCAAAGTTTCACTGCTTCAACTTCTTTGCCGACCTTACCCTGATGGCTGCTATGAAAGCAACTCGAATCTCGCCACGAATCGATGAATAAAAGCTCATTCCCTGTCAACCGGATCGGACATCACGGTTAGTTCCGTTCGGTGAATACCAGCATCATCCTCAAGCTCTTCGCTGAACTCGTCTCTTCCCTTCAATCCGATCGATCTCTTGTGTGGCCGTCCATGTCATCTCGGAGTAGGCTCTTTCAACTTTTCAAACTGGCCGACGTGAAAAGCACGCAACCGCGGAAGAGCTCCCACTTCGTATCCAGCCTGCAGCGAGCAAGGGGTTGTAAGGCACGACCGACAGGAATTGCTTTATACCTGAAAGAGCCGGCGGCGAAGCTGGTCAGGGGCTGACTGCAGCAATCATTCGCCTCACAGGTGTTGCCTCACAATCGTTCATTCTGGATCGTAGGGTAAGGCCCCCAAACTATAAACTCACAAACGCTTCCCACGCGGGAGTCCTTACAACGGTCTTTGATTGTCGTTGACGCAGACGACGCCGGCACGGAAGGGTGTCTTCTGACGACGCTTTGCAGCTCCTCATCTCGCGTCAAGCGGGTTGCAAGCAGCGGGTCCGCCCGCAGACCTTTTCTCAATCTCATAGAAGAGGGGCCGACCTCGTCCAGCTTTATCATCCAACGACACCGCCTAAGGTACTGGCTGCACTGGTGGCAGTGAAACCTTTGCCACGAAGCGACATGGCCAGCATGAGATCGCGCTGCATCCATTCAACTATCACGCTCCTCCAACTAGTCGCGTGGCTGCTGGCAGTCGTCACGCCGTGTACCGCCTCTCTTCCGGAAGACAGCAGCGGACTGGAATCCGCCGAGCAACTCGTACGACCTGCAAGCGATCGACTAGCACACTCTTTATCGACAGCAAGGATGCGGAAAGTAGTAGTGAAAGCGCCCGAGAAGCTTCGGCTGGGCACCGACGACTTTCTCGGGTCCGGATTCAAGAGGAAGTCGGTCGCTGGAGCGTACGGTACCTCTGTGGGGGTTAGCCTGGGCGCCGTGGCAATTGGATACCAGACGTTGAACTATCGGTCAAAGAACAGAGAATACGCAATCAAGAAGGAGAAAGACGCCCGAGTCAAGGAGGCCATCTGCTCGGAACGGCGACGCTACGCAGCCGCTGCCGCCGAAGCTGCACCTGTCGCAGATGTAGCCGCCGACACTGTGCGACCCACTGCGCCGTCGATTTTCGCTTCGACTGCGATGGCTTCAAATGTACTGCAGCAGGATCACGCTGACCTAGTCGGACTCGAATCAGCTCCTGCATCGTTCTCGACACAACCAGCAGGGGTGGCTAGCACAGCACACACGTATCCTCCGTCTCGTGCGCTGACCTCGCTCGAGCGTAGAGCACCGCTCACTGACCAGACGCTCAACACGATAGAAGATTACAACAAGATGATCGGAGCCTCAGAGGCTGTCGCTTCTGCTAGCATTGCCATGACTTCTGCGTGAGTATCCTGAGCACCGTTTCGAGCCAATCGGTAAAAGTTGCGGCACTAACGTTTCGCCCTGTTCCCTGCAGTCACCAAGCAAATCAGCGCAGTTTGAACTCGTCGCCCGAGTTCAGCTGTTGACCAAATAAGGTCCCTTACCATGCCACAAGCACATCTTGCTGTTGATGAGGTGTCGAATCACTCGCAGACAGTAGAAGACCGTGCTCTAACCATGCCCAGCAAAGTGAACAAAGCAGAAGCAGTTGATTTCCATCAGAACGGGAAGAAATCAAGGGTTCATTGGCCACGACGATAAAAATTCACGTCAAAAATGAGGCAACAAAAAACGAACCTCAAAAGAGAGTCTTCACAAGTCTAGTTGAACGCGCGGTCTGGTCCAACCTTTTTGGCAGACGAAATTTTCTTCTCTAGCGTCACGGCGACTGCGTCTATGCCGAGGTTCCAGAATGGGGACTCACACCGACAATAAAGGAGAAACTGTAGGCCAGGGAGAAGCGATCTCGGCAAAGGCCGAAGGTCATGTGTTGCGCAACAGGAAGTGCATTCTTTGCGGACAACTTGGTCAGGTACAAATCGATTGTGCGAGTCACAGCAAGTGCGCAAAGCAGATGAGCCCATCTCGACGTGCTCGGCGGCGTAGGTGGGTGGTGACAACGGCAGTGGCAGTCACACGACTCGCTTGGCTTTGGCACGCAACGAAAGCGACACAACACACTGCGATGCGGTAGCCGCACAACCGTTGCTCGGGTTCCAAGAGCGGAAACGGATGAGCTTTGCCGATGATGCGGGGAAGTGTTTGTTTTGCCTGCGTCCTGGTGAAGAGTGGAACACCGTGGGGAAGCCGAGCGCCTGCTGCTGGTCTCTGCACGTCCAACTCTAAAATCACCAAAGTGCGGCAGACTGGCGCATTTTGACATTTCCTACTGGGCCGGCAGCATGTGCTCTCTCGCTATTTCGTTGCTCGCTTCTCTCCACACCTCCGCCATTCACCGTGCAGTGGAGCGTGCACTTGGCAGCCTCTAGACTCCGATACAGCGGTAGTCTGCCAGACAGGTGTTGCCCATCGATCCCATTCGGCCCACTCGACTGGTTTGCAGCATGACATGCACAGTGTACATCACTGAGTGAGCGAGTCTGATTTGAGTGTCGTGTGCCTCTCTTGTTCAACACTGTCTCTACCCCGCTCATGCTCAGTGCGCACGGACTCGCAACACAGCTTTCTGTGAGCGATTTGACCGACGCACAGGCGTCTCTCTGGACCCTTTCGCCCCAGCCAGACCGTGCTCTACTGTTCCGCCTAGAACTCTGCACCATTGCGCCATTCAGCCGAGCAATGAAGAAGCGGGAGAGCACCGGTCGAGCTGGTCCGTCGGTCAACTTCCCGTTTCCTTCCCTTCTCGAACCACACTGACAGAAGACCATGGGAAAGCGCCATGCAGTCAAGGAAACTCGCTGCTCGCGCGACATCACATATGGCATGTGCGGCATCTTGCGAGGAGGTCACAGCGCTCAAGCGACAGCGGCAGTCGAGGGTCCTAGCTTCCATGAATGGGGCTCCCGCACTGCGGCAGCGGCAATCAACCAAGCTACGCACAACTGTCACTAGTCCTTCTGACCACACGTCTGACTGAGTATGCTGTCTCACAGCACCGTGGCTACACTTCTACCATCGTGGCCAGCTGAGAAAGCATAAAAGGAGCCGGCTCTCGACTTCACCATCGTCCTACTTTTCCCCACATCTCATCTCACTTTGTTGTCACAGACTCTCATCACTCTCACTTCGAATCGCAAACGCACCTCATCACACTCTGAAGCAAACCATTTTTGAAGCCCTCCTCGAACAACATCAAAATGGCTCCCGCTGCTACCTCGTCCAAATCGAACGCCGACCCTCGTGAGCAACAGCTTAACATCTCTGGTCAGAACCGTGTCGCCATCTTCGACAAGAAGGGCGGTCCCGTCTCGGTCAAGGATGTTCCCATCCAGAGGGACCTCAAGCGAGGTGAGGCCCTCGTCCGCGTCATCTACTCTGGTGTCTGCCACACCGACCTGCACGCCATGCTCGGTGACTGGCCTCTGGACAACAAGCTTCCTCTGGTCGGTGGACACGAAGGTGCTGGTGTCGTCGTAGCCCTCGGCGAGGGCGCTGACCAGTACGTCAAGGTCGGCGACCGCGTCGGAATTAAGTGGATCGCCACTTCGTGCCTCAACTGCTCCTTCTGTAGGATTGGTGCCGAGCCCAACTGCCCCAACGCCCAGTGCTCCGGCTTCAGCGTCGACGGTTCTTTCCAGAAGTACGCCGTTTCTTACGCCAACCACCTGTCGATCATCCCTGATGAACTGCCCCTCGACGAGGCCGCTCCCATCCTCTGCGCTGGTGTCACCGTCTACAAGGCTCTCAAGGAAGCCAACCTGACCCCTGGTCAGTGGGTCGCCATCCCCGGTGCTGGTGGAGGATTGGGACACTTGGCTGTCCAGTACGCCGTCTACGCTGGTTACCGAGTCATCGCCATCGACACTGGCTCCGACAAGAAGGCGCTTTGCGAAAAGCTCGGCGCCGAGCGATTCATCGACTTCAAGACCAGCAAGAACCTCGTTGACGACATCAAGGCCGCTACCCCCGACGGATTCGGTCCCCAGGCTGCCGTCGTCGCCGCTTCCGGTGCAGCTGCCTACGAACAGGCTCTTGACTACATCCGTCCTCGTGGTGTGCTCGTTGCCGTCGGTCTTCCCGGCCAGGCCGACATCAAGGCCAACGTCTTCTTCACCGTCTTCCGCTCCGTTCGCGTCGTCGGATCGTACGTCGGTAACCGACAGGACGCTCAGGAGGCGCTCGACATTGCTGCTACCGGCAAGGTCAAGACCACCTACAAGACCTTGGGTCTCTCGCAGCTCCCGCAGGTGTATGACGACATGCAGAGCGGAAAGATCGCCGGCAGGATCGTGCTCGACATCGACCAGTAGTTGGAATCTTGTGCTTTTTCTTTGGATGAATGGAATCGATTTGAACTCGTGTCTCTCGGTTTGATGTGCAGAACGTGCGTGGGAGCGTGTAGACGACTCGGTAGCTTCGAGCGATAGCGTGTGTCAGCGAGTCTCGAGTCTCAACCATATCTGTCTCACACACATGCTAGGTCTATCTTAGGACGAAAGGAGCTAATTTGGACGTTTGTGCTCAAGGCTAATGTTTTGTTCTACAGAGCGTGGGCTAACAATGAGGGACTGGATCTGTACTCTGAGCAAGATCGTCTGTATGCGTTCACCCATAGACGGAATTTTTTCCATTTTGCTGTGTCTCCTCAGCCGTCGAGTCCCAGCCTTTCCTTGCAACGCTCTCCACATCGTCCCCGCCGCCACCCACCACCTCCTCCCGCGTCCCCTGGTGTCTCTTGATCACCAGCCCCAAACACGTCAAGACAGCCAGTGCTACGAACTCGGACACGTACTGCAGTACCAACTTGGCCCAGATACTCTTGACAACAAGGATGGAGCCTGAGAAAGTGGTGTAGGCTGCAAACGCTGATCGGACGATCATCAGCGGGGTTGAGATGAACAACGCGCATCGGATGGTACGCGTTCGTTTCGTGTCCGAGTTGAGACCGAACGTGGTGATTGCGAGCAACGTTGCTGTGAGGAGGATATAGAGGATCGAACCGATCTTGGTCTGGATGGGCAGGGTTGGGTGGGAGAGTAGAATGCCTTTAGAGTCGGTGAAGGTGGTGTTGGTGTAGCCGGTGATGATGCAGATCATCGCAGCGAGGTTGATGAGATTCAACACGCGACCGATGGTTTTCTCCGACCGTTCAGTTCCTTGACCCATCAGATCTCGTGCATTGGCGTAGAACGCCAACACCGCCGAGATCATAGGACTCAACCCGATCGACTGCAGAATGAACCCCCATACCGTTAGGTTTACGGAGCGGATGGACCGTGTGTAGTCGACGACAAGGATCGTATTCCCGACCAGGTGGAGTACGGTGACGATGAGCAGCGGTAGGTAGCCGGAGGTGCGGATGGGTCGGTGGTGGACGAGGTTGAGGATGTTGAGGACGAAGAGAGGGAGGTAGAGCGGGATGAAGGCGATGTTGATGATTGTTGCGGTGGAGTAGGTCATGATTGGCAGGAAGACGTTCTTGACTGGGCGAAAGTGAGTAAGGCGTTGGGTGTGGGTGATTCGAGGATGCAGTGAGGATCATGCTTCCTTTATACGTTTCCGCCTCACGTTCGGCGCTGTACAAACAACGCTTGTCACCATCGTCTCCCATCAGATGGATCAGACAAACACAGCCAAACCATACAGCTGTCACTATCCGAATGCCTCCCCCACCCTTGCAGACAGCTGCACTCCCTCACGCAACCCTAGATCGTCTCGCCGATGTCATCCTCAAGCGGCGCCCTGTTCGGCACCGTAATACCTCCTTTCGCTATCTCTCTCGACCATCCGACTCCCCCGTTCCTCGGCTTCGGCATTTCAATGAACCTGCAGGCTGTGTGGGTTTCTTGAGAATGTCCAACTGCGCAACATCCTCGATGTTTTCCCGGCGGAAATTCACGACACGATGTCTTTCGCTTCTTCGCTCGGCACCTTATTCGGCGTCCACCTGGAAAAAATCGGTACCTCGCTCGGATGCAAATCCGCAACGGAAAAACACAGCTCGCATCACCCCCCCATGAAAATTCCGAGCTCGCATCGGCGCCGAATGGGCTGCATCTGAAGCTCTAGCCGATGATGAATGGATGCAGTGGCGAGCAAGGAACAAAGAGGCTGTGCACGTGAAGTCGATGCACATGGCGAGTCGGCAGCCGATTCAGATTCCGGTTTCGGAGGTGGTACCTGACAGGTAACGGCTCGGGTGCTCCTCTGAGCCGCGGAGTGTGGCCCCTCTGCCAGTACTTAGGACCGGATGTCTCTTCAACAAACCAAGGGAAAGCAAGCAAGCAAAGCAAGAAATGCGTTCAGCTGCGGAGAACGCTGTGGTTAGGCAAATGCTATCGTGGTTATGGTATGTAGTATACAAATGTCTCTTTTGCTCCAGGCTGGTTAAGCCTTCTCGCCTTCATTCTGACCCATGCCTTGGGATCTGTCTTTCCTGCTCTGCCGCAGGTGTAGACCCCAGTTGATCAACGCCAACACAACTCCCGCGCCTGTGAATCCGATCCCCATATACCCCGCACCACGATATCCCTTCAACACATCTCTCCCACCGTCGTTGACGTGCGTTTCGACAACACCGGCGAAACCGAGACCCAGAGCAATGCTGTAGTTGACCACAGTATTCACGATACTGCTTGCGGTGCCTTGCTGATGAGCCGGCAGGAGGTCGCTGAGGATGATGCTCGCGGCAGGGAACGACATGTCCATTCCGAACGGCATGATGGCCGAGGAGATGTATGGCAGTGCTTCGACGCGTACCGGTGTGGCGCCGGAGACGATGCTGCCGATGCAGAAGGCGAGCAAAGAGAGCAGCATGATGAACGCAGGGCTCGTGCGTCCGAGGATCTGAGCAGAGCTGAAAGCCGCTATAATGCCCGCTACGCCGGCTGGCACAAAGCTGAGGATGGTAAAGATGGGTGAATATCCGCGTACGTTCTGGGCTAGTAGGTTGATATTGTAAAACATCCATATACCGAAGCCTGCCCAGCCCATCGCCAAGCTGATCAGGATCAAGGACCCCGAGAGGTGGAAGACGCTGGTCGGAAGGAGCGGGAACGCTGCTTTGCCTTCGCCATAGATGAAAATGCCTATGAAGAGAACTCCGACGATGAGAAGGGCGTATACGTAGGGCGTCGACCAGCCCACGACGAGCGCTTGGTTGAAAGCAAAGTTGAAAAGGACAAGGCCTGTGACACCAGTCAAGGTGCCAAACAAATCCAGGCGCTTCCATAGCGGAGCGTCCTTGTGCGAGATGTCATCCATCGGACCCAGGCTGGCTGCGTCTGAAGACGGTTGGTCGCTGTCGTCCTTGCGGTCAAGCTTCCACGACGCGCTGACAGCACGCATCTCGTCTTCATTCGGTAGAGCGAAAGAGCAGAGTGCCGCCAAAAGCGCCGATGTGATGGCCATGACGTAGAAGCCCCACCACCAACCCATCCGTCTGTTCATGTCCATCAGCGTGGTGAACAGGGCGCCGACCAGAAAGCCGTTGGGTGCGGTGGCGGCGAAAACGGAAAAGGTGAGATGCTTTGCGTACGAGCCAGGCGCAAAGACTCTGCCCAAGATGGCGAGCGCGTTGGGTAGCAGTATGGCACATCCCAAGCCTTGCATGGCTCTGCAGACGTCGAAGAAGATGTACGACCCGGTGTAGTGGGAAAGGCCAGCGAGAAGGGACCACAAACCGAGGACGGCGTATCCGATGATGACGACGGGTTTGTGACCGACAAGATCGCCGATGCGACCTGCAGGCAGCACAAAGGTGCCGACTGTGAGGGAGAATGCGGCAGCGAACCACGACTGCTGCGCGTCGGAGTGCTCAACGTCGAATGTGCGGGCGATGCTGCGGATGGGCACGACGGATTGACCTAGAGATGACTGGGTGAGGAGCATCGCCATGCAGAGGGTAGCGACACCAACAAGCTGGCGTATCTTGCCCAGTGTGCCTGCATTGTAGAGGGGTCGAGGTGGCGCGTGGGAGGCAGCATCGGATGGGCTGTCCATCGCCTCGACGATGCTCGTGGCCGGTGACGACATGGCTGTTTGGGTGGGTGTGGGTCTGGAATGGAAGCAGTCTGGACTTTAGGACATGATGACCATGTATATATAGTGGTCTGAGCTTGTCCAGCCACTCGTGAATGGAATGGAGCAGGTGGCAATCGTGGATGGAAGGAGATTGCAAGGAGATAATCACGACTCGCTCAAAGGCGTACCGAGGCTGCTCAGAGCGATCCCCAACGGCACGTCGAAAAAAAAAGTGACGAAAGGGTTCGGATGACGGCAGCGTCCGCTTTTTCCGTTGTAAATCAAGCGGTTAATCTCCGATGACAGAGGTGCTTGTATCCGAAGCCCGTGAGGGTGTAGGACAGGAGCCAGTCAGCTGTCGCGTTGCTCTTGGCATGTCACACGAAAAAATGGCCGGCGTCGAGATGCTTCGAACATTGCCTCGCTGGACCATGTCGATCTTCTGCAGCGAATCTGGAATGCTTGTCTGAGACCGCTGCCAGGGTACAGTACTTACATCCGAGACTCATACTCCGAATCGAGAAGCACAGCTGCTCTAAGGTTGCTAAAGTGCACGCAGAAATTCGGCTCGGTTGGACTAGTCTTTACAGTTGTTTCAGGTCTCACAAGTTTGGTCGTCGCTCAGTGTCGCCAAGTGCCGCCTTTCATACGCTCGCCAACACTCAACTCAATTGCTTGCTCGGACCATCGGATCCTCGGTCTCGCCCCGACGGCGCGATCAGACGCAATCATTCACTCTAACAATTTTTCGAACTTGTATTTTAAGCCACATGTCAAAGTAGGGCATCTAACATGGTTCTAAAATTGGCTCCTAAAGACGCCCGTGAAATATCGGGCTGGAGAGGCGACGATCGCGGCGAGAGACTCGCTTCGGCATCTTTTTGGCCTGAAAGCGAAAGCCAAAGCGGAAAGGGCCGATGACCGCACCGCACGTACCGGTTGAGTCACAGGCGGTCTGCGCCTGGCTTCGGGAGCTTTCCGCTTCGGCTGCTTGGCTGCGACCCCCGCGCCTTGCTGCTAGCTCGCCCGTCTCCCCCGGCTTATTTTTCCTCTGCCGCACGCAACCCACACTCTCGCATCCCCGCCTTTGCACGAGGCTGCAGCACCCAGCGAGACGGCTGAGGCATCAAACTTGCCAACACAACAAGATCGGACCGACGCTTGCAAGCGCTCTCTCCGATTCATCATCATCATCTCTGCCGCCATTGACGGCATCAACACCGCTCTTCAACGGCTCTTCCGTACAAGTTCAGCATGGCGCAGTCACATTCATAGCCCGGTCGATCTAATACTTGCAATCAGCATAGCAAGGAGAAGCCCACGAGATTTCATTCGTCAACATGCTTTCCGCCCGTCGAGGCGCAGCCAGGGAGCTGCTGGCGTCAGCTCCATACCCCAACGGTCCTATCGCTGGACCTTCGCGTCCAAGACATTCTTCCACAGCTATCGCTCCATCCACTTCGGCCGCTGCCTCGAGCATAGCCAGCAAGCGCCACTCGCTCGCCAAGATCCGCGACTCATCCGCTTACGTCGCCCGTTACCGCACCCTCGGCGCATCCGCACATCCTCTTCTATCTTCAGCACCTACAACGGCGAGCCATGCTGCGTCGCATGAAGCCTCGACCTCCACGGCGAGCCAAGCATCCATCAGCACCACTTTGCCCTCGGCCACCAGCAGCACCGTTCTCGACACTTCAGGGCCCGCCGCGTATCCGGCATCCACCTCAGTGCGCTCGAAGTCCACCAACGCATCCGATCAGCTAGATGACACATGGGCCTTTGGCGGTGGTGCCAGGAGTCAGGGAGGTCCAGTCGGCGCCTCAACAGAAGCTGGCGATGCGGCATCCAAAGGAAAAGCAGCCAACGCGCCCATCGTGATGGGAAACGCAGGCAAAGGTGCGATCCCAAACTATGGCAAGCGCAAGATGAACACCATTCACGTCTCTGGTCCAGCTTCCTCCGGCTCATCTCGTCCACCGGCACCGCCCTCACCGGCTTCGACGGAAGAGACGCCATCCTCTCGATACGAGCATCGCTACTCTCCCTCGACACGCAGCGAGCAGCCTCTACCGCAGCACACCTACTTTTCGTCGCCTTCGTCCTCTTTCAACGCCTCGTCTTTTGTAGCGCCGGGTACGCAGCCGCCCTTGGCTGGCACAGCCACAGCTGGCGTCGGTCAAGGTCACCCTGGCATCGGCATCGTACGCAAAAAGTCGGCTCTCATCTTTCCCGGTCAAGGGTCGCAGTACGTTGCCATGTCCAAAGACCTCTACAAGGCTTTCCGCTCTGCGAGATCCATCTGGCATCAGGCGGAAGAGGCGCTCATGATGACGCCGGGTATCCACTCGCACCACTTCATCCAAGGCGAGCGCGCCACGAGCGCAGAGCAGAGGGAGCTCTTCGAAGCCGAGCTGGCAAAGACGCGGCATCTCGACCCGAAGCAAGGCCTGTCAGCCAGTGGCACAGCCGTGGCGAGGGGTAGGAGGGGCTGGTTGCGCGATCTTGTCTTTTCAGGCGATCAGCTCGAACTGACTCGAGCTGAGAATGCACAGCCTGCCATCCTGACGTGTACGCTGGCGTTCTTGCAGGTGCTTCGCAAGGAGTTCTCGCTCGATCTCATTCAGGACCACGTCGAGTGGGCGTCGGGTCACGGCTCGGGTGTGTATGCGGCGCTGGTGGGGTCGGGTGCGATGGATCTGCATGATGCGGTGCGGCTGCTGCGACACCGTGGTCTGGTGGCTTCGCACTACACGCACAATCATCCAGTGCTTTTCCCACCTGGCTGTAAGAAGCCTGAGAGCATCTACGAGACCTGGGCGTTTGCCAATGCGGGAAGCGGTAAGGGCGCCGACCTGCTCTATGAGGAGGAGGTTGCTGCTTCGGACGGCGAGACGAAGGCGGTTCCGGGGTGGAAACGCACGCAGATGTCTGGTGTCGTCGTGCGACCTGGCAAGCTCAATGCGGTGATCAGGGAGGTGGAGCAGGTGATGCAAGACATTCGCAACGGCAAAGTCCCCTCGGTTGCACGCGACGAGGTGGTCGAAGTGGCCAACATCAACAGTCAGCTTCAGATTGTTTTGTCGGGCACGCGCGTCGGTGTTTCGTACTGCTGCGATCGGTTGCGGAGCAAGAATCTGGGAGCGCGGGCGGTGAACCTGCCGGTATCGGGGGCGTATCATTCGAGCCTTATGACCGAGGCGTCGGACTTTTTGCGACCCGCGGTCAAGTATATGCCGCTTTCGGATGCGGAGGGATTCTCGCTGGTGAGTTCGAAGGATGGGAGCGTGGTGCGGGATAGCGAGGCGATCAGGAGGGATCTGGCGGGCGCATTTGCCAGGCCGGTGCATTGGTTGAGCAGTGTAGATACGCTGTTGGCGCAGGGGGTGGAGAGGTTCATCTGTTTAGGCCCGGGTAGGGCGTGCGCGCATCTGTTGAGTAAGGAGCTCGCGTATAGGGATAGAAGGAGGGAGGCGGAGGGCGGGGAGAAGGGGCAGAGCGGGTATGAGGTTTGGAGCTTGGCGACGGTGGAGGATGTGGAGCAGCTGGCGGAGGCATTGGTGGATGTGTCGGGGAGGGAGGGGGTGATGCTGCCGAGTAAGGGGGTGGATATGGATCGGTTGGTGGCGGATTAACGGGCACAATCATACCATGAAATTATGGAGCATTGCATTGCAATTTTGGAAAAGTGTGGGGTATGTGACAAGAAACGGAGAGGAGAGCAAAAGAAAAGTCTAGGTGGAAGCTTTGTGGTTCAGCCTCTTGATGCGAAGCGGCATGCCAGCGGTCGTAGTGCCATCGGAGGTTTCGGCTCTTGGTCTGACGATGAGAGCCTGTTGCTGTTTGACCGTCACTCCCGGTTCTGGGAGCAGCTCGAAGCGAGCTAGCAACGAGATGATGATGATCTTCATCTCGGTGAGAGCGAATTTGGCACCGATGCAGCTCTTGGGCCCGCCTACGAAGGAGTATGTGAGGTAAGGGGGGAGTTTTGCGTCCGCGTGGGTAGAGGGAAGGTGGGAGAAACGGTCTGGGTTGAAGGAGTCCGAGTCGGGGCCGAAGAGGGCGGGGTTGGCGTTGACGGTCTTGATGCCGATGGTGAGGCGCGTGCCGGCGGTAATGGGGAGGGAGGAGACAGTCTGGCCGGTGGAGAGGGTGAGTGGGGTCATGAGGGGCAGCACGCAGTCGGTGGTCGCCTGACGGTCGTTACCGGGTACGGGTGGGCAGAGGCGGAGCGTCTCGGCGAGGATGAAGTCGAGGTACTGGAGGGTGGGGGACCAGATGTCGTCGTACGACAGGAGAGAAGGGGTGAAGTCCTCGAGCGTGAGGTTGTGACGTTCTGAAAGAGTTGTCGAGATGACGTCGCGTAGTTTCGTTTGCACTTCGGGATGCTGAGCGAGGAAGTAGAGCGCCCAAGAGGTGGTTACGCTGCTAGTCTCGTAGCCTGCAAACATGAACGTCTGGATCTGACCGGCAATCTCTTTGTCCGTCATCCTGGCGCCCTTGTCCGCGTCGAGGTTGCTCTTGATCAAGAGCGAAAGCAGATCCTTCTTGTCGCCCAGATCCTCCCCCTCCTTCTCAACGCTCTCCTTTGCCTCCCTGACGATCTGCATCGAGATCCTATCCATCACCGTGTTCACCTTGGCGATCCTCCGATTCGCTTCCGACAAGGGCCACGTCGATGCCTTCGGATAAAGCAGCGCACTCAAGCCCAAATGGATCGCTCTAGCAGGCCCGAAATCGATCGCAGCCTGATTGACCGCGTTGAAAGCGCTGCTCAACTCCGACCCATCCCTGCCCTTCTCCAACGCTCGACACGGATACCCAAACCCAGCCTCTCCGATGATATCCAGCATCGTACAGTCCAAAAACTCTCCGAAATCCACACTCTCCTTCCCCTCCGTAGCAATCTTGTCACACATCCTCTCTGCGTACTTAGCAAAGATCGGAGTCAACCCCTTGATGTGAGCAGGCGTAAAGGCGGGAGCCATGAGCTTGCGCTGCTTTCGATGCGCATCGCCGAAGCGCGCCACAATACCGTTGCCGACGATGAACTTGATGACGGTGGTGCGGAGCAGATCGGACTGAAACTTGTCGACATCAGAGAGGATGTAGTTGAGAGCGAAGGGATCGGAGATGAAGATGGTCTCGCCGCCGAAGGGTTCGGGGAAGACGAAGATGGAGGCGTCGAGGGATCGGGTGTAGTGCTTGCATACTTCGCCAGGACCGGAGACGGTGACGGGCTCGGATGTGGAGGGGTCGGTGTAGGTGAGACCTTTGGCTTCGACGAGACGCTGACCGAGGATGTACGAGGCTCGTTCTGGGCGGGGCAGGTGGCGGTAAGGTGACGGGAACAGGATGGGTTTGAGCGTGAGTTTGTAGGTGATGTAGAGGACGAAAAGGGTGAACAAGGATGTGAAAGGGCGCTGTTGGATCCACAATAGAAGGTCGAAATTGTCGAGTAGCCGATTGGAAGTGGTCGTCGCCATGTTGGCGTTGGCAAGGTGGAAGGGAAGGGGTGGTGGTCAGGAAGGAGGAGAATGAGGACACTCGAGCGTCTTACTCCACATCACACAGCATGGCATGATCTTGAGCCTGACACACACACATTTATCAATTCCACTCTTCGCTCCGACACGCCAGACAAGTCCCGCGGAATTCACTCCTTTCTTCGTTTGTGCAACAGTGGGATCTTCTCAAGCCAAGACCGTTGCCCTTTTTCGCGTACCTTCATTGTCACTCGATCAGCACATCTTTTGAGCTCAGTGTTGTTATGTGCGGTGCGGTGCTAAGACTCGGGATTTGGACTCTATTGATTGACATGGCAGAGCGAACCAGATGCTCTGCTGCTGGTGGGTATTAATGATGCACGTCAGCCGGGGCCCCCCTGAGTGAGAATGCAGCTACGGCTTGATGGCTCGGATGATGTGCAGGTGTTCTCCACCGGCCCGCCTTGCCAATACAACCTGTCAGCACGGTCATGTCGTCCAATATTCGAAAGCGGTATCAATGGTATGTTAGTCGACACTTCAAGTATGCAGCACCTTTTGCGCATATCGACTACTTACCTCTGCATTCAGACCTTGCGCTGTCAACCTCTTGACCAGCCCTGCTGGATCGTTCTGCTTGATCGCTACCAAGTAGAATCTTCCTTGGCTTGCAAGCACATCTCTGATCACATGTCCATCAATCAGCTCATCTACCAACCTCGTTCCTGTCGCTCCTCCAGCCCAAGACCCTTCGATTCGAGCTCTGCCCTGTGCCATCATCTCTTCCTCTTCCTCTGTCGGCACATATGGTGGGTTGAACAGCAACACGTCCACTTTTCCTTCCAGCCTGGATCCTAGTCCTGATAGCAACGACGTCCTGACAGCCTCGACGTGTACACCGTTCGCTTTTCCTGTTGCTCGGGTACACGTGTTGGCGTGCGGATTGAGATCTATCGCTACAAATTCCGCTGAAGCTGAGCCGAGAATCTGCGAGAGGAATGTAGTGACGATACCGCTACCCGAGCCGATCTCGACGCATATAGGTGCTCTGTGTGAAAAGGTGGCGGTAAGGGAAGAGGCGTCGGCTTCGAGTGCGTCGAGGAGGATGAAGCTGTCTTCTGCTGGCTCGTAGACGCTGCGGAAATCTTGCTTCGTCAGATGTGACAGCGATGGTGTTGGAATCATCGACGAGTTGGTTCTTGAGGAGAGAGTCCTCGCTGTGATGATGCAGAGTCAGAGCACTATAAGAGATGATATGATATGATGAAAGGCACTGCGAGAGGTACCAGTATGAAGTTAGCCAGGGTCCATCAAGAAGAAATGCGGCCTTCGGGCGGTCGCGAACCGAAATCCGAATTGCAATTCCACGACATGTTGCGCTCGTCATCTTCACCTCTCACACTCCATCACCTCTCTCAGACACACCGCACAACATGGCCGCCAAACCACAGGCAGAGGTAGGTTGCTCATCGTATCCACTCTCTTCTCACCCCTGCTCGCCGTTCTGACATTCTTTGTCCTTCATCACCTCAACAGGTCATCCAGGAATGGGCCGACTTTGACTCGGCAGGATACAGCTTCGAACGAGGGCGCATGGAGAAGACCGTTCAGTCCCTCTGCTTTGGCGACAACGCAGCCACTGTGCCAGCGCACGTTGCGGCAGGACCGTCTCAGGGTCAGAAGCTGAAGAAGGACGACGTCGACTTCATTGTAAGTGTTTCTCTTCCTGCCTTACGTTCAACGTTCGAGTGTTCAGCTGACGGTTTTGACTGGATCTTTTGCATGTCGCGATAGGTGGCCGAACTGTTGGTGTCACGGCAGACTGCGGAAGCAACACTGGCAAAGTACAACGGCGACATGGAAAAGGCGCTCACAGAGCTTGTTTCGGGGCAATAGCTGATCTGGTCAGACAACGAATCTCAAACTAACATCTGCAGCGCTTGACCGCTCAACACTCGCACGCCTTGGATGTGACGCCTTTCTCCGCACAATAGCGGATACCAATGATCGAACGAAGGAGACTCAGTCCAAACACACTCGACCGGAGCCTCTGAGCAAACAAGATATGCGCTACAGACATTCATTTCGTCCTCTCGAGAGCCTCTCCCTACTTGGTCCCGTTCAGCGCATCATAGCACCTGATCACCGTACTATCATCCATCAGCTTCTGGCCTCTCCCCACACCCGCCACGAACATCTGATGAGCCGCGACACTCAGTGGCAATGCTGCGCCCACCTCTCTCCCCGCCTCACCCACGATGCCCAGATCCTTGACAAAGATCTGCGTCATGCTGTGAATCTCGGGCTCCCCCTGCAGCATCCTCGGACCTCGATCCTTGAGCATCCACGAGCTCGCCGCCGAGCCCGAGACGATCTCGAGCGCCTTTTCGGCGTCGATGCCCATCTTTTTGGCGAGAGCGAGCGCTTCGGCGGCTGCGGCGACGTGAATCCCGCAGAGAACCTGGTTGACGGCTTTCATGCTGTTTCCCTTGCCGACCTCTTCGCCCATGTGGTGGAGTTTGTCGCCCATGGCGCGGAGGACGGGCAGCGAGTGGGTGTAGGACGAGGTGGGACAGCCGACCATGATCGTAAGCGTGCCGTTGGTGGATCCGGAGACTCCGCCGGAAACGGGTGCGTCGACGAGAGAGATATCGGATCGTGCGGACTTGATGTCGCGTTCAAGAAGTGCAACTGAGCCAGGGGAGCAGGTCGCCATGAGGATCACGTGTGCGTTGGGTGCGAGCACCGAGAGCGCCGTAGCAGAGTCGGGAGTGGGCGGTGTCAGGAGAATAGTTCGTGCTTGAGCATCGTTGACAACCATCAGGACGAGAAAGTCTCGATCTTGAGCTGCTTCGACCACCGACTTTGCTCCGGAGCCCGCAGGCGCGAGAGAGGAGGTAGCAGTGACGAACGACTGAACGGCCTCAGCTCGAAGATCGAAGGCGGTCGTATCGAATCCTGCTTTGGCCACGTTGAGCGCCATGGGTCCGCCCTGTTTCGGATTGATTCGAGGAAGAGGTGTCATGTCAGCTTTATACATTCTCTCAGCATCTCTCTTCTTACTCGAGAACGGAGAAGGCCTGCGACTGCAAACGTCATTCTTGCTACATCGCCGTCTCCGCCATCATGCAGGTTTCTGTCGTCCAGAACCGCTCTCCACCTTCATGCGCCGAAGAGGAACTGAACTTACCATGCTACCCAGGCCAATAAAGCCGACTTTGCCCTTGTTAGTCGTCATGATGCTCTGTCTTGCTCTTTCGTCTACGGTGTCTGGCGTGATGGAAGACGGGAAGACAAAGGCGCGGACACTCACATACTGTTGACCCCTTCTGGAAGCGAAACCCGGACCGGACATCGACACAACCTCTCTCGTTCGCACCTTGCACCCGTTCCACAAGCCCGAGAAATTCACCGAAACCGACATCCACATCGCCCCGCAGTCATACACGCTGTGACGTCGATGCAACGCTGGGCCGTCACCGGTTTAGCGAGGAGCACCGGCAACAAAAGAAAGGAAAGCAATATTGAAATCGGCGTGGGGGGAGGAAATCGCGGAGAACCGGAAAAATGGTCAAGTCGCCGGCCGCAGTGTGGGGTTGGAGGACAATCTTTCCGAGCCGCAGGATGGCACAGCTCTGGCAGAATGGACAGCTTGCATATATGACACCGCTCTGCCTGTGTAAATACATTGGAGCAGCTGGGCTGAGCTTCAGATGATGTCTGGTCTTGATTCAGGACCGGCTGCAGGCGCAACAGGGATCGGATCGGATTTGAAGCCGTTGTCCGGCTTGTCAGGAGCTGCTGCTGGAGCCTCAGGATTGACAGGCTGTCCCGCAGCAGCAGGTAGAGTGCTATCAGCTGGAGCCCCAGACTTGTCATCGACCCCTGGCTGGACATGATCATCGTGCTGGTCGGCGCCGGCACCCTTCCCTCCCATCTCGGCATCCGAGGCACCAGTCTGCTCCGTTTCTGGTCCCTGAGCCTCACCCTGCACCGGTGCACCACTTCCATCCGCCGCGGTCGTCGTCACATGCTTCCCACTCGGCACCGTCACCCTATCGATCACCCACACCCTCCCCTCCTCCTCCATCCTCGGCATCCCACTCGTTCTCGCCCCACCCGAACAGCTCTGCAGCCTATCAAACCCTACCTCCGGTTTATCGAACTTGATCGTAACATTCTCGTACACCTGTTCGCTCAACGGCCAAATGCAGTTCTTGCACTCCTGCGTAATGACAAAGCTGTTCATCACCTGATCCCCTGCCGATCTGAGGTAGCTGACCATCATACCGTTGGTCCACGCTTCCTGCGTTCTAAATCCGGCCTGTGTGCGGTAGACTATGGTCATCGGAGTGTCGATGGGGTAGAAGACAGGCATGTTGCTACCCATACACATGTGGTCGTTGGTGTTGTACCGAAAATCGCTGTACTCGGCGGAGTAGATGCAGAGACCTTGCCGAGGGTTGGCTGCACAGCCGTCGCCGTAAAAGATGACGGTTTGGATGAGATCGGCGTGGTTTGAGGGATCGTAGTTGGAGATGCCGGCCCAGAAGAACATGGCGGAAGGTTGAGAGTCGGGTTTGTGAAGCAGGGTGTAGTTATTGACTATGTCGCGCTCTTGAGCTTCGAGCGCGGCGAGTCGCTCCGAGTAGGCGGGGAGCGCACAGCCGACACTGCTCAGGGACGAGCCGAACGAGCCGTAGCGCGCGCGGTAGGTGAGAACGTCGATCAAGGGGGTGTGGTAGGATGAGTCGAGCACGGGTCCGGTGCGTGGCTTGTGATGACCGCCTGGCTTTCTGGCGGGAGGGTTGACAGCGGGATTGGGATGGGGTGGCGTATGATGAGCGGGAGGATTGTTTTCAGGATGGAATGCAGGATTGGATTTGGGAGGAGCCTGATGAGGGGGAAGATTCACGGCGGCGGGATTGGCGTTTGGAGGAGCTTGATGAGCTGGAGGATCGACCGCAGAGTTTCCAACAGGATTAGCATTGAGAGGAGCCTGATGAGCAGCCGGAGGGGCTGGAGGTGTCTGTCGACGGCGAAGCTTGCTCGCGTCCGCCTTGGCAGCATTCTTAGCTGCCGGAACGTTGACGTGCGAGAACCAGGTGGATGGAGGAGCTTGACCGGTGCGAAACTGAAAAGTGACTTCCACAATGTTGTTAATGGTGGGATCCCATCGACAGCCAGCGCCAAAGACGCTTTTGTTTGCTTCCTGGTTAGCTTGCTCTTCGCTATCAGAGGTGGATGCGGAATAGGCCTTCGGTGGTGATTGCTTATTGTCGGCAGTTCCCGGCGCGGGCGGCGAGCCGCTAGCTGGGCTAATCGGCGGTGCTGCGTCGGAAGCTGCCTGTCCTTCAGGAGCAACGGCTGTCGCAGTGATCGCTGATGACAGCAGTGTTACCAGAAGCTTCGTCAGTAGCATGACGTTTGAGGCGTTCCGCTCTAGATCCAAAGCGGTAAGGATGATGTGTGAAGACGATCGTACTCAGCGTTGCTCGAGGGAGATGCTCCAGACATGCTCTACAGCAGCACCACCACCACCAAAAGGACCCATTTCATCTTGCAGGTGTGCAATTTGAGTATGTCTGATTCGCAACAGACCCACTCGTCCCTCGAGCGGCAACATGGATTGTCTGAGCGCTACGAAAAGATGGCAAGGTGGGTCGACATGGGACAAATGAACTCTGCAACTAGACATTGCTGCACTTTTCAGCTTCATAAGAGCACCACGTGCAAACTCGAAAGATGAAGGGTGGGGAATGTACGTGTACTGAGAGACAAGCCGGGAATGCCAGCACCTCCTTGCGCGTATCAAGCGAGCAAGTGGGCGATCCGCGGCCTCGACAAAGACACTGATTGTGACATTGATGCAGTTGCGAGAATACATTTGGTGACATGCTTTACGAGAAAGGTGGTGACACGAGAACTCCGTTGCGATGACTTAAAAGCCGAAAGAAGACCCGACGAAAAGGTGGGAAAGAGAGGAGTGAAAGGGAACAGGGGAAGAAACGCTTGGAGTCTACTACCGGTGTCTAGATTCCTGTAAGAAAGAGACGCGAACGATCGCGTAGCTTTCTGTAAACGCGTCGCCGTGCATCAAGGAATGGCAGAAGAAAGCCGAGGAACCAGTCCTTGGCGTCTTCCGTTCCGACGCGCAACCGTAGATGGTCCTGCTGACATCAGCCTGACCAGCAGACTTCTGGAGGACCGATCACGAGCGCGTATCGATGCCTTGCTGATTTCAGTAGGACATGGGGTATCCATTCTTGATGCTGATCTGATTACCGGTGAAGCAGCCCTTGATGTGCTCCATCCAACGAGCCGCATCGGGATCAGCGTAGCTGCCCGTGGGGACTCCCTGGACCTTGGTGTACAGGTTCATGTTGAGGTCTACCGAAGTCCATTCGTTAGCATCGCCGAAGTAGGCCTTGAACATGCCGCCGGGACCCTGAACCCAGACCTCGCGACCGCACCAGTCAGCAATCATCTGCCTCCAGAGGGTTTCGTTCGAGTAATAAGTGACCGAAGTGCCGGATCCGTAGGCCTTGGACAGATCTGCGAGGGGCAGCGCGAGGATAGGCGAGGTCTTGTCAAAGTTGACACCGCACCAGGTGGTGGTGGCCTCGCCCTTCCAGTTGGGCTGGAAAGCAGTGGCGGTGAGGTCGAAGCAGTTGCCCCACGGGCTCTTGGGGGGAGCCTGACCGGCCAGCGAGGAAAGGGACGTGCTGGAAGAGGTCGACGATGAGGTGGAGGAGGAAGCAGAGGCGGTCTTGGATGCCGAAGCGGTGGAATGGGCAGAGGTGGACGACGACTTCGAAGAGGTGACTTTGGCAGCGGCTTGGACGGGCGTCTGGACGCTCGCCTTGGTGGTGGTGGTGGACTTGCGAGTGCTAGAGGTGGTTTTGCGAGTGCTGCTCTTCTTTTTGGTGCTGCGTTTTCCACAGACCGCTCTGCGTTGGGGCTTGTCGGCGCTGACGTCGGGGCGGAAGTCTTGGTGCCTGTTGCTGAGCGACTTGGCGTGCGTTTGCGGCACGCTGAAGCCCAGCGTGCTGAGCACAGCAATCGACGCGACAGCGAAGGAAGTGAATCGCATCGTCGTAGGTAGAAAATGGGCTGGGAAAGTCCTGCTTTCTAATTCGAGAGGAGATGAAGACGTGCGTTGGGAGGTCCTGACCTCGTTGAATGCGACGTGTGAGAAGAGGAGAGTGCGAGAAGACGGAGGGATCAAAACGGAACAAGCGTGGAACCAGCCACGACTTTATAGGACGACAAGGGGACGGGACGAGGAGCGGATGTACGGGACGGAACGAGAGAGAGGAAGGATGAAAGGGAAGAGAGGGAAGAGGGGCAAAGAGGACATGGGAGGACGCCACGGATTAGGCTAGTAGACTGTGCTACAGACTGACGGTTTCACTTGCGTGAGCGGAGTCTCAACAGCGCCGTCGGCCAGCCTACTTGCACCGTCGCGGCAACGTCGAGACCTGCTGTAGCGTCATGGCTGCGCATACAGTCCCCTCGTTTTCAGTCTCGAACTTCTGGCGTGACCAGGCTTTGCCCTGTACGACGCTGCGCAACACGACTGTCCCGCCACCGCCGCCTCATCTCGTCCCCAGACGCCACTAACCAATAGGATCTTCACCCCGGCTTTGCTGTGTCATCATGAGGCGTTCGCCCACGTAGCGAGCTGCACTCCAGTTTGTGGCTGGAGCTGACAAGCGTATGAAAGGCCGACAGCTAGGCCATCGACGATGAAGTGCGAGTATCAACGGCAACGACAGTCACTGATTGCGGAGTATGCGATGGCATCGGAGGATTGTGCAAGCATATGGTGGTGCATACAACGTGGCCAGCGGAACGATGCTGCAGATTCGCGACAGCCGAGGTGTGCTGGACCCGTGAGATGAGACAGGTTCGAAGTACAGCAAGGCACAACACGACAGCGTTTGTCTTGTCGCCCTGCCTCGCTGCAGCATTTTCCATCGACTTTTTCCGGAAAGGGGAGAGGCGCGAGAGAAATAGAATTGCAGCCACGGCGTCAGTGTCTCCTTGTGTCAAAGATTTCGTGGCACTTCCACACGCGGGAAACAGTCGGCGAACCCGCGTCTGGCCGTGCAGATCTCGCAGCGTCGCTCACGCGTTTCGTTTCAGGCGTCTAGATCGATCGATCGATCGTGTCCTGTCCTTTGCTTCCTTGAGCTCCTCATCCTCCGCGCCAGTTGGATCTCATTTGCTAAGCGCCATGGCTGAGTCGTGCAACGAACAATTCGACATGGATTCGTTCTCGAGATTTCGAGGGTGTGGCAGGGGCATCCGCGCCAAGACAAACCGACAGTCAGCGAGGTAGCGTGTTCATACTAGTGAAAGCAACACTGGACAAGCGAGAAGCGGTGGCGCCGTCTTGCATCCCCAACGAGGCGCCTGGCTGCAGCAGTTTCCGGCGTTCCCGTTAGGCAAAGCCGGCCGATCGAGTCGGTACGATCGGGTGTGTCCGAGGTTCGACTTCTGTATGAAATCTCGCTTGCCATTGATTTGTTAGATTGTCGGGAGTTTAGTCCAGAAAGCTGAGATCGAATCGTTGCGAGGGAAGCTTCTTTTTGCTGAGTTAGGCGCTCAGCTTCGGTAGTTGAACCGGCGGATTGCCCGTTATCAGCTGCACGCTCGGATGCCGGAATTGTCACCCGTCGCCGACGAACCTTCACCGTCATCTTCGTCCTCGTTTGATCGAGTCACTCGACCGCCAACCATCATAGCTGCTCTGCCAATCTCGAGCATCATGCTCGTGGCTTGAGGGCCCTCAATGAAAGCTACGATGGCTGACATGGCAGCCGAAACGTCTTCCGCTGCCAACGGCAAGCGGAAACTCTATGTGGCCTGCAATGCTTGTCGGTTTCGCAAAGTCAAGTGCGATCGAGAAAGCCGGTTCGAGCAAGGATATGCAGCTTGTACGAACTGCGATAGCGCCTCCATGGACTGTGTTCTGACAGTCAATCCGCCCAAGAAGCGCGTGGGCAAACGCATGCGGATGCTTCAGGAGCAACAGGACCAGCAGCAGCAACATCATCACGAGGCGTATGATCCCGCACGTGCCGCAAGCTTGTCATCATCATCATCATCATCGCAAGGCATAAACAGCTATCCGCGTGCAGCAGCCTCTAGGCCACGGCAGCCATCACCGTCGTCCTCTGTCGACCGCTCCCTCGACATGTCTCCCGGCTTTTCCAGCTTGCTCGAGGCAGTCTCACAAGAGCAAGCGGCTGCCTCTCGGGATACAGCGGCCTCGATAACGACCGCAACTGGCGAACCTACTGATCGGTCCGCCGTCACAGGTCTGACTCCTTTCGTCAACGATGCCCAACCTTCGGGCTCCATCATTCAGAACGGCATGTTCGCCGCTTTTGGTTCCGGCAGCACAGACGCCCTGCGCTTCTCGAATGGCCACCTGCAAATCACCGAGAATCATGGAACCATTCATTCGGTCGCAGAAGAGACCACACAGTCTCTTGGCTCCGGGACACCAGCCACCACAGGAATCACGCCAAATTCGCTTGCCGCTTCCTCGGATCAGTCATCACCGGAAGTCATCGCATCGAACGCCGCGTTCTTCAGCTCAGCCGTCATGGACCCCTCTTCATCTCGAGACAGCCGCCTGAAAGCGCGCAATCCGTTCGACAAGCCATCTGTGAGAAATGGTGCCAATCAAGTCGGCTTTGTGGGGGGTCTGCTAGGCATAGCCTCGCTCGACAAGAACATGCTCGACGTTTGCGTCAAATCGTACTTTGATTCCATGGGTCAGTGCATTGGATTCATCCGTCCCGAGTGGTTTTGGCCCCGTTACAACGCATTATTCTATCGATACAGCGGCTTCGCTCTCGGCGACGAAGCTGATTCGAACGAGCAGCCACTTTCAGAGCTGCTGTTGATCGCTGTGGCTTGCCGTGGTGCTGGTGCAAGCCAGTTTGCCAATCGCTTCGAACTCCAGACCGATCTTCACCAGCACTACTGCAGACTCATCAAGGATCGCGATCGTCTGGTTCGAGATGGCTTTGACGCCTTGGAATCCGTCATCTTGATGGTGGAGCACGCAGATGGTATACCCAAACCCCTGCCGGACGCCATGTCGGTGCAAGGCGTCTTTGATGTCGACGTCGTCTCGCACGAAGGCATGATACGACTCATGAAGAAGCTCGAACTGCAGCTGCAGAAGCCATTCGGTACTCCACTTGAAGGACGCGATGCGATCCGGCAGAGGATATTGTTCTGGACCATCTACGTGTACGATGCCATTCGGTCCGAAGCAGGCCGCACGCTACCACTCATACATCCGGACGACGTCAGTTTGCCGCGCACGCTTCCTACGATCGTGGGCGATCCGGCTCGGCTCATCTTTCGCGACCACTTTGTCGAGCTGGCCAACATCTGCCGTGACGTGGCGTACAGGATACAAAGCCCACGCGTACAAAGCTCTGGCATCGATCCTCGCGATGTCCTCTTGATCCTCGACGAGCTCAAGGCGTGGCACGACAAGCTCGGACCATTCTTTTCATGGGACTGGAACGACATGCTGCACATCACGGGTCCCTCGGACCCGGAAGACCAAACGCGACGAACTTTCCTTATCTTCCTGTTCCTGGGACAGTGGCTCACGTTGGAGTATGCGGTGGAGGAGATAGGCTTTGCGTCCGACTGCGATCCTACCCTCAAGGAAGAGGTGATCCGACGGCTGGAACGTGAGGTGGATACGACACTCGATCGGCAGGTGCTGGTCTGCGATCACGGGACGCTGTTCGGCATCATCCGCCTGCATCCGGGCATGATGCAGTCGTGGACCACCACGTGGGCCTCGTGGTGCATTAGAAGGATGCAGATCAACATCGCCAAGGAGAACCAAGGCAGGCTGGCCAGCGCCAAGGCGGATCAAGCATTTCAGCGACACCAAGCCGCGGTGCTGTGCTTCATCAATGCTGCGGCTAGCTGCGATACCGCACCGCATACGCCGACGACGGTGCAGGATCTGATGAATGCGCTCCGCAAGGTCACCGAGGCCAGACGGTTGGCCAAGCTCACATTTGACAGCGTTTGATCTGGCAAGCATGCTTGTCGACCGCTGGCCGGAGGAACAAGACCCAAAATCGATACTCTATACCCGTACCAAGTCCCTTTGTGAATGCATACTTAGACAGAGCTATTTTGTGAGATCGACAAAGAACTTGCCGTGCAGTTGAATATTTACAGTCAAATGATTCAAACGGATTTTGTATCAGACAGAGCCACACGAATACAACTTGAGCTAGAACTTTGCTCGAATTTGTATGCGAACCGCTTCTCCGGCTTGAGTGTTACCTTCCGGACTGGTCGGCTGATCCGTCTTCTCGGAGCGCTTCTTCGCACGGGTCTCTGGCCTCGTATCTGCCTCGGGCACATTCAGAGAGCTCGACGACTCAGCCACCCCACACCCGCGGTCGATCGGCTCACTGGCCGAGTAAGGAAAGAGCGAGAAAGGCAAATGTATGGCAGTGGCGCGGTGGAAAGCTCTGCTGAAGAGAGAGTGGGAGCCAATCGAGCAGAATGTGAGCGAAGAGGTGTTGGTCTCTCTGCGGGGGGAAAGACCGATCAGCGACCGACATGGAACTGAGTGCGCGGGCCATCTCTGATTCGTTGGCGTTCCTTCTTCCAACATTGGAGATGCCACTTCACTCCGCCCGCTAGTTCCTTCTCCTTTACCACATCATCTCGTCCCGTCCTGATACTTGCGCCCACATTCCTTCATCGTTCTTTCTTCTGAATCAACTTCTTCGCATACATTCACATTCAAGGCATCCAATCCATCTTTCTCAGCATACGCAATCGCCTTCAATCGCAGCATCAGCATCTAGTCACCATGTCGTTCGCAGCAGCATCAGCAGCCACCGCAGCATCACCTCCTGCCAGTGCAGTTCCTTCGTCTGTCAATGGAGCAGCTTCCGCTGGCAGCACGGCAGCATCAGCTTCGGCTGGTGTGCCTGCCCTCAAAAGTGCCATCGTTCGCAGCGTCCTCAGTGGTGACACCATCGTCATCCGGCCCAAGGGCGTCAACATCCCAGGCAAGGAAGAGACTGTCCACATCGCTGGGATCGCCGCTCCTCGTCTCGGCTCTCGCGACCGTGACGACGATCCTCAGGCTTTCCCCTCTCGCGAGTATCTTCGCGTCCTAACCGTGGGTCGCGAGATTCGATACCGCATCGAGTATACCGTCCCTGCTCCAGCAGCGGTACCCGGAAGCACCGTCGCTCAGCCTCGCCAATTTGCTCACGTCTTTTTGCCGCCCAAGTCCCCCGGCTTGCCCGACACCAATGTAGCGCATGAGATCCTCGCTGCCGGCTGGGCCAAAGTGCACGACTCGGTCGCCCGTCGCAGCGACGAGACCGACGACGGCAGCTGGAAGCAAAAGCTGCGCGCCGTCCAGGACGAGGCCACCGCTGCTGGCGTCGGTCTTTGGGGTCCGGACGATCTGCTCAAGGTTTATCACTCGATGCCGGAAGACACTGCAGCCTTCCTCGCAGAGTGGAAGGGCAAACCGATCGAATCCATCGTCGAACAGGTGCGTGACGGCAGCATGCTTCGTGTCCGTCTGCTCCTTTCGTCTACGCACCAGCAGATGATCAACCTCAGCTTGGCCGGCATCAAGGCACCTCGCGTCACCGGCGGCGGTGGCGCCAGCCCCACCGACGCAAGCGAGCCTTTCGGGGAAGAGGCAAAGTTCTTTGTCGAAAGCCGTCTCCTGCAGCGCAACATCAAGGTCACCCTGCTCTCGGTACCTCAGCCCGTCGCAACTCCGACTCCCTTTGCCAGCACTGCATCGGCCGCACCGACCCCAGCGCAGCCTTCGGCGAGCGTCTTGATCGGCCTCGCTATCCACCCAGTCGGCGACATTGCCCAGTTCTTGCTCGCAGCCGGCCTGGCTCGATGCGTCGACTGGCACGCTGGTATGCTTGCTTCGTACGGCGGCATGGAAAAGTACCGTCAGTCAGAGCGAACCGCCAAAGAGAAGCGTCTAAATTACTGGCAGTCCTACTCGGCCCCTGCCTCTTCGTCCACCACCTTGGCCAGTCAGCCTGTCGCGGCACGCACCTTTGATGCCGTCGTCTCGCGCATCATCTCTGGCGACACCATACAGGTCCGCAAGACTGGAAGCGATGGCAAGCTCGGCCCCGAGAAGCGCATCCAATTCGCATCGTTGCGTCAGCCACAGGCCAAGGACGCCAAGCAGGCTGGCTACGCAGCAGAAGCACGAGAGTTTCTCCGCAAGCGCCTCGTTGGAAAGACGGTCTCGGTGCAGATGGATTACATCAAGCCCAAGGAGGGCGACTTTGACGAGCGGGAGTATGCGACGGTCAAGCAGGGCAACAAGGATGCCGACATTGGACTTTTGCTCATCTCGCGCGGCCTCGCCACTGTGCAGAGGCACCGTCGTGACGACGAGGACCGCTCGCCCGACTTTGATCGTCTCATGGAAGCAGAGGCCAAGGCCATCGCCGAAGCAAAGGGTATTCATTCCGGTAAGGAGCTTCCCGCACCACGCATGGGCGATGCCTCTGAGACAGCCTCGAAAGCCAACACCTTCCTTCCCGGTCTCAAGCGTGCAGGTCGCCTCACCGCCGTGGTCGACTTCGTCGCTTCCGCATCTCGTTTCAAGCTCATCGTTCCACGCGAAAACGTCCGACTCACCTTTGTACTGGCAGGCATCCGTGCGCCCAAGACGGCCCGCAACTCTTCCGAGAAGGACGAGCCGTTTGGTCGCGAGGGACTCGACTTTTCCACCATGCGCGCCCTCCAACGCGATGTCGAGATCGAGGTGTTCAGCACGGACAAGGTGGGAGGATTCATCGGCGCGCTCTATCTCAACAAGACCGACAACTCGGCCGTTTCGCTCGTCGAGACCGGTCTCGCGACCGTTCATGGGTACAGCGCCGAGGCGACGCCTTTCTACAAGTCGCTGATCGACGCCGAGGAGAGGGCCAAGTCGGGCAAGCTGGGTGTATGGCACGATTATGACGCTGCAGCGGCCGAGGCGGAATATGTCGAGGCTGACGGTGCACCGAGTGCCGTCGTCAGGGGTGCTGGTCCAGGCACCGGTGCTGCTCGCAGTGCGGGCGGGTCGGCATGGGGAGGCGCTGCGAACGGCAGTAGCGCTGCGGGTGCCGGTGCTACTCCTGCGCCGGCCAGGACTGAGTACGTCGACTGCATCATCTCGGATGTGCGTGGCTCGTCTGGACCCGACGATCCGTTCGGGTTCAGTCTGCAGGTGCTCAATGACCAGATCCAAGAGCTCGAGACGCTCATGGAGGAGTTCTCGCTACACCACAAGTCGCCCGTTGCATCCGGTCCCACGAGCTTCATCCCACGTGTCGGCGATCTCGTTTCAGCCAAATTCAGCCAAGACGGAGCGTGGTACCGCGCCATCATCCGCAAAGTCTCTCCCGGACTCAAGGAAGCACAGGTGTCGTTCATCGACTACGGCAACAAGGAGAGTGTCAAGTTCAAGGATCTTCGACCGCTGGACGCGGCTCGATTCGGACGCACTCGTCTTCCTGCCCAGGCGCGCGATGCGAGGCTCTCGTTCGTTCGACTGTACGACGGCAAGCAGGCCGAGTACGTGGAGGAGGCTCTGGACAGGTTCCGTGCGATTGCGGCAGAGGGTCGAAAGATGATCGCCAACATCGACTATACGGAGCCGGGGACGAACGTGGTTCATGTCAGTTTGTACGATCCGGAGAGCCCGGGGATCGGACAGAGTCCAGAACAGGGTTGCATCAATTACGAGCTGGCCAAGGAGGGGTATGCGCTGTTGGATGAGAAGGTGAGGTACTGGAAGAGCTACCCGCTGATGACAAAGGCGTTGAAGAGCGGGTTGGAGGAGGCGAGGAGCAGGCACCGCGGATGCTTTGAGTATGGTGATCCGACGGAGGACTGATGCGGCACGATGCAGCACAAAAGCATTCATTCAATAAGAACGAAACACAAGACATTGCAGCATGCTTGATGGCAAGGTGTGAAGCAGAGATTGTGGAAACAGTGTGCCATTCGAGCTGATTACAGACGTGACATTGGATTGGGAGATGATTTACCATCGGCGGTAGGGCAAGAACTTGCCGTTGAGGGTGATTTTGACTCTGTCCTCGTTCTGCTTGCCCTTGACCTTTTCGACATGACCTTCAAAGTCGATTGCCGACATGATGCCGTCTCCGAACTGTATCATAAGGCAAAAAGTCAGTATCATGCATCATCGCTTATCATCTTTCGTCAGGGGAGGGCTTTCATGCATACCTTTTCGTGGATCATGTGTTTGAGCGGGTAGCCGTACACGACGAGCACCTCGTACAATCGGTACAGAACCGGATCCTGCGGCGGAAATTCGCCGAGACCGCGGTGGGGGAAAAAGTCGGGACCAAAGGCGTCATCGAGGTACTGCTGCTGCAGGTTGAGCGCAGCCGAAAGCTTGGTTACGTCGGCCTCGTCGGGTTTGGCTTGGCCGTAGAAGATTCCGGCAACGTACCACTCGTCGCGGTCCATCTTGGCGGCGATGTCGGCGAAGGTCATCTTGGATTTCTTCTTGGCATCGTGGAGAGCGGTGAAGATGGGTGGGAGCGTGGAGAGGATCGTGGGCGTTCCTGATGTCGACATTGTGGAGGCTGGGATTGAAGGAACGAAGCGGAGAAGCTAGAGGGACAAAGTGTGTGTTATGTGGATGCTTGCTGGAGCTGGCTGTGCGAGAGAATTGAGCGATGGTGGTCCAAGACGAAGGACGACAAGGCTCGAGACGGAGGGTTATATACCATCCCGCAGCTGCTGACCAGATGTGGCTCGTCAAGCTCCTTATCTTGAACCGCCCCATGGTCCAAGCGCCTGTCTGCACACTCATCGCTCACTCATCTGCCCACAAACAATATACTTGCGCCTTTCGAGCAAGCTTCCATCTGACACACACTTCGAACAAGGGCGCTTCTTCTACCAAAATTGCAACCCCGCACAGATCAACTTGCAGGAAGCGCGATTTTGATTGCCGAGACATCCCTTATCTCTTGCGCACCTCACAGGCCTTGATTTCGAAGCTAAACAGCGTCTTTCCCCGAGATCTGCTTCTCTATCTTCAGAAGCTCGTTCTTGGCAGACGCCGTTCACCGCCCCCGGTGCGTTCGGCTGTAAGCTCGACCAAAAGCCGAATCTGCCAAGGATTGCTCCTTCCTTCCGCTCTTGAATGGACAGGCGACGGCCTAAACGAGGTTTTTGGGTTGGCATTTGGTTCGGCGAATGGTATTTCTTATCTCGCATGGGGCTGGAGGATGCGTGCAGGACGCGGTGATGGTCCGCCTTTCGCCGTCTCCACCAGCCTGCAACGGTGGAGAATCAGATGATCCTTTGGTTGCATCATCGAGGGTTGTTCACGATCCGCGCCCATCACAGTCCTGGTCTTGGCATCTTTCTTTCCTGACGATCACAAAGATAACAGCTCCACAAGCCATCGGAGTGAAAGCCGAAATGCAACAAACAAATCCACCTCCCCCCAAAGCAAGAGCGACCTCATGTAAAAGCGAACATGCTGGTTTCCCACAACCGGGTGATATCTATTGAGGTCTACCATCGACAGCAGGGATACCCTCTACCAGAGGCTCCCAGTCTTTCTTGTTGCGCGTAAAGATCTGCGCCGAAGGTCCCTGGATTTCTTTTCCCCAGCCCTGGGAGCGAGCAAAGACGCCCATCTTGATGATGGCGTTGCCGGCGCGAGAGGGCGAGACGCTCTGGATGGGTGCTCCGCAGTCCGGGCAGAAGCGTCGGTAGAGCACGTTTCCGCTGTCGGCACCGTGGTCTTCGACTGTTCAGAGCGAGGTATGCAGAAAAGGAGAGGATGTCAGTAAGCGCGAGAAAGGGCCGTCTTGAGATGGAGGAAGGTGGGGGGTGGGACATACAGGCTTTGGTTTCGCCTGAGATCTGCACGTGCTCCTCAGGAACGAAGGAGACGAGCGAGAACACTGCGAGTGTTGACGACGAGTCGAAACAAGGTTGAGAAGGGTCAGTCCAGATCGCCGATTGGTTTGGGGTGAAGAAGCGCGCGGTCGGGCTGTATACCATACTTACTCGATCCAGCTGTCGTCTGGCAATGACTGCCTCATCAGAATCGCGACATCGATCGAGCGGTTTGAGTCCAGCAAAGCTGCGGTGTCAGCATCCCATTACCCAGGACAATGCACAGCCAACGACCCGACTTACGTGCATCGACAAATCACTGGCTTGAGCGGCAACCCTGCATCCTGAACAGTCACCTCGACTTTACCGCAGAGACACGATCCGGTGAGAGGCATGATTCTAGCCTAGCTTTTGGCGTTTTCGTATAGGGCAACGAGCGGGTGAATGTGATGGTGTGTGACGGTTGGGAACGATGTCGTCCGACACTTTGTCTCGAGCACAGAATTTTGCCTTGCTAGTGCAGCGTCTACACCATCCTTCTTCGCCCGTAAGCATGACCTCCCCGCACAGGCTGACTTCTCCCTCCGGGATTTCATCAGCAGACTTCGCCGAAGAATGCGTAAATACATCGCAGCAACAGGGTCGTGCGTCATGCCGCACTGTCCGACACGCTGAAGCTCATGTCATTTCTGTCACTTCCCATATATAAACGCTACTTTTGAGCAGGTGAGACATACGACCGTGGGAGAGGCTTAGTGGTTTGGCGTGAGATTGCAACGTATCTGTGAACAGAGCGGCGCCCTAGAATATCTTGAGGTCGTGGGTTCGATTCCCACCTTCCACTTCACTTTTTAGTGTTGGCTCGCTTTTTGATCACAGCCTTAACAGTTCCGCTCCATTGGTCTGATCCAGCGAGTCTCGGCAGTTCAAATTGCAACCACAGTGAGGTCGACGAACGGCGCGACGGGTCAAGCTACTTCTACATCATGTGTGCGCTGCACACCGTGGTCAGCGTGAGATCCACGCTGGGTGGATCGCTTGCCCTCGCTGGGAGAAAGCTCTCATGGGCATCGGCTAAGGAGGATGGAGATGTTGGCGGGGAAGGCACCCAAAGGTCTGGAATTTCGCATGGCAGACAACGACGGCGAAAGGGGGGTCAGCTCGCCTAAATGGCCGCCCAAAAAGCAGAGGGGCGAGGTGGGCAACGAGGGGATCTTTCCATGTGCCGCTCGTTGCGTGGGCTTTGCTGGCTTTCTGACACCTGCCGGCGGCGGCGGTGGTGGTGGTGGTGGTGGCTGCTGCTTCGACAGGTAGAAGCCGGGATCGCAGCTACATATGACACGATATCCGGGGTCGACTAGACGCAAACTCGATGAATGGCAGCTGGTTGTGGGGCACGGACGAAGGCAAGGAACACAGGGCGCTACAAAGATCGTTAGGCTACGCAGCCGAAATGAGCCCACTGTCCACGCCCTTCTCACTGTGTGTTGCATCTCGAGCTTAGCGAGCAAAGAGTTGCAGCGCGGTTGAAAGGCAGACGCCTCGCTTCTTCCCGACACTGCAGTTGCACACTGCATGCCATCGCGTAGCAAATTCGAATGTCGAGCGCCGTGAGGCTGCTCCGTGAAATGTCAGACGCCGGGCATTCCTCCTGTCGCGCCAATCCCCCGGGTTTCTTGCTAATTTAACTCCAAAGTTTGACCCGCTTTCCGCGCCTCTCTTTCTGCAGCACTGCAGCGGCAGCAGACTGCGATTTGAGAGCCCATATGCATCACTGATGATCGTGGACAAACACTCACAAATTCCCGCTGGGGAATGAGCACAACGTCAGAAAACGTCAATTGCCTTTTCCATACTCCGCTCGATACCGTGTGAGACTTCCTTCTTGATCTCGATCACGATCTTCCCGTATCTTCGCTGGCTTTTGCTTCGTCGACGTTGACCTGCATCACCTCCTCGGACCTTCGACTCCTTGATACATCGCTTTTCCGGCTCGGACGGACACTAGTTGACTCGCACAGCGTTCAAACACAAAACCACGACAACGGATCTCACCTTGCTTTTTTGGAATCTCTGACTACTGTATCGCCACCACTTTCGACATACTCCCAGCGACTCCGATCTCGGTTCTTCCTCTGAAGTCCATCTTCTCATTCATTTATCCCGCATAATCACTTGGGCGTCGACGCTAGCACGGACCTTTCGCAAGCCCTAATCTGATTTGCTGTAGTCAGTGGAGCATCTTCCAAATCATCGCATCAGCCCACCTATCCCTTCATACATCTTTCTCCCACCATGAAGTTCACTCCCCTTGCACTCATCGCAGCCTTGCTCGTCGCGGCGACCAGCGTCAACTCGCAACTGGTCGACGATCCATCCTCGTCGCTCCTCGAACGATCGCTCGACCCGTCCCTCCTCTCTTCCGAGGTCATCCTGGAAGCACGTCAAGCCTCTTCCTCGAACGCCACCACGACGTCGTCCGCCGCCGAACCCTCCGGATCCGCCGCACTCGGCGGCGACGCCACCATCACCGAACCCTCCTGCTCCATGACCAACCACCTCTCCCAGAACCAGCAAGCTTCCTGGGGTAACGGTTTCATCAACACGTGCTGCAGCTTCAACCAGGGCGTCACCTGCTGGTACCGCAGACAGGACGACGTCTCCCCGCAGCAGGAGTGCGAGATTCCCACCTGCGAAGAGCTGGCTTCGGACGACAGGTCAAAGTGGGTCGGGTTTGTGCCGTTGAACTCGACGAATGGGTCCGGAAAATGGGGGAATACGTTTTTGAGTTTGGGCATGTTGAGTCCCGCGGCGGCGATGGTGCCGATGATGGGTGCGGTGGTGGCGGTAGCGATGGTGGTGGTGACCATGGTGACGGTGTAAAGAGGGGGATGACGTTGGACCGCTCACTTTTGGAGCCTGGGACCGACATCTTTACCGCTTCGACGACGCACACACACTCCTTTTTTCCGCTTTGGATCATCAGACCCGCTTGGGTTCGCTTTGTATCGCTATTCTCGTTCTGCTTATCGACTGTCTACTCTGCTTTCATTTGTTTTCTCACACCTCGGAAATGGAATCATCTTTTCTATCTCGCAGTCGATCGTGGGTCAAACGTGTGCTCTGGTTGCAGTGTGAGTGGGCATCGGAAGTACCGATCAATCGCCTCGGCAAGCTCAGAACGAATCGGCGTCGCTCTGTTCGGATGCACTTTCGACATCGATAAACTCGCCATCGCTGCCTCGTTCCCTCTGCAGACCACTTCCGTTTGCTGCGCTGGACTTTTTCTTCCTGGCCCCGCCTCCTGAAGCGCCGTTGGTACCGTTAGTCGATGAGTGGGTTACGCGCGTGACCTGCACATCGTCGTCTTCGTCATCTTCATCGGCGTCGTCATCGTCCTCGTCATCGTCATCTTCCGCGTCATCATCGTCGTCGTCGTCGTCAGCCTCATCGTCGTCGTCGGATACCGTGTGAGTCTTGCGCCGAGTGGAAAGATTGGTGTCGGAGTCGTCAGAGTCATCTGCCACGATGAAAGTTTTGGGTTTGGACGTGGATGCCGATGCGGAAGAGGTGGATGCGGCTCGGACAGGGATCTTGATCTTGGTGCGCGAAGCGGGTGTTTGTGACGAAGTGGCCGTGGCCAGCGCAACATCGTCATCGTCATCGTCGTCGTCGTCGTCATCCGAGATCTCTCCTTCTTCTCCATTCGAGTCGGCGGCAGATGCATCGTGGTATTGGTCACCGCCATCGTCGTCGTCATCGTCGACGAATCGCTTGCGCTTCTTGGAAGATGCTGCGTTCTTGCTCCTTGCCGAGGCATCGACTTTGGACGTCGAGCCGTTGTTGTTCGGATTGAGAGGTGAGCCGCTGATGACGGTGGAGCTGCTGAGGCCGGAGGGTGCAAACGTCTGCGACGAATAGGATCGATTCAGACCACCGGCTACACTGTCCGACGGGGGAGGTGTGGGAGAGCTTGTCTTGAGGCGTTTGTTCACCCTTGCGTTGGCTAGTGTGCTTGCTGTAAGCGGACTGCTAGCACGCTTTGTGCCGTTCTTGTTGACGACGTTGCCGTTCTTGCGTTTGGAGAAGCTGTCATCGTCGAGATCGCTGCTGTACCTCGGCGTGCCTGCTGCACTTTGCCTGCTAGAACTGGTTAGGACACTGGTGGCAGCTTTGGCGTTTCTGGCGGCACCCTTCCTGCCACCTTTGCTTCCCATCCCCATGCATTTCGCCAAGTGTGTCGCGTATCGGTTGGAGCTGACCTGCCTGGAGCAGACGAGACATTCAAAGAGCGGGTTGTTCGAGTAGTAGTCGGGTTTGTGCGAAGCGGAGGTTGAGGAGCCTGGAGCGGGTGTGCCCGAGCGAGACGGGGTAGACGTGTCCGAGGTGGCTGCAAAGCTGGGGTTGGACGAGGACGAGGAAGGCTGTGCAGCAGGGTTGTGCGCCTGACATCGTACGCCGCAGAGATGGCAGATGGAGCGGGCGCGTTTGATCTTTGCGTGTGTGTGGATGGCTGTATCGAGAACGATCTCGCGGAGGAATGAGTCGAGGAATTTGGCGGCAAGAAGCGCCTTTGGATCGCTGGACATGGTGTGATGCCTTCCATGCGATGTGCGAGTTTGCGAAGAGGTCGGAAGAACGGATAGATGGTGCTAGCATCACGGGCTGTCGAGGTGGTTGGACCCTTCAACCAAGCAGACACAGACCGCACGCACATGTGGAGTCGTGCGAGTTGACCGCGAGAAAATTACATGTCTGAGGCTACAGCGGTGTAACACCCGAATGACTTGAGAAACTAAGCATCCGGTGTCCACCTCGATCTTATTCTGCGTATCCGTCCGAGTGTTGAATGGCGAATGCGAGTGAGCAATGCCATGGGACGGCGAGCAAGATGCAGCCGAGCCAACGTGGAATGCTGCATAGCCGGCATCAGCCTGTGTGCATGGCGTCAAATTTGATGGTGCGGAGACCAGGTCGGTCCATACGCTCCAGAATTCATGTGCGGAATGGCAAACATGGAACGACCGGCCATGGCGCTCAAAAAGAAACCTTAATTTCAGAACCAGCCCAGATTGCCGCCTGGCTTTTTGATTTCTATGCTATCCCGGCACACGCTCGGCGATGGAGCAACGCTTTCGATTGCCGTTCATCCGTGCCGCAGTGTCTGAGATAAGCTCTGCATTTCAGTGTGGACTGATGGGCAGAGGGTCGATTGCGACAGAAGATGACATTTCGAGTGTGTGTACAGTACAGTTGCCATCTTCCAAATTGATGCTGCAACGAGTGCCAAGAGAGCCAAAAAGGGTTCTCGTGCATGGCCTGCAGAGAGGAAGAAAAGCAAGAGATGCATGATACCGTGCCATGTCCATGTCCATGTCCAGTCCTGTGCTGTGCTGTACCTGGGCCACACGTCAAAGGGAATCAATTAGTTGAGCCGTGGCAGAAAGCTGCGTGGGATCGACGTGATTTTTGCGGAGAAACAATTGGAGGCGCAGCTGGTACGTACATATGATTCATCATGCTCTTCCTTTTTCTCTGTCACTCTCTTTCTCTTCGTCTCCATCACTGTCGCCGATCCTCATCACTCGGGCTCTACTGTCAGACGCAGTCACTCGCCAGTCTCGGCCAAGCCGAAGTTGCCTTGTTCGACATTCTTGTCTTCCTCCCACCATCACAACCTCCGGAAAAGCGACGCCGACTTGCCCTGTTCCAATCATGGACGACCCACCTTCATCCCTCTAGCACGTCAATAGAGAGCTCGGTCCTCAAAGGCAACCCGCACAGGCTCGCTCTATCTGCTCCGTGCTCCATATCCTCAACTGTGTCCGCTTGACACCCCCCTTGGGAAAGCGTCACAGACATGTCGCCTCCCGCGAGCGTCACCATCACCCAACTGGAACCCGTCGTCTTCCTTCGCGGCCAGTCTTCCTCCGGAGAAGATGCTCGCGGCCGACGTCGTCCCGTCAACATCGATGCACCTCCCTCCCAGCTGCGTGCCCTTGTCACGCTCTACCTTCCCAAGCCATCCAAAATCAAGGAAATCGCCGTCTCTCTCAAGGGGACCGCCAAGACCGACTGGCCAGAAGGAATCGGTCCCAATCGAGTAGAGCTCGTTGAGGAAATGACCATCTTTCACCACGTCATCAACCTCTACAACGCTAAGCAAGACAAGGCAAACCTGATTGCATCCCGTCCTCGAAGCAATTCCGTCGGTCCTGGTATTGGCCTCCAAGACGACGTCGATTGGGACTACGCCGCCGCAACAGCAAGCACAAACGCTGCAGCTGCACCCTCGCCGCCATCCGCGTTCGCGGGCAGCTCGCGGCAAGCCAGTGGCTCCACTCGCCGAGAGAATGACCGTCCCAAAAGCTCCAACGCCAATGGTGCCAGCGGAGGTAGCAACCTGGCTCGTCAAATCGCCGGCGCTGCCGCCAAGGCTGGCACCGCCATGATCCCTCCCACCTTGCGTCCAGATATGGGTCTTGCCAAGGCCAAAGATCCGTCATCGTCCAGCTCCTCGCGCAGTCGACCGCCGCTTCAGCGTACTGGGTCCGGGAATACTTCCTGGGCAGCCTATGCTACAAGTCCCGACTCCAATTCAGCCACACCCGCCACCTCGCCGTCTGCTCCTCTTTCGTCGCGCGCCGCTCCAAATTCCTCTTCAACTGGCTCGCCATTGCTTTTCTCAAGCCCACCTACTTCCTTCTTTGATCGTCGCGAGCCGTCTCCTGCTCAACACCAGGACCTCTCGAGATGGCACGAATACTTCGAGTCTCAGGGGCACGAGCGACCTCCCCTTTACGCACCTCGCTCAGCCCCTTTGCAAGGTTACGATGCATGGCCGACCGAGGTTCCTCCCGAGTCACCATCAGCTGTCGAGAATGTACCGGCAACGACCGACTCCAGTGGCTCCACAGCAATCAGTGTACCTTCCAGCTCGGCAGCGAGCACAGCTGCAACACCGAAGGGTCCAACCGCTGCCAACCTTGTCGACGATGGCACAGCCCTCAACGCACAGGGTCAGTCGCCCCCTCGATCCGCGACCATTTCAGCATCAGCCACCTCGCCTCCTCTTAACAGGAGTATCCTCCATGCTCAATCTTCAAGCACACCACGTGCCAAGGACCAGACTGTTCGATTTGATCCACAATCTCGCATCGACAGCGCGTCTAGCAGCACCGCCAACGGCGCTTCATCCCGAACGAGCGGTAACAGAAGCGCGCCTTCGAGCCGTCGCAACTCTGTCGAGCTCCAAGACAATCAGTCCAGAAATAGCAAGAACAAGCCAAACAGCAAATCGAGCAACGACAACAAGACCAAAAAGCCTGGTCTCAAGACGCTTATCAACGGCTTGCTCAAGGAGCCCACTGCTGACAGCAAAGCCAATCACGAAGACGCAGTCCAGTCAGACTCGAAGGAGTTCAAGAAGGGAACTTATACCTATCCTATCTGCATCTCGTTGCCCTCCAATCTTCCTCCTACGCTTCATGCCGATTTTGGCTTCAACCGCTACGTGCTTCGTGCCAATGTAGTTCGTGCAGGTGCATTGACACCCAACCTCGTCGCAGAGCGCGAGATCAACCTCATCCACGCACCGGACGAGGATGCACTCGAAGAGACCGATTCGATCGTCGTCGAACGATGTTGGGAGGACTTGCTCTCCTACATGGTCGTCTTCAGCGGCAAGAGCTTTCCCATTGGTCAACAGATTCCGCTGTGGCTCAAGTTTGTGCCTCTAGGCAAGGTCAAGATCTATCGCATCGTTGCTACGCTCGAAGAACGCACCGACTACTTTGCCAAAGGAAGGCGTGTGGCGCGACACGAAGTGCCCCGAAAGTGGACGCTCATGAAGGTCGCCCACGCCTCGCAGACGGAACCCATCCTGCCGATTCTGTCGGACTCAACGGATGTGCTGGACAGCAGTCCGCTGGCACCCATGGCTCGTGCGGCAGCTGGTGAGCACGACGATTCGGATGGACTAACCTCGATCTTGGATCCGACAGGCCCATGGGAGCTGGCCACTGAACTCAACATCCCTGCCTGCGGTACGACCAGAATCAATCTGAGTACCAACCACTCCAAATCGAATATTGCTGTCCATCATTTGGTGAGGCTTGCAATCCGAGTTGGCAGATCGGATGGCGACTGGGAGGTGTGGAACGACAATGTCGGCACGTCTAGCTCGGCGGCCAAGAACACGCCTCAGCTCTACGATATCATCATCGAAGCGCCCATCACGCTCACATCGTCCCACACGGCTACCGAGTGGACAGCTTTGCCCAACTACTGGAGCTTGCCTGCAGAGCCTGTCGACCAGGATGCTGCCGACCGCAGTGCCGAGATGGACACCCCTTTGCGACCGGCGATGCCGTCGCCTGTGTTGACGAGCAGGACGGGCTTGGTAGGGCAGCACGCGAGCCAAGCAGGCCCAGTTGCGGCACCTTTGCGCTCGCCAACGGGTGCCAATGGAAGTCCGATCAGCGTCTCGCCTCCCATGTCACGCAACCCTACCCAATTGTCGCGGAGGTGGCTCGCGCTTAGCGCAGATCACATCAGCAGAGACGGCAACAGTACGGGTCCGGCGAACGCTGTCGGCGCATCAGCTGCTGCACCTCCGCCAGCCTATCGACCCAACGCAAGGACAGGAGAGACCACCGTGGCATCTACGAGCATGAGCCGATCTCCTTCCGAGCTGCAAGGTGCCACTCTCAACGGCGAACCTGCTCAAACATCCTGTGATGCCAATGCATACAGTGTCGGCATGGCGCATTGATTGCTGAACCAGCACGGACAGAGAGTGTGCATCCCTGTTCAAAACTCACCTGTTATCCAGTCATTCAACTTGTACTTGTACCAATAGAATCGCACAATTTGCATCTGGCACTACACTCTTCCATTCATACTCGTGTCGGGCTGTGAATTGTATGGAATTGCATTGCGAGAACGTTCGATGGCGAGACTGTAAATCCGACGGTGAAATGAAAAGGCACAGTCCTGCAGGAAGAAGTGTGGCACGGAGCTTGCTTCCCGCGGGCCGTTTAGGACGGCGTTTGCAAAGGGCCCGCGGAAGCGGATTTTAGGGTCTACTGTAGTGGTGCATTTCCGTCGAAAAACGTGGGTACCACCCAATCGTCGATTTGCGCAGGGTCCGAACGCTAAGTGAACCCTCGCCATTCCTGTATGCTTTTGGCCTCTGTATAAAGAGAGCTCCACGTCTTCGAACTTTTCCATTCAAACAATCTTGCTTTCTTCCTCGCCATTGTCCCTACACAGCATACCTATTGCCACCAAGACCTGGATAGGACGAGCCGAGTCAACATGTCCTCCGATCTGCTCAACGTCGTCATCGTCGGCGCGGCTTCGGCAGGCGTGAATGTCGCCACGAACCTCGCAAAGTCTCTCCCTTCCACCCACCGCGTCGTTCTCATCGAAGCCAACCCCGTCGCTTACTGGAGTATCGGAGCACTACGAGCTTCCGTCTTGCCCGGATTTGAGACCAAGGTGGTCCACGACCTCACTGCTGAAACCGTCTTTGGCTCCACGGATAGCCGTCACATCGTGCTCGCTGGAACACGTGTCGTCGATCTCCAGTCGGATCACATCGTCGTCGACAAAGACGTCGCCGCTTCCATGCCGGGATCCACGGTGCAAGAGGGAAAGACGTCAATCCCAGTGGAGCGAGTAGTGCTAGCTATTGGAGCGGACTACGGCTTCCCCGCACGAATCTCTCCTTCGGCAAAGACGAAGGAGGACATTTTGGATCAGTTCAGAAGCATGCAGAAGCACGTTGCTGAGGCCAAGGAGATTCTGGTGGTGGGAGGTGGACCGACTGGTGTCGAATTTGCGGGAGAGGTGTTGGACGTTCACCGGGGCAAAAAGGTGACGTTGATCACTCGCGGGTCTGGCCTCGTCACCAACGGCAAAGACAACTACTCCGGGTTGAGTGCCAAGCTCATCTCCCAGCTCGAGTCCAAGGGAGTCCGTGTGATCCTCAACGACTCGATCGATCTCAACGGCCAAACCACCGGACCCTTGTCCTCGACCCAGACCTTCAAGACCGAAAAGGGAGAACAACTCACCGCCGACTTCCTGCTCGTCGGATCCGGCGGCAAACCTCACACCCAATGGATCAGCAACATCGACCCGGACATCCTCGACTCTTCCGCTCGCATCAAGGTCTCCTCCACCTTTTCCATCGAGAGCTCTTCTCCAAGGTGGTCCAAGTACTACGCCGTCGGTGACGCAGCAAGCACTCCCGGGCCCAAAGTCTCCTACATGGCCAGTCAGCACGCTCCGCAGGTGGCGCACAACGTCGTGTGCGATGTCAAGGGCGAGAAGCAGAAGATGAAGGTGGCGAGCCCTCCATCGGGCGACATCATCATGGTGCCGGTGGGCAAGAGTGGTGGTGCGGGTTATCTGATGTTCTTCTCGGTGGGTGGGTGGCCGACGAGCTTGATCAAGGGAAAGTCGTTGTTCGTGTCGATGTTCGAGGGTTGGTTCCGCAAGTGATACGGGTGAGCGGGCGATAACCAGGCGGCCCAACTCATGCAGGAAGCGATGTTTTGGCAATCAATAAAAGCTCTCTTCGGACCACAGTCGAGTGACACAGCGTGTTCATAAGGTGATGTCTACGGATGAAGTGGAAACGAAACTCGATTAGATACAAAGCACCAACTTTTTCCGCATTATCCTCTTCTTACAAGTTGGACCTCTTGGCAGCGGCCTTGAGCAACGGTCCGATCTCGGTGCTGTACCAGTCCGGAACACCTTTACCGATGTTGCTGCTTCCGTACTTGTACACGCCCACCTTGTCGATGCTCTCCAACGCCGGCACTGCGCCCTCGTGGTTCAGCGGGTTGGCCTCTGCATCGGCCATGAGCTGCTCGTACACCCTGCCGTCCTTCCTGCCGAGACTCGAGCCGAGCTCCCAGTCCAACCAACCGAAGCCATCCGAGAGACCGATGACCTGGGGCAGGATCTCCTTGACCAGCTCGCGGATCGCCTTCTCGAGCAGGATGACCGAATCCGGGGTCAGGATCGCCTGGTTGGTGGCGTAGCCAGCGAGACTACGGCCCTCGCTGGCGGGCAGTACGAGCGGGGTGATGTTCCTCGAGAGAGCGGTCAACGCGTGCAACGTGACGAGCTTGTTCAGCCACTGACACTCCTTCTCGCCCAGCCTCTCGGCGTCATCCCGGATGCCTTCGCCGAACCAGAGATCCACGACGAACTCGGCGTGACTCTTGGCCACCTCGATGCATTCGTAGCTCAGATCGACAAACGGTCTTCCGCTCTTGATCTCTGCGCGCAGATCCACCACTAGCTGGGCGGCGCGAAGGCCAAGCGCGGCCGAGTAGACTTGCGGGTTGTACCAGTCCGAGGCCTGCTTGGGTTGGGTGAAGGGGATGGCGTTCTTCTGAGAGATGGCTTTGAGGAACCCAGAGGTGGCGGCGACCTTGGTGGAAGGGTTGGACTCGAGCTCGCCCGAGATCTTGAGCATGGCACGACCGACTTGCGAGGCGAGAACGATGTTGTCTCCTTCGTACGTGACGGCCGGCGCCTGTTCGGGGAACACAGAGGTGAAACCTGCGTAGGCGGAGAAACCGTGTCCACCGAGCGCTTGACGGCACTCTTCGATACCGTCCAAAGCTTGCTTGGTGCAGTAGGCCTTGAGCGAGGAGGAAGCGACGTGCACGTCGGCGAGCAGCTCGGTGTTTCCCTCCTCGAGTTGCTGCGCCATATCCTCGTACAAAGTTCGCATCCTTCGACCAGCCAAGATGTACGCGTACGCCTTGGCAAGCAGAGGCAACACACGACGAGCCGTCGAAGGATAGCTGAGCACCGATCGCTCGACATCGTTGATATCCTTGCTCGAAGGATCGCGGAACTGTCGTCGAACCCACGCGTATCGTGTCGCGATCGTAACACCTCGCGAGAGCATCCATCCGGTCCTGTCAATCATCTGCGAACGGATGAAGATCATGCCGCCGTAGCTCAACTTGTCGCTGGGAGGTTTGACGTACTCTCCGCCCTTCTTGACCGAAGCGTGCTTGGAGAGCATGTGATCGCGCGGGATCTTGAACTGGTTGAACCTAGCCCAACCGTTGTCCAGACCTCCGAAGGCACCGTACGTCTTGGGACCGATGTCACCTGCGACGAGCCCGTCCAACAGCTTGCCCGAATCCATGTCGCGCAGCTGGGTGAAGAACAGGTGGGGACCGTAGCGTTTGCCCTTGATGATCAACTGTGCCTGAACCACACCGTGGGTAGCGGTGGTACCGAGACCGCCTGCCCACCACTTGGTCGAAGTGAGCGTCGGAGAATGCAGGATAAAGCTGTCGCTCGCCTCATCGTACGTGCACGTCGTCTCGAGCTGCTGCACATTGGTACCGTGGCCCAGCTCCGTCTGCATGTAGCAACCCAGAATCTCGTGGTTCATCGCCTTCTGGCCCCACTTCTCGATCTGCTCGGCACTGCCCTGACCGAAGATCACCGGCACAAACGCCACCCAGTGGATGGTGATCGGACTCTGCAGGTCCAACGTCAGCGCAGCTTCGATGATCTCGTGCGTCGTCCACTCGTGCTTCTCCCCGAGCTCGAGCAGCCTTCGACAGGCAAAGTGCGATTGACGCATCTGCTGTTCGCGGTTCATGTGGATCATGCGCTTCTTCCAGTTGCCGAAGATGGGGTCCTTGGAGAGGATGGTCATGACGGATTTGCGGGATGCATTGTCGATTCGAGCGTCGCGGAGGGTGTCTTCGATGCGTACTGGGTCGAAGTCGGCGGCGGCGCGGGCGGCGGCGATGTCCTCGGCGGTGCGCGCGGCAACCTCGCCCATGGGGATGGGGAGTGTCACTTTGGCGACGGGCCAAGAGCCGGTGGGCTCGTTAAGCGGTTCGAAGGTGGTCGATTTGGGGTCGAACGGCATGATGGGTAGACGATATGGATGGGGGAGGTGGTATTGATGAGAAGGAGGAAATGTCGAGTCGAGAAGATGCTCGGAATGGAGTGACTTGAGCTTCTATCCGTGCAGGGTATGTCTATAAGGGAAGCACGTTCCACACAAAGGATGAGGTGGCGAACACAGATGCGGTCGCTCGAAAAGGTCCTCCCTTCTATACGAACGAACGCTCCTACTACATGCAACGCAAACACGCCTATACACACACACACGCTTTCAACAAGACCGAACTAGCGAGCTGCGACAGACGGAAAACCTATCCCACCTCGCTGTCCACCACCGTTCTGACGTTCCAAGAATGCGGGGTCGCATTCAAAACGCGCTCAACCAACAGACCCTTTGAGCCGCAAAAGAAACCAAAAAAAGCTGTATGAAAGCGCTCCCAACCCCGCATCGCTCCTCCACTCAAGGACCCTTACGAAGCGAAACACGGGCGCGAATATCTCGGACCAGTCTTCAGCAGCGAAGGACAATTTCAAGCGAGGAAGATCAACCGAGCCTGCAAGCCCGGTCAAGGATCGACGTTGTGCAACACACAACCGGTTGAGCAAGAACCCGCTTGATAACCGGTCACTTTTTCTTCTTTTTCCCTCGCCGTGATCTGCTACAGCCAGGAAATATAGCGAGATTCACCAACCGAGTCGCGCGTCCCTTCACCCAACATTTTCGGTCACAGCACATGGCTTTCCTCGTTTGCACATCAAGCTTACATCATTATTCTCGATCTAACATGACATCGGAAATCATCGTTCCTTTCGACTGAGCAAACGCTGCAGACCTTCCAGATGGACGATGTGGCCTCGAACACGCCGAGCGTAGAAGACGAGGTAGATCAACGTAGCTGCTCCCACCGCTGCCAGCGAGACTGTGGCGGCGTACTTGAACTCCTCCGGCCTGTTCCATCCAAGCGTCAGTCCGTAATGGCCGAGATCGAACACGTTCTGGAGCGAGAATTGGAGCGCCATCAACGCATTCTTTCGACCAGCATCGGGACCAAGCTGTTCCGGCGAGAGAGCCGTCTGTATTATGGCCAGCTGTGTGAGGTCGAAAGCCCAAAGTCCGATTCTCGATAGCGCCAAGCCAGAGAACAGTATTGCAGTGTTCCAACTCGGCCGCTGCTTGTCTGACAACCCGAACCGATCCTTGGAAGAACCGGTGATCCAGAGCGACACCACCGCCGGAACAAGAGGCACCAGCTCGGCGAACAGCGAGTAGGATCCGGTCCGGACCAAGCCTATCTTCTTCTCCATCATCGGCATCACGAACGTGCCGATCAGTCCGGTCACAACGCCCACCGCTCGCATGCCGGCGATGAAAGCATCGCTGTACAGCGTCTCGGACTTGAGGTACGCGATGAACGTCGGGTCGAACGAGAGCACCGACATGTACAGCAGCGAGATGCAGACCGAGGTGAGGAAGATCGGCAGTCGCACGAAGAGGCTCCAGTCGCGATACTGTTGTTTGACGTCGTCGGTGACAGAGGTGGCTATCCTCGATGCCATTCCTGCAAGCCGTGCTTTTGCGCCTTGATGCGCTGATGACCGACCTGCGTGAGCACCGGAGTCTGCTCTGCTCTGCGCGGCTGCCTGTCTTCTTGCGATCGCAGCCTTCTCGTCCGCTGCTAGCGACGGGAACCTTCGATAAACCGTACCGACGAACACGAGCTCAAAGATGCCCGTCACCGCATTCACCGACAGCAACACCACCGCAGCGAGCGTGTAGCTCATGGTCGAAGTCAGCGCCGACACGAACAGCGGACTGACGAGTTTCGATATCAGATCGATCCTGCGCATGATTGCGTTGAGGCGTGTCAGCCTCGCGGAAGATCCATCGCTGATGATGGTCACCCACTCCCTCTCCACACCTACACTGACGCCGACGTTGGAGAGCATGATGCCGATGCCCAGCAGCGTGATGGCTGCAAAGATCGCCCACGGCCTTGTATTGGCCTCCATGGCCTGTGGTCCCTTACCTCCGTTCTCCGCCTCGGTCCGAAGCGACGAAGACGAAAAGAGCACCAGGAACAGGCCGTACGAAGCACCTACGAGCAGCTTCTGCGACAAGATCATGGCTCGAAGCGTACGCAGCTTGGTGTGCGCATACGTGTCGATGAGACGTCCGACATTGTTCGAGAACAGGATAGCACCTGCTGTGGTGACAAAGCCGTATATCGACGCGGGAAGAAGGGTGTTGGTGAAGAGCTCGACCATCATGAGCGGGTAGGCAAACTCAGCGGAGCGGAACCCCCACGAAGACGACGCATGCTGAACGGCCAGCAGCAGCGTGCCTTTGACGTCAAGGTCGCTGTGACCTGAAGCTGGTGTTGCGCCGAACGACCGATCTTCCGTCTCATCCTGTCCAGTTGTCTCGGTAGTATGGAGATCGACGCTCGCGCGATGCTGATGGTCGTTGTGAGAGGTGCGGCTCGATGTGTGGTGCGGACGGGGCAGCGGCTGCAGCGCAATGTCTCCAGCGTCGGTGATGACGCTATCGTCCTTGTGATGCTCGGCAGCGAGCGTCGTCGTAACGGTGCTCATGACATTGTTGTGTCACCTAGTAGCCGGCAGTGAACGATGGATGGATGTGGATAGGATCATACATGCAACGGAGAACTGGTCGCCGTCTGCACAATGTCTGCATGCTTGGCAAGGGTCCAATTTGAAGTTCGTCCAGCCTTCTCAACCTAACACTCGCCACGAAATCGGTCTTTGGCCGGCTAATCCTGCCAAGAAGCGAATTTGTGTGATTGCATATCGCCCACGCTGATTTCATGTCGGACAGCTTGCTTCCGATACATCACGGACACCTGTATGCCGGCACCAGCGTGGACCCTGAACTCTTGGTAGCTTCCAGTCGACGCAGCTGCATGTGCTCGTACTTCCTCCATCGTCGTTGCTTACACCTATCGACTCGAACAGCCTGCAAAGCTAGCAGCGAAGATGCCAGACGGTGCGTCCGAGACGACGCCTCTCAAAGGATCACACCCTCGCAGCGGCGATGTCCATGCCAAACCGAAAGGATTGACGCCAGATACATCGTATGGCGCCTTATCTTACCAGACAAATCAGGATGGAACCAGCACATCGACGACGACGCCCGAAATCAATGATGACAGCACCGGCAATGACACTGACGCTGCATCCCAACGTCCGACCGGCTTCAAGTTTGCCGTCATCATCGCCAGTCTATGGGTGGTGCTGTTCATGGCTGCGCTCGACGGCACCATCGTAGTGACGCTGATCGCTTCCATCTCCTCCTCCTTCAAAGCTTCGGAAAAGTCGGGCTGGCTGAGCACCTCCTACCTGCTGAGCGTCTGCGCATTCTCGTCCATCTACGGCCGACTGTCCGACATCATCGGACGCAAGGGAGCGCTGCTGGTTGCGCTCAGCTTCTTCACGACGGGCACGTGCCTGTGCGCTGCAGCCAAGAGCATGAATGCGCTGCTAGTCGCCCGCTTCGTCGCCGGTATCGGGGGAGGCGGTCTGCTTACCACATCGTCGATCTGCATGACCGATCTGGTGCCTCTGCGCCAGCGTGGATTGTGGCAAGGCATCACCAACATTCTGTTTGGCTCGGCTTCGGCGTTGGGAGGTCCACTGGGTGGCTTCATCAACGACGCGTTCGGCTGGCGAACCGCTTTCGGGTTTCAAGTACCTTTCCTGCTCGTGGGGGCCGTCTGCATCGCCACCTTTGTCAACATCCCGTTGCCGGCTTCGGATCAGAGTTGGCAGAAGAAGCTCGGACGCATTGACTATCTTGGATCGCTCGGACTCATCTCGTCTTCAAGCTGCTTGCTGCTGGCTATGAGCTTCCTCTCCGGCTCTCTGCTTCCGTTCTCGCACCCTTTGGTATGGGGTTTCCTATTGGGATTCGTCGTCACAGCGGTGCTGTTTGTGCTGGTGGAAGGGTGGGTCGTCGGCGAGCCGGTGATGCCGCTGACGCTGCTCACGCGCAAGTCGCCAGCACTGATCGGCGCATCGTATTTCCTCGGCAGCTTTGCCCATTTCGCCACCATCTTTCACTTCCCGCTCTGGTTCCAGTCGGTTCGATTGCAGAGCGCATCGCAGGCTGGACTCCACCTCATCCCCATCTCGTTCTCGGCTGCGGCGGGTAGTTTGTGGGCGGGGCTCTACATGAAGCGCACGGGCAAGTACTGGCGCGCCAACGTCGTCTGCTGTGTCCTCAACATTGTCGCTACCGGCTACGGTGCGTTATGGAACGAGTCGACGTCGGCGTGGTCGGAATATCTCACATTCTGCCCTCAGGCCTTTGGCACCAGCGCCATCTTTACCTTTCTGCTCATCGGACTCATCGCTTCCGTCTCCAAGGACAAGGCGGCAGTGGCGACGGGCACCGTATACCTCTTCCGAAGCTTGGGTCAGGTGGTGGGTGTTTCTCTCTCGACGGCCCTGTTCCAGATGTTGCTCCAGTCGCAGTTGTTCCGCAACATCACGCCGGATCTTTTGCCGCATCCAGAGCAGGGGGCTGCTGGTGTCGAGCAGCTCATCTCGGCGTTGAGGCACGATGCCTCGCTAGTGTTGACATTGAATCCCGAGCCGTTGAGGCACGCGGCTCAGGTGTCGTACATGAACGCCATCAAGCGCGTGTTTATGTTGGTGACGGTGCTCAACGTGCTGTATCTCGCGGTCTGCTGGCCGGTGGAAGAGTACGAGTTGTCGGATAAGCCGGCTACGGCGCCGACTCGAGACGACGATGAGCGTGCCTCGGAGGAGCGATCGCGGTCAGGAGATGGTTCTCATGCATAGATGTGTTCAATGTATTGCTCTGATGTACCATCCAGATTGAACGAATCGTTTGAGAAGCTAGCATCCCATCGAGGTTTGTCAATTGATGAGGATTGAAGATAGAATCAAAGGCAATAATGATGCCAAAAATCGAGGTGCAAATATTGGGCCAAAAAAGGACTCTGTTATCAGCTGACCTGCTTGCCGCCACGGATGTGCCGGTCTAGTTGCCTTGGCTTCCACTTTTCTTTACCGAATTTTTCGGGCGATTTGATCATTTGAGTCGGCCTATCCTTTTCCGAAGCGCCAAATCTTCCGGACCCCGCACTTCGGTCGCTCGATCGCATCCGCGTGCATCATCTTGCTCACCACCATCGTCTCCTTCCTTCCCAGCAGCTACTGTATTGCCTACAGGGAAGCACCTGAGACGTCGCGCGCAAAGCCATCCTTCGACCTACTCTTCGCTCTTCTCTGGCACCGTTCAGAGCCAGTCTACGATGAGTCATCTGTACGATTCTTCCTCGAGCAGGCACACAGCACAGACGTCGTCGCCCCGGATGGCATACACTGATCGCAGCTACGCCAACTCTCCATCACGCTCGTCCTACTACTCTAGCGCCACGATGAATGCGGGCGCGAACCATGCATCCTCACCGCGATCCAGGAACGAGGTCTCGGACAGTTCGCCCATCAAAGCCGATGTATCCATGGACCACGACCCGTCCTCCTCCACATCGGCCCCATCATCCTCCAAGGCTCAGGCTGTCAAGGATGAGAACAAGGAAGACAAGAAGGCGACAGCGAAGAGGCCACGCGAGCAGTACAGCTGCGTAGAATGCTGTAAGTATATCGACGAGCAAGCGTCTGCTGGTTCATGACGGGCGATATCTCATAGATAAGAGCTCTCTTGCTGACACACATCGTTCGCGATCATCTCGACCATGCAGTTCGACGCAAGCAAAAGTGCGACAGACGATTCCCATGCAACAACTGCATCAAGCGTCGACTTCCAGAGCGATGCGTCCCGCCGCCATCTGCGCGCACCAACGACGCCTCACCTACCCCCTCCGACAGCGGCACCGTCCCTCACCGCACCAGCATCTCTCGTTCCGCATCCGACCTCCAACTCGCCACCAGCAGCGGCAACTCCTACACGCCAGTCGCAAAGAGACAGAGGCTCAACACGGACGAGCACGTCGCCAACTGGGACGACCGAAAGATCGATGACCTGGCACGAACCACTTCGAGGATCGCTCGGCTCGAACGCATCTTGGCCCTCAACGATGCCTCGTATCTCGAGCAGAGGCTGGCGCTCGCCGAGAAGGCGGTTCGACTGCGCTTGGGAGAAGAGGGAAGCGGCTCGCGTGCTATCAACGACGTTGACCATCGCATGTCGAGAAGATCGAGCTTCGTTGCCGAGGAGAACGAAACCGACCGACACGCCGACGGTCATCTAGACGACAATGACGGATTTCTGGGCACATCGGCATTGGAAGCTGTGCCGTTTGAGCTCAAGAATGGTTTGCCGCCGTCCAACAGCAAAGCCGGCTCGGGCGATGTGGCCCCGCAAGCGCTGCTGTCCTACATTCACCCAAATCCGACACGAAGAGGCTTCCCGATTCCATCCGCCGATGTACAGGCGATTCGTGCGACGCTGCCGTCTCGCGATCAGTGCGAGAGGTACTTCGACGCCTACTTTGCACATTACAACTGGGCTCGACTGCCGCTCCCGGAGGCTTCGCTGCGCGATCGTTTCCGCCAGTTCGTTGCTGGCGTGCCGAGTCCTTCGGATGTGCGCATGGATGCCGAGACGCTGCCCTTTGTGGCGCTGGTGCTGGCGATCTTGACGCTAGGCTCGGTGCCGCCGATTGTGCAGCCGCTGTCGTCCGCCACGTCGCACGCGTTCTTCTGGGCGACGAAGAAGGCGCTGGTGCTGTGCGAGACGCTCGGTTTGGCTAGCTTGGATTCGTGCTGGGCGCATGGTGTGCTGGTGCGGTACTTGGACATCATCCGCGTCACCAGGGCGAGTTGGCACGAGATCGGCTCTTGGATCAGAGACGCTCTCGATCTGGGTCTGCACCGAGACGGAAGCTCCTTCGGCCTTCCCAAGGAGCAAGTGGCTGCGAGAAGGATCCTCTGGTCGCACGTCATCCACAACGATCGCGAATGGAGCATCATCCTCGGTCGCCCACTCACCATCACCTTCTTCACCACCGAGATGCCGACGCGGGAAGACATGGAGCCGCTCGGCTTTGCCTGTCAGACCTACCTCTTGGCACGGAATCGGTTCACTTCGTGTCTCGAGTCCATCACGCACTGCTTCGAAGAGCGATCTGCCGGTCGAGGTCCTTCCGGTCGAACGTCGAGGGCGTACTATCGGGTGTTGGAAGTGGAAGATATGATCGCAGAGTTTGTGGATTCGCTTCCACCTTACCTGGCTCCGAACTGGTCGAGCTCGGGCAAATCCAAGACGGACACGAGTCTGGATCAGGACCACCCGCTTTTGCCGTTCTACCGGTACCTCATCTTGGGCGAGGTGTGTTTCTACCGCTCGCTCTTGCATCGTCCGTATCTGCTGCGACCGGCGAGCAACGGCAAGCACCCCTTCCCCGAAAGTCGCCGCGTCTGCGTCGAGACGGCGCTCAACGATCTTCGACTGCGCAAAGAGTACGCGCGAATCTTGGGCAAGGAACAGCTGGCGCAATCGTTCGGAGGGGCCTACGCGCTGTTCAACTCTGCCATCGTGGTAGGCATGTCGCTTCTCATCGGCTTCAGTCTGGGCGAACGTATCGATCCTGTCGATCTGAACGAGAGGATTGGGTATCTGCAGAACTTTATCACGCAGTTGAGGAGGAACTTTGACGCGGGCAATGTGGATGCATCTGCGGAGCGCGAGCAGATGGTGATCGAGGTGCTGGTGTCGAGGTTGGAGCCTTTCTTGCCGCGGGATCTGGCGAAGAAGAGCAAGGGAGAGTTGGCGGCGGCCAAGGGGTCGATGAGGGCGACGATGATGCAGGATCCGATGAGGAGGGGTCAGGCAGCTTCGGCGAGAGTTGAGCAGGAGAAGCTGGCGGCGGACTCGTTGAGGATGCTCTCGACGAGCTTGCCCGGTACACCGACATTGTCGAATCAACATCAAGGAGCAGGTGGCAGTGCGAACGTGAGCGGGTCTTCGGCTGCTGCGATGCACAATCTGCCGCCTTCGCATCACCTTGCGACGGGATCACCGACGCCCATGGGTATGGGTCAGTTTGACAACGGTCCGTTCGCGTCGATGAGCGGCGCGGCGGGAGCAGCTGCACCGAGTGGTGGAAGTGCAGCCAACCCGATCGATCCGTACGGATGGCTGCTGACACCTACGGCGTTGGAATCACCCGACACGACAAAGGCCAACTCTGCGAGCAACAGCGCTGCACACACGCCGATCGTTTCCGGAAGTGGACGACCCGCTGTCACTCCCACCAACACGTCCAACACAGGCCCTGGTGTAGCGTCCAGTGTGGGATCTTCCACGCCAATGCGTCAGCACAATCACAGTTTGGGTGGAAGTCACCCGCACAGTCAATTCATGGCGGCGTCGCCGGGCCAGTTTGCGGCAGGGTTGGCTGCGCCGATGGAAGGGCAGGCCATGTTCGATTGGGAAGGGATTCTGCAGACGATCGGATCGGGCTGGACGGGCGACGGCACGTTGGAGACGGGGATGGAGAGTCTGTTTGGGTGAGCAATCGACGAGCTGAATTGCACATCTTCATGCGTGGCGGTGATTGTTCTGCGCTGGATCTGCTTGAGCGCAGACCGATGAGAAGAGGAGCGAGGTCGTGTGACGTTGGGCGTTGAGCAGCGATAAAGAGGCTCAGCGACGCAGCCGGTGTTCGTCGGGTTCCATCGAGGAACGGCAAATTTTGTCCAAGAAATGCCGGCGAACTCCTGGCTGGCGGAGCGCACGGACACGATCTCGCACAGAATTCCTGGTTCAAATTGGCGATCTGCTCAATCGGCTTGGAAATGGCAAACAAAACGTCATTTGAGGGGTGTGCAAGGCGCTGTCGGTCTTTGTCGACAATGCGTTGTTCGAGTCTTCTTTAAAAAAAGCTCTCTCTCTCTTCGAACATTCATCCCGCACCTCATCGTTGCCTCTTCAAGGACTCTCGACCCTCCTGTTACTCTTCGAACTCCCGCTCTGTATCCGGGAAAATGGCTCCGAATCAGGTCAGCGATCCAGTACCGCTGGTCAACTCTCTCGACTCGATCTACTCGAAAGCTGGCGTGCTCAAAAACGGCAAGAGGTGGGACGACCTCGCCTCAAAATTCGCCGATGCCTATGACGGTTTGAAGCCTGACTTCATCGCTCGGGCGCCTGGAAGGGTGAACCTCATCGGAGAGCATATCGACTACGTTGGATTCTCGGTGTTCCCCGCTGCTGTCGAAAAAGACATTCTCATGGCTACCAAGGTCACCCTCGCTCCAGCGGGGGGATCATCCGATTCGGTCGAAGTCGTGCTCAAAAACACCACCACAAGATTTGCAGAGACATCCTTCACCTCTCGCTACGACTCGGTTGACGGCGTACAGCTGCTCAATTCGGGCGATTCGCGATGGGCCAACTACTTCAAGGTGGCATTCAAGGGCCTTCACTCGCACCTGCCCTCCTCCGTTCTCGACGCCTCCAACCCCTCCCGACCCGTTCGAATCCAAGTGCTGGTCGACGGTACCATTCCTCCAGAGTCGTCCCTCTCCTCCTCCGCCGCCATGACCACGTGCTCGAGCATCGTCATCCTCGAATCCTTCTCCGCCCGCTCCCTCATCGACCGCAAGGAGATGGCCGAAGTCGCCATCGAAAGCGAACGTCTCGTCGGCGTCAACTCCGGCGGCATGGACCAGAGCGCTTCCATCTTCGGCATCCCCGACCACGCGCTCTACATCTCCTTCTACCCCGAACTCAGTGTCGAACCTACGAAACTTCCACAGTCCGACACGGAACATACGTTCGTCATCGTCAACACGTTGGTGGTGAGCGACAAGAAGGTGACCGGACCGGTGAATTATAATCTGCGGGTGGTGGAGACGAGGATGGCGGCTAGGGCGCTGGCGAAGGGGTTGGGGCTGGGGAGCGGGAATGGGTGTAAGGATCTGAGGGGGGTGCTGGAGACGTACTTTGCGGAGAACGGGGGTGTGGGGAGGTTGGAGCTGGAAATAGAGAACAGTGGAGCTGTCAAGGAGACGTTGGAAAAGTCGGGCGAGGAAGCCGCGAGGATCAAAGTGTTGGAGGAGAAGGTCGAATCTCTGTACCACGACGACACGCTCAAAGCCGGTCTGACGAGGCAGCAAGTGGAAGAGCTCACCGGATACTCTGGTGAAGAGTTCGACAAGGAGTTCCTGAGCTCCTTCCCCATCCGCGCCGACAAGTTCGAGCTCTACAAACGTTCCAAGCACGTCTTCACCGAAGCCCTGCGAGTCCTCCAATTCCGATCTCTCTGCAACTCCCCCTCACCCGACGTCTACCGACAACTAGGCTCGCTCATGGACGACTCGCAATCCTCCCTCCGCGACCTCTACAACTGCAGCTGCGACGAGCTCAACACTGTCATCGACATCGCAAAGCGCAACGGAAGCCTCGGAAGCAGGTTGACCGGAGCAGGCTGGGGTGGCTGCACGGTCCATCTGGTCCCCAAGAAGAAGGTCGAGGTGTTCATCTCGGCTATGAGGACGCAGTACTATGCAAAGAGGTTCGAAGGGAAGGGATTGAGCGAGGACGAGTTGAACGATGCTTGCTTTGATACTAAGCCTGCTGGCGGTGCTTGCGTGTACAAGGTGTGAAGGGTCGGGATTCTGGGGTCGTTGGTGGGACCGTGGAAATGTCAAACTCAAAATGATCTGGCAGTGTTTGATCTGGAAGATGACAGACTGTTGAGATGCTGACTGAGCTCCTAGATGGTGTGAGAGACGTGCACCGAAGTCGTTCGCTGCGCCGAATGGGTCGCCAAAGCCAGGATCGGCCCATCGTCATCGACGCATACCAGCTACGTTTGACGAGGTCGATGTGGATCGTCCAAGCTGTTCGTACGCACCACCCTGGCGCTAACTCGCGAACCATGCACGAATCTGGATCGTTGCCCCGCGACCATGGGCAACGTGCATCCCACACCTTCGTGAGCTTTCCCTTGTCGTCTGCGTCGATCTAAAGTAGCTGCAAGACCAACACTCGGTTGTGGAGCAAATCCCGTCGTTCCAAGCGAAGCGCGCTAAACGACGCCAACGCCACCGCACCGGCCAACTTAAGCAGCGGCTGCGAGTAAAGACACTAAGCGAAGCACGCTCGGCATTTGGCGTAAAGACGGCATCCTACCATGGTACAGATGGTCACAAGGTAGCTGAAAGGAGGAAAGGCGCAAGTGCGTTAACGGAATGGTCTAGACGCAGGTGGTCTCTCCACCTCTTCCGTGTAGAGGCAGGCAAGAGCAACGCCAATCTACGTGCCTAGGCACACCGAGTTGAGCCGTTAACGAATGAGCTGGAGTGCGGCAGCCCAACACCTAATCTTGTCAGTCCCACATCGGCAATGATATCAAAAACACAGTCAGGTTGTGTCGGGCCATGCTTCATTGACCATCGAAAGCGCCATGGCAGGATATGCTTGAGCTGCAGAGCTATCAGAGCAGCCGAAGACATTCATCGCTGTCTTGGTTCTTGGCAGTAGCGCCAATCACAGAGCTATCCAAGCGTCGTACAAAAAGCGCATGAAAGCGGCTAAGGCAGATGTGGCGGACAGGGTTCTTTGATCGGCGCCGCAGCTCAGCCTAGGCGAGACATCGAGTTCATGCTGGGAGCTTGATACGGGAACATGGCCGTGACATCAGATACGACACGAGAGGATTTCTACCTTCTCCTCGGGAACGCTATCTGTACAGTCGTAAGCGAGTCGCGACGAGCAAAAGCCTGCCGATGCTCGCTTGACCTCGCTTTCTTGCCTTCTTTCGAATGTCGGTCAGGTGGGCTTTGGGATACTACACTGTACTCACAGCACCGATTCCGAGATTGCCTGCATATCTTTCTCTTGCAACAGCGGTGGAAGAAAGCGAGATGCTGGGAAGGGTCGTGATGCCCGAGAGTTGGGTGTCGGCACGCTCGGTCATGCGCGCTGTTCGGAGACGCAGAGGCGAGATGCGACCGCCACAGTCTGTTTCTTCCAAAAGAGTCGGAGCAAAGCGTCGAAGGTCGAAATCTGCATGCAAACCCGGGGTCAATACTGTGGCCTGTCGGAGAGCCTTTGAACAGAGCAATGCATGGCTCGAGTTGCAAAGCTTGCGCTCGACCTCGTCACGTGTGCGTCTGCCTTGCTGCGATGCCCTGGGTCAAGAAGCGGCGTCTGTGCGTCGGTGATTTCGGAAAGATCAACCATGCCGCGCACCGTTCGGCATCGGTCAAGTCACATCTGAATGCGATCATTTCTACCAGCGGGAGGATAACTGGATGTGTAGAACAGCATGACGCAATCCGTCAAGCGTGTGTCACGCATCACCGCACGACGGCGAGAGACAGCCATTGGTCACGTCGGAGCCTGCCTGTGATGGCGATGTGGATCACGACGCCACAAACCGCCACCAGATGACCGCCGTTGCCCGCTGAAACAATGCGCCTATGTATTCGGACGTGATCGGAGCTCGCAAGGGCTACACTTGGCGCGTCCTGTAAAGTAGCACTGCTCAACGCGATAGGAGACCGAGGTGATGACGTGAGGCGGCAGAAGGGTCAGACGGAGTTTCAAGTCAGGCACAAGCCTCATTTACAGACCGTCAGGTGCGAGCGGAGTTGGACCATGAGCCAACCCAGCTTCATGCAGAACAATACAAGGCTTCAAGTCAACTCTACAGCATTCGTCGAGCCTCGGGCGAATCAAAGCGGAGTCGGATCCCTTCAACGAAAGTTGTTTGGGTGCGATACTCGTCGACCATGACGGTGCGCGCTTTGCAGAGTCAAACAAATCGGACGAAGCATGCAAAGCCTAAGCCTGAATCTTGCTAGCGTATGCCCACATCAATGCGGTAGAAGAGGTAAGGTGCGGTCAAGAGAAACTTGATCGGCCGAGCGGGCTCCGAAAGAAGGCGCAACGACGGGTCTCTGAGCGCGAAGGCCGAGCAAGATGAAATCGAAAGAATGTTTGTTGGCGAGGCGAGGCGCCGTTTGTTGCACTGCGAGTGGTACCTATCGGCAACAGCGCATCTTCTTCACATTGGTCTTCTGTACACGGCCTTGAAAGACTAGAATCCAGCACGACGGACGGGGTTTGAAAATGGTCTGCAGGAAGCTTGCAGCAAAATTTCGCGCCCTGGATGGAGGTTTGCGAGCCTGAGCCGTTGGGAGCAAAACAGTGCTAGAATTGCTGTACTGGAGCGATACGTGGCATGGATAGGTCGACGTGCAGCCGGGCAGCTTTTGCACCGTTAGCGAGATCAGCAGGCATAGCATCGGCCTCCCGGGTGCGGGTTGCCCGGGTACAACAACTCGGCACCACAATTTCATTGGTTCTTGGCCACGTAGACGAAGGTCCAAAGGCAGGACTGCAGGAAACTGTTCAGCCCGCGCTGCGTTCCGCGCATCAATGCACAGCTACATTCAAGGCTGGTATAGAAGCGCGAGCTGTACGATCGTGGACAATAGCTGTGTCCCCGGATGAATTGGTTCCGGCCACGAGTCTATTGTCATTGTACCTCTGGGTTTCGTGCGGTAACACGGTCGGACCGGACCGTTACCCCAGCGCGCCGAATGTCTCTGATAAGCGCGAGTCAGGGCGGGCGTTCATCCGGAGTCCTGGCACCCTGACACTGCTCTACGGTCCACACAAGTCACGCCGCGGCGCGAAAGACCGAACTCACCGAGACACTGGGCATAAGACAGAAATGTAGGGAGAGGGTCGGGAACAGAGAGGGTTCAGAAGTTGCGATGAACCCAGCCGGAGGCTTGATCAAAGCTTCTAGCGGCTGTGGGCGGCTCCGTGCCGAGCGGAGTGTGGAAGTTGCGAAGTTGTCGGTGAAGGATGACGGTTGGTGGAAGGAATCTGGATCTGGTTTGCGAGGGAGACGGCGACTCAGCAGAAGAAGGACGTGTCTCAGTTGGGTCACATCAGAAAACTTTTGCCGCGCAATGGCGATTCGACGCAGCTTCAACGATCGCTTTCGGTACTGGTCAAAGCACAGTCACAGGCTTCTGTGACATAGTGTGTAAGGACGAGGAAAGCGACGTGCCTAGGCGAAAGGGAAGAAGCTACGCCTCGGCAAACCAACTGGTACGCCCAGGGGAGGGTACGATTTTCATCCGTCATCGACGCGAATACGGCGTACCTAGCGACCATGAGCGGCATCGGGTAGAGGCGACTTGATGCAAACTTGCCTACCTACATGAATAAGAGAAATCGCTTCGAGAGCGCATATCCTCCCAGCCTCGACAAGCATGACGAACTTCTTCAGTCGGCAGTCTATCAGGGATGACGATGTAAGAGCGGACGGTGTTCGGATCCCGTATTCAAATTAGCGCAAGGCATTGGATGAACGTCAATTTGGCTGCGCCTTTGCCAATAATGAAATCATTTCAAATACGAAACAAGAGGGGCCGAGAACATTTAGGGCCCAGCTTTTTTCATTTTGGGCCACGGGTGCAAAGAGAAAATGTCTTAGATTTGTTTCCACAGCAATACCTTTGACTCGCTGTGGACCTCATTTCTTGAATTCGAGTACTGGGCGGCGGTCCGCTGCTGCAACTTTGCTGCATCCCACACTTCGAACGGGCAACTCAGCAGGCGCAGGAACAGTACATTGGCTGAAATTGCTAAGGGACCAGTGTCTAGGCTCGGTCTTGAGGTTCGGGATCCATGGTGCACACTAGCCGCTTCGCAGATGCATCGTCTGAAGCTCATCGCATTTTTGGTCGTCCCTTCTGTCGGTCCTCAACCTTAATACGATTGTGGCTCCGATTCTTGATGTGCTTGCAGCCGGCTAAACGCAATCTGTACGGACGCGTGGTGTCATGTCTGAAATTTCGTAGCCGAGCGATGATCGTCTTGACCCTGTTTCTCGCTACCAAAGAGACACCCTTGCTTTGTTTCTGCGCCTGTGCACCGGTACCGGCATCCTCGTTCTGCCGCCCCGCTGAGGTTGGGGAGGGGCGCTGCGACGAGCAAATGAAGAGGTGAATTTAGATTCCGAGACATCGCCGACCTTCATCTGGCCCGCTGAGACGGCACGGCAACCTTCGAGACAACGCCCTTGTACAGGCGTGCGTGGGTGGTTTGTGTTTGTAAGTTCAGACGGACCTGAGACGTCTCACTTGGAGATCGGGAATAAGACTTTGGCTCTGCGCCTATCCACCTATTTCTGCTTTGTTTTTTGATATGAATCAATCTCTTCGAGATCTGGGTGTAAGCCGCGTGTTGCACAGATCCCTGTTCCTTTGCATCGCGGCTACAATACATACCCTACACAATGGTGACCCACCGGTCTGGTTCCATTTGTGTCTACTGCACCCGCAACTTGCCCTCCTCTTGGCCCCTCCCTGACGCTGCATTTGCCCCCTGAGAAACGGGCAGTACCCGCACGTTGGCCGGCGACGTGCTCATCCTATCCGGTCTCAGCCCACGAGCTTTTTTAGGAACCTTTCATCCCGCTCCCCTCGTGCGTTCGCTCGCTCGCTCGCTCGCCCGACCGACCGCCCGCCTACCCATTCAGACGCTCTCATATATCTCATGCACTCTCATATTCCTCCGCTCTTTCCGCCTGTCTCGCTTGGCTCGCTTGATGGATCAGCCACAAACAAACCCGGCTTCCTGCTTCCATGCGTCGTTCCGTGACCTCAGCTCAGCTGCTGCGCATATTCCCCTTACCAATTCGCTGCTCCTCCTTACAGTACGCGGCTGAGCTGCTCTCTTTCCTCGAAGCTCTTTTCGCTGCGTCTTGCAAACCTCGCTCCAACTCTTCTCAATCCTGGTGGCCAGCCCGAGTAACGTCCGGCTCGTCATCCATCCTCTCCAGCCGCCCCTCTCTTGTCCTTGGCCCCAGGCATTCCCTTCACGCCACCCAAATCGCCTTCGAATATCCGGTCGCTTCCTTCAGCCGTCCTTGTGATTTGTCTCCTCTCGCTTAGTCCGCTCAGGCAGTTGGCCCAGCCGTCCACTTGCACCTGCGACCCGTTCCTGCTGAGACATCCCAGACGACCCAGACTCTGCCATCTCTGCGCCACTCATTCGTCCATGCGTCGCTAACCTTCTTCGCTGATCCTTCTTACCTGGACCTCTCGCCTTTGCGACCACCCCCATCACTTTGTACACCACCATCACCGACAACAACAACAACTTCTGACCGCTCCATCCGCTCCATTCATCTTTGTTATCACATACCTCGATCTCACCTCGAGACGCATTGCGACCACCACTCATCATTGTTCGATTCCTGCCGCGCAACCGTGGCCAACTATCTAAGCATCATAAATCACTTCGCCTCAGCATCCAGGCGTAGCGTCGCCTGAGCTCTTCAGCCCTATTTCGCTACTCTTCCTCGCCAAGGTCGCGGCAGGCGCCCCGTTCTCTGCCCACATGACCACCTCGGCGCGGCGTCAGCTCTTTCGGCGCTCAAAAGCTGGTTGCTGGAACTGTCGATCCAAGAAGAAGAAGTGCGACGAAGCGCGCCCTCATTGCACTCGATGCCTTCGTGCTGGTGAAGGCTGTCGCTATCCGGACGCAAGCTCCGAGTCCCTAGCGGACTCTGGCCATGCCATGTCGCCAAGCGATCATGCCTCGCCATCTATCACCTCCTCCACCTCCTTCCAGAGCGGCTTGACAATGCATACATCGCCTATGCTTTCGCGCTCGTCATCCACCTCGGGCTACTCGTCGCAGCATCATTCACGTCGCACTCCATACCAACCGCACCAACATCACCCGTACGCTCCCGCGTCGGATCATCATTCGTACTCTGCATCTCTAGACCACCATCGACCTGCTCCTCAGCGTGACTACCATCCGCACCGATCTGTCTCTCTTCAAAGGCCCTCGACGCCTCCGTCTTCAAGCGTTCACCATCCCTACTATTCGACTGCACATGTCGCTGGTCAGCCGCCCATGTCGCAGCAGCAGTTCCCGCCTCCACCTCTGTCAGCAAGCGCCGCTGCTGATTGGGACCACACTTCGCAACAGCATCTGTACAAACGTGCGAGATACGATGTTCCTGCGGCATCCGCTTCAAACACGGCAGTGTCTCCAGTGTATCAAGATCCTCGCTCACGTCAATCTTTCGAGCCGCACCACCGAGCCGCTTCGAACCACAGCCAAACGAGCAGCAAGGGCAAAGCCCGAGACACGCTGCCGCCCATCTCTCCTATCCGCCCAGAGGCTGTCTCCATGATCGTCTCGGCGTCACTTCCGCCTATGAACGGTGCACCGTCCCCTCCACACCGCAACGTGGCATCGCCGAAGCTCGCCGCTCGCTCCGCCGATACATCGCCTGCTGATCGGGTCAGCCCGGCCGTTGCCAATCGTCAAGCGCACGGCTCGCCGCCCAACTCGCATCAACCCGCTTGGTATCCTGGGTCTGCACCTAAAACGTACTCTAACGCGCACGGTCGTGCCCATGCGGACGCCACGGAGCTCGATGCACCACCCAGTCCTTCGCCGCGACCCTCTTCGAGTTTTGCGCAACCCCGACATAAGCTGGTGTTCGATTACAATTCAAACGATCCCGATCCGGAGCAGTTCCTGTCTTCCATCGAAACGCTCCCACATTCCGTCGTGACGCAGCCCACCAAGGGTGCCCATGCATACTTTGGTTTTCTTCAAGGCATCGCACGTCTGCCTCAAGGTCAAGCTATGGCACACGCGCTTGCGGCTGTAGCTGCATCACATCAAGCCAATGGCCGCGTAGACTCGGACGAGCAGGGCGAACATGCCGACGTCGCGAGACCTCGCGTCGACCAGAGCAGAACAGCATTGGCAGAGCTTGCCAACCGACATCACCTCTCGGCGATTAAAGCGCTTCAGACGCAACAGCAGCCGAGTCGACGCCGTCGATTCTCGGTCATCGAGACCAACCCAAACGCCAGCGCAGAGGAATTGCCAGCCGGGAGCAACGCTGCCACCATGATACTGCTCATCCTCGCTTGCAGCTCGATTGGCAAGTCTCTTATGCTGCCTTCGTACTTCAACCAGTGCGAGCAATTCCTTGCTGATGCCGTCGAGCACGTGTCCACACATCGACTGTTTCCGTCGGTCAGCGGCGAGGCCATCGTGGGTACACCGGAGGACCCACCAATCTTCTCTGCGGACAATCTTACGAACTACGGCGGTCTCCTTCTTCTCGGTACTGTGGTTGGCCTCTACGAATGCTATCTGTCTCAGTATACCGCAATCACCGACTGGGACTACAACCCAGCTCGTCTCAAGAGGCTCCTGCCGTTCAACTGGAGCGAATCGGATGCTCTTGCGTTTGATCAAGTGCGTAAAAGCGTCTCCGAGACCACATACAGCGTCTCGATGGTCACCATCGAGTTGGTGGTCGAGACTCTCGATACGATGCGACGATTCAAGCGAGCTGAAGCTGTTGCCTACGGCAATCGACAGAGCAGTCGAAGCGGAGCCGAGGACGGCGCGGCAGCACTGGACAGTTTGGCGCTCAGAGAAGAATTGGGATTGGTGATCCGCGACCTGGAGGCAGGGACGTTCTGGAAAGGCGCTTCGCGAACCCTGAGCGAGGCCGAGCAGCAGGCGGTCCTCAACGGCAGTCCGAGTGAAACTCCCGGGGCAAACGCTGACCAGCAGCCACACGAGGACGAGGACGCCAACCAGGCGAGCGCCCCTGTGACTCGAGCGTTCAAATCTGGCTCGCTCTTTACACCGTCGTCATCTGGCGAGCAGAAGTCCATCGTGAATCGACTTCGGCTTGCCAATCATCTCTATCGCAATGCCCTGCTCGTCGATCTCTACGTTACTGTCTTCAACCGACCCGCCACGAGCCTTGCAGTCCGAGAACTCGTCTCGCGCAGCATCGCATTGCTGTCCGCTGTTCCGGAGAAGCTCGAGCAGGGTCTCATGTGGCCAGCCATCGTCCTTGGTTCGTATGCACAGGACGAGGCGGAGCGTGCCCAGGTGCGCTCCTTCATTCGACAGTCGCAGTGGAAAGGTACGGCAGGACCATCGACTGCCTCGGACGTCCTTGAACGTGTCTGGGCTCAGCAGTGCTCTTGGAGAGACAGCGTCAGCTACTTTGGCAGCCCGTACATTTCGTAAAAACTTCCAGCCTAGACTTTCAGCAATAGACTTTGTATTTCTAAATCAAATGTAATGGTGAATGTAACCTAGACATAAAGTATCCTGCAACAGATCTGGTGCGTGTTGTGCTGTCTTCGTGATGTGCAGGGTATGTCCACGGTAGAAACGGAAGGCTCTGAGGTAATGAGGAACTGTAATGGAGAGAAACAGAGCATAACGTCGCGGGATCCGCAAACAGAGCATCGACTTTAACGGCTTCCACCTTCCTGACTCTACTTGGTGGACTTGCCGAGCGCCTTGACACTGTCAAAGTGATCGGGCAGATCAGCCGCCACACCACGCTTGGCCGCAGCCACGTCCTCCAGCACTCTCTGCCACAACCTGCTTCTCGCCAGGACGTCGTCCACCTCTGGCCTTCGGATATCGACGATGTTGCGGTTGACGAACTTGCCTCCGAACTTGGCGCTCTCGCCGACAGCCGGTTTGTTGCCGCCTTTGGTGAGCTTGGAGGGCAAGCCGAGGCTCGGTTCGAGCGCTGCGTGGATGATCGCATAGCTGCCCTGTTTTGTGTCGATTGCGAAGCGATTGACGATGGTGTTGAGGAGAAGTCGGGCTAGGTATGACGTCTTTGTGTCTGGGTTGTGCCACACATTGGATCCAACGAAGCCCGGGTGGATGCCGTGTACGATGACGTGTCGGTAGTCGTCGGAGCGGGAGAGACGATCCTGCAGTTCGACAGACCACATCAAGAACCACAGCTTGGAATCGCAGTACGCCTGAACGCATCCTGGTCCCATCGGCGTCCTTTTCTCGTTGTCCATGTTGGCGAAATCTAACTTCCCGCCGTTGTGGAAGATCGAACAGGTGTTGATCACCCTCGGCGCCGAGCTCTTCTTCATGCTCGGCAAGAGATAGAACGTCAGCAGACAGTGGCTGAGAAAGTTGATCACGTGGGTCAGCTCAAACCCTTCCTCCGTAATCCTCCTTTGACCAGCTGAGAGTCCTGCATTGTTGACCAGGATGTCGAGAGTGCGACCCGATTGCTGCCACTTCTTGCCGAACCTCTCAATGTTTGCGAGAGAGGAACAGTCGATCTCCCAAAGCTCGACTTTGGAGTCTGCTACACCGGCAGTAGAGACGATTTCGGCACGAGTCTCTTCAGGGTTCTGTTCGTGGGTGGCAGTGAGTCGACATGCGAGGATGACGGTTGCTCCGGCTCGAGCGAAGTAGAGTGCGGCCTGCTTGCCGATTCCAGAGTTGGAACCGGAGATGATGACGGTTTTGCCGGTACAGTCGTAGTCGGGAAGGCTGTGGTCAGGGAAGGGGAGGGTGGCATAGATGTCGCTGGTGTACTTGCGAAGCTGACAGTAGGATTCAGACCATGGTTTGGTGACGGGGAGCAGACCGGCGCCGTCGCAATGCGTGTCGTAGACCGTGGGTACAGATGCAGTCGGTGGCATTTTCGAGCTAGATCCGTTCTTGTTACCGGGCAGAGGGCTGGGGTAACGTGGGAGGGTCAGGAAGACTTCAAGCAGGGGAAGGGCTGGAATAGCGCGGTGTGTATATATATGCTTCTCGACAGACTCAGGCGCGGCCCTTCTGCGTGAAAGAAGTTCCCAGCTCAAGATTGAACAAGGTCGCGGTGCTGTGTTCGACAGACACCCGCACGCAACGAGCTCTGTCGGCCCTGCATTGCGCGCCAGGGTCCACCTGAGGGCCGCAAGATGAACCGTCTGCAGAGCGCTCTATGCGAGCCTCCCGACGAGTTTGTGCGACTTTGCAATAAGGTGAAAAAGTCTTGTGAATTCTCCACGCGTCGCAGCTGTCAAGACACGCAGATCCTCGCGGTGGTAACCAGACATTGCGCTTTTGCGGGGTGACACATCGAAGACACCCTGTCCTACCTTTCAGACAGTCTCATATGATGTACGCAACGGCAAGCAGGGACGACCATTACAAAGGCGTTGCAGCCCGAAAAGCACGATCTTACTCTCGATGCCTGTGATAGCGTTGTTCGACAGCAATTGAACAACTTTAAATGAAGCTTGGCTCGGATGTAGCAACTCTGAGCTTTGGGTATTTTTTCTGATCGACACTTGACAATTGTCAGCTTTGGGCAACGCCATGCATGGTCCTAGGTTCAGCGAACATACGGCGCGACGGCCATCTGCATCATCTTGAGGAACGAGTCGTGCGAGCCGGTCTCGCTCATGTGGTCCGCTCCGTCCTAGAATATGTTTAAGTTAGTGGAAGAGGGTCAGCTTCAATCTTGGGCCATGCGAGGAGCACAGTCCGAAAAGGCTGGTGTGACAAACTTACGTTGACAATGTAGAAAGGAATGCTCTGGACGCCATTCATATCGGCCTGTTGAAGCTTGTGCCCGAGTTCGTATTCGAGGTCATCCGATTCGAGCCATTTTTGAGCTGCATCTTCCGAGTCGAACAAGTCGAACTCCTTCGCGATACCAGCAAGATACTTGTTGTCCGACATGTCCTTGCTCTTGGAGTGGAAGTCTTGGTACAAGCGATCCATCAGCCTTACCTGCGACGACTGCAAAGCCGCTGTTACATCATCCTCACCCGCCTTTCCTTGGCTCTGCTCGTCTAACTGGCTAGCCTTCAGCACCAATCGATGTGCGTTCCATGTCGCTCCCACTTTGCCTTCGCTCGTCCAGTCGAATCTCGGCATACCCAGCTCTTCGCCCGCTGTCGAGATCTTGGCGTCGAAAGCGTCTAGATTACTACCAAACTTGGAGGAGTAGTAGAATTTCTTCGTCGGCGGCGCATTCTTCTCGTAGGCTGTCCTCTCGATTGCATCGTAGAATTTGTCGGGCGTGTCGAAGGAAGTTGCGGGAAGTCGTGGATCCAAGATGTAAGGCTCGATCTTGAGAAGCAGCTGAACGTGAGGTGCGATCTGCTTCTTGTAGTCGTCCGACTCGAGGAAAGCTTTGAGCCGGCGAGAGCCTACGAAGCACCAGGGACAGATGACGTCTGTGACAACTTGGAGTAGGAGTTCTGGCTTGCTCATGGTGTCGATCTTTTGGTCGTCAATAGTGGCTGTGATGAACCAGGAGGCGATGTTGCAGGCTGACAGCAGGACAAGCTAGCGTTCTTCGACCTTCAAAAGGTTGGCCCGAGCAAGCATGGCCGACTTGGCTCGGTGTGGAGGCGGCAGATGGCCGACGATCGTGCAGATTTGTAGGTGGCCCAAAGGGCCCCGATCAGATCAAACTCTAGCCCATAAAATGTTAGACCCCATAAACAAGTGTCCCGAATAGATTTCCGGTCCGTTTTCACGCGCTTCTGCGCTGATGCACAGCGTCAGTAACACGTGGCATGGGACGAGATTCTGCTCATCGTAATCCGCACATCTTGGCATAACGGCAACTGCTGCTTTGCAGGGATATTGTACGACCTCGTGACAGAAGGTATAGCGTATTGCTGCCAGCTTTCTTCATCGATCCTTATACGCCTGCACGGTCTTTGACCCATTCGCAGCAACCCGGGTTTTCTTTCTAGCACCTGAAAGCGCACGCAGCAGATACAGTAGCTTGCTGATGTCGCGAGAGTGGTGTGTGAAAGGTCAAAGTGCTAACAGTCGAGGGGCGTGGCATTGCTTTTGTCTGAATGCAGACGGCAGTGGGAGAAAGGAGATAAGCTGATTAACAAGTGATACCGCGGCCCGCTTCGGTCCTAGATGGCACAACGTGTAACGTTCATCTCGTTCTTTCAAGAATCACGCGAAGCCCGATTGGTGGGCGACTGCCATTGCGTTTGCGATCCAAAGGGAAGGATCGCCTCACTGCTGTGGATGGGGCGAGCGAAGAGTGCACAACTGGCAATCATCGGACGAGAAGCTCCATTGCCCTTGCTGAGTTAAGCCTCTTGGTGAGAAGCCGGACGTTCGAGGGTCTAGACTAGACACGGTGAAATTTTGACAGCAAAGAAGAAGATGAAAACTCTCCGATGCTCGCGTACGGAGCTTTTTTTTCTAGCGATTCCATGGCAAAATATGGCATCAGCATCAAAGTGCCGTTTGAAAGCGCGTCCATCGAGACAGGAACGTGTTGTCTGTCATTTTAAAATAGAGTTGCTGCAGCAGACCGCAATTGATCTGCAACTGGACGTCAACCACAAGAGGGCACTCGGACAGAGCAGAGACTAGGAAACTGGCAAGACGTGGCGCCATGTGAGTCCATCACGCTTGCTTCAGGGTCTTGCATCTTTGACCGGACTGCAGCATTATTGAACCCACCTGGTGCGAGTCCGTGAAAGGCGTCCGACAATACAGTATGTGGCTGTGATGATTGTGCTTTGATCCATTCTTACAACTATCAGCTTGTACGTACCTCGCAGTGGTGCCAGCGTCTCATCAGCGTGACCATCTCTCAGCCTGCACCGCGTCATTTTTGCAGTAGAGAGATACGCGCAACTTCACCTCCACGGACCTTGGAGATGTGTTGCAAGCTGTTCCGTGATGGAAAGGGCCGAGACGAAACCTGCCGGTGAGGGAGGTAGCCACATTTCGATCACAAGACGATGTTTCGACGATGTTCTCGAAGGGCTTGCGACACTCTGCTGGATCTATAGCAAACTGGACCGGTGACACTGTAGCTCGGTGGTACCGACAGCTGAGCAGAGACAGCTGCACGAAAATCCGAACTCGTCAACCTGCCGAAGCGAAGAAAATCTCCGACTTTTTCAGGGTGCCACCCTCGTTGGCTCCGTGTCGATGTCATTGGCTCACGCAAGAATATCATCTTTTTGCCGTGGAAACTTGTCATGCCGTGTACTTTCATAGATCACATCATCGGCTGAAGTTGAATGCGACAGGCTGTGTGTGACCCACTTTGTGGGTACCTGTCCTTCTTCATGTCCGTTCAGACTGAAACCATGTTACCACAAGGGGTGAGGAAAGTGCCGAGGGGTTGTGACCGCCTCGACACGGTTCCGACTGAGCTCGGCGTGCGACAATGAAAGATGATTGCGTCGGTGGGCTGGAACAATCGTAAGATAGGCAATAATGCTTTCACAGGTCTTGCTGCGTGAAGGTCTTGCTGGATTGGTCGCCCCTGTAATCTCTGTGGGCTGTCAGGGGCTCGCGTGCCGCCTTCTATTGCTCGCTTAGCTTTGATCGCTCGAGCTGACGGTAGCTTCGAGGCTTTGAGAACTTCGGCTGCTGCTTGCGTGGATTTATCTTGTGGCAATCAACGGCATAAGTGAGCCCTTGAATCATACGCACGGCCAGCCACATTATCGGATTCAGATCCTTCGACGACAACGTGCTTGGCCATCGAGTCAGCAACCAATCGGGTCGGTTGCCGCTCCAAAGTTTTTGCGTGGCGATCGAAGCATGCCGTGCTTCTACAGTGTAGATTGCGACCCTTGTTCGCTTGTGGACTCATCGTAACCTGCTGAGTCTACTTGACGTCCTCACCTCCAGCTCTGCGAACCGCATTCGATATAAGAGGTCGACAGTCGTGCTGAGTACCCTTGCTGTCCTCATTACCACCACCTCATCCCACCCTCCCTTGGCTACCTTCAAGCACAATACTGCTGGACGGCACTGCATTTGTTTCACACTTTCATCCAAGCCAAGCCTAAGGAGCCAAAAACGAACCTTGGCTTCTTGGCCTCCACTTTACACCATCACGTTCACGCTGCGTGTGCAAAGGATCTGCAAGTTTGTTTTTCAACTTTGTTTTTCAACGGACGTCGCGTAAGCCTTCTCTTCTTTTGCTTGTCGTGGATCGGCACGCCACGCTTCGAATGCGACTTTTCAAACGCCAAATATAAATTTCGCACCTTTCGGACTTTTCAGATCGACCCAAAGGCAGCCAAGCGAGGTTGCACCTGCATAATTGCGCAGAAGGCACAGAAAGAAGTCTTGTGACCGCCTCATTCCGGACCTTGATTTTCCTTCCGCTTTCGTTGGCGCAACCTCTGGACTTCACGCAACTGGCGCACGATCGGTCGGTACGCATATCCGGCAGTTTAGCCGGCAAGCAGCAGCCCTCGATCTCAACCACTGATCCTGTCAGTCATCAGCTTCCAGATCGGCAGCATGAAGTTTGGCCTTCCATCCGTCCTCCACACCTCATCTTCCTACTCTACTTCTTCACCTCCCGCTCCCGCTTTCGACCGCGTCCACAAATACCGTCCACCCCCCACCTCTTTTCACTCCTCGGTCCAAGTTATCGACGAAGAGTTTGGCACCCCTCGTACAAGCTCTCAAGTCAAGCAGGCATACCTTGATTCGCATCCCAACTCGGACGCAGACAGCAGCAACGACGCTGTCGATAGCGCTGCTCCCACTCCTTCCCTCATCCGGTCTTCCATCAGCTCCCCTCGTCAATCTTGTCAACAAGTCATGACCGACGCAATTCGCGCTTCGGGTGACCACGCAAGGCCTTCCCATGGTCGTGGCACCGCTGCCGAGCAGGGCGCTGCTCTTCGTGCAGCTGCTGATCGTGAGGTCGGCCGCAGCTCGCCCTCCGGCGTTCACAAGAGCTCCCGGCGCTCTTCTCGCCGAGTCAGTGCACATGAGTCGCCTCGCGATTCAGAGCGGGCACTGGAAGACGAGGAACATCAAGCAAATCGATCATCGCGTCGCTCGTCAAGGCGACATGGGCGCAAACGTGATTCCGCTGTCCAGCGTGATCAAGAGCCCCTCTCCGAGAAGCGCGGGCAGAGCACGGCTGCGGCTCAGGGTGCCGCCTTCCGCAGGGGAGAAGATCCAACCTTGCCATCCGCCGAGCAGACTCACGAGGCTCGCGAACGTCATCTTCGCGCAGCTTACGGGGAGACGCCCAAGCTCGGCAAAGGTTCCCCCAACAAGCCTCCTGTCTATCCCATGACCGGTATCGACAACCTGGCACTCCTGATGGAAGACGACTCTTACACCACCTCGTGCTTCTCCATCTACATGTTCAAATCCGAGCTCGATCTCGAGACTGTCGACAACTTCTTCGAGGTGCTCGCCGAGACGTATCCCAAATACAGGTACGTGGTCGACCTCGACCCCAAACTCTCCAAGAAGCTTGAGAAGGAGACTTTGCGTGGTAAGCCTGGCACGTCGCCTCCTCGCCGTGACTTCGATGCGGGTCGTCGCACCAACTATGGCAAAGGTCTCAAAGCAGGTTCGCTATTCCGCCCGGCTCGATGGCGATACGTTCCTGACTTCGATATCAAGGAAAACATCGAGCACGTCGCTCAATGTCCCGGTGACGGCGACGATAAGGCACTCAACAAGCTCGCCGGTAAGTTCCTTGGTCGCCACTTTGACTATTCCAAGCCCATCTGGGAGGCTCTGGTCGTCAATGGCCTCAGCACTTCCGATGGCGGTCGTAGTGCACTCATGATCAAGATCCACCACTGCTTCTCGGACGGTCAAGGCATGATCCAGAGCTACCACGCCGCTCTTGGTGCACTCGAGCAGGGCATCGGCATCCGCGACATCCAGAACAAGGTCGACTCCAACACCTCGCAAAACAAGCGACCCGGTCAGCGCGAAGACAAGCCTAGCATGTGGGGCACCATTCAGCACGCTGGTCACTTGGTTCGCGGCCTCTACTTCCGCAAGCGCAAGTCGTTCCTCTATCAGGAGAAGCGTAAACGCGCCGAAGGCCGACTGTACTGCCACAGCGAGGGCATCGATATGGACGACATCAAGATGATTCGCAAGGCGTACGGCACGCCCAAGCTGAACCTCACGCTCAACGACGTTGCGCTTGCCATCCTTGCCCGTGCTCTTCGCATTGCCTCGGAGCGAGTCGATCCTAGCAGAAGGCACAAGGATAAGCGAGTTGCCATCTTTGTGCCCATCTCTGTTCGTCCTAAGGGTGACTGGTCTCTCAGCAATGCTACCACAGGGTCGATCGCTTGGTTGCGTTTCGAGAAGGAGGACAAGCCCGATTTCGAGGAGCAGCTGGCCCAGGTACATCGCGAAATGGGCCGTGTCAAGCGCTCGTATGGACCCAAGATCCTCTTCAAGGTGTTCAACGCTTTTGCCAAACGTCGCATCACCTACCTGCCCAACTACCCAGGTTTGCGTCAGATCTACTACCGTGCCTTCCGAGAGTACCATGTTGCCACCAATGTGCCCGGTCCTCCCAAGCCTGTCAAGTTTGGCGATCACGAGGCTTACAGCTACCACGTGCTGCCACCTTCGAGTCCCGGCAAGTCGACCATGGCCATCGGCATGATCTCGTACGCCAACGACTTTTCGCTCGCAGTGTCGTGCGACGACGTGCCGGAGTTCAAGCACCTGGCCGAGGAGATCTGCAAGGCATTCCAGGACGCGGCGGTGCAGATCATCGATGCCGCCAACGAAAGGATGGCCAGCAACAAGGAAGCAGCGCCTGGTAAGGCGCAATGAAGCCGAGGCTGTTCCGTCGACGGTTCGGTCGCTGTCTCTCACACGAGAGACGGGACTGAGACCGGAGTGGGGAAGAACAGCTCAGGTCACCATCACATCTCTGAACGGGTCTGCGCATCGACCTTGCCGCGTTTCTCGCCGGCAGAGTCGCTGGCGATGGACTCGGGAGAAGAGGTGGAAGAGGTCCGGAGAGCAAGCTTGAGTTCCTCACCTTCTCGACACTTTAGCTCGCTCCCTTACCCCGGCTCACGAAGATCGAGCAAGATGTTTGGATTCGGTTCCAACCACAACGCAAAGGACCTCGGCGTCGAGGATGAGCATCACTTTCCCGTGTTCATCAACGGGGTCGAGTCTCATACACCGTCCAGTCATGATCCCTCGCCCTGGACCTCTACTGGTCCTTCGCCCATATCGACGCCTGCGTCGTCGATGGGACACGTTGAATCGAGCGAGGAGAGTCCCAGCAATGGCCGCTCACACGAAAGGAAGCGCTCTTCTTGGCTGGGACATTTGCCAGCATCGTACTTCACGTCACATCGGGCATCGACCTGCAACGCAGATGGCACTTCGCCTCCGCCGGTGATGGCGCGTAGCGGTAAGAGGCTCGGTTCGCGTCCCAGCTCGTCTTCGTCGAATTCTGGCAACTCAACTTGCCGCTTTTCCGGTTTTCGCGGCGGTCGAGACAACAAAGCAGACGAAATCGCCAACGACTCGGTGGACGCGGAGGAGAAGATTGAGTCGCTTGTTCCGAACGCGCAGTTCTTGGGCTTGATGCTGCTCATCATCTTGCTAATCTCGTCTCCGCTCATAAAAGTCCTCTCTGTTTTGCTGTTCTTGGCGCTTCTCGTCGCGGATGACTCTTAAGGTCGCGTTTGCTTTGATATACCCGCTGCACTCTTTATCACACCTCTCTGTCTTTAGTGTTTCATGGATTCATGTTGCTTGATAATGATGATACTTAACAATGAACTGTACGAACGGGGATCGGGCTGTCTGAGATTCGGATGAGCAGGGTTGAGCATCCGAACATTTCAAGGGTGACTGGACGGAACCAAGCGTGTGGGTGTTGTGGGGGAAGTGTGCATGCTAGTCACGTTCCTTTCTGCTAGCCGAACCCCTAGAGGAAAGAAAAAAGGAAGACGCAGCTCCAGTCTCTGGTACTTTTTGCCGAGTGCAACACTTGAAGGGGGACGCGCGCGCGTGTGTGTCAGGGTGCCGGAATGCGATGGACAGCTGTCAAGAAAAAGGATTTGCGACGTGCAGCAGTGGCTGAATTGCGTTAGGCCGATCCCACCTTTTCTGCACGATGCCGGAGCTCTCTGCTATCACACGCCTTCTTCGAGGAAGAGAAGTTCAGGTATGTTCTTTGAATCCCACATCGAGAGCTAGCAAGGCATGATTATGGTGAGAGAAGAAGATATAGTTTGCGAGTTCGGTGGGCTGATGAAACGCGGAGAGGCTTCGAGCGTGAGATCCATGCAGGTGCATGCCAGATGAGGCGCTACGAGGAATTCGATGGTCGAACTTGTCCACCTTCGCTTGATGTCGGTTCTGCATCTGCCTTTGCGCCGATGTGGCTTGGACCCGCTTCCATGTCGCCTTGTATGGGAAAGTCTGTTCGTGACTGACGGTAAGGCCGCTCGCTTACACGCAGTCTAGCCAGCAAAGTGTTTTCTGTTGCTGCCGGCTACCCGCGCCAGTGCCGCCCTTCGTCTGCTTCATTCATTTCCTCATAGTGAAGCCAGCAAGTATTGCGACAATCTATATAGACTCCAACCTTCTCTACTCGATCCTCTTTCCATGCCATAGACGGTCAGCAACTTACTCATCTGCCAGCCTGATATACGTCTGCCATGATGCTGGGCAAAACCCTTGGCGCGACCCTAGTCGCCCTTATCTCCCTCAGCTCAATCGTCTCTACAGTGACGATCCAGAAACCAGGTCTCACTCAGTCGCAACTCTCCAAAACACGCGCAAAGCAGATCAAAGCTGCCTATCGCACATCCTACCAAGCCTACCTCAAGTACGCCACCGGTCACGATGCGCTTCTGCCCCTCAGCGACGGCTTCGCCGACCCTTTCGGCGGTTGGGGTGCCAGCGTAGTCGATTCCCTCAGCACATCCTTCCTGATGGGTCATCGGGATCTCTATGATCAAGGTGTCGAATACTCGAAGCGCATCGATTTTACCAAGACTTCCTCCAGCTCCATCTCGTTGTTCGAGACCAACATTCGCTACCTCGCCGGACTCATTTCGGCTTACGAGCTGGGTGGCAAGAAGGAGCAAAAGTTGATTGATCAGGCCAAAGTCGTGGGTGATCATCTGATCACCGGTTGGTTGGGTACCAATCCACTACCGTGCAATACGTTGAAGTGGAACAATTTGGCGACACCGGACTCGTGCGATTCGTCGGGTATCGCAGAGGCGGGGACGTTGATTCTGGAGATGGATCGATTGAGCAAGTACACGGGCGATCAGAAGTACCTGCAGCTGGCGACGAAGAGTATGAAGGCGATTGCACAGTCGAAGGGTGTCTTTCCGGGATTGTTCCCGCAAGTGTATGATCCGACGACGGGACAGCCGAAGGATGATTATGTGACGTGGGGCGGTGGAAGCGACTCGTTCTTCGAGTACTTGATCAAGTACGCGTACTTGACGGGTGATGACAAGAGCATCTGGGTGAACACGTGGGTTGATTCGGTCGCTTCGAGCATTCAGCATCTGGTGGAACACCCGGAACAGACGCAGGCGAGTCAGCTGACCTACTTGACGGATTACTCGGCGTCGAACGGTGGCAACTTGCCGAGGTGGTCCCATTTGGGATGTTTCGCAGGTGGGAACTGGATCTTGGGAGCAAAGATGATTGGAAACGATGCGTTTGACGCGTACGGCCAGGCGCTGACTGGTGCGTGTGCGAACACGTACACTTCGAGCCCATCGGGCATCGGCCCGGAGAGCTTCGTCTTCATCGGTCAGGGCAACAACACGAACGGTATAACGATCAACGATGCCGCTTTCTACCGTCAACACGGATTCGACTTTGAGGTGACGCAGTACATCCTTCGACCCGAGGTGATGGAGTCGGTCTTCTACGCCTACCGAACGACGGGCGATACCAAGTGGCAGGACATCGCGTGGGCTGCTTGGACGTCGATCTACCGCAACTGCCTGGTGAAGCAGAACGGTGCGCTGGCGGCGCTGGCGGATGTCAACTCGACGAGCCCGACAAAGCTGGACGATTCGGAGAGTTTCTTGTATGCGGAAACGTTCAAGTATCTGTACTTGATCTTTGCGGATCCGAGTAAGGTGGATCTGGACAGGTATGTGTTGAACACCGAGGCGCATCCGTTTGAGATTGACCAGCCGGGTAAGGGTGGGTATGCGGCGAAGAAGGTGGATGTCAGGCCGGTGGGGGAGAAGGCGGGCAAGAAGGAGAACGGGGTGAAGAAGCCGAGTGAGACGAAGGACGTTCCGATGCCGATGTTCAGCGGATTGCCTGGGTTGAACTTGCCGCTAGGGGGTGGAGGGAACACGTTGGGAAATGTGTTGGGATGGACGAAGAGGGATGGTCTGAAGAAGCATAGGAGAGGGAAGACGCACTGATGGTTACAGTGACGTCGATCAATTGCTCTCGTGTCTAGAGCGATTCGTTAGAATGTGATGACAATCTGATGCGTCTTTCACGATAACTTTGCTGTTGTGGCGAGAGCCGATGTGCCGTTTAGTGTGAGTGCACGCATGAACAAGAGGAGCCTGATTGATGCGGGATGCGTGATGTGTGCACATTTTCTTCCTCTGCAGGTTGTTGGCGCTGCTGGTCAAGTTGGTCACTCTCTCGTATTCAGAAGCCAAAGGCGAGTGTGTGTACGAAGTCCACGGTCGAGTTGTATTGCGTCTAGGCTGCCCTTTACTATCTTTGATTCCCTTGTCGCGTTGTGTCATGTGTTATCTGAAGCACGATACAGCGAGTCCAACACGCTCTGCAAGCCTTGCCTTCCTTTTGCCGCATTATCATTGAACCTGTTGTACGACCAGTCCTCTACCTTCCTACCGGCTGCCGCCAGCAACCCGCTGAAGAAGTCGGTGCAGTTGATCTGAGCCGTCTGTCTGAACATCGTCTGATTCAGGGAGGAAGGCAGATAGGTGATGTACTCCTTGACGAGCATGAAGTCGCTCAAGCTGAGGTTGGTGCTCGACATTTCGAAGGATTGGGTGAGCGGATTGACCATGACCACTTCTCGAACGTAGGTGTCTTCGCTCGCCCCGACGATGCGTTTGAGCCAGCCGGGTGCACCTTGACGTACGCCGATGATTCGTTCGGTGCGTAGAGAGCCGGAGGTGGGATCGAGGGACTGGGAGAGTACGTCGACGGACACTACGTGGTCGGCGTGCGGATTTGGGTATTTGTTCCAGACCGCTGTATGGTAAGAGAAGAGTGTCAGCGGTGATAGGTCGACGTGAGGACTGGTTTGAGGAAGTGTGTAGCTCACCATTGGCTGTCTCGTGCCATGGATGTGAGAATTGATGCTCTTGTTTGAATGTCTTGCCCATCGTTGCGAAGGAGGCAAATGGCGCGGGTGTGGAGTCAAAGAAGAGATTGATGGGGTGACAGCGACATTGATTTTGAGAAGAACTTCCGAGCTGTTGGTGCGTGCGTGCGTGAGTGCTATCACATGTCGTCACAACCTTGTCGAGTGGAGGCAATGAGAACAAATAGCCTCTTTATATTATTAACGGCTGTGGCACTGATCAAAGCATCTGCGGCCACAGGAAGTTGAAAACACCGCATCCCGTCCGATCTGCGAAGTTAAGCAACTTACCGCCTAGTCAGTACTGCGGTGGGGGACCACGCGGGAATCCTAGGTGCTGCAGTTCTTTTATTTTCCTTTCTTTTTCCTTCCCCGAAACCGGCCCGAGGCGATAATAGGCCGAAGCTTGGCGGTGCTGCTGCTGCCAAAGGTTGCCACGCGCAGTAAAGCCGAGAAGATTGCTCAGCTGTTTCTTGTCTCGGAACGAAAAACTTGGCAACAAACACAAACACAAACACGCTCAGCCGAACGGAAATAACACTTTCTGCATCTTACGATTCCACCATCATCACTTCCATCCCAAGAATGAGGGAAGCTTCGTCAATAGCGCAAACCTCGCTGCGGCTGGTCTCTTCCAGAGGCGCCTTTCGCTTCAATGCGAGTGTCGCCCCAAGAGCCGCTTTGTCATCAACAGCTTCTTCAACAGGGACAGCCACTCCGAGACGATCGCTGTCCACCTCCCCAACACCCAGAGAGGCTGGAACAGGCACGCTTGTCAAGGCCACCATCGCACTCTCCCTGGTCGGAATCACGTCCTACCTCTTCGGCTCATTATACCCTCCGCAAGTGCTCAAGATGCTTTACAAGCCGGTCACACCGCCCAGACTGAAATCAGACGGACCCGAAGCAGAAGCGCATATGCGCGAGGTCGAGGATGCGCTGCACAAGCTGCCGATCATTCAACAGCTCAAAGCAGCTTCCGTAGCGCATGGATCAGCTGCAGAACTCGAAGTGCTTCGTTCTCAAGGCAAACACATCACCGATCTGGATCCAAGCACTAATGTCGAAGTCCCCGCGCACGGTCGAATCCCTGGCGCAAACGTAGCTGTCGCAGGACCACCCGTGGAAGGCGGTGCAGCCGACACACATCAGTACGTCATGACCCGACCTTATCTCAAGTACAGTCGTGAAAAGGCGCAGCACAATCTCACAGCTGGATCCCTACGCGGGCCTGGGATGGTAGCGGTTCCACCGCTCGTATTCACAAAGACGGGTCACGGCGCAAAGCAGCTAGGAGGAACAGAAGGCGATAGTACGATCGTTCTTCATCTGGGCAGAAGTTTGTGCGGTCACGACGGGATCGTGCACGGCGGTATGCTCGCTACCGTGTGCGACGAGGCGCTGGCCAGGACGGCCATGTACAACCTTCCCGGCAAGATCGGTGTTACGGCGAGGTTGGAGATCGACTACAGGAAACCCACCAGCGCGAACCAGTTCATCGTACTAGAGACCGAGCTGGTGGAGCAGAAGGGCAGAAAGGCCACGGTCAAGGGCACACTGAAGGATGTCCACGGCAACTTGCTTTTGGAATGCAGTGCCATTTTCGTAGAACCACGATATGCGAGGTACTTCCTAGACGCAAAAGCTATCAAGCAGGCCATTGAAGGTTAGACCTTCAAACTCACGAACATAGATGACAATCACCACATAGACAATCGATACATTCCACTTCTCTCTAGATACGTCCCCAAATACCAAATGCATTTGCCAAGCCGTGATGTTCCACCACCAGATCCAACTTTTCCAACGGCGGTTCTCCGTACATCCTGCGTGCTTCCTCTGCGATGCTCTCCCCCGTGCAGAGGAGGAACTTTGCATCTGGTTTCGCCAGCATCTTTGCAGTCTGTGCAACTTTGGACTGGGTGTCGACGTTCAAAAACGGCGGGTCGGCTACGATGACGTCGAAGCTGGCTGCGAGGGAGGCGGGGAATTTTTCAGGTTCGTGGAGGTTGTAGTAGACGAAGGATGTTTTGCTGAGAGCGTGGAAGCGTTTGTCGACTTCAAAGACGAAGGATTGGGTGGTGAGGGAGGGGTATTCGTGGACGAAGCCGACCCAGGCGGTGGGACAGCAGAGGAAAGCTACCCTCGCTGACCCGAAGAGGTTAGCGATGGAGTCGGGATCGGAGGGTATGGTGGACTGGTTGGAGACGAGCCGGAAGATGAGTTGGGAGAGCTCGTGGACGAACTTGGAAGAGTACCAGAATTGAGATAGTTGCCAGCTTTCGCCGAACGTCTTGCGGAACGTATCCACGTCCAGAGATTTTCCAGCTTCAGACCCTTCCGGTTTCGCATCATCGTCATCGGTCTGCAGTCGAGAGGCGATGTTGGCGAGCATGGAATCAGACGAATCCGGAGCAACACCGTTGAGTCTCTCCAGGTCGGCGATGGCTTCGATCTCGGCCAACAACGCTGCCTCCGCCTTGGCTTCTTCCGCTGCTTCTTCCTCCGGTGTCAGCTTCTTTTCTTGTTTTGCAGACTTCTTCTTGGTCCTGCGTGAGGCTGTGGAAGAAGAGGCGAAGGAAGAGGACTGGGTGAATCGCAAGAGTTGAGCTTCTTCGGCTGCCTTTTCGGCTCGAAACTTGTCCAATGCAGCCAAGGCGGATGTGTCTAGGTCGTAGTCTTCGCCATCTCCTGGCTTTGCAGAAGCGAGGTTTGGAGGCACGTCCGCCATAGTAGAGCGATGGTTGTGCGGGATGAAGAGTTGAGGTCTCGTTGATGTCTCGAGGAGAAGCTGCTACGTGAAACACAGAAGTTAGGCTTTTGGAAGAACGCCAATTCGGGACTCGGCCAGGCCAATTCTCCTGCCTGACCAAAATTTTCTTCTCAACTGTCAGAATCCTCCACATGTCCATCTTGCGTACAACGTGGCGGCCAAACACAAGACCTTTTGATCAGGCACAACCACTTTGCTACGTTTTGGCATTACTCGTACAGCGTTCCTGGGGAAGAACACACCTGCTCAGTCGAGGATCTTCCAATATACTACAGTCGATACAGTACCAGCCTTGATGCTCTCTTCCATGGTCAAACCCTTCTTGACTTTGCCTTGCGGCGTTGCCGCTGCTTCTGAACCGGGTGCCGCGAGCTGATCCTTCGAAGAAACGTTTGGCGGCAAGTGTGTATCCGTTTTCGTCTTGGATGCGAGCTGAAGTCGATTGTGCGGCATGTGGGTGAGCGCGCCCGAGTTGATGTCCGCTTCTCGAAGCTTCGGATCCACAGTCGGCATGGTAGCTGCTGCCACTGCTGCCGTCTTTGCCGCGCTCACGACGATTCCGTCTTGCTCCGACAGGATGCTGCCGCCTGCAGTCGTCGTCAGAGGAGGTAGTGGCTTGAGATGTTGCGGTACTGCCAAGTTGGATCGCTTACTCAGACCGAGCTGGAAGCCAGCGTTGGCGCCCCACACCATGACGTCTCGGCCAAATGCGAGGTGGCCGGCGGTTTCGACCGTGTCGAGTACCAGCGCAGCGTGTCCCGGCTTGCCAATGCTGATGCTGTGGATTGGAACCGGATGCGTCTGCCCCGTCGCCTCTGAGAATTCCATCAAACCCGAGACTGTCTTGACGCGCGAAGGCTGCGACACCACTTGACTCCACATGGCGTTGCCGATCGTACCCCACTGACCTTTACCCGAAGAAAGCAGATCGATCTTGAGCCCATTGCCCAATGCACTAGGTTCGCGACGCGTCGTCATGAAGAAGGAATTATCGGCGCCAGCAGCAATCGATGTGGCGCGTACGTCCACCGAGCTGTTGGGGAAGGATCGACTGAGCACCACCTCGGTGGGGACGGGTACGCACTCCATGCTGAAACTGGGACCCAATCCGCATTGGCCGTGCGTGTGACGACCCCATGCAAGCACGCGTCCGTCGTGAGTGCGAGCCAACGAGTGCTCGTTACCGGCGGCGACCTGGACGACGTGGATGTTGCGGAGAGCGGGGATCTCGTGCAAGGTGGTGCACCATCGAATGCTGCCAGAAGGTTCGGTGAGTGGCTTGGGAGGCGGCGCTGGGTCGGTGCTGGTCTCGAACGCGGGTTCCGAGCTGGCTTTGGGTTTGGAGGTTCGGTTGGTCTCGGACGAGGGAGCTGGCAGCCAGCCGGAAGGAACCAGCGTGGCGACAGGTCGTCCACCGTGGTTCTCCTCGAGCTCGGCAAAGACGCGCGGCTCGAGCAGTGTCTCGATGTGGCCAGGCTTGCTGTCTGGAGTCTTGGGCGAGTTGAGCCATACTCGGCGGGTGCCGAGCTGCCCGAAGGCGTTGCCCTCTTCGCCGATGGGTGTCGCAAATGTGCGGCCTTTGTTGGAGATGGTCAGCAAGTGGTGGTTTCCTGCGATGATGTCGTGCACTTTTTCCGTGCTACCCCAGTGAGCAGAAGGGGCTGGGTGCAACACTTCGTGATCGATTGTGGCGCTCGCAAAGGCATTGAACAGCTTGAGAGGATTAGGCGACCAACCGGGGTATTTTGGCTTTGCCTGAAGCTGCTGTACTGACGAAAAGACGTAAACGTGACCGTCTTTCGAAAGCGCAAAGATCTTCTCTTCTGTGGCTTCGACCTTGATGATGTTTTTGCCGGTGAGAGTTTTGACGGGGTTGAGGACAAGGCTTGCGGTGCTACCGAGGGGAGCGCTGAGATTGGCGCCCGACTTCTCGCGACGGCGTCCAAGAGGAACGTCCTCGACCGCAGTCATCTCGCGCACGGAAGGGTCAAAGAAGCCCAGGCCCCACTGATAGACGTCACCGTTGGCATCGACGGCGACGCCGTGCTTTTCTTGAAGAGTGATGTCTCGTAGCGCAACACCGTCAAAAAAGGGAATGGACCTTGGCGAACGGATGAGGGTGACCTGCGGTGCGTCTGGCGCGACGACGTTGTATCTATTGGAGCCCCATGCGTATACACCCTGCAGCTGTGCACGTTGACGCATCTGATCTTGTTGCGACATGGTGGTCGGTGTGATGTCGTCGTTGGTGGCTACAGATTGTGCGGATGCGTCATTGTGGACTGGTGAAGAGGCGGAGTACCAGGTGGTGAGCGCTACGGCAGCGACAGCCGCGGCTGCTGTGGTGTATCGAGCACCATTGCGAGCAGCACGATGAGAAGCACTTTCACGCGCGGCGATGCGAGCCGTGGTGACTTTTGATCCTGTAGACTTCGAGTATGCTCGCACAGCTGGAGAAGACTGCTGGCGCAAGGAGCCTGAGGCGAGCTTCATGACGGTGCTCGAGCGAGCAGGCATGGCTCTTGCGACGGCGGTGGGCGCTACCATCTTGGACGAGTCGAACTTGAACGAAGCGAGTGGTTGTTCGGTGATCAAGATAGTGTTGGTATCACCTCGAACAATGAGCTAGAGTTCTCGCAAAGTGGTCCCTGCGGAATGCGCTCTCAGCTAAGCGGCTCTAGATTGGTAAGCAGCGAATTTTGGGGTATGTGTGCGATCGCAAATTTTGTCGTGCTTGAATTTTATTATATTTGGCCTCCACCTGCAGACTAATGCATCAGACACAGAGACCCTGCAGCGATCCGTCAAACACTGAGAAAACGCACGATGAGCTCACCGATATCCGCGGTACGCAACGACGGACGGTCAGTCAGGCTAGAACGGTAATTAGCCGCCAGTCTCCATGGTACTGTAGGGAGAGACGGAAGGCGCCAACTTTGCTTCTTCTGTGCTTCTTCCTATGTTACACGCGTCGAGACCAACAGCGCGATCCCTTTCCATCCACCACCACAGCCAGGCATCTCCCAAGCACGTATCACTCCGCATCATCACCAAAAGACAGCCAAGACGCGAGGTTTCCTTCAACGCGTATCATACAATCGACTCCATAGCCACCGACAGTGCATGTTGGGCTGCAGACACTTCTTCGCATCGACGCGACTGCTGTCTCACTCATACCGCAACCAGGCGCTCGGACATTCACAGTTCTTCGCCATCGAAAGCAGCAGAAGCATCCATATTCTTTCATCCACCATGGTTCGACGAAGTGCACGCGCTTCAGCATCGAGTGCCATCAGCTATGCCGAGCCAGACCTCGATGCCCCCACGGTTGATGTCGCTGAGCTAGCTCCTCCTCCTAAACGCTCTCGAAAAGCAGTCAAGCAGCCATCCGCCAGACCAGCTGTACCTGATCCGACGGGCGACGCTACCACGAGGGTAATATCGCGCAAAGTTGCTCAAAAGATCGTCAAGCAAGCGGCATCACCCCCACCCACTCCACCGCGGAGCGAGTCATCCGATTTATCCTCTGCAAGCGAAGACACCAAGCCTGTCAAGAAGAAGCGTGCCAAAGCGGCCAAGAAGGAAAAGGTCGAAACGCCAACCCACTTTGAGACGCGCGTCAACGTACACGGTGAGGAGTACCAGATCGAGCTCGATGAAGATGGTGATCCTGTCCGACGAGACAAGAATGGACGTCGACTCGCGAAACGAAAGAAGAAGGACATCGTCTACGAGATTCCAGACGTACCCGAGCGTGATTTCCGCCTGGAAGGCCCTCCCGAGAAGCGACAAGAGCGCAGTGGCGGTTTCAAAGGTGAGCTGGGCTACGCCTGTCTCAACACGGTCCTTCGATGGCAAGATCCAGCTGTCTTCTCAAGCCGCACCGCCCGCATCAAGACTATGGACGAGCAAGGTCCAGAGTACATCAAAGAGCTTGGTCGTCTGAACTGCAGGGATATGATCCCTATGATCCTTTGGAACGAAGAGAACAATATCAAGTTCATGCGACTCTCCTCCGAGGTCTTTCCCTTTGCTTCGCACGAAAAGTACGGATACTCGATCAAATATGCTGAAAAGGAACTGCGCGCCGCTGGCGATCTCGCTAACAAGCTCGGACATCGTCTCACTATGCACCCAGGTCAATTCACCCAGCTCGGCAGCAACCGTCCAGAGGTGATCGAATCAAGCATTCGCGATCTGACGTCGCACTGTGAGATGCTCGACCTTATGGGTATGGGCAAGGATAGCGTCATGATCATCCACGGTGGAGGCACTTTTGGCGATCGACAGGCAACACTGGACCGAATGCGCGAGACTTACACCACTCGCCTCTCTCAAAACATCAAGGATCGGCTAGTGCTCGAGAATGACGAAATGTCGTGGAGCGCAGAAGAGCTGCTCCCGCTCTGCAAAGAGCTTGATATCCCAATGGTGTTCGACTTCCATCACGACTTGCTTCGTCCTTCAGCGAGACCTCCCTCCGAACTCTTGCCCGAAATTCAAGCCATCTGGCACAAGAAGGGCATCCGACCCAAGTATCATCTCTCCGAGCCGCGACCGGGTTCCTCGAATCTGCGAGAGCGCCGAGCTCATTCGGATCGCTGTGGCTTCCTTCCGCCCGACCTGCCTGCTGATGCGCATCTCATGATCGAAGCAAAGGACAAAGAGCAAGCCGTACTCGAGCTCTACCGAATCTACAACCTGCGTCCGGTCAAGCACGAATCTCTTCGACCGCCTGCCAAAGACATCGGTGTCAAGACCTCGGGTCGCAAGAGCAAGCTCGGCGGCGAGCGTCTTCCGCGCGAGCCTCGGAAGGGCAAGAATAAGCAAGATGCAGAGGAAGATGAGGAGGTCGACGAATCGCAACCAGCATCGCCTGTCAAACTCAATCCCAAGAGTTTGTCGATCGCGGAGCGCGCTATTGCCAAGTCAAAGGAAATGGCAAAGCGTCTCGGCAAGGTGTACACTGGTCCAGGCGCTGATGTGGGGGAAGACGAGGGTATAGAGCTGGCGCCACCCGAGCCGAAGTTTGGTGAAGAGGGCTATGTCAAGACGAGCGAGGAGGTTCTGCGCGATATGCTCATGGAAGCCGACTGGGTCCGTGCAGAGCTACAGGCTGGCAGGGAGCGTCGACCGTTTGGCACCGAGCCAGGCGCAGCTGCAGACGAAGATGCTGACGATGCAGACAATGTCGACGAAGACGGTGTCGCTGCGGACGATGGGGATGTCAAGCCCAAGAAGAGTGGAAAGAAGGCGGTAAAGCCCAAAGTGGAGGCGAAGGCCCCAGCATTGACTGCTCCGCAGAAGAAGCGTGCGAAAGCGGCGATGGTCGACAATGGTCAGAAGGTGGTGCTCGCTCAGGGTGCACCACCGCAGGAGTTGATTGCTGACCACGAGACAATCCCGGTACAGGCGGCTGGTGGCAAGAGGCGGAGGAAGAAGAGTGATATGTAGAGTGGTGGTCTATCGCTAGGCAAACTGCAATACATTCCTGAGTACACAGAATGAATGTTTGCACAAGTGACGACGGTAGCAGCTTTCGTCGTGAGACGGCAGCAATTTCTTTTCGTTGTCGAGCGGACTGAAGGCGTGATCTGCACCTGAGAACACGCGGATTTGCTTACCCGGCGAGATCTGCGCGAGAATTTGATAGCCGACCCGTCGATCTTCGCACACTGACCTTTGCGTCGCACCCACTTCATCAGATCGTTTACCGTTCACAATCACCGGTCGACACCGTGATCAACATGACAACCCCGACAGAGCGCAACAAAGAGCAGGATGGTCTGCTTCCGATTGCTAGCGCCAGAGCAGCACCGACGCAGGCACGGTCCTTCTCGACGAAGCTCAAGATCCTGATCTGCGCCGTGGCTTTCACCTTTGTCCTCTTGCGTCACCACAGCTTCAGCTTGAATGCTGATGTGGACGCTCGCTGTGATGAAGCAGAGCTGCCGTCAGCCTTGCGCTGTAGAAATGCACGCAAGCATGCCGAACACCTGCTTGCGAGACACCCGCTCATCGACGGACACGTTGACGTTCCTGTCGTTGCACGATATCGCTACGGCAACAAGATCGATCGCATCCCTTTCGACCAACCAGCCTTCCCGAACGGAAGCTATCCGACCATCTCCCACGTCGATATTCCACGTCTGAGGGCAGGCGAGAGCGGTGGGTTCTTCTGGTCATCCTACGTCGTCTGTCCTAACGAAACCACCGTCGGAACGAACTTCGAGAACGCCGCCACGGACATTGCCGTCCGAGACACGCTCGAACAGCTCGATGTGATCAAGCAGATGACCGACCGATACGCTCACGACTTTGGTCTGGTTGGAAGTGTCGGCGATGCACGAAAGGCGTTCAAGTCCGGACGGATGATCAGCTTTATCGGTATCGAAGGCGCACACTCGCTCGGCAACTCGCTCTTTGCTCTGCGTGCATACGCTTCCATGTTCACCGACTCGATTCCGGGACCAGTTCGGTACTTGACTCTGACGCATACGTGTCACAACGCCTTTGCGGACAGCGCTGGTCAAACACCACCCAAGTGGAAAGGTCTCAGCCCATTCGCACCGCATCTCATTCACGAGCTAAACCGTCTCGCCATCGTACCCGACCTTTCCCACGTCTCGGACGACACAGCACTTCAGACCATTGACGTGACAAACGGACCCGTAATGCTCTCCCATTCCGCCGCGAGGCATTTTCAGAATATCGCGAGGAACGTCCCTGATGCGGTGCTGGAGAATCTCGTCGCTTCCGGAAAAGACTTTGTCGTCATGATCAACGCCTACCCTGGCTTCATTGGCGGAGAAGGAGACCTCGAACAGTACGTGAAGCACATCGAGTACGTGAGTGATATGGTCGGAAGGAAGCATGTTGGAGTGGGCACCGACTTTGATGGCATCATCTCAGTTCCCAAGGGGCTCGAGGATGTGAGCAAGTACCCGGATCTGGTCGCCAGGCTGGTGGAGAGGGGTTGGTCAGATCGCGAATTGGTTGGATTTGTAGGCGAGAATGTGTTGAGGGTGTTGGAGGACGCGGAGAGAGTAGCGAGGCAGATGCGAAGGGATGGAGCGGAACCAGACAATACCAGCTGGAAGGATGTGTTCGGCTCGACCGAGCATGGAGAGCTTTGATGGATGGTTCCTCATGTAGACACTTTCAATGCAAATGCACACGAACACTTCTGATTCACCACCGCACAGGTCAACACTTCAAGGACACAAGTCACGAAGGCGATGGATCAATCCATTGCTCGGCCTTCATATGGTAAAGATTCAAGATTATCAACTCGATCGAGATCAGGTAGAGATTAGAAAGAGAGCCTAGAGCCCAGCGACGGTGATGGCGTACGCGGTCTGTCCCTTGTACATCATAGTCATGCTCGCACCCTGCACCTTCCTGACATCGGGTCTTGGCAAGATCACCCAGAGAGTGTTGCCCCACAGCGGCGCAAACCCGTTCTTGGCAGCGGTCGCCTTGACCGATACCTCATCCTTGTTCGACGAAATTTCCAGCTTGATCTCGGCAGTGACGGGTTTCGCAGAAACACCGTCGTCCTCGATCCAGGTGTACGTGTACTTGGCCGGGCTCGAAGCATCGGCTGGCGAAGGGAAGATCTCCACGCCTCTCCAGTCATCGTGTGCACACTGACCACCTTCCTCCTCGGTGAGCACCTTGGTGCCGCTACCCGTCAGAGTGGCGATTCCTTCCGACTGGGTGAGAGTGTTCTTGGGGAGACCGACGGGGATGACGGTTCCTTCGCGAGCAAAGACGGCAAAGTGGGCGAGTGGGGTGGAGACGTTGTCGACCCATTGACCGGCTTTGTACACGCCGAAGGGGGCGTGTGTGTCGTAGTACACCTTGGTGTCTTCCTTGCCAGCTGCAGGGAGGTAGACACGTCGGGTCAGTTCGTTCTCGTGGTAAGCACCGGCGACGAGAAGTTGCCCGTGACCGACCCAGTAGTCGAAGCCTTCGAGAACTTCCTTCTGGTACACCTCTGGGTCGGCGGCAAATTCGCCCCATCCGAGCCAGGTGTTCATCGGCTCAGCAGCAAGATGCGAGCGCCAGTTGAGGTTGTTGATGTACGGCAGCATCTCGTACCTTCGCTTGATCGTGGTGCGGATGATGTCGACGACTTCGGGGTACATCCACGGCAAGTTGTTGAGCTTGACACCCGTAGGATCCTCTTTGCAAGGCTTGAAAGAGTGGATACAGAATCGGGGCTGGGTAACACCGGACTGAATCCATCGTACAAACAGCTCTGGGCTAGGAAGGGGACCAGCGAAGCCGCCAATGTCGTTGCCGTACGATTGCAACAACGACATCTGCGCGTTAAGGTTCATGGCGATAGAGCCCCGAAGGTTGTGCCAGCTGGTACGGTTGTCTCCAGACCAGGTCGAAGCAGCCCACTTTTGCGTACCGACGTTGGCAGATCGGGTGAGGACGAAAGGTCGGCGGTCAGGATGCTGCGTCGCGAGAGCATGGTAAGACTCTCTCGCCATAAGCTCGGTGTTGGTCATACGACCGAGATGACCAATGGGCGTAGGCTTACCGGTACGGTTGCCGTCGCTCTTGGAATCGTCAGCGAGCTCGTTCTTGCAGATGTAGGCATCGTCGAATAAGAAGTACTCGTTGTTGTCGTTCCAAAGGCTGTCGACTCCGAGCTTGCACAGCTCGAGCGCACCTTGACGCCACCATTCGCGACCGGCTTTGGAGGTCATATCGACCCAGGAGCCGAGCTCGGTGCATCCGATGCCGCTCGACCAGATTCGAGTAACGACGGGCTTGTTGTCGTTGTTAGGATCGGTAAAGAGCGCACCTGCGTCGTGCAGCTTCTGGTAGTGTGGATGCCTCTGCATAACGTATGGCTTGATGTTCGGTGTCACTCGAATACCCGCTTTGTGGAAGGTCTTGACCATCTCTGCAAAGTCGGGGTATCGACGCTTGTTCATGGTGAACACGAGACGGTTACCGTCGTTGTCGACAGTGTAGCCGGAAGAGAGATGGATGGCCGAGCAAGGGATGTCGTGGTGCTTGCAGGTGCCAGGGAACCCGGAAAGCAGCTCCTGTGCGATAGGCTCGTCACTCTCACCAAGACCCATACCGCTGGCGAGGTATCCCAACCAATCTCGTGGTACGAGCTGCGGACGTCCGACAAGGTCGGAGAACTGCGTGACGACCTGTTGAGCTTGTTCGCCGATCAGAATGTACTCCTCGAGACCGCCGTAGTCCTGTGTGTGCTTCTTGAAGATACCCCAGGGCTCGTCGATGTAACGACCGACATCCCAGTTGGCGTCTGAGTTGGAAGCCGAGTAGATGCCGACAACAGAGGTCAACGGCTGCCGGTTGCCTTCCGCGTCGAAGGGCTTGGGTAGCGACATGAGGAAGGGAGTGTGCTTGTACAGCGGATCGGTGAGGTATGCATCGTAGCTCGCAGAGTCACTTCCGGTGATGGAGAAGGATCGACGGGTCAAGTCGAGCGGTGCGGCCTTCTCTCCCAAACCGACATGAAGGTTGTTCATCTGGAAGCGGGTGTGTCGGGTGAAGCCATTGTCCGAGTAGCAGTACGACTTGTGTGGGCTATCGCCAAAGATGAGCACCTTCTCATTGCTACCGTGCACGGTCTCGTAGACGTCAACGAGAGGTGTGTCGTCCCATTGAACCGTCACTTCTCGTGTCAAGCCTTCTACGCTTAGAAATGCCTTTTTGGCGGCTGCATCGATCTTGGCCGAAACGGCGAGTGGCTTGTTGTTCCACTGCACATTGCTTTGTTGTGGGAGAGGATGGTTTGGACCAACGACGACGATCTTGAGTAGAGTTGGCGTGAGGAAGCTCAGCGACCACTCAAATCCTTGCGAGTTGGAGAGCTTGAAAGCGTCAGCTGGCTGCTGGCTCACAGGCGTGAGGTTGGTCAATGGCCTCTCGACAAGCATGTTGAAGATTGAATGGGTGTCCGAATCACGACTGGACGAGAACAAAGGTCGCGGCAAGCGTGTGGTAGCAGAGCGGACAGTGAGAAGAAGATCCTACTCGCTGTTTTATGGAGCTGTCGTCAGGTGACAGCGGTGCTTTCGTCCCAGCACAACGAGCGTGGAGAATCAAGTCTTCCGATCTGCATTTCACGCCGAACAAGAGGCCGACTTTGACTCTGTCTCCGTCTTTCCTTCCGCTGAGCTGAGCCCCACACACAAACCCCGCACCTAATCTCATTCCTTGCTTAATGACCTGGTCACCCTCCAAGACGCCTTGTGTCGTTGCACGACACTTTCGCGCTTGGACACACTGATCGACAGAAGCGAGGTGAACGTGGACACGCACCTCCAGAGAAGTGGCACGGGCGGCTGGACACGATTCAGGGTCCAACCACAACTTTGCTCCGCCAAATCTCACAGAACGCAAAATATACGCAACGGCTGTTTCATTCGGAAAGACTTCGCCGCCAAAAGCAATGGGCGGATGAGCGGACCGTAATGTTCCCGAGCCTCGCAAGACGCTTGCTGATCACGGCTGTCCGGACCGAATGTCATGCACACAGATGCGCAAACATATGCAGACACCCGTAGCCTGAGAGGAGAGGAAGAAGAAGTGGCTTGAAAAGGTGAGGGTGGGGGGAGCATGTGGGAGGAGGGGCTGAGCGGAGGCAGAGTCGGCTAACTCAACTCCGATGCAAGCAAAGGCACCGGCAGAAGGAACAGGTCGGATGCGAGCCTGCTCGGTCGCGTCGGTGCGCGAAATTCACCGGTCACCAGCGCGGACGTTTCGGGCGGATGCTAGCTTTCCGCCCGCAATTCCGTTGCGCCGCTTGCTGGCACTTCGATCTCCGCTCGCGCCTCTACCCAGTCGCAAAAGTGTCCTGCTAACCTTCAGCGCCGTGAAATCCCGAACCATAGCTTCTGGCGGATCGTCTCCGCAAAGTTGCGTGGGACATTGGCATGCTGACGTGTGCGGAAAGTGCAAGTGACCTCAACGCGGTGTCTGTCCTAGTGAAGTGTCGAGTGGGATGGCAGGGAAATCGGACCTCTCCAACAGTGCAACGCGACAAAATTTGACTGCTCAGCGCCAGCAAAGTGAAATGAAGTCTTGGAAAGGAAATGAGACAGCAGACACACAACCCGTGTTGAGCGACTCCAGCTGATATCTGATTGTGAGCATGCCATCTGTAATCGTCGCACATTTCACAGAGACAGCACATCAGTCTCAAGCGCCTCAATTAGATACGTGAATCGAGCATGGCATTCGCGATCGTGACAGAGTGTACAAAGATAAATGAAAACAAGACGTAACTGGCTTAGTAGCTGTATCGGAAGTTGATGTTTTGCTTGTCCGTCAAGTCGAGGAAAGCCTGCGAAAGATCGACGTCGTCCTCGGCGTCCTCGGCACGACCCTTGAGAACGTTGTTCGCACGACGCTTCTGGTTGTTCTGCTGCATGTAGTACACTCGCAAACCGAGAAGAACCAGGATCGAGGCAATATAGCATCCGAGCTGGCCAATGAATGCTTGTCGATAAAGGGGGGCGTCCTTTGCTTGGAAAAGCTGAGGACCAGCCGAATTACCTGCTGCCCAACCGATGAAAGTCATTGCCGTACAGACGGCTCGCTTTGTTTGCCCTCCGACGTTACGGCTCAAAAGGGAGAAGGAAAGAGTAGCCTGAGCTTGAAGGCAAATAGTCATGTAGAAAGCGAAGAGCAAGCCACCAGCGTGCGCCTTGTTGTTCGGCACCGTCAAGAAGAGGACCGCCGAGATGATGTTGGGCATAGTGAAGAGGATGGCTGTGAGGATGGTCTGGTTCCACTTCTTGGCGACGTATGCAGCAAGCAAGAGCACGAAGATCTGGAAACTGCCCTGGGCGAGACCGAGGAGGTTGGTCTGAAGTACCGAAAAGCCGAGGTTGGTCTTGATGATGATATTACCGTACGATCCGAGACCGCCCGTGGGGATGGTGTTGAGCAAGTTGATGAGGAAGAGGCACCAGGCTTGAGGGTCACGAAGAGCTTCCCAGACGTGCTCCATCTTCCATTTTCGGTTTTGCACACCGGTCTGATTCTCACGGACTCGCTCGACCAGCTTGACCTTGTCCTCGTCCGAAATGCCACGAGCCTTCATTGGCGAGGCTGGAAGGATGTAGACGATCGAGGCACCCCAGATGACGGTGATCAGACCGAGGACGAGGAACATAATCCTCCACGAAGAGAGCGCAGCTCCTTGAATATGGTAGAACGCAAAGCCCAAAAGTCCGCCGACCATAGCCTGTAGGCCGTTCATACAGTACCAAAGAGTGACGGTCCTCGCTTGCTCCTCTCTCTTGTACCAGATGGCGGTGAGAGCCACAAATGCAGGTTGGCAGACGCATTCGAAGCACCCGAGCATGATTCGAAGGATCAAGATGCCGGTAAAGTTGTGGGTGAGAGCGACAAAGCAGCATGAGAGACCCCATGCAAAGACGCAAAATCCGAGCCAGCGGTTGATGGGAAGACGCTGAACCAAGTAGTTCTGCAGACCCTCAGTGCAGAGAATGGCGAGGTAGAGACAGGTGAAAAGCCAGCTGTACTCCTGACCCTTGAGCTTGAGGTCGGTGCGGATGCCCATGATGGCGGCGAATGAGAGGATCTGCTTGTCGAGACTCTGGCAGAAGTAGGTGCCCAGCATGATGGTGAGAACACGCTTGTCGACAATGCGCAAAAGACGCTTGTTCTCCTCGGGAGTGATGGTAACCGACGCGTCGGTGTATTTGAGCACCTCCTCGTCGGCCTCCTCGATGATCGTTGTGGGCAGCACAGCAACATTCTGCGAAGGCTTGCCGTTGATAACGCTCTCCTTGTCAAGGATCGAGGCATCAGTGGTGACTGACTCGACCATTCCGAGCTTGTGAGCTCCCTCTAGATCGGGGGTCTGTGTCTTCTCGGCCATGATGAATGAAGTGACTGAGGGCAAATGAAGTGGAAGTCGAAGATGGACGAAGATTGAGTGTGCTACCAAACGCAGCAATGAGACCCTTCGTGGTGGGTGTTAGCAAGGACAATGGACGTGAAGACTCGGATGTGGGGAAGGAAGATGGCGTGGGGACAAGGAGGGCAAGATGCGGGGTAGGATGATGATGTCGTGGTCTATATAGACATGCAGACTGGCACAGCAGTTTGCTCGCTGCATAGGCAGCACGGAGGAAGTTTCAATTGTGTCCGAAGCCCTGCAAAGGTCGAAGCGTGACAGTCAAGCGTCGAGAAAGCATGGAGACCCCATGAAAGAGGCAAGTCACGCCGGCCAACCTTGCGCCCATGCATCCGCTGCTGGCATTGTGCCTGAGCGGGAACGGCACGAGTTCGAGGGCCCCGCAGGGAAAAGTAAGAAAAATGGAAAAAGAAAATTAAAAAAAAAACGGCCTTCAACCATGAACTTCGTTTGTCAAACCTTCAGCACGATTGCTCTCGTGGCTGCACGATCCTGAGCTTGGCGAGTCAGGCACAAGCAATCGTCTGTCGCCGTTCCGCATGTCCAGCCTGACAGCCTCTATTTCATTGCTGAAGCAAGTAGCGAAAGCACGAGATCTCAGGGTGTCACTGTAGTGTGTAACGATATCGACTTAGCCCCACTTGTCAATGTCGGAGAAAAAATTTCTTGAACTCGCTTGGAACGGCCTCGGACAGCGTCTGTGATGCAAGGTAGCAAAGACGGTAAGGAACGGTCCGGTTGCGCATGAAGTGGACATCAAAGGGTCTCGAACAGGCTGGCATGAGAGCAGAACCACCGGAGCTTCGGTACGAACGTGCATATATGTGCATTCCGTGTGCAAAGCGAGGGGAAGAGGATGCTATTGGAGCGGATCTTTCCAGACATGCAGGAGGAGCAGTGGCATTTTCGGCAATAGCATGTAATGACCGGAAGAGCGGGGCAGGACCAGGCCTGACTCGCGGAAGGTCGGGGCCCCAGGACGAATCAGATGCCATCCGTGTCGGCAAAACCGGGAGAACAACATGCGCCGAGCAACGGCAGCACGCAAAGTACGATTAGCGAGGTGCAACCGAGAATCTGCGAGTTGGGGTGGGGGCAAACATTTCGATGGCAGGGAATAGGCCAAATCTTGCATGTGGGAGAAAGACTCGGAGGTGGGAGGCACCGAGCGAACATGACAAGTTCATCCGCAAAGTCGGCCGTGGCGGAAAACCGCGGCGTCGAAGAGGGTCTCTTCAAGGGTACACGCGGGAACAAAGACGCTTCGTATCCGCAATCGACGTCCACGTTCACCCGCGGCTGGAGCTGTTCGGAGTTGAAGGCCGGCTCGGAGTTGAAGATGAGTGAATATTGACCGGTCGGGGTCGTCGGCGCGTTTTTTTACCGCTCGGTCCGGCAGCAGGCATGACCCTCACCTCATTTCAGACCACTCGCGGTGGCACTTGCGGCTCACACTGTCTAGGCGAGGCATGAACTGCGTCTCTGGACAAAAAATGTACTGGCCGCGATAGCCGGTCAATCGACCAAGCAAGGAAAATGTACCACTCTTGGGTAGTGTCTTTTCTCCTGATCAAGCTAACCGGCAAAACCGCACGATCGCCCTGAGTGGACACGTGGACTATGACTGTGCCTTTCTCAACGGCACTTGCCTAGCGAGGTGGATCCCAGATGGCGCGTGCGAGACCGGTATGGCGGTCCTGAATCGGTCCTGATGTCCGCGCCGCAGCGACGGAACGGGAGCAGCATGGTGTTGCGCATCGCTTCAACCTTCCGGTCCGAAAGGTACCAATGTTTGTCACGATGGCCGCGTAAGATATTATGATATAAAAGCTTGGCGTTCACATCCGGACTTTGGATAATGCGAGCCGGTCCGCAAATTGCGACCACTCCAATGTCGCTAAGACTATGCACGATCATGATCAGAGGAACGATTCACACAGAAGCTTGGATTGTATGGCTGATTGAAACGAGCGCCACGCGAGAATGCGAGAATGAGATGCAAAATGATGTTTTTGGCAGCCTGCAACGGTACACAGTACCGGAGGCACGAGCAAGTGTCGCTGATGCAAACGTCGCATCGAAGGAAACAAGGCTGCTTACTCCTTACATTTGGACCAGATCGAGTTGAGAGCCCTGACCTCGAGGTCGACGAGCTGGAGCTTGTTGTCGCCGACCGAGACAGTCACCTTAGAAGGGATCTGGTCGTTGTCAAAGTAGAATACTGAAGTGCCGGCAAGCTCACCGTCGTTGACAAACACCTCGATCACGGACCTGTCGACAACAGCTTGCAGCTTGATATATTGGGCCTGGTCTGTCGAATCGAGGTATGCCGAGGGTGGGAGGGGTCCGAGAACGTATTGGTCGGCGTTCTCGCTGGACGCTGTCGTGTAGTTGGCGGCGTATCGGATGATACCCGAGGTCTTGTCGGTAAAGAAGGGATTCTGAGCTGCAAATGACTGGCCGGCGCCACGTCGATCGATGTAAGCAACAGCAGGCTCGCCCATCTGGATGCCTGTCTTGACACTCTGCTTGCCATCGCCAGCAAAGATCTCGAAGGAGGCGATGGTGTTATAGGTGATGTTGGCGTTGGCAGGCAGCTTGAACGTCGCTGTAATGTCGAACGCGCCCTGGCCACTGAGGTTCACTGTCTGGTTGCGCGCGCTGTTGCCGTTTTCCGACTTGTAAAGAGTCTTACCGTGAATGGCAGAAAGGTTGACGGGCCTGTTGTTGAGGATCAGATCACCGAACTGAGGAGTCGGGCGGTAGTACTTGAGCGTGAGCTCGCGCGGGAGACTTTGGATCGAGCGGAAGGGCGAAGTGGGCACTTGCTGCGAGTACTGCCAGTTGTTGGCCCAAGCGATGGCGTAAGCCTTCTTTCCCGGGCTGTTGTTCCAGCTGCTAAAGGCGTAAAAGTCCTTGCTGAAGTCCATGGTCCTGACGGCGTTGTCGCGAGGCGTAAACTTGGAGCCGTCCCAGTCGCCAACCCAGTACTGCACGAAAGATCCACCGATGAGCGCACCTGGGTTGATCGAAATTGCCAAAACATACATCATCTTGCCGTCATCGGGACCGCCTTCGACAGGCACTTGAAACAGGTCGGGGCATTCGTACTGGTAGCCGAGGATACCGTACGACTGGAAGCGGCTCACCTCGGTCCAGTCTTTCATGTTGGGTGACGAGTAAAAGACGATGCCGAACTCCTGCGACAGTGCCAGAGCGACGATCCAGCGCGACGACTTTTCATCCCAGAAGGCTTTGGGGTCACGGAACTGGGTCTGATTGCGGGAGATGACGGCTCCAGGGTACTTGGTGAAGTGGATGCCGTCCGACGAGTAGGCGAGGTGCTGCGTTTGCGAAGTGTCTGTGTTGAGGGTGTACATGGCGACGATTCGTTGGTCCTTGGGCGTCGACCCGTTGAAGAAGCCCGTCGTATTCTCGAAATCGATGACAGCATTGCCACTAAAGATGCCTTCACCCTCCTTCTCGGGGGCAATGGCGATAGGGAGGTTCTTCCAGTGGTACAAGTCGGTCGACACAGCATGACCCCAGTGCTGATTTCCGGCCACGTTCTGCGTTGGGTTGTACTGGTAGAAGAGGTGCCAGGTTCCGTTGCTGTAGACCAAGCCGTTAGGGTCGTTCATAAAGTTGACAGTGGGGGAAAAGTGGATCTGAGGTCGCACGGACTCCGTGTAGAGGGCAGGTTGATAGCCCGAGAGCGAGCTGCCGTTCGAGTTGCGACACTGACCATTGCCGACGAGGCTTGCTTGGCCTTGGGCGACACCGTCGTTCATTCGGGGATACACGAGAGCGGCTTGACGAAAGTCGAAAGGATCTGCGGGAGAAGGGGCAGCGGAGGCGCACGCTGCAGCGAGAGCGCCCAACGCGGCAGCAAACAAGCTGGACTTCATGTTGGACTAATCTAGCCGACGGGGAGGAGGATGGTGTCCTTTTGAGCGATCTTGAGAGCGCGAGGCTGCTCCACGCAAGGGTCTGTCTCGATAGGTGCGGAGAATAAACGAGGCTTCGCCGATCTTTTCTTGCGGAGTTCGGAATGATCTGCAGCGAGACGTAATTGGCGATCCGACACCAACGAGCAGCGTCTTCAGATTCTTGAGGTCTGGTCTGGTGATGGCAAGTGTGGTTGATGTGTTTGAGGGGGATAAGGGATGGTACAATCGAGGGAGTGGAATGGCGAGTGGGGTTCAGGTTATATATAGACATGCGCAGATGTATGAAGAACAAGGGAATCCCCCCAAGTATCCATGATCGACCGAGGCAGGACCACGGCGCGCAGAAGCGAGGTGGCTCTACGAGTCCACGCCGTGCTCGTGGGTTAAGCGAGATACAAATGAACGAGGGCTCACGAGCGGTCACAGCTTTACATCACAGGTTTTCTGGCTGACAGTTCTGATGACACAGCCATGCCACGTTCACACTTGCTGTCGATCAGCAAAGATGCTGTGGAGATGAAACGAGCGGACATCTCCGTTGCAGTCGACCAGCGAAGGGCGTCACAAAAGATGAGGACGGTGTGGTGTTTTCCGAAGTAGGCGTTGTGGCTTGCAAAGCATAACTGAAAATTCTGCACTGCATACGTGAGCTAACGGATCTGTCTCCATGAAGGTGAAAGTAGAGAAATGAGACTGGATGCCGACGAATGAACGCTGGGGTGCACCACGGAATTGGTGCAGATCGCACCATGTAATGACTCACTGGGGAAGGAGTCTTCAGGAATCGGTGCTCTTCTCAAAGTGCTTCAACAAAGGGCCGCAAGGACCCTCGAAACCGCCCGTGTTTGGCGCCATTCGGTAGCAGTGGGGAGTGACGCGGAGGGCAATATTCTGGGGACCCCAGTATGACAGCAAGAAGGTTCGCGACCATTTGTGTGGTTTTCTTTGCGGAAGCCATTTGTTCTTTCCGAGCCGAGCAACCGGCATGTACACTTTGAACACAGATGCGGTGGACTTGCGAACGCAATCACGGCCCTTGACAGGGTAGAGCCGAGAAATTGCTTGGCTTCTGCTCGCCAGCATTGTTTGTGCTGTACGGCGGTCGTACTTCTCGAGGTGGAGGCGGGGCCCAGTCGTCTCGCCGCCCTGAATGCCGAAAGCGAACAAGAAAGGTTAAGCGAGATCAGATTCGAGCGAAATTGCTCCGTGTCTGCATCTCGCCTAAACGAGCGGTGGCGGCGCCGAAACGACCGTATTGAGTCGACTTCTGTCAATCTTCTTTGCCGCAAGAGCGCTCTGAGATGCCAAGCCCTCCAGAGGCAGTCTTGGAGACAACGCCGGTGTGTGATGTGGGCTTGCGTGTGAGCATGAGTCCGGGCCGAAGACCTGATTGGTTACCCTGTCGGCAAGAGAGGCCGTTCGGTCGAAGCTCGGATGCCTGTCGTTGAGCAAGCATCAGGCACAGCAAGTGTCAAAGTGGGCGGAGGATTTGAGGTTACCTCGACTTCAGACAGGCGCAGCATACTGGAGCGCATCCAATCTGAGTAGTCCAAGGCCCACCGTACCGTTCTGCAGGCTCCTTCCGTGTCTTTGGGGGCGAAGGGTAAGTCTCGGAATAGTCAAGGAGGACGATGGGCGGAGGGATGCATAGGCTCAACGCCTAGCATACAGCGTCGCTATTCGAGCGTCGGCAGGACACAATGGACTTCGAGCTGTTCATGCCCCCGAAGGTCACGTTGGCATGTTTGGTCAGATAGTTGCGCAAAAATCGATATAGGAGGGCTGCTACTAGCAAATATTGCGGCTTCCAAGCTCTAGCGCGGCTGTCGATGACGACTAATCAGAGTTGGAGTGCATGCCGAGATGCTTCATTTGCTAAGAGGCGCAAGGAGTACGTCGTGATGGGTTTGTCATACAGCGGGCTCCTCAATGCGCAATGCAGTGATAGGCTTTCGATGGTGTCTAGCCTTCATTGAGGTACTCTCGCAGGGTTCCTTGTAATCGGTCGCCTCATGCTTTCGTCGCTGGCATGTTCGACTGTCTCCGAACGATTGCTAGCGAGATAGGAGAGAGCGTCAGAAAAATTCAATGCGGTCGCAAGTGCCCGACTCGAATGACTATGCTGAGACCCGTCAAGACGGTGCGATCGACCCACCTCATCCCAAATTACGCAGACTACAGTACCAAGTCTATGCGGCTAGCCCACACACCTTATCATTTGAACAGTGTCTCGCTGGAGGTCGCAAAGCTCGCAGCCCACTTGGTGTCAATGACCTCTCAGGGAGGAGACTTGTTTATCGACTTGAGGGTACGAAAGTAAAGTTACCTGTTTTTTTGGCCGAGATTTCCTGGTCAATTTTTTGTACGCAACTGAGATGGTGTAAGTGGATTGGGTTGGTTGGACCCCTTTCTCGCAAATCCCAATTTGAGTTTGGCGCCCAATCAACACTTGGCACGAGCACGCGCACATGCTTGAGCCTGTTGCTTCCCCACGCTCATCATCGTCTCTCTCCCTTACACAGCAACATTGCAGCGACATCCGATTGTTGTCGCTGCCTTCTCATCACGAACGATACTTGGTTTTTCGCAAGAATGTTCTGCTTAATCGCATAGCAACCCGGTGCTTCCGCCGCTCACGATAACCTGAGGACTCGCGGGATCCTGTGGCCGCCGCCATGGCTCGGGAAGCCCTCCGACGAAATGCAAGCTCGCCTTCACCTCTCTCGTCTCCCGCACCCCCGAGTGTGGCCGCATTTGCTGCAAGAAAGGACGGAGTGTCTCCGTTTGCGCCATCGGCTCCGTTCCGAGATGTTTCCTCGCCGCTGAGCGCTTCGCACGCCTCACTTACCACGGATCCCGTCCATGCGACTCTGTCGCCACGGCCGATGCACCCGTCTGCGTATCAGGTTGACTTTGCCGACGCTCACATCTCTGACAAGGCTGTCCTTCCCTCGAACCTACCGCGCAGCGTCGCAGCTCCTCAGTTCACCGACCCTTCTCAACTCATCAAGACGACCCGTCCGAGTGCTGGTGCAACACGCGCTGCCTCAATCCCTTCGGCTTCATCCACACGCTCAGACAAGGCGGCAGAGCGGGCTTTCTACCGCCGCATCCTCTTTCAAGATCTACCGTCCACCGAACAGGCTCCAAAGATCACGCACGATAGCGATCTCGATCACGAGATCTATCTGCTGCTCGCTTACCTGCTGCGTGAAACGGTGCTTCCATGGTACAGCAAGTTGACGCCCGACCGCGAATTTGTGACCCAGATCACCTCCATCATCGCCTCCATCATTCACACTGTGGTCGAACGTCAAGCGGCAGATGGAGGCGTTGCCGCGAGCACTGCGATCGGATCAGGGAGCGACAGCCCAGCGTCGAGTACCTCTAACGCGGCTGAGCTGCCGCGCATCCACGCTTTGATCTCTCGCGACATTCCTCTGATCTTGCGGCAACACTACCTCGACTTTAGACAGGCGCAGACGAAGGCAGAGAGCATACTGGTTCCCCTGGGCACCCACTCGTCCTCATCGGTGGCATCGACAGTACTCTCCCAGCTCGACAATGACGAACGACGGCGACAGCGGGTCCGCGAGCAAGCGCCGCTGCTCTATCAAGAAGCGTTCGATGCAGAACCTAGCGCCACAGGATCCTTGTCGCCGCTGCAAGTGGCACTTCAGTTTCAAGCCGCGTCACCGCATCCTGGCCTCGACTCTTCAACAGGCTCTCTGGATGGTAAGATAGATCTAGCCTATCTCCGCATCGCTGTGCTCAACCTCCTTTCCTCGCTCTTGCCTGCAGACGAGTTTGCTCCCGATACCGAAAAGTTCATCATTCGCGACGTGCTCGTTACGGTTCTGCGAGGCGCTTTGGCGCGTTCCTCCCGACCGTGGTTCTTTGTACAGAGTCTACACAAGGTACTGGATTCAGCTGGTTGGCCGACCGATCCTGTTCCGCCTTCCACTGAGTCGGACGACGACAGGCGGGATCAGATTGATGTCACAAACAACCAGGGTGCAACCGTAGATGGCGCCTCGCGAGCAATCCTTGGTTTGGTGACACGACTGCCAGCGATGCTTCTGCAAGCATGGTCGTTTGTCATGTTCACAGCAATGCCGTTCCTGGTGCGCGCCTACTTTGACCTCTTCAACGTGCACCGTGCTCGCAAGCGACGCACGCTCCATCACGCCCCGCAGGGCGATGCAGGGAGCCTGCGACGATCATCGAGTGTCAAGGGCGGAATGTCTTCGTCGCTGTCCACGGGCAGCTTGTTCGAGCGCAAGATGCATGGCCGATACCCTTCGCGCAAGTTTCACCTTGGCGATGACGGCACCCTCACTGCCCAAGGACGCTCCACGGCCATCGACGCCAAACTAGGTCCGATACATGCTGAATCTGCGAATGCATCTCACGTCGGTATCGATGCAAGCGGCCACGAGGGAGTCGACGAAGCGGACCTGCCGCCTGACTATGTTGGCAACTGGCTCGACACTGCCGAGGAAGCGTTGTCAGCCAACACACACGCAGTTTTGCGGGCGCTGTTTGGTATCGTCAGGGTAGCATTGACAACGTCTGGATTGGCCGATTCCATGAATCGAATGCTTATGCGTAGGATCAACGCCGAATTGAAAGACACGCAGAAGCTCACACGCATGGTGCGCGAGCTGCGTAGGATTCTTCTGCCAGACGGACATCTTCCGCCCTCGGTTCCCGATCCGGACGTGGAAACGCAAGAGGCCGGGTGGATCCGGCTGCGAACACGCCTAGTGTGCGCGACCAGAAAGCAAGAGCGTTTCATGCCTCGTCTTGTCCAGAGGATGCTACTCGGAAGTGCCGAGGCCGGCTTCGGTCGAGATGATCCATCCGCACGCGCAAAAGATACCCAGATCCAGCTGCAAAGACTCACGACGTGGCTGGAGCCTTTATGCTCGCCGCAAGCCGCCGGACCCAACACGCTGCTAGCTATCCTGCTGTTTGAGCGGGTCATTGTGGCTATATGTCCCGATTTGACGCTGGCATAGTCTCGTGGTCAATGTTTTGTTACTCACTTACAGTCAAACCCTGCGTAGCGCTCGAAAGGAGCGTTGCTCGAATACGATACCCCATCTTTATTTTCATCTTGAGCCCGATCACAGAAGTATTGGGTTATGAAGAGCCGGGAATTTTGTGGCACAGGATTCAAGGGTAGCGGTCTGTGACGTTGGTATGGTGTAAGCCGGTTTTCACGCGAAGTGCAGCCGAGACGTCGAAAAAGGTCACGCTGGGCTCCGTGGCTGTCAGTTGTCGAGATATGAATCATTCCTTAGTCATATAGCGAGATTGGTGAATCGTGTGACAAGCCTTCACTCGACGTCTCCTTGTCGTCCAGCCTGATACTATACGTCGCAGACGAAATCTCGATCATGTTGTCGCTCAGAATTTTGACGAAAGAGGTGAGGGTTGAGAGAGAGTGTATGTGTGACCGGCAAAGCGAAAGTGAGAGCCGGAGAGCTGTGAGATATCGAAGTGCATGTTCGCTGACTGCTCCCTGCTCAGGCGGTCCAGCGGTACATTTCGAGCCGATTCACATGCACCCTGGACAGGTCCAATTTGGAAATTTGCAGCGAAACGTGGAAGCCACCTATTTTTTTTCTCCGACGCGCTATCGCAACAGCTGCAGAGCCAGTCTATTGCGATGACGGAAATGAAGTCGATCCAAGGAGATTTTTTGACTTCAGCCGAGGTTTTCCTGCAACAAGCGGATCGACGGTCTGGCTCTGAATTCGCAACGAGATCACGTAACGTCGAAAATGGGTCGCCGGAAACAGCGGTCGAACGACTGAGCCAAGGTCTCTATCTTACGGAATGGATGGACAGTCTTGGCTGGCTGGAGACCAAAACAACAACTGAAGAAGCGTTGTTGCATCCAGGGGTTGAATCGAGCAGGCAACGCTGCACGTTGCTGGACTCTGAAAGAGGCGAAGATCGAGGATGCGCAACCGCGGGTGCTTTGCATCTGCTCAGCGATAAGAGAACCTCGATGGCGCTTTGGCGTTTCGAACGACGAGATTAGGTGGCGTGTGAGTGCGCTCAACCTGCGAAGCAGAAGACGAAGTGATGGCCGACTCAGGCCGCTCCCTCTCTGAGCTTGCAGATGTGGCTGCAGACGGTTCAACTCAGCTTGGCCGCTTCGCCCGGATCGAGTCGGGTTACGCTTAGAGGGTTCCACAACCCTCTCGAAGCCGGGCTGTCCTAACGCCCCCCTCGCCCCCGCGAAGTGCTGTCTAGCTTTCACAAACAAACAGCGCTCAGAAGCCTGCAGACCCCCGCGAGATTGAGTTTCAAATCCTGCGTGCAGCCAAGCCAAGTTACAGAACACCAGCCACCAACCACCAAATCCAGTCGCCTTCATTGGCTGTCAACCTTGCCGCTCCGGTTGCTTCTTTGCCCCCGCACCCGCTCTACTTTCCAAATTGCGGAATCGACGTTGAACCTTTCTTCCTGCTCGACCATCACTAACGGTTGTTACACTCTCACATTTCGTACGACCCACACCTCTCTCTTCCAATTCATCTCGCAGCCGCATTCGTCTACCCCTTCACTACACCCATCATGTCCAAGCAAGGGGACTACGCTGCTGTCAAGAAGGACATTCTTGCTGTTCTCAAGCAGCCCGAGTACGACGATGGCTCTGCAGGCCCCGTTCTGGTGCGTCTGGCGTGGCACGCAAGCGGAACCTACTGTGCCGAGACCGACACGGGAGGATCCAACGGTGCTGGTATGCGCTACGAAGCCGAAGGTGGCGACCCTGCCAACGCCGGTCTTCAGCACGCGCGTGTCTTCCTCGAACCCATCAAGGATAAGTACTCTTGGATCACCTACGCCGATCTCTGGACGCTCGCTGGTGTAGTCGCCATCGAGGCGATGGGCGGACCCTCGATCCAGTGGAAGCCCGGTCGTACCGACTTTGCCGACGACTCTCGTCTGCCCCCTCGTGGTCGTCTCCCTGATGGCGCTCAGGGTGCCGACCACCTGCGCTTCATCTTCAACCGAATGGGCTTCAACGACCAGGAGATTGTGGCGCTCTCTGGCGCACACAACCTCGGTCGATGCCACTCTGACCGCTCCGGCTTCGAAGGACCCTGGGTCAACTCACCGACACGCTTCTCGAACCAGTACTACAAGCTGCTGCTCAAGCTCAAGTGGCAACCGAAGAAGTGGGACGGACCTTTCCAGTACGTCGCCAAGGCACCCGGTGCTGACGACGACGACGAACACCTCATGATGCTTCCTACCGACTACGCACTGATCCAGGACGAGAAGATGCGCCCTTGGGTGGAGAAGTACGCCGAGGACAGGGATGCCTTCTTCCGTGACTTTGCCAAGGTGTTTGCCAAGTTGATCGAGTTGGGCGTGTACCGCGACGAATCAGGCATCGCCAAGGCGGACAAGATGAAGCAGTACAAGGGAGAGTACAAGTCGGCACCGCAAAAGGCGCCGGTGCCTGGTGCACCGGGTGCGGGTAAGGACGGAGAGGCGAATCCCCTGGCACGCCAGAATGAGAGGGCCCACAGGCAACCACAGCACGCCCTTGCCAAGCTTTAGATTGGAGTTTCCGTTGCATCTTTTGTACTCTGTTCTTAGTTTCTCTCTCGGTCGTTCAATAGACGTAGTCGTATAGTAGTACAGAAAGTATTTGTGTGAGGGTGCTTGACATTGTTCTTCGCCCAAGAATGCAATTGTTGAGGAACGCAGTGAGGCCGGCTTCCGAGAAACACATTGTTGGCCGCTGACGGTTGCGAAGAAGGGGCTGACTTACGTACCACCCGGAATCATGTCGTTGCCCAAGCCGTTCAGGGTCTACTTCCGCACGACCCTCACCAATCATCGTCATCCACCGTCTGGAGCTCTTCAACAGCCACACCTCTCTCTCTATACATCTTCGCGACATCCGCCGGCCCAGGATCCTGCTTTGCCTCCGGGCCCTTCTCTGCCTTCATCCTCTCGATGCTCTGCTCCTCCAACAAGGCCACCGCATTTGGTCCAATCGGCCAAGTACCATCGACATGCCAACTGGCTTTCAGGGTCTGCACGACGACATCCATCGGTAGACCGCGGTTCGGTCCTGCACCTGTGATCGGCTTGCCCGTGTCGAGCGCTGTGTGGATGCGCTTCAGGATGGCTGGCCATGCATCGTCGCGAAGCAAGGTCTCCGAGTGCGAGGTCCGAGCCAAGGTCGTTCGGATTCGGTCGAGGGTGGTGAGGAAAGAGGCGGTCGCTAGAGGAGAGGTCGCTACGGAAGGGGAGGTGGTGTGCGGTTGGCCATTGTGAGGGCTGCCGTTGGGCATGACACCATCACCTCTGCAACCAAATGTGTGTGTGTGATGGGTTGGGACAACCCTGAGATTGCGCGGAAGACTTACTGCACCCGCAGACAAGGCTCACAAGACACTTGTCGTCGAGTTAATTTTTCATCGTCCAAGATCCAAAGACGATCGCCCGATCCTTTTTCCGCACCTTAACATGGCAACTTCTTCCCACGAACCAGAAATGCACCGCGCCCCTGACGGAAGCTTCCGAATTGAAATGCTTCGCCCGCGTGACGTTTTTGACAGGTCTCGCCAAGACACACACACACACAGAGACACACACGTTCAGGGGTTAGCTGCATTGCTTCATTGGAGCCTCATTCGGGCGGTCACATGTCGGAATCTCGAATCTGGGCGTCAGTACCGGGTCTCAGTGTTGGTCTAGCTGAGACCGACAGCGAGATTTGCCTGACAGGGGCTGGATGTGTTCGGTCCTGCACTTCGTTCTGACCAAAATCGGGTTGGCAGCTCGATCCCGAACTAGTTGATGTGCTAGGGGCGTCGCTTGACGACGATGAACTCGATCTGTAGAAAGCCTGCACGTCGAGATCTGAACGGTGAACGTCAAGGATGATGACCATCATCGTCTCTGCCACCATCATCCCCAACGTATGCCAAAAGTAGAGATGAGACTCACAACGTCGAACGCAGCGTCGAGGATGACGAATACCTTGACAGTATCGATACTTCTGTTCATCTGCTCAGCATACATTGCTGCACAAGCCCAGCCCGTCATTGGAGGTCGCTCTGCCGTTGAAGTCGAGCAGAAGCGATCGGCAGCTCCAACGCCAATGCCACGGGTGCTCACGCTCAACCCGCGCTCGACACCCGACGAGGTCTACGCATTCTACTCACCTCGCGACGTCAACCCTTTTGAAGATGGCACGCCTGTCAAGCGTCAAGACCAACCTTCGGTTCCACTCGCCTCCCTCGGTCCACCTTCGTTCCCCTCGTCGATCCCCTCGTGTCCCAAGTGCGAATCGCAATACTCTTCCCTCTCCTCCTGCATGGGTGCCTCCTCCGCCTTCGCCAACGCCACCTCGATCTTCAACAACCCCATCGCCTACATCAACGCCATCAAATGCGCCTGCACCGATACCTTCCAATCCGTCTACCCGCAGTGTCTCGACTGCTTCCAGCGTACCGATCAGTGCTACTACCTCGGCACGGATCCACAGGGCACAGGAGCAGGCAACGTGATTTCGAATATGAGGAGCATCTGTGGATTGGGGTCGGCGTTGTTGGGCGGTGCAGCTAGTGCGAATGGGGATGTGGGGACAGAGGTGCCGAGCAACCCGGGAACGTACACGGATGTGTCGACTACAGCGGCAGGGTACAAGGATGCGAGTACGGGGGCGATCTTTCAGAGTTCCGGCGGGAGGTCGAGTGTGGACGATGCGGTCAGGGGTTGGAAGTTGGGAGGGATGGTGGTGATGGTGACCGCTTTGGCGGTGATGGGTGGGGCGATCAGGATTGCGCTTTAACTGTATTTGACGCGCCTCGTGCTTATACGTCTGACATCGGTGATGATGACGACGACGGCCCTTGTTTGTACGACTTTGTAACGACACTTACGGAATCAAGACCTGAACATAGTTTGACTCATACTTTCAGTATTGTACTGAGTGTACATGAACCGTGACGAACGACGAGGTTCAGAATTGTTTCTGACGATACTATGTGGGGTAGCAGGCTCAAAAGGAGATTTGATCGGAGTGGGGGCAGAAGCAACAACGCGGGGGGAAATCCCACAGAACGCCGCGTGGGCTCCGAAGTCCAACACCGTTTCCAGAAGCGTCGGTCATTTCGCATGCTGACTCTGTACCACTTTGTGTGCATTTGCTTGTCGGAGATCTTGCTTTCATGCCCCACCTTGAGCTCTAACGTGATTTTGAGTAGGTCCGCAGTGGGCTTTTATGTTTGGCTGCCGCGACAGTGCCGAAGGCACGAGATAAGCGTCGGTCAACCCGGTCGTCGGATGCCTTCCCACGTTTGCCCTGTTAAATGGCAGTGTGATGTTCTCCACGTCGTCCTTTCCCATCTTCTTCATCGACGATCATCATCTGACTGCCATTTTCGCTGGCTCGTGTCATCAGCTTCGTGATCATCTTTGATAGAGTCAGTCCAGCCCCTCCCTTCATCGCCTATCGCAATGACGTCCACCGACACCGCCTACCAGCTCTCGCCCGACACCGCATCCTCTCTCGTCGAAAAGCTCATTCACAAGCTGCTCCACAACGATGACACCTCTGGCGAGTTCCTGCTTCCTCTACCCGACGGTCGCGTCATCGACACCAAAGGATGGTCCGGTTGGGAATGGACGCACGGCATCGCCCTCTACGCGCTCTTCGAACACCACCTGCTCACCGCCTCCTCCTCTTCGCTTCACATCATCCACGATTGGTTCCGCGACCGATTCGCTGAAGGCGGTACCACCAAGAACATCAACACCATGGCGGCGCTCCTCTCGCTCGCTTTCCTCTACGAATCCTCCCCCACGTCTCACCCGGAATACAAGCAGCATCTGATCGAATGGGCGGAGTGGGTGACGAACGACCTACCCCGGACGGAGGAAGGTGGCTTTCAACACATCACGTACGAGCTCGAGAACAAGGGTCAGCTGTGGGACGATACGCTGATGATGACGGTGCTGCCGTTGGCAAAGATCGGGAAAGTGTTGGGAGTGGAGAGGTACGTGGAGGAGGCCAAGTATCAGTTTTGCGTGCACATCAAGTATCTGTACGATGCAAAGACGGGATTGTGGTTTCACGGGTGGACATTTGAAGGAAGACATCACTTTGCGGAGGCGCATTGGGCTAGGGGAAATTGCTGGATCACGTTGGCGATCCCACTGCTGTTCCACATTTTGGGCGAGGAGGATGACGATCTGAAGGATCGAGATTCTTTCTTTGCAAGACACTTGGTGGGGACACTGGAAGCGCAGTTGGACGCATTGGTTCCGCTGCAAGATGAGAAAACGGGATTGTGGCATACACTGCTCAGGTACAAGGACTCGTACGTCGAGTCTTCGGCCACGGCCGGATTTGCAGCTGGAACATTTTTGGCGTTGAGGTTTGGGTTGATCAAGGATGACACGAAGAAGAGCAAATACAGCAAGATGGCGGATCAGGCGTTGAAAGGTGTGGTGGGGATGATTGCCGAAGATGGACAGGTGCAACAGACTTCATTCGGCACTGCCATGGGCCACGATTTGGACTTCTACAGAAACATCGCCATCACACCCATGCCGTACGGCCAGGCACTCGCACTCTTGGCCATCGTCGAGAAGATGGCGCTAAGTCAAACAGCTGCTGGCTAGATCAAAGCATCCATTCATCAACTATTGATGTATTCTAACTCACAATGGCATGGCAGGTAATACGAGCGAAGCCGGAACAACGTATCCGAACTTCTTATGAGCCTCCTTCAGTGTCATGATCTGCTTGCCTTCCTGATCGAAGTTGTCTTCGCTCAACCAGGCTTCCAAGGCCTGTTTCCTGATCGGCCAATCCTCATCGACGATCGCAAACCAGGTTGTGTCCCTACTCCTCCCCTTCAACACGAAATGCTTCCTGAAAAAGCCTTCATACGTGAAGCCGTATCTGATCGCCGCTCTCTTGGATGGACCGTTGAGATTGTTGCACTTCCACTCGACCCTACGATACCCCAACGTTTCAAACGCGTGTTTGATCATCAGGTACACCACCTCGCTCGACTTTCTGGAGCGTTGAAGCAGAGACGAAAACATGACGTTACCGACCTCGATACTCCGATGGCTAGGAACGATGTTGAGGTACGAGATGAGTCCGAGAATTTGACGAGTGGATTTGTCGAAGATGGTCCAGAACATCATGTTGTTGGTGTTGGAGATGCGCGAAGAGACGTAGGCATCGAAGCGGGAACGATCGCCGTTGAAGGGTGATTCGAGCATGTAATCCCATAGCCGCTCGTGCTCTGGCTGACCAATGATGCTGAAGAGCCCCTCTGCGTGATCGGTGGCCAAGGGCACGAGGTCTACGTACTTTCCAAGGATGGCTTCGCGTGAGGGGTATGGCGCTGGTTCGGAAGGCACTACAGGTCCCAGCCTTTGCAAGGCTTCTTCGTCGGTGAACGAAAGCATCTTTGATGAGTCGAGGTTACTCAAAATTGATGATGAAGGGGAGAGTTGCAATGGTCAAGCTCGGTAAGGGGGACGACGTTGATAAAAGGCTGATGCTACGGGTTGTTCGAGTCAGAACATTCGCAAAGCTGTTCGGCATCTCTGAATTGAGCCGCTCAAATGTCCGAAATATCCGACGGCACATCGGCGACTTTCTCGGAATTCACTCGTCCAGCTTGGGACCTGAAGCACGTGGGACAAGGCTTCTCCCTGCCGCTGCCAGCCCCAGGTTACAGCACACTCTCGCGATGACTAGTGTTGTCCAAGTGCAACTCATTCGGCTCAACCTGAGACAGTAAACGAACACAAAGCTGCGGGCGTTTGGCCTCGGAAGCCGACATCGCAAACTTGCACATTCGCTCCGTTGTGCGATGCAACGTTTCTATTTCTAAGGATCTGAAGAGTGCACACCATCGCTCTCGCCACAGCGTGCCTTTGTTGCAGCGATCTCAACCCTGAACACTCCCGTACCCCTGCTTGCACTGTTTACCCAAGATCGCCGACCCGCTCTGCATGTAGCAGATCTTTGCAGCAACACACTCGTCCGCCACGCACTTTGGAGCCTTGGGACTGTTCCTACCCTGGTAAACCGTGAACTGCTGGACCAGCTCCTTCCTGACACCCATCTCTTCCGTCAGCTTTGCCCAGAACGTCGCGTTGAGCGGTGCGTTCTTGGGCCAAACACCATCTCCACCAATCTTGCTCGTCGAGTTGGCATCCGAAGCGCTGAAGTTTCCGTACGCACTCCTAGCCGAGTACAGGTACTCGTACACGGGACCGTGTTCTGTATGTCCGAGATCGGGGAATGCAGTGACGGGGGTGTAGAACTGGTGGTAGTCCATCACCTCGTACGTACTCGCGTTGACGTGCATGATCCTCAATGCCGGATTGACGTTGTTGCCCGGAGTGACACTCGGAGCCATGAAGCTCACCGCTTTTGCCTTCTCCGCTGCCCTGCTAGTCGCGTTGTTTGCGTAAAACACGTTGAACTGATCCTCGTGCGTGTGTCCGAAGAAGATGTGGGCAATCACGTGCGGCGCGAAACGATCCACGATCTGGTAGAACAGGTTGGTCGGGTTGTCCAGCGGGTTCGATCCATCCCATCCGGTCAGAACGTGTCCTACGATCCACACGCGCTCTCCGCGCTTCTCAGCGTGGAAGAGCTCGTCGGTCAGGTATCGAAGAGTACCCGAGAAGTCCGGGTTCTGCGTGTGGATCATGTTGAAGACGTTGTTCTTGTACCAGAAGTCCGTGTTGATCGCAATGATACGAAGACCTTTACGCGGGGTGACCGAGTAACCGCCGTAGTGAGAGCGGACTTGTTCGGCTTCTGCGTGGTCGAACCATCCTTCCGCCTCCCAGAGACGAGCGAGATCGTCCCAGTCCCAGGATAGTTGGTCGGAACGTCCATCTGGGAGCGCCCCCTGCGAGGCGAAATCGGATGGCGAGGAATCGTGGTTCCCGATCGCGTTGAAGACGGGACCTTTGCCGAGCATCGCCCGGATGGAATCGAACAAGCTCTGGTGGGTGTACTTGACAAGATCCTGCGAGATGAATTGAGGAAGATCGTGAACCACCATGTCGCCGGTGTGGATCGTCATATCCACCTCCTCACCGCCGTTCAGCGGAGTCACCGCTTCCAACGATGCCAAAGCCAGACTCCAAGGAGCGTCGCACTTGAAGTTGCCCCAGTAGTTCGACACCTCCGAGATATTTGATTTGGGAAGCATACCTTGCGTGAAGTTGCCGCTGCTCAACGTTGAGTTGTACGCATCGGCACGACAGCACCTTCCATTGGTGCAAGACGCTTCACCTCCGACGAAGAATCGAGGGTCGACGTGTATATCGGACATGTGCAACACTCGCAGGTCCTTGCCGTTCTTTGTAGACTTGCCAACGTTGATGTTGTACGACGAAGGTGGCGTTCGTTTGCCATGGAACCATTTGTCGAGGTACTGTTCGTCGAGATGACGAGGCTTGGGAAGCGTGCAGTTGGAAGTGGAGGAGCCGACGACAATGTTGCAGATGTACTGCGCGTCGGTGCTGTTCTGCGAGGTGAAGTCTGCATAGCTGAGCACCTGAGAGTAGGCCGAACCGAGCACTTGAGGAGCGTAGGTCTTTTTGCACGTCGACGCGGACTTGTACGAGTACTTGGTGCACATCTCAACGAGCATGTCCGGTACATCCTTGGGAGACTGACGGGCGAGTTTCTGAGCCACTTTGAGGGCGTCGGTGCACTTGGTGCAGTTGGAAGGTCCTTTGGCTTCAAAGATGTCGGTGAGCTCTTTGCGTACCTGAGATGCGATGTCGGGCGAAACAGTTCCGGTTGCCACTGGATAGACGGCTTCCGAGGGCGAAGGGCCGAGGGGGAGGATGGTGGGGTTGGCGAGGAGATCCGAGAAGATCGAGTTGCGTGCGACATCGGTGACGACGGGTCGTGGTTCGGCTGTCATGGACTGAGGGTTGTTGAAGTACGAGGCGAACATCGAAGTTGGGAACGCGCTCGATGCAGTGTACGCGGACGTCTGCTGGTCGAAGCCACCTGAGCTGGCAGCGGAGGAGGACTTGGCAGCGTCATTGCGGGCAACAAGCGGAGCGGGCGATGTCGAGGCCAGCTGAACAAGGCCCAACAGAGCGGCGAGGGATGCGACGACCTTCATCCTGAACCAGAGTGTCTGTCTCCAAGATGATGACGGGGGGCAGGACGATGCTGTAGATGGGGAAGGAAGGGTCTTGTCGTCGAGAATGGGTGTCTTTTTTAGGTCGTACGACATCCTCTCCTGCATCCTTCTCTTCCTCCAAGGGACGTCTAGTATGGCTTCGGCACAGGCAGCCCTCGAGGGCAAACCGAGAATCCGCCGGTGATGGTCGGTGGGACAGATCCTGGAGGCGAGAAACCGTAGATTTCTAGCCTAGCTCTTCGTCACTGCCAATGCGCTCGAGCCGTCCTGGGTTTCGTGCAACTGCTCTATCTGCACGGCATTCCCGCATTTACGCAGATCAGATGGAACGTTCCTAGAAGAGCGCCATGTGTGCATGGTGCTTTACGAAGGAAGGAAAAGGCCGGTACGAAAGTGCGGTCGAGAGAATGGGGTTGGCAGAAGCGAGCTCGCCGAAAATGCAAACTTTGGTGCGAGGCGAGGTCGATGGGAGTGCACGTTTTCAGGGTCCAAGTCGTCCATCGCACCAAATGGCGACGGCACGTTTCTAATTGCACATCTTTGTCGAGTCTCATCAAGCCGAGCATGCATGGATCAACGGCAGCACCCGCTCAGTGTCTGGAAGCATTCGGTCGCAAACGTGCAAAGCACAATATCTCCTTGGTGGTGAGAGTGGGCCGCCGGTCAAGCGCATGTTCTTGCTCGGCGTCCGGCGGTGTCTTGCCCGGCATCCTGAAGAGGCGTGATGAGATCCCGAGATCAACAATCGGGGCTGTGACGAGCACAGATGGCCGATTGTACCCTACGTATGGCAGCTGTCATGCATAGTGCTGCATACCCCGCACCTCGAAGCGCGGTTTCACACACACACGAACCAGTAGCGGCTCCCTAGTGTCGTCCGCAAGTCTTGTCCCCAGGCTACCTTGGAACGCGGTTGCTCTAGAGTGAAGGCCGGCAATGCAAAGTCGTGAACCGACGTTGCAACATATTTCCGCGGCTTCCAATATGTGGAGATTCTTGCTCGAGCCGCCAAGAAGTGGCGTAGACACCTGAGGTGGGTCGTGCACAGACGCTGCCATCGACTCCTGTGCATTTAGAGCTTCTTCACTATCGTCTCTACCTTTGGCTTCCACAGCAGAGATATCTCCTTCAAATTTATGCAAGCTTGTTGCCATGTCGGAAGTTGGCCAACCTCGTCAAATCCGTATCGACTTTCCCGAAGCGGATCTGGATCGGCTGCAGCGCAAGCTCGACGATGCCAGACTGCCAGACCAAGAGATCACCGGCGGTCTCAAGCCGTGGGAGTATGGAACGGAGCTAGTCAAGCTTCGACAGCTCGTCAATGATTGGACAAATGGAAACCCGAAGGACAGCATGCGTCAATCGGTAGGATCTGCCAGACAGGGAGTCAAGGCGTGGTGGAAGGGCGTCGAGTCGCAGCTCAATCGCTTCCCGCACTACACGGTGCAGATCGAAGGTCTCGACATTCACTATCAGCACTTCAAATCTCCCTCATCTAACAATGACGCTGGTGCGCCCGTGATTCCATTCATCTTCTCCCACGGTTGGCCGGGATGCTTTACAGAAGCATTCCACTTCGCCTCGAAGCTGGTCGAATCGCGAGCTCCACGATTCGAAGTCATCGTGCCGAGTTTGCCCGGATACGGACTGTCGCAAGCACCTCTCAAGAAGGGCTGGACGCTCAAGGACTCAGCCCGAGTCTTTGACACGCTCATGACCTCGGTGCTGGGTTTCAAGTCGTACATGGCACAAGGTGGTGATTGGGGATCCCTCGTAACGCGCTTCCTCGCCAACAGTCCGCACTGCACGATTGCGCACATCAACTTTGCTCCGCCTCAACCACCCATCTGGACCATGCCAGCTCTGATCCTTGAGCATGCAGGCTTCAAAGGCGTTGCGCCCAAATCACTCGAATTAATGGGTTATCATCCGCAAGAGGTGCAAGGCATCAAACGAGCTTTCGAGTACCAAGATCAAGGAAATGCCTACACCAAAATTCAGGGCACCCAGCCGTCGACGCTCGGATACGGCTTGTATGACAACCCCGTCGGTATCCTCTCTTGGATCATGGAGAAGTTCCACGCTTGGTCGGACCCTCGTTGCCCCGCATTCACAACCAACTCCACCAACCAATTCTCCCACTCGTTCATCAACGATCAAGAGATCCTCACCACCGTCATGATCTACTACCTCACAAACTCGGTCCACACCTCCTTCCTGCCTTACAAAGAATCGATGCAGCTGTTCCAGAAACCAGACTGGAAGCTGTGGGAGCCAGCCAAGCACAAACCGTTCGGCTATTCGAGCTTCCCTTACGAGCTCGCTGCTGGTCCGAAAAGCTGGCTGGCAAAGTATGGTCTGAATTGGCAGTACTACAAGATGCACGATTACGGTGGTCATTTTGCTGCGCTGTAAGTTTTCGCTTCGCATGATACAACGTTTGGTGACAATGATGCTGATCGTAAGCTCTCCTTTTCTCTCAACCCTTGACGAATCGGCGCTTGCAGCGATAATCCGGATGCGCTGGTGCAGGACATGCAGGAGTTTGCCAATCAGCACTGGCCGCGAAACTAGCCTCGTGCGCGCCGATACATATTGCAATCGCAGCGCGAATCGATGTTGTACAATTCTTGTGTATTGGTGCTGATGCTCGTGACTGGATGAGGCCGATTCCTTCGCAATACAAGTTCTGAAGTCCAAAAACTAGGATGCGCTGACAAAGTTTCGCGCCTTGATAGAGTCCTTGTTCGCCCTCCTGAGCGCTTTTCTTCTGGCGCTCTCGTCCTGCGCTGCCTTCGTCATCGACCTTGACCGCTTCTCCTCCGGGCTCAATGCGGCTTCCTGCTCAGCACTCGTGTCTTTGATCGACTCGGCGTCGCCACCCTTTGCTGCTGCTCGCTCTGCCGCTTTCGCCTCTGCCTTCTCCTTTGCCAGTTGTGCGGCACGCAGGATCTTGGATTGACGCTTCTGTGCAGCTCGTGCTTCACCTTTCGACATACCCGCCATCTCAATCGATGCAAGAGAGGACGAGGATGCAATCGATGGGTCGTCAAGGAGCTTGAACAGCCAGGAAGGATATTCGCTGTCTTGAAGGGCTACCGGGTCTGCTTTGTCTTTGAAGATAGAGACGCCCTTGAGCACTGTTCCGGGAGGCGCCGCTGATGGAAGAGACGGTGTCTCGGCTGGTGTGCTTGAGGAAGCTGCGGGTGCGGCTGAGGATGTTGCTGCGGAGGCAGATGCATAGGTGCGCGAGAGTGGCGCGTATCGCAAGGACGAGCATGACGCTCGGAGTGGTGCCGTCGCTGCCCTCATCATCGTTTCGAAGGCGATTGAGTGTGAGAGGACGAGAGTGTTGGGATTTAGTAGTCCGAAGTGGCCGATGTTCCCGCTGAAGAAGGGATAGGACAGGGACGAAGTGAGGTGATGGTGCGCATGAAGGGAAGAACAGCCACAGAATCAGAAGAATGTGTGCAGGCGAAAAACGTGCGGGACACGTGACTTCGCCAAAACAAACGTGAGCAATAGCTTTCAATGATCTGACAATGTAGAAAAATCAGTTCGACTTGCTCATACGATGCTGCGCAGCTCATGTTCTTCCCTATCTGCAGGGCTTCGATTCGTGCTGGTCGCAATTCATCTACACCTGCAGCTTACATACAGCGTGTGCGGCTATGCTGAACGACCGTCTAGTGCGAAGCTGCTGGTGTAGGAGTATCCGGAGCTGCTCTAGCTTGCTGCCTCTCCATCATCTTTTTCCTAGCCTCTAGGATCATCTGCTCCTTGCGATCCTTGAGCATCTTGGCACGTTCTTCGGGAGTGGTTGCCCAGCTACTCGGACTACCCTGGCTACTCGTACTTTTGAGCGAGTCGGGTGTGGATGGTAGATTGTCGGAGGCCAAGCGTGATTGGAGACCGAAGCGCGAAATCAGGTTGGGAGATTTGCTCGGAGTGCTCATACTCGATGAAGAGCCGGCTGCGGCGGCATTCGCTGCGGTGCGATTGGCAGCCTGTGCTCGAGCAATTGCCGTATTAGAGGCTGTCGAAGGCTCTGCGGAAGCAAAGAAGCCCGCGGGCGGTGAGGGCAGACCACCTTCGTTGAGGATGCGTTCACAGGTCTCCTCTACGCTACCAGAGCGTTGAAGATCGTAGCGGATGGAAGCGTCGGGAATGTGCGGGAAGAGGGTCTTGACCGAATCGACCATGTGCTGTGGTATCTGACGAGAACGGGCAGCATTGATGGCCGGTGCTCCGTGACCACCGTTCGAGTTGTTGTTGGAACCGCCGCCAAAGGCAAAGCGCAGGATCGACCAAAGGACGACGATGGCCAGCAGCGCGCCGAGACTGTCGTTCATGCTGCCTGTCTTCGATGAGCAGGGAGTGGTGGTGGTACTGTGACCGGGAGATGAACAAAGCCGCTCCGTACGTGACTATCCGATCCCCCAAATGTTGAAGCAGCAAAGACCAACGGGCTCAGCTACGTGGAAGGTTCTATGCAGTTGACTCGTAGCTGATGCGGCCTGGATCGCAGAGTATGCAGCGCGTGTTGATTCGTCTAGATTGGTGAGCTTGGAGTGGGAGGAGGGAAGGCGTAGCGGGCGGCCGATACGTCAATTGTCGGAAGAATAGAGCGGGAGATATCAAGCAGGCAGCTCTCAGCGCACCGAGCTCTAAATTGTGGAGCAGACCCGCGAGCCAACATACAAGTGTACTTGACACCCGAAAGCCGCACTGTGAGGCTGACCGATTCAGCGATGGGCCGCTTGCCGCACAGCTTTTTGTTCGCGGCTCACGCCATCAGGGAATATTTCTGCCACTGTCAGATCACTGACATTCCACAGCCTCCAAGGCTCGCCGGATGTTCACACACTGAGGTTCGTCCAGAAGCTCATCTCACACAAGTCCTGAGCATCTGAAAGGTGGAACGGAGGTTTGCTACATGACTGTATTGGGTTCAGGACATCACATCAAAGCTCGAGCTCCACACGGGATCTTCGCACGGCAAAGTCTTGGTAGGTGCCGGTTTTGTCGTCCGAATATGCGCGTTGCTGAGCAACCAAGCCAGCTGACCGGAAAAGCCGGCCTCCGCCTAACCGGCCACGGCTAGTTTTTACAGCGACCTACGCACGATTTAGACTTCTTCCCCGCATCCCCCGCCTACTACTCGCCTCTTGTCTTCTGAATGTTCATATAAGATCTGCATGATCAAGAGGAGCTCTCTCACTAAACAACACCACCATCATCTTGGACTTCCTTGCTGTCGCAATTATGAGTGCCGCAACCAGCACCATGCCGTCCGACGACTTTCGCGTGGCCGACCTCTTGCCTTCACTCGAGCCTCCCGTACCAGCGAAACGACCCGTCATCCCAACGCTGCCACCACGGATTATCTTCACTGCACCGTCCCAAGATCCATCATCGCACAAGCAGCAGCAGTGGATCTCTACCACGCACGTGTACCCTGCAGCATGGCCTCGCTCTCACGTCCGCTCAGCCAAGTCGGACATCTACGATGCAAAGATACCAAGCACATATAGCCTTGGACCACTTCCTTCCGATCCGCAAGCAGCAAAAGCCGAACAGCGACGGAGGAGGGAGGCCGACTTCAAGCACTGGGTCGAAGTGTGCGGGGGGAAGGACGCGGAGGATCAGCGTAATCTGATGCGCTCTTTGCGGAATGGATGCTCGAAGGAGGGCCATACTGCGAGGATCACTGAAGCAAGGACCGCGAATGAGGTGCAGCTTTGGAACACGGTGAATCGCATCGTTCCCGCCTCTTTGGATGCTGAGGACAGTGTTGGCTCGTCAAGCTCAGACAAACGAGAAGGAATCACATTGATCCTCGCCCACGCGAACGGTTTCCACAAAGAAATCTTCGAGCCAGCTGTAGCATCGCTCATTCAAAAGCTCCAGACCGAAGCATTCCGCGGCAAGTACAGGATAGACGAGATTTGGATCTTCGACTGCACACACTCTGGCCAGGCTGCCAGCATCAATCGAGACGTTCTCGGCGACATCGTCAGCTGGGCAGATCATCCACGCGATATGCTCAAGTTCCTCGAACACTACATGCCAGAAACACCTGCACATCCTTCCTCTGCACCGGCTTGGCTTCCCACTTTTCTTCCCTCGCACAAGACTTCGTCTCCCAAGGCAAGACGACGTCTCATTGGACTCGGGCACTCGTTTGGTGGCGCATCGCTCACTTTCGTCCTGCATGCCCGACCACGCATGCTGGAGGGTCTCATCCTCGTCGACCCGGCCATCGTACACTGTGACGACGAGGAGAAATTCCAATTCCACAACCTACCCAACGAGGTGTGGCCCTCGCTTGATCAGGTTCCGCTCGCCCGTGGTGCCATCGCCCGCAAGGATACGTTCGACTCGCTGCCCGACGCACAAGCTTACTTCGAGTCGAAACCTTTCTTCCAAGTATGGGATAAGCGCGTCCTTGACCTTCACCTGCGCTTCGGCCTTCGACCTTCCGTCATTCCATTTACCCGCGCTCTAGCCGCAGACGACATGCACGAAAACGATCTCAAACGTACACCGCTCGAACTGAACAACACCAAATGGCACGAAGCTGCCGCATTCTGCTCGACGTGGATGGGCTACATTGGGAGGAAAGGAATGCTCACGACGAATCACGGCGCTTGGGTTGGGATGGTGAATATGCGAGGTGGGTTCAACAACGTCGACTTGGCGGCTGAGATTGATCGTCTGGAGCGAGGGATCAGCTTTACGATTGATGGGAACCATCTCGTGGCGCAAGAGGAGCCCGAGGCGTTGGCAGATGCGCTTGTCGACGTTCTCGAGGCGCAGTCGGACGTGCAAAAGTTGAAAGAGGAGAAGCTTCGTAGGCAGGTTGGGAAGACGAAATTGTAACATGTAGCTGTCATCACAAGTGATCTGAAGCCGGTCTAAAAAGCACCTCAAGTTTGTCATTCCTTTTGCCGGTGCCTTTTTGTCAGTCGGTTGTGTTGCTGAGTGTCGACGCTTTGACCTACAGTAGTTAATGGATCGGAACCTCCATAAGATCACATCTAGATCGGAAGACTTCCGAAGAGTGTTCATTTGCTCACTTCTCGAATTCGCTGCGGAAAGTGGGCTCTTCCCATTGCGTGGATCGCATATTTTAGCAAAACGCGCTCGGCGCAGTTGCGCCTTCAGTTCATTTGCACACATGACGACACTTAACGGCAATTGTGGTCAAAGGAGTGTGCTCAGCTTGGCTCTCGAGCTTCAAAGGCCAAGTGCGGGATTGCTGATCCTGACAGTTGTTCTGTGGCTTCTTCATTGTTCTCCGTGTTGTCGGCTCCCTCCCATCTGAAATGCTCAACACCACAACACGATGTTCGGATACAACAGCAAACAGCAAACACCACGGTCTCGTCCTCGTCAATGCATTCAACATTGGCTCCTTCAAGTTTGAGCCTATCCTGGAGATGTTACAGGATCCGGCACTTCACACGGAAGCGCTCGACGAGATCCAAATGCTAGCATTCGCATGCTTTGGAAAGGCAGAAAAGATCCTGGACACCGCACGTTTTGGCTTCAAGTTCATCTCGGAACAGCAGAGGGAGCCTTTGCAGGCCTACATCGATCTGTTTGGAGAAGCTGCCACCGTGCTGGAGTGCATAGCTTACATTGTGCAGCTTCAGAGTCTCGGCGCTTCCAAAAGCCCTGAGACCATTCGACGCATAGTCGAGATAGCAAAAGAAGTGTTCAGTACCTGGCCAACAGCTGCAGAAGATCAAGACGAAGTGGGTCTTGCATCCGTGGAAGCGCTCGCCGCTGCGACAAGCTCACGGCGACGATCCGAAGACGTATCATCAGCTCGGTTGCAAGAAAAGCAGAGCTACGGAACACCGGATGGAAGCACGAGCCTGAACAATGTCGATACGGGCACCGCAATACCCGCTGACAGCGGCGCAAGCCTTCATCATGTGCAAGCTCAGCCAGGAGAACCCATGGTCCCATCAGAAAAGAAGCGAAAGGTAGCATGGGAAAACGACGACGAGGTCCAAGCAAACACAGTATCGGCTGACAACAGCACGAGCTCGAATCATGTACAAGCTCAGCTGGAGACATCAATGACCCCCTCAAGAAAACAGCGACGGGCAACAGTGGAGACTGACCGCGATGACCTTGTGCAATCTCAGTCAAAAACGTCAATGATCCTCTCAAGAAAGAGACCACGGGTAACAGTGGAGACTGACGGCGAAGACCTCGTGCAGTCTCACGACGACGATGCCCCTGAAAGGAGGAACAGACATGTTTTTGCGGAGATGGGCGACGGTGAAGCAGGCGAGGCGAGCATCTTAGCACCCGAACCAGGCAACGGCGACAAAGGTGGTATCTGTAGTCCGGCACCAAAGTCAACGAAGGCATCGCAACCAGTGGATGCACCTCCCTGCGAGCGCTTCGACTCTAGCATCGATCTCAACTCACGCTTCGGCCTATCCTCGCCACTCGCCTTTCGAGAAAATCACCCAAGCACCGCAGACGGTCATCGTCTCTCCTTCGTGGGCCGCGTCCTCCTTCCGACCTACTACGTCTCGAAAAAGTACAAGGAGATGAAGCTCCAGCTGAGCCATGACACTTACCTGACGGTTATGAATCGGAACGACTCGATGATGTACTACTCGGTACAGCACGAATCTCTGGCAAATCGCAGGATGCCCATGGTGGTCAGGAATGTGATGCGCGGACGCGGTGGGAATTTCTTGCTCTTCGATGGGCAGTCGAGGCTCGAGCCGATCGGGAGAGAGTACACGGTGGAACAGGTGTTCGAGTTCAACGACGCTTATGATCGAGAGTTCCGCACTTGAGCTCGAGGGGGGGCGCGAAAGAGTGCACCGACATCTGGAGAAGCGCAGGCTGCGAGAATACTAGGCGCGCTCTAATATAATCCATCGTCTTCACCACACACAGCCGGTCGATAGATGTTGACAGCAAGCACATCCGGGCCTGACGATGTGTGCAAGTATCTCTTGTTGCAAATCCTAACAGACGGTTACAAATACAACCAACAGAAGAGTGGGAACCAGGTATATACTACGGGAACTGTGACGGGAAAGGATGGATTTACTTGCGAGCTGTCAACTTGTCCTGCTCGACCATGGCTCGGATGTCCTTCTTAAGGATCTTGCCCGAGGCCGACTTGGGGAGCGCATCGAGCCATGTCAATCCGCGGAGCTTCTTGTAGTTTGCGTTGACGCGATGGTTGACAAAGTCGAGCAGCTCCTTCTCGAGCGACTTCTTCTTGCCTTCGTCGTCGCCGACCTCTTCCTTGGTCTTGGGGTTGAGGACGACGAAGGCCCAGGGAAGCTCGGTGCCCTCTTGGTCGGGGACGCCGAGGACGGCGCAGTCGCCGACGCGGTCTTCTTTGAACATGAGGGCTTCGAGTTCCGAGGGTGGTACCTGGAATCCGTTGTACTTGATCACGTCCTTGAGACGGTCGGTGATGGTGACGAAGCCGTCCTTGTTGACTTTGACAATGTCGCCTGTTCGCAAGAAGCGGTCGGGGTCTTCAACGGAGGGCATGAAGGTCTTGGCGTTGGCCTCGTCGTTGTTGAGGTAGCCCTGCATCATCTGTGGGCCACGGAGGCAGAGTTCGCCCTCCTCGTCGAAGCCGACCTCTTTGCCATCGAGGCCGATGACCTTGGCTTCGGTGCCGGGTACGAGCTGACCGACGGTATTTGGATAGTGCTCGATGTCCTTGGTGTTTTGACTGCAGACGAGAGGTGACATTTCAGACATGCCGTAACCGTCGGTCGAGTCGATGCCGAGACGCTTCTTGACAGCGACGCGAAGTTCTTGAGGGAGTGACGCCGCGCCGGAGCTGACCTTGGAGAGCGAGCTGAGGTCATAGTTGTCGACACTGGGGTGCTTGGCGAGAGCGAGGAGGATAGGTGGTACGACAAAGCAGAAGGTGACGCGGTAGCGCTGGACGATGGTGAGGAAGACATCCAACGCGAACCTCGGCAAAACGAGGGTGGGAGTGGCGGTGTGAAGGTTCATGAAACCCATCAAGAGACCATAGCAGTGGAAGAGGGGCAAGAGGCCCAAGTGGAATTCGCCACGGCTGAGACGGGGTGCCAATTGGATACCACCGATCTTCTCGGTGACCGTGTTGACGGCGTCAGCGGCGGTGTTCCAGGTTTCGGAGACACGAGTGGTCAAGTAGCCGCGGAGGAGTTCGCGACCTCCAGCGTACCAGTTGTCCTCGTCGATGAGAGGATCGTTGACTCGGTCGAGCATGGAAAAGGAGGCCTGGATAATGTTGGCGACGACAGCATAGTGTGAAAGCATGACGGCCTTGGGACCACCGGTGGTACCCGAGGAGAAGCAAAAGACAGCCGTGGTGGTCTTGGGATCGAGCTTGACATTGTCCAGCAATGTACGCGTTTCTGGCAACTCGTCCTTTCCGACCTTGAGAATCTTGGTGATGGACGAGGCGTGGCTTTCTTCAAAAACGAGGATCTCGGGAGCAGCTGCGAGGTGCTCGAGACCATCGTCGCCTTTCACGGATGCTTCGTGAGCGGCCTCCTGGGTCGCCTTGTACGAAGCTTCGGTGGTGATGACGGCGGTGGCCTTGACCATTCGAATCTGGTGTGCGATCTCGGCGGGCTTGTAGGCAGGGTTGAATAGAGCCACACTGGCGCCAGTCATCATGATCCCGAGCGCACAGGCAAGGTAGTCGTGTGTGTTGGCGGCATTGATACCTACAACATCGCCTTTACCGTACTTGCGACCGGACTCGGTAGAACCAGAGATGAGCGCCGAGGCAAGGTTGGTAGCGTACTCGCGCACATCGACCAGCGACATGACTTTGGCATCGGGACGCCCTGTGACCTCTGGCTCAGCAGGGTAGAGGAGCGGGGCGTTGACGCGCTCCTTGCATGCTGCGATGTCGATGGGCTTGAAGAGGAACTCGGGAAGAGTGTAGTTGGTAGGGGCCCTAAAAGCGTGGGGCGACTTGATGATCATGGTGTCTTCGTCGAGGTAATACTTGCGGCGATAATCGGCTCGTGTAGCGCGCAAGACGTGGAGGGCGACGAGGGACACGACAAAGATGACGCCGTAGAGAAGAACAGAAGACTGGTCCGCAAAAGTTCGACTGGATCCAGATCGAGTCGATTTGGCGTTAATGTAGGACGAGGGGACGATGTATGCGACGACGGCGTGCAAGATATCGGAGAAGAGGCGTAGCATGGTGCGAATGAAATCCAGCATCTTGGAAGATATATATCAGTGGGCTTCGAGACAAGGCTACACAAGAAGTTTGAGCAGCAGGAGACTGTGCTGAGTGAGCGAATTGGCGCGAATAGCAGCGTAGCCTGCGCTCGCACCAGCCGACAGTAGTAAGGGAGGGGCTGAGATCTCGGTGTACACAAACGCAATGAGACACGAGACGGGAACCACTGTGACGATTCGGTCCTGGATCACCGGTCAGAGTCCGCGACGTGAGGCTGAGCCAGGTTGCATGAGCAAAAGACGACGCCAGGGCGTAATCAGGCAGGCGAGGCTCGGCGCAGAGCGGAGACTCAATGGTGGGCGTTGACAGGACAAATGGCTAAACTATGCGAGAAGGCAAGAAGCCCAGGACGACAAGCTGATCCAACGCGGGAGGGCGGCGCAACGAAGTCTGGACCAGGGATGGTGGAGTGTAAATGGAGAGAGCGACGAGGAACGACGACTGCTGGTTACCCAAAGACATGACGGAAGGGGACGGTGGAGGGCGGCAACTGTCAAACGAGCACAGTCACTTGACTGAAACAAGGCAAGAAAGCGAGGCCCTCGTGCGTTGAAAGGCTGGACCTGCACGAGTGCGAGTGTGAAACACCAATTCAGCCGGTGACCACACAAATCTTCTATGATAAAATTATATTATTATTTTTTCTTCCTTTCCTTTCAGGTTGACTGCAAGAGCGTGATTCCGGCTGTCGAGACCAGAGAGGCCCCTTAGACGAAGCTATACTGTCGAGGTGGCTCACACCTTCCTGTCTAGAGACCATCGCGAAACGTGTCCCCCTAGCCGGACAGCTACGACGGGCCGGGAGGAAGCTTCCGAATTGGAATGATCTTCGCCTCGGATGCGCTATTGCCGATCATTGCATGGGTACCGTTTGCGCTCTGAAGCCTTGTGCGGATCCCTTCGAAAAAATCAAGATTTATAATAATATTCCTCTATTTCATTTCTCAGCCTCAAGCCCGCGATGGAACATGGCTGACCCGCCCCTCCGGAATGCGCGTACCTCGCGTTTCTGCGCTCGATCTGAGCTCTGGCACGGATAAGGTCACTTCCGAGTGCTCCGTGCTTTTAGCACAGGCCACTCACGGAGGAGCTTGCAACCCAGGGGCGATACCGACGACTGCCGATGAGAGGAACCAAATTTCGCAGAAATCTTAGGTGCAAGTTACGGTAAGAAGCTTTTTCCTGACAGCAGGCTGACAGCAGCTGGTCAGCCCTTGGCTCGCACAAGACGCGCCGCTTTCGGAAAACGAGGTTGCGGGGACGACAGTCGCCGTAGCCGACTATGCACAACCGCTGTGACGGTGAAGCCTCGTCAACATTTTTCGAAGGATTCCCATCGATCCATCTGCTTTGTATGTTCGCAAGACATCTGCTTGCCGTAGGTCAGCATCAATTTGCGCTTGTAAGAGTAGGAACGACGCCACGACAATTCGAACACCAAGATAGTGTGTGGACAGACGCAAAGCAGGGCAGACGACCGACAGGTGTGTGCTGACTACGCTTTATCTAGCGAGGGCCGTTGCGACCGGTAAGTATTAATAATCTCCAGAGTGGCGCCCACTTGTTACCGTTACCACACCATTCCACAGGTCGGATGCGAGACATCCAGACATTAGCCTGTGGGAAAAGGCTCGCGTGGGAGACCTTCGATCGACCAAGGTCAGACATACTACAAGTCAACGAGCAAACCATCCTCTGAACGAGAGACCGCGTGAGTAGCGGGGCGGAAAAAGTATGAGACATGGTTTCACCACAGACTCACTACTGAACGCCGCCGACTTCAGCGGTTACGCTAAGCGCACAGTTGCCTCGGTTCGCCAAGGTCTAGCCGCTACCCGCCAGCAACTTAAATATTTAGAGGAAATTCAGCACATTGCACGCTACACTCCACCGACTTATTTAGTTAATTTTCTTGGACAACGTGGGAGAGGACGATTCTCCAAAATCGGCTGGACAAGCCAGCCTTCCAGACCTGCATGCCTTGACCACATCCTTAAGAACTTGACGGCTGATTGACCAATCAAGCCATGCAGAAAGTGATTTCTCTCTCTCTTGCACAAGTCAAGGCGACATCGCCAAAACTGAACCGCAACTTCCGACATTCTTGATCTGAAAATCTACTCGCCCCGATACACTGGCTCTCGCTTCTCGGCAAACGCCTTGAGACCCTCGAGACGATCTTTGGTGCCCAGAATCGTCTCATAGCACTGACGCTCAAAGTCGAGTGCCGTCTCAGGGTCCATCTGCTCTCCCTTGTCGATGGCTAGCTTGGCTGCTCGAACCGCCAGAGGTCCTGTGGTGAACAACGTTCGGGAAGGTTTGGAGGAAAAATTGTCAGTACGTGTTAGACTCGCAACGCGTTCGCTCTAATTCTTCCGCTTCCGGAAACCCTTCCGCGGCGGGGTTGATATTTGTCCTTGGGCGTCATCACGGCATGTGCTGCCGCATTCAGCCTGCGTGATCAGCCCTAATTCAGCTTCAACAAACACTCGCTGGGCGTACGAAGCCAAGCGAGCTCGTGACGCCCTGCTGGTAGCCAATCATTGCGCCGTCACATGTGCGCCTGTATCCACCGACTGGATGCGGACGTACGTGTCATGGTCGTACGACTTGGGCAGAAGCATCCACGGCGATTCGTCCGCATACACCGCAAGAACGCACGACAGTCCACCCTTGATTCCGAGTTCCGGACAGGCAGAGCAGTCTCTTCAATGCGGCAGGTTGAAACGAGCTAGATCCGCGGAACTTACCATTCTTTGCAAAAGATCTTGCCAAATGTACAGCCTTGTTGAACGCTGCTGTCCCGTCGCCTTCCTTGGCGACGATATCGACGAAACCGATGCGACTCGCTTCGACCGCATCCACCAATTTGGCGCTGAAGATGAGTTCTTTCGCACGAGCAGGTCCGACCAACCTCGTCATTCGACTGGTACCGCCTGCACCGGGGATGATGCCCAACTTGGTCTCGGTCAGGCCGAGCTTTGTCGCTGCTGGACCAGCGATGCGCAAGTCGCAGGTGAGCGCCAGCTCCAATCCACCGCCCATAGCCAGACCGTCAAGACAAGCGATGGTAGGCATGGGCAACCGTGAGACGTTGGTGAACACTTTCCGCAAACCAAGCAGGAACGCGTCCACCTCTGGTTTCGACATTCCTTTGCGTTCCTTGAGATCGGCACCGGCACAGAAAGTTCCTGGTACGGAGGAGCGTATCAAGAGCGTTCGCACTGTCGATGAGGTGAGCAACGACGTGACGTGCTGATCCATCTCGGCCAGAAGTGCTCGTGAGATGGCGTTTTTGGCAGGTGCACGGTTGAGCGTCAACACCGAAATGTGCTCGTCGTAGGGTGAAGTGGATCCGAGCTCGCTTTTGGCGATGTCGGAGAGTGGGCTGAGCGTCACGAGTTGCGATGGGTCGGTAACCGTCGAGTAGCTGCGGAGGACGTTGATCGAGGAGCAGGCGATGGGACGTCGCACCAAGGCGGCAGCCAGGCTTGTGCTCGCCAGAGATGTTCGCAACGAGATCATCTTGGTGTCGCGTGTGGTCTCGTTCAGCCCGAGTCTGATGGTGAATGGAGCTCGTGTGTTGGTGTCGTTGAACAACCGTTTGATGGTGCTGAGCCGGTCCAAACGTTTACCCCGCAACCGCGACGCTGACCGGTCCGAGCGTAGCTGCCCGGTACATCCGAAATTCTTCCTAACATGGCATCGGCACCTGTGCGATCGGGAATTTGAAATACGACACGGCTCGACCGTTGATATCACTTGCTGGCTGTGCTCACTTCCTCCTCGGAGACAACGACCACCAGCACAACACCTTCGACACACGCAATGACGGCAGAAGAGCATCCAATCAACCAGTCCGACTGGCAGAAAGTCTACAGCGAGCCCGCGACTAAACCTGGATCGATCAGCGTCGACGAGCTCACCGCCTGGTTTCACGACAAGACCCCGGGCAAGGACTTTGTCGTTGTCGACGTACGACGCTCGGATTGCGACGTAAGTCCTCACCAGCCCGGTCTGCATCTCCCTACTCTCTTCCGCGGATACTAACCTTCCTTTCTCACTCGAAGTACATTCTGCCTGGAGCCATCAACCTACCAGCACACTCCCTTCCAGCGACGCTTCCAACGCTAGCACCGATGCTCTCGACCATCCCCAAGCTGGCGTTCCACTGCAACTCGAGCAAAGGCAGAGGAACGCGAGCAGCAGGTTGGGTAGCAGACGCGTTCGTCAAGATGCACACACAGGCAGGTGCGTCGGAAGCTCAGGCGCAGCAGAGCGTCGCCCAGCAGGTACTCATCCTCACGGGCGGCATCATAGCTTGGACTGAGACGCACGGGAAGCGACCCATCGAGACCAGGGGACAAGCTTGGGATGGCAAGACGCTGGCGGCGATACCCCTGTGATGACAGTCCATGCAGCTTGAACACATCTCTGCATTACATTTCTCGTACAGACTCCTCTGTGACATTTGCGGAAAGTGGTGAAGCTTAGAATTTGCCGATAAGCAAGTTGCCGATCATCTCTCGTGCAGTGATCCATACAGTGATACCAAAGGTAGGCAGATCGAGCGTCGAGCTCAACACGTCTGCGAGACCGAACGGCAGCATGGGTGGGATCCAACCCTGAGCGAGTTCCAGCGCCCAGCAGCCATCCTCGGGCATCATGTACTGTTTGACGGTTCCGCGGCGAAGGTGGTGGACCGATCCAGCGGGGTAGTGCTCTGCCTTGAGCGCACCGGCCGGGAAGGCGTACTGGTTTCCGGTGAGGATGTTGAAGTAGTCGTCGGCGGTGTGACGACCGGTGTGACCCTCGGTGCCGACGGGAGTACCGAAGAAGATGAGGTACTCGGTGACGGATGCGTGTATGATGTACATGCTACCCATCGCACCACCGGCGTTGTTGAACATCCATTCCGACTCGACGCTGAAGTGTTTCTTGTTGATGTAAGGCGCCAGCTTGGGGTCGGCACGGAGGTTGTCCAGGATGTCGTCGAAGATGGCTGTGGCATTGCCTGGGTGGTTTGCGACCGCGGTGGATGCGATCTTGTAGATGGCTTTGTTGTCGAAGATGTAGAAGCTGGAGCGGATCGAGTCGAGAGCCACGACGAGGGCGCAAAAGCCAACCAGGAGGGCCGAGATCACCACCCAGCTGCGCTTGGGCATCGACGAAGAGCCGGAAGCAGGCTTGTTGCTACGAGGTCGATGCGTTGCCATGATGTAGATGGAGCAGAGGAAACGAGGAGCTCGGATGGGAGACGGAAGCGACGAGACCGGGTAAAGACCGTGACGAGCACCTTTATAGATGGTTGATGAGAAGAAGCAGGAAGCCTAGGAGTGATGAGTGTTACTTTTGCGATTCTTCGCAACGCTTCCGAAACAAAAGAGTCAATCAGCCCTAAAGAGAAGAAATCGGACCACTATTGCATCCGAAAACCAACTCTGCCCGAGCCGAAAATCACACCACATCGCGTTCAGCAAGGCTGTCTTGATGCATCTGCACCTCACCGCAAGCCACCGTCTTGGCAAGTACCTCGTGCTCTGTTGACAGCGTTCGTGATTCGACGGGTGAGCATCTATATCCCTAGCAACCACAGTGGTGGAAGCTCGGCGTTGGCCAGCATTGAAGCTATAAATCGCAGGGCTTGTGTACCGGAACAAATTATTGGAGATTGAAAATGCGGTGCGAAAAGGGGGACGCGAAACTCTATGACAAATTCAGTTAAGTAGTAGATAAGGGTCAACAAGCACCATCTGTGCCATACACGATGCGCTGCTCGTAGACAGTTGGACGGGCGAGGGGGTATCATGCAAAAGACGTTCTCCGAGACGTCAGAGCTCGTCGCTCTCATCTTGCTGAAGGTCGATGCCAGCCTGCAAAAAGTCTTCGTTGGGCATGAGACCCGATCCTTTGCCGTGGGTCAAGCTGTCGATTCGAATGTTGAGCTGCTTGGCTCTCTTGCGCAAAGCATCTCGCGTCCTCCACAGCTGTTGCAGCTGAGACAGAAGCTGCTTCTTTCTGCTCGCTGCGTTGAGGTCTTCCACCACAACGAAATCGTCGGCTTCGTCCTCCGATTCGGAGCTAGCTTCCTCGTCGTCGAGGATCAGAACGCGTCTTCGTTGGGATGAGTTGGATGCTCGCCGTGTCGTCGCTTTGGACATTAAGATGGCGGACGTGGAGGAAAAGTGTGCGAGCTGCTTCTCGATCTTGTCTTGCTCTTCGTCGAGATATTGCAGCAAGTCGTAGATTTCGCGCCGATAGTCTGGCAGCGATTTGCGTGGGTCGAGCACGTATTCGTCGGAGCTTGATGGCGCCATACCGAGGGCCAATGCTTGTGTGACTGTTGCCATTACGGATGAGGCTTTTGGGCCGGTGAACGTCGGGGGCGGTAGATGATGGTCGGGGAGATGGAGGCACCGAGCGCAAATCGGACGAGGACGACTTTCAAAGGGATGATGAGCGTCGACAGCGGACACGGCTAATGAGACAGCGCAGGAGCAGCAGAGTGGGTCTGCTTGCTCAGCCGCGGATCTGAGCTGACTTGGCGTAGCGTGCTTTAGATAGCGTGGCCCACCTCGCCCTGCAGCTGTCAAAACAAGAAAATCGACGGGCGCCCACGATTTTTCACGAGCGAAATCGAGCACCCTTGCAGCTCCGCATGCAAAATTGCTTCATGCTCTGACCCTTGACAGGCGAAATCAAAAGATAAGCAAGCGCTTTGTGAAGCGATGCAATTTCGATCCACTCATCCTCGTCGTGCATGTTTGGATGATCACTCAGACGATGTCGCAACATTTGAGCTACTGTAATAAGGTATTTGTCACTGTTAGCCAAAACATTGAACGACTTCATCCCAGCCAGGATTGGCACCGGCATCGTCTTCCGCCTTCTTCGCCTCTCCTAAAGCGTCGAGCGTCTTGAGACACGCCAGGTGACGCATCGTCGGACGACCGTGTGGGCAATTCCAAGGCTGCTCGATGGTACCCATATTGTTGAGGATGGACTTCATCCTGCCCTTGTTCAAAGCAGTGCCGATCATGATCGATTTGCGGCAGGCTCTGCTAGCAAACATGGCCCTCGCCTTGCTGCATCGGATGCCTTTGGCCGCCTCCGAGCCTGCCGTCGTGTCTCGGAGCAGATACAGGAGCTCCTCGAGATCCTTGACGCCAAAGACGGTGGCCTTGCTCATGGGCTGCGCTACGAGCTTGACTCTTGTGCCAGGAAGACCCGTCTCAGAGACCGCAATCTCAAAGCCATTGGCCAGCAGTGTCTCTTGATGTTCGATGGCTACCAGTTCATCAGAGGCAGAAAGCTCGAGCCCACGCGGTACGATGAGCTTCTGCGATCGGATCTGCGTGGTCAGCTGCAGCGTCTCAAAGTTGAACTTTTCGTCCGAGGCGTGCTGATCGACGATGAAGAGATCATCCATCTCGTCTGACGTGGTGACGTCGGGCACGGTGCGACGCCGAGCGATGATGAAGCCGAGGTTGAACTGACCCACCACGTCCATGGCTGCAAAATCACGCTTGTGGATGACGCGCGAGAGTGCCCTCTCCACCTGCGCTTCGTCCTGATTCTCTACACCAGCGCCTTGCAGTAGCTGCTCCTCCCCAGAGGCAGGCAAGCCAGATGAAGCGGATAGATGCGACGCGCGTCGCTGCTGAAGACGGCGTCGGAGACGTTCCAAGTCAACTGAGATCACCTCTTCGTGGTCAGCGAGGTCATGACCGAGTGTTTCCTTGTGCATCGCAGCGAGCTTGTTGGACAAAGGCTCCTCAGCTGCCTCTTCAAGCTGCTCATCATCTTCCTCATCTTCCTGATCCACTCGGCCTGCGTGGCAATCCGATACTGGGCCGTTCTCAGCCGCCGCGTCTGCCTCTTCCATCCCAACTCCCGTTCGAGTCGAGTCTTGGTCCTGATCTGCGAATGCCATCCTGCTCGAGACTGCCAGATCATCAAGCTGCGTTCCAGGCAGTGCGAAGGTTTTGAGTGATGCCAAGACATTTCGAGCTTCTTTGCGCGAGCGACCCAAGATCGAAGTGTCGACTGCTTGCTTGGAAGGCTCCGCTGTGCGCGGCTTTTTGGCAGGCGACCGAGACGCCTGGCTCGTGTCGAGAGCTTCGTTGAAGTTGCGTTTCGATGCAATCTCTTCCGGACACGACGATCCGACGGCTGGCGGTGCTGACACTTCGGGCTCGCTGTCATCGTCCTCGACATGCTGTGCTCCCTCGCGGCTGGCGATCGGTGGAAGGGAACTCGAGTCCTCGCGATATTCGAGGTCGTGGGCGTCAGAAGTGACCGTGCGAGAGCGTGATGAGACAAGATCATTGTCGTCCTCGTGGCTGCCATCTGCATCCTCCGCCGACTGTGCGTCCTCCTGGTCCTCTGCACTGACTTCGCCTGCAGAATGCACTGACGTATCTTGTTCTGATTCGTCCGCCGTGGAGGCGTCCTTCGGCTTCGCTGCGAAGCCACTGAGCCTAGATTGTGCGCTCAACGTCGTGACACCGCTTCCGTTGCGGAGCGAATGGCTGGCTCCGTTGACCAGGAAGGTGGCCCTACTAGGAGCGAACAGCTCTTCGAGCGCTTCTTTGGCCTTTTCGATGAGGCGGCTCTCCTCGTGCAGAAAGATGGTGCGTTTGTCCGGGCTGACGTTGACGTCGTACGAGTCTGTCGGTAGCCTGAAGTCAGCAATGACAAAGGGAAAGTGATGGGAATTAAAAGACTTGTACACCTCGTTGAAAGCTCGGCTAACTCGACCTGCCTCCCACGGTCGTCCATTGATGTAGAAGAATTGTCGATCGGACGAGGTGCGACCAGAGCCGTAAGTTGGCTTGCTGATCAGCCCGACAACGTTCACCGTCGATGTGTCCTCACTTGTCGCGTCTCCTTCTTCGCCTTGGTTCATGTCGCCATCTGCGGGATGCTGTAAAAGCTTGCTGCGAGACCTGGCGACGGAGAAAGTGAGCTCGAGGTTGAGTGGCATGAGTGTTGGGACCACCTTTGCGCCGAACAGGGCCGAGACGTTGGCCGAGAGAAAGTTTTTCGAGCTGGACGAATTGACGCTGAATTGCGGTGTCTTGCGACCACCTGCCGGGGCGTTGGTAGTTGTCCAACGGACACCCTTGGTAATGAGAGCATAAGCCTGGAGCAGATTTTGTGCTTTGGTGTATTCGCGCTTGAGGTTCTTTTCGAACTCCTTGCGACGGACAGGCAGCGTCTTGAAGAGCCCCTCGATGGTAATCGTGGTGCCTCTCTGCCTCGCAGCTCTTCCCGCATCGCTCTCGACCTTGCCCGATTTGCCAAGCTGCAGGATGGTGCCCACAGGTGCCTGGTCCGAAGTGGCGGTGTGGATGGTCACTTTGGCAAGAGCGCACAGAGAGGAGAGAGCCTCGCCACGAAAACCAAAGGTGCGAACAAGGGAAAGATCCGAGAAGGAAGAGAGCTTGCTGGTGTAGTGTTTTAGAGCGACCGAGGCATAGTTGGAAGCGTCGATGCCGGTGCCATTGTCTACCACATCGAAAGAGTCAGCGCCGTAGTCTCGGAAGTTGATGGCGATGTTGGTCGCAGATGCATCGAGTGCATTCTCAATGAGTTCCTTGACCGCTGTTTGCAGATCGAGCACCACTTGTCCGCTGGTGATGCGGTGAACATCGTGCGAGGGGATCGCACGAATGACCGACGAGCCCGAGGCGGCATCTCGATCGTTCGAGGAAGCCTCTTGGACGTCTGTTGGCGTCGACATCATGAGCAGACTGCTATGATCATGGTGAGGCTCAGCAAGCGCTGGAGCGAGGCATCCACTAAGCGATGAGCAGGCTGAGTCGATGAGGACAGTGTGGGTCAAATGAAAGCTTCGCAAAGTGTTGTTCGAAATGGCGTAAACTACGAGCGCGTACCGCGTCAATTCCAACGAATGTTAGACTCGTTGACCGCCTCCACTTTTGGAGGAGCGAAGCCGATCCGATTTGTGGACCCTGACACAAGAACAGCTTGACCCTCACACCACCATCTTGCTCAACTCGCAGCGCCATCCCACCATGACCACACACACGCACATCGCGGTCCGTTCGATAGCAGCATAAGGATGAAAACGCTTGACCATGTCAGATCGGTCCCTACCATGCCACCATGACCACAATGGAGAGCGCGGAACAGAGCGAACCTACTCCGCAACGCACCGAAAAGACCGACTCAGCCTCGTCAGATCCCTTCTTTCGTGTGCGTCTCATCAACATCGATCACATCCTCACGGCACCCACCCCGCTTGACCGCACGCAATGCGCCTTCAATGCCGAAGGTCACACGCTTCGAAAGGTGCCCATCCTCCGCATCTTTGGCGCCACCCCTGCGGGACAGCGCGTCTGCGTCCACATACACAATGTCTACCCGTATTGCTACATACAATACAAGGGCTCTCTTGAACCCGATGACGTGCTCAGATACATTCATCGCCTCGGAAGGGAGCTCAACGCGGCTATGGCCGCCTCCCTCCGCCGCAATCCCCATGATCCAGAGCTCAACCAGTTCGTTGCTGCCATTCATCTTTGCAAGGGAGTCAACTTCTACGGCTACCATGTCGGGTACGCCTATTTCCTCAAAATCTCGTTCGTCGATCCGGCGCACAACTATCGCATAGCAGCCATTCTGGAGTCTGGCGGTGTCATGAAGACGGGTTTTCAGCCATTCGAGATTCACATTCGCTACCAGCTCCAGTTCATGCTCGACTACAACATCTTCGGCTGCGACTATCTCGACCTTGACGACGTACGCTTTCGTTTGCCCATTCCCGATGGAAGCGCAATCGCTAGTGACGAGCCATCTCCTCTTGACTTTCGCTCCAAGATCTGGAATCGCAATTCCATACCCTACGCCCATGTGCAAGCCCAGGATGTCCACCGCGGCACTCACTGTGAGCTCGAAGCTGATGCAAGCGCTCCCTGGATCATCAATCGGCGCAGACTCAAAGAGAGGGACATCCACAGCGACTTTGACGAAATGTCTCCCGCCTCGCCCGACCAAAATATCCTCGTTCCGAGTCTGTCAGGTTTGTGGGACGACGAAAAGAATAGGCGGAACGCAGCTGGCCTGCCGCCTTCCATACCTACAGCGGATCCGACTCGGGATCCGCGATTATACGCGACCGGCGAGTCTCCGCCTTGGATGTCAGAAGATCGCATGCGGCTACTGCTCGAAAAGAGAATCATCGACGAGAAGCAGAAGACGCTGCCTCGCGAACGCAGTGCCGGCCACTTCACCGACCGACCAGGTCTGGACCAGTACATCATGACCACATTCGACGCCGTCGAAGTCTTCCACCCATACCAGGACCAGATCCACGCCGCTGATCCTTACTCGCAGCGTACAGGTCCTTCTGCTTCTTCGAAACTGTACGATCTGCAGCACGCCATTTCACAAACGCAACGTGGTGAAAGTCACCCGACGGAGCCTACTCAATTGACCCAACAGCTGAACCAGGAGACGGACGACTTTGATACCAAATATTTCAAAAGCCAAAACTTCCACCATCTTCTGCAACAAGCCGAGAAGGAGGACATTGCAGCCAATCAGGATCCACCCTCCGATCAGGAAGACGACGCAAATGATATTGACCCGAATGAGCCGATAGACGCGCAGCCTGACGGGCCAGGAACCCCACGCAAGTGGCACAGGACAGATAGCTCGCGATCCAACATGTCCACAAGCAGCAACTTCAGCAAAAGTCCCTTGTCTACACCCAAGAAACGTCAACACACCGACTTTCTTGGCAACGGTGCAACGACGCCTCAGGCGAGCCCTTCTTCCAGACTTACAAAAGACGTTCACGAAGACAGCGTACGCAAGTTCAAACAAGCCAAGCACGATCACTCTGCGGGTAGTACAGGCGGCAGCAATGGCTATCGCTCCGCGCATGTCATCGATTCCAGCCGCTCCGCAAGGGTCAGATTTGTCGAAGCTGGTTCGCCAACGCCAGTCAGCAAGACACGTCGTCCAGAGATGCTACCCTTGCTACCGAGCTCAGCACCCCGCAAACGTCTCATCGCGTTTCATGAGCCTGCCCCATCCCTGCGTACTGTGGTGGAAACCTTTCCGCTGTTCTCCATCGTGCGTCAAGTCCATCCCGAACCGTTCTTCAGCGACCCCAACGATATACCTACGCGACCGAGAGAGTATGCCGGCCGCATGTTCCAGTTTCAATCTCGCACACTGCCGTTCTTGCGGACATTTGAGCACTGGAATCAATCAGGTGAACCTGCTCCTTCGACACAGCCCGGCAAGCCGCCCAGACGGCTTCACTGGCAATTTGGGCCGCCTCCACCGACCGTGCTCGAGGCTCGCGCATGGCGACAGAAGGAAAAAGTGGTCGAAAAGCAGCGTTCCAAGCGACGCCGTGCGCGTCTTCTCTCTCAGATCGAGAGGCTGACTCAGGCCAACGACTTTGGTTTCAAGATATCCCAGCACAAGGCTACCACGTTGGTCATGCGTGACAAACAGCACATGACCACCCTCGCCGTCGAAGTGTTGACCACCACGCGGGGCAATCTCTTCCCAGATCCAGCGTTTGACGCGGTGCAATCGATCATCTATTCGTTTCAGAACGAAGATGAGAAATTGCAGGACACTGGGAGTCGGGCCGATCTGCGCACAGGTCTCATCATTGTCGCAGGGGACGACGACGTCCACGTCGATCGTCTCGGCTTGTCTCACCTGGCCCTCGAGGTTGTCGAAGACGAGCTGGAGCTCTTCAACACGCTCATCGATCTTGTCCGCGCCTTTGATCCAGAGATCATGGTCGGCTGGGAGATCCATTCGTCCTCCTGGGGCTACATCATCGAACGCGCCAGCAAGGAGTACGACTTTGACCTGGTGCCTCAGATCGGACGCGCCATCGTCCACAACACGGGTCGAGCCGGTGGCAAATCTGACAACTACGCTTATACCCAATCTTCTGCCCTTCGCATCACCGGCCGACACACGCTCAACCTCTGGCGACTCATGAAGGGCGAATTGACGCTCAATCTCTACACTCTCGAGAACGTGTGCTACCATCTGCTGCACCGTCGTATACCCAAGTTCTCGCATCAGACGCTGACGCAGTGGTTCAAGTCCGGGCGTGCAGAGTTGATCAGAAAGGCGTTGCTCTACTACATCGACATGGTAGAGTTGGAGCTCGAGATCATTGCCGAGTCGGAATTCGTCATGCGAACGGCGGAGTTCGCCAGGATCTACGGTATCGATTTCTTCTCCGTCATCTCGCGAGGAAGCCAGTTCAAGGTCGAGAGTATCATGCTTCGCATCGCAAAGCCTGAGAATTTTGTGCTGATCTCGCCTAGCCGGGCGCAGGTGGGCAAGCAGAACGCGGCCGAATGCTTGCCCCTCATTATGGAGCCGCAATCGGCTTTCTACAAGGGCCCACTGATCGTGCTCGACTTCCAATCCCTCTATCCCTCGATCATGATCGCGTACAACCTGTGCTACTCGACCTGCCTCGGTCGCGTATCTGGCTTCAAAGGGACCAGCAAATTTGGCGTTACCGAATACTCGCCGCCGAAAGGCTTGCTGAGTCTGCTCCAAGACGATGTCAACATCTCGAGCAACGGTCTGCTGTTTGTCAAGCCCAGCGTGCGCAAGTCGCTGCTAGCAAAGATGCTTTCCGAGATCCTCGACACGCGTGTGATGGTCAAGGGCTCGATGAAGGGTACCAAGGCGGACAAGTCGTTCCAACGCATCCAGAATGCCAGACAGCTCTCGCTCAAGCTGCTCGCTAACGTGACGTACGGCTACACTTCGGCGAGCTTTTCAGGGCGCATGCCGTGCGTCGAGATCGCCGATGCTATCGTCCAAACCGGCAGAGAGACGCTGGAAAAGGCGATGGATCTGATCAACGGTACCGAAGAGTGGGGCGCTCAGGTTGTATACGGCGACACGGACTCGCTGTTCGTGTATCTGCCCGGCCGGACGAAGGAGGAAGCGTTTCGACTCGGCAACACCATCGCCGACAAGGTGACCAGCCTCAACCCGCGTCCGGTCAAGCTCAAGTTCGAGAAGGTCTATCTACCGTCTGTCCTACTAGCTAAGAAGCGATACGTCGGGTTCAAGTACGAAACGCTCGACGAGCGCGAACCTGGCTTCGACGCCAAGGGCATCGAGACAGTGAGACGCGACTTCCATCCCGCCATCCAGCGCATGCTTGAGGCGTGCATACGGATCTTGTTCCGATCTCGCGATCTCAGTCTGGTAAAGAGCTACCTTCAGCGACAGTGGCGCAAGATCCTCGAGGGTCGCGTCAGCCCGCAGGATTTCATCTTCGCAAAAGAGGTACGTCTCGGATCGTACAGCGACAAGGTGGCGCCGCCTCCTGGAGCTGCGGTCTCATCGAGACGCATGCTGGCCGATCCGCGATCTGAACCGCAGTACGGGGAACGAGTGCCCTATATCATCTCGCAGGGCGAACCGAGGGCAAAGTTGAACCAACAGGCGGTGTCACCAGAGGCGTTCCTGAAGAATCCTCAACTCCAAATTAATGCGCTCTACTACATCACTCGCACCATCATCCCGCCTCTAGCTCGAGTATTTAACCTGCTCGGTGCTGACGTGGAAGCGTGGTTTCACGAGATGCCGAAACCCAACAATGCGTACTGGAACAAACGCCCTACTGTGGCGCTGCTGTCTGCCGTGCTAGCTCAACAGGAGGAGATAGAAGCAGAAGCAGCCGAGAACGCTGATGGTGGCGTCTCTTCGCAAAGGCTCGCAACGGGAAAAGGCACAAGCAGTGCTGCGATAGCGACGCTCAACTCGCACTACGCCACCGAAACCTGCCTGCTCTGCTCATCCCGCACCGAAGCGCTCGTCTGTCTAGACTGTCGACAATCGCCTCAGCAAAGCATCCACGCCATATCGTCGAAGTTGCACAAGCTGCAATCGCAAGCGGCTGCCATCGATAGGATCTGCTCCACCTGCGCGGGGATGGAACGACCTGGTCCGGTAGAGTGCGTCAGCTTGGACTGTCCGTACACGTATCAAAAGACGAAGGTGCACAAATCTCTCGAAGATGCAGCGCTGGTGAATGCGTATGTCTCGCGATTGTTCGGCTCGGACATGCAGCGTCAGGCTGGTGTGGAGGATGCTTGGGTTGGGACCGAGGGCGAGGGCAGTGGTATGGATAGCTATTGAAACAGTGGATGTAGGATCGATGAAGTACAAAGTATGCGATAATGCGAGGGGACACAACTACAAAACACCATACCAGCCGGCTGGGCGATCTTTGTCTTGAGAATACGTTCTCTGCTCAGACTCGGCGGATCTGGAACGATCAAGCTTCGCTTAGTGCAGCTGGCATCTTTTGTTTCGATCCAGGACCGAGCGACGGTGCGTGCTTCTTGGCCTTCCGGTTGATCGGCGAGTCGCCACCGGTGTAGCAAAGTGTATCGTAGATGATGCAGCCCATGATCGCTCCAGAGCAGGTGGCGATGACGGGTGTCCAGAGCCAGTACCAAGCGTTGAAAGTCCACAAAATGTCGGACGAATAGCCAACGATGGACAGCATGATGCGTGGACCCAGGTCTCGCGCCGGGTTGACCGCATATGCCGTCTGCCATCCGAGACAGGCACCGAGACCCCAGACCAACCAGAGCAGAACGAGAGGGGCAAGACCGTCCGGGGGCGGCGTATTGGACGAGTCACCGATGGCGAGGATGACGATGAGCAGAATGGCGCTGGCGAAGAATTCGTTGTAGAAGGCGCTCATGCGTGTCGACGGTTGGCGAAGGAATTCGGCTGGATAGGTGGTGAAGAGTGCGGCCGTGGTTTCGGTTTGGTCTGGATCGACGATGCGGATCGGGTTGACGTAGAGAGCGTAGATGCAAAGAGAGCCCATCAGGCAGCCGAGGATCTGAGCAACGATGTAGATGGGCACCTTCTTCCAGGGGAATTTGCGGAAGCATGCTAGCGCAATCGTTACGGCGGGGTTGATCATACCACCCGAAATACCACCTGCCACCCAGACGCCCATCGCTACACCCACACCCCATCCAAATGAGATTGACAGATAGCTACCCTTGGCATTGCTAGGGTCGTACAGCTGCGAGATGACGACCTGACAGTTGATACCGTTGCCGAAAACCATGAGCATGAAGCAGCCGAGGAATTCTGCAAACGGTTCGCGCAGCTTGTACCGAATGGCTGCCCACTTGTTCGGGAACGCGTATTCGTCATCGCTGTCATCTTCCTCTCCTTCGAAGCCACATTCAGCGGGTTGAGGATCTCGGACCGCATTACCGTTTTGATCCATGGTGAGCGTCCCGTCGCTGTCCTTTTCCCCAAAAGCATGACGCTTGTCGTCGTCCCTGGTGGCGACGGCCGTCTCGGTGGTGTATCGGTCTTTCGACGCTTTCAGGTCCGAGTCCTCCGACTGGACTCCATCTTCTGACTGGGAAGGCTGTTCCGTGTTGGTGATCGCTTTGACGTCTTCGATATGTTCTTGAAGATGCTGTCGCTGCTCGAGGTTGGCTTGGCGGACGTGTTTCCTGAGCTCTTCAGTCTGGCCTCGGTTGGCTTTCTCAAACTCTTCGTGGATGAGGTCTCGCAGTTGCGCAAAAAGTTGCGTTCTTCCCTCTTTGGTGTTGACGTCCATCGACGCTCGATGCTCAGCCGTGCTGCCAGCAGCTACTGCAGGTGTCCTTGTTCCGGAAGTGTTGTTGGACTTGCGAGCGGCCTTTTCCGCCTTGTGCTGCCTGTTCTGCTCCTCAGTCGGAAAAGCGTGACCGAGACCGATGCGGCCTGTCGATCGATTCGCGACGCCGGAGACGACGGGGGCTCCCGTGGTGTGGCCGAGGGAGTAGGCTGGCTTCGAGATGGGGATCTTCTTGTAGTGCTTGCCCGTCTTGACATCCTTGATGACGTCGCCTGTGACCTGCTCGTTGGCACCGACCTGGCTGAGCTCGAAGACGCCGCCGCGAGGTGACGACGTGCCAGTGGCATTGTCAGGTAGGTAAATTTGATGACCGGTGAGATCTATTTGGCTGTTGTTGGCGCTGCTAGTCGCACTGCCTCGATGCGGAAGGTTCAGCTCGATGGGGACGGCGACATCAGCTGCCGTCGAGGTGGGAGGCTCAGCAGCAGTAAAGCTCGAGCGGCGAGAGCCGCCAGCTGCTATGCTGGATCCTCGAGAGCGCATGTCGATTGTGATGCCGACAAGGAGGGGAAATGGGCTGTTGCTGCAGAGGGAGCGAGCGTGCTGGAATTGCGGGGTGCAGAAGGATCAGAGGAGGCTCCTTTTTATGATACTTTCGACGTCCAGGCATACAATAAGAACAGCGGGGATGTGGGCCGGGGCAAGATAAAAGGGATGAAGAAACCTCGCCGGACCTCGTCGAAGCAGATGAATGTGGCGGCAGGTTGTTCCTTTTTTGCTGGCTGTTGCTTCTGGGGAAAGTGAGGTGGGGGAGACGCCCAGTCGGGTGGGAATCGGGCTCTTCTTCCCTGAGAATGGGGTCCTCCGGACAGCAGAGCTTTCGGGCCAACTGACTACACCGCTCGAGGCTGTTCGGACGGTAGGCCGAAGCGGATGGATGAAGCTTGCGAGGCTTCGAGAGTGGGATTCTGGGGAATGGTTGCGAGTCAAGGAGGGAGATCACATGGGATCAGGGAAGAGAAGGCGCCAAGCTCAACGACGCCTCCGTTGCCTCGCTTCCGGCTGCAGCGAGGCTGCTGCTGCTGCTCGTCGGCACAGCTTCCGAACACTGCAAACTCGCCGGTCTGTCCGCAGTCCTGGCCTGTTGTTGCAGACAGCCCCTGCTCCCCATGCTCAAGCCTCATTCGCTTGTGTTTGAGTCTGCGAATCGAGTTTGAGCGTGTCGTCTTGCCACAGGTATGCTCAAGGAAGTATTGCGCTAGGTCTCGCTCTTACACATCCTTGTTTGGCCGACGGCGAAACACCTAGACGTCCAGGAAGCTCAGACAGACCAGCAAAAGATGGATACGCTCCAGCGCTAAACGAAAAATAGTCAAATCGAACAAGAGCGACAGTCAGCTTCCGTACACGAGCATCGCAGTTCCATTCGCGCCGAGCTAAGCTGAAGTGTCTATCAGGCTGCATTGCAAAATAAAGGTCACTCGGGACAGTGCCGCCATCTGCTCGTCTACGACAGTTCGTCAAAAAGGCGGGTCAGTCATCAGTCAGGTTTCTCAGGGTCACCTGTCGTTATTCTGTTAGCCGAGCGTGCAAAACTTCTTCCGGACTGGTACCTGTATGTGCCTCTTTTCTCTTTGGTCTGGAAAGAAAGAGCTGAACTGCCAAGAAGGCCGAGCTGCAAGAGTGACGCATACCGGATGAACCGTTCCGTTCTAATGGAATCCAAAAAAAATCTCCGACACTTTGCCGAAATTAACCGGACAAAAAAAGGACTTTGTTTCGTTGGAATGTCGTCCTTTATTGAAAATTCATTTGAAGACACCGTTACCGAGCACGCCGAGCTCTCGCTCGTCTGCCATGATTTGGCGGCGGCGACGACTTCATAGAGTGTCTTTGGCTCTGACGTGTCGCGCTCGAACGAACAAGATTGAGGGAGGTAGGTGTTGAGCAAGCTTTAATTGACGAGTCGATCAAACATGCGTTGCCGTTTTGTTGAGGCAACGACTCCAACGGAAGCTGCCGAAGAACCTTGCTGCAGTTTGATCGGCACCGGAAGCAAGTTGCCACAAAATTTGGAGCATGTCCACGCCACGTTGTTGCCGGTGAGCGGTCGTCTCCTCCATCAAAGCGCCAGCCTGAACAAGTTGTTCGCGAAGCGAAGAAAGTTTCAAGTTCGCGTAACCCTCGACCACCTGTCGGACCTGCCGAAAAAGCAAGCGATATCAGCAGGGCAGGCAGAAATTGACCGGCGACGAGCGACACGTCTTGGATGTGGACGTGCGGTTTGCGCCTGCCATTTGTGGCTTTCTCGCCTCGACCCCCAGTCTCGCCGAGCTTCTGCCGACGATCTCTGTACCCTTGCGCCACAGCGAATCAGCGCACTGTCCAAAAGTCAAAACGAGTCTATAGGACAGCATCGAAGAAGCGGCTGTTCCGAAGAGCCGGCAGGACCGACAGAGTCCGACGATCTGGCCTCCAATCGCGCGCCGCGGGCGGATTGCAGCAAAGTTTGACACATGCACACCACGCTTGCATCGACCTCGACATCGCGGCCCGAGCACCGTTGGACCGGATGTCGACTGCTGCCGGTGGCCGGGACGATGCAAGCAAGCACGCCAACCCGCAGGGACCTTTTTGGCGCTTGATCGGTAGCCGCAAGCATCCCGATCCGCAACCGAAAGACGCTTGGAAGTCGGGTCTGTACCGATGCTCAGATGTAACAGCTTTACATTTTTTCCCCGACCGAGTTCCGCGAAGAAGGTCTTGACGCACGGACAATAGAAGCAGCATCTAGTTGACACGCTAGATCTTCTCAAATCGCAAGTCAATCGAACACGGCCATACACTACGGAGTAACGCCAATCTTAGAGAGCGTTGTCACTGAAAGAGCGTTAAGGTCTAGCTATGCGCTGAAGAAACGACGGACAACTGCACCGCTGTCATCCAGGAAAGGTCGCTCAAGATGTCAAATCTAGGGCCGCTGGCCTCTGACCATAACCCCTTTGCCGACGATCACGACGGGTCTGGAGTCGATCCGAACTCGGATGCGAAATCTCGAGACAAGTCACGCCCCAGCGATTTTAGCCATGGCCTCTCAAACTCGGACGAGGCCGGGCTGCAGCAGCACCATTGGGATCAACAAGACCAGCACCTCGATGCTCTGACAGCTTCGCTGAATCGCCAACACGAGATGAGTCTCCAGATGAACGAGGAGCTCGATCTTCATCAAGAGCTTCTGGAAGAATTTGACGGCGATGCGAATCGTACAGGGCTGCGACTGGGAGGAGCCACTTCCCAGATGGATCGTCTTCGAAACAGCCTCAAGGATCACGGTAAGTGCTAGGTCCTCGAGCTCGGGTCGAGGGGACTGTGCTGACGAGACACAATGTTATATGCAACCCACCAATAGGTATGGTTTGGGTGCTGGGAGGCTTGATTGTAGGCCTCATTCTTTTGATAGCCTTCTTCAAGTGAACAGTAGCACCCCAAACGCCCGCCAGAACCGCGACTCGACGTTCGCCAAATCCAAGCTGGGCCCATTCACAGCGAATCGATTAGCATACTCGTGCAACAGATCCGGCCATAGCGGATTGCTTCAACTGCTGGACCGATCGGAAGCCCGGCCGCTCATCTCAACACACGCAAGCCCCGATCAGAACGATCGCGATCGGATTGGTTCCTCTTTCATTGCACCGAAAGGCAGCGGGAAGAACCTGAGACACGAAAGCCAGTTTTTTACCTGGTTCCAGAAATTTCACGCTCAGTGTGGTTGCAAGACGCGTCCCGCGCCCGACGCACACCTCCCAGTCTCGGGCCTTCCCGCTCGGCGCATTTTGCAGATCCCATTTGGAGATCTCTGTTGAAGAGCAACGGTACATCGGCAACATCTTTAACGCAAATCATGCTACTGTTGGAGAGTCTGCTCGATGCGTCAAGAGGAATCGTACGCAATTCGCTCGTGGGTGACGATCGGACACGACTACCATTCGGCCCGACCGAGAAGCACTGCATCAAACTCGTCGCACGAGCGTCGCCGGACCTCCTTGTTCGCAACAGGGTCCAACGTCGAAATAGGAATTCCAAGCACACGACTAGCGTATTTCGTCATTGAGCAGAAGCAGGCGAGCGCGCAGAAGGAGGGGAAACTGCTTTGCAATCCTCTGAGCCTCGCTTGACGCGAAAGGACAAGATGTTCACATGCACAGCCATCTCCAAGCGAGAGGCTAAGAAGACCTTTTCAGAAAAAGTGACACAGAAACACCAGTGTTTGCGTTGCCGGGCTTTTTTCTCAGGGTTCAACGCGAGCCTTCCCTTGCAGGTGGCTGCATCAACCGTTCCCCACTTTGTCTCTCTTTCGGATTCATTTTCCCCGCTGCCTGACTCCGCCGCGTTGCCTTTTTGGTTTGTACTCAATGTGGTAGAGCCCACGGCAGTAATGTATCACCATCGGATCACATGGAGCGAGTGGGACCACATGCGGTGATACAATGTGCACGAGTCGTGGATGATCTGTGTTGCGCCATTCAGAATCGTGTTTCGGAGCGGTTTTCTAGAGCCTTGTATAGGCAGATCGCGCTTGTGTCATGCAAGCAGTGCATAGCTCCTATTCTTCTGTGGTGTCCGCGGCAGTGCGTCGCCTTCTCGCTTGGATCTTCGCTTGTGGTCCCCTTCCCTCGCCAAGATATCTAGCGGGCCTGCGAACCGGTGCCCCTCCCCACTTGGCCTTGTTGCGAAAGTGCAGCATTGCCACATACACTTGAGACTAATGTCGGCATGCACCGGTTGCCGCGAATCCTCGACCCACTTTTGAACGTGCACGGTCGTCAAAGTCCGACCCCTAGTCGTCTCGCCTCTTCGAACTGTATGAACTTCCTGGAAGATATAGACCGGCGTCCTCTTCTGTTCTCATTCCCAACGAATCCACGTTGCTTCTAGTACATCATCTCGACCGCCTTTATTCCCGTCATCGTCGACTCACTAGCAGCAATTATATCAAAGACCCAGCACATCACTCGAGCCGCATCAATACCATCATCACACCATGTCGGCGATACTCGGCGCATCGTCGTCGCTACTGAGCCAGGACAACCTCTGGAGCGGTCCTGCAGCAGCTTCGACGTCTCGAGTCAACAAGCCAGCCACATCGAGGACGCGTGCAATCAGACGCAAGCCGGTTCCGCTGATCCCCGCCGAGCTTTTGCAGCAACATACTTCTTCGAGCAGCATCTCAACAGCGTCAACGCCGACAGCACCCATCTCAGCGGCGTCAAGATCAGCGACTGTTGGCACAAAGCCAGCGCAGCCAGCACCTGCCAAGCCGGCGCAGAAGCCGCAACGACAGTACCTGCTTGAGATTGATGCACCCACTATCTCCAGGGAGGACCGCGCTACTGCAGACGAGTCTGTGAGGCAGCTTCTGCGTTCAGCCACCGTGTCGACATCGACTGGGCCTTCAAGACCGAGAAAGGGGCCGTTGAAATGGGCGCAGGATAAAGAAGAGCACGCTGCAGCTGCGTCAACGTCGTCTCTGCCCCCTCGCAACCCCACGCTTAGTCGAAAGACGAGCATCTCGGCGCACCTCAAGATGTCTCTGAGACGAAACAAGGTCGAAGAGCAGCCGTGCTTCGGGCTCAACATCTCCGCGCCCACTGATTTCGTCCACATCAGCACCGGATCGGAGGGCGCCAAAGCTTCTCCGATCTCGCTGCGACGTTCTTCCACGACATCGCCGCGGTCCTCGCTGCGCTCTTCCATGTCTTCCACTTCAAGTGGGGTATCTTTCGGCACGGCGGACTCTAGCCCACATGAGGATGCGGCGAAAGATGATAAACCGCTGTATGAGGCCTTGGAGAGGAAGTATCCTTTGCGACCGCTCAAGTCGATCCGTCGTCCAACCAAGATTTCGGTAGATCTCTTGGAGCCCACGCTTAGCTTGTCCAAGGAACCAACGAGTCCGAAGGACAAGCGCAAAGGTATCTATGCAGCGCCTGGACTCGTACCGGACATCTTGGAACCTGTCGATTCGATGAATCATATCGCAGCGCCAAACGCTTCTCGAGCAGGCGAGCACTTTGCCGCCGCTCTCGACCGCTCCATCGGCCGAACGCGTGGTCGTACCTCCGACGCAAGCGAACTGTCTCCCGAACCAGAGCTCAGCAGAAGCCCGAGTTCAGGCTACGATTCGTCGACGTGCGCTAGCAACCGATCGAGCTTGGGCTCGTTGCACGAGTTCAGGACGTTCCTCGACTTTCCCGATATGGAAGCCTCTGCACGTGGCAAGGCGGACGAGGATATGTGGTCCGGCTCGGCTTTGGCAGCCCCGATCGTTCTGCCAAAGTTTTGAGTCCAGGTGTTGGTGTTCGTAGTACATACCCATTTGCATGTTCGGTGTTAATATTTCGGTTACATCTGTCTAATTTACCATTGTTTATTCAGCATTGCACCAAGTAGGAGTATTGGACGTGACATCCATGAGTGGACTGATGAGCGTGTATTGTATCAAGGCAGATTTGATGAGAACCTCGGGCATGACCTGCAGGCGGGACTTGAGCCTCGAGTAGGTGTGGATGGACCCAGCGGAGAAGCGCGGGCGAAGTTGGACGAGGACGAGATGCCGAGAAGCTGGTGAGTGCGGGGCATCTTTTGGCAGGAAAATGCGATCCGGCTTTACGGCATTTTGAGAAGAAAGCTGACAGCCACGAGTCGATTGCCGGCGCCAATGACCTCGCACAAAGTGGAGGGTGCATCAGCATGTTCTTCTCTCGGCGTTCACTACGTCCCTCTCGTCCATCACATCAATAGAGCACCATGTCGCTACCGTCTCCACCGTCAGATGCGCGGTATGCGGTCTCTACAGTCACCCTGGAGATCGCGCTCGACCAGCCCATCAAGCAAGACTCACCCACGCCGTACACCTACCAGGAAGGTGGGGTCACCAAACCGCTCCTCACCACCGACACTGTGCTACTGACGATCTACTACCCAACTTCTCGGACGGATGCGACGTCCGACGGTAGGGCGCTCGACTGGCTGGAAGCACCCAAATTGCGATCCATCGGTGGACTGCTCAAGTACGCGGGTGTACCCAAATATCTTGCCCTTCCGATTGTGTTGCCGGCGTACAGCGTCGTCTCGCAGAGGCTACCTGTGGCGGTCGATGCGGATCTCATCTCGGACACACCTTCGGATGACTTCCCCGTGGCCGTATTCAGTCATGGTATGGGTGGGACGAGAACGACCTACTCGGCGTACCTCACTTCGCTCGCTGGTTCAGGAATTATCGTCGCGGCTGTAGAGCACAGGGATGGATCGGCTGCATCGACGACCATCCATCATTCCAGCGACAAAGAAAGTCGAGGATCAAGCGGATGGTTTCGGTGGCTTTCGGGTGGATCAAATGGGGTGGAGAACAAGATCTATGTGCGACCAGCTGAGGTGGACGGCAAGCCAGAGCCGATGGACGTACGGCGTGCCCAAGTCGAGTTCCGTCGTCGCGAAGTCACGGCCGCTCTGAACGTGCTCAAAGAGATCAATTCTGGCAAAGCGGTTGTGGAATCGTGTACGCGATCGCAGCGAGACGAAGCCAAGAGACGCGAGCGTCGCTCCCAGGTGCTGAGCCACTTCACCGGGAAGCTCAAGATGCAAGATCCCTGGATGATCGGACACAGCTTCGGAGGCTCGACTGCGATCCAAGCGCTCCGACACACCGATTGCCCCTTCGGACAGGCGCTTGTGCTCGACCCATGGGTCGAACCCGTTCCCATCACCGGCATTGACGTCATCCCAGTGAGCAAACCGCTCTACACGATCAACAGCGAAGACTTCACGCAGTGGAAGTCACACATGGACGACGTGACCACGATCGCGCGCGAATCGAAGTCGAGCACCGGTGGCAAAGGTTGGCTGCTTACGCTCGGCGCCGAGGGCACTGAAAAATCTGATGGCTCGGCTGCAGCCGCATCGACCCGTCTCGCGCCACCGTCGAGGCTCGTCGTGGTGCACGACATGTTCGGCACGCTCTTTGGTCTCTCTGCGTGCATCGATGCGCTGGTCTCGCTCTTCCCCGATCAACTGCAGGAAGCGGAAGGCGTTCCCAAGATCGTTCCAGAGCTGGTGGTGATGGACTGGTTCCACGGCACCCAGCGCGACTTTACCTATTCGAGCGTTTGCGGACAGTACAAGCCGATCGGCGAGGTCTTCAAGGGAACGTTGCCACGTGTGCTTTTCCAAGCCGGTATTCTGCCCAAGAAGTCAGCCAAGGGCAAATCTCTCACCCAAGCGGGGTCGTTCCAAGATGGAGGACCGGCGGAAGAGGCGCTCGAAAATCCGTTCGATGCGGTGGTGGTAGAAACCATGATGGGCGCGCTCAAGAAGCTGCAACCGAGACCAGGAATGGTGGACGCCCTCACCCGTGTCTATCGTGACCGCGATGGCAAAGGTCGTCTGCCGCCCGGTGTCAACAAGGTCGACGTGTGGGCGGCTACCAACGGATCGCTGGAGTTGGGTCGATCTTCTTTCCTTCGAACCTTGGGAGAGAGCGATGGCGCGGACATCGACACCAAAGCTGCTCGCTCCGGTCGCTCAGACAAAGACAATGCCATCGGGGCGGGTATCGGTCTCTTCAGCTGTGACGAGATCGGTGCTGCAAAGCCGGATCCCAAGGTGTACGCCGAGGTGCTGCGCCGCATCCAGGCGGAGCCTATCGACGCAAATGCGGCCAAGAAGGAGTATCAGGGAATTTGGTTCGTCGCCTCGCACACGTGGGACACGTTTGCAGCTAAACAGGCTGGCTTCCGTACAGCGTGGGTGACGTACGAAGAATTCTACTCCTGCCCTTCCGTCTACGGCACGCCCGACGTGGTAGGGAGAAACCTGGAAGAAGTCTCTGAAAAGATCCTCGCCTTCGAGCGTGATCTCGCCGCCGCGAACAAACGAGACGAAGCACCGATAAAGCCATGGACGTACCACAAGGATCAGCAGGAACAGACGAACCAGGCTAGTCAGCATACGTCGTTCTCGGACTTCCCCTTCTTGCTGCCCAACATGGCCAAGTTCGTGGGAAGCGTATCGTCCAAGTCGCTGCTCGAAGTGAACAGCGACATCACGAAGCGCATGATCCTGCAAGGTAAGAGGGAGGAATCGGACGGAGTGTTTTCCGGACTCAAGGGCGACAAGGATGGACAAGAATGGAGGATTTGGAAGGAAGGCCAAGCTCGGCCAAACGATCTCGAGGCGGCGGCGGTTGGGAGCGATGGCAGCCGCTTGGGCAGACTGGTTGTACATGCACTGTAGAGCTTAACTTAGTCTTCGACGAAGCAGGCTAATTGAATAGATTTCGGACTGACTATGGGCTGTTGAGGCTATGTTGGTGTTCGCAGTTCGAGGTTGGTCTGTGGAAGGCTCTGCGAGGCGAATGAGGCCATCGGTGATCATCGGGACAGGCTGCGAGAGGAGCGGGTGAGTTTCCGTCCGTCGGCCAGAAGACCGGCCACGAAGACCAATTCCTTCAATGTGAGATTGCCACTCGAGACCGCGTGGTACAAAGCTCTTTCCATCTCGGAGTTAGCCGAACGCACGATTCATGCTGCGTGGGGAATATATAGTCACAAACGAGACCATCGTGGCATGTTTTGTATCTTCGATCATGGGATTGTGTGAGGTCTCCAACAACACGGACTGGAGCCAGAGGCAGCGGTTCGAGGGAACGGAGAGCGTGAGCTGGACGAAAAGGAGCAATGGCGGGGGCGGGACGGTGCAGGCTTCGGCTCATTTACCGGGAACAGTTTGCGTGTGTTGGTTTCGAGAGCCTTGCTCTGAATGTCGATCAATTTTGTCTTGTCCCATTTCTTCCTCCTTCTCTCCCCACATCAACATTCCAGCCCCGCTGTCCTATTTTGTCCCCTGATCTCTTCTAATCTGGCCCATCGACTCTGCCTCAAATAACGACAAGCAATGACCGCCATCGCTCTCGACCAGTTCGATGCTGTCCTCGGCTCCACCTCGACCGAGATCTCTTCGGTCGCTCTGGGTGGACGCATCCTGAGCACCTCGGACGAATGGTTCGCTCCAGCATCCTCTCTGCTCAAGGTCGGTCCTGCTCCCTCGCTCAAAGGAACGTTCGGTCCCAAAGGTGCCCTCTTCGACGGCTGGGAGACTCGTCGTCACAACCCCACCTACGACTGGGTCATCCTCCGTCTCGGCCCCAACGCCGGCGGCCGTTTGATCGGGTTCGACGTCGACACGGCCAACTTCAACGGCAACGAAGCTCCCGAGATCTCGATTCATGCTCTTGCATTGACGCAGGAAGAAGAAGCAAGCATCGACAATGGGCTGGCAGAAAACGACGAGAGGTGGGAATGCGTCGTCCCCGTTACTCCGTGTGGACCTTCGCAGAGGCACCTCTTCACGGTTGCCCAGGGTAAAGGCGACAAGATCTACACGCATATCAAGCTGCACATGATTCCAGATGGCGGAATCGCTAGGTTCAGGGTGTACGGTGTCATCCCACCACCACCGGTCGGACAGGGCGAGGGCGAACAGGTCAGTGCTGAGAACAGCGCTTTCAACTTGCTCGACCTCGCGCACTGCTTGAACGGAGGTAGGGTGGTGTTCACGGATGACAACCACTTTGGTGCCGGAAGCAACATCATCCTGCCCGGAAGAGGAAAGGATATGGGCGACGGCTGGGAGACTCGTCGATCCAGAGCAAAGGGTCATTTCAACTGGTCCATTGTCAAGCTGTAAGTGTTCATCGTCTCTAGTTTCCATGATTCCGACGTCATAAAAGCTGACCCAAGTCCTTCTCTCCTTCAACTTTTGCAGTGGCGAACCAGGTTTCCTCTCGTACGCCGAAGTCGACACCGCCCACTTCCTCGGCAACTTTCCCGAATCTACAGAGATCCTAGGTACTGTGCACGACTCTGCCACGGTCCCATCTGCCGATGCTCAATGGGTTACCCTGCTCCCGCGCACAAAGCTTGGTCCAGGTCGTCGTCACTTCTTCCCTCTTGTCGACGGCAACTCGGCGCCGTTCACCCACGTCATGGTCAAAATGCACCCGGACGGAGGCATCAAGCGCTTCCGTGTGCACGGTCGACGAGCCAACCCCATCCTCGCCGCCAAAATCCCTCCCACTTCCCTCCCCGCCGTCGCCATCCCCGCCGACGTCCAGGACCCACTCCCATCCGCCACCTCGGACCCCTTCGCACCTGTAAGTGCCGAATCCTCCCTCGCCCCCTCCTCATCATCCCCCGCAACCACCTCGACGGGCATCGTCGTCCACGGCAAATTCCTCCCCGCTTCACCCCTCACCACCTCCGCCTTCGCCAGCTACGGTGCCGTCATCGACGGCCCTTCCACCCACAACCCGGACGACGCCAAACCGTTCAAGATCGTCAACCAGGGAACGGCTCAAAAGTTTTTGAACTTGGCCGAGATCGTCAACAACTACCCGGAGCAGGCAGGGGCGAGGACGAACATTCATGTGTACCGATGTGATCCTGCGGCGAAAATGCCGTTCGAGGTGAAGTTGTTGGAGAGACATCGATTCACCACCCAGGCGTTCATCCCGATGGTGAGCGTGGGTGGGAAGCAGAATGGGTTCCTCGTGGTCGTCGCGCAGAACGGTCAAGGTTAGCTTCACACCCAACCCCTTTCAGCTCGTTCCAAAGAACTCGTAGTATCGATTACTGACTTTGTGTTCTGCCTATTTTCTCTATTGCAATGTGTGCGGGGATTTACAGATGACCGGCCAGATCTGAACACCCTGGGCGTGTTCTTGGCAACGACAGAACAGGCGATCCAGTACCACCCGGGTATCTGGCATCACCCGATGATCGCGTTGGGTGATGAAGCTACAGACTTTGCTTGCATCGTCAACGAATCCGACGTCCAGCCCGAGCTGGATTGCGACGAGGTCGAGGTGTAAGTGACGTTCCTACACGTTCCTGGAGCATCGTTGGATAGATAATGCAAGAATGTGAATTCGATTCCCAAAGTGAGAAGGAAGGGCTGTGCGTTTAGGGCAGAGAGATGCGAAGAGTAGGACTGGAGTTCTTCTGTGCGGCGTCAGGGTTGTAGAGCGGATGGTTGTCCGCCAAACGAGTGGTCATCTCCCACACGCCGACATGATCTCCGTTCGGCAAGAGTACTTTCTTCACCCAAAGATCGTGTCTCCTCGAAGTACTTGCTATCCTCGACCAGCCTTCACCCACCTTCTTTCCCTCCAACTTGTTCAACGCCACTTGATCGTCCTTCACTGCATCCTCAAACTCCACCTTTACCTCCTCTTGCGTTATCATCATGATCCAGCACACCACGACCACCGTCAGATTTACGGCTGCGAAGAACCAACCCACTCCACTCGCTAGCTTCCCAGTAGATTCCGACATCTCTTCCCCGGGCAAGAGCCTGCTGTACAGTAGCGGAAGGTTGGACAGCAGAGCGGTGCTGAACAGCATTCCAAAGATCGTCTGCATTCCAGGGCCTGCGAGAACGGTTTTGCCGGAGACAGCAGCATGATATGCACTTAAGGAAGAAGATACTCGAAGCGCGAGGGTGCGATGCAGAGTAATGTGCCGGTGTTGGAGGATGGAGAATGTCAGGGTGGGGAAGACGAGCGTGGAGATGGTTCGGAGGAGGGTGGCGCGCGATTGTGGCGCTGGATGTAGGAGGAAGCGGATGGCGAGGGCGGAGAGGAGGGTGAGCGAATATGAGGGTAAGCGGTAGGATCGATCGAGGGGAAGTATGGTCGGCATTGTGACGTGTTAAGGAGGGGTGGTGGTGGTGAAGGATGATGCTATTCAAGAAGAAGTGCGGGTTTTGATGCTTGCTCCGTGCGGTAAGGGTCCTCCGGGGTGTCAGAATAAAAGCCTGTTGAAAAAACACCACGATGAATTTGAGGTCGCGAAATGCTCACTTCAGATGTGAGAGTGGAAAGCTCAGCCTCAAACTCGAGGTCCCTCGAGCCAACTCTCGGCAGACACGTCAACGCTGTACACCACTTACACAGCCGGCTCACGATCACATCAAGCGCAGACGACGAAACATCAACAATAAACATAAATAGCATTCCCAACACCCCTACCAGCATCTCGCTCCTCCCCCTCCCTACGACAAGATCGGCAAAAAGTTGCCCACAACCAAGCTTGGCAAATCAAAGATATCCCTCTTGATCGTGAAACTCCACGCACACGGTACCAGCTTGCCATCCGGTTTCACCAACGTGCACGTCGTCATGACGCTCTGCGTCGTGTTCTCGAACGCATGCTGTGCAAAGTTTTCCCAATAATCCAAGGTAGAGTTCTTGTCCATAAACTCGTAGATCCTCCTCCCCATCAGCTGGTCCTTGGACCACTGCGTCAGCATGCAAAACTCTGCACCCACCACGCAGATCTCGCACGTCCTGCGCCACACCACCGTCGGCGTACCGCTGAAACTGATCAGCTTCTCAAACTCCAACATGGTTCGCTGGAAGGACCGCTCGACAAAGATCTCGTCTTCTTCCGTCAGCGGCATCTGCAGCGCGATCAAGGAAGGTCGGAAGATGGCTAGGGCGCGAACGATGCGCAGCACATCCTGCTTTTCGAACTTCGAGGTGACGTACTTGATGAGGAAGTGATAGCCTTCCGGGTAGGGGAAGGGAGCGGTGTTGTCGCGGTAGGTTTTCGCGATCCTTGCTCGCCAGATCGTGTCTTGCTGCTGACGCGCCACTCGACGAGATGCGATGGCCCGGTTGATATCTGCTGCAAGAGGTTCGTTGGATGTGGATCGTTGAGAGGACGACCCAAGGTCGACTTGGTTGTTGCTGCCCGCCTGCTGCGCATCATCTCTGCTGGGAAGCGGGTTGGGCTGCTCCATCATAGTCGGCTTGGGACTCGGCACCTCGAGCGCGTTGAAAGCACCATCTCCACCGACATCTTGCAGTCCTGTAGTCGCTTGTGGTTCTGCATAGGCACCCATCCCTGCCGTGTCGCTGTAGGTAGCTGCCGCTGTATCGATGCCGCCTGCTCCGGGGATCTGGTCCTGCTGCATACCCATATTCAACAAGGCATCCAATCCGCCACTGGCGATGTTCCAGCCGTCCATCACGCCAACCGCTGGCGATGTCTGGAAATCCGGACTCGCTCCCGAAGGTCCCAGCAGCTGTAGATCCGTGCCATTCAACATGGAAGACAGGATTGAGTATTCTAGACTCGTCGCCTCGCTGCCAAAGTTGTGCGTCGTCGGATCGAAAGGAAGATCGAACGGCGGAGCACCTCCATTGTTATTCGGTTGTGCGACGTCGTCAGCGCCGTTGGAAGAATCGAACGTATGGCTCGAGAGGTAGTCGTGCGCGTGTGGCGAAGGTCCATGACCAGAAGAACTCGGCGTCGCTATGCTGCCAGTGACCTGATCGAGGATGTTGTTGACTGCCGACGCCTTGTCCGGAGACGGAGCTGAGCCCTGCGGTGTTGTCTTGGCCGAAGTCGGCTGGGATGCTTGCGGTTGTGCACGCTGCGGACTGGGAGCGTTCTTGTTCTGCGTAGCTTGCTTTGCCGCCTTTTTGGCGTCCTTCTGCCGCTTGAGCTCCTCCAGCTCGTCGTCGTCGAGCAGGTACTTGGCTTTCTTGCGGTGTCCATCCATGCACGATTCGGCGAGACCCTTTTTGACACAGCGCACGCACGGCCGCGAATCGTCGCAGGTCAAGTGTGCTTTCTGGCAATGCAGACACGCCCGATTCGCCTTTTTGCGTTTGCTGGAACTGGTCTCCTTGGACGCTGATGACGACGGGGGTGTGCCTGTCGTTGACGAAGGTGCGGCCTTTGTGGGCGTTGCGACGGAAGAGGATGCGGGAGTCGACTTGGTGCTCATGTCGACTTGCTTCTTGAGGGGCGATGGTGACCTGCTAGCCGAAGCAGCGTTGCCAGGTTTGGATGTTGTAGAGGCTGAATTTGAGTACAGACTCTGGTTTAAGATGGAAGCAGCGTTGGGTCTTGCGTTGTACGAGGTGGATGAGGACGAGGATGACGGTTCAGCATTCTGTGGACGCGGGGATGGAGCAGACGATGAGTTGGGCGGACTCGATGCCAGTGCAGCGAGTGTTGATGCAGCTGCTTGCGATGCAGGACTCTGTTGGCGATGTGAGTTGGTGGTCGACGGATGAGGTGGCAGCGAGTAGGTCGGCGCTGTTTGCGGCTTCGAGCCTTGGGGGGGAGGGCGCGGGGCCGACTTGTCGCCGTTGGCACTAGACATGGCGTAACAGCGCAAACGCTATGAGAACATGCGTGAGAGACAGAATTTGTGTGCTTGTCGTGGAGCTGCGATCCTGGTCTTCAGATGGACAAAACGATCAGCAGGATTCCTCCGCTTGCGAGCGGAGCTGCCTCTGGCGGAGGCGTCGATGATCAACGTTGGGGTTAGCGCTCCGGGATCTGCGACCTGATTTGACGTAGCTCTGCCGTTCCTGTTGCCCTTAAGGTAGAAGCGAAGGAGATCGGAAAGGTGGCTGCTGGGTGTGTATGGATGATGTCGACAAGGCGTGTGCGTGCCGCTCCATTTGAATACATGCAAAAGCAACATTGACCTACAAAGTTGGCGGATGTACGGCAAATGGCAAACGGCACCGCCCCGAATGCCGAACCGCGACGTGATGCGGGCAATTATTCACCAGGTGGCCAGGATCGGAATCTAACACCGGTCAAGTGTCAGGGTGCAGACCACACTCATGCCTCTACAGCATCTCGATGACTTCAAGTTGACGTGGTTGCAGATCCTGTCACGGGTTTTTTTAGCATCACGAACGACAGCTGGAGCAAAGATTGCGGGCAGGACTAAAGATACAGTAGAGGACAAAGACGCGAGCTGGGGCAACGACGCGCTCGGATGCACTGCGGTCTGTGGCAGAAGCACGGCCTCCCCACGCAGCTCGAACGCAGTCGGTGGGGTACAAAATGCGGCCCTGCCGACACCTAGAAGAGCTTGCTGAACATGCGTTTGATAAAGTCGATGCACCATGGGATGTAGCTCAACGAATAGAGCAAGAAGGCGACGCTGTATGGTCAAAAGGGAAGCAATACGAGGGAAGCTGGTCAGCAAGGAGGCGCAACGCGTGCGGTTCAACCTTTGGTCGGCATACTTACTATAGAACAATGACAAAGACGATGGCTAGCACCGTGCTACCGATCGCAAACACCGAAACCCAGACCATGATGAACGCCGCAATCATCACCAAGGTAAACGCGATCCTGACCGGCTTGAACATCTGCTGAAACTGCTTTATGAACCCAATCAGGAACCCTGTCCCTGTCAGCGAGACCAGCACACCGACCGAGTAGAGGATGACAAAGATGGCCAGAGATCCAGTGACGAGCAGCACGGTTCCGAGCAAGGAGATGACAAACCCGCCGAGCATGCACGCTGCGAATCCGATCATGCGCTGCTGTCGTGTCAGCTCGATACCGAACGTTTTGGAGAAGGCGTCGTTCTCGCCTGTGAGCTCGCCACCGAAGTTCTTGATCTGCTGCGTGTCCATGTTGATCCATCGTGAGGAGCCGGTGCCAGCGAAAGCATTGCCGCCGGAGGAGGCGTTGCCGGTGGTGCCTCTGCCGAACCAAGACATTGTGGAGGAGTCGCTAGCCTTTCGAGAATGTGTGACAAGAGGCGCTGCAGATGCAGTTGTGTCTGGCTGTGCTGTTCGGACTGTTGCAGCAGTAGCAATGCGTGATGGAGGGTAACGATGGATGAAGTGAAGCGAGAAGGTGTAGAGCAAGACGATGTCGGGCGCTCAAACTTGCGTGTGTGTGTGTCTCAGCATCGCTTTCTTTTTTTCGAGGCTGCGAGACCCTGACTTTTCGGTTTCCGCTCGAGGTGCTCCGTGACCCCCTTTTCGGTCTCGTGTTCCCCTCAACTCAAATTTCTCACTCTCCTAACCGCCGTGTCCCTCACGCGATCATGCCACAGACTGCCTCAGCTTTGCTCACACACCTATCATCCAACACGACGTCACTCTGTATTGCAATGTATGCCAGTGTTCCCTCATCACGGCCCAATAGATCCAGCCTTGCGCAACTCCGCAACCTCGTCCTCCGACATGCCCAACTCCTGCGTCAACACCTCATCCGTATGCTGACCCAGCACCGGCGGAGGCCTCGTGATCTTCATCTTGCCGTCGCCATACCTCACCGCCGGTGCCACGATCTTGATCTTTCCCGCTCGGGGATGCTCCACCTCTGCCACCACCTTTCTATCCTTGCTCTGCGGATGTTCGTCAAACGTGCCCCTGATGTTTCGAATGGGTGCGGCTGGGATCTTGCCGTTGATGAGATCGCACCACTCCTGCACCGTCCTTTGCTGCAGCAGCTCGTCCAGGAGCGTGATGAGCGTATCGCGATTGGCCACGCGGGCCGCATTGGTGGAGTACTTTTCGTCGGTCGACAGCTCCGGTCGCTCCAGCAGGTTACACAGGAATCGGAACTGACCGTCGTTGCCGGCACCGAGCATGATGCGACCATCTTTGGCTTGGAACGTCTGGTAAGGTACGATGGACGGGTGCTTGTCGCCGTGTCGTCCAGCTTCCTGCCCAGCGATGAGGTAGTTGGACGCAATGTTGGCCAGCGATGCAATCTGCGACTCGAAGAGGCTCGCGTCGATGTGGACGCCTTTGCCCGTCTGTGCGCGTCCCAGCAGCGCCGCCATGATGGCGCCGTGGACGTACAGACCCGTGGTCAAGTCGGTCATGGCAACGCCGATCTTGACGGGAGGTCGATCCGCTTCGCCCGTGATGTGCATCATACCCGCGTCCGCAGCGATGATCACATCGTAGCCTGCCTTGTCTCGATACGATCCAGTCTGTCCGTAGCCTGTGAGACTGGCATAGATGATGTCCGGTTTGACCTTTTTTAAGTCTTCGTATCCGAGACCCATGCTGGCCAGCTTGCCTGGCAGGTAGTTCTCCACCACAACGTCGGCTTTGGCGACGAGATCGTAGATGATCTTCTTGCCGGCTGGCGACTTGAGATCGACCGTGATGGATCGCTTGGATCGATTGACGCTGAGAAAGTACGCCGATTCGGGGGGCAGCGATGCCCAGTAATCTTCTTTTCCTGGCGGCGGCTTCAGCGCGTCCTTACCCGTCGGAGGCTGAGCAAAGGGCGGAAGCCATGCTCGTGTGTCGTCTCCGCCCTTTGGATGTTCCACTTTGATCACATCTGCACCCAGGTCGGCCAGCAACATGGTGCAGTAAGGGCCTGCAAGCACGCGCGTCAAGTCGACGATCCGAATGCCTTTGAGAGGCGGCGGAATCGACGGGGCATCTGCAGCGCTCGGATCCGATAGTCTGGCCGGTGTACTCGTAAACTGACGTCGCACGATGTTTCTACTTGCTGACGACGCAGGAGGTGTTGCATTCCTGGTTGTTCGAGCCGTGCTTGATGCTGTTGTCAAGGTCCTGAGGGTAGCTTGAGCTCTGGCAACGCTCCCACTTGCGCTCGGCCTAAGCAGGGATCCGAGGCCATAAGAGACTGCACGCATCTTGACAGTAGATTCCCTCCTACGTGCGTTTGCGAAAGTACCAACTTCTTACGACGTCCCTTATATGTATTGAGCCGTGTCTGGGGTCAGCTTTGGGGATGCATCGACCGCTTGATGTAGTTGCCGAAGAAGCCGATGCCATCGCGACTGACGCCGATCTCTTCGGATTCATCGGCCGCTGTGGTTGCCGATTTTTGAGTTTCGGAAATGCGGTCAAAGCGGACTTTGTGGCTTATACACGCATGCACGCTTGCTCCACTTTAACCTTGTCGCTCACTTCCCCCGCATTTCCTAATTCATTCGGACATTCCGACCGACGTTCATCCTCGACTTGCATCTCTGCACCAATACTCGATCAACAACGATATCAAACGCCTGACAGATCAGCTGGATACCAGGTTCATAGTAGCAATGGCGAGTCGCAACATCATTACGCCCCTTGCACGGGTACTGCCGTCCGTCAAGACGCCAGTCGTGCTAGGTGCCATGGCTGGTGCATCCGGCGGTCAGCTTGCAGGTGCCGTCTCTTCTGCCGGTGGATTCGGCTTCATCGGCGCAGGCTACCTCACACCAACCACGCTCCAGTCTGAGGTGGAAAAAGCATACCAGCAGCTGTCGGTCTCTCACGCCGACTTGCTTTCTCGTCGCAAGAGGGCGGATTTCGGTATCGGCATCCTCGTGTGGAGGCTCACTGAGCTCAACGATGGCAAGAAGCCAGATCAAGCGAAACCGAATCAAACTGTAACCGACTTTCTGGATGTGATCATCAAGGCTCGACCAGGTGCGATCTGGCTCAGTTTCGGTGACGAACAGGAGCTCATCGGATGGCAGAAACTCATCGCCGAGCTGGACGAGCAGCGCAACAGCGATCTTGCTGGCAATGCAGAGCAAGCCATCAAGTGGTTCGTCATGATCGGAAGGGAACAAGAGCTGCAGGTAGCAGTGGAAAAGTGTCGCTGCGATGTGCTTATCGTCCAAGGATGCGAGGCGGGAGGTCATGGACACTCGCAAGCACCCCCCTTGTCGGCGTTGCTCGCGGATGTTCTCAAGCGATTGCCGCTGCTGAAGCCAAACAACGCGTCAGGATCCACACCACCAGTGCTGGGAGCTGGTGGCCTCGCTGACGGCCGCTCGCTGGCCTCGCTTCTCGCTGCGGGCTGTGCAGGGGGTGTCTATGGAACGCGATTCGTCATCACCCCCGAATCCACTTACTCTGATGTGCAAAAGGAGGAGCTGGTCAAAGCGAAAAGCTCCGCAACACTGCGCACGTTCGCCTTTGATGATGCGCGCGGGACCCTTGGCTGGCCAAATGGTACCGATGGCCGAGGACTGCGGAACAAGACGGTGGAAGAGTACGAGCACGATCTACAGGAGCAGGTCAAGGCAGGTAAGGAAGACGCAGAGGGTGCAAAACGCAGGATGGAGCGATACAAGCAGGCTGCCAAGGAGGACGATACGGATCGAATCGTCATCTGGGCAGGTACGGGCGTCGGTGCGATGGATGCGATCGTGCCGGCAAAGCAGGTGGTGCAAGATATCACAAGGGAGGCGATCGATGCGCTTTCAGCCGTTCACGGCTATGTTCAATGAGTGGATTGCAATCGAGACACCTTGTGTTGACTTATTGCTCTTTTTGGGCCCTTTCCTCGAGCTGCTTCCATTCGCCAATCACGTCCGTGTACACCTGTGTCCTACCTTCCTCTGGTCGGCAAATCACCTGCACACCACCCTCGACCTCGTCCGCTGCACCTGCCAACCCAGCTCGTTTCGCCTGCTTGGACTTGGTCGCGTGTACAAACTCGTCAAATTCGGGCACTTTTTCGCTCGCCGTCAATTGCAATCGACTCCAGCCCCAAACCGCTTTGTAGGCAGCACCTACCGAGCAAAAGTTGTAGTTGGCGGGGGTCCATCCCTTCCCATCTTCAGCAGGCTGTACTGGCTTGACGATGTCGCAGCCAAAGACGTCTGCCATGGTTTGTGTGATGGTCGGGTTGGAAGAAGCACCGCCGACAGCGTAGATCGCTTCGAGTGGCAGCTTGCTCGTGTCGACAGTCGAGGACGAGGATGCAGCGGGACCGGCGACGATCGATGACGAGCGGTATCGGTAGTTGAGCATTTGCGTCTCGAGGATGCTGCTCGCATTCATGCCCGGCTCGCTGAAATCTTGCACCTTTTGCCATTCACCCTCGGCGGCCTGCTTGGTGTATCGATGAATACCGGATGCTCCAGAAGGAATGATCTCGGGTCTCAGCCAGTAGAACCCAGTCCTCTGCTCCTTTCCTCGCTCGAGCTTGTGTTTGTCGACATCGGCGTTGAAGGTATCCCAGTTGCTGCTGCAGTACTGATCACGGATCCATTCTCGCGCCAAGCTGCCGGACTTGTAGACGAGCATGTTGAAAAAGGCGTCCCCGCTGGAAGGTAGTTTGGCCGGGTGGAAGAAGGCGTGGAAGTCCGGGTCGGGGACGTACTGATGCGTGGGTACCATGACGGTGTCCGAGGTTCCCAAGCTGATGATCGCTTGACGCTCTGCCAAGCTGAAGGCGAGGAAGGTGGCAGGGTTGTCGCCTGTTCCGGGGAAGACCTGGCAGTCTGGGCTGAATCCGTACTTTTGCGTCCACCAGCTGCCGATCTTACCGACGGGTGCACCTGCATCGCGGTAAATGACACCGAGCTTCCTCTCCAACTCAGAAGCTCCTCCTAGGGATGAGTCTGCACCTTCGCTTTCGCCGGATGTGAGCGCTAGCAGGGTCTGGTTCCAACCTGGCTCGAGCTTGCCTCTGGCTTCCGCATTAGGGTTGGAGGACGAAGGTCGCATGTCGAGCAAGTTCATACCACAAGCATCGGATTCATCAATACCCTTGATCGCCGTCCTTTCGTCTTCTCCTTCTCCGACGCACAACATGGTGGTGATAAAGCTGGACACGAGGCCGATCCTCTCTGTATCCTTGTACGCTTCCGGCTGCTGGGTCCTGAACTTGTAGATCTGTGGACCTGTGAACCTGGTGTGCGCTTTCGAGCCCGTGACTTTGGCCAGCTCGTCTGCTCCGCCGACTGCCTTCTCGTACGCCTTGCAAGCTTCGACGGTGGAAGAGTCCTGCCAGTTGGGTACGACTTTTCTGCTGAAGGCTTGCTCGACCTGCTCGGTCAGCGACTTTTGGGAGGAGAGAGTGGTAAAGATGCGGGGTGCGGCGCGAGAAAAGTAGACCGAAGCATGCTGCTGACCCGCAGCGGAGACCGCGCGGATACGGGAGACGGGCCAGGAGGCGGATCGCATTCGTTCGGCGAGCAGGTCGATCGACTCGACGTACATCATGACGGGTGCCACCACGGTGCCCTGGTCGTCGCCGGAGGTGGGAGCCGACACACCGCCGCTTGTGTTGTAATGAGGGAGGTCGCGGTCGAAGCGCACTTCGAGCTCCGAGAGGACGTTGAGGTCAGCATCGAGCAAAGATGCCTTGAGCGCCTGCGTGCTCGCGTCGAGGCCGAGGAAAAGGGGTGAAGCTCCATTCATCTTGAGCGAACGAGGAGGACGTCTTGGTTGAAGGGTGGAATGGCGGAGCGCAAGCTGTTGGTCGATTTGACCTTATATGGATCTCAGAAGCCAGAACAGGGCAAAGCGTGGGGAAGTCAGCAATCAAGTCAGACGGGACCGGCAGTCAAGCAACACTTGAATGTGCATGAGCAGGTCGCCGGTCTTCTTGAACAACACAAAAGCGCATCGGTCAAAAGATTGCCGACGCCCAATGCATGCTTTCAGAGAATGCCGAGCAGGCTATTTTCTAAAAACTATCTTGAAGTAATCGCGCTCTAACAAATGTCGTTCATTATTATACCTTGAGTCGGCTTTGCCGAAGATCGCAATTTGAAATTGCACGTTTCAGTGACGCACGTTAATTGAGAAGCTCCTCCGCAATCCGACCGAAATGCTCTGCCAACACCACCACCACCACCATCATCTTTATCGATTACACGTCTCCACGAAACATCTGAATCAACGTCTTGGGAACAGTCACCCAAGGCATCTCATCCTCAAACACTGAAGTCTGCTTCGGTAGCACAGCTGATCCCCATGCAGCCCTCTTTGCGTCTCGTCTCCGCCAGCGCTCTCACGGTCAACACCCACAGCCGCAACTCGATCTCTTACGGTCAATGACATTGGCCTTCCGTCCTCTGCGACACTTCTTTTGAATACGGCTGAGTGCTTCTGCAAGAACCCCAGTCTACTTTTGAATTATCAAAGTCCCCCTTCTCTACTTAGGAAAGATGCCGGCTAACATCATCGAGGTAGACCTCACCCAAGTCTCCAAGTCGCTCGCCGTACTCGGTGGATTCATCGTTATCTACGGCCTTTTGTCCTTCGTAGTGAAAGAGAGGCTATATCTCTCGGAGCCACTGCTCGCCGTGACAGCCGGAATTGTCGTCGGTCCTTACGTCCTCAACTGGGTCGACCCCACCAGCTGGGGCACCGCCGAAGAGACAAACTATGTCACCTACACGTTCACCCGCATCGTCGTCGGCATCCAGGTGCTCTTCTGTGGAATATCTCTACCAAAGGCGTATCTGTGGAAGGAAAAGCTCTCACTATGCATCCTGCTGTTCGGCATCATGACCACGGCTTGGTTCGCTACAGCCTTGCTCATCTGGGGCCTCATTCCCAATTTGACTTTCTTAGAGAGCCTCTGCATCGCTGCAGCAGTGACGCCTACCGATCCGGTTCTGGCGAATTCGATCACCACGGGCAGATACGCTGAGAAGCACGTTCCTGCCAACGTGAGGAACATCATCGTTGCCGAATCCGGCGCCAATGATGGCTTGGGCTTTCCGTTTCTCTACCTCGCTATCTACTTGCTCGCCCGCACAGGCGAAGATATGGGAAGCAGCGTTGGCACCGAAGTCGGTCGCTGGGTCTATGCGGTCGTTATCTACCAGATTCTTCTTTCGATCGCATTTGGCTCGCTCATCGGGTATCTGGCCAGGAAATCACTCAAATGGGCCGAATCCAGGTCGTACATCGACAAAGCCAACTTCTTTGCCTACGGTCTCGGTCTCGCCTTCTTCACCCTCGGAACCACCGGACTGTTTGGATCGGACGACATTCTCGCGTGCTTCATCGCTGGCAACTCTTTCACCTGGGACGACTGGTTTCGGATTCGTACCGAAGACAATGACTTCCAAGAGATCATCGATACAGTCCTCAATATGGCAGTATTTGTGTACATTGGTGCCATCATCCCGTGGGCCGATTACTCGAACCCGGAACTGCAGTTGACTGGATGGAGGGTCGTCGTTCTCGGTATCACTGTTCTGCTGTTGCGTCGACCACCGTGGGTGATTGCGGCGACGAAGCTGATTCCTGCGCTGAGGGATTTCAAGGAGTCGTCGTTCGCAGGCTGGTTCGGTCCGATCGGCGTGGGTGCTGTGTTTTACATTCAAGTGGCGCTCAAGCAGCTTCCTGACGATGGGACGCGCGATCGTTTGCGAGCGGTATACTCACCTATTGTGCTGTTCATCGTCTTCTCTTCGGTCTTGACCCACGGCATCACCATCCCGATCTCCAAACTCGGTCCTGGAGTGATGCGTCGTACCGCTACGCTCACCAAGACGCGCTCCATCACCTTTTCTCGACCCATGAGTCGAAGCAACACCATCCAACCCCAACGTGATGGCTCTCCTGAGGGCGGTGATTTGTCCGACAACTCTGACCGATCGCAACATGGTATCCCGTCGTCGCAGAGTTCGTCGCGTGGTCATGTCGGGTACGACTCCAGCGGAAAGCCACTCTGGAATCCTCTGGTTGCGGTAGGGGATTGGACTGTACACGTGTTTGCGTTTTGGAGGAAAGATTCATTTTGGAGAAAGGAAGTCTCGCCTGGCAAGCACGACGCGTTTTCGTCGCACAAGAAGGTGGACAAGACGGACATCTCCGCTCCAACGAAAGTGGAAAGACAGAGAAATGTCGAAGAGGATGCTGTCACTAACGCGATTAATGCGATCGATGGCGACGGTGGCAGGGAGAAGGCGAGGTTGCCACCACCTGCTCTGGAGTTGCCTACCACTGTCAGTGCAGGAGACGCAGTGCAAAGTGCGGAAGGCGAAAAGAAACCAGAGATGCCAAAGGTGACGAGGACCGTTTCGCCCAGAAGGTTCGCCATCTTGAGGGCGTTCGACAAGGAGATGAATGCGGAGAGGAGCGAAGCCCTGTCGGAGGCAAAGCAGGGATGGGAGAAGGGCGAGGCGAAGGAGCAAAAGAGGCTGGAGGAGATGTTGAGGAGAAGTGGCGTCGTGGTCAAGGACGGGGAGACCTCGACGCAGGGAGCTCAGGTTGATGGGGAAGCGCAGACGAACGGAGAGAGTGTCACAGTGCCGGAGCCTGCGCACACCGTGAGTGAAGATGCCCAATCAACCCATTCTTCGCAGCGTAGGACGTTGCGTTTCATTTGACGCTCTACTCGCAACGCAACACATCCTCCTCTCACAAACACACTCGAATTTAGCACCACCAGGTCAATCCAAAAACATACATTGTACATCCGGATCGCAATCGCCTCTACCTGTCTTCATCGATCAGAATTCCGGCAAACCAGGTCTGCTCTTTCCTCCCGCACTCGCGTCCTTCTTGGCCGTCTTCAGTGTAAACGCATTCTTGAAAGTCGAAGCCCTGTAACTACCATTCGCCGCCTTACCCACCTCTTCCTGCCTCTCCTCTGTCCCTACCGCCGGATGCGGTCGAGCCGGCAATGCCGGCAGACTGATCGGCTTCCTCACCTTCACACAGAACAAAAGCAGCAATGCAATGACAAACAACCCGGTGCCCACCGCAAAGATCGCCGCTGGGAAGCTGCTCGTGGTGCGTTTGAATGTCTCGGCAAACAGGATGGGTCCGACCACGGTACCGCTGATGGCGGAGACGATGCTCCACGCGCCGAACAGCTTGCCCGCATCAGCAGGCGATTTGAGCAACGCCAACGCCAGCGAAGACATGGCAGCTCCTCCACCACCGCCCAACGAGGTGACGGCGGTGGCGAGGAAGAACAGCTGCGGTGTCTTGGCGAAGACGAGCATGCCGTAAGAGATGGTGTTGACGACCATCGAGATCTTGGCGAGCTTGAGGTCGAACTTGCTATCGTGGATGAGGCGTAGATGTTTGGCGCGGAGCGTCCAGAGTTCCTCGACCGATTTTTCCGTTTCGTCCCATTCGCTGTCACCACGGTCGTCCTGTGAATGCTCGTCCGCGCCGTTGTCCGAAAGAAGTGGGCTCGACTGGCCCGTGGCACCGTACGAGCTCATCCTGCGATGCGGTCTACCCTCGTCGTCGAGTGTCGAGTGTCGACGCGAGTCAGGCGCGACCGTCTGCTCCTCTTCCACGGGCGGACCGTCCTGCGGCAGACGCAGCGCCTTGACGGGTCGATGGAGCAGCTTGATGACAAGCGGCAAGACGGCGGTGAGGGCGAGCACGCGCGTAATGCTGAGGAACGTGAGATACGTTCCGAGCTCGGCGGATCCCCAGATGAACTGCTCCTGCGCGTACTGCAATTTGAAGGCCATGATGCCGAAGATGGCCGTCTCGGTAAAGTAGGTGAGCGAGAGGAAGGACAAGTTGTAGTCGTAGCGCGTCTTTGAGGGTACCCGCGAGACGGAGATGTGCGACGCCGATGCTTCAGGAGGAGCCAGGGCGTTGGCGGTACGAGGTGTGCTTGCGCCAGAAGCGGAAACGTCGCCTTGGTCCGCGGCGGCGTCTTGGTCGTCCTCGATCACCACCTTCTTGGGCAGCAAGAAGCCGAGCGGCTCCAAAGGCGCGTACAAGACGCTATTCAAGAACATGACCTTGGCACGCCTCCAAGCGCGTTTCTTGAAGGGCCTCGCCTCCTCCCCGTTTGCCGCGGATGCGCGAAGAAGAGGCTGGAGCTCGGCGGTCTTGCGTTCGTCGGCCTTGCGCTTGATCTCAGCCCGCGACTCGTTGTACTCGCGCAGTGCCTTTGCACGAAAATCCTTGCTCGTGCTTTCAGGGATGAAGGTGAAGACGCCGAGTATGTAGAGGAGATGCATGCCGAGCGCGAACCAGAAGGGCGCAAGTAGATTGCCCGTGTGCTTCACAAGCAAACCTCCCAAGGTGGGACCGAGCGCAAGACCGGCGTAGACGATTCCCATGTAGTGCGCAAAGATGTGTGCCCGCGTACCGCTCGGAGTGACGTCCGAAATGTACGATTGGTGGACGGCAATAGCTGCGCTGTATCCACCGAACAAGCCTTCGACAATGGTCCCCAGCACGAGAAAACTGTAGCCAAAGGGGAGGCTGGAGCGCGGCACGATCGAAGTTGTGAGCATGACGAAATCGGCAAAAATGATGCCGGTCATCGAGATACGGAGGACGAAGAGACGCCCTCTTCGGGAGGAAAGATTGGACCAGAAACCCGTGGTGAGAGCGGCGAGTATGCCCATGGAGAGGGTCATGCGAAGCTGCAGAGTGGCGAGCGAGGATTGAACCTCGGGACTGGCAAAGCACGCCTTGCTTGGGCGTCTTGGGACGGGAATGACGGTTGAGTTGGGTTGATCTAGCGCTGCAAAGTAGGCTGAGACTGCGTCGTGGTCGGAGGAGGCGCTCACCCGCGAGCCATGCCAAGGTTGAAAGTCGTCGAAGTGGATAGGATGGAGCGAGGCATCGTGTCCAGCCTGAGCATGCCCCAAAGAAGAGTTGGTTGGCGGTCTTGGGGCAATGACATCACCTCCGCCCACATATGTGTCTCCGAGTATGGATTCGCAGACAAACATGTTGAGCAGCTCAAGCTTGGGACCCATGCACATGCCGCCTGCCATGGCAATGAGAAGGGCAAAAGGACGCAGCCACTTTTCAGATGGTCTGCGGTACCAAGGTTGGTGTTTGAACCAGAGCAAGTGATCATCAATGACAGCCGCATCAGGTGGTTGAGAGCCGTCAGCGGCGGGAGCGCCGGAATCTTGACGGTGCTCTTCGTCTCTGGCCTCATCGTCGAGTCGATAGAGCATGTCGGCAAGGACAGGGTTGGTCGAGTCGATCTCAAGCTCACCGCCGAGAGGACGTGCGACAGGGAATGCTTCAGGAGGTGCGTTGGAGCCAGTGCTCGCCGAGCGTTGCATGACGGGAGGACGAAGGGTGTCGCCGGCGGGACGATGTGTGGCACGGGACCTTGAGCCTTCTTCCATCACCTGGCGAGGCAAGGAAGGAGACGCTACGTCAGAGGGAAATGCTGCTAGGAGCTGCTGGTTGATTGTGCGAGCGTCATCTGCGGTGATGTTGCGGCCTTGAATTTTCACCTGGAACTGATCGCTGGGAGCTGCCAAGCAGAAGTGCCCTTTGACGCCGATTGCGTCGCTCGTGATGAACGGATTGGAATAGGACCAGATGGCAGCGTTGAGCTCCTGAATGCGAGAGCCGGCTTCAGCGACATCGTGATACTGAGCGAAGCCTTTGTAAGGGCAGTAGGTGTCTTTGTGATTGCTGGCCTTGAGCGCAAAGGACCATTGCAGTGCGTCGCGAGGAAAGTAGAATCGGACAGGGTAGTTGGTTTCTGCGAGCTGAAGTGCATCCGACGTGTCGACGAGGGTGCGTTTGCGGCCGTTGATGACGGCTGTGATGGTGAGCTGCTTGGCAAGAGGCTTCACCACCAGCCGATGCGGAGGCATTGGAGCCGGTGACGCCGAGGAGGACGGGCTGGACATGATGGCGGATGTTGGCGTTCGAGCAAGCTTGTCACTGCATTCCTGTTGATAGCAGTCTGACCCAGGAAAGACTTGCGCCAGCTCGAAGCGACTTTCAAGGGAGCCTGATCGTGTGCAAGGCGTGTATGAGGAGGGGATGGAAAGATATCAAGGGTCTGCGGGACGACGTGCTTCCTCTCGTTGGTCGGAGAGGAGACGCCCGACTGCCAATTCACGAGGCCGCGGAGCAGAATGTGATTTGATTGCTCTTCGCATAAGTCAGGAGGTGCGGCGGCAAGTGGAGCACAGCAGCGCTCTTTCAGCATCGGCGCGCTTCTCGTCAAAAAGATAACCGCGACCCTTTGGCAATTTGCCGAGATGCACTTACGACGCTCTTCCTAACTATCTCCGTCCTTTGTCATCGTCTCAGTCGGATGCGCCATCGCCAGTAACAGTGAGAATTGCAGTCATCGATGCTCTTGCTGGCGATCCATTATTCGAGATGGCCCAGTCGAGCGAACCATCGATGATAGAAGAGCGGACGAATGGATCGACTGGCACGGTGGGAGTGTATCGGCTAATCCGCATTCCGTGGCGTCCAGGCTGACACATCGTGATTCTCAGACGCTTCTCTGCGACGAAGACCTGATCCATATAAAAATGTTGTCAGATCGGTCAAGCCGACAGCGATAATCAATGAATCAGATTTAGAATAAGCAGCAAAGCACGGTCCTCTTGCTCTGAACCTCGAATCCGCGGATGCTCGGAAGACGCCTCGGCCTGAACAGATAGAGTGTCTGCTAGACCCTGACCAAGGCGGTCTGATGTCTTGTGACCTCTGATATCGGCGCTGGACAGCCTCTCCTACGACAACGATCATCACATCACGACACAATGGACTCGACGGACTTGCAGCTGCTCGCCAACAAGAAGCACGACCTTCTGCACGCTGCGCAAGAGGCGAGGAAGCTCTCCTATTCTCCATACAGGTTGGTCCATCACATCGAGCTATCCAAGACCTTACAGTGAGCCATGTAGCTGATCCTGGAAAACCTTTTGCTTTGCCTCCACTACTCTCTGTGACGCACGGTCAGCAAATTCCGCGTCGGCGCAGCTCTGCTGACCAAATGGGGCGAGATCATCCTAGGAGCCAACTACGAGAATGCCTCTTACGGTGGTACTGTCTGCGCTGAACGTACTGCCCTAGCAAAGGCGCTCATCCGGTCTGACCAGCTCGACGTGTCGGAGCAAAGCTCGGCGCGCAAGATCCAACGTGGCGACATCATCGCTGTGGCCGTCGCAAGCGATCTCGAGGGCAGCTGCAGTCCGTGCGGTATCTGTCGCCAGGTCATCCGCGAACACTGCAGCCTCAACGCCCGCATCCTCATGGTCGGCTGCAACTGGAGTAAAGCAAGTGCTGCACAGACGATTCAAGGCACAGTCGAAGATCAAGGCGGCAAGGAGCTCAACGAGGCCAATGTCGAGGTGGTGACGCTCGAGTATCTTTTGCCCATGAGCTTTGGTCCGGAAGACCTAGACAAGCCGCGGCATTCATAGTGCGCGTACTCTATTAGCTGCATATTCTCAGCACCGTTTGTAGCGTTGTTCGTAGCATTGCTCGTAGCATTGTTCGTTGATAGATGTATCGATGAGATGCTGGATAGTGTACAATCTTCACGTCTGTATGTTGTGGGTGAAGGCTCCCCATACGTGAAACACTTCAGCGTCTCTTGCTGCCCTTCTTCCCCGCAGGACTGCTTCTGCCTTGGGGCAGCCAGTCTTGATCGACATTCGGATTGCGAACAGCGGTCGAACTGGCTCCGCTCTGCGACTGCGCCTTGGCAATGGCTGCTTCAATCTCCTCAGCAGAGACTTGCTCTCCTGCTCGCATCCGTGCCGCGATCTCCGGCGTGACCGCCATACGCTTGACGCCCGTCTGAAAACCTGGTGCACCTCGACCGAGTCCCGTCTTGGGATCGTACTTGCCCGTGTAACCGCTGCGCTTGTTGGCGCCAAAGAAGCGCGATGCTACCGCACCTACGATGATGAGCGGCACGAGGACCGAGGGTATCCTGCAGTGAGACGAGTGCGATGTATGTCAGCGAAAGACTTCCTAGCTGGCACGCTAATTGAGTGGACCTACAAGATCCAGCCGGACATGGTTGTGTGATTTGCGGAGTGTAGTGGATGATCGACGAAATGAGGCAGAATAGATTCGCAACAAGGTTACACCGACGCGGTTGACTGTTGATCTTGTGCACTTTTGCTCCACACTTTGTAAAAAGCGGAATTCGGGACCAATTTTTAGACATGACCTGGCCTGGACCACCTTCGCTTCTTCCTGGCTCACCACCTTACCCATCACCCATCAGTTCTCCCGACCGCTCTGATCGAGGTCGTCTGAGATCAGCATGTCGGCGCCGATACTTCCTGGCGCACAAGCCGGCCCATCCTCGCTGCCCTCAGCTTCGGCCAGTCAACGAGCTCGCCAGATCCAACACGCACTGAAAAGCATCGTCCTTGAGACAGCATCCACCTTGCGGTCAAGATCACAGCTCGCACGACTCCAATCGGCAGGACTAACATCATCGGCATCAACAGCGGCAGAGAGCGTCAATGAGTCGAGCTCGAGCATGGATCAGCTGACAGGCGAATGCGCGCGATATCTCTCCCTGGTTCACGGTCTACGAGACTATCTGCTGCACGCCCAAGCAGCGCTGGAGATCGAGTTGGAAGCGGCTACACAGAGGGAGGCGAAGGAGGCGCAAATTGCGGCCCTGGCCGCGGCAGAGGCGCTCAAGATGCAACAGCAGGCGGAAGAGGCTGCCAAGAAAAAGGCCGAGGAAGAAGCAGAACGTAAACGCCTCGAGGCGGAAGAACAGGCTGCATCTGCGGACACGAAGAACGGCACTATGAAAGATGGTGAGGGCAAGAAAGAAGATGACTCGCTTGCAGGACTGGCGACGCCACCATTGCTAACAATTACAACGGATCAGAAGGAAGCACAGAGCGCTTCAAGCGCAGATGCCAAGAAACCAGATGCTGGCACCGCTGCCGGGGACGCCATCGTGATCGACAGCGATGGCGACGACGAAGACGACGTGCCTCTGGCCTTCGCTCCCAAAGCAGGTGCAGCGGACGGCAAAACGATCGATCTCACCGACTCTCCGACTCTAGCCAACCTTCCCAAGCCTCAGCCTTCCGACATTCCTGCAAACCCAATGCTTACACTACCAGACTCGACAACAGCATCGACCACCACCGCTACTGGTACCGCCGCGCCTGCTGGCATTCCAGGTCTCGATCTCTCAGCATTCGGCATCGACATGTCCTCGCTAGGCAACATGTCTGACCTCTCCTCGCTCGGCATCCCGTCCCTCGCTAACACCACCACTACGAATACCACCTCCACCGCCGACGCATCTTCCCTCCCGCCGGCGACCGATTTCTCAGAATTAGAAAAGATGATGGGCATCGACCTCTCGTCCACCTCCACCTCAGCGGATCCAGCATCTTCATCGGCATTGCCGAACCTCTCCTCGCTGGGCAGCTTCGGCCTCGGAGGTGGGGATGGCGGATTCGGCGATGAGAACGACATGTTCGGCTCGGGTTCGGGTGGATTGGATCTGAGCAACTTTGATTTCTCGAGCCTCAATGCTGGGGGTGATGCGGGCATGGGTGCGGGTGCAGGGGTGGATTTGAGTTCTTTCTTGACCAACTTTGCATCGGGTACGGGAGATGAGGCTAGTAAGGAGGGCGGTGGCAGCTGAGTTGGGGGAGAGCGAGAGCGTTTGTTTGTATCTGTATTGCACTCGAATCTGTACTTGTATCACTTGTCTTTGATCTTGACTGGCCGGCGTGTGAGATGTTGGAGTGATGGTCTGTGGGAGAGGCGCTTTCGTTCCGCGGAGAAATCAGCCGTGGAAACTGGGAGTTGCTGGACCCTGGAAAGCGTTCTTCCCGGAAAAAAAGCTCGATTCTTTCCCCATCGACCCCTCCTCCTCCTCCTCACCATCCTTTCTTCCCGGCGCTGTCCGTCATGACTGCTTCACCGACCCGAACACGCCCATCGAAAAGCTCCGGACTATCCTACCACAGCGCATCGTACTGGAACCACCGATTCATCACCGACCCACGCGAATCCTCCGGCTTCGAATGGCTTTCCTCCTCCACCTCGCTCCTCTCGCTCCTCACCACCTCACCTGCGCCGCTTCTCCTCCGCGATCCACCAATACACATCCTTCATATCGGTGTCGGAACATCATCTCTCTCTCTGGACATCTTGAAGTACTGGCGGCAACAATTCCCTGCCGATTGGATGTATAGAGCGAAGAACATTGTCAATGTGGATTTCTCACCGAACAGCGTTGACTTTCAACGGCGGGCTGAATGTCAGTGGTTGGGAGAAATTGGTGAAGATGGTGATGTGGAGTTGATGGAGTATCGTATAGTGGATCTGTTGGATTGGCATCAGGTGGAAAGCGTGCTTGGTCAAGGAGAACCTTTCGATTTAGTGTTGGACAAAAGTACCACTGATTCGATATCAACTGGTGAAGACACGGCGTTCACCTGCATCAAAGGTGATACTCACCATCCGTCATTGCTACAGCTGGCGAGGTCAAAAATCGGTGTAGTAGGAGGCGTAGCCACGACACAGGTGCTCGGCATTCATCTGAGTTCAATCGTCAAACCGGACGGTCTTTGGTACTGTCACAGCTACAGTTCGGATCGATGGGACGATGTCATCTCGCCGTCCGAAGCAGCAGCAGCAGATATCTGGCCATGGAAGCAGACAGACAAGACGTCGGTCGCGGTCGAATCATCCGATCCGAATGCGCCTCTGATCAACCACTACATTTACACCATGCAACGATCATAGTATCTTCTCGGGGAATTCACTTCCTCGTGTCACGTACAGGCCAGGCTCACAATATACCACATGCACAATCAGCCACATTTTGTAGTAGCAGAGAAGGTCCTCTCGATTTTTAACCTACTCGCGCTCGGCCCGCCTCGACGCCTTAGCACGCATGAGTTTGTCTCGCAGCTCGCGCTCTCGCTGCGCTTCATCCTGGGTATCGGCCTGACCGCTTATTCTGCGTCGCGTCGGATCCCGCTCGTCAGCATCATCGACATTGCCCCTTCGGACACGCCGTGTGCTGTCGTCTTGCGCGCTGTCGCGGTCTCTGTGCCGTGGGGAGTCTCGAACGAGCTGTTTGCGTTCGCGAAGTGAGGAGCGGTAGTCGGGGGTGATTGAGCGGGAACGTGATCGTTGGCGTTCTTTTTGACGCGGAGGGGTGAGGGATGGGGATCGCCGACGTCGGCGTGGCGGTGGTGAGGGCGATCGGCGTGATGATTGATGAGAGGAGGTCAGTGTGTCTCTTGGAGCACGATTTCCCCAGCCAGAGTCTCGAGCACGACCAGAGTCGGTATTGTAGCGGTCGCGATCGCCGTCGCTGGACGGGTACGAATTGTGCTCTCGACGTCGATTCCAGTCGTTGCGGCCGGAATTGTCTCTCCGATGATAGTCACCGGTGCGGCCTTGGTCTCCAGAGGTATACGCAGGCGGCCGACCATCCGATGTGGACGTCGCACCAGCATCCCACCGCGACCTCCTCCTCGTCTGACCACCCTCCGTCCTGCCACCGGCCTCCGCTGCGACCCTCGCCCTTTCCCTCGCCTCCCTCACCACCCTCTCACCCTCCTCCCTCTTCAGCCTCAATTCCTCCTTCTTCTCCTCCACAAACCGCCTCGGCACACCCCCCGGACTTTCCTGTGCCGAAATCAGCAACCCCCACAGCTCTTCCATAAACTCGGCCGTCTTGCCCTCCAAGAACCCCATCAACTGGATCTGCACCTTTCTCGGATCAGGGAACCTCTCCTCCTCTAGCATGCCCGATGCATACTCGAGCACCACATCGTCTTCGAAACCTAGCAACGAGGTGATGCGTTGGGAGATCCACGGCTTGATGACCGAGAGTTCGACTTTCGTGGTGTCGACTTTGGTGTCGAAAGAAGCGGGGAACCTGAGCTTTCGGAGAAGCGTGGATTCCTTGTTTGTGAAGCGCGAGTCTTGGGCTGCTGAGACGCCTTTATAGGACGAATCGCCCATGTTGAAGGGTACAGAAAAGCCGGCTGTTAGCTGCGACGATGTGGTGGTGATGGACAAGAAGCGAGATGTGATGAAGATGGGAACCGTTGAATTCCACACGCTCTCTCCGCAACTCGAAAATTCAGGGTCCAACAACTCGAATCCTCGCTCAACCTCGTTTGCGCTTTGCTCGCAATCTCTCTGCCACAAACTTCTTCACGAACATAGTCAGAACAACTGCACAAAGAGGTTCAAACATGATGCCTGGCATGTTGGCGTGGCATTGCGCGGGAATCAGAGCTTGGCGAACTTGGGCGTCTTCTTCTGCATGACAGACAACATGGCGACGGGCATGTCGTCTGATTGAAGGAGGGCCGAGTTGAACGCCTGCACGAAGCGAAGGCCTTCCTCGACGCTGTGACACAGACGTGCAAAGCCAACGAAAGAGCGTCAGTGATTGTCGTACTGCAACTGCAGTGTGCCAGGTGGAACCTACCCATGATCTCGGCTGTGCAGCAGGTAGATCTTTGTACCTCGAACAGCGACGGGTGATTTCGAGGCGATCTCGGAGGCCGTCTTGACCGCAGTAGCTGGGTCGCATTCACACACAGGAGAAAACATCAGTAGCTTGTCACGAGTCCAGCCGCCATCAGAGTCGACTTGGAACTTACCAACGACTTCTTCCCTCCCACCATCGATGACCTTGCTTAGAAAGCCGATCTCCCTCGCCTCTGCTGCATCGAACTCCCTCGCGGTATAACACAGCTCCCTCGCAAGCGAGTCGTTCCCCACGATCTTTGGGAACCTCTGCAGTGTTCCGATATCCGCAGCCAGCCCAGCGTCCACCTCCTTGATACTGAACCTCGTCGTCTTGGTGGCGTACCTCACATCGCACGCTGACATGATATCGATCGCCAAGCCAAACGCGACGCCGTGAGCAGCGGCGATGACAGGCTTTTCGACGTACTCGAACCAAGAGATCGCTTCTTGGAAATCGCGCAGGTGGGCTCGCATAGCGAAAGCCTTTCGAGCCGCATCCGGTGCTTCGGCGATGACCTCGCCAAGACTCTGGGAGTTGAGATCGAGCCCGGCGGTGAAGCATCGACCTTCGCCGGCGACGACGATAGCAGACACGAGGGGGTCGTCGCGCACTTTGCGGAGGATCGAGGTCAGCTCTTGCCATTTGGGGTCAATCCACGCGTTGACGGGGGGTCGGTTGAAGGAGAGCATCAGCACGCCGTCGGCTGCGAGCGTGAGCTTGTGGTATTTCGCATCGGAATAGGTGGGGTAGGGCTGTGGGAACGACATGTTAGAATCGGTAGAAGATGTCAAGAGCGGATCAAATGGACAGATGACTGTGGTGGTGATGGTCGTCGGTGTTTGGAGGGCAGGGTGAGGCGTGGAGGAGGAATGTGCGTGCGCGGGAGCGGCTGTCGGTCAAAGATGAAAGCCGCGACCGGTTACGGTTAAGCCTTTCAGCTAGATTTTACGAAATCTGCGAGACCCTGCTGAAAATCGGGAGACCTAATCGGGTTGTCGGTGTCCCCACATCAATGAACACGATCTCTTGTATACATGGCGTTGGACGACATCGCTCTTCAACAACCGAAGCCGGTTCGTAAGGCTGAACACTACAGAGCGCACACTAGAGACGAGCTTACAGGCCATTGGCAATGCCAAATTTCCATTACCCAGTAAAGAAGAGCCAAAAGCCCTCGTGAATCTACTCGCTCGAAGTACTGCTCGACCTGGCAGCATCCGGATTGCGCGAGCGCTGCGTCGTCTGTCGATTCAACGCAGCCGCGAGACTCTGCAACGGCGACTGTGCATACTTCTCCTGGTTACCCGACGACATGACTGGCAGCGCAAAGGCAATCATTACAAAGATAGACGTCAGCACACGTAAGGCTCTATGCTCCCCGCGTCACCACCTATCGAGATACTCACGGACAGGACTCGACGTCGCTGCAGGCTGATCAGCATCAGCTACAGCTTCTCTCTGCTCTCGAAGCTGTTGACCTTGCTTGATCATGTATTCGCGCTTCTTGGCAGTGTTGTTCGACTTGACGGTGAAGTAGCCGAAGCCTGCTACTACGATGAGCGCTGCCCAGCTGCAGGGCGAGTCAATACCAGAGAAGAGTGGTCAGTAGAGGTAGGAAGACTTGAGCGCGTGATGTTAGGCGGCTGCTCACCCCCAAAAGATGGCTTTGGGCTGGTCCAAGCCTTGACCTTTCGGCGTTGTTCTTGGCCGTGGAGCTTGTGCGTTTGCGCTGGTCGAGTTGAGCCTGCGTGATATCAATGCCCGCGATGCAGAGGCTCTGTGCATGTTGCGCCGTGATGCGGATGCTAGCATGCTGCCAAGTCCGAGGTAGGCCGGTGTCAAGTAGTTCGTACAAGATGGTGTTCGGTCGACAAGACAAGCAAATCTTCCGAGTGGAGGCAGATAAAGCAGTATCTTGTTAGGTTTGGATCGTGCTCCGGCCAAGCGGCTGTGCACCGAGTTTTGTTAATCGCATGCACAACACAGCTTTTAGAGCTTTGGACCCTGTATCACTGCCGCTCAGTTCCATACAAAGGCTTCCACCTGACCAGCGTCATCCTCAGCAACGCCCACATCAACCACCACCGCCTAAAACGTCTTGCTAAGGGCCAATCATGACACTAGACGCAGCTCTCTTCACGCTGCAATTTGTCAGGAGAAGGAACCAACCATGGATCGTCGACATCTACCCCACGTCAACCGCGTCCAGCTCCAGCGGTGCACCGCCCGTACCCTCCAAGGATTCGGCAAGCACCTCCAAACCCACCGCCTTCACAGGCACCATCCCGGACCTCGCAGCTCAACGTGCGCTCGCGCTTGAGTCCACGAACTTCTCCGACCAGACTCCCAGCTACACACGAGTGCGAGCAATGAATCACACCCAGTACAGCACCATCCTGCTCGACGGTCTCGTCAACGACTGCCTCCTCGCATCGATATCACAGCCGTACGCCAACAACGCCAAAAAGAAACACATCCTGCTCTACAGCCCGGACGCTGAAGTCGAGCTCGAGAAGCGCAGCATGACATTCCAACAGTCGTGGCGCTTCCACTTTGGCGACGCGGCATCTAGCACTGCCGAGGAGTTTTCGTGGAAGCGAGAAGGCGGACCCTCCCGAGGCTCATCCACACAATCGGCGTACGTGTGCGAGGTCATTCGCAGACCAGATCCGAGTGTTCTGGCGGCGCAGTATCGTCCTCCTGCCGTAAAAGGGAAACCGGGCACGCTGCAGTTGATGGACTACAACATCAATCGTCTCGACGTGCAAGACAAGAAGGGGTTGGAGGTGGTACTTGTCATGTCGTTGAGCGCGTTGTTGGATCAGGAGTACGATGAGAAAATGGCTTCGAGAGGAGAGAGGAATATGTACATCTGCAGTAGTGGCATTCCGACGGATTTGAGTACGCAGGGGTTTGCAGGCGCGTGGCAGGAGGCAGAGGCACGGCATCGGTCCGAATCGGCTGTCACGACCGGGTCTTTACAGGATGGCGATACCACCCATGGTCTCCCGCGCGTTGCAAGCGAGTCCTCAGATATCGATGCAGCGACCGCAGATCGCATCGCAAATCTCGAACCGAACGAGCTGCTCATCACAAGATGGGGATCCGTCGACGAGTACGTGCAGCACGCTCTCCAGCTGCTCAGGTCAGACGGGCAGGGACAGTCCATGTACCTCATCTACCTGCTCTCGCATTCGCCCGAGACGACGCCAAAGGTGGTCCAGGTGGCCGCGGCGATCAAGGCTGCCTACTATCGACTGCCCGACGATGCCAAGGGTACGGTGTATGGACGACCCAGCACAGCGACGGCGGTGGAAGACGAGCTGTATCAGTACGTTCAGACGCTCGATGACGAGGAGGCGCCTGCTTCGGCCCCTGCCGAGACGACGCCGAAGAGGAGGATAATCAAGTTGGATCCTCCGAGTCAGACTTCGATGAGCTCGACTTCTCCGGCCGGAAGCCCTGGTCCGCGATCGTCTTCGATGGGCTACAAGCCGCCGAGCAAGCTTAAAGTCATCTTATCGAAAGAGAGGATCGCCGAGCTCGAGCCGAAGAAGCACGAAAACCAGACAGTCACAGCGTCAGGTGCGGCTCAGAACACACTCAACGTACCAATGAAGCCAAGCTTGCCGGGTCGACCGGTCTCTCCGCCGTCGCAGCAGCAACCGCATCCGTCCAGCAGCACTTCAGCGCAGCACGACAAGCTGGGAAAAGGCAAAGCGCTGCTCTCCAAGCTCGGGTTGCATTCCTGATCCCCAATGTAGACAGGTTTCGATATGGAATTCGAATGATATGATTTGTGGAAACGCTACAAAGAGGTGCTTTGGATGTGTTGGATGACAGCCATTGCTTGAACCCAATCGTCGACTTTGATGAGCACGCTCTTGGGTTCATCCGTCTCTGTGCTCGGTGTTCCGGCTTCGTAAGAATGCAGGAACTCTTCGTGGGTGGTGTAGAGTTTTTGATAGGGTGGGTTGGTCTGTTGGATGATCTTGTGGATGCTCGAGTGGTCGAAGTTGGGGTTCATGATGAGGCCGAAGTGTGCGTTGAGCAGGCAGGGGAGGTCGGTGGCTGAGTCGCCGACGTACACTGTAGTAGCAGAGGAAGAGGAAGAAGAGGTCTGCATGATGCGCAGTTTGTCCAGACCAGTTCGGATGCCGGAGGAAGCGAGGGTGGTGGATGACTTTGTGAGGGCGCCGGTGCCGATGTCGTCGATCATTTCGACTTCGTTGGCGTAGATCTGTTTGATGATTCCGGCGTGGGAGCGGTGTTCGATAGCGTGTCGGATGAAGTTGGCGCTCCAACCAACGCTGATGATGTTTGCATCTAGGGTTTGGTTCGACAACCAGGTGTAGAACTCGTCCCAACCATCTCGGAACTCGACCTTCTCCGCGCGCTCCAGCAGAGAGCTCTTTGACATTCCCTTGAACAGCCCACCTTCTTCCACCCGGGCAACGGAGGCTCGCTCAACGGAATCCATCTTGTCCAGGTATTCCAGCTGTGTGACCCAGTCGCGACGCGGACCGAATGATGATTCGAACGTCTCGAGGTCGGACAGGTAGGCGGAGGTGTAATGCGAGAAGGGCGGACCGGGGTGGGCTTGTTCGGGAGGGGCGATGAGGGAGAGCGTATCGTGAGCGGTGATCGTTTCGTCCCAGTCGAAAAAGAGGTGGAGGGTCGCAGAGGTCGAGGCGGTAGAAGGGGAGAGATTGGTGGTAGCCGTGGTTGGCGTGCGAGGAACGGTGGCGGCGGTGCGTCGAGGTGGACGAGAGGGGCGTGTGAGAGAGGTGGACCGCGATAGAGAGTCGGTCGAGCTCCTCAGGTCGGCAGGGAGGGCGGATCTGGGTGTAGACGGGATACCAGTCGAATCGGTGGTGGCGGTTGGGGCGAGCAGTTGTACAGGCTCACCGTCCAGTGCAGGAAGACTGGTATCGTCGTTTGAAGCCTCAGTAACGTCCATCAAGTTCGTGCTGTCCAGTTCGTCTGCCAAACTATTGACTCCGTCCTCTTGCGCGGGCCGCGGCGGAAGTGGTGGCTTACTAGACTCACCCAGATCGATCAGATCCGTCTTCTCTTCCGCGATCTCGTTTTCCTCTTTGCCGCTCTCCTCCAGCTGCAACGGCGAAGGCGCGACCCTTCTCTTCTCACCCGGCTTACACCCCCTGGACTCCCAATAGCCTACCACCTTCTTGTGCTTCGGTGGCGGCGGCAGCGCTCGAATCTCTTTCCGCTCTTCCTCCATCCTCCTCTCTTCTTCTTCTTTCTGCCTCCTCTCCAACTCCAGGTCAAAGTCATCCGGAATCCCTGCCTCCTCCATCGCCTCCAGCTCCTCTGGCGTCGGAGGCAACTTGAGTCGCTCGCCATCCTCCAGCAGCTCCGCCGACTCCTCCTTCTGCAACTGTCTCACCGCAACATTAGGTGGAGCTTTGACGGTTTCGTACACTGTTCTCTCCAACGAGTCGCCTTGGGCTACACCGGTTTCGGCATCACGGAGCGCGCGGTAGAGCGGATCGACCAGAGGAGGTTTTCGAACTTTTCCCTCGAGAATGTCTGTTGCTGTTACGCCTGGCCAGTAGTAGATGCGTTCGTTTTCGTCGAATCGATGCAAGAAGGCTTGGGCCATCGCCTCTACACCACCATAGAGGCCGCGGGAACGGACGTAGGAGAAGACGGGAGATCGGTCAATACCCATTTCTCCACTGATACCTGTACCGAAGGGCCCAGCAGCGACGGCTGTTTCGGCTCCCAAGGTGACCTTGTGCGACTTGAAGCTCTCCATGGCGCGCTCTGTGTTGACTACGAGGATGACGTCGAAAATGTCGAATCCGAGCAGGAGACCCACGGAAAGATTGTTGGGGCTGATGGAGGAAGGTGCACTCCATGAGCCGTCGGGTAAGCGAGCAAGCATAAGTCCAGCTCCGCCAGCTCCGCCGAACGGCGCGATACCACTACGCATGGCTGTGTATATGACGATTCCCTTGGCACGCTTAATGACGGAAGGGGGGATCTTGCGAAGGACCTTGCGTTTCTTGTGGATGAAGCTGTTCTTCTTCGGATCATGCTCCACTATCGTCTCTGCAGCATCCGTCTCTGGTTTTTCGGTGGTAGAGGCAGGCTTGGCCTCTATCCCCTCGACGGTGAATGCACGGAGGATTCGTTCGCACTTTGTGATCTCTTCAGGAAAGTCGTTGGACTTAGGCCAGAAGCGCTCGCCTCCCATCTTGGCGGAAGCGGAGTTGGCATACCCGGATGCCCAGTCGGAGACAACAATTGACTTGTCGAATGCCGTCTTGCTCCATCGCTTCCATCTGCTGTCCTGGGAAGCCGATGATGCATCAGCGTTAGATGGTCTTGAAGGAGGCGGCGGTGGTGGTGGAGCCGACATGACGCAGCGAAGCGAAGTTGATACCCGCAACGACAATGTCGAGGCCCTCAGTGTGACCAGTACCACTGGAAGAAAGACGATCTGGGGTATCGAATCTGGAAAACTATCGCTGTTCGGCGGTGAAGGATGAGATATGTTCGACCAAAGGAAAGAAACAGGAGATGCAGAAGATGAGTGCGTGGTGGCAGCTCCAGATCTGAAATAAGGTATCCGCCGCACCGATACCAGGAGAGCGTCCGCCGCGGAGGTGCTGATCCGGACGTCCCTTTCACATTTTGAGAAACTGTTACGTCGGTCTTCTGAACGCGCCGGTCACTTTTTTCATATTGAGTGGAGGATCGGCAATGCAATGAAGAACAAATTGAGACTAATCCTTCTGCCGGTGTGTGTCGACAAGTGTGTCATAATCAAACGCAATCCGGAATTCAGGGCTGAGTGACCGGGAATTTCTTCGGAAAGTTCTACCGGTGTCAACGGCACCACAGTCTGTGTCGAGAAGAACAACAGTGCGTGTCGATGCCATGGAACTTCGCGGAAGCCTACGCTGGCTGGCACTTCGTCGCCTCCCGGATTTTAGCCTTTGGGATGCACATGAGCCGATGCCTGATTTTTGGGATAACCGTTCAACATGACACGAGGCTTCGCAAATAGACGAGCAGCCCAGGAGCTTTGCTATATAGTATGAGATCTGACCGTTGCGGCCGCTCACGGAAGCTACAGCATTGTTCGTCCCGCACATCATTCTCCTAGCTCGTCCCTCCAAAATGGTCACTAATCACCAAGTCCTCTTCGACAAGGTAACGCCCACCGGCCTGCCTAAACCGGGCGAGACCACCAAGCCTGGCTCGACCGAGCTCGACATCGACAATGTCCCCCTCAACGGTGGCATCCTTACCCGCAACATCGCCGTCTCCCTCGACCCTACCATGCGCAACCGCATGAAGGGTGACATCGGCTACTTCTCGCCCCCCTACGTCGTCGGTCAACCCGTCACCGCCATCGGTATCGCAGAGGTCGTACGTTCTGAAGTCAACGGTTTCTCCGCTGGCGACATCATCTACGCCTGGTCCGTCGGGATTGAGGAGTACACGATCCACCCCGCATCGGTTGCCCCGACCTTCCGCAAGTTTGACCCTACCCTGCTTAAGAACGGCTTGACCATCACCACCTACCTGGGCGCCGCCGGTATGGCAGGCATGACCGCCTACATGTCCATCAAGGAGATCATCGGTGACTTGAAACCTGGCAACAAGATGTTCGTCTCCGGTGCCGCCGGTGCGGTCGGTCAGCTCGTTGTACAAATTTGTCATCAAGCCGGCGTCAAGGTCATCGCATCTGCCGGTACTGATGAGAAGTGCGCCTTCGTCCGTTCGCTCGGTGCTGACGAGACAATCAACTACAAGACCGAAGACCTCCCTGCCAAGCTCAAATCCTTCGCTGCCGACACTGGCATCCACTACTACTTCGACAATGTCGGTGGAGACCAGCTCGAAGCCTACATCAACAACGCCGCTCGTTACGGTATCATCGTCGCCTGCGGTTACATCTCTGGTTACAACGCCGACAAGCCCGAAGACGTCGTCTACCCCAAAAACCTTTTCAACATCGTCACAAAGGAGCTCAAGTACCAGGGCTTCATCGTTAGCTCCTTCATCCCCAAGTGGATCGGAAAGTTCATGGAGGAGGTGCCCCAGATGTTGGCAGACGGCAAGCTCAAGAACAAGGAGGATGTCACGTTCGGTGTCTACGGTGCAGAGGATGCATTCTTGAGGTTGTTCACCGGCGACAACCAGGGTAAGGTGGCTGTGTTGATCGACACAGAGAGGGCGGAGAAGTGGAACTTGAAGAAGCAGATCGAGGGCGCAAAGGTGTGGAAATAAGTGTGGATTCTAGTCTGTCAGAGTCAGTTCGCAACCTCATTCTTTCCAATCACACAGCTGACGATGGTGTAATCAAATCCGAATGTGACAATGAAGATTGAAGTGTGAACAGCTGCATGCAGCGGCACGGCTTTTTGAAAGCAGAAACATCCCAGCAGCCTAAGCTATGCGAAAGTACCGCGCCCTTCACTAGTTGGGAGTAGCCTTGATCACCAGCGGGATGAACGCTCCAGTAGCAGGGCTGATCGGGTAGTGGCCAACGACCCTGAAGATGCTCTGCATGACACCCGAGTGACTCGTCAACGACACAACCTCGTCCAACGGCGCTTCGTGCCACATCTGCGTCAGGGCCTGCTGGATCCTTCCGTCCAAATGGCTGTCCTCCTCCCTCGTCGTAGTCCAAAGTTCATCCTTCTCCGCGAAACCAGGTTCGAATCGAACGTTAGGGTAGTCTTTGGCGAGTTGAGACTTGGTGCGGCGTTCATCGCACGTGTGTTCGCCGTACTCCTCGCGGAAGAGCTCCTTGACCAACGGCGTGGGCTTGCCGACAAACTGGGAGTAGATGCCCTGCAGAAGGGGGCCGAGTCCGGCAGGGATCTGGCCAGACTTGACCTGGGAGAGGACGTTCTCAACTTGGGCCGAGACGTCAGCAGGGAGCTTTCCGACCTGAGAGAGGATGCTCTTCAGCTGGGACTCGAGGCCGGCGGGGACCTTGCCTTGGCCGAGCTGTGCCAGAAGACCTTGCAGCTGAGCCTCGAGACCAGCGTTGCGTGGCTGAACCTGCGACGCAGAAGCCGTGTCGTTCGGGTTGTTCAAAAGCAGCTTGTCGTACGAAATCTCCATCGTCGACAGAGCACGGCTCAAAGGGCTCGAGAACAGCTTTGTCGGCAAGGGCGCATGATCCTGTTGCTGCAGCATAGCCACCCATGCATCGTGCACCGCCTGGGCCTGTTGAATGCCCAGCGGTGTCAACCTAGCATCGGGTCCCCAAACCAGCGTACCGTCTGTGGTGAGTTCGGACCAGTACGAGTCCCATGCCGTATTGCCGTACTTGCTCTGAGCTACATTGTGGAAGCCCTGACCATGGCGTCCAGCGAAGAGGAGCTTGTACGAGGATCCATCGGTAGCCAGGCCTTGCGCGTTGAGCTCCAGCAGTCGTTGCGAGAGGTCGGCCCAGGTGGTGTTCGAACGAAGGCCAAAGTTGGGCGCGACGGCGGGGAGCGTGGTGCCCTCAACAGTATCGTACTGGAAGAAGCCTGTGTAGGTGGAGAAGGTGTACGACGTGGACATGCTGAAAGAGTTGACGAAGGGAGCAGCCTGAACGCCAGAAGCGGCGACGGCGAGGAATGCCAAAATGGCCGAGGAGTAGACCATGTTTAGAGTTGAAAGTAGTGTTAGTGGGATGCTTTGATGAACGATGACAAGGGCGAAAGGGAAACCTACCTGATTGGGTGTCTATATATGCGTCCCACACCTAGTCGTCCAGCGAGCGACGTGTGTTGTAAGCGTTTGGTGAAGGATGTGCAATGAGAAGGAGTGCAATTCGCACGTGCGGACATGCAACGGTCAACGTCGGACCGATTTTCCTCGTCGCACGCGAGATGGTTTGCTCGATGCGAGAAGGGTCTACCTGTGTAGCCGAGCGTTGGACGAACCCGGACCTGCCTGGAGCCTGCAATCGTATCTCGGAAGAAGATAGGACCGACAGTCGGACTTCTCACAACCTCATCGGCGGAGAGAAACCTCAGGGTCCTTCTGGGCGCACGTTCAGCGTGTCGATCTGGGCGCAAACAGACCCTGAATCTGCCAGAAGACCCAAAAGGAACGGAGTTGTTTCGAGGATCATCAACCCCAAGATGAATCCTCGCACACCTTGCTGTCTGTTTTTGGACCGAACTCTCTGCATACTTTCGGTCGTGCTGAGTTGACCGAGACCAGAAAGTTACCTTGGCGGGCAGCGCATCACGGCGGGAGCTACTGCATGAACAGCTTGCACGTTCCAGGTGATATCTCCGCACGGCTGCGAAACGAAAACGTGTTCGAATTTGGCCCTGTCTGATTCGCACGCCCAACCTGACGTGCCTGATTCTTCTCACCCACCCGTCGGTCAACTTGCGCATGAACCGTGTGCTTCTATGAGATCTTCGAGTCTGGTTCAAACCTACGGCTCAGCCAGCCCTACTCCGCCTCACATTCATTCTCCTGCTCATCAGCACCTCACCTAGCTGTCGATGATTAGCTGAAACGTGGGCGACGGGATTGTTTCGCAAGCCCCTCCCTTGACCGGCTGGTCAACTCTGAACCCTTCCCGACGCAGGAACGCTGATCAACCCTGCCAGGTTCGCATTCCCCTCTCAGTCGAAGATCTGCACAGGTATGTCGGGATCGAAGCGAGACACAAGCATGAAACTGAGGCAACGTGGTATCATATGAAAAACCGGTCCGGAGGGAATGTGCAGTCTATTTACAAGATTCTGCTACTGCTTGAAGAAGCCAATGATAGCCTGAATGCCGGCGGGCGAGAGACCGTGCCGTGGGTAGCAGATGTACACCCTGTCCTCCACCGCTCCGAGCTTCTGCCTGAATTCGCCCTTGTTGGTGAGCCTGTTGTGCTCCGCCAGCGAGTTGTACGCCTTGGTGAGCCACTTGGTCGTCACCTTGCTCAATCCGTGCTTGGCCACAAGCGTCGAGGTGGCAGAAGCGCCAAATGTCATCTTGCTGCCAGCGTTGCTCTCCATTGCGTGCAAAACGACGTGTTCGATGGTGCCGTTGGGCGCACCGGGGAAGTCGAGCGCCCACTTGATGTGCCATCCGTGCTGCGGCGAGAGCTGATGCAGAACTACCATGGCGCACACTTGGCCGGAGGCATCGCGTGCAATGTAGTAGACACGGTGCGACATGTCGCGCCACGGGTGGACGTCGGTCATGTGCACCTGCTCGCCCTTGCGGTTCTTGCGCCAGTCCTCGATTCGGGCGTCGGTCTCGCGCACCACCTCGTCCGGCACGTTCTCGCTGAGCGTGTAGTCCTGGATCTTGATCCCCTCCTTGCGAGCGTGACGCACCTTCTTTTGGATATCGGGGTCGTGCCGTGCCGGGTTCTTGGCTGGGTCCTCCACGCGCTCTTCCGCCGAACAAGAGAGCGAGCACCAGTTGAGTTTGCCGCCGAGGATCTCCTCAACCTCTTCGGACACCATCATCCAGATGGGTTTGAGTTTGGCTTCCTTCTTGATGAACTGCAAGAAAGCCGAGATCGCCTGCGAAAGCTGTGCCTTGTCACACAGCGGGTCGCCGATGATCATGGCGTAGCCCTTGAATGGCGAGTAGCCTACCGCAGCACCCGTGTCGGGGTGTCGCCACACCTTGTAGCGCTCGTCGAGCCACGCGGTGTTGGAAGCGTCGCCGTAGTTGGCGATGAGCTTTTCCAATGGCTGCATGTCGCGCAGCTCACTCTCACCATCCGCCTTGAGCGCAAGACGAGGATGCTTCCAGGGAGGCGGATTAGTGCTAGCTTCGGGATGACGAAGCTCGTCCTCGTCGGCTTTCTGGAGCGGCAAGCTACGAGGATCTCGGTGGAATAGCGATCCGTAGCGGACGTCGCCCAAGTTGAGATAAAGCATCACCAATCGCTCAAGTCCTATACCGCAGCCGGCGTGAGGAGGTGCACCAAGACGGAAGCCCTCGAGGTACTCCTGCATACCCTTGGGCGAGATCGAGAGACGCTGCATCTTGCGCTCGAGCTCTTCAATGTCGTGGATACGCTGACCACCTGTGCATATCTCCTGACCACGAATGAAAATGTCGAACGAGTTGGTGACCTTGGGATCGTCCTTGTCCTCCATGGCGTAGAAGGGTCGGACGGAGGAGGGGAATTTGTCGAGGATGTAGTAGTCGGTATTGTACTTTTCCTTGATGAGCTCACCGAGTCGGATCTCGGCACGCGTGTGCAAATCCTCATCCTCCTTGGGCACGCTGCCGTCTTCTTCGACGTAACCCGATTGGACGAGCAGCCTGACACCCTGCGCAAAGGGAAGGATGAGCGTATCCTCGGGGTACACCAGATCTTCGTGGGGGAAGTGGCGCTTGATGAGCTCGCGCTCGGCCTTGAAGCTGTCTCGCAGCGCAACAAAAATGCTCTTGAGCATGCCGTCAATGACGCGGATGGCGTCGTAGTAATGCACGATCTCCATCTCGATATCGAGACCCGTGTATTCGGTCAAGTGACGAGCAGTGTTGGAGTTTTCGGCACGGAAGACGGGACCAATCTCGTATACGCGCTTGAAGTCGGCGGCGATACACATCTGCTTGAACAGCTGCGGGCTTTGAGCCAGGAAAGCAGGGCGACCAAAGTAGTCGAGGCTGAAGACGCTGGAACCAGACTCGGAAGCTCCACCTTGCAGTTTGGGGGTATGAATCTCGAGGAAGCGGTTCTTGTCCAGGTGAGAGCGGAAAGCGTTGCAGATGGCGGCATTGATGCGGAAGATGGCCTGAGAGGTGGGTGTTCGCAGGTCGATGATACGATTGGTGAGACGGACGCGCTGGGTGAGAACGGGACCTTCGTGACGCTCGATCGAGTGGTTCTCGTCGCGAGGTGCGCCTTCGCCATCCGAGTCGGTGCCATGACCGCTGTTACTACCGCTGTGGTCATCGTCGCTTTTCTTGAGTACGAGATCGGCATCGTAGACGTTGAATGGCAGCGACTCTTTGGGCTGAGCGACAAGGTAGAGCTGCTGCACCTTGACCTCGGCTTGCTGGGTGGTAGCACCCGTGATGGGCTCGCGCGGCTTCTGAAGCTTGCCGCGAACGACCACGATAGATTCGAGCGGCAGTCTCTTGGCCCATCGTACCATGTGACCGGTGATGACGCCGTTCTCTTCCGCGAGCACTGCTTGAATGGTGGAGATTTGCTGTCGGAGGACGATAAAGACGAGGTGTGAGCTGATATCACGGATGGTGTGGATGCGAGCGCGCAACGTCACAGTGTCGCCAATCTGGGCATCGTCGCAGATGGTGAAGATGTTCTCCCATTGGTCGTGGGTCTTGTTCCACTCGACAGGGTACTGCTCGCCGTAGCGAGCGCGCTGTTCGGGAGTCTCGATCTGGGCGGCGCGAAGATCGGACTGCTTGCGGGCCATGGCGATCCTCTCCTTGACCTTCTCCTGCTCGATGGCTTTGCGCTCCTTCTCTTCGATGCGTTGCGCCTTTCTGACGGCGCTCGGACGCGGCTCATCGAGGCTGCCGGCACGCGAGGTTGACCTGCGTGTACCAGGAAGTGAGTGGCCCGAAAATATGTGCGAGAGGCGGAACTTCTTGTCCGGCACGTCGGCGCTCTGTGTCGAGTCCATGGTGGATTTGGCAGAGGGAGGTGCGTTGGGAGTAGTCTGTCCAGTGGCAGGAGTGCTCGACGTACGAGAGTTGCCATTCTCGGCGGGCGACGAGTCGCCGGTGACCTTAGCTACCGCACGCTTCAACATGATTGCAGTGGTGCGAGGAGCCCTCTAGAGGCTACTTGAATGTTATAAGACTGTGGTTCGCGGTACACTGCAGTGCAGTTGGAAATTCCGTTCGGTAGCAGCCCACACAGTCGAGACTGGACGTGGAGGTGTTACCGAGTAGCTGAGGCGCTGGATGGAGCAGAGGATATGGTGGTAGCACAAGTAGCACGGGGATGAAGGGAGCTAAGACGACGTGCAGACGTTACGGGAGAAAGGCGATGGTAGGGGGGTGAAGAGAGACACAGACGGCAACGAGGACAAGGGCCGGGCCGTTATAAAAACGACCCAAGCAGTGTTCGCTTGCGTGTCGCTTTTAGCGATCCGACCGACTCGAGATGAAGCATGATGACTGATTACAGATCGGACCCTGATTTGAAAGTGCCTCCCTCACATAGTGCAGTGCACTTTCGCTTCGGATGATCCGCCAAGCCAAAGTGAGACCATGCGACATTCAAGCACTCAACAGCTTGACTGCATCGCTCAACACTTACAGCTGCTCCTTACCTCGCCCAATCGGTACAGTCGACTCAGGCTGCTAGGCTCGATCGGAAGTGCCTAGCCGTGGGTCGATGCAGGTGTCGCACAACCTCGAATCAATTTCTGTTGCACCGGACACGAACCGCTTCTTGTGTCTGGTGGTTAACGTCGACATGCAGTTTTTTCTGGCTTCTGTCCTCCACAATGGAAATATCTGGTGACAGGCGATGTGCCTGGCGAGGGAATGATCCGGCAAAAACAATTGTTCGAAAAGTCTCAGGCTCGGAAGTGAATAGCCGTCCGTCATCTTTGCTTTGCACGGATGCAAACTCAGTTTCGTAGGTTTTCGACGTCAACTGGCCCGGCCGGCTGGCTCGTCTGCCTCATGACCCTGTTATCGTGAAGCCTTCCTTCTCCAGCTTGGAGATGGGAGTGTCTCTTTGTCGTCCCTTTCCACCGATCACGGACGGCTCATGTGCGAGGGCGAGTCATGCGGCGCTTCACCAGCCACTGCAGGCTGAGTCACTTCGGTACGTCGCTCTCGACGCCATGTTTTCTTTTCTAAATTAGGAACACCGCAAACTAGCGAGAATGCTACCTGTAACGACGACGGAGCAGCGCCAAACCAGTCAGTCGATCCGCCTGTTTTTTTGGCGGTACAGATTTCGGGTAAAGGAGTTCGCTAACGGCTCGACAACTTCAATCCAGACAGTCTGTGCCCAGTTTGGTGACGATGCATTGCAAGCCGACGTACCACGCCGTGTTCGACGTTTGAGTTCTCCAACCCACTGTCCTTCCAATCCGAGATCCCGGCGATCCGGGTCGCCAATACAAGATTGTCACCCACAGACGTACTCGATTCTCTTCTCAGAAAAGAAAGGAAAGACGCAGCAGCAGATCTACGTCACTCGGCGTTTCGGATGGAATTTCTCAAATGAAATGTGAGAAGCGACGCGAGTTCTGGCGACAAACTCTTAACCGCGAAAAGGCAGCGTCCAGATCCGCGCTGGAATGCGGAAAAAAAACAAACAGCCTCTCGGCCACACGATTCCGAATTCGGATGGGCCGCTCCGAGCGGCTCTGGGACTGAGCTCGCCCGCCTTCGCCGCCCCTGTCAGAGCATATGTGTAGCACCAATTCTGACAGAGTGCACACCGTCGTACAACGTGGCAAGCGTTTGACTGGATGGTGAATTCGCCGCGGAGTTGCTCACGAACCCGGTCCGCCTGACTCCTTTCTCTCAGCGTGTGGCTTGATCCTCGACCACACAGCCAGGCAGTGTCAAGAAGCTAGATCCGTCTTGTCGCTCGACAGCAGGGCATCAGAACAACTTGCCTTAGCCTTGCCGTGTCAACTTAGATGACAAGTTCCGATGCTGACAGCGAGCATGAGGCTGTCTATCTCCCTGTGGACGGAGCTAACGCTCTAACATGTCCACTGAACGTAATTGCAAGCTGCACGTCTATCAGATAGCAGCAGCTCGGAACCCGGAACCAGCGAAAAATTCTACTCACCAAAAGTTTGCAGCCGAAATTCTTGGAACTGAGCTGTTCTCGACTGGGCTATGTGCTGTGCTGGGCCACGAGCATCGTCGTTGTCAACATCATCACCATCCAATTACATCTCGCTCCCAGGCTAAACCGACTCCAAGAAGATACCAGCCCCGAACATCACGATGTCACCAAAGAAGCGATCCCGAGCATCTTCAATAGCGTCGAACGAAGTCGGCGGCAGCGGCGGCGTCGGTGCCTCTTCCAGCCGTGCTGCCGGCACCTTGCCAGCCTCGGGACCGCTCGTACACGCCTCGCAAGATCTGGACGACTTCCAAGCGTCTTTCTGGCGCTACCAGATGGATCTCGTGGAGCAAGGTGGAGATGCTGATGGAAACATCGTCGACTTCAAGTCCGGTCTGCCAACGCAGGGTCAGCTTCCCCTGGCGCGCATCAAAAAGGTGATGAAGTCGGACGACCAGGTCAAGATGATCTCTGCCGAAGCACCCATCTTGTTCGCTCGCGCTTGCGAGATCTTCATCTCCGACCTGACATGTCGCGCTTTCCTGATCGCCGAGGAGCACAAGAGGAGGACGATCCAGAGGTCCGACATTGCAGGAGCCATCGGTCGATCGGATCTGTTTGATTTCTTGATCGATATCGTGCCGAGACACGAGAGCGTTCCTAGCAGTAGGCTGCCTGGTGGAGGTGCTGCAAAGCGTGAAAAGACGGGAGAGGGAAAGGGTGTCGGTCGATCGAGCGCAGGGATGGGGGAAAGCAGAAGGCAACAGCAGGACGATGCTGTCTCTTACGATGATCGCCTTGTGCACGGAATGGCGAATGCGTATGACGATGCAGACGCCTCATCATCTGCAGCGGCATTGGCAGAGGAAGCAGCTGCTGCATCTTCATCAGACTCTTTCCATATCCCGCATACTGCAGGCGCAAACGTCGACGTGGGCACTACGCCCATGACCCATTGGATCCACGACACCTCGGCCGACGAACACTCGTCTCAACCCGACCTTCCGCCGCACTCTTCTCATCACGCTTCGCACCCACACCATCACAGTAATGCCTCAAATGTCGCAACACATCATCATGGCGGTCATCACCACCATGCTGCGCATCACATCGCCGGTCATCACTCGCATCACCACTCGCCATTTGATTACTCGTCGAACGCGGGAACACCAAACAGCGTTGGAGCTGGTAGCGCAAGCGGTGGTCCTTGGTCACATACTTTCTCTGGCTTTTGATCTTCCGGCACAGCAAAAGCTGGCAAGCTGCTTCTCCGACGAATCCCTTCCCTAAACCTCTTTCAGACTCGCGTCGTGCCTTTCTCTCTCTCTGTACCATCACTGCATTGGATATCTTGCTCGTAGAGTCGTCACATGTTGCTCGATCGATCTCAGTTCTGTACTATCGCAAACACAAACCTTGCCCACCTCCTTGTCTGAGCAAGTGCGTGTGCTGGTCCGAAACATGAATACATATGCGGAACAATCTCACAGCCTTAAAGTGGTCTTTCGATCCGGTCTCGTAAAGCAATTTCCGCCTGAACCCTCTTCGTCGAACTCACCTGAGGAGTGTCAGATAGCGACATGCAACATGCGAACGTCTCACATAGAGTTTCACAAACATTGCATTCTGCCAGTCCAGCAGACGTAGGAGTTGAGGTGCCTCAGACGCGCCTCTATGGAGGTGCCGAAGAATGCGGGGAAAACTTCTAGCCACTCTATGCACAGTCCTCTGTCCCTTGCAGAAGTGATTGGCATATCGTCCCGAGAATTGCTCCATGACCGCGGAACAGGTCCGCCCTTCTGGAGAACAGGTGTCGAAGGATTAGAACAAAAAACCAAATGCTTGGGCGGTAACATATGCAAAGAGCAGCTGACATGTGCATCCCACCATCCACCTCGCCTAGCTGATTGTGCGTTGAAGACGCCAAGGGTCCAACCGCTTTTTTGGGTCGCACAGGGCATCTCCATGCTTCGTCCTTCCCCGCTCTGGTTCGGACCTTGAACTGCAACAGACAATTGCCTTTCCCTCGCCCAGCGCATGCTCTCCTTCACCTTTAGCCTCACCACCATCGCATCTCCTGATCTCAGAACACTGTCCTCCAACACGATTGATAGAGATGGTCAGCTGGCAAATCTGGGCAGCTGCATTGCTTGCCATCCATCTGGCTCGCGTCCACCTGCAACGTTTCTCGCGATATCGTCACATTCACGCCCGCTATGGTTCTCGCTACTCGCTTCCCGGCGTTCCTGCCAGTACCTCGAAACCGCGCATGATCGATTCGTACAAAGGCGTTCGCGATGCTCAACGAATCGTGCGGTTGTCTGGCAACATGGACTTCCCTTTCACATTCACAAAGTCGCTCGAATTTGCATTGTTCCGTACGTACGGAATCCCGACTATTTCTTCGCTCTTGTTGCATACGGGCCAGTTGGGAAAAGCGGAGAATGCGGGCAGGCGATACGTTGATACTTCTGGATTGATCCAAGCCTTCATGACATTCCCGGTGCCCAGGCTGGACCTGCCGAACGGCGGCGAATCCGAGTCGGCCAAATTAGAGGGTCAAGGTGAGGATTGGGAGCACTTCGGCGAAGACCCAAACGATCCACGATCCTCGATCGCTCTAGCTCGTGTCAACTTTCTCCACGGCAGATGGAAGAACAAGATCTCCAACGATGACCTGAAATACACTCTCAGCACGTTCGTCATCGAACCGGCCAAATGGATCGATCGATACGAATGGCGTCGCCTCTCACCACTCGAAAAAGAAGCACTCTTCTCGCTCTTCTACCACATAGGTCGATGCATGAACATCACGGACATTCCAGAGACCCTGGAAGAGTTTACCGAGTGGAGCGAGAACTACGAACGTTCCAACATGGTCTTTCAGCAGTGCAACAGAGATGTTGCGGACCACACTACGAACTTGCTGCTGTACGCGCTGCCGAGTGCACTGCACGGATTCGCTCGGAAGCTGGTCGCATCGTTGATGGATGATACATTGCGAGAAGCGATGGGTTACCCACGTGCTCCCGGCTGGATCGTTACGTTCAAAGATGTGTTGTTCGGCATCCGTGCCACGGTGACACGAATGTTGATGCTGCCGAGACGCAAACCGCTGAGCAACGTTCCGATCGCATCGGATGAAGACGGACACGTGTTTTCGATCGAAAGCCTGCTCTCGGATGGGATTCCGGCTGTATGTCCTGCGTCTGGAGCTCGCGCTCAGGACGGCAAAGTATGTCCTGTGGGCGGTCATTTGCACGTGGCGGCAGAGAAGCAGGACGGGTTCAAAACGGCAGCTTGGAGGATGGAGCTGTCGTGGTACGAGAACGAGCCTGTCTATGCGCGCGCTTTCCGCAAAGGCTCTATTGGATGGTTGGCCGAAGAAGTCAGGATCGCATTGGGATCCTTGAAGGCGGAGGACAGGAGAGGTGCACAGCGATGGATGCCGCCGACGCTGCCGGTGCCAGAGGAACTCAAGACCAAGGCTGAAAAGGGAGAGCCGATCGCGGGCCTCGGTGGATTCCGTTTGGAAGAGATGGGTCCGAAGGGATTGGAGATGAAGGGCCGTAAGGAGGTGCTCGAGATGGCGGAGAAGCTGCACGGTGGCAAGATCGAGGGTAGGTGGAGCTTCAGCCCCTAAGACCCGTCAAACGTCTTTGTTCTGATGTGGCAGTCCGATTGGAACGATTTGAGTCATTTGCGCTTGTGATGATATCTGCTTGTGTGCTTGCCATACGTGAGGTGAACTTAGACCGGGGGTATACTGGTATCTTCTTCAGCTTTTGGTCACTAAGCATCCATCAGGACTTCGCGTCCGCCTCATCCGTGTCCACCTCTATCAATTCTGGAAATGCCTGATCCAGCGCAGCGTCCAGGCTACTCTTGTAGCTCTCCACCGCCCTGTGTTGACCGTAGCTGTACTGATTCTCGCTCGCCAACCTGTTGACAAAGTTTCTCGTGTGGATGTCGGGATTCTTTCCCGTATCTAGCATCTCCAATACGTCCTGCGGGATCATCATGTGTGCTCGATGCAGCTCGTCTTTGGTCGCATCAAGAGCAGCGAGAGCCTGGATGCATTCGTTGACTTTGTTGGCGACGAGATGTTGGGAGCCTTCTTGGACGTCGGCGGAGCACACGGCGAGTTGGTAGAGGAGGTCGACGACGGAGCGGACGCGCGTCTCGAGGTCCGCGCGTACTGCATCCGCCGGATCAATATCATTGCTAGCGGTAGACGTGTCTGGAAGGCTTGATTGGGTAGGATGGGATGGAGGAAGGCCGGCGGTGGCACTGTGAGTGGTGGAGCCGTTCGTGTTGCCCGGTTGCGGTTCGGGCGAAGGCGAGGGTGAGGTTGGAGTGATCTGACGTGGTCTTCTGTTGCCCGCCGCTGATGACATCTTGCAAGGTCCAATCCAGTACTGGGGCGTAGCAGCGAGCAGAGCTTACTGTCTCGCCACGGATGTGTGAAAGGCGAAGGCTTCCGGACAAGGGAATAAATGAAGGGTCTCGATGTTGGACGGCAACTCGAAGCAAAGCCAAGTCCGACTTCCGCATCGCTGCTCACTCTAACACGAGTTTCATTTTTCCTCGGTCCTCCACCTCTGAGAACTTGGCCGCAGCCTCGCACCGACCACCATCACGACAACCCTACCATCCCTTTCGACACTCCACAACACCACCGTCACCCTCACCGCACCCCTTCAAACAGCCGGAACGCATCACCTCGCTACCATGACCGAAACAAGGATGAAGTGGGTGCCTCTCGAATCCAACCCGGAGCTATTTACCAGCTGGTGCTCCTCAATGGGCATGGACACGTCAAAATTCGCCTTCCACGACATCTACGGTACCGACCCCGACCTTCTCGCCATGGTGCCACAGCCCGTCGCTGCTGTGCTCCTCCTCTTTCCCATCACTCCTTCCATGGAGAAGCTACGTGAGACCGAAAACGCAGCCGCTCAACCAGCCACTTCTGACTCGGACATCTTGTGGTTCAAGCAGACCATCGGCAACGCATGTGGCACCATCGGACTCTTACACGCTCTAGCCAACTCCTCTGCTTCCGACGCCATCAAGCCCGACTCGCCGCTCGACACTCTCTTCAAGAAGGCAAGGTCGACTCAGGACGCGGACGAAAGAGCGGACATCTTGGTCAACTCGAAAGAGCTGCAGACGGTTCACGAGGCAACAGCTAGTCAGGGACAGAGTCAGGCTCCCGAGGATCTGGACAATGTGATCTTGCACTTTGTGTGCTTTGTGAAGAGCAAAGATGGCGAGTTGGTCGAGCTGGATGGATCAGGCGGAAGAAAGGGTCCGATTAAGAGGGGGAAGAAGGTGGGCACGCAGGAAGACTTGCTGCCCGTGGCGGTGGACTACGTCAAGGAGAGCTACATGGCGTTAAATCCGGAGGAGGTCAACTTCAATCTCATCGCGCTGGGACCTTCTTTTGACTAGACCCGGCACACGTTCGGTCACTCTTTGTCACTACGGAACAATGTGATGCAGATTTGTCTGTCTCCTTAGAGATGACCCTGATTAGCGGCCTTTACGGCATGAGCAGCGGCAGCGTTGAAATCGTCATGGAAGGCGAACTCCAATCCGGACGCTTGCAGCACTTTGGCAGCATCCTCCGACCCTGTACCCTTCATCCTCACGACGATGGGTTTGGTGATCTTGTCGTTCTTGACGGCATCGATGATGCCCTGCGAGACGATGTCTGTTCTCGTGATGCCACCAAATGTATTGACAAAGATGGCTTTTACCGCAGGATCTCTGTTCAGCGTCTCGACTGCCAGCTTGGCATTGACGCGGTTGGCGCCTCCTCCACCGTCCAGAAAGTTGGCAGGTCTACCACCCGCAACATTGAGACCGTCCATGGTGGCCATTGCGTTACCTGCACCATACCCGAAGCATCCTACATTACCCTCGGGCAGAGATTTACCCGAATCGGCCTGCGTGGGTGTCGGTGCATCAACGTCCGAGAGCTTGACGTAGAACAGACCACCGTCTTCGGCGCGTGCAGTGTTACCGTTGCGCGGACGAGACTCAAAGTACGGCTTGAGCAAAGGTTGACGTCGCACCGCAAAGTCGTCGAACTCCATGTACGGCGCTACCACCTTGACGGAACCGTCGGAAGAAGGGATGAGGGTGAAACTGAACCAGAGACCTTCGTACTGGTCGAAGATCTTCCACATGGACTCGATGACAGTCTGCGCTTCTTTGCCAGCCATGCCATGAACGAGCGATTCGAGTGCAGAAACGGAAAGCGATGATGTTTCGGATCGCACAGCAGCATGTGCGATCGAGTCCGGCTGCTGTTGACGCAGCTTGAGCAGTCCTAGCCCTCCTTTGCCGAAATACGTCTTGTCGAGCGATGAGAGCTTGGTGACAGGAGCAGAGAGGATGCTTGGACCGTAAAACTTGCCTTTGCCTACATCGCTGTCAGCAGGCCAAGACGGCTGCGGATCACGATCCGCAGAGATGAGGACTGCTACGCCTTTGCCACTATCACTTGACGTGGCAGGATCGGTCTCGACTTGGACAGAGGTTGGGAGGTCGGTACCTGCTTTGGAGAGGAAAGCAGGGATATCCTTTGATTGAAGATGAAAGTCTCGAACACCAGATGCGACGCGGCCGGCGCCAAGAGCTGGACGAAGTACATTGCGTGTCGCTAGCCATCGTGGGACGAACATGCCGAATGTTGCTGAGGTCCTTGACAGCATGGTGATGATATCGCTCTTCTGCTATCGTGAGGTGATGGACTCGAAGAAAGAGCGCTGGGTCTAGTGTGTGATCACCTTGGCGTTGCCCTCCCAGATTAAGTGCAGTGTTGACAGGCAGATGTTCTAGATGTAGGCTGCGACTTGACATCGACGAGAGCGGTGATGACGGTCCTTCAGATTTGGGTTCGTCCCCGCAGTGCGACCGTGCGTGCGGGGATAAAACACGAGCGGCGGTGCGAATTTACGATGCGCGTCGCTCTGCTGCTGTTCTGCTGTTGCTGTGTCGCAATCCGAATTGGCGGTTTCGGCCGCCGAATTGAGCGAAATGCAATGCGGGAATTGCGTCCAAGCCGTCGTCTTCCCCGCACTACCGCTTTGTCCATCGCCAGAACGGCCCCACCAATCCACTCATTCGGTCGTCGAGAGCGAATCGAGGAATAAATCCTAGATGCCCACTTATCGACGTCGTATTCACGCTAGAGTATCGACGCAGCCCTAAGGTTGACACACACACCACTCAAAGGTGGTAGCACGCTTCTACTCGACCCATCGATCAGGTCGTAGGACATCTTCGCTTTTCGCCATTCTTCTCTCTGCTCCGTATCCTCGTTGGCTTGGATCCCTCCTCAACGTCAGCATGATCTATCAAACAAGCCGAAGCGCGATACGCAACCTCGTCGCTGCCAACAAGATCCCTTCAACTTTGTTGCGGCGAGGCTTAGCATCCTCTGTGCGTCTCTGCAGCTATGCGGACACAATTCCTAACCTCGCCGCCGGTCCACACTCCAACGTCATCGTCCAAGGTTTCACCGGCAAAGCCTCCACCGTGCACACCCAGATCTCCCTCGACATGGGCACCAATGTCGTCGCCGGCGTCTCTCCCGGCAAAGGCGGCTCCAAACACCTCGGTGGCCGACCTGTCTTCAACTCGGTTGCCGAAGTCCTCGACGCCGGCATTCGTGTCGATGCCACCTCCGTCTTCGTTCCGCCCGCACTGGCAGCCGACGCTATCATCGAAGCCATCAAAGCCGAGATCCCTCTCATCGTCAGCGTCGCCGAAGGTGTACCCGTCAAAGATCAGTTTCGCGTTATGGAGGTGCTGCATTCGCAGTCCAAGTCGAGGTTGGTCGGAGCGAACAGTCCGGGGTATTGCAACCCAAGGGGATGCAGGATGGGAATTGCACCCATGATCACCTGTGCTCCTGGTCCGGTCGGGATCGCTTCGAGATCAGGCACGCTGTCGTACGAAGCTGCGTATGCGACCAAAAGTTTGGGTCAGTCGTACATCCTAGGTCTCGGAGGCGATTTCTACCCGGGAACTCGTACCGTGGAAGCACTCGAGTTCTTGTTCAACGACAAAGATACCCAAGCCATCGTTCTCGCAGGTGAGATCGGAGGTACGATGGAGGAGGAAGTCTACACGCTTCTCAACGACCCCAATTGCAAGTACAGGCAGAAAGATGATAAGGACAAGTTCGTCAAACCCATCGTAGGCTTCATCGCCGGTCTCAACACTCCTCCAGGTCAGATGTTCGGCCATGCAGGAGCCATCTGGAGAGACGACACGAGCAGTGCCGTAGAGAAGAAGATGATGTGGAACGATGTGGGCATTCGAATGGCCGATGCAATTGCTGATGTCGGAAAGTTGATTCAGCAAGAGATGGATAGGTACGGAGTCAAGGCGAATAAGCAGTAGACAGAAAAGAGAGGTGCGATGCCTCTTCCCCTCCCACACCGAACCCACCGAACCGATGCTTTGTCTTCTTCATTCAAGAGCACTCTCATCGTGACACATCACAGACTTTTGGGTCTCATCAGAACCATGGATCTATATTCCCAAATACGCAAGGTCTAAACACATCGCAAGGAGAACAATGACTTGAAAGAATCAGATGAGCAAAAGAAGAACGGAACGAGCCTAGACGCGACGCTCAAGCAGCGCTGTTTCGCTTGGAGACGGCTTCCGACTGAGCCTGCGACGTCGCTAGCGAGTTGGCCGTCGAAGTGTTCTTCGAAGTACGAGCGGTAGGGTTCCACTTTTCGAACTTGATAAACTCTCGGAAGTGACAGAAGATGGCCATCAGCGACGTCACCGAGTACCAAATCGGTGTGCACAGCGCGAATAGGATAATACCACCCATGCCAGTGAAGTGCGAACGGTTCCTCGCCTGAATGCAAACCGTCAAGCCCAAGCAGATCAGGTTGACCGCCAACGCGAACATCGACAGAGCGTAACCGCCGAAGTCCTCGAAGTAGCGAGTCAATCCCTGCGTAGGGATGTTGTAGCAGATACCCGAAGCAAGCATGAACACCAGCTGCGAGTTGATGTAGAAGTAGAACTCGCGGTAGAGCAGCAGCTGGAACAAACCGACACGCGAGCGCCAGCCGTTGTTGTCCGAGTAGGCACCACGACGGATTGAAGGCATGGCGTGACGGAAGGCGACCTGCGTCCATCCCTGCGCCCAACGAAGACGTTGCTTGACCAGGGCGGGTAGAGTCTCGGGAGCCAGTTCATACGAAAGCACCTTGAGGTCATACTCGATACGAGCACCAGAGATGATAGCGCGCATCGACGAGTCGATGTCTTCGGTCAACATGTGCTTTTGCATTCCGAGCGTGCGAAGCAGCGATGCGTTCCAGTGTCCGTTGGAGCCACCGAAGAAACCGTACCCTTGGATTTCGGCACGACCAGAGTGCATTACACCGTAGATCAGATCGAACTCCGAGGCGATTAGCTTGGTCATGAAGGTTTCCGAGTAGTTGTAGATGCAGCAGCGTCCCTGGATGATATCGACACCTCCCTGCATGAAGCGCTTGGCGACCCATCGCAGCGCATCGGGCTCGGGGTAGTGGTCCGTGTCGTAGAGCGTGATGATCTCGCCCTTGCCTTCGAGAGTAAGGAAGTGATTGATGTTGTCCGCCTTGGAGGTGGACTTGGGCACCTTGATGATACGCAAGTTGGAACGTTCCTTGGCAAGGTCGCGAAGCTCGGTCTCGACGGGTTCGATGGGATACGGAGTGTTGTAGCAGACATTGATCGTCATGCGGTGTTTAGGGTAATTGAGCTCGCGAAGTGCGTACTTGACCTGACGCATGATGATCTCCTGCTCGTTGGGAAGGTATGCCACGAGCACCACGTCGATGAATGGCCATTCTTGGCCCTCGTCGAGCTTGAAGCCGTGCACCTTGGCGTGTCGCCATGCCTTTCGCGCATTGATCGAGGGCCGGATGCTCTGCATGGCTTCGGTTGACACGGACAGGGCAGTGAACGTCTGCAACGCGACCAAGGAGTACCAAATCGCTCGATGCAAGCCGGCAGGAATGAGCAAGTAGAAAAAGAAGGAGAGCATGCTGTAGCAGATGAGCATGATCATGGGCGTCCAGCCGTAGTACCACGCCGATGCTTGACGTAGCATCTTCGGCAACAAAGAGCCTGCCATCTTGTCGGATTATGAGCTTTCAAGACGCAGATCTTGAAACGCGGCGAATGTGGATCTCTTGAGGAATCGGTCGTTCTACGGCGTTGCTCGTGGCAGCGTAGTGGAGACTTTTGCTTGATGGTATATCTGACGTGACGATGGAAGGGTATGATATGGGTGAGGGTGATGGAGGAAGATGATCAAAACGTAGACAATAAACGGAGTGACCAATATCAAAGATCAATGGCCGAGGTTGGGCGAGAAGGATCCAAGAAGGAGAGTTATCATCAGCGAGTAACCCTGACAGATATGAGAAATGCTCACTCAGACAGCCCAGCACGCACGATGCTTTAGGCAAGAGCACAAATGTGAAACAGTGGGCGACAGCGGCGCCCTCGCTCTCGATTGTCAAGGAATCCGGCATGCGGCAGGTTGAGGGCCTCATTTTGGCTGGACGTGTCGGGCGTCTCGACATCTGCTTAGAAGACAGCAATCTAGACCGAAAGCGTAAGACAAAATTAATTGCGGACACGCTAGAGGTCAAGCACTGACGGCGCTTGGACAACAGATTTGAATGCCGAATGCCCGAAGGCAGCTTGTACTTTGGGCGGGAACTTGATCATGATGGCCCGACAAAGCAACCTAGCGTGGCGCAAAAGGCCCGGATCGTGGTGCTTCAATGGCTGTCATCCGAGTATTTCAAATGCACGCCAACAAAAAACTATAGAAGCAGAGCCGGAAGCGGATGTGGGCGTAAAAAAAAAGAAAAGGAAATCCACAGCCGTATCCGGCTTTGGCAAAGTGTCGAGGAATCGGTCGCGAGGCTGAGCCTGCGAACGTTGTTTTTTTTTCATTTTCTTCTTTCATGCAGAGCAGGCGGCTAGACACATGCGCTGATGATCCAGACTTCATTTTTCAAGTTCCGACCCTACTTTCTGACACTGATTCGGCTCAAATCGCCCCTTTTTTATCCAATTCGTTTTTTTCTTTTTTTCTTGTGAGACAGAGCATGCGTTCTGCTCCGCTTCACCGCTGTGGTCGCCATACTAGCTCAACTGCAGCTTCGTAACGTCTAAGCGCCAGTCGCCTCTCGTTGCGGCTTGACAACGTCAAGCTTGCTCTTAGCCATGCGACAACAAGCAAGTGTACGCAGTGTGATATCGATGGATGAAAGTGCAACCTCTGACACCGAGGCATGCCAATGCAGCCACGCCGTACGCGAGACAGCGGCACTGCGGAGCCTGACATTCAATCTGTGGAGAGTCAGGGATTTCGGCAGGAGCTCGCAAGCGTACAGTGCGTGGCTACTCTCACTAGCCCTCCACCGGCTTTCCACAAGAAGCTAGTGGTACGGAAGTGAGACATGAGCCAACAGTGGCGATTATCGCCACGTTTCGGGCGCCATTCGGCAGCGCGTGTTTATCACCTACCTGAATAACCAGCACCTCCAATGTCTCATCGGATTCTTCTTCTTGCTCAACTTTGTCGCCATGGCAGTGGAAGATCAACATCGTACCTGTGCTTATGCTGTGCACGAGTCCAACTCTCGGACAGCTCGACCATCGAACAAATCAAGGTTGATAAGAAGGCTGGGGCCCAATGCTGTTTGCGGATATCACGCAGTTGGAACTCCGTCTGAAACAAGGCCAGACGCCGTCCCACAGAGCTGCGAGCCGTAAGCGAGTGAATTTTGTAGTGCTCCAGAAAGTTGAGCAGATGCACAGCAAAGTGGATCTGGCTTAGCCGCCATGTTCTTTTCGGATCTACACGATGGATTTCCCAAATTTAATGAAATACGGCTTGCATCATGTCTACTGTGGATACTGTACTCGTCAGACTGGCGCCTGCCCTTTCGATCGTACGATGCTCCTCTGCCAGCACTACCTAAGCCGAAACATGGCGCGCTCTTGGACACTCGCTTGTACCGTGACAGCCTTGAACAATTGAGCGAGCGCATGGTCCTCCTCGTGACGAAATTGTGGAGCCTATGTACGCTGTTCCGATTATGCCAGGCACATCTTCCTTCGCATCAGTGGTGTGTTGGGCTTCGTCATAGCATGCCTCGAGCCGTCGCGCGCTTGGACTAGTGCCGAGCCGCTACGACAGAGCTGGTGCTGTTCGGAAACATCTGTGGAAGTCTAACGCCAACATGTATCGGAATTGGCGACATCTTGGAACTCATCACATAGTTCTGAAGATTGACAGTATCCGCATGTCAAGCCTCAAAAAGAAATTAAGACGGAGATCTAAGTGAATTTGGTGCTAGAGTTGGTGGTGGTAAGACCCATCTTGTGCTGTGGCCATACAGTACTCGCCGCTGTTGCTCACCTGTGCAACTCGACCGCGACGCCCTGCTTACAAACTCCGCTTTCCGCCTTGTTTTAGCTGCCAGGCATTCCGTTTCTGCTCATCTGTCCCTCCCTCTCCCTCCCTGTTCCTCCTCTTCCCTGCCGCTCCTCGAGCGCACGTTGCTTTTCCCAGGCCTCGAACAGGTCTGCGCCCAGCCAGCAGTCTTGGAGTCGACTTCAGGAAATTGGCTCCACATGCTACTTTGGTTTCAACTCTACTGCTGCTCCCTGCTGCGTTCGCCGCTGCTGCGTTCGCCGGTCAGAACCCCCTACAGCCAATCTCTGGCATCGCAAGCGCCGTGTGATGAAGTTTGATCAACACTTTCGCTAGAAGGCTACCAGAAATTTAGTCGTTTTATTTTTCTTTCTTCATGATAGTGATTATCTCATAAATTTTAGTTTGATATTTTTTAATCTTCCATTTTGGAGTTCCTTCCGAACGACTTCTTTCCGCTTGCGTTGAGCCGCGTTCCAGAGCCTCTCGAGCTGTCAAACACCGAAGCCCGCCAGCACGGTCGTCCGCATATGTCTCACCACGACCCAAACCATGTCCGCCGCCGCCATCATGCAGCGGTCCCTAGCTACGCCCTCCTCTGCGAGCGATGTAGGTCCAGGCGCTCGCACCTTGCTTGGTCTGCCAGCGTCGATTCTGCTTCCGGTTACACATTCGCTCTTGTCGATCTGGGCGAGACATGCCTGCCTCGACATCCACACACGCTGCTGCACTGGCCGCTGACTGAGACTTCGTCCCCCTCGCTGTTAGTCTCTGAGGTCAGTCTTGAGTCTTTCTTGCTAGATCACATATATCCCTTTGCGAGTCCTTCCGATCTTTCTTGACGACCTCCCACGACCAACCCTTCGACATCCTCATCAAGAGACTCGCCCCCGTCACTCCAGTCTGTACTCATTGAGAGTACAGTGAATTCAAGCTTCTCACCGGCTTCGTACCGGCTTGAGTTCGCATCCGCGCCCCGGCTTTTCTCGTATCGGAGCGGCTCGAAGTCTTCTCCTCGCACCAAGCAGATCTCGCTGTGCTAGCCTAGACTTTGCCTACTCTCTCTTCCCCTCTGCTCCGCGCGTTCGTCAAAATGGTCAAGGCATTTGGATTCTTGGCAACGGCTGTTCTGGCCTTGTCGAGCTTCTCTCTGCGCGTCAAAGCAGATTGCGAATGTGGCTATTTGGATCCGTCCACAAACCACCTTTGGACCGATGCTTCCTTCTCCTACTTCAACGAGTCTGGTCTCGATGACATTGTTATGAACCCTGTCATTTCTCCCAAGACCGAGGGTGGCATGCCCGCTGGTGACACCGGCACAGGCCAACAGACCTGGTCCGCTGTCGGCAATCACATCAACAAGTACGAGGAGTCGTTTGGCGCAACCTTCCTCAGTGCTATCAGCTACAACAACACCTACATCGACAACCGTACAGAGGGTCTTGCAATGGAGGTTTCCCCTGCTAACCAAAAGAGGCACATCGTCAACGGCTCAAGCCTCGTCACGCGACGTCGCGATATCCTCTATGGCTCCTTCCGTGCCAGCATCAAGCCCCCTTTCATCGACCTCGCCCCCGGCTTTGACCACGGCTACGGTTCCGGTTTGAAGTTCTCCGTCGCGTACAACGACTCGGAGCGCATGCACATCGACATCATGACGCACGACTACATGTACAACTCGACGCTCGACTGGGGCTTTGCCGCTGCTCGATGGAACGATGACCCGCTCAAGACCAACCTCACATACGTCCAGAACTTCACCCTGACCAACTCCACCGCTTTCCTTGAGCATCGCATGGAGTGGCTCAACTCGACCGTTGTTCAGTTCAAAAACAACGCCGAGAACAACTCGGTCAGCTTCAAAGAATACGTCAAGGGCCAGAACGCAATCAACCTTCCTACCACTCCGGCACCCGTCTCGCTTGAGGTGTGGGCGAACGGTGAACCGTCGGCTTCACAGGGTCCTCCCATGTACGAGCCGAATGTTGCACGTGTCATGTACACGCGCTTCTTCTTCAACTCGTCGCGCCTCGAGCGTCACGATCAGTTCGTCTCGCAATGTGCTGCTGCTGCCGCGTCCTCCAGGGCGGTCTGCAGTACCGAGGATCAGACCTTGCGATCCAGCACCCCCTTCGACCTTGATGCCGTCGTTCAGTACAAACTGAAGAAGGGCAAGTTCCACGTTCCCATCTGGGCTGCCATCATCGAGATCTTCTTCCTGCTCCTTCTCGCTGTCACCGTCGCTCACGGTCTCTACATTCGTAAGATCAAGGACGCTGAGAAGAAGCGTAAGGCCGCCAAGCTCGCCCTTGCAGAGGAGCAGCAGAAGCAGGCTGCTCTCGAGCAGTACGACGAGATTGACGAACTCACCGACTCACCCCGATCCAAGGCGGCCGCCGACTTTGAGAAGCCGTACAAGCAGATCTGGGCCGTTCCCGAGCTGATGGACGACTGGGGATCCGATGATGAGAGCGACGTCGACGAGGACGACGCACGCTTCTGGGAATCGGTCGACGTCCTCCGCAGTCCGGATTACAAGGAAGACCGCGACGCCAACCAGCCCGGCTTGCCTCACTTCCACGATTCCACCGCCATGAAGCCTTCGACTAGCAGCGAGAGCCTCGAGTCGATCGAGACTCTCAACGCCAAGGCCGCTCCTGGTGGCAGCTCGCCTCCTCGCTCTAACAGCCGTGCTAGCAGCATCAACCGCGTCCCGGTCCCTTCCTCGAACCAATTCCAGCTGGTGAACCGTCCCGCGTTCCCCCGCGAGAACTCCAATTTCCGTCAGCAGATGGCTGCCAACCGAATGCACCGTAACAGCCCTTACGGTGGTGGTGCCGCAAACAACGCCTCTGCCGTCGGCAGCAGCCCGCGCTTCGATCAATTCGACGAGACGCGCACCGATGTCACCGAGCAGGCTAGCAGCTATCCTCCCCAGCGACCCGATTTGAGCCGATTCGACTCCTACGAGTCCGACATCCAGGTGCCTACCAACTCTCACGATGCTGCTCGCACCCAGCGGTACCTCCAGGACAGCAGCAGCAACGTCAGCCTCCCTTACATTGCTCCCAAGTACGCCGCTTCCGGCGGCCTTCATTCGGCTGCCAACTCGACCGCCTCGTTGCTCAACTACAGCGGCACCGGCGGTGGCAACAATAACAACGTCGGTGCCAGCCACGGTTACTCGTCTTCGGTCAACATCAACTGGGACAACGAACCCAAGATCATTCAGTGGAACAAACGTAAGAGCATGGGCGTCGACTTGGTCATCGGTCAACTCGCTCAGCCCGCCATGGGTGATAAGAACGCTGCTCGTCGTCTGTCCACGGTTGTGCATCCCGCGCCCAACGGTCACTCGTTCTTCACCGTCATCTATCAGAGGGTCTACAACTTCTTCTTCATCTCGGGAGATGGCATGAAGACGGCTTCTGGTGACGCTCGTATCGACTACCTGGACGGCATGCGTGGTTTCGCCTGTCTGTTCGTCTCGCTCGGACACTTCATCCTGATGTTCTGGAACGCCATGGCCAACTTCTACGGTCCCCACCACTACTACCACTTCGAGTACTGGATCCGTGTCATCTTCGGTCCCATCGTCATCAATGCCGGTTTGGTTCTGGGTATCTTCTTCTTGCTCCCTTCGCGTACCATGGGATCTCGATACCTTGTCAAGGGTGGCATCCAGTCCCTCGCCGACAACTCGGTCCGTCGTATGCCTCGTCTCATCATCCCTGCCGCTGGCGCAGTTCTAGCCAACTATATGATGATTGACGTCGGCGCCTACAAGTGGGTTGCTCGCATGAACTCGCTGACGTGGTCCACCTGGTCGTACTGGCAGAACTACGACAATGCGCTCGACTTCATCGACTCGTTCATCGCTCTCTGGTGGGCTTCGCCTCCTGATAACCCGGCTCTCGTCACCCGTTACGCTACCGGTGTGCTCTGGACCATACCCGTCATTGTCCAAGGTGCATGGACGTGTATGCTCTGCGCTGTGTTTGCGCACGAGATCAAGACCACTTGGAAGCGATTCTTCTTCTACTTCCTGTGCATCTTGCTGTCGTGGTACGCACAGACGTGGGATCTTTTCTTCATGGCGGGTCTCGTCATTGCCGATCTCGACATCAACCTCAAGTACCGCAAGTGGGGTGAGATGGGTATCCCTCTGCTGCCCAAAGGATATGCCAAGCTGTTGCGGATCCCGGAACGCATCCGTCAGAAGTTCGCGCTCAAGGGCAAGGTCATCCCTTGGCTCTTCTTTGCCGCATGCTGCGTTCAGGAATGGCTCATGTACATTCCCAACGCTCCCGGTGCCGACTTTGACGTCATGGACATCGGCGTCCACCCCAACTTCTACAACAGCAAGCCCAACAAGTGGAACGACGACGTCGGTTACAAATACCAACGTCCACGAACCTCGGCTTGGTTCTTCGTGATGAGCATCTTCATCCTCGCAGACCACTCCGCGGCCTTCCGTCAACTGTTCCGTCTTCGAGTCTGGTCCTTCCTCGGCAAACACTCGATGGCCTACTTCCTGCTCCACGGCATCATCTTCTGGACTTGGGGCTCCTGGCTGTGCGTCACCATGCTCGTCCACGGCGTAAACTACTTTGCCACCATCATGGTCGTCTTCGTCACAAGCTACATCCTCCTCACAATCTTCTGCATTGCTTTCACGTACACCTTCGAGTACTGGGGCATCATCGCTTCAAAGGCCTTCTGGCGTGCCACTTCCGGCAACCTCGGCCGTCGCGCAGGTGCTTGAGCACTGTAGCTCCTATACCCGTTTCTTTCTCGTGCTTTCGTCTCTTTTGGGATTTGTCCGCTAGATAGCCTTTCTTGCCTTTTGCGCAATGCACCCTTTCAAACTCACATCTCGCAGCGCTCTGTTCGATTCGTGTGACCTGAGAAAAGCCTCTGCTGGGGCATGGCGATATTCCCATGCGAACGTGTCATTACCTAGTATACATAAAGAAGTTCAAGCATTGATACACATCTTGCTCCTCTGTCGAATCGCCTTTCCATACTTCAAAAACACGAACGGGATCGGGATCGCAGCGATCGAAACAAATCCCAGCAAGCTCGACGCCCACCCCGTACCCAGTCCTTCGAACATCTGCCTGCCGAAGAGCGGTACAAAGATGGCAAAGAGACACCTCGAGAAGGCCATCGCTGCGAGAGCCGACGCCGTGTAGATGTGATAGCACTCTGCCGCGTACGTCGCCAGCGAGTTGAAAGCGAGCATGAGCGAGATGCCGATAGGCAGGCCGGCGAGGATGGGGACGATCCAATGGATGGATGCGCGTGCCGTCCAGCCAAACCAGAAGAAGCCGATGGCGAACAGAGGTGCCGAGAGAGCTACTTGAGGCAGCCGAGATTCGGGCACGGGCTTGCCTCCAGCAGCGATGCGCGCCTTGATCGAGCGCTTGTTGAACCAGCCCACGATCGGAGCTGAAAGGGCAATCCCGAGTCCGATCGCCAGAAAAGCGAGACCGACTTCGCCCGCATTGAAACCGTACGTGCCAGAGAAGACGACTGGGTAGGCCTCGAAGAAGATGAAAATGATGGCGTAGCAGAACGACGTCCAGAGCGTGGCATACATCAGTGGCGCTTCGGTGAAGAGCATATGGAATGGTCTGCCAACGTATACACGAAGAATTTCTGACCACGAGATGGGCGCAAGGGTTCCATCCTCGTTCAGGGTCTCGTCAGGAGCCAGGATGTCATTGCGGCCCGTTTCTGCACGCATGCGACGAGCTTTGCGTTTGAGCAGGACGGGAGCATAAGACTCTGACTGGATGAGGATGATCAACAGCATAGAGACAGCTGAGATCATACAGAGCATCCAGTAGATCCACCTCCATCGTTGCGAGTCAGGCAGGTCGCCCGAGATGTATCCGCCTACCAGCGGGCCCAGGGTAGGGCCCATGAAAGCAGACAAAGAGTAGGTGAACATGGGCCAAAGACGAACCCTTGGCAGCCAGATATCTGAGATGGTTCCGCCCGAGTTGGATTGAGGCGCAGCAGCAAAGAGGCCGACGAAGAAGCGGCAAACGAGCAGCGTCTGAACGTTGTTCGCGAGCGCGCACCCGATGTTGAAGACAAAGTAGCCTAGGACGGAGATGTAGTTGACGATGCAGCGCCCGTACAGCTCTGAGATAGGAGCCCAGAGCGGGGGACCGACGCAGAAGCCGATCATATAGATGGACAGCACAAGGGCTGCAACTTCCTGCGAAATGCCGAACTGCGCGATGTACTGGAGCGTGGCGCCTGTGCCAACGGACGAGGTGATGGTGGAGTTGAAGTAGAGGAACGAGACCAGAGCAGTGACCGTCCACTTTCGACGGACGCTCCAATGATTCGGGTCTTCATCTTCCGTCAGCATGACAGCAGGCAGCTTCTCCTGCTCGTTTCCCATTTTCTCCGCTCCACCACTGGCATCGTCCGAACGCGATCCTTCTTCCAGTATGCTGCCATCTTGAGCGTTCGCGCCCGACTCCGCGTCGTCGTCCTTATGAGATCTGTGGTGACGCTGTGCGTGCAAGTGCGATTTGAGATGCTCGTGCGGTGGAAGCTGATGAAGATGAGCGAGCTTCTCGTACTCGGCGATAGCGGTCGAGTCTCCCTTCTCGATCTGTTCGTGCAGCTTGTGCAGCTTGTCGTGGGGCAGCGAGAAGTCGAGCGAGTTGACACGTGTGGGAGCCTCGGAGAAGTGAGCCGGCGTTGCCACAGCGGTCTGATTCTCGGGAAAGGAGCTACGGCGTGAAGGTGTCGGTAGATATGGGTCAGACGACGACGTCGATGCTATTGATTGGGACATTGGAGAAGATGTAGAAGCCTGCTCCACCGCCGTCGCTGCTGACTGCGGGTGTCGCTGCGTGTTACGAGACATATTGCGCTGGTTAGTGTCGCCAGGAATCGGGATGTACGAGCGACATAGATTGCCGGTGCAAGATCAAGGTTGATGTTGACGGCGCAGATGGTGGACCCAGTGAAGCTTGTTGAGTAAAGAAGAGGCGGCGATGCTCTTGCCAGACGAAAAAGACGTGACTTCCAACAGACAGCTGGATAGCTACGTCGGGCGGGATTGGTCGAGCGCTGAGCGAATGGTGGAAGGGAAGCAATAACTAATGGCATCTGATGGTGTTGGGAACAACTTGTGGCGTGCTACGAACAAGGGCATAGACTCGGAAGGAAGCGATCGCACGGCTGTGAAGTGTGATGATGTGTCGTGCAAACGCCCGTCGGCTACTGTGGCCGCAGGTGTCGGTTCTTGGAGACGCTTGCCGCTCGTAGCGTTCGTTCATCCAGAACTCGGTCTTCTGAATGTGTCACGTTGGTGATGTGATGGCCGCGATGTGATATGACCGTAGACATCCGCCGGGAAGATAAGCCGGGCACACGCTGTAGAAAGCACATCACAAAGTTTTGTTTGCCTTTCGCAGTGCTGTATGTGATCTGCGAACAGGACAGCCAGCCGAGCGGCAATATGTTGTCCTAGCACACTGTAGCACAAGCGAGAAAGCGTTCCGGCACGCTGCCGGAAATTCGGCTGAAGGCTATGATGCATTGCAGCATCTGTCAAGAATAGCCGACCCGCTTTCACCATCCGGAAAAATTTCACGTCGAAACTTTTCTGGTCTTTTGCATGGCTTCAAACCTCTAGCAAACTGTCACAACGTAAGCTGCCAATGCCTGTAACTCGCGTATTGCTCTGCCAGCCGGCAAGATAAGAGCAAATCTGCCGCGGACGGCCATCCTCTAGATCAGCGATGCTCTGGTGTTTGATCTGTGCCTGGACATGTGTGTCCAGCTGTGCGCAGTGAGCGGCTTGGATCGCCTCGGCCACACCGGCTCAAGTGAGTTTCGCAAGAACCCGGCTTGAGCCGGAAATGTCGGCGCTGTGAGATCGTCCTCTTCTACATAAGTAATTTTCAGCAGCTACACATGGCGTCTTGTTGATTGGTAACGCCCGAACCTGCGCTGCCCGCTTTGGGGTATATGTGGCCTTCGGAAGATTGACCTCTCATCTGCGGCCACAGAGTTGTGAAAGCACCGCATCCCGTCCGATCTGCGAAGTTAAGCACAACATCGCCTAGTCAGTACTGCGGTGGGGGACCACGCGGGAATCCTAGGTGCTGCAGTTCTTTTTCTCCCTTTTTGGAACCGCTTTTTGCATTTTCGTTTTTTAGCAAAAAGAACCAATTGGCGAGACTCATTCTCGTACCTTACACTCCCTTTTCCCGACCTCATTATCGGACACCACAGTCCAACGCTTCAAACTCGACAATCGCTTCTATGGATACTGTTGTACATTCTGTTTGTCTGATCTATCGCTGTTCGCTGTTCTATACCACCAAGTAGCCAATCATTGCAAGCAAGATCGCGAAAGACAAGAGTCTTGCAGGTCGTCCGTTAGGTGAAGAGGCATTGTCGTACACCCGCATGTAGTCGATCTCCCACCTAGCGTCAGTGAAAGCACTTGGGTTATTGCGCACAAAGCTTTCGCACGATGCATTTTGGTACTGCGCCGCGCATCCACTGAACCCGAACGTCTCTCCCGCCCAGTCACCGCAGAGCGTCAGGTTGATGATGATCTCGTGTTCGTCAAAGTAGTCTTGCATCTGGCACACAGATCCATCTCCCGTTGCGAGAGCAGATGCGCTGGCCGTCGAGTTGGCGGTGTTGGCGAAGAAGGCCGACGGCTGCCCCCACTTGGCGAGTTCGGAACGGTCGCTGCCAGTGGCATTGCTGTTGGTCACGACGTACTTGGGAGCGGACACGCCGTTTGCGATGGCAGCCACAACTGCAGGCATGGCGGAAGGAGCTGTCGAGATGGGCCAAAAGTAGACGCCGATGCCCGGGTCGCCCGGTCTGGTTTCGCGGCGCATGGCAAAGTAGCCTCCGCCATTCTGATTGAAGTTGGGTCCGAACGAGTTGTTGGCGTTAAAAGAAGCAGAGCAGCCTGGCTGATACGAGCAGTCAGATTGTGATGTCACGCCGGCCTGATCCGATCGCGAGCCAGTTGGGATGTGGCATCCGTAGAGTGTGTGCAGACTGGCGAGGTTGCGTGGTCCCTGGTCGTTTGCGCCTTCGACAATGTCAATCTCTCCTCCACTCGGCCATCTATCGTTGGTGCATGTCCAGAATGCGGGCCACGTCGCGCATCCTTGCGGCATGTGGGTGAACTTGGCTACGAGCACGCCGTCGCTCATCAGGCGCTTGCTGTGCAACCGCACGCTCTGTCGACCCTGCCCAAATGGTACTACTGTCGTATTGTCGGCACGGATCATGAATCGACCGTCCGAGTTGACGGTTGCCAGACCTCGCGCGACTGCGGTGAACTCGTCCACATAGTCGACCGTACCGTGCGTGGGATCGCTGTATGACCAGAACCAGAAGCGGTCGAGAAATTGTCGTCCGGTGATCTCTTCGCGTAAGGTGTAGTTGCCTGCCAGAACTGCGCTCGACAGCAGAAGGATCGCAGCGAGCGCTGTCACCGAGACAGCGGAACGCGACAACATCTCGGGAGCCCGTGAAGGGACGTGGTGGCAGTCGATTGGGTACGGGTGGCGGAAATGAACCGAATCGAGATCCTCTATCGAAACGTCCAGGAGATCATGGTTGTGCGTTGTGCGAATCTATCCAAAGAACAAGCCAGGGGGCTGATGGTGGTGACAATGTTGGAGGGAGTAAGCACCACTCATGTCGGCAACCTTTAGATGGCGGAGCCTTAGCCTAATCTGTTTGCGAAAGGCCGATGACGAACGGCGTCTGGCCACAGCCGCGAGGAATCAGATAGCGAACAAGGGTCTTGGCAGCGTGGACGTCACCCAAATCAATTCCCTGACGCCAAGCGAAAGGCGGGCTATGCAATGGGTAAGCACATCTCGGCACGATGATGTTCTTCTGCCGTGGCCGCCGAGAAGTTTCGAATCTCCTGATCTTGTGCCTCTGTTCGTGAGAAGACGGGAATTGAGACTCAGATAGCGCACCAACGGCGAATTTCGTCGCTATTTTTCCGGCGCGCCTTCCACAGGACACGTTCTCGAAGAGCAACCGATTTACGGCTCAGCAGATGACGGTAAAGCGGGCTCTAGCTAAGTTATGACATCTCAAGACCGAAGGAATGTTGCCTGTACGACAATGCTCTTGAGATGGAACCACGGCATGCTTGCTGAAGACAAAGCCAAATCCAGGGAACAAAGTGAGGCACACGCGCGAGGGTGCAATCGGCAGATCTTTGCTCGCGATTTGATTTGAGTAGCGGTGATAAGCTTTCAGAGCACAGAGGCGCAAGGGAGATGAAGCATACAGTGAGAGACGGAGCCAACAGAGAGCGCTCAACGCTGAAATCGTCGTTACAGTTTCTGAGAACCCTGGGCTGAAGGGGTCCTATCTAACGGTCGATGGCAAGCGTCGACATATAATCTTTCCAGACTTGTAGTAGGACACTTTCGTCTTTCCGCATGAACGCTTCTTGATAAAGATCGTAGATCTCGGGGAACAGCGCGATCTCTTTGTGCAGCTTCAAGTCCTCCAAGAACTGCACAGGATCGGGCCTTGTCGTCTTGAGTTCTGAACGGATATGTCCAAGCGCTTTTTGGCGCAAGCCCAAGATGCCGTACTTGTCGGCAATGCGATACATGTCGAATGCATTAGCCGGATCGAGGCATTCTTTCCACCACGGGCCGTCGCCTTCGCTTGAGTCAGAGCGTTTCCTCTTGTTGTCTTGAGAGGTAGCTGTGGAAGTATTGTCGAGGGAGGAGGCACTTCTAACCCCTCTGAAAGAGCGATCGCGCCGGGCAAAAGCAGCCACACCTGTGTGGACATAGAAGAGCAATGTTTCGAGCTCGCTATAGCTCATGTCTGGCACTTGAAGGACTGGCGAGAAGCTTTTCCGTATAAGATCTGACGTTGAGTCCTTCTTCGTGGTCGAAAGACCATCTGAGGAAGAGCTCCCTTCTCCTGTCTCGGAGCTGCCGCTAAGTTGGACACAACGGCGAAGGGACTCAGCTTCGGAAAATCCGGATCGCAGAAGACTGTCAAAGTAGCTGCTGGCGTTACACAAGGTCTTCATGTGTGCTCGTAGAGTGCGCTTCTCGTCGGCGGGGACTGTTGGAGCAAGTCTTATGCAGTCTGTATCCGACGAGGTGATCAGGTGAGCCAGGGAGTTGAGCGGCAGCTTCGGTTCCTGCATGATTGGTGTGATCTGGTTTTCACTGCGCTCGCTCGTGTCGTTATTTGGGTAGCCTATGATAGTGACGGCAGCGCTGCAGCGCGATCCTGCAGCAAATCGGAGATCTCGCATGGTCTTGGATTTAGGATCAAGGCTCCAAATTTTGTAGATTCCATCGTCGAAAGAGCGGCCGTTCTGTTTCTGGAACCGGGCTTCTGCTTCCCAAACGGTGAAAGAACGACATGTGCCTTTGACGTTCATTGACAATACTATTTCCATGCTGGCGTCGTTGCTCACGAAGGCCTGTTCGGGGTAGTCATCAGAGTTTTTAAACTCGAGTTGGACGAAGACAGTCCCTGATGAGATACATATTTCGATCCATGTGAAAGCATCCCTCTACTTGAAACCGCAGGGATCACAACCGACGTTTGCGGAGTCGGACAAAATGATGTGCCGTTCACCATCAGTCCAGCTGTTGGTGGCGCGATACGCAATCCAATACCCATCCCTTTGCAAGATCGCGGCCATAATGAATCCCGCGATAGAGATCAAAGATCGCAGGTAAGGGTCAGTGAATGAAGTAGACGAATGTATGATACGAGAGATAATTGAAGGACGAAACTGGGCAAGGTTCACACGATACGGCAGCCCTTTATAATGATTTGCCAGCGCAGGTGCCCTTCGTCGACCAGCCTGCGAAGATTCTTCGCGCCTGGCCTGTGCAGCTTTACTCCACCGACGGTCATACTTCCGAGGACCAGTGTAATGACTGAATGGGTGAGCCTTTGCCAGCAAGAGTGTCATTCTCCTGAATTGCGCTGTCAGACACCAAACCTGTGCATCACTTTCAATCCGAACATGCGCTCAAATGAAAGCCAGGCCACCTTCGTTCTCGAAGGGAAACTCGCCGAGGTGATCTTTGGCGACACACGCTTTCTGACGTTGTCACCAAATTAAGCTCGGAATCTCGCATACATTTGAGGCAAACTCTATGGTGCTATCAGCCGTCGCTCTTTCCGACTCCATCAGACCACACAGCGACTGCGCGCTTCCGCTCAAGTATCTTGGCTACGCGGGCGCTTGTTTAGCAAGTCACGAAGTTCTCACGGTCCTGCGCAGACGGTGAAAGGGGCAATACCGCGGCAAAGACAGAGCTCAGAAATGGCGTGGACTCGTCACTGCGATGCTTCATCAACTTTAATCTTCATCCGGCCTTGCTGCATTCTGCGAAGCGCGCGCAGAGCTTCATTTGGGGATGGCAGAGCAACCCACCTTGGGCGAATGAGAGCGACAATGGGGTCCAACCCCACGCTCTGCCTACTGTATCTCTGCGTTGAGATCAGATCCATGTCTCTCGCTCTATTCCATCCATTCTCTCTTTGACATCGACTAGCACGTTCTCTAGGATGTGGAATCGAGCCTTCGGCACCTTGCCGAGTCTGCTCGCTATCCAGCTCAGCATTCTCCTGCTGGCTCTTGTCGCCGGAACAGCAGACGCTCACAAGCATCAAAGTCATCTTCTCAAGCGCCAAGCGGAGTTTCAGTACATCGCAGATGAGCCAGACCCACTCAAAGCTGCAGCGGCTATTCAACAGATGCCGAACGTTCCCAACAACAGCTCAGATCCACCTGATGACATCCTGATTTCCAAGGGAGACGCTGACGACGGCAATCCTCCCTGGCTTGCTCAGGTCCCAATTGTAGCAACGCCCTCTACCGATCCTGTACAGCTTGTAAACGGCAAATCAGCCTGGAAAGATCTGCCAGACATGGCGGGATTCACCCTCAACCGCACTTTCCAAGTGCTTCCAAACCTCGTCATGCCCATGTACATCTCGCAGAGCTATCGACCAGGAGAAGACAACAGCCGGATCCAACGAGCCGTCATCACCATGCCTGGTAAGCCGCGCGACTCGTGGAAGTACGCCAACCTTTTTCGCAACGCTCTCGCCGTCGCAGCTTCGAACGCGAGCAACGGCATCTCAGAGGATCAGGTCATGATCGTTGGACCGGTCTTTCTCAATTCCGACGACAAGGATTCGGGGGCAGTAAGAGAGGGTGAGCTGTACTGGCACGGTTCGCAGTGGCAGTCCGGACACAAAGTGCGCAACGAACAACCACGAGCTAATCTAAGCTCGTATCACGTGTTGGACAACATCACCGACTTCATCTTCAAGTCGGGAGAGTTTCCTTCCATCAAGCAAGTTGTGATCGCAGGACACTCGATGGGTGGACAGGCGGTGCAACGCTATGCGATGCTGAAGAGAACCAAGGCATACGATAGCAATATGCGCTTTTGGGTGGGCAACCCGGGTTCGTGGGCATGGCTGGACGATCAGCGACCGTACCAAAATGCTTCCTGCATCGGATGGGATAGCTGGGGCTATGGTCTGGGCAACGTCTCCAGCGTCATTGGCTACGCACGTAGAGATGTCAACGCTAGCAAAGAGGCCGTCGTCGAGCGTTTCCGTTCGCGCAGTATTCACTATGCGATCGGACTCGCGGACACGGGGGCCGGCGACACGCACTGTCAGGCAAAGATGCAGGGAGGAAGCCATCTGGATCGCGGCTCGCAGTTCGTCCTTTCACTCGGTCGGCTCGGCGGCTTCCCCCCCAATCACACGTTCGACGTGATCGCAGGAACATCTCATCAGGACTACCCGATGATCCGTGCTGACAAGTCGGTGCAGCGAATCTTCCTGGATGACTTCAACATCACCTTCCCGCTCTTGACGAACACCACCGATCCAGGCGATCGACTTCGCCACGAACACCATCACAACATCACGCGTCATGATCCGCACAAGCTCAAGATGCACGCAACGCCCAAACATCTCGTGATCGCATCCGCTCTGCTGGGCGGATCGGTGCTGTTCATCATGTGCTTCTTCACATTGCTGCCGTGGGTGTTCAGCGACAATTACGACGAGAGGAGCTACGAGGTGGAGATGTCGAGTCGCCGAAGACTGCTGTCATGATCGCGTGCGAAGTGATGACAATCGATTGTGACGGTGTCTAGAAGTTCTGTAGTCCGTCGTAGCCTTGTGTAGATGAGTAATGAAAGCACTGAATGCGATGGGTCAAGATGTGAGGCTAAGTCTGCATCCGAAGAAGCGGTTTCCCTTACATTCAAGTCTCCACATTTTTTTCCGGTGCCTCTTCCGACACCCGAGGCCATCGCTTTGCTCATCACCGTTCAACATCATTGTTGATCCCCACCTCTCTCACGTTCACGCTCACCTCTTCCCGCACTGAACCATCGACGTCATCATCTAGGATCGATCAACAAGATGGTCGGCTCGGTAAGTCGCCATGGACGAAAGCGCATTGCGTCTCTCCAGGCAACGGATTCGAGCTAAACGTACCTTCATCCACTTGCTTCCCCTCTGCGCACTTGGACTGCTCACAGTGTCAACACATCCGCAACGATCTCACAGACTGCATCCTCAAAACAGACTGCTACCTGAAGCAAGGCAAATCGGCGCAAGAATGCATCACATCACACATGGCTGAGCTTCCGGTGGAATGTCAACATCTGTACAAGTCGTTTGTCGAGTGTAGACGTGGTATGGTACGTATCCGAAGCCTTGGTCGAGAAGAAGTAGAACGGAGACTGACGTTGATTCCATCTGTTGCTATGACAGTTGGATATGAGGAAGCGATTCAGAGGTAACGCACCTCCAGCAGCAGGGGGCAATAACGCACCGGGAGGAACAAGTCAGGTCGATGCAACGGCGGTGGATCCATCAGCCAGGTCGTGAGCAGCGGTGCTGCCGAACAACGCGGCGTATACAAAAACGGAAGAACGATCGTCAGAGATAGTCAAGACTGCACCACCGGGCAAAAAAGCCCACCGTCAAGGCTTTTACACACATACACACCATCATTACGCAATTGTACTTGTATCACACCACTCACTACTGTCTCCGTGGACGCTTATGCTCCATATCGCTGGTCAAAGTGTCTCAGCTCTCACAATGCCATGCTCAGAAGCTTGGAATCAGATTCCGAAGCAGGACCTATCGACTCCACGAGACAGACACCTTAAGGAATGGCATTGTGATCAGAGAGTGAGGCTAGAAAAGCACATGAAAGGGGGCGACCAAAAAGAGGAGGTGTCGCATGTCCAGAAACGGTAGCGATGAATAGATTAGAGCAGAATGAGAGAAGCGTAAAGGCTGGACCCGAGCTGGTGTCTGGCTGGGTCGTCAACATGTACGAAAAGAAGTATTGAAGGACCAAGTAGAGACAGTAACTTGTGATTTTCGGCAAGCGACCGATCAGAGCATGACCACAACCACGGCAGCCGCTGCTACGCTGAAGAAGACAGCCTTGGCAGCGGCAAAGTTGAACTGATCCGCTGCCGCATTGCTTGGAATCTGAAGGTTGTTCGGGTCTGGTACGAGATTTTTGGCGTTGGGAGCCGTGTTGTAGCCAGCGCTGGAGGCCAAGCTCTGGTAGACTTGCGAGGGGAAGATAGCGGGGACGGTTTGCGTGGGGACGGTGTAGCTGTATTGGTAGGAGCCGGAGGCAGGTGATGGACCGGGACCGCCGATGACGGTTGGGTTGCCTCCTGTAGCCTGAGCGAAGGTAGTGACGGGCGTGAAGGTGTTGGCGGGTACGTATGAGGAGAGGGGGAAGCTTGTTCCTGCGAATGCGCTCGAGACTTGTGCTTCGGTGGTGGTGGCGAGGAGGAGAAGCGTGGCTGCGATCAGGAGCGCAGCTGCTCTTGATGTGGATGGTACTGATGAGAGCATCTTTGTATGGGATGGGGTACAGGGGCTTGCACTTCTTGGTGTGCGGTGCTTTGTGATACCGCCAAGGCGATGTGCAATCGAGCTGCAAGCGGGTTTGCTTGGACTATAGCTACGGCTGCGAGCGGAAAGGCCGAACGAAGCAGGCGGGCGGTCGACGCTAGAAAGAAAGCGCGGATCAAAGAGATGGTCGAGGTTTTGCAATGCGAACTGTTCTTTGACAGTGGTCAGACGATTCCGAAGCTAGGATGTAGAGGAGATAACGACTGCGACGCGAAAGGATGAAGAGAAGGGATCTGCGGATTCTGCGTGTGGATGGTAGGAAGCGTAGAGAGAATGGAGGTGCAAGGCAAAGGTACGGATGATGGCGAAGGGAGCGTGCGGGGAAGCTGCCACCGTCTAGAGTCTGTACTGCCTGCACACGGAGGTGTCGTCGAGCCCAAACGAGTTTCAACCGCTTACGCCTCTCAGCCAGAAAAAACATCGACCAAACACGGCACGGCATAGCACAGGAGTCAAGGGGAAAATCTCACCACTGCAGGATGCTGCTGCTGCTGCTGCTGCAGACGAGGCTGGGCTGATTCTGCTTTTCGTTCGAATTTACAACCCCGCAAGCAGTGCAGTGTTTCGACGATCATCATTTGGCAGGAATTGTGCCTGAATTGAAAATATTCCCCGTCGACGGCCGTTGTTTCCTTTTGCAAGCGGTCGAGCAGCTCGCTTAGCGCCCTGCAGTTTACGCCCGCTCGTTTTCTCATCTCGCCCTCTCTCAGCCCCAGCTGCGATGCTTCTCTAACAGCCTTACTTTGCCGCTCAGCTTTCATTTTCAGATTCCGACCCAGCCAACCTGATTTCACGTTCTCGACAAACTGAGAGCCGTTGACGACGAGCCTCAAACAGTTGTCAGCGGTTCAGACCTTTGATCAGCGTTGTTAGATCTATTCCCGGCACCCGATCGCTTACTATCAAATATCTTAGATCGGGCGGCGGCAACGTTGTGCATCTCAACCTCTCCAATCACGTTGTGCTCGCATGCAGCGTCTCTTGAATGGCCACGGATCAAAGCTTCCGAAGATGACTTCCATTCGTGAAAGGCATGATCCGCAGCTACGCTGTTCCGAAGCGAGATCAGCACCACAGGGGCTTGGCTCTCGGTCGTGCATGAAGTGCTTTGCTGCATGGTGACTAGTGTGTCCAGCTGAAACAAAGTGTGGAGTAAAATCGAGTTAGTAAGGTGCGGAGCAAATTCCGCCGGATTTTTTGGCAGCATCTCGAAGCTTATATAGACGGCTCGAGTCTTCTCCATCAAGCTCGCATCTCCCAGCTTCTCCTCCTGCTACCGTCACCCATCGCTTGGCAGGACAATCTCTCGTCGTCGCTTCGCCGGTTCTAGCCCAATATGGTCGCCATCAACGGAACATACGATGTGATGCTGGTACCCCTGCTCATGCCAGTAGCACAGATCCTCAACTTTCTCCCTCCCAAAGTTCGCGACATTGATCCTTCGCCGCTGATCCCCTTCACTCAGGACCAGATCTCGTCCCTCGGTCTGGACACCTCAGCATACAATGCCGGCGTCAATCATCCCGTCATGCTCGAACTGGGGTACCAGGACCACACCGGTCCCGGTCCACGACTCTTCCGTCTCAGCTTCGACGAAGCCAAACTCGAAGTGCTCGGCATGCGTCATCCTTCGCTCGCCGGCAAACAGCCCAACACCGCCGACAAGGGCTTTGTCTATAAGCAACTCATTCTCTTCTCCAACTTTGTGCTCTTCACTTCGTCCAACGTCATTGCCGGTTTGAGGAGCAACCTCGCCACCGTCACCCCATCCAAATCTCCCTCCATCTACCCCGTCGATGAGCAGACCATCCTCTACAATGTCAAGGACTACATCGAGGTCAACTTTGCCAAGAACGGAGAGCAGGGCTCCGCAGCAAACAACGGCGCCGTTCAGTGGGCCGGTAGACCGTGGTACGGCTGGGCGACCGGCGACACACTGACACAATTCGTCTTCGATGTCGACAATGCAAAGATTCCTCCCGTGCCCTACAAGGCGGATACCAGGGTCAAGACTCCCGCTTTCTACGACCCTTCAGTGGCGAGCCAAGCTGCTAGCGTCAAGCCCGAATGGAGCGAATTCGACGGAGTCGCAAGCTGGAGATTCCAAGCCGACTATTACTCGCGAGATATCAAGGCTGCCGACGCCAACTCTGTCTGAACATACCCACGCCTGCTTCTTGCAATGTCACAATTATCTGGAACGCCCCAACACCGAAGTCTGCGTCCAGTTGAAAACATTTATACTTGATCCATTCCGTGTGTGCGTACCATTCTATACATATACAATACACAACAACCACCTACCGTCTACCGTCTATGATGTCTATGGGTCACAAGTGGAAAGCGTCGGTAACCAACCGATCTCGAACCAAAGGTACTCCTGCTCATCGTCTCTACCAACGCTAGCACGCTTGTCCAGCCTGCGACGCTTCAGGATCCCGAGCTCCACAGCAGGCCGAGCCTCTCGCTGGGAGATTGCATTCATGCGTGAATGCAGATCGTCACGATGCTTTGCGTGACTTTTGGAATCCATGCCACTTAGCGACTCGATCGTCAGAGACGGTGTTCCGGGAACAGTGTCGAGCGGTGTGTCTGTTCGACTAGTGCTTAGCGACGGGAGCGCACTCGACTGTTGATGGGGTCGGAAAGCTTCTTCGACCGTCTTGAAGAGACCCTCAAACTTGCCCGTGCCTCGAACAGCCATGACAATGTGGGCACGTGGTGCCAGGTCTTCGTCCTGGCCATCTAGCGGCTTGCGTAGCAGCGCTTGGATAGAAGAGCGGATCCAGAGTGCATGCTCAGGCGCGTAAATGACGTCGGCAAGCAGCAGCAAGTCGAACTTGGGTTGACTCTCGTCGAGAGTGCCCTGGAGCGTCTTCTGATGCAGCTCCCACCAATCGAGATGCTCAACTGAGACGGCGACCGGCTCGAGACGATCCTTCGAGGGCGTGAGTGCTGGGAAATTCTCTCGGACGTTGTGTCTAAGATTCTGCAGCACTTGCTGGTGGTAGTCGGTCAGGACAACGTCGGCTTGGACGTCACTTTGCTGTAGAAGCTTGGCTGCTACCATGCCGAGGAGACCGGTTCCGGCTCCGAGCTCAGCAATTCTGAGTCGCTTGTGGGACCGCAGAGCAAGCCCAGGATGAAACAGGGCAGGATGTCGGAGGACGACATCGCTCACAACGATGGCTGCACCCCACGTCTGAACTCCTACCGCCGCCGCAGCATCCTGACTCGATCCATTTCCATTCTGCGAAGTGGCCTCTGATTGAGCATTTGAAGGCGGAAGGGGATCATCGCGAAGAACGATTTCGATGGGACCAGATAGCCGGTCAAGGTCGAACGACGCCGAGTGTTCTCCCGGGATGAGTACTGGTTCCTTGAGGGGAAAGCAAAAGTCGCGCGAGATAGCTCCAGCCTCCTCCAAGCTGGCCTGGCCACCAAGTATGCGTCCAGCCAAGTCCAACAAATCCTCGGCAGTGGTCGCATCCTCTTCATCGTCTATCCAATAAAGGCCGCTAGCGATGAGCCGAGTGAGCCAGTCCATCGCATACCGCTTCTCGCTATCGTCGACCTTAGCCACATCACACGCATCCTGTAATGCCGGCGATGCGTTACGATCCGGTTCGAGGAGGTCGCGGAGTGCTTGCTCGTCTCTATTGAGCGACTTTGGCGAGTATAGGCGCGAGAGATGCGAGAGGGCCCGGAACACATGCGCAGCGTCGGGTTCTGCCTTGATGCGAGGCAGACAGCTTGTCGGATTGACGAGAGCGACCAGCGCATCTACAGTCATTCCGTCTAATTCAACGGAACAAGGATCCGGCGGGAAAGTTGCTTCTATGAGGTCGATATCCGTTCCAGGTGCAGGTCTTGAGGAGATTCCAATCCTGGTTTCAGATCATGATGGCGGAGAAGGGCTGCGACTTCGAAGGATGTGAGGCTTCAAGACTGTCGATCAGCAAGGCTGAGGTCACGCAGCATTGCGGCCTGCGCTCTCGACCCTCTCGCGGACAAGTCTGATGGTGTGCGGACGAGAAGCATGTACGAAGATGAGGTAGGACAGGTGGAGCCTTGGAACTTTCGAACCCTGCAGCTGAAATTTTTGAAAAGCTCACGGCCGAGAGTTCGGATTTAACATGTCATTCGTTCGCAGTCGAGTGCGGGGAAGACGGTCCAAAGCGCTTTCAGCACCTGAATGCCGGAAGCTTCGGCTTAGCCGCGACAGAGTTAGATGATTTGTTGCTCGCTTCGGCATTTCCGGCTCCCACGGGTCGAGAATCCTTGTCCATGCTACGATCTTTTCCTCGACTCCTTCCTTCTTGACCACCGACAGCCAGTCAATATATACACTATCACAACGACAACAAGTTTGGCATAGCTGGACGCAGCATTTTTCGTTCATCTTAGTACATCGACAAGCTTCATCTCAGCTTCGATCGACCTCCTCCCTTGATCGGAGCGCTACCATGTCCTCTCGCCTGGTTGCAGCTCGTCTGGCTCGCGTCAACGCAGCTCGAGCACCATCATCGACTGCGCCATCATCCATTCTCGCTCATCTCAGTCTCTGTTCGAGATCCGGCCGTGTACCTCCTGCGCTCGCCGCTCCCTCCACTGCTACAATCAGGATGAGCTCCACAGCTGCCACTTCGCTCAACCCACAGCCTGCTCCACTGCGTGTTCAGCCTCCTACCGCACAGCAAGAACAGGCAGACTATGAAGCTGCAGTGAAGCAGGTGCAGGAATGGTTCGACAGTCCTCGCTTCAAAGGCATCAAGCGTCCGTACGGTCCCGAGGCCGTCGTCTCCAAGCGCGGCTCAATGCCCGTTCAACCGCCTGCGTCCTCGCTCACCGCCGACAAGCTCTTCGCCCTTCTTTCCGAGCATGCAGCAAAGGGAACTCCTGCACACACCATGGGTGCTATCGACCCTGTTCAGCAGTCACAGATGGCTCACAACCAAGAGGTAGTCTACGTCTCGGGCTGGGCGTGCAGTTCCGTGCTCACCACGTGCAACAACGAGGTCGGTCCGGATCTTGCAGACTACCCCTACACTACCGTCCCGAACCAGGTTCAGCGTCTCTTCAAGGCGCAGCAGCACCACGATCGAAAGCACTGGGACGAGCGATGCCAGCTCACTCCCGAACAAAAGGCAAAGACGCCGTGGGTCGATTACGTGCGACCTATCATCGCCGATGCCGACACTGGACACGGTGGTCTCAGCACCGTTTTCAAGCTGGCCAAGCTCTTTGCTGAGCAGGGCGCTGCCGGTATCCACCTCGAGGACCAGCTTCACGGCGGCAAGAAGTGTGGTCACCAGGCAGGAAAGGTGCTGGTCCCTACTTCGGAACACGTCAACCGTCTCACCGCTACTCGCTTTGCATGGGACATCCTCGGCTCGGCCAACATCTTGATTGCTCGAACCGACTCGGAGTCGGCCAAGCTCATCTCTTCTAGCATCGATGCCCGCGATCACGAATTCATCAAGGGTGCTTACAACCTGCCCGAGGGTACCCAGAGTCTCGCAGATACGCTTGCCTCCAAGGAAGCGGCAGGGGCTTCGGGCCCCGAGGTGGATGCAGCCGAAAAGGCGTGGATGGACAAATGCGAGCTGCTCACCTTCAACGAAGCTGTCGCCAAGCACAACTCTTCCAACAAGCAAGGTGTCGAGGCCTACGCCCAAAAGGTCGCTGGCGGCGTCTCGAACGGCGAAGCACGCGCCATCGCCAAGGACATCTTTGGTGCCGAAGGTGTCCCGACATGGTGTTGGGATGCTCCTCGAACCAAGGAAGGATACTACCACTTCAAGGGTGGTGTCGCACCTGCCATCAAGCGTGTCAAGATCTTTGGTGCCTACGCCGACATGCTCTGGCTCGAGACCAAAATGCCTGACCTCAAGCAAGCTCAGACCTTCGCTGCCGACATCCACCGCGACCTGCCAGGCAAGTGGCTCGTATACAACCTCAGCCCAAGCTTCAATTGGAGCGCCCATGGATTCTCGGACCAGGACCTTAAGAACTTCGTCTGGGACCTCGCCAAGTCAGGTTTCGTCTTCCAGCTCATCTCGCTCGCCGGTCTTCACTCGACGGGCGCCATGACGTGCGAGCTGTCGCAGCGATTCAAGACCGATGGCATGCTTGCTTACGTCGAGCTGGTCCAGCGAAAGGAGAAGGAGATCGGATGCGATGTGCTCACCCACCAAAAGTGGTCTGGCGCTGCTTACGTGGATCGCATGCTTCAGGCTGTCAGTTCCGGAAGCTCAGCAACACAGTCAATGGGTGCCGACAGCACCGAGCGATCGTTCTGATCTCTTCTGCTTGCATAGACGAAATTGCAATGTATGATAGTTCCATTAACGAGAAAGTGTGCCTTCTTAAGCCCCCTGATCTGCTGACGGTGCTTCTCTGCGGTGGCTAGGTCGTGTGTGGTACATTGAAAGTTGATGCGATCCAGGGTCCTAAAAATATGCAGCGGCCGGAAGAGCCCGAAACCCGAAGATCTTTTGGAAGACTTGGAATTTTTGAGCGTGGTCCTCCACCTTGGCACTGATGCTCCTCCTGCCCGTCCACCAGTCGTGTCGGATTCGCTCATACGAAAATACAGGTTGCACCTGCTCTTTGCTGATAGGCAATGATCCGGTCAGCATGTCGGACAGGTCGCACAGCTGGGACGCGCCCATTAGAGGCGCTTCTGCAACAAGTAGCCGTACTCGGGTGCTCGGCACCGGGGCCCAGCTCCCGCGCTGTCGAGGCAATATGCAGAGCGTCTGGAGCGCCAACACAGCCTCAGCATCAAAATGACAAGCACATCAGCATCTCACATCGTCACTATACTACCTCAAGACCATTACGCCAGGCCATCGCTTCCTCACCAATCGCCGCAAAGGCAGACAATCGGGACTCTTCCAAATTTGACCGACTCGAAACACGAACGTTCTCCATCATCAGCCATGTGGACCATGGCAAGTCAACGCTTGCAGACCGACTCCTTGAGCTCACCGGCACGATCCCATCAGACGGCTCCAACCAGCAGGTACTCGACAAGCTCAAGGTGGAGAGAGAGCGAGGTATTACCGTCAAATCACAAGCAGTGACGATGGTGTACGACTACGATGGACCGAGGGAAGACTTCATCTCGGCCTTTGACGACGGGTTTGCACCAAAGGCCGGACGTTACCTGCTAAACTTGATAGACTGTCCTGGTCACGTCGACTTTTCATACGAGGTCAGTCGATCGCTCTCGGCGTGTCAGAGCGCACTTCTCGTCGTAGATGCAACGCAAGGCGTGCAGGCGCAGTCCATCACCGTGTTCGAGTTGGCCAAGCAGAAGGACCTGGCCATCGTACCTGTGCTGAACAAGAGCGACCTACCAGCAGCCGATCCAGACCGCTGCGCGATACAGATGGAAGAGATCCTCGGCATCGATACGACATTGTCTGGGCAAGAGCCGCTATTAATTTCTGCAAAGACGGGCAAAGGCGTGGACAGCGTCCTGCGCGCTTTGGTGGAGAGGACAAAACCACCACCAGGAGTGGAAGATGGCAAATTGAAGGGCAGGGAGGGTCCGGGCTTCCGCGCGTTGGTCTTTGACAGCTGGTACGATCAGTACAAAGGCGTCGTGTCGCTGGTGTCCATTGCAGATGGCGCTGTCAAAAAGGGAGATCGCATCACATCCTGCCACACGGGCAAGCGCTATGAAGTCCTCAGCCTGGGTGTCAACTCACCCGAGATGATCTCCACCGATGTGTTGCGTAAGGGTCAGGTCGGCTGGATCATCGCCAACATGAAGGATATGAGCGAGGCACAGATCGGCGATACGTTCCATCTTGCGTCTGAAAAGGTGGAGCCGCTAGAAGGTTTTGCACCCACCGTGCCGATGGTGTACGCCGGTATCTTTCCCATCGAAACGACCGACTTTGTCAAGCTGGAAGAAGCGATCCAGCGGCTTGCGCTCAACGATCGCTCCGTCACAGTCCAGCGGGAGTCATCGATGGCGCTCGGCCAGGGATGTCGTTTGGGTTTCCTCGGGCTTTTGCACCTCGACGTCTTCCGACAGAGACTCGAGGACGAGTATGGACACGCGATCTTGGTGACAGCGCCTTCCGTTCCCTACAAGGTGACATGGCGGGATGGACGGGAAGAGATCGTCTCGAACCCGATTAACTTTCCCGATGATTCGGAACGCAAGTCCAAAGTGACGTTGCTAGAAGAACCGATGGTCCGAGGTGTCGTGCGTTGTCCGGAAGAGTACACGGGCGAGATCATGCAGCTATGCGCCGAGCATCGTGGCGAACAGCTCGAGGTCTCGTTCCCTCCTACTGCATCGGCGATCCGATCGGTGCAGATGACTTATCGGCTGCCATTGTCGGAGATCGTCACCGACTTTTTCGACAAGCTCAAGTCGTGCTCATCAGGATTCGCCTCGTTCGAGTATTCCGAGGATGGCTATGCTGCAAGCGATCTGGTCAAGCTCAACTTTCTTATCTCAAATACGGTGCTCGACTCGCTCTCGATCATCATGCATCGATCCAAGGTCATGTACAATGCGCGACAGTGGACGAAGAAGCTCAAGGACATCATTCCGCGACAGCAGTTCGAGGTATCGATCCAAGCAACGACAGGGAGCAAGGTGATTGCGAGAGAGACACTGTCAGCATATCGGAAGGATGTAACGGCGGGCTTATATGGTGGTCATTACGAACGCAAACTCAAGCATCTCAACAAGCAGAAGGAGGGCAAGAAGAGGCTCAAGGCTCTTGGTGTCGGCAGAGTGCAGATCCCTACGGAAAAGTTCCTCGAGGTACTGGATACCCGTTCCAAAGCAAAGTGATGGAGTTCAGGTACATTCGGCCGTTCTTGCCTCGTTGCTTAGCATCCACTTTGTTTGTGACTGAAGCCCATGTTGATCTTTCCGTTCGGGAAGAGCCTTGATATGCTTCGGACAGCATGGACGCCTAACTCCGAAGACGGAAAGATCCTACAAGACTTATTATGCGGACTGCGGCAAGGCAGAATCCGATGTGGGAGACGGTCAGGACCGACGAGCACCGTGCCCTGGCCATGCGGTCAGAAATGTCTGCCAGAGTGGGCTTCAGTTCAGGACCAGCGAAATTTGCGTCAGGGCAGGCGAAGGGGCATAGAGGTCCGAAAGCGTGCGCTCGGCTACCTTCTCATCGTGGCGAGTGCGGACTGGTGAAGGCGAAATTTCCCCCCCCCAAATTCACCGCGGGAGCGGCGGGTGAACCAATCGACGGGTCTCGCCGAAGCGGCGGGTTCTTTTTCAAAATGTAGCAGAAAGAAGCTGTCGAGAAGTGCCTGCGGCCACTTTCCAGCGTTCTGCCGAAAATCCTAACTCCGCAATTCCTCAAGCCTGCTTCTTGATCGTCGGCAACCGTATTGACCGATGCAGACCCGTCTCAGAAGTGCCGTTGGTGCAGTTGAGGAAGCGAGTCCTCGCTTGCCCCTCCCCCCACTCCTCTTCTCCCACCTCTTGGACGCTTTTGGGATCTCTGAGTGAAGCCTGAAGCCTTTCCCAGATGTTCCACAAGCGGATGATTCCGTAGACACCACAGCCGAGGTCCGCCAAGAATTTGCTGCCCCTCAAGAGCGCCACAACTCAACCATGACGAGCATAGTCACAAGGATTGGTGCCAGGAGTGCGAGCCTTTACAACGACCGGTGACGGCACATCTCTCTTCACTGTCGGAGCGCGCAGAAAGTGCAGGAAGTGCGATCTGATGCGATCTCGGACGTGCGGGAAACGACTGAAATGAGAAGACAGCTTTCTGGCAGCGATCATCAAGTCACAGCAGTTGACCGGCGCCTCTGCATGTCGAGTTTCGCCGAGTCTCGTTGTCTCGATAGCAAAGGTTCGTGCACACCGCTTGCTTGCCAACATTTTCTTTGATTCGAACCAGGTGGAAACGTCGATGATTCTCTTGCCTGGTGAGTAGAGAGCTCCTGTTCTTCGGAAAGAGAGAACCGTTTGTCTCACTTCTCCCAGAACAATGCGCCGGATGTTTCCGGTCGCAGGAAGCTCGAGGTTCGATCACGAATACGGCTGCCGCAGGTCTGATGGATGCCGCGTGCCGTCGGCCGCCGCATTTTGCGAGTCAAGACTGCAACCACTGCCCTCCCGCTCGGATGAAGCTGCGACTTCTTCGTCTCACTGTCCGGACGAACAATCTTTGTGTTACCCCAGACCCCAGACTCACGCTTGTATGGGGAAGCTTGATGGAGTCCATCCAAAGCGGAGTGGGCCGAGGGTCCTGATACTGTGGCCATGCAGAGCTGCAATGCAGCCCAGCTTGTACCCTACAACGTGCCTGCTCTATGAATCTGGCCATTTTGAGTGTTCGGCCATGCGGACGCTAGCGCTCCCCCGCAAATTTTGTTGGTGCGGGACCGTTCCTGGGCCTCGTGTCTCCTTTGTTTTTTCACTGCGCTAGCGCACGTCGCCTGTCTGGATTCGCCGGCGATGCTCGTCCTACCCCTTCCTGCCAGAATTGACCGTTCGTCCCACGCCTTCGATCCAATCAGGTTCTCTCTCCTTCCGTGCTGAGTGACCAGACCGAGTCAGGGGGCCCCAAATTTGCTTGTCTTGCTGTTCCTTCGCTGGTCATGCCTGTTTCTGAATGTATAAGAACCTGCCCTTCTCTGGTCGCCCGCTTGCCCTACCTGTCCACACCGTGCATCCCTCTTCTCCTCCTCACCATCTAACACCTTAGTCTCACTAGAATCCGACTCGGCATTGACCGTCCCCGCAACAGCTTGGCCATCTAAACACGCGCCTTTAGTCCCCTATCGCGATGTACATCCCCTCCAAGTTTTCGCACTTTTCCGAGACGCCCAGCTCGGCGCTCAACTGGCGTCTTGCCGTCGCCGTCGTTGGCATGGGTCTTCTCGGTGCATCTCGTGGTATCGACGAGGGTCTGATTGGAGGCATGATCTCACAAAAGACTTTCGAAAAGGTCTTCCACATTCCGGCCAAGAGCAACAAGGAGTCTAATGTGACTGCCATGGTCCAGCTCTTCTCGGTACTCGGTGCCATCCTCGGCTACCCCATCTGCGAGCGCCTCGGACGTGTTCGTGGCGCTCAGGTTGCATGCTGCCTTGTGCTTCTCGGCAGTGCCTTGTGGGCTGGTAGCGCAGGTAACTACGCCATGCTGCTTGCTGCCCGTGCGATCGCTGGTATCGGTGTCGGTCTGACCCCCATCGTCGCACCCATCTTCCTTGTCGAGGTGGCGCCTAAGCAGATTCGTGGTCTCTGCACCTCCGTCTACTCGTTCAATGTATACCTCGGTCTTCTCCTTGGCTACTGCACCAACCTGGGTGTCAAGGAACACGTCAACGCCAAGACAAACGCCATCTGGCAGATCCCCCTTTCGCTCAACTTCTCTCTCCACGCCGTCGTACTCATCTTCACGCTCTTCCTCAAGGAATCGCCACGATGGCTCATGATGAAGGGACGCATCGAGGATGCTTCTGCCTCGCTTGGATGGTACCGCGGCATGGAGCCTCGAGACCAGGCTTTCGTTGAAGAGTACGAGTTGATCGCCGACTCGGTCAGGCAGGAGCGAGAGGCTACGGACGGTCTCGGCTTCATGGGCAAGGTTCGCGAGCTTTTCTGCAACAAGAACAACCAGTTCAAGCTCGTGCTCTGTATTCTTATCCAGATCCTCGGTCAGTGGCAAGGCCCTGGTGCGCTTTCCACCTACGCCAACCGCATCCTGGCCCTGATCGGTATCAACGACAGCAAGGGCTACGTCATGTCGGCTGGCTTTGGTGCTGTCAAGCTCGGCGCTGGTATCATCTCGTCGTTCTTCTTGATTGATCTTTTCGGTCGTCGACGCACCCTGTGGGTATCGACCCTCTTCCAAGGTCTCGCCATGCTCTACGTCGCCATCTATCTCGGAGTGTTCATCGACCACAAGCACCCGCGCAACAAGTCAGCATCCCAAGCTGCTCTTGCCGGTATCTTTATCGCCGGTGCCTCGTGGTCGGCTGGTGGAAACCTCGCGCAGTACCTCATCAACTCCGAGATCTTCAGCCTTGACGTCCGTGCACTCTCTGCATCGTTCGTAATGGCTTTCCATTTCCTGATGCAGTACAGCACCACTCGAGCTCTGCAGCCCATGCTCAACTCGGGCCTCAAAGGTGCTGGCACTTTCGCCATTTTCGCTGCCATGTCGCTGGTCGTAGCTCTGCCCGTTTACCTCTTCTTCCTGCCCGAGACTTCGGGTCAGAGCTTGGAGAGGATCGACGAGCTGTTCGATCTGCCGTGGTACAAGATCGGTCGTGCCAGCAGACGTCCGGTTCGCGACGAGATGCCTTCGCACTCGATGCCTGCCGCTCTCGAATCGCAGTGGCAGCGCGACGCTGCTCGCGTCAACACTGCTGTGGACGAGAAGGACAAGGACAAGACCGACACTCACGCCTCGGCTCAGCCTGCTCTCAACGTTCGTGATGCCAAGTGATTGTTATGACTCGCAATGTTACCGCTCAAGAGACGCAATGGATTCTGTTCTCTACCTTCGTGCGTTCGCTTTGCGATGAAAAGACCGAATGCCCCTGTGCAGTTTTAAATGTCGAGCCTGGAGATCACGAGGCCACTGCGCACTCGGATGCTGTCGATGAGCCGGTGTAAGACGCCTTGGCGACGATCGGCGCCAAAGACAAAGGGATCGGCTGAACAATGGAGGCGCAAGCGTCAACAATGACGACGCGCGTTTAAAAATGCAGCAACGACGTTCAGCAGGGCTTGTCAGCGAACCGTGCTCATGCAAGAGAACGTTAAAGCGTTCCTAGCGAGAAGAACCTTGATCACGGCAAACAGATCGAGAGATGCTTCAAACACCAGATCAAGCAGAACCGCCTCTTATTCGCGCAAGAATCTGCTCGAAAGCAAAGCTCTGGATTTGTTTGCTTGAGTCCCTTTGTAAAGGTACAGGAGAGTCGTACCTTGGTCTGTGTTGCTCGAACAAAGGTTTGCTGGGTCCGTCTAGGCTATATAAACTGAGCCTCTCAAGCGGCGGCAACTCACCTTCCTCTCACCAAGAGTCACTTTGGGCTGTCGTCGCAGAATCGGACTCCTAGAGACCCTGTCGAGACACCCGCTCTTAGGGAGATCTGAGCCCAACCCACTTCCACGCCAGGATGAGTCGCTGCAAAGAGGAGCAGGTGCGGCAGCCCACCTTTTTCAGCGTGGCAGGGTCTATGGGCTGTCGGGAAAGTCCGATGGCTGGGTCCGGCCTGTCTGATACCACCGCTGAGCCGTGGGGAAGCTCGGGCTCGGAACGGCAGAGACGGCTGTTCGGCCTGGATGAGGACGCCGATTGCTCATCTGAGACGCGCACAGTTGAAGGGAAGACTTCTCTCTTTCGGATACGTCTAGAAAACGGCCCTTCTGGTCAAGCCGACACCACAACAGAAGACGCTGCACCAGAGAGGCTCGAGCCAGTCGAACACAGCGACAATCTCGCAAGGACGCGGCCGCTAGACCCGTCCTACTTCAACGGTAGATTCGATCAAGTCTGGAGGGAGATCGAAGCTGTACAGTCCTCGACCTTTCCAAGATTCTACAACAAGCTGATCTGGTCAAGGCCAGGTGGTGCCGTTCAAGATGAAGACCAACTAGTGCCAAATTCACGAAGATGGAGACTTCAAGGCAAGGGTCCGACCTCGAAGGAAACGATGAATCGGGCGCAGCTTCAAGTCCTTAGATTGCTGCAGGAGGATGTTGATATTCGGAGGGCAAAATTGGCAGTGACCTTTCCACGCGAAGGACGAGAGCATTTCGTCGAGGTTCACTTCAGCACCTTCAAAGCTTTTCGTGCCGCTGCAACGGTGGCCCTCCGCATTGAAGGCGAGACGTTGGAACAGGTCAGATCGGCTCGACCGACCAGGCTTGAACAGATCCTGATCACGGTACACCAGGTCAGGCCGCAGCGAGCAAGAGAGCTGTGGATGGAAATGCGTAGAAAGCTCGAAGAGCAAGTGGAATCTCAGCACTTGTGGGCTCGACGCAAGGAGGAAGAATGGACCAACGGCAAGCAACCACCATTAAGCTCGGCAGGAAGGAAGACGAAGGAAAGCACCATCACGTTGATAGGTTTGGCCGTGTTCCGACCGGGATACACAGCCAGGCATGTGCCGGGATTTATCTGAGACGAGCACAATACATGCTTCACCCTGCATTTCGAGGGCAGAGGAAAGCGCTGCACATTCTGCCGCGACAGAGCGACAGACCGGCATCCTGTCGAGCGATGTCCGCACAAGAGGTGCAATCAATGCAATGTCAGGGGTCACTTTGCGAAAGATTGCTCTCTGCCTTCGAAGGCGGAAGACGATCTGGAGCTGTGATGGAACAACATTTGATTGATGTGCGTGCGTCTGTGAGTGTGGATCTATCTGTTCGGCTGAATGAACGGCACAGCTTCAGCTCGACCGGCAAGCGGCGATGACAATGGCGGAGTTGATTTTGGTATGATCAGGCACAGAGAACATGCCGGGCCTTGGAGCTGGCGAATGCGACCATTCATGCACTGGAATCTGCAGGCCTGAGCTCGCCAGGCCGTGCCAAGCCTTGCCTCAAGCTGGCAGAAAGGCCAACAGGAAAGATCGGTCGGAAGTAGCAGAGCGTTCGCAAGCAGACATTGCTAATGAATAAACTCGAGATCCGACAAGGAGAACTACTGTAGCTCGGTTTTTGAGCCTCCTCTTTGCTAAGCAGAAAGTATGGAAGCTGGCTAGCCACGCTCTTTTGAGGAGGGCGCAGAGCATGAACATACTAGGCACGACAGAAAGATTAAGCGAGAACAGAGACCGTCCAAGCGACGCGCTGCGAATAGTGCTGCTGCCGAGGTGGACGCATGGCTAAGTCCCGATCCAAATTTCTGGCTACCTTAGACTGAAAAATGCGGATGATGTCTCTCCGACACGAGCGCCGGCTGGCTGCTCCGGTCTGAACCCTTCCGTAACTTTCGACCCACCACGGTCTTGAGTGTGCCGAAGAAAAGCCCCAATCCGGCATCTCTAGCACACATCTCTTCTTCGCCGTATGAGAACTCGGCAAACGCTTTAGCGATCGGTGTGGGTATCTGATACTGCGACAAGGGGAGATTCATTGATACTGTCCGGATAAGACGGTTCGTGGGGGAAATGAGAAGAGCGGGTGGCGAACTGCCAACGACAGCTCGGCGGGCAACAAGGAAGCGAATCCGACTTTGACCCAGAAGCGGGGCGCGGAAGAGGCGATTTGGCAGGACGGCCTCCGGACAGACAAGGGGCAGACCCTGTGTCAAACTTTACTGGATTCGAGGCTCGGGCACTGGGACAGTCTCGCGCCTGAGAGATCGTTTCGTGTCGGCTGAGATTGATTAGATTTGGGCTTGACGGCGCGTCGGACGAATCAGAGTGCGAGACGAGTGTGTAGGGCCTGTACGTCGTCTGCACCTCGATGCTGTCTACACTAGCTTGATCTGCAAACCATCCAATCGGACAATGCCAAGCTCGTTTGTGCCTACTGCTGCAGTACTCTGCGCATTCTGATTGGTCTTGAACACGATTTCTGACGTTCGGATCACTTTGAGCCGCGGCGGTTGCTGCATCGAAGCCATTGCTGGTGCTGCTCAGCTTGCCATGATTTTCTCCCCGCATATTCGTTTTGCGTATGTATGATAGCGCGGGACGGCTGCTGATTTGCCTCCCAGCGCCTTGTCTTTATTCTCCCGAATTGAATGGTAATCCGCTCTCAGCCATTTAGGCGAGCGTTGGAGCGAGCGAGTCAGCACGCCAATCGCGGCGAGGCGTGGTGCGAGTTTTGGGAGTGGCTTTTTCTCGCTCCACCTTTATTTTTCGGAAAGGCGACGTCCACTTCCAAAGTCAAACTGAGTGAGACCAAGAGACCATCAATCAGCCAGATAGCTTCAGCTTGACATCCATCCGACCTCGACCATCGTTACATTCTATCATCATTCAAGCACCTCGTCGTCCCTCTCACGCTCCTTCAGCACGCTCCGCTCTTCTTCAGGTGGTACCCAACAACTTACGGCACTCTTGGACCACCACGTCGCTAGATTCAAATCTCAAATTCTCAAGTAGTTGACCGGACGTAGCCCTGCTCAATACTTCTTCACCGCACGCCATCTCGAGTCGCTTCGTTCATTGCTCGCCGTGATGGCACCGGCGGCAAGGGTGCAGCTTCCAGACGAGCTCGTCGATCACATCCTCAACCTAGCATGTACCCTGCCACCGCTTCGAACCGACGACTTCCGTGAGCCCTCCGATTTCGACGCACACCGACTCAAGGCTCGCTCTTCAGCTCCGCATCTCGACGTCCGCACAACACTCAAGCTCCTTCTGCTCTCACCGCAGCATTATCCCTACATCGCCTCAATCCTCTACAAAGGCCCGCGTCTCTCGGATCCCATCAGTCTTTCGCTCTTCGCCCGAACCCTCACCAATCGTCCAGCTCTCGGTCGCCTGGTCAAACACCTTTGGGTCGGCCACACATATCAGGGCGAAGGCGTGCCCCCAAACGCGCTCGCCTTTGGCCTTGGCGGTTGTCAGACAGCATACAACCTCAATTCCGATCTCGCTACCATCGATGATGTTCGAGACTGCCTCGCACAGGGCATCGCTCCGCCCAATCTCCTCTCTCCAGCCTTTGAGACGAGGATAGCGCAGTGGGCTGCCCAGAATGTGCAGGCCAACGCTCGTAGCATCGACTCAGTGCGTGCGCCCAGAGGCATCCACATCGATTCTCCTGGCTCCGGCGATCGTGACCATCGTGGTTGGAATTCGATCGGCATCGACGAGTGGGTCCTCCGTCTCTGGGACGGCCGCGATCTTGTCAAGCATTTCAGAGAAGTCGCCAAACGCGCCTTCTTCCTCGAACTCAAGCGCCTCTCGCTTGCAGCCACTTCCAGCAGGTCTTCTTCGGCTTCGTCCTCCACACCTTCTTCTTCTACCGCCTCTCCACGCTCTGCATCACCAGCCTCTGCATCGAGATCATCCTCCGGCCCTTCCGCATCCAGTCTCCTCGATACTGACATGATCACGCCCTTCTCAGCTCGCGGGTCTGAGCAAAGGATACCGGGCACCGACAATGACCCTTTGGACTGGGCAGATGCGACACACGCCCCTCAGCCCAACGCCTCTCGCCTCACCGATAATGACGAGCCCATCTACTCGGAGGAACTCGACCTGGACGAGATCGATGCCGAGCGCGACCGCTGCTTCGTCGAGATGGGTGTTTCAAAGCCTGCTTGGCGGTCGACAAACTGGTCCGAAATTGCCAAGGTTGGCGATCAGAAGGTCGAGTGGTGGGTTGTGTGGATCCTCGCCAAGACCAGAGCTCGAGCCCGCATTGTAGCTCGTCGAGTCTGGCGCGCCGACTCGGCTAATGATCCCAAGCTACGCAGCTGGCGCGCCCTTCGTCCACGCCCCGAACTCCATACCAAGAACCACTTCACTCACCCCACGCTCTTTGCTCGATCTGGCGCCAGCCACTTGCTTGTAGGAGGTGCGCCTCCTCCGACGAGGGAAGAGGTCTACGGAGGGCGTCATGGCGATCTCGATGGACTCTCGGATTCGGACAGCGACACCGCCTCCGAAGCCGACTCCTATACCGACGGCAGCGACTACGACTCCGAGATGGAAGCTTCCACCGCACGCATGGACATCTCCGTGATTCGCGAGCCAGCGTCTTCGCATTCGGAGCATCATGCAGGCAGTCGTGCAGCTGCAGGATCGTCGGGATTCAGCCTGCCCGAGTTCGCTGAGCCCGAGCAGCAGAAACCTGAGGACCCTGCCGATCTGTGGGGTGGCGATCACAATTTTGCAAACGGCAATGAGAGGGCCGGCGCAGGCAACAGCATCTTGGGCTCGCGAGGCGGCATGTTTGGTTTCGATTCGGCGCTTCGTGCTGGGCTTCTCGATGAGCCCGACACTGGACTCGACGATGGCACCGAGTTTGCCAGTTTGCAAAAGGAGAAGCAGCGTAGACGAAACGAGGAGGACCGTCTGCTCTCGGAAATGACGCTCGGTTCCATTCTGCAGAGCTTGCGTACCGTCATGATGCTCACACCGCGACTCAAGGACTTGGCGCTCGACGGTGTACTGGAGCGCAGCATCTGTGGACGTCGAGCCATGTGCAGTATGGGTAAGCTCAGAAGTCTTTCGCTCGGACCTCCTCCTCCCTACTGGAGTTCGCCGCTACTTTTCGGTCATCCGATGAAGACGACGCGTCGCGAGAGGCTCAGCTACCATCAAAGGATGCATGGTCCTTCGAGCCCAGATTTCGTCGCCGACGATGCTCGCTCTCATAGCGTGTGGCCATTGCCGGGCGTTTTGATTCCTTCGCCAGCATTCGCGACGTTGCGCACTCTCCACATCTCCGGCTGCATGCTTTTCCCGTCCGAGGCAAGAGCGGTGGGCGGTCTGGGGGGTCAGCTGCCCAACTTGCGTCATTTCAGATGGTCGCTGTGGCAGCCGCACGTGGAAGGACATCCTGTGGGCGTAGTCGAGACGCTCTGTGCCATTCTCGACATTCCGACACCGGAGGAGGAAGCTGCGGCAGCTGCAGCTACTGCCAGAGCACAGGCCATCGTGGGACCCAGCTCTGGCTCTGCTTCTGGATCTGGTTCTGGGTTCCGATTCGGAACTTCCACCTCTAGCTCCGGCACGTACCGCGAGATTGGGGACCGGAAGAGGCGTCGACGACACGACTCGCGCCGCTCCAACCCCTTCAGCGTCAGTGGATTCGGCATGACCGACTCGGGCCTCTCTTCCTCGATGGGTAGCAGCAGCATGACCCCTGCAGGTGGGTCGCACGAGGCAAGCATGCATGCGCTCGTGACGCGCAAACGCAAGCTGCGCTCAGTGTATGCGACGATGCATCCGACCGATCAGGCCATCTTTGCGCGCAAGGCGCCTGCCGCGCTCCGATTCGACACGCGTCTCACCATCGAGACTGCCAAATGCAAGAACGTTGAGGACAACCTCGAGGAGATGCAGCGCTGGTGGGAGTGGGAGAGCGGCATGTTGCACTTCAAACCCACCGTCTCGAATCTGGACGCCATCACACAGGCGGCCAAGCGCAAGCAGATGGCAGGCCCACCGAGCTCGTTGTCGGCTCAGGAGCTCAATGCGGATCACAGTGGGATACAGATGGATCTGCGACGTGCGATGGATACCGAGCTCGAGCTCGAGCCGCGATCTTGATTGTAGGGAGTAATGTCATCGGCATATGGTATACCCACAGAGAAGTTTGAGTATGAGATTCCCAGGGTGGTGTGAAAGCTTGTTGCCGCGGTCAAGGTCAGGACATGAGCGAGTGAGATGGGGCCGGACGTGGAGGTCGGATTGCCGTCCAGGCTCTTCATGATGGCATGCGCCCACACTCGGAAGTCGTCGGACTAGTAGACTACTTCTTTCGGTGCTGATACTCGAGTCTTCTCAAACCCAATGCACGCATCGAGCGCGTCAGTGCCATCTGCAATGAAAGCGCAAGCCCAGCGGCTGTGACGGCGATGTGGGGTCGGCCGCCGGTAACAGCGTGACAGAGTCACGTGGGCGTTGGTGATTGAATCTGTTAGCAACAGCGTATCTGGTTTGAAAGGGAGGGTACGGCACGGATCCTTCCGACGAATTCTTGCGATCCTTTGCGATCGAGGGCGCGGGCTGGGGAGGGGGCGGGCGGTCAAAGGACGAGGCGAGGAAGCTAGCTTGGTGCGTGTGTTTATCGTCGTTGCGCGGTTAGACACGACGGAGGAGGCGAAGGCATCCGCTCGATCGACGCGTAAAGAGCCTCGTTATGGGAAAGTGTCGTCATCGTGTGCGCTGCGTGCGAAGTTGGAGATATGGAATGGCGGATAGGGTGAACAAGACAAACTCACGTACAGAGCAGCGTACCGCCGGCGTTACAGCATGCCGGCGCTTAGTCTCTACGCTCTTTGAATATTCCGTCGGAATCCATGCTCCGAGTGCTTAGGAGCATTCTATAGGCGATTCGTTCAAGTCGCATGAAGCCGGGGTACGGTGGCTAGTGTGAGAAAGACCGTTATTAATTGAAGCGGAGTCGCCGAACCGAAGTCTCGCTTGGGCTAGGTTGTTCTACGACTGTTCTTATCTCTCCCCACAATCGCAATGATACGCACAGAACACAACAGATGACCTTGTCGAAGCGAAGCCGCCAGAGCAAAGTATCCATCCTGATCGTTAGATGCTTAGACTTGCCCCTTGCTATCACAGCGTCATGGTGTGCATCCTTGTCTCCCCTCGCCTTTCTCTTGTCGCACCTAAATTGTTTGCACCGGCAGCTCACGGTATCTTCATCCTTTCCTGCTATCGCCTTCGTCAAGAAGTCAAGAAGCGAACACGGAGCACGCACAGCCGCAAAATCAGCGTATTTCATGCTGTCTCGGCGATCTCGTTGAACTCAATCCAGCCCTCCCGCTTCTCAGCTCGGAGGCAGTAGGCGCACAGTGGGCACCGTCATCGACCGATCACAGCACTATAGCGCCGCAGTATAGCGAGCATCACAAAGTATAGCGTCTAGCGCGCTTCCTTTTCGGGTAGTTAACCCATTTCATCTTCGGTCGTAACCGAGCGACTTCCCTTGCCATCGGTAGTTCCATTTTTTCATTTGTCGACATCGCATTTCATTTAATCTCGCCGATAGTCGATACTGTATCGGCTGGCTTCACCGCATTGGCACCGTGGTTCTTTCGCCATGAGTATCCCTGATGCGCACGTCATCCCTTTGTAACTGTGATTGGAACTCTGGCACATTTCCACGAGAAACGTGCTTCTAGCGACCTCTCTCCCCTGTTTGTGTCCCGTCGGAGGAGGAACGAGAGCTCAGCTTTTGCCTCTTTGCTTGGTCTCTACCAACCGCCTTCGCCCGCCGATCCTCTGTCTCATATAAGAACCACAGTCCCTTTGCTCCTTCAACTGCTCGCTCTCATAAATAGCCGGCAAGATGGCTTCTCAACGATTGCGAAGGTCTCCCACCCCAACTTCTCGTGTCTCTTACCAGCTCCTGAACAACGAAAGCGGGAGCACCTATCCAGACGCACCAGACCAGACGGACAAAGACAACTCCATTGAGCTCGACCGACAGCAACCTCGAAGCTTCCTCGCGCGCATCGAACACAATCAGACCGCTACTCGAGTGTTCTGGTTCATGGTTGGTCTTCACACTGGCATGATCATAGCCGGCATCATTGTCGTCATCGTCGATAAACAAAGACAATGAAGCGGTTCCTCAAGATCATGGCGCTCTTCAGCCCCCAGGACGACAACGGCGCTGTTTGGGCGGATCAATTGCTCGGGTACGGTCTCGGCAATGTAACGCCAGGCCTCATTGGACTCGTCGTCAATGACCCCAACATCTCCAAGATCGCTTGTGTCATAAGCGCATTTCAATTCGTGGTCGGCGTCATTGGAACTGCAGCGGGCGTATACGGCAAGTACTATGGCGCCTTCTAGCGTGACCTTGCCAGTTCGGGTGTCTCCCACATATACCAAAACCCAATATGAAGCACGAGGATCTTCAACCTCGGACAAGATCCTGGACTCATGCTGCGCCTACACAACGCTACCAACCCGGCCAAGATTGTCATGCATCACGAGGATGGTAGACAGACCAAAGGGTTGTACCTTTTCAACGCCCAAATACGCATGTATCACGCTTGGGCTGATATGGGTCTGAGCGAGGGCTTGCTCTCCAAGCGTGAGGCAATGGGTGGTAACGACACTTACGCCGGAGCCATCCACGACGACGAAACGGGAACTTATTCGAACGTGGCTAGCGCCCGAGGCGATACCAACGAGTGGGCTCGACTAGCTTTCGAGACCATGGGTGGTGCCAACGGAGCCTACGACAGCATCTGCATGGGTATGACCGATCGCGACCACCACGAAAAGGTTGCCGTCATTCGTTTCCAAATCTCCACCAACCAAGAATATGAGGGGCTCGACACAGATGCTTGCAACGGTTACGGTTGGCGCAAGAGATCCCCTTTACCCTCGCTCAGGCCCGAGTCGGACGGCATCATTTGTCAGAAAGAGTACGGTCCCTCTACCGTCTGTTGCAATGCCGGAGGTGGATGCAGAGTCGTCAATGGCGAATGCGCTGCTAACCTCGACCAGCCCGAGACGGCTTGCGACGGCATCTGGTGCGAGCCTCAGCGTGTCTGCGCCTAACAGCTAGGTTAGGTAGAACGACCATCTGTAACGTGGTCACTATAAAACTGCAATGTCTCCTTATCCCTTCTTACCGATGAAGTTCTTGCCAATGAAAGATTCTGCATCACTGACTCGGTCTGATCTGGGTGCGCATAATCGGAGGTTGAGCATGCTCCTCCAAGATGAACGAGACAGACTTTATTTCCAGTGAGAAGACATACAGCAGTACAATGTGCATGGCGTCGAACGGAAGGCTTGAGCAACGAACGGAAAGCGAACGACTCTTTGAGATCCTCTTGTCGCTGCAGCCAGGCGACATGCGGTCGAATACAGGGTTCTGCTGACCACCTCGGAGGACAGCGACAGTGTCGGTGCTCTCAGCGGCAGCCTGCTCCTCTTTTAACGTCAAAGCTCGGATGCAACCTTGTGCGCGGAAGACTTTGTTGCGACCCGCGATGACGCAAGAAGCACCCACCTCTTACACAGAGTTGGGAAAACCCACATCCTCCTGTGTATGATCGGATAGTTTGACTTTTCAAGTAGTGTGTGCAGAGCTGACAGTCGGAAGATGTCGAACCGGCAAATACGAAAAATGAGACTCCGCCTGTCATACAGTGTGTCGAGAGAAGCGCGCCGTAGGCAACGGGTTTCATGCATCCGATGGTTCGGTCGACCGAAACACTCTCTGAAATCGACTTTGCCGATCTTTTCTGGCGTGGAAACGGAACGCTGCAAGCCGAGATGGGGGTGCGGCAGCCGCTTAATCTCAAGTTAGCTCAGGAGAACGGGCTCTTGCGCGGCTGAGGCTAAACCCACCCAAAACCCTGTTTCTTGTGCGACGCTTCGAACCTTCCAAATTCGCATACAACTCGCTTGCACACATCACGGTGCAGCGTTTTAGTTTGCCGCTGTCCGCCGGACCGCCGTCGTTGCCGACGCTTGGATGGCGTCCTGTAACAATTGCCGGGCTTATCGCATACACCCCTGATTGGGTGCGGACCCACGGCTTCCGAGTCCGTTAACCTTGCCGAGTTCCTCTTGACCGCCAGAAATCTTTACCTGCTGTCAAAGCGCAGTGAAACGGTCTTCCAACCTGATGCTTGGTCTCGACGATCCGTTAGTCCAGCGCTAGATGGGGATGAGGACTAGGCTGTCGAGCTTGTATGCGCTCTCGTGTGCTGGACCGTCAGGATATATTTCAGATGGCCCCTTTACGGTCTCGCTACATCTTCGACATCCTCCCTCATCCACAGACCCATCCCCCTGAAACGAGCTTCCTTCGCCATGAAGCTCCTCTCCTCTGCCCTGCTGCTGACCGCAGTCGCGGTCTACGACACCTGCGCCCGTGGCTTGCAGCACGTCGGCAAGCTCCAATCCAACTACGTCGATCCACACCAACGTGCTGCCGAACGATCTGCTCGTCTCCTCGCCAAGACGCAGACCAACTCTGCTGTCACCGACTCCTTCATCCATCTTAACGACAAGACACGACCCTTCTCCGTCAATGGCACTGGAGTACCCGAGATCGACTTTGACATCGGCGAGTCGTACGCCGGTCTCATGCCGATCAGCAAGGACCCTAACGAGACGCGCAAGCTGTACTTCTGGTACTTCCCTTCGAAGAACCCGAAGGCAACGGACGAGATCACGATCTGGATGAACGGTGGACCTGGATGCAGCAGTCTCGAAGGTCTGTCGCAAGAAAATGGACCGTGGCTGTGGCAGTACGGCACGTACAAGCCTTTGCCGAACCCCTGGACGTGGCAAAACTTGACCAACATGGTTTGGGTCGAACAGCCTGTCGGAACCGGTTTCTCGCAGGGCAAGCCGAACATCACCACCGAGGCACAACTGGCCGAGGAGTTCAAAGGCTTCTTCCGAAACTTCGCTGATACGTTCGACATCAAGAACCGCTCCGTGTACATCACCGGTGAATCGTACGCCGGTCAGTACGTCCCCAACATTGCCAGCAGCATGTTGGACGAGAAGAACAAGGAGTACTTCGACGTCAAGGGTATCATGATCTACGATCCCTCGATCGCCAAGGATTCGCTTTTGGAGCAGGTTCCTGCAGCAGCGTTCGTCGATTACTGGGGAGGTCTTTTCCCCTTCAATGATACCATCAAGGCTCAGATCAAGGACATGGATTCCAAATGTGGCTACACAAAGTACCTCGAGGAACACCTCGTCTACCCTCCCAAGGGCAAGCTTCCCGATCCTCACCCTACAACCGACGAATGCGACATCTTCGATTTCATCTACAACACCATCTTCGACGTCAACCCATGCTTCGATATCTACCAGGTGGCTACGACCTGTCCAGTGCTGTGGGACATCAACGGTGGACCCGGATCCGGCGACTACTTGCCTCCTGGAGCTTCGCTCTACTTCAACCGAACTGATGTCAAGAAGGCCATCAACGCACCCGTCGACACCACCTGGCTCGAGTGTTCCGCAGGCAAGGTGTTCAACACCAAATCCGGACTCGATCAGGGAGCTGAAAATGGCCAGTACTCCTCCACCACCGTCCTACCTGGCGTGATTGACCGCGTGGATCGTGCCATCATCGGTCACGGAATGCTCGACATGGTGCTTCTCATGAACGGAACCTTGCTCGCCATCCAGAACATGACCTGGGGTGGTCAGCAGGGTTTCCAGTCTCCCATCACGGACGACTTTTACGTGCCGTTCTACAACGAATACCAAGAAGGCACTGTCGCTGCAGGCGGTACAATGGGTAAAACTCACACCGAGCGTAAACTCACCTTCGTCTCGATCAATTTGAGCGGTCACATGGTCCCTCAGTACCAACCCTCCGCCGCCTTCCGACACCTCGAGTTCCTCCTCGGAAGGGTGGACAGTCTCACCAGCAAGGCTCCCTTCACCTTCTTCGACAACGGTTTGGTGGCAGAGACAGGCAACTTTGACGCACGATCCATCCACGAGCAAGAAGAGCTGCAGAAGAAACAGCTACAGTATCGTGGACTCGCTCAGCCGGAGATCAGTCAGATCATCGCCGACTTTCTTTAGATCGTAGAGGCGCGCATTGGTGCCTCCCCTGTTCAGGCACTTGCTCCACGAATAGAACCGCCGTAGAGATGTAACGAGCGCATTGCTGAAAAGTCAGGCTCGTACCAACGTTTAGAACGATGTTCAGAAATGCCATGACGTTCTCACTGTCAAATTTCACCAGCACGATACGCAGATACGCTCGTGCTCTCCTGACTGTGCACGACCAGCTCAACTGAAACTCCCCGTTCACATACCGTCACACTCGCAACCGATGCATGCATAAAAACTGATATCTCAAACCACAAAACCGACAGCGCTAAATCCTTCCTTCAAGCCAGCGGCTTGTTAGCCAACCAGCGGTTGATCATATCCGAAGCAACCTCAGGCTGGTCGTACGGAACCATGTGGCCGGCAGCATACACCTGGGCAAAGGCAACATTACCTGCACCCTTACCTCCCTTACGAACAAGACCGGCCTTCTTGCCGTTGACGGTCCACTCCTTGGCGGTGCCGTTGTTGAAATCGTCCAGGTAGCTGGTCTGCAGGTTCTGCATCCACTCGAGGTTGCCCATGTAGTTGCACATGAAGTCGGCCTCACCAGCGTAGATGAGGACACGAATGTCGTCCTCGATGAGCTCGGGCAGGAGTGCGGCGGAATCGTGCATCGAGTCGCCCTGGAGCAGGAAGGCCTGGTTGATGTTCATGTTGCACGACTGGAAGGTGACCGACTCGGGAACACCGAGGTTTTTCTTGATGCTGGGCGTGTTGAGGAGCGTCTCGATGTATTCCATGTCCTTGTAGCAGAGCGGACCGTCCCTCTCGCGGTCGCAGTCCTTACGCACATCGTACAGGTTCTTGCCGGTCTCCTGGGCAGGGCCGTACAGTCGGCTCCAGCAGTAGAGGGCAGCAGGGGTGCAGGTGAGGCGCGAGTTGTACTTCTGGCAAGACTCAATTAGCGACTTGCACGTAGCAGCCTGCTGCTCAAGAGTTTTGCAGGTGGAGCTTCCGGGCTCAAACAGGGCGTACTTGTTATCGGCACCGCAGGCGTACTCGGGCACCGAAGGGAACTGGTACTGGGGCGAGCTGAGGCCGTTGCCAATCATGACCGTGTCGAGGTTGATGTGCTTGGGAGCGAGCTCAGGGTTGCTGTAGCGGGCGAGGGCGAGGTTCTTGTTCTTCTTGTAGATGGTCGAGGCGATGTTGGGGAGGTAGGTGCCTGCGTACGACTCACCCGAGGCGGTGAAGGGGAGCTTAGAGTATTCAGGGAACTTGGTGAAGAAGAGCTGAAGGAAGGCATAGACGTCTTCAGCGGCAGCGGGCGAGTTGTTGACCTGGTCGTTGTCCGAGTATGAGTAGCCGACGTCGACGGGCTGGTCGAGGAAGAGCAGGTTGGCCTTGTTGTTCCACGAGTGAGGGTTGTTCTTGACGGAGTGGCCTTCATCGGTGACGCGGCAAGGGCCAAGCTCGAAGAGGAGACCGGTGGACGAGGAGCAACCAGGGCCACCGTTGAGCCAGAGGACGACAGGGTCATCCTTGGGGCTGCTGCGCGACTCGAAGAAGATGAACCAGAGGTGCTTCGAGTCCGAGATGTCGAGGTAGCCGCTGTGCTGGACGACATCCTTGTCGCAGAAAGCTTCGGACTGCTTGTTGAGACGCAGCGAGTACTCGGGGAAGGAAGGGTGGGTGAGTCGCTCAAACTCGAGGCCGTCGACAAAGACCTTGCCGGTGTGGATCCAGTCGTTGACGGTGTGCTTGGTGCCTGCGATGGCTTCCTCGATCTTGTGCTCGATGCGCTCGATCTCGTTCTCGGCCCAAGTGAGAACGTCTTCGGCCTCCTTCATGGATTCGGAAAGCACATCCTGAGCAGCCTGCTTGACAGGGACGGCAGCAGCGACGACGTCGTCGAGCTTGAGGGCCGAAAAGTCGGGTCGACCAAGGGAAGGAACGGCGCTGGAGATGTCGGCGTCCTCGTTCCAGACAAGGTTGCCGGCCTGGTCGTAGTGGATCTGCTCAAGAGGAGCGGGCAGCTTGGCGGCGTTGGCGAGCGCAGCAGCGCAGACGAAGACGGCCGAAGCGGTCGAGAGCCATGAGGATCGCATGATGGATGAGTGCCTCTGTAGTCGAGGTTGTCGGTGCGTTTGGGTCCTTATACTGCTCCGGAGGTGATTGTGCAGTGCAGTTGAATCAGCTGCGAAAGGGGAAGAGAGGTGATGCTGATGAGGGATGGTGGTGAAACGAATGGACGGCACCAAGCAGGGTCGTGGAAAGGGGCGACTCCCACCGTCGTCGATCTGTGCGAGATAGGATGGCCAGGGTCAGGGCCCTTGAAAGCTAAGCGAGCCGGATCCAGTCGAGTCGCACAGAGCACAGAGCACAGAGCACAGAGCAAGGCCGCGCAACAGATGTCTGCAGCTGGGCTGTGTCGATTGGCGCGCCCCAAGATTGGATTTTACTGCGTACAAATCCGGAAGCTGAAATAGTGCGGTCATCAGGCAGCGAAATTGCCACCGTCAGTTAAGCGTTGCCTTACCTCGCCTGCTGTTTGTGGAAAAGCCAAACAACCTTGCAGGTCAGTATCAATCAAGAGTTGTGGAGGCAAGCCCCCCGAAAATCGGAGCGTTGCGATCCGTGCTCGGCTGCCTGTTTTCCAGCTGAATCCGCAACAGCAAGCAAGCCTCTGTGAGGCTGAGTCGATGTCAGCTGTCAAAATGGCATTGTCCAGCACAATAATGGCACACAACACGGCGAAATCAAAAAACAGAGGCTACAAGCTCAGCTTAAGCAAACACAGCAGGCTCGCTATGGACTTCTGTATTTAGAGAGAAGGCTGTGCCGTCGGCTCAGCCATCGGGTAACCTTGAGATGGTCGGACGTGCATTCGAATATGTTGTTTGCATGCCGCGCCATGCAACAAAAGCTTGACGGCAGATACATCCTTGGTCTGATCTTTGTTTTGGCTTGTTTCTTGACCATCACCACTGCAGACAACACCAGACGACATCCACACAACATGGTTCACATCTTGAAGAACCCAGACGGAACCGTAAACTTTGACGCTGTCAAGAAGGAGACCAACTTCTTGAAAGGGTGAGTATCGAAGCACAGCTCTTAAACTCGAGCCGACGAAGAGCAGGATGGCATTCTGACCGCCGACGTATGCTTTGTCTGATCTCACAGAAAGTACGCACAAAATGCCGAGAACGCAAAGAAGAACTTGGCGGCGGCTGAAAAGGAGCAAAGTGAACAGCCTTCTCACAACGACGACGGCGCTCAATCTGCATCAAGCGGCGACATCGTCCCTCCCAAGGCCGAGGGTCCCAAGTAGCCGTTGTCTATAGTGAAGTTTCATTGAGACACGCAACTCAGCATCAAACACAAATGCCACAGACGATCACATGTGCGGAATGAAGAAGCTCCCATTGTTTGTTCCATGGATAGAATTGGATATGGCGAACGCCTTGGATCGAGTGGCAGAGCAGACGGAGATTACTGCACCTTGATGACGACCTTGCCGACGTGAGCCTGGCTCCACTGGTAGGCGTAAGCCTCCTCGGCCTGTTCGAAGGGGAACACCTTGTCGACGAGAGGCTTGATCTTGTGGTCCTCGAAGATCTGGTTCATGTGCTCAAACTGCTCTCGCGAGCCCACAAGCACACCCTTGAAGTAAGCACCTGTGAGCAGAGCATGGTAGGCAACGTTGGGAGCCTCACCCTGAGCAACAAGGCCGATGGTGGAGATGACACCACCGCGCTTGATCGAGTTGAAGGACTTTTCGAGCGTACCGGGGCCTCCGACTTCGACGACGTGGTCGACACCCTTGCCCTGGGTTACGTCGAGAGCCACCTTGTCCCAGTCAGGGTTGGTCTTGTAGTTGACCGTGGTGACAAGGTGACGCTGACTCTCGGGCACAAGGCTGAGCGCCTTCTTGAGCTTGTCGTCCGACGACGAGGTGATGACTACCTTGGCGCCAGCAGCCACAGCAAGCTGGAGCGCGAAGACGCTGACACCACCCGTACCTTGGGCAACGACAGTGTCACCGGCACGCAGCTGCTCGGTGGGGATACCGTACAGGGCGTTGTAGGCGGTCAAAGCAGCGCAAGGCAACGTGGCGGCCTCCTCGAAGGAAAGGTGGGAAGGGATGCGTACGATACCCGTGTGTGGCAGAGCCACGTACTGGGCGAGCATGCCGTCTCGGCTACCACCGAGGGCAGTCTTGGCCTCGTCCTTGCTGGGCGTCGAGCCGTGCTGGTGCTCCTGAGTAAAGATGCCGGCGACGCGGTCACCCTTCTTCCACTTGGTCACCTTGCTGCCGACTGAGACGACCTCACCGGCACCGTCCGAGACGGGAATGAGCTCGCTTTGCTTGAGGTCAAGCGGATACTGGTTCTTGGAGATGATCAGATCACGGAAGTTGAGAGAGACAGCGTGTACCTTGATAAGAACCTCATTTTGGTCAGGTTAGGAGAGGTCCTTCCTTGAGCTTCAGGGCCGAGAAGCCGTTGCGAGCAGAGGGCTCGGGGAGCGTGTAAAACTTGTGCGTGCCGCTCATCGTGGATAGTCAAGCGTAGAGATGGTGGGCAAGAGAGCAGGAGTACACGCTTGTCCGTCACAGTTTATATAGCTGAACTACCTTTGCCCGGATGTAACGGAGCCGCATAAATCGTGATTTGTCATGTTGCGAGCTCACAGACCATGTCCATTGGATCACTTGGACACGGCGCTCTGTGTTCAGGCGTATTTCCGCAGCACTAGCTTCGTCAATGTTTGTCTTCGATGACAGTCCAATTTTTCTTCTCGTCCGTTGTGCATTGCCGTAATGGAGAAGCCCGCCGAAGCACGGACTTTGTGGTTGCGCGTGGCGTGCTTCGAGAGACAACCGATCTGGAGACATCGGGCAACTAGGGATGAATTCCAAGTCGGGTCGATCCGTTGACAGCTTGAAAGAAAGTGTCCGTGCGTCCGGTTCTTGCTGTCGGGTTTGGCCGCGGCGTCTCTCTCCGCCTTTCTTATCGTTTGCCTTGGCCTGACTGGGGAGAAGTTCGTCTCGATTAAAGGTTTCTATTTTTTTTTCTTCTTTTCCTTGCTCGAGCTGTGACGTCGTGACGACCTCGTGTCGACGCAGCGGCGTCTTTCGTCTTATCCCGCAGACAAATTCTTCATCGTGCCCGAATGGAATGTAACTATGTAGCGATTTGCTCCCTCTTGATCGAATGATTCGGTATTGCAGGGCAATTTGAGTGCTGCAGGAGCTGTCCAGACAGTGATTGCTCTGCGGATCGCCCTCACGTGTGATGGAGTGACAGGAATGGCGCAGCACGTCCCAACAGCACGGGGATGCAGCGTGGCCAGAGCTTATCGTTGGCCGTCTCCATTGGCTCGACTTGCATTATCAGTCGCGACGGGCGAACGACGGCAGCGACGCAAAATCAGTCTTCGCGAAGTTCGATGATTTTTGAAATGATGCAGCTCGCTTCCCGACAAGGCCAGGAAACCTGTCTGCGGACCGCCTCTTCGGGAAAGACGGTCGATCTTCGCTGCACAGGCCGCCCGCCTTTTGCCAAAAGAGCTTGATACTGAGACTCGAGTTCGATCCGAAGCCACCTCCCGCAAACTCGGCCTTGGATTGACAAGGGCATGAACGATCGTCGTTCTTTGAGCGAGAAAAACTTTGCTTCCACAAGATATCCTTCCAATCTTCTCTACCTCCATCCACAAACTCGCCATAGACTTTTCTCAATATGGCTCCTACGCAATCCGAGCGCACCCCGCTGCTCGCTGGGCAGCAGCAGCGCACCTCGTCCATCTCGCGCCCTCGTCCCAGCTTTGGCGCCAGCATCGGTCGTCCTGACCTCACTGCCGAAGAGGAGGATGCCATCGCACAAGAGTCGGCCTTCAGCGCCATCCAGGGCGCAGCCCACGGTGTCGACCCCAACTCGTCCGCCTTTGTCCCCTTGGACCAGAGCCACTTTTCCGTCGCCGGCCTTCCCCCTACCGTCGAAGAGGAGGCCGAGCCCGAAGAGCCCGCTCTCCGCGCCGACATCTGGGTCATCATGGGCGCCATGTGGATCGGCTCGTTCCTGGCTGCGCTCGACGGCACCATCGTCGCTACCATCTTGTCCGCCGTCGGCTCCGAATTTCGCGTCAGCAAGGAGGTCGGTTGGCTGGGTACCAGCTACCTCTTGACCCAGACCGCCTTCCAGCCTCTGTACGGAAGGGCTTCTGACATCTTTGGTCGCAAGCCTGCCACCCTCTTTGCCTCGGCCATCTTCCTCCTTGGTTCGCTTCTCTGCGGTCTCAGCCAGACGTTCTGGCAGCTCTGCGCTGCGCGTGCCATCGCCGGTATCGGTGGTGGTGGATTGACCACCATGGCTACGCTGGTCACGAGCGACCTCGTCAGTCTCAAGGCACGAGGAACGTGGCAGGGTCTCGGTAACCTCGTCTATGCCTCCGGGGCTGCCCTCGGCGGTCCTCTCGGTGGTGCTCTTGCCGACGGCGGCCTTGGCTGGCGATGGGCTTTCCTCCTCCAGGTGCCCCTCTGTGTCGTCCATTTTGTCGTCGTCTCGTGGAAGATCGACATCCCTGCTGGTCCTGGCAGCATGATCGAGAAGATCAAGCGAATCGATGCTCTTGGCTCGCTCTCCCTCGTCACCTCGGTCACGCTTATCCTCGTCGGTCTCAGCTTGGGCGGCAACGAGCGCGAGTGGTCAGACAAGCTCGTCCTCGGCTCGCTCATCGCTGGTCTTGCTGTCCTCATTGTCTTTGTGCTGGTCGAAAAGTACGTGGCTCGCGAGCCTCTGATGCCCATGGCCGTGCTCTTCACCCGCACGCCCGGCTTCGTCTCGATCGCCTGCTGGTTCATCACCATGTCGCAATTCGGCATCATCTTCAACGTGCCCAACTACTTTGAGAACGTCGAGCAGACCACAAAGCAGTACGCCGGTCTCCACCTCATCCCCAACGCCATCATCGCCTCTACGTGCAGTCTGGGTAGCGGTCTCATCATGGCTCGCACTGGCCGCTACCGCAAGATGTTGCTCGCCGGCGGCCTCGCCGGCTTTGTCGGACCTCTGATGATGTGCTTCTGGTACCGCGGCACATCCGAGTTCTTCTACTGGCTCAGCATGCCTTGGGGTGGTGCGGCTTACGGCTCGGTTCTCACCATCACGCTGGTTGCTCTGATCGCCTCGGTCGACCCCAAGGACATGGCGGCTGCCACCGGTGTCACCTACCTCTTCCGTGCCACCGGTTCGGTCCTGGGTATCTCGCTCTCGAGCGCCATCCTGCAGAACAGCCTGCAGAAGAACCTGGAAAAGACCGACATCCCTTCCAAGATCATCCAGCTCATCCGTCAGGACGTCAGCACCATCAAGACGCTCAGCAAGCCGCTTCGTGTCGCCGCGATTGGCGCTTACGAGCAGTCGATGCATACTGTGTTCATCGCCATCGCCGCTGCTGGTCTTTTCGCCTTCCTGGCTTTGTTCTTCATCGAGGAGCGTGACCTGCCTGGCAAGAAGCCCACTGCTGCCCCAGCCCGTCGATGAGCAGCATCCCCCCGTCACGAAACTGACCCGTCGATACGGTCACCGCTCAATTACCAACTGTCCCCCTCACTCCACCTGCTCCATTTGTTCCAAGTCAGGATTTTCATAAACTCACATCGAACAATCGATCCTCGTTCAATCTTTGACGCTATCCTTTTCTCCGCACCACCGGCTGTTTGCCGAAAAGGATCGATGGCATTGACGTACATATTTGAGCAAGAGTTGACATTGTGATATCTCAAGCAAGCTGCTTCTCCAGGAACTCCTTCCACGCTGCTTGGTCAAAGGAGGACGAGATGCTACCTTCGACCAGACCGTTCCAGAGGCATGTTGGAGTGACGTGGATACCATTCTGACGACCGAGTTTGACGCAGTACTTGAGTTCGGGGACGACAGCGCTGCCGCCATTGCCTTCCTTCTCGACTCGAATGAGATTCTTGACAGATTGGCCGAGAGGTGTTCCTTGCAGCTCTCTGTGGATGGCCTCCTGTTTTCGCTTCTTGGGAGCCTCGCCGACGGTCTCGATGGCGAGCGTCGCGAGCTCACCCCGGATCCCATCCGGAGACTTTCCTCGGGCAGGTCCATCGAAAAAGCGCTCTTGCGCCTTCATGAGCTCCAAAGAATACAGCCAGAAGGCATTGCGGTCGGGTATCGCGGTGACGGCAGGATCTGTGAGCGCGATCTTGGCTACAGCAAGGGCCGATTCGTGGAGCAAGGTGGAGGTCGAGTGCCAGGGCTGTGGATAAGGACGGATGACGATGCGCACCTTGTCCTTATACTGAGCCGAGTCGCCGATGACGAGAGGAAGTAGATGCTCGTTAACACCTTTCAGCTGCTTGGCGGAGAACGGGCAAAGATAGTCGAGGAAGAGCTCGAGCGTGTTGGGCGCAGTCAGCGAGCCGATGGAAAGGGCTTGAAGCGAAGGAGGGAGCGCCATGGTTGCGAATCTTTCGATGAGTCGAGCTTGGTGGTGGTGAGAAGAAGACAAGGCTGAAGTGAAGAGAGCTCGACCACCAAAGGTTGTCTGCAGCGAAGCAACAATTTTCGAAGATCTTCCCTCCACACAACACTCGCCCTCACCGTTATCAATCAGTGGGATCGAAGCGTTGTTTGCCGTTGACGTGATTCGTGTGTTCGCTTGGGCCATCCATCTGTTCTGCAAGGCAGATCGTCAGATCAGACAGATTTGCTACCGCTGTGAGATCTCATTTGCCTCAACAACCATAGGCAACCCAAAAAGAGAAAAAGTTGGGCTGTGGTCGGGACCCTTTCCTAGACAAATAAGGCACGCTCGGTGTCGCAGTGCCGCTTCCGCATTCTTCGTTTCGCCGCCACAGGACCCGCGCCTCGTCGTAGGTCGGAGACCCCGCGCCGAAGGTTCAAAACGGGGTTCAGGACCAGTGTTCCCTCGGGCCAGTTCATATTCTCAGTGGCCTGCAGTGCTGTGCGACGACGCTGCTACCTTCTTCCCCACCACCGCTATCTCAAGTTCCCCTTGCTCGATTGCTTTCTGCGCCTCCCCGCGCTTCGATTCGCATTCGTAGATAGACTGCCAAGCATGGCACGCTCCAAGGGTAAAGGGCCCCTCAAGAGGCACCACGCCTTTCATGGTGTCGTGATGGTCTGCGGTTGGCTGCTGCCTCCTCTAGCCGTCCTCATCCGCTTCGGCGTCGGCTTGGATCTCTTCATCAACATCATCTGCACCATCGCCGGCTACATTCCGGGCCATGTTCACAACTTTTGGATCCAGAACATTCGAAACAACAAGAACTCCCGACACTCGCCTTCGTGGGCCATCCGGTACGGTCTCGTCAAGGATTACCGAGTCAAACGCACCGCCAATGGCTGGTCTGACCGCTACGGAGACTCGGCGACCGACTGGCAGAATCAGGAGGTCATCGTCGATCCCATCACTGGCGAGACCCGTCGCGACCCCGATTCGGCTCGCAAGACCGGCAACATTCGAACTGGCAGTCACTTCCTTTCTCCTTGGGCCGACAACGTCGAAGACAGCCCACGTGCAGAGCGCGAGGACCCGTATGCGGATGAGAGGAGGCAGAACGCAGGTCGCGCCGGTCACGTTCAACGGGATCCCATCACTGGCGCAGTGCTTGACGACGGCGGACACGGCGGATCCGGCGGCTCGCTCTCGCGCACCAGCTCAAGGAGGAGTCTCGGCAGCCGCTACGCAGAACGCTATGGCATCGGTGCTGGCACAGAAGCCTCGTCCAGGAGCTCGCTCAGCTACGCTAATGACTCGCGCGATCAAAATGGCGGAGGCAGCAAGTGGGGTCGCACCAACTCGTCCAAGTCCAAGAAGAAGGATCGGTGGGCAAGGGAGGCAGAGGCCCTCGGAAACCCTTCTCAGCAGTCGTATGGCGCCGATAGCTACGGCTATGACGATAGCTCGCGCAACTACGACAGCAATGCAGGAGCCGGCAACCGTTCCAGCCGCATTCGAGATCCTTTGGCTGACCGTCACGAATTCTAAGAGAAAGCGCGGCTTCAGCTTTGCTCTCGTTCCATCATCACTTGTCCATATTTCGGGCGCGACCGTTCGTATTCTTTCCCTTGGGGCTTTGTCAACTCGGTATGCACTGTCATGGTTCTGCAAACACTCATTTTCGACACTCAAATTTTTTGATAAGCCTGTTGCAAGAGCGTGGGGAAGCCAGTGCCCTTACATTTCAGATGTACTCGTCCTGTCAACATGCGCTACGAGATCATTTTGAGGATGAAAGGGATCATGATCGTTTTGGCAAGCACTGAGTCGATGAGGCGCTTGAAAGCCAGGCCGGCGTAACGACGGACAAGCGCGATGATCAGTATACGACCCTGGGATTGAACATTTACTGAGCATGTTCCGGAATCGCAGCATCATTGTAGCAAAGCTCGGTTGCACAAACGTCGAACCTGAAGTCATCAAAGAGTTGGGTGATCTCGTTCCTCAAGATCAAGCACCACTCCTTGCCGAGAATTGCGACGTGATCGTTCCTTCAGCAATTCATGGGATCGTCGCAATCTGAACGAGCTCAACGACCGGTTCCATCCTCCTCCTCTGGGCAAAACAGGTGCTCGGCACAACTGTCCCTTGACCAGGATCCAAGGCGAGGATGTAGCAGAAAGGTCTGGTCAGAATCTGGTTAACCTTCTTCGAAATGATTTTCTTGCCTAAATTTTCCCCTTGAATTTGTTTGCCGAAGCGTGTTCAAAGGCGATGACGAAAGGTGGAAACCGACAAGGTTCCACTCTTTCAGCAGACAGGAAAGATAAGTCGAAATCTGGTCTGCAGCTCCACGGACAACAGACGAGGTTTCCACCTTGTCAAAAGTCCCCGCATCTCCACAAGTCGGTGTGGTCACCTTTCAAGCACAAACTGACGACGCTCTTTGTCCCGGCACGACTTCATAAGAAGCTCTGATCTCTCCTCGGCATTGCTTTCAGATCCACCTTCATCTATCCTATCCTACTACGCAACCGGAAATGCCTTCGTTCAAGTCTTCCGACATTCCTGACCTTACTGGCCGTATCGCCATCGTTACGGGCGGTAACAGTGGTCTCGGAGAGTAAGTTCTCGTGCTGCCCCGGTTCGGTACCTTGTTCGAAGGGAGAGGTGTCGTTCGACAGCTGACCTCTTTGAAATTGCGATTGTGTTTTGGTATCTTCACAGAGCTTCTTGCCTCGAGCTCGCCCGCAATGGCGCCAAGGTGTACATGGCATCGCGTACCGAGTCCAAAGCTCAAGAGGCGATCCAAAAGATCAAGCAGGCTGTGCCCAAGGCCGATGTGCAATTCCTGCAGCTGGATCTGACCGAGCTCGCCGCTGTGCGCAAGGCTGCCGAAAACTTCCTGTCCCGCGAAAGCCGTCTCGACATCCTGCTCAACAACGCAGGTGTCATGGCCACGCCGTACACTTTCACCAAGGATGGAATCGAGCTTCAGGTCGGCACCAACGTTGTCGGGCACTACCTCTTCACCATGATGCTCCTCCCTACGCTGTACAAGACTTCCAAGCTGCCCGAATACGCTTCGCCGGACTCGCCGACTGTCCGTATCGTCCAGGTTTCCAGCTTGGGCCACGTCGCCTCGCCTTCCGACACCAGCTTCAAGGACCTCGAAGCGGTCAACAAGCAATACTGGCCCGAAATGAAAGGTACCTGGGATCGCTACGGCAAGAGCAAGCTCGGCAACATTCTCATCGCCAACGAGGTGAGCAAGCTGGTTCCCGAAGATGCTCGTATCAGCAGTCTCTCGATCCACCCCGGTGTAGTGAAAACGGGACTGCTCCGAGGACCCAACGAATCGTACGGTCGAATCATTGCTGCCATCTCCAACTTCGCAAGCAGGATCTTCACCGCTCCCGAAGACGGTGCGCTGACACAGCTCTATGCGTGTGCTTCGCTCGAGGTCGATCGCCTGAAGCTCGATGGAGCATATCTTGTCCCCGTAGCCAAGGTGGGCAAGAAGAGCAAGCTCGGCCAGGACAAGGATGGCAAGCTGGGAGAGGAGCTGTTCAGCTTCTGTAACGGCTTTATCAAGGAGAAGCTCAACCTGGATCTGCCTGCTCACGTCAAGGAAATCGGCGTACAGCTGCCTCAGAGCCATCTCTAGATGCGAGAAGATAGAAGAGCGATGCTGTAATTTAGGCTTGGCTCTGCTTCCTGCTTTGTATTACTTTAGACCCTTCACCGTTGCCTGTATCAGCTCATGTGTTTCTGCTCCTTGTACCCATGTATAGCTGAAATGTACACACGCCGTATACGTTGGACTCTGGTTCTGCGAGACCCAAGATATGCTGAATGCAATCATTGCTTAAGGCGGAATTGAAATGAACACGAGAAGCTGCCAGATTGGTTCGCGTTTTGTGGCGGCAAACAAATGCCACACGGAACTCGGACCCTGGTTTTCTCTTTCAGGGTCAAGGGCGTTAATTGCTGGAGCAGGTCTTCGTTTCGCTTGGATCCTTCCTTCGTCGATCTTTGTCACCGACACCATCCCCTCTCGCCTTCGGGCTACCTCGATTAGCAGCAAACTCACCCGTCATTTGATCCCGCCACCTCATCATCTTTTCGGCGATCGACAGCCCCAGCGTCAGAACCTTTCAACAACATGACGCGTGAGTTCCTGCCGTCCCGTCCAGCTCGAACAGACCCTGAATCTACTAAGTCGTCAGGGACGACCAGGCGAGCTCGGCACTGACTGAAGCTCTACATTTTCTACCCCACTCTTCCATCCATGCAGGAGGAAATCAGCGAGAGCTTGCACGAGCCAAGAACCAAAAGAAGCTAGCGGAGGCGAACAAGGGCAAACGCAGCGAATCCAACACCTCGATTGCAGCCAGGAAGGAAGCCGACGCCGAAGCGCTCAGAGCTAAGCAGGCGGTGAGTGTAAAGCTTCGACAAGACGACGGCTGATGGCACTCGAATGCTGACCTGGACTTGTCGCCACTCTTATCCAACAGGCCAAAGCAGCAAAAGCAGCAGAAGCAGCCGCAGGAGGGAAATGATATTCACGCCTCAACGCATCACACAGTTGTTTCGAGATTATTCCTATGCTCGATCCTCTACATGTGCTCGCACACTTGGATCACAATCGCGTCATGACCACACGCAACGACTCCAGTGTCGCCATCTTTCCATTGCACACAGCATTCTACAATATACATTCACAGGCTTCAACCAACTCTCGCTCGACGACCACCTCTATCGAACCTTCTGCGAGCCCTTCTTCATGGCACGCTTCCTCTCGACCTCCTTGCGCTTGGCCTGTTCTGCCGGGCTGAGCTTGTCGAACTTCTCCTTCTCGGCTTTGCGCTTTGCCTCTTCCCGGGCCTCCTGCTCCGCCTCGCGCTGCTCCTTTGTGGATTCGTCGAGCAGCTCCTTGTCGACCTGTGCACGCGTCTTGCGCAGTTTGTTCAAGGTTTCGTTGCGGAGCTTGACGACGCCCTGGTCGAGAGCGTCGACGAGATTGCAGCCGAATTGGAGGAGCTCGATCGCCTTGTGGGCGTCGGCGGTCGACTTGGGTGCTTGCAGGGTCAGGGTGAGCAGACGCTGACGCTGTTCAATTGGGATGGGACCTTTGGTGGGACGCTTGAAAGGCTGGTCGGTCAGGACGAGGCTGTCGAGGAACGCACCGGCTTTACCCTCGAGCAGGTCGACGAGGCCGAGCTTGGTTCGCTGTGCAACGCCCTTCTGATCCGGCTCGCCGAGGAAGGCATCGGTGAGCTCAGGAGCCTCGCTCATGATGGCCCACTGCTTGGAGAGACCGCGCGATGTGACGGCGCTGTCCGAGTCGATGACTTTGGCGAAGGTGAGATCGAATCGACCGCTGCGAGTGTACTGCAAGGCACCCTTGTTGACGAGCGCAAAGACACCCGAGACGTTGTCCGCAGTGGTCGGCAGGGTGAAGGTCAGGGTGATAGCGTCGCGCAAAGGAGTTATGGAAGCCGTGACGGTGTCCTTGACGAATGCGAAGAGGATCTCCATGGGATCGTGTCGCGGGATCAAGTCGAACGTCACCTGTAGGCTGGCACACCCTCTTCGACCCGACGCAAACATCAGTGCCTCATTCCCACCGTTCCAGAGCAGGTGACCTTTGCCCTCATCGTTGGCAATCACGGCAAACTCCTGCTCCAGGACGGGAAGAGCAGCCGAAGCAAACTTGCTGGCCATCTGACGATTGCGAGTTTTGCCTACGAGGTGAATGAGAATGAAGAGCAAGCAGAAGCCTAGCACACCACCTTCGAGCCAGAAGAGGGCGGGTCGAAAGACGAAGCGTCCCACAAGCGGAAATTCGAGCCCGTCGTAAGGCTGATTGGCCTGGTATGCTGTGGCTCCCGTGGGTCGGTTGACGTTGTTGACGTTCTGCGCGGCGATGGTCGACTTGAGGAACGAGGGCAGCTCGAATGCGGATGAGGGCGCTGCAAGCAGCAACATGGTCCACATGGCAAAGACGGCACCGGTAGAAAGCCATGAGGCCCTACGACCAAGCTGATTGGCGACCATGACAGCGACTGAGATGTTGACCAGGAGTGTAGAGGGTGATGGAGAAGACGAACGAGTTGAGTTGCTCGTCCTTGCGTCTTGGTGCTGCTTTTCTTCCATCCCTGGCCGCTCGCAAGCTGAAATTGACCGAAAGCGGAAAATGGAAGAATTGCGGTTCGCCGTCAGTCCGTGCGAGCAGAAATTGTGAAATGTTAGCTTCTCGTTTCGAACAGTTCTGACCCTGCAGCAGCACGAGCCTCACTTTCAGCTGCCATATCCTGCAGAAATGACGCTCGCGATCAACTTCCCCGCACAAACACGACGAAAGCATCATGACGCCGCTGACGCCCTTCGGTTAGACACAAAGCGACACATCTTCCGTCAAGGCTCGATGACCCTCCGACCGTGTCCAAGGTCCATATAAGCAAGACAGCATCCTTTCCAGCCAACACTCTGCAACACCGCCAAGCCGTCAGTTCTTGCTGAATCTACGATGAGCGCCAACGGACTCAGGGTGCAGATCGCATCCTACAATGCCAACCTAGCTGGAGCAGAGACCACTCGCCATGATCTCACGCCATGGCTCATCCCAGCCGCCGAGCAGAAACCTTTGGCACCAAGATCCTCCAAGCCTGTGACCAACATCAACGTGCTCGAAGCCGACGCGTACAAATCCACCAACCCAAAGACGCTTTCCACCCACCCATCATTGCCTCGCGAAGCACCCGACTTCTACGCCGTAGGCTTCCAAGAGCTCATCCCACTACACACTGGTCTCTCTGGATCTGGAGATACGGCGCTTTATAACACTGACCTCGACATTCGCAGAAACGTCCGTCCTCATCAGGCCGTCGTCTCTGGCTCGGGTTTGTACGCCAGCTTGGAAGAGGGAGGTGGTCCGGAGAGCTATCCGCTTCTGTGCAAGGTCGATTTGGTCGGTATCGCTCTGTTTGTGTATGCTCGGGAACGTCCTACCTTTTCGATTTGGAAGGCCGCGTCGAAGAGTGCAAAGAGTGCAGCGCATCGTGTCAAGGAGATCCGGACCGCCACGGTTGGCACCGGTATCGCCGGTGTTATGGGAAACAAGGGCGCCGTAGGTGCGCGAATCGTCGTCGCTGCAGCAGATGGCAAGGGCCCCGATGAGGTTCTGACGTTTATCAGCGCTCATCTGGCGGCGCATGATCACAACGTTCAACGAAGAAACAAGGACTGGCAGCAGATCGTACAGAGGATGGTGTTTGAGCCATCTTCGGTGCAAAAGCTTCCCATCCTCCAGGATCCTTCTCAAAAGCCTCTGAATCCCAACGACATGCATGCACTCAAGCAAGAGCACGAAAAAGCCACCTCCCCCCATGATGCACCGAAAGCAAAAGCTCTCGACAAGAAGAGCTACACCGTCTACGACACGACACACCTCTTTGTATTTGGCGACCTCAACCATCGAATCGCCTTGGGCAAGAGCGAGCTTGCAACCGAAAAGTCGAGTTCGGAACTCACAAAGGAGTCGCTGGCCAAGGCGCTCGAAGTCGGCGACTGGTCGTTGCTCTCCAAGCACGATCAGCTGAGTCACCAACGATTGGCCGAGAAGGCCAAAGCCTTCCACGGTCTGACCGAGCTTCCGATCGCAGAAGCCGGCATACCGCCTACGTACAAGTACATCGTCTCGCGTCCGGACAAGAAGACTAAGAAGAAGAACGCAGGTGTCACCTCCGAAGCGCTCGAGGGACAGACGCTCAGCAAGAAACGAGTGCCAGGCTGGACCGATCGCATCCTCTGGGGCTCTGCTCCCGGCCAAGAGGACAACGACCGACACGGCGTCGAAGTCGAATTCTACCGGAGCATCATGCAGTACACCCATTCGGATCACAAGCCCATCACTGCTCTGCTGCGTCTGCCGCCCAGCACCGACGCCTCGTCGTCCCTATCGTCTTTGAGCCCGTACGAGCCGCTCTCTTCGACTCAGCGTCTTGTGCTTTCCACCAGCGGCTTGGTGCTCGACAGGCTTGTCGGATACATTTGGAGCCTTCTTCTGCTAGCTGGAGGTGGAAGTCTGACTGGAGGTCTCATTGAAGTATTCGTCATCGGCCTCATCACTGCTTGGTGGTTCTCTCAATCGAGGTCGTAACCCACGGGTTTCTTTTGTAAATGCTGCAATCCAGGACCAAATCAGAGCTTGCTTTCCTTGCCTTGTCCTTCAAACTCCTCTGCTCCTTCGACGGCTTGGCAGATGCTGTCAACGGTGCGCACCACCCACAGCGCGCCTTCTTCCGTGGTCAACCACTCGAGTCCCTGCTTGCTGGCATCCTCCGGCTTGATCGAGTCCTTAGCCTTCATGAGCCCCCAGACGTGACTCGTCACTTGAGGACCTACGCCACCTTGAGCTCTCAGTGCCGAAATGGCGACCAGCGACGTGCGAAGACGATTGACGTCCCAACTCGGTTCCGTTTTCACAGAGTCCGGGTCGGAAGGCAGCGCAAACGAAGCGGGCGAAGAGAACAGCGGACCGTACTCCGACTCGACGATGAAGACGGGCAGATCCGGATGCGAAGTGCCGAGGATCTTGAGGAGCTTCTCCGAGTGTGGAGTGTAAATGTCGTCCCAGAGTCCGTACGCCGCTTTGTGAACACCCTCGACGCGGTCTTTGCCAATCTGTCTCCTTGGTTGTGTCGGCAGCGCCTGCACTAGCTGTGAGTCCTCTTCCACCGCTTTTCGCAGTGCTGCGAGGTTGTTGATCACTTTGGGGATGCCGATGAAGCCAATACACTTGAGGCCTGTTTCGCGCATCAAGAGAGCAACGTTGGTTCTGTGTTCGAGATCCGCCGTCTTGGGCCCGGTGGCGAAGCGGTGCAGCGCCTGCAAGCTCCCCGGGTTATTGAGCGTGAACAGCGTGGCCGTTGCGATCGAGATCCACTCGCCCCATCCGATGCCCTTCTGCGTGGCCTCTGCCTGCAGACTCTGAAAGTGCTGGCTGACGCTGGCGAGCTTGGGCGTGGGGGAGGGGTTGGCAGAACGTCCAGCTGGAAGCTGCGTCGATGCTGAGAGCCTCGATGCTCGAGCTGGAAACGTCGGCTGCTGCAGCAGCTGCTTAAGCGCAGGTGGAAGCGAGCGGTTTTTCGACATGTTGACCAGTGTAGATGCTATCCACAGGCCGAAAAAACAAAGATGGTGTGCTGAGCGAGAAAGAAGGAATGATCAGCTCGCACCAACCAGCTGTCTGAACACAGTGGAGGACGGCAAAGCCGGGTTTTACACAATTCCGCCGGTCACTACCCGCATTTTCAATTGCTGTTAGGCTACGGAACAAAGCGCGCGACTGCGTATCGCCAGGGGCATCGGCTAATTTAAGCTTGATTCAAGGCTGAGCATGAGAATGTACGTGAATGCGTCGGCTCTCCACTCTTCCCGCTCTTCACGTCTCCCACCAACACTCTCGGGCCTTGCTGTTGATCGTCGAACAGCGTCTCGCATTCGCCGCCTCCCCATTGTGGCTCTCATCAACTCCGCCGGACCACGCGGACTGCGATAAGATTGTCAGCGCTGGCTTCGATCGCAGATCATTCATGCGCTGCAGTCCACCACGAAAACCCGATAGTCGGAACGCAGACCTCGGTGCAGCCGCACGTTCCTCGTACATGATCCCGCTCGGGGCTGCGCTAGCTCTCTCTTGTAGGCCTAGGTCTCAATAGCTCGGAGCACTGTCTCGATCCATCCCCGCCATCCCGCCAACCCACCCATCGCCGATGACCCACACCTGGAGGTAGCAGTGACCCCCGCTCGGTCGTCAGCCGTGCGAACATGTCAAGCATAAAGGCTCCCTACTCGAGTTTCACACAAAGTAGGCTTCTCATGCAAAGCTGAACCTCCTTGACTGTCTTTTTCTGATCCTCCGTCTCCAGTCATGGGCAAGCGTGGAACACCTCGAGCTTCGTGCGACCCATGTCGTCGCAAAAAGGTCAAATGCGACAAGGATCAGCGCAACGCCGAAGGCATTTCGCTGTGCTCCTACTGCTACACACGAGGCTACGATTGCATCATCACGGAAGAATCCAGGTCCAATGCCAATGTGTCCGACAACGATGCCGGCCCGTCCACGGATGCAACCACGGCGGCATCAGCATCGGCCAGTAAGAAGCGCAGAAAGTCAGATGCAGACGCAAGTGGATCCGACACCGATGCTCCTCCCGCTCATGCTCGTGAAGCCAGCTCTGTACCCGTTCCAGACCCTTTCATCACGCCTGGACCGGCGACGGAGCCAGACATGCTCAATGTTCGTGGCCTCACTCGATCCATCTTGGACGATGCCGTATCGTCCCACTTCCGCACCACGTATTGGTGCAATCCTGCCGTCAACCCTCGTCACTTCTATCCACGCTATCGCCGCTACCTCAGCAAGCTCGACGGGGTGGCAACTTCATCCACAGAGTACGACGCATTCCCTCCCGCCGACATCATCATCCTCGCCGCCGCCTGCGTCGGCGTGGTGCAGCTTGGATATGCCTCGCATCGCTTCGACCTTCAGGCGCGCATCTATCGTCGTCTCGAAAAGCTGGTCTCGTCGGCGTGTACCAAGGACATCACCGTGGCACTGGACGTGCTGGAAGCTATCCTGCTTACCTTCGACGTACCTGCACGCACCAAGGGTGTCGACGAAGCCACCAATCTGAGCCTCGATGCGGGCTTTATCCATCCCATGAGCCACACCAAGATGATCCGCCTCCTCATTCACCACGGCTTCAACCGGTCCAAAGAGGATCCAGTCGTCAAGGCGCAGAGACTCAAGTACCGCACGCCTGCACGCAGCACCTTGTGCGAGATTAACGACGAACGCATGCCGCTTGTGCTCGCAGTTGCGGCAACAAACGACATCATTCGTAGCTTCGATCTCTTTGACCGACATCAGCTCCTGCAAGAGGATATCGACCCCGACGCTATGATGGCTGACACTGGGGGTCCCATCGGCAATCAGTGGGCCTGGCAGCTCTCGGTCCTAGCGTCGGTGTTGCGAGCGGCCAATCTCTCTATCTGTGTCGCCAAGTCTCGCCGTCTCGGGATTTCGCCTTCTGCCATCCTCGAAGTGCTCGAGCAGTTGGACCGATTTGAAAAGCAGATGCCGGACGTTTTGCGATGGAACGCATCTCCTTCCGAGCGCAACAGCGCATCGCTACAGGCGCTCATTCCGCATGACAGCACGAGCGAAGACATCATCTCGATCTTGGTTCGCAAGGCGTTCCTGCATCTTCTTCTTCTGAGTCAGTACCAGTGCATTCATGCTATGGTGCGAGTGCACGGGCTGCAACGGCCGACGAATAGCTCGCGACAAGAGGGTAACCTATACCTGCGAGCCCGACAGCGGGTCGATGCAATGCTTTTGACCGCCTTCGACCGCATGTCCGAGGTGTCACCTCAGCTAGCAGCGATCACGGTGCCGCCTTCTTTTGCCTCGGTCAATCTGCTCGACTACAGCTCGATCGCCTTTCGAAGCTCGATCAAACGCGGAGCCTACTATGCGCTCGAGATGGCCAAGCTGACGTACAAAGCGGGGTTGCACGAGCTCACCGCTGACCTGCTCTCGAAAGCAGGCAGGCAGATCTATGCGTTCAGCACCTACCAATGTCATCCTGACACCCAAGCCGAAGCAGCAAGGCTGCGCAAGATCCTCTCAAGCTTGTATACCGATTTCGAGATGATTCCAGGCCTTGGTCCAACCAACGATGTCAGGCTGCGGCACGAACGGGCACGATTCTCGGGTGTATTTGAGCCAGCCGCTGCCTTCCAGGATCCGGCTGCAACAGCGGCGTTGGTGGCGGATGTCACTGAGATTCCGTGGAATGATCACGCCGGTCTGGGCGTCAGCGAGGGGACGTCGTCAGCTATCAACGCTGCGACATCGTGGAGCACGCCAGGCACCGAGGATCTGTCTGCTTTCGGCGGCACGATGAACGACTTTCTGGCGGGCTTGCCGTTTGCCAATGCAGCTTCTGTGCCTGCATCTGTGAGTCCACATCCGGCCAGCTGGACGCAAAAGACACCCACCGCGGCAGGCACCGCAGCAAGTGCAGCGAGTCCCTTCGATCTGAATGCTTTCCTCGAGACGCAGATGGACTCGAACACGACGACGAACGGTCGTGGTGCGCCTGCCAGCTTTTAGCTTGGAGGCCTTGGCAGCTAGGCTTTCGTTCAAGTGTCCGTCTTCCTTTGCTTTGTATTATTCGCCAGAGTGTCCGCTCAAAGCTTTGTTTCCAGCTTTGTCTTCGTTGCTTCTGTTGCTTGCCCGTGTTGAAAGATGGCTGACGACGATGGTGACTAGAATGAGGATCGGGTTTGCAATCGGGTGTGGAACCGTAAAGCTGCATTGTGAGCTTTAAATTTTGAGCGGACGTCCTGCAGACCCTTTTTGTTTCCGGATCGCGAACGAGCCATCCCTTCGCGATCCTCATTTCCGACCATCATTCACGAATGCCTTTCTCAGCCACCTAGAAGCATCATGTCATCAAAGCAGCTGACCGTCAAAGCGCGATCACGGACAGAACGAGCGCTGGACGTACTCTACCTGGTCTACTTCGGCATCCACCTCGCGGCGTCCATTGCGGTGGATGCGCAACTCACCTACCCGCCCTACTCGCAACGAGTGTTCCCCGAATCGCTGCGGAAGGTACTGCGGGACTATATGACGCAGTCCAGCGATCCGTTTCTGGCAGCGGCGGAGAGAGCGTCCAAGGACCATGTGTGGTTTAGGGTGCTGTTGGTGAGCGAGACGGTGTTTCAGATTCCTTGCTTTTTAGTGGCTATTTGGGGGTTGTTGAAAGGTGAGTGCGGAATTTACGCGGTTCGAGGTGGTGAAGAAGACGCTGACAAGTGAACTTTGGTGTGGATGTGTGCGTGTGCAGATGACAAGCGAACGTATCCTTTGATGGTTTGCTATGGAACGCTTGGTAAGTATTGTTTCTCTAGGGACGGATCACTCCAGGAATGTTCGCTGACGAACCACCCGAATCACCACTTGCGAGACAGCCGCATCCTCAACGCTTCAATGCATCTGCAGCGTCCTATTCGGATCGGACGGAAGCAAGCTCACGTCGGCTCAAGTTGGTGGCTTGCTACAGTAAGTGTCAATCTTCTCCTGCGGTCTTCCAGCTTTTGCACCTGCAAGAACGACTAACATGCATCTCATTTCCATCAATTGTCAATCGCTGCAGAAACTACGTACCGTTCTGTATCATCCCTACGCTGCTCACGTTCGACATGATGCTGCGCATCGTCAGGCTGCTCCCTCCTCCGCCGGCGACGGTCAAAAGTGGGAAGGAAGACTGAGCTTCGACATGCAATCAAATGTCGTACGACATCGCCTGCTGGAATGGAATAATGTGTAGGAAGACGTGTGCACCTGTCGCTGCGTGGAAGAGTGTCGTTTGCGTCCGGCGAGATCTCCGAATGGTCTAGTTCTCGCATCACGGAATGCGCCATGAGTAAAGCTGAAGGTCTTCCAATCGATATGGGAAATGTCCAGCAAAGGACAATTACTCTTTCAACACTGAGACCCAACGCATGCTCTACCGCCAAAGCAGCCAATCCCGAGGCATTACATTGCGAGAGCATGCAAAAGCATTTCGAGTCTCGATATTGGCCGGTGTTCGGAATTGGTCGGTATCCGGTAACTGCAACAACGTGCAGATTTCAGGGGGCAGCAGAGCGCGTCTCGGATTTCAGTGCTCGAGTAGACTGCTTTCGTGGCGGGCAATCGAAATTGACTCGTGCAACACGATGTCATCGTCGCTGGGCGGAATTCTCGACGAGTGGAATTTTTGGAGCTGCAAGCGCACAGAAGGGCCGGTGACGCTTGAAGTCTAGTAGCCCCGACAAAGACCATCGAGCCGTAATCAGCTTGGAAGATCACCATCTTTGCAGGTCGTACTGTGTCTTGTCTTCCGTCCATCACACACAGCCTCGCGTAAAGTCTGCAACAAGCTTCCTTCGACCAGCAACCAGGTCACCCTTTTGGACTCATTCGAGCCATCAACGCCCAAGCATCTGGACAAGAGCGTATACCGTCCTCATCCTCAGAAATCTCCAACAGCTGCACTCGCTCAAAGTGAGCATCTCCCTAGCTCAGCAAGCAAAGAAGACGAGACAAGGTAGCCGACGTGGTCTCTTGCATAGTCACACACATTCCTAGCGTCTGGCGTCAGTTCGATCCTGCACACGACACCGTCTTTCATCATGAACGGCGCCTCTATCAACGGTATCGGCCATGCCGAGGACCGCCCCGACGGCCAGGCTAATGGCATCACAAACGGATTCTCCCAGGCCAGTTCTGGCAGCTCGCACGACGACCTTCCCGAGTTCGACGCGACCGAGCATCCGCATCGACGATACAACCCCCTCACACGCAGCTGGGTCCTCTGCTCACCCCACCGAACCAAGCGTCCCTGGCAAGGTCAAGAAGAAGCGCCTCAAACCACCTCACTCCCGCCCTACGACCCCAAATGCTATCTCTGTCCCAACAACACCCGAGCTACAGGGCAGAAGAACGACGACTACTCGTCCACATTCTTCTTCGAAAACGACTATGCTGCGCTCAGACCCCAAGCCGTCGCTGAAGAGAAGAACCAGCATCCACTCCTCCAGTCGCACCCTGCTCGTGGTCGTTGCTACGTGATCTGCTTCAACCCTCAGCACAACCTGACGCTCGCACAGCTCAGCACACCTCCCTTTTCGCCCGACGAACACATCGTTCCCATCATTCGAAGCTGGCAGAAGATCTACAAACAGATCCCTGCAGAAAATCCTTTCGTCAAGTACATTCAGATCTTCGAGAACAAGGGCTCGGCGATGGGATGCTCGAATCCACATCCTCACGGTCAGGTCTGGTCGTTGGACTACGTACCGGAGGAACCGAGTAAGGAGCTCGCTTCGCTCGAGGCCTGGTCGAACGACCCTATCAATCAAGATCCCAAGGTCAACCTCGGTGTGGTGGATGACCACGGTCGTCCATCGATGCTCCTCACCCTCGCCAAGTTGGAGTTGACCACTCCAGGTCAACCGAGGGTCATCACGTCCAACGAACACTTCGTCGCCATCGTTCCGTACTGGGCAGTCTGGCCATTCGAAGTCCTCCTGCTTCCAAGTCAGAGACAGATCCGCAACATCCTCCAAATGACCGAATCCGAGGTCGTCTCGCTCGCAAGGATCTTGGCCACCATCACGTGCAAGTTGGACAACGTCTTCAAGTGCAGCTTCCCATACTCGATGGGTATACATCAACAACCTACAAGTGGCAAGGAAGATGGCGAGTTCGCGCAGTTTCACGTGCACTTTTATCCGCCGCTGTTGAGGTCGGCGAGCGTGAGAAAGTTCTTGGTAGGTTTCGAGATGATGGCCGAACCGCAGAGGGATTTGACGGCGGAACAGGCGGCCAAGAGGATCCGCGACTGCGAGGATAGACATTATCTGACGACGATGCAGCAGCAGTGAGCAGGGTCGGTGTTGGAAGCTCTGGAGAGTGTTGCGACTTGTTCTCATCGATCGCTCTGCAAAAGCGATGGTGCAATGGCAAACTTCATTGTCCGTTTCTATTCTACAGTTAGACCTGGTTTCGGCTTTCATTCACCCAACGTGATCTTGCACAACGCCTCCCTGACACTATCCTCATCGAACTTCGGAGTGCCATCCTTACTCGTCAACGTCGACTCTGCCAGCATACACCTGATCCCCATCTCCTCCAACCTCTCTTTCTCCACCTCGATCTGACCATCTTTGAAGTACACGACGTGCGAAATCAGCCGTCTCGCCTCCCACTCGCCCTTCGAATTTGGACTATCGCTCTCGTTCAGACTTCGACAGATAGCCTCGATAAAGTCGACCGCGTTCATCCCGCGCGTCTCTCGATCTTGAACCGAGTTGAGCAGCAGTACTTTGTACGTGAGGGATGCCGAAGTGGCGATGCTTGTGGCGATGCTGCGGAGAGAGAGACACGGGATGATGGAGGTCCATAGCGAGCCGCACGAGTAGATGACGGTACGACTGCGTGTCAGCGCGATGACGAAAGATGGGTTGGGGGCGGGGTAGATTTCGTTTCGGTAGGCGTTGACGTAGAGGACACGTCTGATGGGCGATGGCAGCGCGGGCTCTGTGTCGGATTCGCTTTTGGTGAAGATGATGTTGCCGGTCTTTTCTGGTCGCGTCGAGCGGGAACGGCGTGGGGACGAGACTCGTTTTGACGCAGTGTCGCGAAGAGTGGTCCGATCGAGCGAATGGTCGTCCTCAGCAGCACTGCCGTCGTGGGGCGAGTCGAGTTGATCGAGACCGTCTTGCGACTCTTGATCGTCATCCGCAGGATCTAGACCGTCTTTTTGATTGCCGACGGTGGTGAGGCCTTTCCTGGCCTGTGCGGCGTATGCTGCGGCCCGCTCATCGACCAGTTGAGCAAACAGTGGACTATGGCCTGCAGGATTGACCCTAGCTGGTGTGCCTGACAATGATCCTGCCTTCGTTGCATCAGTGCTACCGTTCACCGAGGTGTAGTTCGACGAAACAAACGGCTCGTTGATGTGATAGTGCGCAGGAGGACCGAAGCCGGGTGTTGACGGCCCACCGTCACTCAGGCCGAGACCTTGCATTGCGTCAGCCGCCAGTAAGTCGTGATTCGGCGGCAGCAGCAGCTGCGGCTGCGGAACGCCCGACATCGAAGATGATGGCGTACCCGCTTTCGCGGCAGCATCACCCTTCCCACCACTCGATTTGACCGGCTTGGGCGCGGGGTGCGAAATCTCACACTGCCCCACGATCATCTCACCGTCCTCCAACTCGGCCGCAATTGTCGCAGTATGATTGGTGTTGATCACCGGCAATACTTTGCTCGCCAACGAACTCGTGCTGATCTGCGTTGTCGCCGAGAACAGAAAGATGGCGCTCTGGATCGAGCGGAAGAACTTCTGAGCAGCCGCAAGGAAGAAGTTGCCGATGGACCCACCGCGAAAGTTGAAGTGTCGATGCGCACGTCGTAGCACTTCGCTCTCAAAGTGGACGAGGAAACCTCGAATGACTTCTTTGCGTTCAGGCTCGATGCCGCGCCAAAGACGATGTCGTCCTTCAAGGATATCCATCCATTCCTGCTTAATCTCCTTTGATGGACCATGAGATGGAAGACGATAGGAGAGGAGATTGTGAATGGCTTCGTTAGACTGAGGTGGAGGCGGGGAGGACGAGGATGCTGAAGGAATGGTCGGATCGTGTCTTGATGGGGTGGGGATGAGTCGGTTCAGACGAGAGCGAAGGTCTCCGATGGATGGACCGCCGAGAACACGGATGATCTCAGATGAGGAGCCACCATTGTCCGAGATGGGCATGACATAGGTGGCTCCCGGTGTTGCGCCAACGAGGTCGTTGAAGCCGCTGCCTCCGCTGATCACGAGGACTTGTCCTAGAGCCGCGTCCAGTGACATCGATGAACCTGAATGGGCTTGATCAATCGCTGTGAGTGGAGCTGCAGGATTGGTGTGACCTGCATCCGCGCGAAATGTCGGCGCAGGTACGGAGGCTCCTGCGTTGGTTGCAGCGGCGTCGAAACTTATCGACGCCTCGAGAGTGGTTGGAGGGGGAGATCCTGCGCCTGTGCTGTCGAGCTCGATATCGTTAATGGCGCCGACAGACAGGGATTCGTCAGCCGCCGCGGACGATCCGACTGCGAGGCCCGACATTGCGATGGCGAAAGCAGAGGACCCTCCGCACAGCGGTCCGTCTCGTGGTGGAGAACAGAGGATTTCTGTGCAGACCAACACGTCGCAGTTTGGAGCACCAGGGTCGTGTCACTCTCGTCGGGCCTCGGTTACGCCTTGGAAGCGGATATGCCGAAGAGCCAAGCACGACCGCGACCGATTCAATACGCATCTCCGCGGGATTGACTACAGATGGATTATTCGAGCTTTCCAAAAAAGGACATAAAACGTCAACTTTTTTGTGATGTGTTGACCGTCGCCTCTGCATCCTCCTCACACTGATCGGATTCATCCGAAGAACAAGCATCATCTGATGCAGGCAAGAGCCATTCGACCTCGGATCATCAGTCTCGCATTGCTACTACACCGTTCAGCGAGCAGAATGTCATCCACCGCTTCCAAAAGGGCCGGATCAGCCGGCTCATGGTCGTTCTCCCAGCCAGAGGACCAGAGCGAAATCGCACCTGCTTACTACAAAACCTCACCTCCGCCGCACTGGTCTAATGTATCCAAGTCGTCGAGCACAGCTGCAACGCTCGACGTGTCTCGAAGAAAGTTCAAGTCTCCCTGGCCATCTGCCTCCCCTCATGGCATCCTTGGCTTTCTCCGTGCTCGATTGTTTGACTGGGACGAAGTGCCTCTGCCTCCCAAAATCGCATCTTCTGCGGGCAGCGCCATCCTTCCTCCCGTCAACAAGCCAACATGGACAGCAGTCAGCGCAGTTGGCCCGGAAGAGGAGAGCATTACGTTCACTTGGCTCGGACATGCCATTTGCCATCTTCAGATTCCCATCGGCAACGGCAAGATAGTCACCATCCTTTGCGATCCCGTCCTCTCTCGACGCGTGTCTCCAGTGCAATGGTTTGGCCCCGAGCGCTACACAGATGCTCCTGTCACTGTAGAGGAGATCGCTCAGGCTACCGAACAGGAAGGCAAGAATGCCTGGCCGGACCTTCTCGTCCTCTCGCACAACCACTACGATCACACCGACTACACGACCATCCAGAAGCTCCTGAACCCTTCTTCCTCCGGTGTCAAGCGACCCCACGTGTTCTGCACGCTCGGCACAAAGCCATGGTTCCAGTCAAACTTTGGCTTGACCGATGCCGAGGTGACGGAATGCGACTGGTGGCAGCAGAGCACGGTCTCGTTGGCTGACGAAGCGGTCCTCAAGCTCACCTGCGTTCCCGCACAACACTTCTCGGGTCGAGGTGCGTTTGATCGCGATCGCACGCTGTGGGCAGGCTGGACGTTCCACGCCATCTCTGACGCTTCCAGCAAGGCAAGCGTTTACTTTGCCGGTGATACAGGATACCGTTCTGTGCCAAGGGGGATGCCAAAGGAGAAGGAGGATACACTTCCAACATGTCCCGCGTTCAAGGAGATTGGCGAAGCGCTCGGTCCATTCGACGTATCTCTGATCCCTATCGGAGCGTATCTCCCACGAAACGTCATGTCGACTATCCATCTTGCACCGCAAGACTCGGTCCTGGTGCATCGCGATGTCAAGAGCAGAAAATCATTCGGTATCCACTGGGGAAGTTTCCGTTTGACTCCAGAAGACGTCAATGAGCCGCCCAAGCTCCTGATCGAGGAAGCGAAACGCCAAGGAATCGATCCGAACGAGTTTGCTACCATCCAAATCGGTGAGAGCGTTTCCATCCCCGTCTCGAAGTCCACCAAACCCGTCGATCAAGGGAAGGACGGCGAACCGCTGCCCGAATCCAAACTCGGCACGAAGCAGCATTGGGACTCAGTCTACGCGCGCGAAGTATCCAACTTCAACGAGATCGGCGAAGAAGGCGAAGTCTGGTTCGGAGAAGACGCGGTCATGCGCATGATCCGTTTCGTCGAACAATACTACAGCGAAACACTGGCCGACAAGTTTTCGACCGACTCAGCACCGACAATTCTGGACCTGGGGACGGGAAACGGACACCTGCTGTTCGAGATGCTCGAATCCTCAGCCGATCTCGAGGACATCATCAACGCCGAAAGATTGGTCGGAATCGACTACTCTCCTGCGTCGATCGAGTTGGCTCGATCCATCGCGCAAAAAAGGGGCGGTGACTGCGAGCGCGTCAAGTTCACAACCGCCGACCTACTCGACTCCACCTCGGTAGACCAACTGTTCAGCATGCCTCGCTCCCAGCTCGACGCAGAACAAGGCTGGGACATGGTCTGCGACAAAGGCACGTTGGACGCAATCGCCCTCTCCTCCCAACCCGTCAACGGTTCCCTCCCCATCGACCTCTACTCCAACGCCGTCAACAAACTCGTCAAGACGGATGGCATCTTCCTGATCACCTCTTGTAACTTCACCGAGCAGGAACTCATAGCAAGGTTCACATCAAGAGGCTTCGAGGTGGAACAAGTGCTTCCCACACCCTCGTTCACCTTCGGTGGTGCAAAAGGCTCGACGACCACTTCGATCGCTTTCAGGAAAGTCTAATGCGACACACTCACACACACGGCCATCTGATGCCCAACAAATCACATTGCCATAGCACGAACTACAAGGAAACAAGAGAAGGAAATGAACACGGAGACAACATTGTGATGATCAGAGATGAGACGAAATGTTAGACGAAGACGCTTTATCAGCTGCAATGTCCTTGAGCAGCTCTGCCGCCTTTTCAGCGACAGCAATCACGGCAGCAGTGGGATGTCCCGAGATCTGCTCCGGGAAGATACTCGCATCGCAGACCACCAATCCGTCTACACCGTGAACGTGCAAAGCCGTGTCGACGACCGAGTCGGACGCATCGGGACCCATCTTGACCGTGCCAACAGGATGGTACAGCGTGAACGCAGTCTTGCTCATGAACGTCATCAACTGGTCATCCGTGAGCTTGCTCGGGTCGGTAGAAGACATCGGCCAGTAAAAGTCGTCCTCGTTGTCGCTCTTGTAATCTTCCAGATAAGGTTGCAAAGCATTGGCTTTGGCGACAGCGATGGCGAGACGCATTCCGGCGAGCGTTACCTTGCGGTCGTTGTCGTCAGGGTCGGTAAAGTATTTCGGGTCGACGATGGCTTTGTCCCATGCGTCCGCCGACCTGATGGAGATGGTGCCCTTGGAACGTGGACGCACGTTGAGACCGACAATGGACACGCAGCCGGTACCCGCCGGAGCAGGAGTAGTACCGTGGTCTACGTAGGCAAGAGGCGTGCAGATGAGCTCAATGTCGGGACCCTTGCCCATCGAGCCAAAGAATTGAGGACAATTCTCGGGCTTGGTCATTGAGTTGACGAGTGGCAGTGACTGATCGTTGCAGCGCACAAAAGCGGCAGCTTCACCTGCGTTGCTCGAAACCGGACCGCCTCCTGTCACGAGCCAACGAGCGAGCGATGGGATGGCTTTGATGTCGCTGCTGAGGTAGTCAAGCGTGTGTGCAGGCTTAGCTCGGGCGTTGATGGTGCTGTGGCAAAGGTGGTCACTCAGACGCTCTCCCACCAGAGCATTGTCGACGATGACAGGAATGCCTTGCTTGTTGAGCATGGCAGCAGGGCCGATACCCGAGAGCATGAGCGTCTGAGGCGAGTTGATCGCACCGCCGCAGAGAACGACACGCTGGTTTGCGGCGGCGTAGTACTTTTTGCCGTCGCGCTTGTTCTGCATCTCGACGGCGATCGCCTTGGGACGGGAGCCGGTGCGATCAAAGATGATGCGATTGACCATGACATGGATGCCGATGGTGAGGTTAGACCTCTTTTGCACCTCAAGCGGAAGGTAGGCGGTAGCTGCCGAAGAGCGTTTTCCGGTGCTGTCGATGAACGTGGTGAACTGAGTTACACCTTCGCTGCCACGGTGAGTGTTGAGATCGGGGTTGAAGGGGATGCCAACCTCGACACAAGCATTGACGAAGCCCTTCGAGGTAACTTCGGCCTTGTAAGACGAGTGACCCGTTTGCCAAAGACCTGAAGCACCGCGCTCTTCAGCCTTGACATCAGGCTGCGAAGCGTGAGGGGTGTACTTCTCTGAACGGTTGAGGTAAGGCAGGAGCTCTTTGTAGGACCAGCCCTTGCAGTTGAACTTTTCGCTCCATTCGTCGTAGTCGGAGGGCGCACAGTGGTGGTACATCATGGCGTTGATGGAGGAAGAGCCTCCGATGAGCTTTCCACGCGGCCACTGCATCTCTTTGTTGAGCACGGAAGCCTGAGGGGTCGTGGTATAGTCCCAGTCGCGCTCGGTCTTGAAATTCTTGGTGAAGACGAGGGGAGCCTTGACCTCGAGAGCATCGTTGTTTCCGCCGGCCTCGAGAACGAGCACAGAGGTGTTGGGATCTTCCGAAAGGCGGCTGGCAAGGACACAGCCGGCAGTGCCGCCGCCGCAAATGATGAAATCGTAGCTTTTGGCCTTCTGAGCCTCCTCGACAGTCTGAGGGGCCATGTTGGCCGGGGTGGCGTACGCCGAAGCATCGGAGAGCAGCGTTGGGGAAGAAAAGAGACCCATGGTGGCAAAGGCTAAGCAGATGTCCAGACCCTCTTTGAAGCGAGACTTGGAGGAGAAGGGAAAAGGAGCAGGAAGAGCAGCAAGAATCCAGCCTTATGTACGTTTGCGGAATCTGCTTGCTCCGTGCAGCGTTTTGGTCATAAATATATCACTTCAGGCCCTCAAGCGAGCGAAGAGAAGGCACAAGACGACGTGTCATGACTAGCAGAGTGGCACAATGCCAGTCGGATGTGCCCAAGCGAAGAGGTAGGGCTGCGAAGGACCAACAGCTTGTGAGAGAGTTGCTTGCCTTTCTGTCGGCTGTCGCTATGACTGTGCGTTGCTGCAACAGAGGGTAAACCCATTTGGCGCGCGCTGCCTTTCTGAGGGATGCAGCGGCTCGCATTCTAGCCACATGACCGCTTTCATACGGTAACATTGCTTCGTAGTGGCGGCAGCTTGCACCTCGAGACTCAGCAAGGGTCCTCTGCTGTGTCACTCTGCCAACTTACACTGTGTGAGTTACATTTTGGTTTGCCTTCGGCTAAATCACAAAGCGCTTCGAAAAAAGGACAAGTGCGGGGGAAAGAAGCTCTGCACGAGCCTGCAGCCGCGGGTCTAAGCCAGCCAAGACGCTGCGCGTGTCCAAAGCTGCAGGGTCCAGCACGAGGGTACACTGCAATACTGTATAGAAGCGAGCTGGCGAGAGTTTATCAAGTTGCGGGAACAAAGTGCGGGGAAAAGCTTGCTGGACAGCGACTCCTCGCATTCGGGTGACACACCAACTCCAGTTGTGAGTGACGACTGTACGGGTGCGGATTTCCTCGAGCGCATTTGCTTAGCATCCTCCAGCATTTATTCCCACATGTCCGGTAGAACTTCTTCATCCATGCTTCAGTCTCACTCCGACGCTAGCGCGCACTGGCCTGAATGCCAAGTGAGATCTCTATGATATCTATTGCAGCCATGAGTTGCAGCTATGAGATACTGTAAAGCGGCAGACGAGTGCATTTCTAGATCGTAACTGGTCACTGCACGTACGACATCCGCTCAGACCAACCCCACTCGTGGTCATACCACCCAGCAGCCTGAACGCCTCCCTCACCCATCCACTCCGCCGTGTTGTCCGTCACCACCCATTCCGGGATCATGGTAGCCGTTCGCGTTGGCAGCAATCGCGCTGCTCGTGAGATGCCCTCCGCTCCAATTCCGTGGACCACCAATGCCAGGCCCTCGTCATAGGTCGGGTGAGGTGCCAGCGTCACAAGAGCCGTGCCGTTCTCGTAGAAGAGACGATCTTGAATTCGGAACTGAGCCGATGTTCGGGCCGAAGGAAAGTGTATCGAACTTTGTGTGGGCCACCTGTCAAAGATGGATCGGGTGAAGAGGTTGATCTTCGGTCCGCCAAACGTCACCATGTTGCTCTGCTTCCAGCTCTTCTCTGAAGCGGAGGAGGCAAATTCGCCATCGGTGAGGATCTGCGAGTTGATCGCGCCGTAAAGCAACAGATCAGCTGCAAAGCGTTGTGCCACCTTGAACCAAGCTTTGACCTCGAATTGAGGCCCACTGGATGGGACGATCAGCAGCATTGGGCCTTTCGTAGATACAATGCGCAGCAACGGTCCGATTGGTCGAGCTGGTTTCGAGGTGAGACCTGAGATGTCTCCGGCGTATCCTGCCCATTTGCCATTCTGCTGAAGGACAAATTGAACTCGTTCGACGTTGCTGATGTCTGCCTGCTGCATCTGACCATTGATACTGACATGCAGAGAGGTGGCATTCCAGAAGGTGCTTTCGACGACGCCGTCACTAGTTCGACGGGCGGTGGTCAAGTCGAGCTCAAACCGTCTTGCATTTCTGGCGACGACATGGACGTTCGCAGCGTCTGCCTCATTGGTCTGCGCGTAACGCACCTCCAACTTGGCAAGTCGACCCGGGTTGTCGACTTCGCAAATACGCCAACCTCCCTTCGAGCCAGCTTCAGCCGGATTGAACACGGTCAGTGTAAAGGTCTGCGGTACTGCCGGCATCCTATAATCAACATTCCTAGTCGATAAACATGCGGCTTCGATCGCAGCCTGGACGTCGTCCTCGGAGAACAGCGTGTCCCACCAGTGCGGACGTCCAGCAACTTCGGAGATTTTGAGCTTATCGACCAGCCCAGAACGTCGATTCCAGCCATCTACCACCATGGCCATGTCCTTGGGATTCCAAGGTGGAACGTTGGCATCCGCTGATCCAAACTTGACGAGCAGATCCAGGCCGGCGAGGTTGCTGGCGTATAGATCGTTTTCAAACATGGTCACACCGCTGTGCAGTATCCCTTGCAGGGCCGGATCGATGTAATGTCTGCCTATCTTCCATGCAAAAGAAACGTAGTCTGATACTTTTGTGTAGGCGGATCCGACCATCCCTCCTATTGCGCGATCCGGAAAGCGCGAGAGCCGGTACCACGCTCCTTGTCCACCGTTCGAGTGGCCCATCACGAAGAGCTTCTCAGGATCGAATTGCCACACCTGCTTTTCTGCAGATGTCATCGTGGGTGGTAGGCCGTATAGGTGTTTGTGAAAGGCTGACACAGCTGCATCGGCTGCCTCAAGCGACGTCAGCTGCCAATCGTAGCCCCAAGGTGTTCGACCAGTGGGCAGTATCACCCAGCTCTCGTCCTGACGTCGGATGCTGTTGCTGAAGAAGAGGTCGCGTACGTCGACGCCTGCTCCGTGCAGTGTCAGGATCAGAGGTGGCAGCGGTGCATCTAGGGCAGCATTTGTCTGTTTCGGAGGCGTAGCCGCTGCCATTTGAACGGTGCCATCGTCGGCAAGGTAGCTAAACATGTATGCATGATGATCCTGTTCGTCACTAGCAGCCTGCCAGAATGCCATTTTGTGGACAAGAGGAATTCGCACGCTCTTGGTGAGTTTGACTTCAGCAGGGGCACTGATGGTTGTGAGGCTGACGTTGAGGACCAAAGAACTCAGGCTCGAGTCGATCGGGGCGGTTTGTGAGATACGCACAGGTACGGCGACTGTTTGTGAGGGAGACATCGTAAGCGTAGACCCGAGCTCGGCTTTGAGGCCTGTTCGAACTGCGTCTGGGCTGTCGTCGGACAAGTTGACACTGTGCAAGATGTACGTCTCGTTGGGACTAATGCTGCGTATCCCAAAGGAGAGACCCCAGCCTGCCATCCACCCACCCACGATATGAGGTACGTTGCTGTGATGTGGATCGGTGTGAGCCTCAACCATATCTTGCTGCTTCGCGTTTTGTAGCCCACGAGCAGCAATGTCGATGCCGATTGTCATCTTTGGACTTTCCGCTCCTCCGCTGTTTCGTGGATCGCCAAAGATTCGTATCTCGTACTGCGAGCGAACAAGAAGCTTGTATAATCCTCGGTCGAGATGGACCAGATGGTGCGAAATAGGCAGCCCGACAAGGGGCTCGTCTTCCTTTGCAAACGCGGCGATGTAAGAGTACCAATCACCAGTGTGCCATTCGATTGCACCCGGCACGGTGGCGTTGACCGAGAAGGAGTCTTTCCGTACCATGGCAAATTCTGCGGTCTTGTCCATAGTGATAGCAAGAGCTGTGCTGTTCTGCTCGATATCAAGGTCGGTTGCCGCGATCATCTGCCATTGCAGCGAGGACCACCCTGCACTCTTGCGTACCCATGGCCAGTCGACGTTTGGGTATTCCACGGTCAGGGAGTGTCTGACGCGCTCTGAGCTTTGACTCTGTACGCTCGCTTCAAAGGATTGGAGCAAAGTGGTGGCATTTGTGGGTCCATAGGTAGAGAAATGTCTGTTCGAACCAAAATTTGTATTGAGCAGACCTGGGTAGAATGCTGTGGCCGAGGCAGGAAACCCGCCGAAGGGCAGCTCTCTCATCCCGGCAGGGAAGGGGCCGAGAACCTGCCATGTCCTGTCGAGAGTGAAAGAGGTTGGTGCATCTGCAACAGAGGCAGACTGAAACACTTGTTGGGTCGATACAGCAAATGCAACCAGGAGAGCTACGGCGCCTCCGACCTTGAACACGTTCATCGTCGTCATCATTCGATTGAAGCGATTCTCCTCCTCGTTGTACGGACAGGCGCCCGCGGGATCAGCCGGACGAGTCGATTCGTATATCTTTCTATGGGATGTATATCAACATGCCGAAGGTGACTCTGAGGCAGCTGGGATCATGGTGGGCGAAGGAGGCTGTCGTGAAGCAAAACTTGGACCGGCCAGCACAAATTTCGATGTTGAGTGCGGCGGTCGAAGCACGTTGTGCGGCATTAGGCTCGAGACCCTGCATCTGTCGGCACCACGCACAGACACGCCAACCGCTGACATTCTAACCAAACCTCCACACCGCCAACGATCATCATGCAGATCCCTCTCACTCTGCGACTGCTGACTGCTCCTTCAACCCTGCCTCGACTTGCTACATCTCAAATTGCTCGCCGCAAACCGCATCTTCGCAAATTTGTCTCTACAAGTATCGCCTGCAGAATGTCGAAGCCAGCACCAGGACACAAGGACGCCGTGTATCACACCGAGTGCACGGGGCAGGCGCTGGACACGGTCAAGGCTCACTCGACACCGTCGGAGCAGACCTTGTTCGGTGCCTGCTTCTGCCCATTCGTGCATCGAGTCTGGATCGCTCTTGAGTATCTCGGAGGTAGGTTGCGCTGAGGGTTGACTTCTCACATTGAGCGCGGGCATCGCTGACGCTCCAAAACCCTCATCCTGCAGCCCCGTATGAGTATCGCGAAGTGGACCCGTACAAGAAGCCAGCCGATTTGCTCGAGCTGAATTCGAAAGGACTCGTTCCGGCGCTCAAGCTGTCCAACGGAAAAGGTCTCGCTGAATCGACCGTGATGTAAGTTGCGTGCAGCTTACTTCGCCGGACAAGAAGCGCACAAACTAACTGTGGACTCGTGTGCTTTTCCCCTCGCAGCCTGGAATACGTCGACGAGAAGTACGGCAGAGGTAAAGACGGCAAGACGCTTCTCCCTCCTCTCTCAGACCCATACGAGCGAGCAGTCTATCGTCTCGCAGTCGACAAGCTCAACCGCAACCTGATCCCCTCTTTCTACCGATACCTCCAGGCACAGGAAGTCGAAAAGCAGCTCGAAGGAGCCAAAGAGTTCACCTCCCACCTCACCGACTTTGTCCATTCCATGTCGTCCGCCAGCACAGCGGGCTTCTGGGATGGCCAGTCGCTCTCGATCGTCGACTGCACAGTGGCTCCTTGGCTGTACCGAGCAACCAACGTGCTGAAGCACTTCCGAGGGTTTGAGCCGGACAAGCTTCTCGAATCGGACGTGCTGGAGAGGTGGAACAAGTGGACTGACGCCGTCTTTGGTCTTGAGGCTTTCAAGGCTACTACTTCCACCGACGAGCTGTATCTTGACTCCTATGTCCGCTATGCTCAGAACCGTCCCATGACATCGCAGGTCGCGGATGCGATCAACAAGGGTCGAGGTCTGCCCTGATTCGGTTCGTTGCTGTATTTCAGTCTCAGCTTGGAATTGATCTTCCTGTTCTTTTGTTGTTGAAGGCTATTCGCATTTGTACTGAGTCGACTTGGCAATGATCCGTCGATGCCCATAGCTTCTTCAGCGAGGTGATCGACTGAGAGTGAGCCTGGATGATCTGAGAGAGATGCTCTGAGTATCTGCAAGTTACCGCCGCGGCAGCGTTTCGCGATGTCCACCGCTTCCGACTTTCAGCGCATTTCTTCTCGGAGCATGCATTGCCGCATTTTGAAGCTCAGCGCGAATTCGCAGCGCTTATCGACGCCTTGGCATCTTTCCAACTTGTTGATCTCTGACCGCCCCCATACAATCTACATCATCCGAATCCAGCCATGGCGACATCCGAAAAAGCCCCCGAAGCCGGGCTGATTGGTCGGCCTCTCGAGTTCAAGGGTGGCAAAGTTGCTCCCAATCGTCTTGCCAAGGCTCCGTTGGAAGAGACTCTCGCTCGAACTGGAGGCGGACCACCCAATCATGCCCACTTTGAGCTCTACCGCGCCTGGGCTCGCGGCGGATGGGGTCTCATCATCACAGGCAACATCGCCATCGACCCTCTCCACCTCGGCACACCCTGGGACGTCGTCATTCCATACGATGAGCAGAGCCTCGCCTTTTTCAAAGGCGCTATGAAGAGGTATGCTGACGCTTGCACTGGTCGCGATCAGCCCGACGTCGTCAATCCCAAGTCTCGCCCTCTAGCCGTTGTCCAACTCGTTCACGCAGGTCGACAGTCAATGCGTGGTTCTGGACGTGGCATCACAGCTCCCGCCCTCGCTCCCTCTGCCGTTCCCATGAGCACCATGGGCAACTTCGGTCCCATCGGCAAACTCTTCGACCATCTTCTTTGGGGTCCCGTAGCAGCAATGACCACCGAGCAGGTCCATCAACTACGAGATCGCTTCGTTCAAGCCGCGCTCATCTGCGCAGAAGCAGGCTTCGACGGTGTCGAACTTCACGGCAGTCACGGATACCAACTCGCAGCATTCCTCAGCCCACGAACCAACCTGCGAACGGACCAGTACGGTGGTTCCGCCAAGAACCGCGCCCGATTGCTGCTTGAGATTGTAGATCTGGTGCGCGAGAAGGTCAAGGACGACTTCATTATCGGTGTGAAGCTGAATAGCTCCGATTATGTGCAGGGTGGATTGACGGAGGAGGACGCGTTGCTCAACGTCAAGTGGCTTGCTGAGACCGGCAAGGTGGACTTTGTCGAGATCAGTGGCGGAAACTACGAGAACCCTTCGTTTGTCATGGAAGGTTTCGACTCGGAGGCTGAGAAGGTCAAACTCGAAAAGCTTTCTTCCAAGACCGCTTCCGCCAACAGCAAGTCGGACCCGAAAGCTACCGGGACAGGTGCCAATACTGTGCAAGGTGCTGGTGTAGACCCCACCTCCAAGACCACAGCACGAACGGGCAAGCGAGAAGCGTTCTTCCAGAACTTTGCCCGTCGTTGTCGTTCCAGCCTTCCAGCGGATTCGCGACTCAAGATCATCCTCACCGGTGGACTGCGTTCGCGTCACGGCATCGCTTCCGCCATCAACCCGGACGACGGTGCTGCGGATATGGCCTGTCTCGGTCGTCCCGCTGCCGTCTTTCCTTCGCTTCCCCTTCGTCTCACCGATACCTCCATCCCAGACTCCTCCCCTGAAGCAGGTACGCCCGAATACAAGGTCCCCGCTGTGACGAGTCTCGCCCTAGTACCCATCAAAATCATCGGCGCTGGCTGGGGCACCCTCTGGCACACCTTCCACATGGCCCAGACCGTGCTCAACCAACGTGCAGACGCTTCCAAATCCACCTGGTCGTTGATCAACGATTACACAAAGACAGGAGCTACGCAGACCGGTTTCAAGGAGTCGAACGATGATTGGTTCATGCTAGCCGTTATGACGGTGATTCCGATGTTGGCTTGCATTGCTGTGTTCGTGTTCGGTTCGAGGTCGTCCTCGTCCTAGATTCGAGAAATGTTAGGTTGGAGGAATGCATGGCGTGAAACCTCGATTGTCTGACCCGTTGTGAGCGTTCTTAAAGGGCGCTGTGATCAGCCTTGTGAAAAACGCTCTCGCACACGACGGCTGCGTTGATCCAGAAACGCCGAACTGCTGCGAACCTCTTCGACCACAACTTCGGCATAGCTTCTCTTGCGATTCCGATTCAGCTGCGAATTGACTCGCTCCACCACCTCGAAGTTGACATTGTCCAGTCTCCTGATCGAAGATCTTTCAGCAAAATTGAGATACCTGAAGCGACCGACATCCAAGCGTGTCACATTGAGGATGTGGACGATGCTTCCGACTGGAAATCGAGACTTGAAGACCAGCTGTTCCTGGATGGGCAGTTTGTTGGAGACTTGCAATACGGCGAACTCGCCTCTACCGAGATCGAGTGTCACGAGTCGGTCCAGATCGCGTGTGATGGTGTGCTGTGCGACTCGGGCTAAGAATGACATGCTCGAGCCGAACAGGGTGGTGTCGTGAAGACATGTCCAGAGCTGTGGAGCTGTCAGGTCGCGAAGCTTGATGTCTGAGCCAGGCACGATGTCCAAAAGGGGCAAGTCAAGGTGCGGAATGGGTGGCGTACGTATGTCATCGTCGGAGCCTTGGTCGCCGACTCGAGATGGAGTAGGCAATGAGGGGGCTTCCTGCTTTACGGGCGATTCGGCTGGTTGTTGGCGGCTTTGCGGAGAAGTGAAATACATGGGAGGAGGTTGACGGCCTCGCTTCTTGTAGTCGGCAACGACGGCTCGTACGCCTTTCAGGAATGTCTCGCGGTAACGACTGTCTCCGAGCACAGCAAACAGATCTGTGGTGGTGACGTTGGCTTCTTGGAGGAAGCAGTCGAGTTCAACGGTGTGAGCAAAGCTTAGAGATGGTGCGGACATCCTCTTTTAGTAGGTTCCTCAGAAATGGGCTCAAGACGATGAGGATACTGGCAAGATGGCATACGCCGCTGAAGACGTGCGCAGGACCCAGCTGGTGCCAAACGAAAAGCACCCTGATGAGGTTGTCGATAATGACAAGGAGGCGGCGATGGGCTTTCGAGCCTCGATACCAGCGGAGCAGCGGGATGATGGTGGTAGGGCGGAGAGTACTGGTCACTGATACAGTGATGCGGTACTGTATATAGGCAGAACTCAGCTTGATGCGGAACACAAATTGCGGAACTCTGGTCGGAGGAAGCCGACTAAGACGCGTGTCGACGGTACGAAATGTGACGAAACGTGTTCTCTCTCCGCTACTGTAGCGTCCGTCCCACCTTGCGATGCATAAGCGCAAGAAGGTTCAGATGCAAGTATCACACAAAGACATTTTCAGGACGTTGTTCTTTGGCTAAAAGATATGTTGAGCTTGTGCACGATTCTCCATCCAGAGACGGCTCGCCGAGCCCGTTCGCACTAGGAACTCGTTTCCGAACGGCGTAGCCATGCTGCATAAGCTCCAGTGACTCCAGCCACTACGACTTCTTCCGGATGACGGTAGCGAGCTTCTGAGACATATTCCGCTTCCGCACTCCTTGAAGGTTTTAAAAAGGAGTGTTCTTTCTCGTCATCCAAGCCTTTCACCATCATTCCCTCTCCAGGAAAACGTCAAGAACGAACTCAGAGGTACATGGTACTCTGACTCCACATAAAGAGATCGTCGTCCTCCTCTCGTCGCATAGACTTTGCGCTCGGAATTCTTCATCCTGTTTTTGCCCTAGTGGCCCGCATCCAATCCTCTACCATCATGCCGCTCCACTCACTCCCACGCCTCATGCCAACGCTTCTGACCTCGAGGTGCTCGACAGGTTCATCTCTCTCGCCGCAGCCGGTGCGGAGAAAGAAGAAATCATCGGTTTTCTATCCGTCCCCGAAAAGGGCGAAGGTCTGATCAAGGTCATCCAGTCACTGATAGGAACACGACAGACTGGCAATGCTGATGCACTTGGTGTGAAGCGGGAACGAGCGGAGTCGTCCGGTGACGTTGACGATGATGAGTCTGTCGAACATATTCGTGGCCCTGGTCGCAGATACAAACCTAGCTCGTCACTTGTCAGGCTTGATAACGGTGACGACCTTTTACCACTATACAACGGGAGCAGAGCCATTTCCTCTCGCAGCAATTCAACTGGCCGCAGCAACGATTCTGGTCGTGCTGTTGTACCTCTCCTCCCGAACCACAACGCTTATCGAGGTAACAGTACCAATTCTTCCCGCACCACTTCTTCTGGTCATAGCAACATTTCTTCTCGCGCTGATCCGCCCCTTCCCTCAAGCCGAAATGCTACCGCCCGAGCATGCCCCCCTCTTTCAATTCCGTCCGACTTCCTTCTCGGAACATCCTTCATCACCCCCCACGGTATCACTTCACCCCGCAAGTGGCTCAACTCTGACTTCGACACCCTCGTCGACCACTCCATGTCGTTCATCGCCATCATCGCCGCCAACATCCTCACCCCCACATTCCCCGAAACCCAGAAACGATACATTGTGCTCCATTTTGGCAATAACGATTGGAGCCTGCTCTACGTCCCCTCCACCGTCGGACTTTACAAAGACCCAACCCTGCACTTCACGTTCAAGGAGGGAACTCTTGTTCATCTCAAGAACGTTTTTGTCCACGAGAGCAAGCAGCGACACTTGCTCAAATTCACCGAGACTTCGTTCATTGAGAAAGTCGATACCAGAGATCCGCTCAAGCATTGCGCAGAATTCAATGCTCGTCTCAATGCGCAGCACAGGTGAACGGTGGGGCAGGTTTTCGTCCCATGGGTATATGTCATTGTAAGAAATGCCTGTCATACAGAGCAAAGTGACAATTCTCCTTGACAGTTCTACAAATGCACTCCTGTACATTTTTCGTGTCTTTCCGTGGTGAGATAAATATGATACATCCTTCAGGTCGGTGGCCCTACGTCTTGACGGGTGCGGAAGAGACAACAGCATTGTTGCCCTTCTCCTTGTTCTCCATCGAATCCGTGTTGGACCTAGTTCTAGCGCCCTCTTCGAACGTGGCAGGGTGATCCGCATCCAGAAGGCCCATCTGAGAAACGTCATATCCGTTGTCTGCGAGATATTGTCGGAAAGCCTCGTCCTCCTTCTTCATGCTGTCTTGACCAATAGTGGGGATAAAGAAGAAGGTAACAGCGGCTGAGAAGATGGCCAGGCCGCCAGCGATATAGAACGGTCCGGCAAAGTAGATATTGCTGTCAGGAGACCCGAGATCGGCCTGAATCTGAGGATAAGCGTATGAGCCACTGAAAGCGCCGATTTTTCCGATAGCGGCAGCGATACCGTACATCGTGCCCCTCACTGCTGCTGGTCCACAGGCCTTGCTGGCAAGGAGCCCGAGGTTATTTCCGGGCCCGAGCTCCCCGAATGACAGAAAGAGCCCATACACCACAATGAATCCGCCCAGGTGTTGACGAATCTGGCCGAATGCACCGCCCATGACGAAGGCAAGGACAGCCTGGCAGAGGAGACCGGTGATCATAGTGTATTTGGGACCAAGTCTGTCGGCAATAAGAGCACCAATGATGGTTCCGGGGAGGTAGAAGCAGTTGAGGGCGGTGGAATAGGCGAGAGATTTCTTGAGAACGGTGTAGTCGGATGCGCCATCGGCAGGGTTGAGTTGCTTCACGATGATAGAGCTGTAGATGCCTGATGGATAGGAAACGTAGTCGTAACAGAACCATGCGATGCAGACCGCCAACAGACGGACCCAGTATCGTTTGAAGATGAGCCAGTAAGGGACGTTCTTCTTGATCGCGCCCTTCTTGAAATGTTCGGGCTCGTGCATGCCCATTCGGAAAAAGAAAACGAGCAAGGGCGGGATCGCGCCGAGGCCGAGAGTGAGACGCCAGACCCAGGCAAGGTGCTTCATGCCGAAGATGAGGAGAAGAATGTAGGCGACGAGTGCAGCGACGACGAAGCCAAGGTCGATCATGGTGTTGGTGGCGATGATGAAGTACATCTGTTGTCTGTTCTTGTTGACGCCTTCGCCCTCGGTGTTCTCCGAGGCGGCGACGGAACCACTGGGATACTCGGCGCCGATGGCAATACCCATGATGAAGCGATAGGCGGACAGGGCGGCGAAGAGACCGCCGACGGAGCCACCAGCACCCCAAGCGCCGGCGATGAGGATGGACCAGAGCGTGAGCCAGATCGAGGCGAACCACATGCCATGGCGTCGTCCGACACGATCAACGATGAAGCCGAACAGCAGCATGCCAAAGACGGTACCGGCGAAGACGAGAGACGAAAAGCGTGATTCGAAGGTTGCGAAGCCAGGGTAGTCGGGATAGACATAAGACAGCACGGTAAGGGCGGGGCCGCTGGAGGCATTGACGTATCCATCTGAGAACAGAGCTGCACCGCACGCGAAGATGAGTCCTACAGCACCGAGGCGAGACTTTTTGGCGACGGGTTGGGCAGATGCGTCGTAGACCGGGAGGGAGGAGTCGTGGGTGGTGTCCTTCTCGCCAACAGGCGAGGATTCCTCGCGGCGGTTCATTTGGATGTCCGCCATCGCTGAATGTGCGTATGAAGAGGAGATGTGAGAGAGTGGAGGGAGGAGGGCGGAAAGGAACGACAAGGGATGGGAGCGACGTATATATGTCCGGCAGCCTCGCGGTTCAGCCGGTGGGACATGCGAACACGTTCAGGGGCTGCCGCTACGACCTCCTGTGTGTTCTTTGTGGGTCGCAGAAGATAGCGAAATCAGCTTGCAGATCTGGGTGGGTTCGGGCGAGAGAGCTGCGGTGCAAAAGGGCAGCACGGCATGCAGCGCGGTCCAAGCGGTCTTGCAGCCCACCGGCTACGCTACCACTCATCACAAAAGGTTGAGGATCTTTACGAGCCGTTGCGAAAGCCGCAACAGGTGATAGCCAGAGACCACAACCTCAACTCGGCTATTCCGTGGGTTTCGCACAAGCGAGCGAGGTACACACGAGTCCGACTGTGCTGCAAAAACGGCGGTCGGATGTGGCCGCGGGCGGCAGCGCAAAACCCTTTTCCGCTTCTTTTGGTCCTCGTGACGGGGGTCGCTGTGTGGAACGACGAAATTTTAAAGCTCAGAAATGCCGCTTCGCGCTATTTTCCCCCGACCACGGTTGCCCAGAAAAAGGCATGCGCGGCAATGCAATGCACTGCGAGGTCACTCTCACTTGTGGGTTGATCCAATCGCAACGCGGCTCGAGAGCGTCCACGTTCGCTCGAACCTGCCGAATTCTGCAAACCTTCATCTTGATCCGCTCTGAACAGATCGAGCTCCGGCCGCTATCGTTTCGACTGTTCAGCAGGTGTGCAGCTTCACGTCTGCCGCCGGCTCGGATGCAACATTGTGCTGACAAGACACGTATGCTTTCTTGACACAGCCGAATTTTCACAGTCCCCAACGGTCTGAAGCCTCTTCGCACCCCGACCTGGTGCCAAGCAGGCGTCCTCGTACTCATCTCGGCGGTCACGTTCTAGAGGAGCCTGTTGCTGAGCGGTATGGCCCCGGACACGCCGGTGTATCTGCGTTGTGCCGATAGTGAGGAAGGGGGAGTTTGAAACCACCCGCCTCGCGTAACCGCCTGTCGCCGCCTGAATTCGCCTCGTCTTGCAAGCGAGCGGCTTTATCCAGAGCAAAGCACTTCCATTTGCTTTTCTCCGCGAGTCGCGAAGCTTCTGCGTTCCTAGGCTAATTCCCACGTTGACAGATCATGTTTCTGTGTCGCATCTACCTCCAGAATGGACATATAATCTCTCTACTGCCATGTCCCCATCGTTTCAGCGTTGTAATTGAGGCTCTTGCAGAGCTGCATTGAAAAGCTATGATGTTTGAGTCTACCGGCCGATATTTACTCTCCCCGACTTCCGAGAAACGTGTCAATTTTTTGACGTTTCTTCTAGAAATGTAGAAGCCACACGACTCGGTGCTCGTGATGCTGTTGAGCGGTGCTACTCCGCAAAGCTTCGACCCTCTTCCACAACAGCCTAACGAAGGTACGGCGGCCGCCTCATCATCATGGAGGACTTACTCAAGGCTCTTCGTAATATAGGTCTGTCCTTGCCGGATCCCGAGCAGCTCCTCCAACTCTCGGATCCGGACACCGAGGTTCAGGACAACCTCGCTCGTCATCTTTCCCTCACACCGGCCAAAGACGATCTTGTGCCCGACGAGCAAGACTCCGGTATTGACGGCGCAGAGACAACGACTCAGGAGGATGAGGATGAATCTGCTTTGGATCCTCTCATGGACGCGGACCTATTCAAAGGCGCCGTACAAGCACTGCTCGAGAACTACAATAAATCCATAGACAAAGAGAGGGACTTTCTACGCAAAGAGCAAGACGCCCTCGCCGCGCCCAAAAAGCTCAAGCCAGTGCCATTGAAAGCACTTCTGGCCAGGCAAGCAGCAGAAATCAAGAAGCGTCAAGAGGAGGTCTATACTGCTGGCCACGATCCAGAATCCGGTCGCAAGCGCAGAAGGCTCTACCTTCCACGTCAGACCTTCGACGGCGTAGGCAGCTATGCTTCGGACACTCCGATAGATCATCTCAAACGCGTCGATGCAGATGAGCTCGAAGCGCCCAAAAGATTCAAAGGTCGGTACATCCTTTGCAAAGTAGCCTCCAGTCTCAACCTCTACGTCAGCTGCACCTTCATCGGCGTGCTCCCGTCCGGTAACGCGATCCCAATCAGCATCGCCCACTTTACAAGCAATCTGCATCTCAGCGGAGCACAATTAGATGCGCATCTTCCCGTAGGAACAGTGATCGCGATACGGGAGCCTTACATCAGTCTCAACCACTTTGCAAAGGGCGGGCCGTGCCAGGGTGGAAAGAGCGTTCCCGGTGTTCGCGCAGACACTCCTACAGACGTTCACATTCTCGACCGCTGCAGCGAGCAAGATAAGAAGATCCTAGAAGAGGTCTCTTGGAAAGTCGACGTGGCACAAGACGACGATCAACATTTCAGCGATGTCAAATCCTTGCTGTGCAATTCTCCCACCGCGGCTAACAGTAGGGGCTGCCGATGGCTTCAAGATGGGCCGCTCGCTCGCATCGTCGTCTCCTCTTCCTCAGAGCATCTCGAACAGCTTTTGGGGACCCTCTCAGCGGAAGAGAAGACGGGGCTGGGCAGACGGACGCATTCGCTCATCCAGTCGTTCCTCAGCGAGAATCGTCCGGGAGCCGCACACCGCGAACTCTGCGCCGCTCGCATACTCGGCATTCCGCTCTCCAACAAACCGGACAGCGCGACAGCCGAAGGCCTCGAGCTCGAAGGACAAGTGCTCTACAAGAAGTGCGACTTCGCAGCGAGTCGTCTCGCGTTCGAAGCAGCTCTCTCCGCATACCCTCGCTCACAGCGTACATCAGCACAAGACCGGATCCTCGAGACCCTCAACACCGTTCGATCCGCACAGAAGGCATCTGCGCTCGGTCCCACGCATGAGAACGTGTGGGCATACTACTTTGACTCGCAATCGTATGCAACTCCACGCTTCGACATTCAGGATTGGTTCGGACCTGTCGCGATCGAAAACATTCCCGGTGCAGGGAGAGGGTTGGTTCTGACACGAGATGTGGAGGAAGGAGAGTTGCTGCTGTGCTGCAAAGCAGCTGCATCGAGCTACGCCGCCGAGACTGGGTCCAGAGGTGTTTTTCTGTTGCGATACTCGGTCGAATCGGGGGTCACGAGCACGACGACGCAAGTGTTGGCAGCGACCAAGAGCATTCAGGCGATGATCGATAGACCAGACGAGCTGACGCTGCCCATCATGGGTTTGACGGCGGGCCCGGGGATGGAGTATTCAAAGTGGGTTGCGGCAGAGTACCCTGCGCCTCCGCATCGCGACTACACGGACGAACAGACACCAGCAAGTCAGATAGATGCGCTCGTTCAGGCCTGTTCATCGCAGCTCGATCTCAGCTCTGCTCGGCAAGACGAGTGGCGTCGAGTGATCCTCAATGGCTCCATGCGCCCTTCAATCGACTCGAGCTACGTCGACGGTGTATTGCGTTTCAACGCCTTCGGACCAGCTGCGAACCCCGGTGGCAAATCGACCTCTACCACCACCGACAAATTGCAGCAAGACTCCGAGTTGACGCGCTCGACCATGGTGCACCCACTTCCGGCGATCCTCAATCACGCATGCCTTCCCAACGTGTCATCCGTGTTCTTTGGCGACATCGTCACCACGCGTGCACTTCATCCTCTGAAAAAGGGCACAGAGATCATGCATCAGTACGTCAAAGGCGAACAACCTTGGCTCATCCGTCGGTCGCAACTGTCCAAGCACGGATTCAAATGCAACTGTGGTATCTGCCAGTTGGACGAACGAGACGGCGAGGAAAAGGTGCGAGAAAGAGGTCAGATCGTTGGAGGGTCGTTGTCGATGTTGCAGGAACGAAGTCGGATCGTGCTCAAGTCGTCCACTTCAACGGATCAATCGCAGGAAAAGCAGGAGGATGACCGTCGAGATCTGGCCGAGTCGCTCGAAGAGATGGTGGGAAAGGTGCAGGCGACGTACGACGCCTCGAGGCCGGGATTGCGTCCGGATCTGATGAAGATCTATCAGCTCAAGGCGCTGCACGAGAGCGCGTACGATGTTGACGCTGCAGTTGCATCGGAGCTAAAGGCGCTCGAATCGATCGGATGCACAGTATCGAAAGGTGGCGAGGGCAGGATACTGAACGAATTGCCGTCGTTGCACTTTGATGGCGGGATCACGTCGATGCTTACGCTGGCGAAATGGAGCGTCAAGCAGGACAAGATGGACGAGGCGAGGAGGTGGGTGGAGCAGGCGTTCTACACTCATCAGTGTACGATCGGTGGCGGGTTGGACATCTTCTGGGATCGCTGGCTGGATGCTTTCCCAGATCTTCCGTATCGTGATTGGCTGCCCCGATGCTAGACTCCCTCAACGCAAGGACTGTCGAGATGCCAGAAGAGTGCGATACGATGCATCTGCGCGTCTTCGTGACGTGTGGTACTACTTTTATTGATCCATGACGTGAGCTGTGATAAAGATACCTGCTGTTACTCTTCGCCTACCCATCTGGAAGCTACATCACCGATATGAGGCAAGTAGGGATTCCGCGACAGTGAAGGTGCTGATTTGTTGGCCGTCGATCTGTGAGGGTTTGGATGCAGAGCGAGTCAGTCGTCTCTTCACAACATGGGGATGTCATCAGCGAATCCGTGTATATCGCACTTACGCATTGACCCAGAACCATCCATAAGCGCCCATTCCAACCAACAACCCGATCGTTTTCAAACCCAACACCGTCCTCAATATCCACAGCAGCACGATCAGTCCGACGCCGCTCAATCCCGCCTGATACGCATGAAACCTCGCCAAATCGTTCTCGGTCTCCCAGATCAAGACGAATGCCGAACTGAACGGCGGCAATGCCCATGCGATAGCACAGATGCTGCTAAGACTCCACGCTTGTGATGTTCCGAACGAATGCGACAACCCACCTCCTCCTCCTCCGGAACCGCCCTGAAACGATGTCGGTTGTTGATGTTGCTGCTGCTGCTGCCATGTTGATGCGCCTCGTGATGGCTGTTGTGATTCGACAGCGGAAGCTGCGTCAAAGACGACGTTGTTGGATGAAGGTTGGTGTTGGTATGATTCGGTTGCGTAGCGCGGGTCGAGGTCTTCGTCGAGCGACTCGCGGTAGGAGGCGCCGCCATTGTTGATGAGCGGCTGCTTCTGTTCTGACATCGTTGCGCGCTGCTGACTGACCCAATGTTTGTCGAGAACGGTGTATGTGAATGGTGAGAGAGAGGAGGCCGTGTGGTGCTGCTGAGAGGCAAGAACAACACTTTCGACGTCGAAGGGTGCGAATTCCGAATCCACATCTTTTCGGACGAAAGGAGATCTTTGGCTTGTCGGCAGCTGGCTCGAGCGCACACAACATTGAGGCGGTGAAGTTAATTAAAGCTCTGATGCGGTGCGCCATTTCGGCTGCACACCTCCACAAAGTGCGCCTTGACAATATGCAGGCGCAGCAGCAGCATCGGCATCTTTTGACAGGACGTCGTGTGCACCTGCCTTCCCTTGACGTCGCTCGGAACTAATCTGTGCTTGATTCTACTGTCGGTCCCAAGAAGTCGGCTCGGCATCTCTCGACCTTCGCTTGAAAGCCTGTGTGACAACTTCGTCCGGGTTTGGCTTTCTTTCCTCCACTCTATCAACCCCGGACCTGCCACGAACAATGTCGGACAACACAGACCCAAACACCAAGGACGGCAAGGCGGCACCTTCCGTCCTCACCTCCAAGTTTGCCAAACTCAACCCTTTCTCCAAGACGGGCGCCTCCGATCCTGAAGGAGGCGGAGACAATCTCGGTGAAGAAGTCGAGTTTGACTCGATCGCCGGTGGTGGTCATGCGGCTCGACGAACCAAGATCACCAAATCCGAGCTTCGAGTTAGTCACGCTCTCAGGCAGTTCCTTGTCGATGAGAAACTCATTTCTCCTGCCGATGCACAGCTCGATGACCCGCAGGCTTCGAGCTCGGATGCGCTCAAGGCGCTTGTCGATCAGTCCCACATCGACGTTCCCGAATACGTTCGCGATCGTAGCAGACCTCTGAGCGAGTACTTTGTCAGCTCGTCGCACAACACGTACCTGCTTGCGCACCAGCTCTATGGCACTTCGTCGGCTATCGCGTACGAGCACGTGCTGGTAACCGGCGCGAGATGTGTAGAGATCGACGCTTGGGACAACGATGACGATCCACAGGAACCAAAAGTGACGCACGGATACACTTTGGCCTCTCACATCCCCTTCCGCGCCGTGTGCGAGACGATGAAGCAAGCCATCCAGAAGGAGGAGGAGGAAGCGCAACGAGATCAGAGCTTCAAAGTCGCACCTGTGCTATTGTCGCTCGAAAACCACTGCGGCCATGCCGGCCAGCAAAGGTTGGTCGAGATCATGCACGAGGTATGGGGTGACCTTCTCATCTCCGGACCCGTCGAGAAGAACGAGCCTGCTAGCGAGCATACCTCTGTCGAACATCTCGGAGCCAAGATCGCCGTCATGGTCGAGTTCCACCTGTCCAAAGAAGCGCCTGTCGCCGAAGCGACCGAGGAAGATGATGCCGAGGAGAAGCTCAACAAAGCCAAGCGCAACGAAGCCAAGAAAGCAGGTATTATCCCCGAACTCTGCGCTCTCGGCGTCTACGCCCAATCCGTCAAGCCGGTCAACGACTCCTGGTACACGTCCACGTTGACCAACGGTCCACACGATCATCTCATCAACATTTCCGAGACTGGTTTGATCGATCTTCTTCCCAAACAAGCCACGGCGATCAAGAAGCACAATGCGCAACATCTCATGCGCGTCTACCCGAAAGGCACGCGCATCAGCAGTAAGAACCTCAACCCGGTACCGTTCTGGGGAGTCGGTGCCCAGGTGTGCGCTTTGAACTGGCAAACCTTTGATCACAGCGTCCAGCTCAACGAAGCGCTCTTCTCCGGCTCGGACGGGTACGTCCTCAAACCACCCGGTCTGCGCATCGATGGTGATGGAAACACCTCTCTCGGTCGACACAAACTTACCCTTCACATCGCCGGTGCAACCGACCTCCCCTTACCCGCTGGCAAAGACGCCGACGAAATCCGACCCTACGTAACCTGCACCTTGATCCTACCCTCCGACCTCAAATCCGAACCCCCTAAACGCAAAACCAATGCCTACAAACAGCACAAACTCGGCATCATCCACAAGGGCGAACAACCCATCCCCACCGATCCCCTCTGGAACGAACAACTGGAATGGGACTTCGAACACGACGAACTCGCTTTCCTCAGGATCCTCATCAAGAGCGACGATAAGTTCGCTAGAAATCCGCTCTTCGCTGTCGCAGCGGTGAGGTTGGTCTATGCAGCGCAGGGATGGAAGTTCATCAGGTTGCTCGATTTGAAAGGTAGAGAAACTCATTCGACCTTGTTAGTCAAGTTTGATTTGCAGAAGCTATAGTCCTTCATCTCTCTCCCTCCGTCGTCTCTGCTCTTTTGTATATTGTTTCTTGTTTTGCAATTGCATCTTCGTCCACGTATTTTAGTTCACAATGCCACGCATCGACGCCAACCACCTTCACCAATAAGTAATCGCCCTGGCATCCAACTCGCTCAACCCGTGTTTCTCCCTCCTCCGCTTCTCCAACATCCACTTCTCGAACCACTTTGCCATCTTCGCCCGGCTCGTCGGATTCCCCACATTCACCGTCGCGATGATCCTATCGTACCTCGTCGAGAGCGCGAACGCGGTCAACTCAAAGAAGCTCGAATGCTCTGAATACGGTACGCCGTAGATCATGTAATCCGGCGTACTGTCCCTCGTCGGGTACAGATTTTGGAACCCAAACGACCGCGATTGGTTCCACTGGATCAGACGATCGAGACTGGGCGAAACCGTGTCCATCCCAGCGGGTGGTTTATACGTCCAGCCGGTGGGACGGAATGCTACCGCGTGCGTGAAGTCGTGACCGCGCGTACGGAGCGCAGCAACGACATCGCGGAGCCCTTCGCCGTTGATCGCGTGCAGATTGGTGACGTGCACCGATGCAGAGGGCGAACGGGTGAGCATCGAATGCAGTTCGGGGTCTTCGAGTTGTGCGTACACGCGGTACTTGCGTGAGTCCATGCAGAAGATCTTGGAGTTCATGGCGCGAGCTACAGCTTTGACGATCCGTTCCTTGCCGATGGTGTAGGTGCCGATGACGACGAGTAAACGACCACCGTCGCGACGCCGCATCGACGAGACGGCATCTCGTGACGTCTCGGAATGCTTGGTCAGCCAATTGCTTGCAGTTGCATCGTCTGGCGTCGTCGCCTTGACATCGGGTTTCGAATCGTCTTCCTCTTTCATCTCTCGTGCTGGCGAGTCCGTTGGCTCGACTTTGACCTGATCGTCTGCCTTCTCGCTTGCGAACGGTACATCGAGCAGGGAGTCGTCTGACGGCTCGAGCTTGACGCGAGGAACTGAAGTCTGTTCCGAGGCGTTCGCGGGTCTGTCGTACACGCCGTCCTCTTCCACCGGGTCTTCTTGGTCGAAGAGATCTTCGTCGTCGTATCCCAGACTCTCATCCTGTGCCTCCTCCTGCTTGATCGAAACCGCATCCGACTCTTCTTCAAATTTGATCTCGCCACTGCTCGAGTCCCTTGATATTGACGGAGGTCGCAGAGCCGTGATCGTACCGTCGGGGTTCTCGACTTTGGTCTCGAACCAACCCTTGAATGCGTTGGCCGAAGCGCTGTTGGTATCGACGCTTCCCTTGAGCTTGCGCGGTGGCGCTTGTGTCCAGTCCTCCCGTTCTCCAGCTTCGATCTGCTTTTGCATGAGAGCTTTGTTACATTCCAGCTGTGCCTCGGGCACTATGCGGCGCACGAGCTCGGCGCAGGCCTCGATGACCTGATCCTGAGCTGGGAAACAATATCGTGGGTTACAGTAAGTAGTGTCGAGGTAGATAATGTCAAGCTTCTTGCCGATGATGGAGGGGTGATTCGTGTGGACCGGACTGGCGCGAAAGTCGCCGCAGTGGAGGTACCGGAAGATCCTACCTGTGCCGATGTAAGGGCTGGCATGATTGCGCGAGAGCAGCTGCGATGTCTGCGGGCCTTCGAAAAGGAAGAGACATGATCCAGGACAGTGGTTGGCTTCGATACAGGTGACCGTGACGCCTCCGCTATCCGGCACCAGCACGGGGACTTCCATCGGGAGCGGTCTCAGCCATTGTGGATCAACACCGAGATGAGTGCGGCAGAGGTTGGCTGAAGTGAGGCTGCAGTAGATGGGACCGTGGTTCCAATTGGCAGTCATGCCTCCGTAGTGATCGCTGTGGAAATGAGTGAGAAAGTAACCGCGGCAACCTTCAATCTTTCCGAAACGAAAGGCGTCGACAGTGAGAGGCATGCCTTCGAGCGCTTTATAAAAGGGAGCTGTACGAGCGTCTGGTCGCGACCTTGCTTTGCCGCGGTAGTTTGCAGCTTCGACTGCATCTGCTGTGGCCCATTGTTTCGACTCGGAATGGGACTTCATAAGCACTGTGAATGCGGACGAGTCTGCGCGCTTGGCAGAGGAGAGAATGGAAGAGGGTGTCGTTGATGATTTCGTGCCTGAGACGGCTTGAGCCGTGACGCCGGTGCCTTGTATAGATGCATTGGTCGGTGCGACGGTTGCGTCTAGCGTCGAAGCTAGCTCGGATATAGATGTGAGTTTGGCTGGTTGCGGCTGCGTCAGCCTTTGTGCGGTGGCTGCTTCAGTCTTTAGAGGACGTAAAATGTCGGCAGGTGGTGCAGGCGAGCATGATTGGCCGGGAGAGGCATCCTTGGCTGGCGATAAAGGCTGCTCGTTGACATGGTCCCGCAAAACCTGTGGCTCTTGATCTATTGTGTCTGCAGCATCGAGGCAGGTATTGACGTGAGCCTGTACCGTGTTGAAAGGAATCTTTCGGCCGCAGATTGGACAGTCGGCTGTGCTTTCCGCTTTGCTATCGAGTCGAGGCTCATCACAGTGCTGTTGATCCGAAGGTGTGCGTTGTAGTGAGTCGGAGCGATTCGGAGAGGACGATGAGGAGGGACCATTGCCGAAGAAGGAGAGAAGAGACGGCTGAGCAGTGCCACTAGGTCCAGCCTGTTTAGAAGGACTGGACGATGCCACTTTCCTCCTCTTCGGTGGTGAAGCAACGGCGGACGGTGCCATGTTTCCGATCCATGTCTCCAGCTTCAGCTCGAATCCGGATGAAGGGCGCGCAGGTCAGAGATGATGGTTGAAGTAGGCGGTTGAGTGGCTGAGCAGTCCAGAAACTCAGCCGCGGAACGTCCTGCTGCACCTGGGGTGGTGGTGCATATTCAGCCTGCAGCCTGCAGCCTGCACTCTGTCTTGAAATTCTGGCTCAGGGTTCAATTTGTGTAAAACCTCAAATTGTGCCTCACGTACGAGTGAATATGTTAGATCATCCATAATGCAGGGGCCTTTCGGATTGACGTCGCACACTTTCGGGTTCAAAGTGTTGCTGTCCTTCGTCATCATCACGGTGGAGGACCTTTGACGACAAACCATCAAACCTTTTCCGCCTCCACATCGCCCAATCATGTCGATGGCACGACCTGTTGTTGGCAGCGGCCTTGGTAGGTATTCTGGTCCCGCAGCCTCGCAGCCTCATGAACGATCGGCCGACTGACATTGATACCTTGGTCCTTTACGTCGTCCTGTTATGACTACGTTTCACCTGCATCCGACATCAATAGCCAGCTGCTGTACAGTGGTCTCGGTATTCGGCGCCGTCATTCTCGCAATCTTCGGCTACGGCTTCTCGCACAATTGGCCGGCGCTCATGGGCAGCACCGAGGATCCGCAAGACGGTTCGGCGGTGGGAACAACTTGCTACATTGCCGCCCTCATTTATATCGCCTTCATCGCCTTTTGCGGTTGTCAGCTTGGGGTACATCGAAGGTACAGCCGCATCCAACTGTAGTTGTGGCCTCAGCTATACATCACTCGTAGGTTACCGCCCTCGCTGTCAAACACTTCAGCTTCTCGATCACATACTTGCCTTTTGCAAAACATACCATTCCTTTAGACATTCTGCGATGAATTCTCATAAGCAGGCATCTGCTGCCCCTGTGGCCAGCCTGACAACTAATACCCGCGAGAAGCGGCGACAATCGGCGACCGCTGGTTGAGCATTGAGCGCATATCACCTCCGGGGTCCTCTATGAGCTTGTGTCAGCAGCATCCTGCATGGATGTCCAGAGACAATAACAGAGAACACAGATCGACGATTCCGAGACAGGCAGGAACCGTAGGTCTTCGCTACAGTTGAAGTCAAAGTGTGCACATACTTCTCCGTCGAGCGGAATGAAGCCGCTCCCTAGGAGCGAGGACAGTATCGCACGCGAGTGAGACTACGCTACCTCGCAGAAACGCTCAGATGGATCTCGTATCGGTCGATCGACGATCGACAATCGGGCGAATCCCTCGGTCTTGAATCAAGCGTCATTTGAAGATCGCTTGTTGGTAGGCGAAGACAAGGTGGACGGCATCAACGACACTTGCCAAGCCTTGTGTGTGTGTGTCCAGCCATCGGCAATTTGTTGTTGGACTCCGGGGCCGATTCAAATACACGCGGGAGCCGCGGTGTAGCCTGTTGAGGAAAGCAGCCGCAAATATTTCACCTTGCTTCGACCTCGGCAGCCACACACATCAGCGCGAAACGAAGGCTCGGCTCGCAATAAAAAAAGGAGAAACGCGGCTCCCTCTACGGCGGCTATGGCTGTATGAGAGTGTGTGTGGCGATTCGATGGTCTGTCGGCTCCACTTTGCGCGGCTCATCGGGCTAGTCCTTGAATCGTTCAAGGCGGCCCATGTGATAGAGTTGCGTTGGGGCAACAGGTCCAAGCGTGCAAATTAGAACTGAAGAAGCATGGCGTAGCTGCTACCGACTTTGCGGATCAAGACAGGATCGACCCTAAGCAGCGGCTCTTGCAGGAGCCGACGTTCCACCATGATTTGGCTTTCCGCTCGCCTCGCCTCTCTGAGCAGCGGTTGCTGCGTCGTCTGCCGCCTTGTCTAATCGACAGGTCGCATTTCAATCAAGGTTGTCCCTGGCTCAGCACCTACAGCCAACCTGGAAAGCCAATGTGCAAGGCACAACGAGCGTGTCTGCACCACTTTGTCGGAGAATATGCGAGTAATGACGCTGTGCTTTTCGATCCTTTCAAACACCATTGTTTTCATGCACCCTTTCTTCTCGTTCGCATCTTGGTCCCTTGAGCAGCGGCTGAAGGATATTCACAGCTGGCGGAGCATGAATCGCCAGTCTGCCATGGCGAAAGGAGTTGGAGATGCCCCGGCGCTCATTGGCGTAGCTGGCGAGCGCTTGGACGGATGTGTGTGTTCTCGCTTATTGTGGCTTGGGAATGGAACCGCCCTTGACAAGTGTGGAGGCGCCCCTTGGCCTCGACCAACCCGCAATGGCGACGGCTCTCGAATAGTACCCGATCCTTCTCCGCTCGTTGTTGTCTTTGTGACCATCATGGTCGCTGCGAGCATATATACAGCTCGTAGTATGAGCGAAATTGCCCCGTCTTTCCCCGCAGACTCACCTCTCCGTTGGCAGAACACGAACTCCACCACCGGACCGAAAATCGACCATGTCGGTCCTCGTTCCAACAGTGCAGGCCTCGTTTGAGCACCTTACGCCTACCCATGTCGCCATCGCTTCAGCGCTCATCCTCGCTCTCCTATGCCTCATCGCACCCGATCGTTACATCTTTGCATCTCACCGCAAAGGCATCAAGGAAGTGCCCGGTGCGCTGCCTCTCGTTGGCAACCTTCCCTTCCTTCTCGACATTGCCGCTAAACGACGCCGCTTCCTCGATGAGTTTCTCCGTATGCAGCTCACCATCGGCTCAGGTGGTATGCCCTGGGCAGCGACCTTCCCGTTTCTTGGTGGCCGAGTCACTTCGATCAACCGCCCAGAGTACATCCGCTGGGTGCAAAAGACCAACTTTGAAAACTACGTCAAGGGTCGCTTCTTCCAGAAATCCATGGGAGATGTCATGAGCTTGCACGGCATCTTTGTCGCCGATGGAGAGGTGTGGAGGAAACAGCGCAAGATGGCTTCCCACATCTTTAGCGTCGGCAACTTCCGCACGCACGTTCAGAACACGATCCAGCGCGATCTGGGAGTCCTCAACAAGCTCTTTGGCGATGCTAGTCGCAAGAACGCCGAAATCGACTTGCCGGACCTGTTCTTCCGATTCACGCTCAGCTCATTCTCGCTCATGGCGTTTAGCGCCGACATCAAGTGTCTGCCTTCGAACGTCGACGATCTGAGCAAGGTCGTCGAGTTTGCAGCCAACTTTGACTACGCCCAACGTGTAATGGACGAACGATTCGTGGATCCCCTGGCTCAATTCACCGAGCTCTTCTCGCCTCAGGGGAGGAAAATGAGGAGGACAATCAAGCAGCTGCACAACTTTTGCTACGAGATCATTGATCTTCGACTCGCTGCTCGTGCCAGCGGTGAGGCTCAGGCTGCATCGGGCAAAGGCGACAAGGACCTTCTGGCGCTGTTTATGGAACAGAACTTGGGTCGTGACGAGCTGCTTCCTGTGGTGCTCAACTTCTTAATTGCTGGTCGCGACACTACGGCGCAGGCACTCGCATGGTTGTTCTACGAGCTCTCAAAGAATCCCGAATGCATCCAAAAAGCACGCGAAGAGGTGCAAGAGAAACTCGGCTCCGGTTCGTCCTTCCGAAGCATGGCGTACGACGATCTGTCTTCGCTCGTCTACGTCCAGGCGTGCTTCCTGGAAGCGTTGCGTCTTCACCCCTCGGTACCCAAGAACATCAAGGTGGCGGTCAAGGACGATGTGATTCGTCCCTACGCCCAGCAGCAATCCTCCGACGCCGATGTCGCCCCCAATGCCGTCCCTACCACACAGAAGCTCCCCGACCTCGTCATCAAGGCAGGCGAAACAGTGACATGGCAGGACCACACCATGGGACGAATGCCCGAACTCTGGGGACTCGATTGCGAAGACTTTAAGCCGGAACGTTTCATCGAGCAGCGAAAAGACGGCTCGATGGGTATCAAGACTTACTCGCAGTACCTCTTCCACGCCTTCAACGCCGGACCGAGGTTGTGTCTGGGTCAGACGCTGGCGACGTACGAGGGATGTGCGGTGGTAGCCGAGATCCTGGGCAATTTCGACGTGGTCTACGATCACAAGGCGTTGAAGGAGGACGAGCCGACGTACGACGACTCGCTGACGCTACCGGTCAAGAATCCGTACAAGATTCGCGTGCGCGCGAGGGATGATTGAGCTTTGCTGTCGAAGCTTTTCTGTTGGTGACGCCGGTTTCTCAGATACCCGATCGTGTTGTGTCGCAACTGTTGGATTGATGCAAAGCTGCTGTGCTGTTGCTAATTTCTAATATATCTCGCTACCAAGTCGAGGAACGTGCGTTGCCGTAGTACGTCAAACTGTCGGACTTGTTACGTGAGAGGACGCTACCATTGAAGTGAGAGCACATAACACCGTTAATCGCCGTGAGACACCAACACTTGACCCTTGATCAATTTGAAAATCATACCTGTACGACGATCCGACCCTTTCGTCTCCCGCCGGTACAGCAGCGAAGAAGGTGGGCCAAGAAACGTTCACACTGACCCAGCCGAAGCTGATGCAGAGCAATTCGAGGTGGAAGCCGTCTCGGAAATTTGAAATTCATCTTCAATCCGGAGCCCGAAAGGGTCAAGGTCTGCTTCGTCCAACGCCACTCGCTCGCTACCAGGCAGAGCGAGGCAAGGGGTGAACCTGGAGAAAAAGGGGAATTTGAAATTCGATTTTTTTGATGGCTCTCACAATCCGTTCGCCGCCATGGTGCTGCAGCGGGTCCATTCGGCGGTGGTTTAGAAGTGGTTCCTGCTATATAACTCAGGTGTGGTACACGATGAGCAGTGCGGCGGACGCATCGGTCTCTTTAGCACCACCACCACCACCACCACTGCGGCGAGCTGAAGGCTGATCAGCCTGCCAATCACCATCGCGTATCCTACTTCCGTCACAAGATTCATCGGTTGACCATCGTTTCTCGCACGGAGCTCTGTGCACCGCAAGCATCACAGCCGCAACAATGTCGAGCTCTACACTGCAGGGGCAACCAGCACCCACCTCAGCAGCAGCACCAGCATCCACATACCACAAGGAAGTCTCACCCCTCCACCACACATCACATCAAAGCCCAGCGAGCACCATCGTCGACGACACCACCACAGCCCCACCCTCCCCTTCCACAGCCAACGAGGATGGTCTCATCCTCGATTCCAGCGGCGGAGTACCTAAGCTGCGCTCAGCGCTTCAGGACGCACGAGACTCTACCGGTGCTGCCAAAGGAGTTCTCCTCTCCCTCGGGTGGCTCGATCGACTCCTCTCGCTCTTCATCATCATCGCTATGATCCTCGGCGTCGTCATTGGAGAATTCGCACCCAATGCAGCACAGAACTTGTCCAAGGGAAATTTCCGCGGTGTATCTGCACCCTTGGTGGTCGGGTTGATCGTCATGATGTGGCCCATCTTGACGAAAGTTCAGTACGAGAGGTTGCCGCAGATGTTTGCGACCAAGAGGTTGTGGTACCAGCTGGTGGTGTCGTTGGTGCTCAACTGGGTGTTGGGTCCGTTCTTGATGCTAGGTTTGGCTTGGGCGACACTGCCCGATTTGGACGATTACAGGGTGGGGGTGATCATGGTCGGACTCGCTCGATGCATCGCCATGGTCATGATCTGGAACAAGATCGCCAGAGGTGACAGCAACACGTGCGCCATCATCGTCATCGTCAACTCTGTCCTTCAGATCGTACTGTATGCACCGCTGGCGGTGCTCTTCGTCAACGTGATCTCCAACGACGACGGATTCCGCATCGACTACTCGGACGTCGCCATCGCTGTCGCCATCTACCTCGGCATCCCACTCGCTGCTGGAGTCCTCACGCGCTTTTTCGTGCTTGGAGTCTTTGGACGCGACTTTTTCCACCGAAGGTTCCTCCCCTTCTTCGGCCCGCTCTCGCTCATCGCCCTCCTCTACACCATCATCATCATCTTCGCAGAGCAAGCACAGCACATCCTCGACAACCTCGGACCGGTTTTCCGCACCTTTGTACCTCTGGTGCTCTACTTTGCACTCATGTGGACCGGAACTTTCGCCTTAATATGGTGGCTGAGTGTCCGCTACGGAAAGACAGAGTGGGGTTACCAGATGGCTGTCGTGCAGGCGTTTACCGCGGGAAGCAACAATTTTGAATTGGCCATCGCGGTCTGCGTGGCAGTGTTTGGTGTGGGCTCGGATCAGGCGTTGGCAGCGACGATCGGACCGTTGGTAGAGGTGCCGGTGCTGTTGGTGTTGAGTTGGGTGGCCATGTTCGTGGGGAAGAGGTTGAAGTGGGACAGGGGTCTGGAGGCAAGTCAGAGGCGAGTCAAACAGAGGAAGCAGCAAGAGGCAGTTGCCGATCTGGAGAAGTAGGCAAAGCAACGCCATGCCTCGATCGACATTCAGACTGCTTCTGTAACATTAGCTTTTAACGACACACGGACTCTTTGCATCTCACATTCAATCTCATGCATGCATTCACAGTTAGGCTCGACATCGACGAACATTGTCGTCACACCCTGTCTGCCCAAGTCGAGAACTAGATCGCATTTGCATTCCCGAGATTGTGAGCAATACAGCCTATGCGGTCAAGCCACGTTGCTTCGCGCTTAGTGCTTCTCGATATCCTGCTCGAGCACGAATCGGTAGCGAATGTCGTTGTCCTCGACCCTCTTGACCGCCTTGCTGCAGTCCTTCATGGGCAGCACCTCGACCCAAGGCTGGATGTCCTTGTCAGCGGCGAGCTTCAGCATCTGGAGAGCCTCCTTCTTGCTTCCGATGTGCGACGAACCCATGAGACAGCCGTTGCCGGCAAAGTTCTGGATGCGAACCTTGAAGACGTCCTCGGGCATGCCGACGCAAATGAGACGGCCGTGCACCTTGAGCGTGCTGAGGATCGAGGGGAGGTCAACAGCGTTGGAGGAGGCGGTGTTGATAATCAGGTCGAACGGCTTGGACTTGTACTCCTCGGCCCAGTCGGGGTTCTCGCCGGTCGAGACGAACTCCTTGGCGCCCATCTTGAGCGCATCCTCGCGCTTGCGAGGGGAGTGCGAGATGGCTACGACCTCTGCACCGAGAGCGTGCGCAAACATGACACCGAAGTGGCCGAGACCGCCGATGCCGACGATTCCAACGCGCTTGCCGGGGCCGGCACCGTTGCGGATCAGAGGCGAGAAGAGCGTGAGACCACCGCAAAGCATGGGAGCGGCGTGCTCAGACTTGAGCTTCTCAGGGATGGGGAAGACAAACTGCTGCTGGGTCCTAATGTTGGTCGAGTATCCGCCCATAGCCTTTGTACCGCAGTGGTGCTCTGCGTTGTATGTGTCTACGAGACCCTTCTTCTGCGACGACTTGGAGTTGGCAGGGGTTCCCTGGCAATATTGCTCTTCTTCTTGAACGCATGGGACGCACTCTCCACAGGAATCTAATGAGGGAACAGGAGAGAATGTACGTGGTAATGTCAGCGGAGCGATTCGACGAAAGAGTATAGGAGTCATCCGACACGAGAGGTTGTGAAAGTGGAATGCTACAAGATGAAGATGATGGAGTTGTCGAAGACGAGAGGCTGGCGGAAAAGAGGCCCGTGGGTTGGCGCCATTTCTGACAGCCGGATGACGTGCCTTTTCATTCACATCCGCATGAAAGAAGGCCGTCCGTGTGTAGCGGGTCCAGACCGTGCGCAAGATCATTTCTGTACTTACCAACTTGGGCACCAACACCGACGCGGTCGCCGACCTTGATGTCCTTAACGTTCTTTCCGACCTTGGTGGCGATACCGACAATCTCGTGACCGGGAATGCAGAAGTCGTGGTTCAGAGGACCCCAGCCGCCCGAGATGGTGTGGACGTCAGAGCCGCAGACACCACAGTGAGTGATGGCAATGTCGACATCGTCGTCAGTCTCCTTCTTGAGGTCGAAGTCGAAGACCTTGAAGTCGGTCCAGTTCTTGGTGTCGGCGATACCGTATCCGCGAGGCATGATGGGCAGGAATTTGATGGAGCTGTGGTGTGTTATGAGAAAGGGGTTTGTGTGATGTGGTACAGAAGGAAGGTCGACCCAATTTCTGACGACGGTCTTGTCGGTCTGTGGCTGACTGAGTTTGGCACACACCACGGCTATAGAACGAAACGTGGCATTCGAGCACAGTCAACATCTCGGAGCGATGACACAAATCGCTCACCCCACGTTGACAAACGTTTTTCAGCCTTGTCTGGTCGTTCTTCCAATTCGCATTTCTGGCGCCCCGTGCTCGCTTTCGTGCTCTGATGATGTCGTGAGCCGGTTGCTGACCAGGAACAGAAACACTGGTCTATTGCCGCTACTCCACTCGTCGCACACGACATCACCTCTTTTTTCCTCGATTGATTTGCAATTTCAAAATCCGTCTGCCCTTTGAGAAGGTCTCGCTCTAGTGACGCTTCGAACAACGCTTCGGTGATTTTTTCACGCCGTTCGGCATTCGATCATACTGCACAAGGACTGACCCGAGTGGCTTGTTCCTGTGTTGTGGACCGGCGAGTCCGATTACATTTTGATGCCGTACAGGTCACCGACCACGAGCCTGCGGTTGTCAGGCGCGTTACACTCCGGCAGGATGATTCGTGAAGAGTTGACTTGACAGCTTCCTCATGATCCCTCGTGAGTGGCTTGGCTTGCTTTCTGTCACTGCAGAGTACATGGCAAAGAAACGCGGGATCGATGCTGTTGCAGTTGAACAGCCAGAGGTTGCCGATGTCGACGTCGAGTTTAGCCTTTCGGTGCGACGATTTCCTTCTATTATTTTGTGTCCGCAATTTCTGGCACTATTTTCCCAGCAGATTTCCAAATCTTTTTTCTTGCAAGATGCGCAGTTGATCCAATCTTCCAAAGCAACACTTTTTGCGCACGATCTGCTCTTCACCTACCAACACCAACCATCAATCCAGCCCACCACATCGCCACCTGAAGCATGTCGATACCACACGCAACATCGACATCCGCAGCAATGCTCCCCACCGTCGTCGCGGTCTCCATCGCCTCCCTCACCGTTGGCTACTTCCTCGGCATGGGACGCTCGCTCCTCTCCTACAATGCCAACACCCGACGCGTGCTCTCCACCTCGTCCGATTCGTCCGACCTGGACTCCGAGGACGAGCTCGCCGCCATCTCTGACAACTACGCAGCATCCGGCTCCGGTCTCGAATCTGAGGAATGCAAGATGATTCTCGTTGTCAGGATGGATATCAAGATGGAAAAGGGCAAGATCGCAGCGCAGTGCGGACACGCTACGCTGGCAGCGTACAAGCTGGCGAAACGCGTGACGCCCAAGTTCATCAAGCAGTGGGAGAGAAGAGGCCAGGCCAAAGTGGCGGTGAAATGTCCGGATGAGGAAACCATGCTCGCGTTGGAGAAGAAGGCCGGAGAGTTGGGGATCGCGGCGAGGAGCATCGTGGATGCGGGGAGGACTCAGATTGCACCCAACACAAGGACGGTGCTCGGCTTGGGTCCGGCTCCCGTTTCCTTGATGAACCAGCTCACGGGGCATCTCAAGCTTCTCTAGACGACCGAAGTTTGTACCACATTCGCAAATAGACGATCGAGCCATTCAGCTCTGCAGAAAAGACGACATCTAGATTGAACAAGCCTTAAATGGGCGGCACTTTGTGAATCGATTCCTCAATTGATCGCTTCGCCGACCATCGACTTCCACTTGCGCTGAATCTCGATCGATTCGCGGAAGATCCTGTACTTGACATCCAACAACTTGGCCAACTTCTCATCCTTCTGCGGGAAGACCAACGTTCCCGGCTTGGTCATCCTCACCATCAAATCCCACAGATGGTCCTTGTACTTGAACGAGCTGTCTTCCGCTGTCTTTTGGTCTGCGATCATCGTCGGCTCCTTCGGCGCAAACTCACCACTTGCACCTGAAGACTTTGGATCTTTGACATCGGCCGCGAATCTTCCGAGGATCGCAGAGCCAGCGACGACACTCGCGCTCGAACTGAACGGAAGTTGAACCGGCATATCGCAGACGTCGGCGATCAACTGCATAAAGACGGGATTCTTGACGTGTCCGCCGCTCATGTAGATCGAATCGATCTTGTGTCCCTTGGCGTTCATCGATTCGACGATGTGTCGTGTTTGCAGGGCGATGGCTTCCAGCGTGGCGTAATATTTCAGAGCGAGGTCGGCGAGCGAGCGGTCGAGCTTGAGTCCGGTGATCATGCCCTTCATGGTCGAATCGGCGAGCGGCGAGCGGTTGCCGTGAAAGTCCGGGTAGATGAACAGATCCTTGGTGAGGAAAGAGGCATGGTGCAGGGATGCTTCGGATGCCAGCGAGTCGATCTTGTCGTGTAGAACTTGGAAGGGCGATCGGTTGGTTTCAGATGCTGTGGTGCGCAGTGATGGCGCTGCGGGATGCGTGTCGATGATAAAGTCGATGAGTTGACCAGTCGAGGATTGTCCGCCCTCGTTCATCCAGAGGCCAGGAAAGACGGCGTGCTTGTAAGGACCCCAGACGCCGTCTACAAGGATGCCGTCAGGTGATTGAACGCAGTAGCATGTGCTGGTGCCCGCGATAGCAGCGAGTCGGTTCTGAGAGCTGATGAGTGATGGGTGGTTGTTTTCTTCGTCGACAGGGTTGGTTGCCGGTGCAGCGACGGTGCCGACCCAGCCTGCATAGGCGTCGATGAGGGCAGATCCGACCGCCGTACCCGGCAGCAAACCGAGCTCGGCAGCAACCTCAGCGCTGAGGCCATCTCCGACAGGCTGACCAGCAGTGAGGACGATGCCGTTGCGACCTGGAACACCGCCGAGCTGCTTGAAGTCGTCCTTGACCAGCTCGCCAAGCCCGATCTGTTCAAAGAAGTCTGGCTGCCATCCGAGTTCGGAGCCGTCTACGCCCGGAGGAATGTACGAGCACTTGCACACCAACGAGCAGTTGCTCCTCGCCAACGATCCGGTTGCTCTGTACGTCAGGTAGTCTGGCAGATCGAAGAACATGCACTTCTTGAACAGGTCCGCTGGCATGTGCTTCTTCAACCACAGGATCTTGGGGATCTCCATCTCGAGCGACATGGTCTTGCCGACGTAGTTGAGCACCTTGGATCCGGTCGAGTTGATGAGCGCCGCCTCGTCTTCGGCGCGGTGATCAGCCCACAAGATCACGTTGCGCTCGCCGGGACCCCATTCGCTGCTGGTCGCCGAGGATTGCGGTGTCACAGCAATCGGCTTGCCGTCGAAGTCAGTGACTGCGAGAGAGCAAGTCGCGTCGAAGCCGAGACCTTTGATGAGACTGGGATCGACCTTGGACGCAGCGACGACCTGGGTGATGGCTGACTTGATCTGCGACCAAATGTCGGTGGTCGACTGCTCGAAGATGCGTGCGTCTGATTCGAGACGGTACGTCTGCGTAGCATTTGTTGATTCTGCAAGGATGTTGCCGTCATCGTCGACGAGCGCGGCTCGTGCAGAGCCGGTGCCAACGTCGACACCGATGTAGTAGAACTTGGTGCTGCTGTCTGTCATCGCTGTTCGTTGTTGGTTGAGCTCTACGCGAAAGAGATGGCGATCGGAGAGAAGGGAGGAAGCCGTACCACCTTTTGTCAGCGAAGTCGATGGAAAGCTTGAGCGACTCGACTCGGCGTTCCGTTGGAAGCACACACTGTTACCTAGCCGACGTGACACAAAACTTCGAAAACTTGCATGGATATGCACCCGCACAGACCGGCGTCCACAAAATAAGAAGATCCGCCACCCCCACACCAACACCAACCACAGAGGTGGGAGGTGGGAGGTCAGCCAACAGCGGCGGCGAAATTCGCCGAATTCTTCTTCTTCTCGAGTCCCGGAATATCAGTCATGTTACACCGTTACTAGTACTCTGGATCATAAGAACAAAAGCAATTCGGACCTTTCGGCAAAATGGTCGGCCCTCGTCGAAGATAGCAAAGGTTGCTTAACGAGGTCACACAGAGCTTAACGAGCTCTGGTCTTCCCCCGCCGTTGGCGCGAGGGTCAAAGGTGCGCACAAGACATCCTTGGCGTTATCTTGAGGCATTTTGGCTTTCGACTCTCCAAGGCCATGTGACTCTGCGCTATTTAAACATTTACGGTCTATCTCGCCTCTTTCTTGCCTCCTTCCCCCTTCGCATCTGCCTCGATCAAGTCCTTCGCCAGTATGATCTCCAGAAAGGCCAGTTTGGTGGTAGCCTTCGCTCTGGCCTGTGCGACCGTTGCTCAGGCGCACGCCAATCCCTACTCTCCCGGTCTCGATCAGGATCATCACGGTGCGGACCCGCACAGCTCTGCCGAGTATGCACCCATTCCTCTCGTCGAGTTCCCCTCCAACGACATCCCGGACCCTTGGACGACCAAGTATTCCGGGGTCGGCAAGCCCGCATACTCTGGTGTCAACACCTATGCCCACCTGCCTACGGTCAAATGCCTCGACGATCCCAACCAGCTCTTCGACGTAGCCGTTCTCGGTATCCCCTACGACCTCACCGTAACGTATCGACCAGGTGCCAGGTTCGGACCCAATGCGATCCGTCAAGCCAGCAGGAGGCAGAGAGCCGGCAGAACGTTCTCGATGCATCATGGCCAAGACCCGTACAACTCAGGCTTGCGTTTCCTCGACTGCGACGACATCCCAGCCTCTGGCTACGACCCCGCACTGGCGATTGATCAGATCGAAGCTGGGTATTCTTCCCTCTTGCAACGTCGAGCAGCATCCGACCCATCGCTCGGTACCGTCGCGACTCCACCCAGCTCGGTCGTCTCGCCCGAATCATGGCGAGCGTTCGACAACGCTGGTCTGGCAAGGGATGGCAAATCGCATCCCAAGATCGTCTCTATGGGTGGAGATCACACCATCGTGCTGCCCATCCTTCGTTCGCTCTACCGCGTCTACGGGCCAATTGCAGTGATCCACTTCGACGCGCACCTCGACACCTGGCCACCCGAAGTCTCCCCCGCCGGCTCACCCACGCGTCAACACCAGATTCAACACGGCACGTTCTTCTGGCAAGCCGCGCTGGAAGGACTCATCGCACGCAACCAGTCCATCCACGCCGGTATCCGCACTCGACTCGGCTCCTACGACGATATTCAACACGACGCATCCATCGGTTTCGACATCATCACCTCCGACGACATCGACGACTTGGGCATCCCGACGATCATTCAGAACATTCGATCCAGGGTTGGAACCATGCCGGTGTATCTCAGCATCGATATCGACACTCTCGATCCAGGTTTTGCTCCGGGCACGGGTACACTCGAATCGGCAGGATGGAGTCCCAGGGAGTTGAGGAGGATTTTGAGAGGGCTGGAAGGACTGAATTTTGTTGGATTCGATATGGTCGAGGTCAGCCCGGCGTACGATCAGGCCGAGATCACGGCGTATGCGGCGAGTGATCTGGTCTACGAGTTCATGAATCTGCTGATCAAAGGCAACGATATGCAGGATAAGGGAAAGGTCGCCGAGCCGAAGAGCAAAGGTAGAAGCAAGAAGGCCAGGGGCGTTGTTGGGTCGCTGTTCAAGCATGGAGATGAGCTGTAGATTGATCACCCACGGCAGTGCCAGTGCCAACTCTGCTGTTGATCCGAGCGGACGAGCTGGTGAGGCATCGGCGTCGGATGATGTACATTCATGTCAGGTCAATTACATCGCTGGGCTCTATCAACTTCGCTTTGCGTGTCGTCTTTCTCTTTGAATCCTTCTTGCCTGTGACTTGATCTACCTGAACACCATTCTCTTCCACAGGAGCGATTGCGGCCCCCTCGACGTTGCTGGTCGTCGGCTGCCTGCGCTTCCTCGTCTTCTTCACCAGTCCAGAATCTGCTTCGTCCATCCCGTTCTCTTCAGCAGCATCTTCGCCTTTGCCTGCAGGAAGTTTGCCTTTGCCTTTACCTCTTTTGCTCTTGACGGCCACTTCTACTTCTGGGTGAGGATTCAGGTGCTCTTCGAAAGTCCTACCAGATCTCACCAAGAATTGCACCAGGCGCTCGAACCGTTCGTGCCTTCGATACATGGCTCTCACCACGTCTGCCCACTGTGCAGGTTGCTCCTGCTGCCCTTTGTGACGCGGACACGCTCCGTGCGTTGGCAGTATCGTGCTAACGCTATTGTGCCCGATTGCAACGCCACTTTGCTGCTCGAGGAACGACGTGGCCAAACACGAGAGGTGAAAGACCGAGTGACATACATATTCGTCAAATCCTGTTGTGGAATTGTTTGTCGAAGAGACGCCCGAGCTGATCGGCAGTGTGGTAGCATGCGGAGAGGGGCAGAGGACAAAGTCGAGCTGCTGGCTCAGGTCGACCGGTGTATTGCATAGCGCGCAGGGCGCGGTGGGCGCAGGTGTCGCAGTGTCTCTCGTGCGGGCGTCCTGAACGGCGATATGCCGCTGTACGCAGATCTGAAGGAAGTCGCTCATGGCTTTCGTCGTTGTGGTCGCAGGGTCAAGGTTCGCAGCGACGGCATGTTCGAAGCGTTTCCACTCGGATTCTTCCATGTCGAGGTCATCGAACCTCATCCTGTAGAACGTGCGCGTTGATACTGCTCCTGGCTCCGCGAGGAACGTTGTCGTCGCATCAGCCGCATCGTCGTCGTCATCGTCCTTTTCGGCATCTTCATCTTCCACCGCGACCTTGTCGCTCGTCTTTCTTGCACGTTTGGATTTCTTGGTCAGATCGGTGCTCGTGGCAGCAGCTTGAAGCGAAGGGAAGCCGGCAAAGTCCTGTATGCAAGCATCAAGGCCTTTCAGATTTGCTGACCGAGGAAGCGTTTCCGGCCATCCTGGAGGATCATCAGCGTCCGCCTTCTTCTTGCTCGAAGACTGTCTCTTCTTGACGGGCTGATCTGCGACCCCTGCATCCAGCCGGTGCTGTGCCGAGATGTGAATGAGTGGAATGCGTTTACCGTCGACCCCGGCGAAGTCGCAGACGGCAACCGGGTACAGCGTATGCAAAGGCTTTCCGGATCGACTGTATCTGTGCCACGGGGATGTCGTATGTGTAGCGTCCACCACAGCGTTTGCAGCATCGAGTCGCTGGTACGCCAACCAGCTCCACTCGGTGAAAAAGGCCAGCTTGAGTCCCCACCCACAGAAAGGTTCGGAACGAAGCAGTGCCCGCATCGCCAAGAGCCTAGCGTTGGGAGTCGATGGAGGTCTCGCCATCCTCTTCTTCGGTCTCCCCCAACGAGTCTGACCGGGTGTCATGCTCGTCGACAGGAAAAGGGCCATGCCAGCCGATGCTGACGTATCGCTCGCGCTGCCATTGACGGAGTGCTCCGTGGTCAAGAACTTCAGATGTCGGGAAAGATGGGGCTTTGCCCACGCCCATTCGAACTGAAGCGCCGCGATCTTGGAAGAGAAACCGTAGACGATGCACTCCATCTCCCAGGGTCGAGCGCGAGCTGTTTTGTACGCCCCTTGCGTGAGGTCGCCATTGTGTTGACGTTTGCGACGGGGCGGCGCGGGTGTGGAGCCGATGTATGTGGTGCCGGGAGAGGAGAGCGAGCGGAGAAAGTAGCAGGCGTAGAAGGGCGGGATCGTGTGCTTCGTTACCGAGGACGGCATGGTCGGGGCAGGTGCACTCGAGGAGTAGAGTTGGGCTCAGTCGAAGTGATGGTCATGATCGCATTTGGGGGATCATGGTGATCAGGAGAGCCGAGGATACAGTGCGAGATGGAGTTGTTAGGGACGAAGGCGAATCGAAACGACTCTGGAACAATTGTAGAAGCCCCGCAAAATCCGCAATCGGAAAAGCCTCCACTCATGCAGGTAGGGTATCATGGACCCAACACCATACAGTGTATTTAGATATCACATCCGCGCTACCTCAAAGCAAGACACGATGGCAGTGAAGACTAAGGGATTGGCATTCATTCGCTCTTTGTGACTACTGCGTGTCATGCATTCTTCGACCTCTGCTGTCTGTCTCTCCACCACAAACGACCAGCTTCGTAACTGCCTAGATACACGCCTGCACCTAACGCTGTCCACGCGCCCCGCAGCGCGCCGCCTTTCATGAGTGCCTTCCACCCTTCCTTGACCGCAATCTCTTTCATTGTCGCTACTACCCCCAACGACTTCCTTGCTGCGTCTGAGCCGGTATCCAGCATGATCCTCGTTTTGGCCACATCGATGGGTGTCGTGACCACTGCTGCAAAAGATCCCGCTATCGCCGCTGAACCACCAGCCACGAGTCCTGCCTTCCCAAATTCGGCAGCTACACTGGTCTCGTCCCTTGCCGCTTTGCGCCTGAAATCTTCGGACGATCGAACGTCTTCGACACCGCCGTCTTCCTTGTGCGTTCCAGCTTTGAGCCCCGCCCACTCGCCAAACCGTTCTCTCAACGACTCGTATATCGGGAATTGAAGCGCTGTAAAAGGCAAGTTGCGACCCGCCAGAGCTAGGTAAGAGCGTCCGAACGTTGACGCTATCGGTGCTAATGTAGATCTGTTGGGACGTTGCGAGCTCACTTGTTGCAACTTTTCCTGAGCGTCCAGAGCCACGTTCCGTGCTGTCGACGCAGCACTGCCCGGAGGAGCCTGCTTGGTCACCTTGTCGGCTGCATGAACAACCGTCTGCTTGGCTAGCTGTGCCTTCGACTCGCCTGGCTGCGCTTTTTGCAACACTTCCTTTGCCGCGCCGGCTGCTGTGGTCGCTGGACAGCTTGAAGAAGTACGGCTGCTCGTAGAAGCTCCGCCTCGATCTCGCTGCTTGTTAACGACTTGTGCTCGCTGCTTGATGATCTCTGCCGGCGTCAATACAAGGCACGACACGAGTTCGGCTGTTGAGCTGGCTAGCATGTGCGAAAGAGCCGGCGGTGCATTGCTAAGTGGCGAGCTGGAAGAAGCAAAGGCGCTTTTCGCCTCCTCGTACGTTGTAAAGAAGAGACCTGCAGCTGGCAGCGTTGCAATAATCACGCTGCCAACACCCTGGTAGAGACCGCCGTAGAGGCCTCTGCCTGAAGGGAAGCGTGTAGCATAGTCGGGAGCCTGAAGACGGGTCTTGAGGGTATCGAGGGGGTATATTAGCAGATCCACCGTGAACGCTGCGAGCGCTCCTGCGACGACCGTGTCCATGCTGTAGAGTTCCGTTGCGAGATTAAGCTCGCTGGTGGCATGATGGTATGTCTCCCTTCTTGTCTACATGCTATCTATCAGTCACTGCCGCTGTTTCGGCATGCAGGGTTTTGTCAGAAGAACCGAGGTGGAGGTGCGGACAAGCTCGGATCTCGGACGCCGTTTTCAACCTTGATTTTGTTAGAGATTTGAAAATTCACAGAATAGATTTATTTCTCGCTCACGCTTGGGCATGCCAGTCTTCGTGGGTCATGGCAGCTTCAGTCGACCACAATGCGACAGTAAAGAAGCTCGGATCGTGTGTCGCGGGACCGCAGCGGCTTTGTACGCAAGCTGAGCTCGGAATCTCGAACGGAAGTCAGAAGCCCGGCGGCTACTTATGCATTTGATCTCTAGGCGCAACGAGAGCCGCTGCACGACCAAGAACGTGCTCCCTCGAAACCTTTTCGAAACACCGCCGGCGCTAAGCGAAGCACAAAATAACGCAACTCCGACCGGACCTGTCAAGTTTCACATCGAGAAGAACTCGGAAGCGTCGATGCTGGTCGCTTAACGTCACAGCCAAGAAACCTCGCTCAAAAGCTTCGCCGATCCGTTCTCATGCGAAGACACGGTCCGACCGTCATCGAAACAAAGTTTGGCGCTAACGAACATTGCCCCGAGGTGACGAGCATGTGTGTGGAGACAGGTCCAGCTCGGCTGAACCTACAGTCTAGTATATAATCATCAGCTGAACTCACTGCAACTCTGCCACATACCATCCCAACCTCTCCACCTACAAGATGCTTCCCAAGATCGCTCTGGCACTGCCAGTGCTCTCCGCAATCGCCGCTGGCGTTTCGGGCGCTGCCATCCGCACCCGCGGCAGCGGTGTCAACCCTGCCGACTTCAGCTCGGAAGGTCTCGTCGCCATCGGACAGTTCTCTGCTAGCGCCAGGGACAAGAACGGAGAGACCATCGGTGGCATCGGCTCCGCGGGTGGCCTCGTACCTGGCCAATTTTTTCGCAACGGCGACACATACTCGGGCCAGCTCTACCTTCAGCCTGACCGTGGCTACAATGTCGAGAACACCATCGACTATGTTGCTCGCCACCACCTCTTCGATTTCTCGTTCAAGGAGTACACTGGCTCGGCTAACCTTACTTTCGATCAGGCCATCAAGCTCTTCAACATCACCTACCGCGACACCACCTTCTACCACGAGTCTTCAGGCAAGAACACCACCGGTCTCGACCCTACCATTGTCAGGACCGGCGGTCTGAGCGGAAGCGGATCCAGCGACGGTCCACTCGCAGCCGCGGACGCCCCCAACAACCCAGGCGCGCTCTCATTCGATACCGAGGGCTTTTCAGCCAACCCGGATGGCACGTTCTGGGTCTCCGACGAGTACACTCCCGGAATCTATAAGACCGCCGCCGACGGCACAATCATCGCCTACATCACACCACCCGAGGCAGTGCTGCCTCGCATCGGTGGCAAGTACAACTTTACCTCAAAGGCTACGCCTGACTCTGGTCGTGCACCCAACGCGGGCTTCGAGGGAATGGCCGTCTCTTGGGATGGCAACCAGCTGTTCGCCGTGCTTCAGTCTGCACTCGTTCAGGACGGTGGCGATGGTGCTCCTTACCTGCGCATCTTTGAGTGGGACATTTCGTCCCTTTCCGGCGTCACCACTTACCAAGGAGGTGCTAACCCAGGTGACAACATCCCCTTGATCGCCGAGTACGCTTACAAAGCGCCCACTTCGAGCAAGGGCAAGGCTCGCAACGTCAACGATCTTATCTACCTTGGCCACAAGACCGTTGGCATCCTCGTCCGCGACGGTAACGGATTCGGTAGCGACGACTCTGGCGTCAAGTACAAGCACATCGACATCCTCGACCTCTCCACAGGCACCAACATCAACGGAACTAAGTACAACACTGCCACCGGTTCCATTGCTCCCGGAGGCAAGCTCTCTAGCGGTATCAACCTCGCCTCGTACAGCAGCCTCGTCGACTACACCACTGATCTAGGCAAGTTTGGCATGCACGGCTCTGGTGACCCCGTCGACCCTACTTTGATCGCTGCCAAGATCGAGAGCTTGATTCTGCTGCCTACGCTGCCAAAGTCGAGCAGCGACAGCAGCTTCGACAAGGACGAGTACTACATCCTCTCGTTCAGCGACAACGACTTCCAAACCAAGAACGGATACATGCGGGCGCTCGGTGCTTACTCGGCCGCATACCCACAAGACGTGCCCACGCAGGCTTTCGTCTTCAAGGTCAAGCTTCCCGGTGTCAACCGCGGAGACATGCTTTCTCGTCTGGGCCTTTCGTAGCCAGCCGTTCGGAAGAGCCGGTCCAAATAGTCTCAAAGAAAAGATTGTACATTGCAATGCACAATGTGATCACCGTTCTGGCTCTGCTTGTGCGAATCTCACACGTGTTGACGAAGAAGGCTCAACCAAAGAATCCAGATGAGCAGCTGCAGACAATGTGCCAGACGAGATGTAGATTCAGGGCCCACCTGTCCCCGGGTGCAAGCGTTCCGACCGTAGCCGTCATGGTACACGTTCCTAGCAGCTCGACTGCGCTTTTCCTTCGACCGCGTGTTCTCTGAAGCTCTCCAGTTGCTCGTCGACGAGGAGCGAGGCTGCTAGGATCGCAAAATACGTGCATTGTTTCAAACTACCAAGATTTGGCCATCAAGTGGAAGCGACGCGAAGCTTGAAAGGTGTCCACGTTCGTGGCTCGCTTATGCATCATTGTTCTTGGCGACCCCGGGAATTCCTTTTTCGCCACCTTCCGAAGAAAATTTCCAATGTACGCTGCTTTCATACCCGTCGGCCCGACCGAGGTTGATGCAAAAGACACCGTAGGCAGCTGGAAAGCTTGCAGCGACGAATCAGAATGCATTCATTGGCGAGATCACACCGTCGAATTGCGCAGATGGAAGGTCACCGCCGTCCTAGACAGCGTCCCGGCCTCATTGTTGAGTAATGAGCCTCATGCACACACGGGCATCGACAAGGTGCCTGCGCTCAGCATGAAGCTTTTGTATTCCAAGCCCACGTTCAAGCGCCATCGACGCAAATCCTGTTCGTGAGGATGGCACGGACCCATCTCTTGGCGGGACATCGATCAAGTACATAGCCGGTCGTTCCTCCGTTCTAGGGTCTGTGGTCGGCCATGAGCAGCAATCTCGATCTTGATCTCGCCTAGCTGCCAAGCGAGTTCTTGAAAACAAAGTTGACCCTGCAAGTCGTTCAGAAGAAGTTGTCAAGCGAGGTTCAAACGTGGGCTTGCCACAGTTTTGACGGCCAACCTTTGACCGGCCACAGTAGGTCGCTGCTGCGCTCTGAGTCCTTCAGCGCACGGTGCGTCGACGAAGCCGAAGTATGGTGCTGCGCTCGGCCCGTCGCACCGACATCGATTTGCTGGTACATATATATAGTAGCAACCTCGAAGTTTGCATCATCTCGAGTGTCCCTAGCAACGACCACTACAACTCAGCGGGCCATGAAGAACATCCTCGCACCCTTTGCGGCTCTCGCCGCTGCCCTCACCGTCTCGGTGACGGCCCTCGCCCCCCTCGAGCGCAACTTGGCCTACCGCTCTCCCTCGCTCTCCTTGAGCAACGGTGACGGCCTCAGCCACGACATCGCTCACATCGGCAACCAGATTCGCAAGCGTGCCTACGATGACTACGTCACCTCCAAGGTCGAGGGCAAAGCCAAGCGCAACAACGGCAAGAAGGGTCAGTACAAGACCGAAGCCGACTTCCTCGTACAAAAGTACGACGCCAACTACGGCTCGGACGGCCGCGACGCCTACAAGGGCAAGGTCTCGTTCCCCTTCGGTGTCGCTTCAGGTGATCCTTACCCCAACTCGGCCATTCTCTGGACACACCCTGTGCCCGAGGATAGCAACACCAACCTGCCGATCTGCTTGCGTTACCAGACGTCCAAGAGCAAGACCGACTTCTCTGCCAGCAATCTCGTCGACGACAGCTACGCCTGGACCACCAGCGAGGTCGACTACTCGTACAAGGTTGAGACCACCGGCCTTTCTCCCAAGACTCAGTACTACTACCGCTTCTTCTCGTGCCACGACCACTCTGTCGTTTCGCCCGTCGGTACCTTCAAGACAATTCCCGAATACGACGACGACTCTGTCGACGAGCTCAAGCTCGCCGTTTTCTCGTGCTCCAACTTGCCCTTCGGCTTCTTCAATGCCTACCGCGCCGCTGCTGCTCGCGACAACGGTGCCGACTACTTTGTGCACGTCGGTGACTACATCTACGAAGCCCGTGGTGATGGTCAGACGGTCGCAGGAGAGAACACTTATGGCGACGGTCGACCGCTCAACCGCGTTCCCGAACCCGATCACGAGATCGTGACCCTGGACGACTACCGTCTCCGCTACGGCTCGTACCGCAAGGACAAGGACCTCGCCGCCCTCCACGGATCCAAAGCCTTCTTCGGTATCTGGGACGACCACGAGGTCGCCGACAACTCGTACAACCACGGTACCGCCGACAGCAACGACACCGACACCGGAGCCGTGCGCGGCGTCAAGTTCACCGAGCGAAAGCTCGCCGCCGTCAAGGCCTACTACGAATGGATGCCCATCCGTCAAGTCGACACCACCGACTCGCTTCGTATCTGGCGCAGCTTCCGCTACGGCAAACTCGCCGATATCTTCCTGCTCGACACGCGTAACTTTGACCGCGATCTGACCGACATCTACTGGAACACCGCCGCGGTCGGTGCTGTCAGCAACGACACGGACCGCTCGCTGATGGGAGGCAAGCAGGAGCAGTGGCTCTACCGCAACATGATCGAGTCGCAGCAGCGTGGCGCTACCTGGAAGATCGTCGGTCAGCAGATCGTAATGAATTGGCAGAACTACGGCGAGCCTGACTTCATGTACAACTACGACGCTTGGCAGGGATACAGGTCCAACCGTCGTCGATTCTTCGACACGATCGTCAAGAACGACATTGACAACACGGTCATCCTCGCCGGAGACTCGCACGCCAACTGGGTCTACGATACTGTTCCAGAGGACCGCCTCAACAACACCCAGTACGACCCCGTCACCGGCCAGGGCAGTATCGCTGTCGAGTTCGCCGGTACCGCCGTCTCGTCGCCCTCGTCGTACGGAAAGAACCTGACGCAGCAGAAGTACGACGCTGCTGCTCAGCGCTTGGTGTCGATCAACAGGAACTTGCAGTGGGCCGAAGGTGCCCACCGCGGCTACTTTGAGCTCGAGTTCAGCAAGAACGAGGTCAACGCTCAGTTCTACGGCTACGCCAACAACAGCTTGCCCAACTCGGAAGAGCTGCTCGTGGCACAGTTCAACGTCAAGAAGGGCGCCAACAAGCTCACCCGCCCGATCAACTACGGTATCAAGCCCAACTCGGGTGCTCTGCAGGCCCAGGTGGTTGACTACTCCAAGTCTCGATGGAACGGAACGGCTTTCGTTGCGCAGAACTGATCTCGATGTAGAAAAAAACGTTGATGTGCCTGCCAATAGTAACCTCGTGTTTGACTCGAAAGTGCTGAGAGTGTGTGTTTGCTTTTGTGTTTCTGACTTGCGAAAGCGACTATATGTGTACAACGCCATCGATGCAAACAACACACTCGCCGCCTATCCAGATATCTGCCTTACCGACGTCTTGCTTTCGATCGATTTTGACGCTGACTCTACCGTTCCTACCAATCGCCGTGCCCTGCGAGTTGACATACTCGTCCGCGGGAGACTCTCCACTCTCTTCCAGCCATTTCGCAAATCCAGCATTCAAGGAACCTGTCACAGGATCTTCTCCGATATCCTCAAACACGAAGGCTCGTACCTCGTGCGCCACTTTCTCGCCCTGTACGTTCCGCCCTTCTGGGTAGGGACCGATGAATCCCAAAAACAGGTCTCGTATGGAGCCGATATCGCTCTGAGGCGAGTTGACATCGATGTCGAGGACCTGTTGAGCCGAGCGTAGCTTGATGCCGATCCATCGTGGGCCGTTGTCGATGTGATATGCGGAGATGATGCTGTCAGGATCGAGGCGGAGCGCTGTAGTGATGCGAGAGACGGTGGTGGGATCGACAGGTTCGTGACGGATGAAATCAGGTGCTCTGAAGCGCACAGTGGACGCATCGGCCGACACACGGAGTGGTACAAGACCAATAGCGCATTCTTGAACAAGCTTCCCTTCGCGCTCTGTGATCAAAGACGAGGCTTCTGAGGTGCCGAGATGTCGGAGGAAAGAATGACAGCTACCAAGTGTAGGATGGCCCGCAAAGGGCAGCTCTTCGACAGGTGTGAATATCTTCAGCCGGTAGTCGGCCGCGTTGTCGGTGGGAGGGAGGAGAAACGTCGTTTCGGACAGGTTCGTCCACCTTGCAAAACGTTGCATCTGTTCCTGTGTCGGTACAGGCAAAGATGGGTTGAGGCAGTTGACGACAGCGACCGGGTTGCCAAAGTATGGCGTGTCGGTGAAGGTGTCCACTTGGTGGAAAGGGTATGTGTTTGTCTTGGTCGACATCTTGACTGCTTGCCTCGGATGATGACCGATTCGATGTTGAAGTGGATCTGAGGAAGTATAGAGCTGATGCAAGCACTTTATAGGGGGTCTCAAGGCTTGTTGGTCGAATGTGAAGGAGTTCGAGTCACGAAGACGTAGGGACGCTCTCGACCGAATTCAGGTAGCCGACAGATAGGGTCCAACTGTCTAATCCTTCGGCTTTAGCGCACTCGTCCCGCAGCTAGCCTGATGTTCGCAAACAACTTCTGCGGAGTGAGCAGCAACCCCATCGATTCAGATCTTTCAAAGTCAGCGAGAGAAGCGTGTCAAGATGTGCCGATCGAGAGGCGTGACAGGTCGGAAAGCACGTGGCAGTCAACGAGTGACCGAGGGCGGCTCGACCGCGCAGCAGCCGCCTTCTCTGCATCCGTCCTAGTCGATCGGAACCGAGCATGGCATGCTGCACATTACAGTGCCGTCCAGACGCAAGACGGCATGTCGACTTCCAACCTTTCGTCATTGGTGGTGACAAAAATCTCGTGTGCCCACCAATCGAGTGTGGTTCTCACATCTCTGCAAGCAGACAAAGGCGCGGTTCCATGCGTTCGGGAAGAATGGTGTGAAAAGCACGGGAATATTCTGAATTGTACATGGACAAGAGCCAATCAATCGATCGGTTAACTGAGTCGTGGTCATGGCACGAAAGCAAGAACGCTGCTGTCCTTCTTGCTCAGGGTCCTAGTGGCACCCATCCGGTTCGACCGGTTCTCTTAAGCCGCGGAGCTCATATTTGCTCTCTGTGCAGCTTGAAATTTCTCGAGTTTTGTATCCGCAGCGCACAAGCCGATGTTGCTTTTCCTTTGACCGAATGAGGTGCTCAAACGTGTAAGTAACGAGTCGTCTCCCAGCTTCATCCCAAGCTGTTCGCGTTTGCTTCAGTCCCATCATTCTCCGCTAGGCTTCTTCTACAATGACGTCCGCAATCCCACCCATCACCACGCCCAAGCCGTTCACGATCGTCTACAGCGATGGCGAGGTCAAGGACCTTCGCAACCGCTTGCGCAACACCCGATTCCCCGCTGCACCCTACCTTCCCGAAGATGCACGTCAACCCATGAAGCTGGTCTACAAGCCAGACCTGCCTCTGGTCAAGCAGCTCATCGACAAGTGGGCCGAGTTCGACTTCGACGCCTTTCAAAAGCGTCTCAACAGCTTTCCGCACTTCACCACGTCGGTCGACTGGTGCACGCAGCTGCACTTTGTACACAAGCGTTCCTCCCGCACCGACGCGATCCCGATCATGCTCATCCATGGATGGCCTGGAAGCTGGTTCGAGTTCGCCCACGTGATCGACGATCTCGCCAATCCCGCGGATAAAGACGCTCCTGCTTTCCACGTCGTCGTGCCCTCTCTGCCTGGATTCATGGATTCGACCGCCCCACCGTCCAAGAAGCCTGGAGTGGGTGACGTCCGAGGGTACACCCGGATCCTCGATGCGCTCATGCGCGGTCTCGGTTACGACAAGTACGCATCGCAAGGCGGTGATTGGGGAAGTCCGCATGCTCGAGCTCTCGGAGCCTTCCACTCGCACAAGGACGGTACCGGCTGCCGTGCGGTGCACCTCAACTTCTGTCCCGTCGCAGCCAAAGGTCTCAGCAAATTCATGCTGACCACTCTCCCCGTCAAAGTCACGCTGGGCGTAGCCAAACTCATCTACGGTCAAGAGTACCTCATGATGGCAGCGAAGGGTATCTACTTTGAACAGAACCGCGCCTACTACGATGTGCAGAGGACGCGACCGGTTCAACTTCTTTACGGTCTCGTCGATTCGCCCGCTGGACTGTTGGGCTGGCTCGGAAACATCTACGATACCTTGTCCGAGAGGCGTCCCGACCACCCGCGGTTGAACATGGATGCGTGTCTCGACATCGCTACGCTGTTCTGGTTCACAAGGTCGATCGGTACCTCGTTCATCCCTTACACGAACAACATCTTCCTCCCCGAGATTCACGGCTCTGCCGAGTACAAGCTTCCCGTTCCGCTCGGATACTCGGATTTCCCAGACGAGCTGGTCAACACACCCAAGTTCGTGGTGGACGCGACGACGACGAGTGGCAAGACGAGGTGGGTCGCGAGAAGCCCGGTGGGCGGTCACTTTGCTGCGCACGAAGAACCTACGATCTTTGTCAGCCATCTGAGGAACGCGTTTGCAAAAGGCGGTAAGGGCAAGTGGAGCGGAAGCGAGGAGGGGATTGTAAAGCCGGAGATCGCAGGTGGATTGTGGGATGAAGTCAGGGAACAGGAGGCGAGAGCGTCCAAGATCTGATTCGCAACAAGGTCGATGTAGGCTTGCGTTCGGACCGTGTAGAATGAAGACCTATCTTCAAGCCTGAGAATGTGAATGATGGAGCAACGCGGATCAAGACTGACCAATACCATGCTTCTCGAAGAAAGCAGCAATCTTGTCATCCAACCACTTGACGTCTTCTTTCGAATCTCCTGGACCACCCGCCCAGTGACCCCAGATGCTCGGAATGACTTCCAACGTCGCCTTGTCCCCCATCACCCTCGCCTCCTCCTGCGAGTCCTCGGGAGGAAAGTAGAGATCTGTCTTTCCCGGCATGATCAGCGTCGGACACTGGATCCCGCTCAACGCGCTGTAAAACGCCCTATCATCCCTCATCGTCACGTATTCACCATCGCCCCTCGCTCCCAGCCGACCACCTTTGCTCTGGGGTACATCTAGCCTGCTTGCTCCAGCATACCTAGGTTGAGCGCCGATATCGCCATGCTGCCACGTGTACAGCATGTACAGCAAGTTGTTGGCGTCCTTAGAAGTGGACCAAGCGTGCCAGAACTTGGACAGAATCTCGTTTCCACAGTTGAGACCGAAGTGTTTCTTGAAGCCCTTTTCGCGGTAGAAAGCTTGACTGAACCCCCATCCGGCGTAGATGGTTCCAAAGGCTTTCAAACCGTCCACGGGTGGATTGGAAGGGTCATACTTTCCACCGGCCCATTTGGGATCGAGCTGAAGAGTGTGCTTGAGCGATTCCAGAAACACCCAGCTGTGCAAGGCTGTTCTAGCGGAACCGCAGAAGGGTACTGCCGCACGTACCGAATCGGGGTACTGACTGGCCCACTGGAAAGTTTGTCCTGCGCCCATGGACCAACCGATGACGATCACTTTGCCCTTGACGCCGAGATGGTCGTAGACGAGCTTGTGCTGAGCATGCACGTTGTCGTAGAAGGTGGCTCGAGGGAGGTCGATGCCAAGCGGATGGTTGGAAGGCGAAGTGGATTCTCCATTACCAAACAGCGCGGGAACGATGATGAAGAACTTGCTCGGGTCGAGTGAACGAGTGGGGGGAGAGCTACCGGGTAGGGCAATCAGCCACTCGTTCCCTTCGGTGATGGTGCCAGAGAACCAGGTGGGGTAGACGATGGCCGGTTTGCTCGGATCGCCGTAGGTGCGGTAGGCCAGGTGTGCGTCGGGGATGACTTGGCCCGAGAGCAGCTCGAAGTCTCCCAGGCTGAAGTGGTTGATCGTGGCATGTTTGGCGCTTTCAGACATGATTGCTCATTGTTCAGACAAAGCAATGTAGTGGTTGTGTGTAAGGACGGAAACACCCATGCCGAGGAGGAGGTATGTGCACAGGACACCCTTTCCCCGCTATGGGTCGAGCGGGTCAGAGAGAAAAAGCATAGCCGTAGTGGAGGCCGCGAAAATGTACGAGATCGGCGATTGCCAGCATATCACCGGAGATTGAGATGAGAGGTCGATCTGGCTGATGGTTCACATGGTGCTCTGGCAGACATCCTGAGCGCTCAGGATGCTTCCACACGGCATGCAATGGCACAGGCTCTGACCAGGCGAGTGTGCGTGCGGTGACTTGTCAGGGTCCTTCGAGCAACACTGTTGAAACATCACGGCGTTCAAGCGCTCGTCATTGTGCACTGGACTGTCGGGCAGGATGGTTGTGTCGCAACGAGACAGCACGACAAAGTGGACGACGACGCCAGCGCCGGTGCACACCTCGGCTGCTGTCGATCAAAGGCTTGGCACGGATTAGCGTGCATGACGGCGTTCATGTTTGTCTTCTTCTCGAACTTGCTGTATTCGTCGGTCACCGCAAGGAGGCATGAGCTCGAGTCTCACATGTCCTACCCTCGGAACGGAATGACTGATCTCAAAGGCAGCCAAGGCGCGATCATTGTGCGGGATGTGAGGCTGCGACGACGTGTACGATGTGTGGTGTTCTGCACTAGGACGCACAGCCGAGCTCGGTGAGAGCGACGAGGACAAGCAAAGAAGAAGCCAAAAACCTTCTTCTCACCACAAAAGCCGAGACTTGCAAGCCAGGGCGCGAAAGCCCACAATCAAATTTTCGTGCTTCGCTGGCGACAGACTGCTGAGTTTGAAAAACAACAACACACATACACGCGATAGGCTTGGAAAAAAGACCCTTGAACCTCACCCACCGAGACACTGATCCGCTGCTTCGGACGAGACGCGTCCACCGCGACTCGTGTCATACAGTTGTACTCGGAGCCTGTTTTTGAGTTGTGGCAATGCCGGTTGTGATGTACGAACAGCGTCGAACCAAAGTCACAATCGACAACGCCAGTTTGGGAGTGGACCCGAATCAGAGCGCCCCAAAGGCGTGTCGAGGTGAAGCACGTCTTGCAGCAATGCCTCAACGGCTGCGGGCTGCATCTCGTGCGTCGTCTTTGTACGAGGAAGAAGCTTTGCAGCCGCCGCCCTGAAAGCACTCTCATAGCAAACAGCCAAGTGTTTCCCACCATTGATAGCAGTCATTGATCGTGGAACTCTCTTCCAGAGATCACACTCTTGGCAGCTCCTCGAACGGTCGATCGCGAGTCTGGTCTCGAGCGAGCTGTGGCTCTGCGTGCGTCGGCGTTCCTGAAAATCACACAAGCAACTCTGATTTTGCTTTGACAGCTGGGCAAGGCCAGCTAGCTAGCCAGCCAATGTCGCGATTTTCCTCCCGTGCTGCTGCTCGGCGTACGATCCAGCTCGGGTGAACTCTCTCGCCTACCTGCAGCATCAAGCAGGTGGACTTCGGCTGCACACAGCTAATTCGGCATGACACCTCTGCCTTGTGCATGACTGCTAGCCTCGACCCTACACAAAACAAGAGGAACCGCCTCACTAGCGCAGCAGTCAACCTCAGAATCCGTTCCGTCACGACTCTGCCCAGCCTGGCACCATTGTCTCCGTTTTCACCTCGCCCGTGTTCCAACCTTGACTGTTCACCTCTCACTCACCTCTTCTCTCTCAATCACATCGCTATCCACTCCACCCCTCGACATTCTTTTGACTCCTACGTTGATCGCAGGATCCTACAAAGCGCGCATCCACACTCTCGTTCGCCTCTCCACTTCCTCCTAGCTCGCAACGACACCACCATCACCAACCAGTCACGTCACCCTTCCAACCCAAGCATCCTTCGAAAATGGTCTCTGCCAAAATTGCCACCTTTGCCGTGCTCGTGCTCGCAGCTGCCGACGCTGTCGTTTCGACCATCGTCGTCACCAAGCCTGTAGCGTAAGTATATGATATCCAGTCGCGTCCAGCGTTATGTACGAATACAGCCTTGCTGACTCTCCTCAACAACGTCTCTGTCGTGTCACATGCATACATCTCAACTATCCACGCTCGTCCTCTCTGACTTCGCCTCATAGCTCCACTACCGGTCACGGCGGCAAGCGCCTCACCATCGAATGGAACGACGACGGCAAGTCTCCTACCCGTCGCGACTGGGGCCGTGTCAACATCTTCCTCGCCACCGGCTCGCGCGATGTGCAGTTCAAGCTGCAAACCCTCGACACCAATGTCTCGTACAACGCTGGTGGAGGTCAATACCAGATCAGCCCCACCGTCGGTCCCACCGGAGGCTACTACTTCCTCCGATTCGAGGGCACTAACACCACCACCAACAGCGTCCCCGCCATGGCATTCTCTGCTCGATTCCGTCTCGAGGACATGACGGGCAACTTTAACTCGACCATCATGTCGACCATCCAGGGTACTTCAGGTACCGGACAGTTGACCGCTGCCGCTGCTTCCTCGACCGCTTCTTCGCCCAGCTTCTTCGGCATGTCGACTTCGAGCGCGAGCGCCGCAGCTTCATCTTTGACTGCCTCAGCGTCTGGGAGTGCGCTTTCGTCGCAATCGACCAGCGTCAAGTCGTCTTCGGCTGCTGCACCGGCTGCTGGAAAGATGGCTGGTTACGTGAGCGCGCTGGTCGGCTTCGCTGCTGTAGGCGCTGCTTTCCTCTAGTTGCGACATGAGCGTCTGCTCTGGATAGCAGACTCTTCATTGTTTCCTTTCTTCGCTTTCATCGGTTCATCGAGCCCGCTGCTCTTTTGCGCTTGCTTTTTCTGCTCTGGTTTGTTTGCTTTGCATATAGTTGTCGTTCTTTTTGGGAAGGAAAGAAAACACACTCGTTCAATCCGTCGTTTCAGAGGTGTGAGGTGTGGGAATGCACCAGCTCCGGTCATCTGCGTAGTCTCTGAGAACAGGTATAGGTGTCGATTGATCGAACGGTTTTTTTTTTACAGCTTTGCCACTCTGGACATCTTCTTGACCTCGTTCATGAGCACGGTTTGCATCCTCAACCCTAGCATGATGTTACCTTTGACCTTGACTTTGCCTTTCATGAAAGCCATTTGGGGGCTTAGCTGACCTAGGGCGATACGGATCATGTCTCTGTCGCCGATGGTGAGGATGCAGTCGGGTTTGGGCTGTGCGGGTGCTTGACCTCGGATGATCTTGCCTTGTTTCTTCATGTCTACGTAGAACGAGATGGTTTTTTCCTCACCGGTGTAGGTTTCGGAGGAGGGTCGAACGTTGAATTGGAAGACACCGTTGACGGCTTTTTTGGCTTGCTCGAGGTTCATCATGTCGAGACCGGCGGTGATGCCTTCTTCGTCGCCCGAGTGGAGCAGCGCCCAGTAGACGACGCAGAAGAGCTTGGACACTTCGACCCCGGGAACTTTGAGTTCGGTGGGATCGGTTTGAGAGTCGGGCGGGAGGGAGG